TGGAAGGGTTATTAATGGAAATTTACTTTATTACTACGCATGGTTTACACCCTCGATTGTATATCGACCCAATGATTGTTAATTTATGCACTTTGGTGCTATGGTGCATTATTTTTGAGTGGTCATACACATTAAGATACCTGTTAAAAGAGTGCAAAGAGTTCATGATGTTTTGATAATCCATATTCTTTGTATTCAAATGTACTCCAGCATGCAGGCAGGTTTTCATCCAGGAGTCACTGATATTTGTCACTATCAGTGCAGATGAATCACCTCCAGCTGGCTGGACTACTGGGCTCATTAAGGGGTTCAACACACACTCACATACAAACGTCAATACACAGACACATACACACCTTTATTTCTTTTGACTAAGAGTGGATTCTGGGTAACTGAGTGTTTTATGTAAGCTTCAGCTGCAAGTACGTCATTTCCTCACATTACATGTCACAGATTATTTTTCACATCGAACAATTTGACTCCAATAAATCAAATCAAATGTTTTATTTTAGTCATTATAAGTCGTGTGTGAGGGGCACAATTTTGAGAAGCAGTTGTGGTGTTCGTCCAATAGAGGCTGTTCAGTTCTCTGTGATATGTAATTCAACTGTCTTTGGCGCCCTCTGTGGCCAAAAGCATATGATGACAACTTCTGAAAGCCAAACTTATTTTGAATTGCAAACTTGTACAGAGGTTATACTTGTTGGTTATGAAGCTATTAAAGAGAACTTTTCATGCTGTTCGGAGCTCTTCCACAGACATATAGAGATCTAATATAACCTGGGGTCAGACTGAAAAGTCTAATCCTTCTGATTCACAATTTTAATGAAAACTATTTTTGAGCATACAAAGGAGACATTATATCCATATTTTTTATATGAACAAAGCTAACTAAACATAATGCCCAATACCCATAATATGGGTATTTTAAAGCTGGGGGTTTTAGTTGAATTTTGTACCTAATAGAGTAAAACTGTCATTTGTAACTGTTCAAACATATTTCATAAATCTTACATATCTATCTTGTGTATCTTCTTATCTACTTTTCTTAGTCCATATTTCCTGTAGATTCATTAAAATTCAGGTGTGCTTGTTTTACTGTGTTCGCTAAAGGTTATCCATTTCTCTCCTTTTTTGATGCAAAGGAAAAAAAATCACTTTTTCTAATACACATTATTTTGAATGTCTGTCCATTGTCCCTTTTCATGCCAATGTTTAATATTTCTGTTGTAAAGCAAACTCAAAAAAGTCATTTTGGATCCAGTGTGTGGTCTCCTGTGCATGCATGCATCCTCTCGTTCTTGCTCCTACAGTCCACAGATGTGCCCGTCAGGTTAATTAGTGACTCCAAATTGCTCATTTGTATGAATGTAATGTCTCATTATCTATATGTCATCTGTTTAATGTAAAGGCGACCGATTCGGGGTTTTCCCTGGCCTCTCACCCAATGACAACTGGAAGAAGCTCCAGACCCCCACAACCATGGACTGGATAAGCAGCATAAAAAATAGGTAGAGATTCTTTGTGTGTGTGAGTGAGTGTGTGAGTGGGTGTGCTGCTTTAATTTTCACCTCGATAACAAACAAGGCTTTTTGTTGTCTGTCCCTTTGTCTCCCTCTTGTTTGACAAACAGAGGCCACATCATCAATATGAAACCTGATGACACAACAATATGAAACATTGTCAGCTTGACCTTTTCCTCTCCAGTTCTCATTTATTTTTTTTACAATCATGTCTCTTTTTGCAGCATTTCTCTTTTATTGGACTATATAAAACAGCGGGTGACGGGCAGAATGCTTGACGAAGAAAGCCGACATCATGACACAAAGGAAGAGGACAACAAAGGTGAGGCTGCAGGACATTTAAGGAGGGGATCATACTTTTCCTTGATATTTAAAGTACATTATTAATTGACTAACTGTCTCTCCACCTGTGTTAAATACTTGGTTTTGATTGGTCAAACCACACAAGAGTAATCAATTCTCCACCTGCTCACTATATATTCTTCCTTACTTTAAAACAGGAGCTCAGTGGTGTGATCTGTTACCTCTGGGGCGATTGGTTTATAGCAACCTGTACATAAAAACATACATAAAATATTATAATGGACAAACAACAAATAAAACTGGAAATCAAATTTAAAGTAAGTACTGGGATTCACTAAAAAATAACAATAATAGGATATAAAAAATACCAGTCTTGGAAATCAACAGTATGAATTATTAAAAAGATATAAAACCCAAAGGAACACGTAACAATCTGCATTGTATGCAGTATGTGAATGCTGGAGTGGGGTTGATTAACACTAATGGACACTTTATGCTGCAGCCATCAGTGTGTGAATGTGTGTAAATGGGACATGAAGTACAAAAGTGCTTTGAGTGGCCTCATGACAAGTAAAGTGCTAGATAAGTACAGTTAATCAACGGTTAATCACCATACCTCTGTACTTTACACTGTATTTGTCTATTTTTAAATACATCTGTAGCTGACGTAAAGGTATTGTTACTCTGCAGTTTTCCACCTTTGCTACAAACGGCAGTATTGGAGGCAGATACACGATAAATCAAAGTGAGAGCAAGAGTTATTGATCATCTTTTCGGGATCAGACTACACAACCACATCTTAATCCTGATGAAGACAGTAGAGAATAGTCCAGGACAGATGATCTTAAAACAGTCCGTATGTTGCAGAAGTCGTGCAAAATTGACTGACTTTTGGTTCAAGGAGTTACATTTGAGGTATTCAGGTGTATAACTTTGCAGCATGATTTTGGAGGTGGGTTATTACGTTACATAAAAAGACAAATAAAGGGCGATTGTTCGGTTTTAAAAAAATGATCTACTTGTTACACTGATAGTATGTAGTTTCGACACTTATTAACAGAAGGAGGAACCTCACATGTTTCTATTTTGGCCTAAAAAAGGTTTCAGTTTTGTGTGTCTCTCTCACAAGGTGGTGTGTGTGTGTGTGTGTGTTAGTGTGGCCTTGGGTCAGAGTGTCTGTTATTTGTCATTGTGTAAGGAGGGAGCGAGCTGAATAATTGAAGGCTTGTTTTTCATCATGGTGAAATTAAAGTGGCACACACCAGCAGTCATTCACTCCAGCAAATTACCTCTGCAGAAAATAAACACTGAATCTAACCCACTGCTTCAGGGCACTTTTGTGTACCTCTGTGTGTGTGTGTGTGCAAGTTTGCCATAATATTATATTTCTCATTTTACTTGACATCTCTTCATTCGAGTGGATAACAGAGTCGTGATCAGCCGCCATGTTCAGTCTATGAGCAGCTCAGTTGAACTTATCCCTTCAGAGGTGCCTTCCTGATGGTCACATGGTGTTACCCTCAGGTACCAACAATCTGAAATGCTCCAGATATCGGATAACTTTTCTCTTCAATCATGCCAAAATAATTTTGTGATGTACTGTATGTACATATGATGTAATTAATCGAACATTTAGGCTGGTAATTAAGCTGCTTTTCAATGTCCCCTCCATGACTCATTACAGAACGTCAATACTCTTAATGAGTCCTAATTGGAAACATGCAAGGCCAATTTGTCAGCAATTTTCCAGATCAAATAAGCATGTATCGGCATTAATCTACAGTGAAGTATGTATATGGTAGATGGAGGTCAGAGCGGCTCTAGTCCAGCTTTGTTTCAGGGACCTTTGGTGCCACCCAGAGGATGATTCATGACAGAAAATCAAGAAAAATATGTCAACTAGGGGTTTGAGTTTGTTATTGGTTTTAATCAAAGGCCTGTAAAATGTTTAATTGTTATATTATTTCATTAAAGTTTGTGATTAAATTTACCCTGTTCTGTTCCTTTGCTTCATGATTAAGCATATACAGATATAGTACACTGTTGCTTCATAACTATACACATATTGTACACAGTGTTGGCAAAGAATTAACAGGAAGACAACAGATGACTTCCTGTCATGCAAGAAGCCACACGCTTAAAAGTCAACAGGAAGTCAAAACCTCTTTGGTTAAAAAAAAAAAATGAAAGTGTCATACTAAACATGCTGAAAACTAAATATTCCTCTGTCTTGTTTTTTAAGGATTTCATTAACACACATATGGCAAGAGAAGAGGTCCAAACATTTGGTCAGGTTATTAGTTTATAATTAAGACAATCTAAAAAGAGCATGTCGATAAGCCTGGAAATTATTAACATCACTTTATCAGCTGAGTCAATAAACAAGTAATGTAACAATAAACTGTCATAATAATGTCAAAAGACTCTACTTAAGTACATAGAAGACAAGCTAAGCAAAGACTGCTTTGTCCACATGGAGGTATACTCTATTATATCAAAAATATGAGATCATCTCAGTCTGTTTTTAGACTTTGTCAACATGTGATACAGACATTAGCGTTGTAAAATAGAAATGGGACAAAGAAAATAAACATATTCCACATTTACAAATAATGTAATCCAAATTCTAGTTGAGCTACAGGATGGTCTTTGTTTAACAGAGGCAGTTTTCCTCTAGTTTTATATAAGACTTCAGCACATTGAATCAGACAGCCCACTTTAATGCTGTCTATAGTTTAAAGCTACCAAAGATTATCACCAATAATGAAAGTGTGCTGCTGCTGCATCACAAGAGATCAGGGTCTGCCTTAATCAAATATTAACCATAATCATAAACTGCACTGATAAGATTAAAGGAGGCCTCGAAACTTTAAGTTATAAATGATTTCAAAGGTGATTTTTGTGACCAGATTTTTGATTTCAGCAGGACAAAAGTCACCAATCAGCTCTTGTGATTACAGCTGCCCTACTTTCCATCATCACTCTATCTATCCCATCAGCACTTCCTGCTGGAGGGCACCCTCACGTGTTTCATATATTCATGCTTTTATCGCACCCTTTCAACCCCTGTCATCTCGTCTCATTTTTTCATTTCCTCTTACCATAAGTTGTCGCTGCTTCACACAGGAAGTGTCACGCTCTGCTCTGCCCTGCTTCTGCAGTCGCCTCTCCTCTCTCGGTCTCTGTCTCTGTTTCAGACACTTCATTTGTGTTCAGCATCTCAGCCACGGACAGCAACTGTGGTTCGAGGTTTCTTCTCTTCAGCAACAAGTGACCCTCCCCGTCAGGTTCTACTTTTTCTATTTGTGATACTGTAACTTCTCTCAGATGATCCATCTGTCTGTCACGTAAGGCTGTTTAATGACCAGCACTGCAGCCACATCATGAGCCTACGAAAACTGGGTGAGTACTGTGTTTCTGTGTAAACATATGTGTGTATGTAGCAGCTGCACTTTGTTTAGATTTTCACATATTTTCCGAGCCAATGTTTGAGCATTTGGGTTTACCAGCACTTTTAATCTACTGTTTCTGCAGTTGATCAAGAGTTGATCCAAGTTTATCCATTTATTTATCTCACCGCCACATAAATTAAGTGAGGTCTTCTATGAAAAGGAAAAAAACAACAACATTGTGCTTTTTGGCAATAACAGAAACAGAAGACTACAGTCTGCACTAAAAGATGTTTACGTTTTGATGGCTGTTAAAACCATGGGATACCCAGTAAATGATAATATGCACAGTATGTCCTTATACTTACAGACCTCTATCAGAGTTCAACTCTAATAGAGGTCTGTAAGGCTCCTCACACTCTAGACTTAAAAAAGCTCTTCAAAAAAGTTTGAAATGCGACGCTTTTAAAGTTCCCCTTTTAACTTGCAAATTAGAGTTGAAATAACTCGAGATGATTCAACCTGTAAATCTGCAAGCACATACTTTTTATTGTTAGTATCAGCTTCACTCCCAGAATGGGCCTTCTGCACTTAAAGGTAAAAAATTGTTGACATAAAAATGAATTCCATTAAACAAAAGTCATTTAAAAATGTCAAACTCAAGACAAAATGTCCTCTATAAGGTTCATCAAATGCCTTTAGGTAGCCGTTTGCCTGTCTTGGTAAAGTATAAGATGTTCATCCATGGTGATGTAGAAGCTGTCAGTTTTTCTTCCTACAGCAGAGAGGTGTGGGTGGCAACTTTGCTGATTGCAGATATGCTCCTCTAGACTGCAGCTTGGCTGAAGTTGACTTTAAAAAAAAGACAAGAATAATGTGCAAAAATAGAGACAGCTAGATCGGTCATTGCTCAAAATTCCCCTCACTGGCTGGTGCGAGTTTGGAATGTCTGCTGAGACTAAATTTCTTTTACGGTACTTTTTTCATCTATTAGGAGACACTGAGCAAGAACATCCTTTTTTTTTTCAAATCTTTTGAAACCTGTCAGAAAAATCTTGAACTTTACAGATAAATGGCCAAACGCATGGACCAACACAATGCTTATGAACTACACAATGACCATTTCTTCTTTTTTCAACTGTTCCCCTTTAAAGGTTTCAAGTGGTTTGGCAGCCTCACCAACCTCACTTTCCGCCGCTCCACTGAGAAATCAGACTCAAGGTCCAAGTCAGGAGCTGGAGCTGGATCTGAAACCGGAGATGGCATGGACTGTGGCCCTATCGCCACGTCGGCCTTGGCTACAGTTGTTGAGACAACAGTGGATGACATGGATGGGATGCGTCCTCGCACCTCCAGCTATGTTCGCTCCAGTGAGAGCTACACTCACATGGGGACTCTGCCACGGCTTCTGATGAGGAGGAAGGACAAGAGCTGTAAAGGTGGAGGAGCACAAGTTTTGAACAATACTTAAACAGTGCACATAAATCATGTCAGTTAACAGAGGCAAAACTACGGTGGCCCTGAAGTGCAAAACACAACATTTTGCAAAACATGACATTTCACAAAACACAACAACAATTTCAAGACACAAAACATTTTGCAAAACACAAAAACATTTCAGAAAACACAAAAACATTTTGAAAACACAAAAACATTTCAGAGAACACAAAAACAGTTCAGAAAACACAACATTTTGAAGACACACAAATATTTCGATAACCCAAAAACATTTTGCAAAACACAAAAAACATTTTGAAACACAACAACACATGTACAAAACCTGTTTTGGGAAATGTTTTTGTGTTTTCCAAAATGTTGTTGTGTTTTCAAAAAATTTTTTTTGTGTTTTGCAAAATGTTTTTGTGTTTTTGAAATGTTTTAGTTTTTTCCAAAATGTTGTGTTTACAAAATGTTTTTGTGTTTTCCTGAAATGTTGTTGTGTTTTCTTAATGTTGTTGTGTTTCGCGAAATGTTGTTGTGTTTTCAAAATGTCGTTGTGTTTTGGAAAATGTTTTTGTGTTTTGCAAAATGTTTTTGTGTTTTGGAAATGTTGTGTTTTGTGAAATGTCATCGTGTTTTGCAAAATGATGTTGTGTTTTGCACTTCAGGGCCACCATACATAACCTTTATTCTCTGACTTTTTTTCCAGATGGTTCCGGCAGCAATAAGAAAGGTAAAGGCAAGAGCAGCATCAGCAGAAGTCAGAGCCAGCGACCAGCACAGCAAACTTGTTTAAAAGCCACCTCACCCATGGAGACTCATGATAAAGCTCAAGTTACAGCTTCAGAAGTCAGCCAAGGGTCCCACTGTGATCTTCAGACCCTGCCTGAAGCTACAAGAGAAACTGACATCCCTATCACCACAAACATCATCCCTGGGCCCGAAGAAAGAAGGGAAGATTTGTCGCCATCTGGTGGTTCAGGTGCTGCACTTAAACAAGAGGCTTGTGATGAGCAAGGGGTCAACCAGGCAGCTCCTCAGCCGAACCCCCAAGATTCTTCATCACCTCTACTCAGCCGGGAGTCCAGACCGATTCCTGAGCCAAAGGCAGAGGCAAAGAGACCAGAGCTGACAGAATGTGCAGATGAAGAAAACCAAAACTCTGACAGCATGAGCAGGTAAACAAATAAATGATCTTTGGGTTTATTACTCAGCTAATTCCTATTATGATTTAATTAATCAAAAAGGTCTCCTTCTTTTACTGTTTTAAACTGAAAATCAAAGAGTCCCATTGCCATTTCACTTTTCTGCTTCTCAATACAAAGTGGGATGATCCTGTCCTGTTTTTGCCTCCAGATCACTTAAATCAATTCTCATTTTGGTTGGACAAGTTAATTTTTCTAGATTGTAAAATTCTGCCAGCAAAGACAGTAGCCAGTAATGGTCACTGAATCTACAAATCACAGTAACATCAGAGGAAATAGAGAAAATTAAAGTAGCAAACCTGGGATTTAACATTACTTGGACTGACTGAGCTAAACCAGCATCCATTCCTCACCCCTTTCTCTTCTTGTATTACGGTGGATGGCAACCAACGCTAGAGGTGCATTACCGCCACCCACCATGTAGGAGTGTGAGCCAGAGGTGCCTAGCAGTGGAAAAAAAGGTAGTTTTGTCTGACAAAAATGATTCCAGAGAGTGAAATTCAATGAGTGATTCGTTCACCAAGTGATTCAGGCGTCTGTGCATTTGGTCCCTCGTTCGCCAGCTGCTGGCCTGACAATGCTGTTTCTCAATTCAGCTCAACTAAAGTGAGAAACAAACGAATCACTCGAGGAAGTGATTCGGTTCAGTACGTCCACTCAAAAGATTCGGTTCTTTTGAATGAATCGTTCGCGAACGACGCAACACTATCACCGTGGAAGTTGCATAGTTCAGCGGTTGTAGGCCTCTCGACCTCACTGTGGACAGGAATATGAGATGATTGGTGTGAGGTGAGGCTATAACAGGATTCATTAGGTCACTTTTTAAAGGCGGCTTGTTACATCGATTACTTGTATTGATTGGATGATTCTGGAAAACCGCTGCACTGTAGGTATGATGGGTTTTGGTAGGCCTTTTTGTGCTTTTGGGCGCCTGTCATAACTCTGCAGGCCTAGTTGGTATATCAAGAAAGTCTCAACTTTTTTTCTGAGAGTGAGGAAAAATGTGCCCCCTTCCTCCTCCTCCTCCTCTCAGTCGAGCAGATTGCTTTTTCTCACTGCTTTCCCATGACATGCCAAGGTCTCTGCCTTCAACATCCCATATGCATGATAGCAGAGTGCGTGTATCGTGTTACTGCTGGATTTACACACTGCGTGTACGTACGTGCATACGTGTGAGCAGGCATGTGCGAGCGTGCAGCATCAGCCCATTAGTTCAGCTCAGGGACCGTGGGAAATCTAACAGTATGGTGTGGAGCAGGTCCAGTATGTTCACATCAAAGAGCTGTCTCTGCTCTCTGCCCGTCTGTTCAGCTCTAAATCACAGGTCCCGCAGCCCCTCACACTCACACTCTCTGTCCATTTCCCTCCACTGCTCGATCTGTCCAAAGTACAGCTCTTCACTTCGGTGCTTGAAAACCAATTTTCTGTTTATTCTCACACAGTTTGGATGGTGCCTGTGGGTGGCTGGTAAGTTTTGAATCTTACATGAAAAGCTGTCATGGTGTTTTAGAGACAGTCAGCCAAGTGAGTGAAACTATGGGTTTTGTTCTTCAGCCTTATGGCCTCTGGAGGAGCATAGCATGTCATGTAGCTACCACTATATTTTTTATTTTATAGACATTTAAATAAAGCACTTAAGTATGAAACTGAGCAGCAATATCCAAGACATGTCAAGTGTAATGCTAAGTAAAGAAGAAGCTGAATTATACATTATTAGCTGTAAGGTGCTTTGAGATTTCTAAGTGTTCAAAATCACACAGTTTAGGGTTTCATTGTAGCTTATGTAGGCCTTCTTTGTAATTTAGTAGTAGTAGTAGTTGTTGTTTATTCAGTCATGACAACACTAAATATTGTACACAATATTGACATTTCACGCAAAATCACTAAATCAAGAATCGTTTTTGAATATTGACTGAAAAGGGAAGGCAGAAGCAGATTGTTTATAAAAGCCTATCCTGTGTTGTCAACTTTTTTTAGGCTACCGACCTCAAGAAAAGCAAAGAAACCACAACAACAGATTAATAATTTATTTGTCATCTGGATTTACTCTGATGCTTAAATTCTGTGCTCAGCATTTGCAAGTAATGGAGCGATCCTTTTGGCTTTTATTTTGAAAAATTCAATGTATCACTTCCGCCTGATGTCTTAACCTTTGGTTGTCTTACCTAAAAGAGGAATTATGGGCCCTATGCACAGCTCCACTACTTCTTGAACTTGAGGCAGCTCCTTTATTTCCTGTCTTACATTATTGGACAAACAGGTTAATCCAGGTGTGACTGATCATTCTGACCGATCAGTTGTGGATTGGTGAATAGAGACCATAACACAAGAAAAGTGTTTTATGGCCCTGTGAAGGAGGGGTTTGACTTCATTGTCGAAACAAAAGTGTGTAATAACTCTAACAACTGTAGCGGCACAAACAAATATTTTTACAGCACAAATGAACGGCACCATTTTCTATTAGGAGCTAAAGGGGCACTGGGTGACGTCATTGCCAAAAAATAAAGTGTGTGTTAAATTACAAACTGTAGCAGCACAAATGAATTTTTTACGGCACAAACCAGCACAAACGAAGCTCATTCGAACAGCACCATTTGGGGTTCATTTGGAGCTAATGGGGGGCTGGGTGACGTCATTGCCAAAAAATAAAGTGTGTGTTAAATTACAAACTGTAGCAGCACAAATGAAAATTTTTACGGCACAAACCAGCACAAACGAAACAGACTATTTCCCAAAGTTTTGTGTGCGGTGGGAGGCCAACTTCATGTAGGTGAGACAGGAAATAAAGGAGCTGAGTTCAGGAAGTAGTGGAGCTGTGCATAGAGCTCATTAAAGGAATATGAAAAGTCGAAAAATTGGTGCTTCATTTTCTGTCTTTGCTTCAGTAAAACAGGAAAAACAAATTGGACCCATTTTTTGTTTGATTTTCAGTTTAATATGGTAAAAGGAGGAGGCCTCTTGATTCAATATCCAAAATCTTGTAAGTAGAAAAAGCAAAGTCAAAGATGAAAAATGGGCCAAAGGTGCTTTGATTTTGATCTGAATAGCAGATCATCCAAAGCTACCCTGATCCACATGGTTTAGCTCACTAAGTAGTTCTTTTTGTTGCTGGAGAAGTGCAGGACAGAAACTCATGAGAGGCCTTGTGTCAAACTTACCAGTCTTGCTCCAGTGGTCTTGTCCTGCAGTTGATTCTGAGCGTTAGAAGTCCTAAGTTACTGATTTGTCTAGCTATGGCCTCCACTGACTTAAACTTCATACACATTTGCTCCTCTTCAGTACAAGAGATAAGAGCTGCTTGGGATTCAAGAAAAATGTAATATAAATGCAATACACACCACCGATCAACAGGTAGCAGTAGAGGGTTCACTTCCTTCAATTAGGACTAAAGTGATGCTTGCAGTGTTGCAGTACATCCCAGAAACCATGCAGGAGCAAGTTGATTGACTCTTAAATTTAACTGAATTCACAACTGTAACATCTGTTCTTCTACTTTGTTTGTAATGTGTGTAGTTTTGGTTTTTGTCCAAACCTTTCTGCTAACAATTGCTCTGTCCTCTTTTGATTTGCTTTGGTTGTACAGTTCCCTGTACTCATCCACTATTGCAAATAATGGTTATTTCTTTGGAGGCGTAATATAAGATTTTAATAAGGGTTGGAGAAATATTTTTAGATCATGAACAATCAAATGCTTGGTTTTTGTTATACTATATTGCTGTGAGGCCCTTCCCAGTCGTTGTCTGGTGTCCCCTTTGTTTTTAAAGCCTCTTATGTACTTGCTTGTGCAGTTTAGTCACACTCTGCTCTGGATAAATGCTGATGTTATCGCTGCAAATTATGGAGGTAAATTTTTCCCATTTGTACAACCTTTTATTTTCCTTCAAACACCAGCTTGGTCTCAGCTTGGGAGGGGATTGTAAAGCTCCTCTTGTGAGACCTATTAACATTCCCGAGCCCGCTGACTGCCATGTTGGCACCCTTTGATCCAGCCTCTCTGTGGTCATGAGTAACAAGCATTTGCTCTGGGCCCTATGAGACCCATCATGCAATTGGGATCTGCGCTGATTGATCTTTTAACTTGTCTGGGAGTGTAATAGCCCCCTTTAGCTCACGCCTGCTCTGTATCACAACCCTGCACAGCTCTATAGGGCTCCCAAGACTGCAGCACAGTGGGAGTCTCTGACACATGATCCGGATCCATCAGGAGTGTAAAAGCGTGAGTTATGGCGCCCAGGAGATTTGTGAGGCCAGTTTCATATTTTGCAACCTTAGACGCTCAGTGGGGTTTGTTATCTGCCTGTTTTCCATGAAGCTCAACTGCTGCAATAACATTTTACTCAAGAAGAGGCTGCTGTAGAAAAGGGGTCATGGGAATACAGGCATGTTTTTTTCCATGTTAAGACACGCAGCGCACCTGTTACCACATGAAATACAAAAAGGCCTTTCAATCGAGGTTTACCACCACTTTTCTGTTATTGCATTTGTTAACATTCCCCATCTTTCATCTCTTTTTTTTCCTGTTTTCTTTTTCTTTTAGTCACATGGAGCCAGCAGAAAGTCAGGCTGAATACGTCCAGGTAAGTCTGCTTCGTGTCTTAATCTGCTCCTAAACTAGTCTCTTTAAATGTGTGGATGTATACAGCTAATAAATTCAACACTGTATTTCTTTACTCTTATATATAACTGTGATTTCAAATATGATCTTTTATTTTCACCATTCATAAGCAGCTATGTTTGATTTTTCACCTCTTTTGAATTTTTGAATGAGGCTCTCTTTACATAAACTCTTCAGTCACAAGCGGTTGTGCTCGATTCAGCAAACCCACCCTGCATTTAGCCTTGTGCAGTCTACCATTTAGCTAATTACATTTGGAGTACAACAATGCTAAAGTCAGCATTGTGCAGCTACAGCGTGCAGTTTGTGCCGCAGCCAGCAGATGGGACTCTACTCATGAGTTGTGATCTTCTGGAATACTTCAGAGCTGTCAGTGTGAGACAGGATGCTTACTAAATCTTTGAGATGCAGGATAGGATTTATGCTTCCTGTGAACCACTATCACTAATTTATGCAGATAGTGGACATTAAACTGAGAGCAGAGGGCGAAGTTGGAGCGAGAAAATAGAGACAGGAGAAGAAAAGTCTGGAGTGAACTGCTGAGCTCTTGGGATCTGCTTTTCTATTGATTATACATCAGAGACAAGGTGGTAAAAGCCTTCTCCTATGACCCTGACTGGGGCTGCTTTTGTAAAACAAACATTTCCCACTACAACAAACTGACTACAGTTAAATCCCAGCCTGCTCTTTAGGGTTTTGAATCCTGAGTGGGGGTCAGATAGCGGTGTATGGGTACTATACTTGATTTTGTCTGCTTTTATCGTATGAATCTCAGCTGCAGTCACTAAAATAATCAGAGTTTCTGCTTCTAGTGAAAGGAAGACCAATTCCTAGTTGAGGATAATGGTTTCCTTTAAAGTTCTGATTATGCTGATGGAAATATAACTTACACTTCTAGCAAAGGAAGGAAGTTATAAAGGAGGTCAGTTCATTTCCTCCAAAACAGATTCTTTTATAAGCGGTAATGTATAGTGAGCTCAGTGTTGGGGGTTCTGTCTCATATTGTCAGGATTTTATTTTGCATAACCACCTGCTCCTCCATACATCAATATTTTGTTCTTTTTTTCCTGCTTCTTCTTCTTCTTCTTCTTGTTTTTTCTTCTGCTTCTTGTTATTATAACAATAATAATTATTATTATTATTTTGACATTTTTGCTGTCTTGCATTTCGGTCGCTTTATCCTACACTGTAAAACTAAGATTTTATCTCAAAGTTTACTACTACTGGAAGTGCAAGTTATAGATCTGGTGAAAAAGAAAACAGTTAAATCAGCAGTAAGGAAGTTCACAATACATATTGAAAAGCTGGTTTTCGAGAGTGCTTGATCTTCAGGTAAGTTGCAAACAGTCTACTGCTTAGCAAATTGTGGAGCAGAATTTTGAAAAAGCGTATCGGTGATGCTGACTCAACCCAACTCAAGGTCAACCTGGCACAAGTGGGCCTTTAGCTTCCTCACAAACATCTTCAGCGCTAATAAAGAATGACTTTCACCGAATATTTATTTGCCAGTTTGGAACAAAACAAAGTATCAGTGCTGCCTCGGCCACTCTGGTTGTCCCTTGTATCGCTCTTGATCCTACGCTGTGGGGAAACATTACTTAACCTGTCAAACCATTTTGGAATAATATTTAACAAAGTCCTGCTATCATTAGTTTATTCTTTGATCATGGTGTTCATGTACAAACAAGGCATTTCATGATGAATTCTATCTGTATGAGAAAAGCTTCCATTTTTGATGTAACAGGAGATGGCACTGGTACTTACAGAGACTTGCCCTGAAACTTGCACTTAATAATGTCCCACACGCAAACACAAACTGTCGCCTGACTTCATTTTGTGTTTCAGTTTTAATTAAGCTCAACATTTGCAGCTGAGTGCCTCCAACATGTCATTTCTTACATTTCATGCATTTATCATTATGTGCACTCTCAGTTAGCAAGAAGTAGGCCTTCTGTTTCCTGCTTTACATCTCAAATCAACTCCTCATTTCACTTCAATATTTGTTGTTTCCTTCCTTTTACCGTTCACCCGCCAAAACAGCCCATCCCACCACCACCACCACCACCACTCACCGCTCCACCCGCCCTCCCCCTGAAAGCTCCCGGCAGTCCCTCCATCTCCTCCCATGTCCCTGAAACATTTATGACAGCTGATGTTTAAATCAGGAGTTGGCCTTAGTGTTCCCTGTTATAACGGAGGAGACCACGGGGCCAGGGACTCTGCCCCCGCTGTGTCACATACGCGCCGCACACACACATATGTGCGATGTATTCACTCACATAAACACAAACAAACAAAACACGAAGGAGACAAAGTAAGACAGAGGTCAATCATTATCTTTACATTAAAGGAACGTAAGTAATCTGAAGGAAATGCCCCAAAGCATATCGAACCAGCTATCCATCTTTATGGCTTTATCATTAAATATCCATCATCATTTATCTTTAATGCGGACGCACGGCTGGTCAAACAATATCCTGTTGTTGTTGTTTTTGTGACTTTCAGTGAAAAATGTACAAAAACAATTTTGAAACGGTTGGCATTTGCAAAAGTAGGTCTGACAATGCTGTGGTAGCAGAATCTGTGAGCTTGTTTTTAGATATGTGGGTTTGTGAGACATGCGGCCTTTTTGTGGTGTCTTAACCTACGAATGTGTGCGTTTGTTTTAGCCTCCAGCCTGGTTTTGTTTACTGTCCTATATACTGATCTAGTGACACTTTGACATGGGAGGAGGGTGAAATGATTCAGTTGAGGCTAGGTTTATTAACATACGTCTGACACACTTGTGCTCTATAAAATGTGTGTGTGTGTGTGGGTGGGTGTGTGTGTGTGTGGGAAGGGGCTCAGCTGTGCGTCTGTGCGTTAGTGTGTGTTTGATTACGGAAATGGTTTGAATTTCCAAAATCTGTATGTGTCTGTGTGCCGCCTGATTAAATCAAGGCAGTGCCCTGTGGGTGCGTGTAAATGTGTGTGTGTGTGCGTTTGTGTGACTATTACAGTGGATTGAATTAATGTGGCGCCTCTCTAAATGAGAGGGGGTGTAAACTGTCAGGGCTGGCCCACAGTAACAGTCTGTACTTGCTGTTGCTTTATGGAAGACACAATGACAAAGACTCAGAGCGCAGACACAAAAATGTATCATCTACTCTTTGATATGAAGGACATGTATCTACTAGGTAAGATTTGACTCGAGTTGGACTGAGAAGAGGCAATTAAAAATAACAAAGCAATGAAATCTGTATAGTGTTTTATCTTCAGGGGTGAGATTTGTTATTAATGAACCTCTAGATTTTAATATGTGCAGTTATAGCACTCACCTGTGAAAAGTGACAAAGCCAATTTACGCAAAGATTGTTCAACAGCAACATAAAGCTTTGCCATTACCCCACCTTACTAATTCAAACAGAGCTGTCATGTTAGAGTTATTTAAGGGCGGCTCAATTACTGCGAAAATTAAATGCTCAGTTATTTGGATTAATATTGATGTCAATTACCCGTGTTTTGACATCTGCATCACATGCATTTAGGCTATGTAAAACTGAAACAATTTGAGCTCTTTTACTGCTTGTATTTAATCAGAGGCTTTAATCACAGATCTAATAAATCATCCAGTCCTCTCTCGTTTTTTTATAACATCCTTTTATGACGTTGAGACTCAGGCTTGCACTTTATGATTTTGAATGATGTCTCTCACTTTTTCACCTGTCAGCCGTTTGCTTGTTAGCTCTCCCACTGAACATTTTTTGGTCTAAGAGAGGTGGAATAGACGTCTTAATGTAGCCTAGATGACTGGTCTAGTTATTGAAAAATGGGTTAAAGTGCAACATCTAAATTCCGTCTAAAAATATACAGAATCTAGACGATTGAAATTAGGTCTAAAAAAGAAAAAACTAGACATCTAATAGCCGTCTATTGCTCAGTGGGCTCTCATGATTGCTTCGGCCTCTCTCTTGTTGTGCTCATTCTGTCTCTTGGCTTTTCAGACACACATAAAACACTCCTGCTTCCTTTTGTTCCTCTCCCCGCTCTCCTCTCTCCGTCTGTGGCAGCCTGAAAGTTTGCACCACCCTCTGCAGGGTGGAACCATAGACTGTATATAGAATGGACGCTGTCTTCCTCCTTGCTGGGTGAAGCCACTCCGAGAACAGCACCCTCTGGTGACAGGCTGTAGTATAGGTCATAAATCCCGCCTCTGCCAGCAAAGCTTATGGAGCTGTGGACAAACTTTAGAAATTAATTGCACAGAATATAAATGTTTCTCACCCCGTTGTGATGTTGACTTGACTTGATACAGCCTATAGGCGTACGAAGATTGCTTAGCTCACCCGGGGGATACACTGTTTGAGCTGAGCGTCATCACAGCGACTCTCCCGCCGAATGCGTACAATGCTACTGCTCAATGTTGGTTTCAGGAAACAGAAAAGAATCACGGAAATACAGAGAGCTTTTCAGCTTTAAATCCGTATACTGGTGGAAGGTGGAACCAAGTTGTCCATGATATATACAGTCTATGGGTAGAACGCAGACATCTCACCATCACAGTTTGTTTGCACTTGGTCGCTTTGCCTCCTTTCAGTTTCAAGGACAAAATATCTCACTCACTGAGGCTGCCATTGTTAAGAGATAACCAATGATATTTACTCACATATCAATGGTCGTAACTCGGCTGGTCAGTCAATGTTTTGGCTTAAGATTGCAATATACTGGCCGTACAATGGGGGTCAAGAATGTTTGCAAAAGATTTTAACTTACTTACTGTGAAAACTTCATCCCAGTAATTTAACTATTCAGAAGACAAAAAATTGGTAGTTATAAAGAAATTTTAGTCCAAACCCGTCATAAAATACTGAGGAGAAATGTGAGTATAAGGTGAGAAGTTAAAAAAGTCTTCAAATCTTTAAAAAAGGAACAATGATTTAGCAAAGAGGAGCAGTACAGTTGACTGATTGACACTTTTCTGGATGTCTACCTCTCAATCAACATGGCTGAGAGTCTGATAGAAAAGCTCTTATCTTAACTGAATAGCTTTTGTATCCTCAGGTGTTTCTGGTGTTTTGTCCCTGCTTTTCAAGGTCAGCATGCTGGGGCCACAAAGCTGTACACAATGTAGAGAATAATGACACATTGATTTCTCTAAGACTGCTTTATTCCTGCTGAAGATGTGCCTAGTTACTACAGCAACACATTTGTCCAAGGTTAAGTCATTTTAATGCGATTAAAGCAGGAGGGCTGATTTTTAATTCCACCACTTCACACCTAAATGAATCATTTTTACACGTCCGTGGGGACAGAATGACGGCCTTTCTCCAGCAGGGCTTCTTCTCTTCGCCGCTGATGTTTCAACAGGCGCTGAGACGCATATCTGCAGGTTCGATACGGATTAACCAGCCGGTGAAAAGGGTCTGCCCTGTGAAAACACCCTGATGACAATCACACACAGATCATTAGCAGTAGCCCCCCAACCCACAGTGGGGCCTGGTCTTTGTTTTAGACACACACGTGTGCATACAGAAACACACATAAAGATATGTGTGTACTTCTAATCTTCATCTGCCCTTGGTGCTGCTCGTTTCATCTCTCACACACCCATTTATTCACACTCTCACTGTGTTCTCTCTCTCTTTCTATCTCTGTGTGTCTCTCTCCCACACACACACACATGCGCGCACACATACACACACACTCCTTTCATTAGTGGGATGCTTGCAGGCACATGCAGGGATTCTCCATTGTGCTCTCTATCAGCCTGCGGGAAGGGGCTCACTAATTAATATTTAACCGAAGACCGCCTCCAAGCAGGGGAGGAGATGTGGAGATAGAAGTGTGCTTGGAAGGGGATGGAAGGTGGAAGGATGGAGGAGAAGCAAAGGACGGAGAGGAGAAGAGAGGGAAAGACAGGGATCAGAGAGCTGGGGGGAGCTGGAGGGAGGCAGCGAGGATAGTGATGAGAGGTTGGGATAAGGAGGAGAGATGAGGGGAGGAGCATTGTGATATGGAGGGCTGGAAAAAAGGTTGGGTTTGATAGAATAGAGAGTAAAGGAGCCAGGAGGTTTCTGGGAATAAAAAGCAAAGGCTCAGGGGTTTGATAGCAGAGAGAGTGACAAAGGAAGAGGGGAATGAGGGAATGAGCATGAGTATACTTTAACCAAATAAAAAAGAATACAAGGAAAAAGATGTTTGAGTGATAATATACCAATATAAGTAGGTATCAGTGTACCACCATTTTAGTTTGGGTATTAGATACCCATATTTGTATTGTTTAAAGCAGTGGTTCTCAACTGGTCGCACTCTGGGACCCACATTTTCCCATGGTCTTTAAGTTGCGACTCATAAAATTCAAACCAAGCAAATTTATTTTCTTTATTTAATAAAAAAAAAAACCTTTAAAGACTCTGACCTTAAACATAAATCCACTTGTTTTATTGGGTAAATAAAACAAGTAAAATAGAACGTGTCCGGGACCCACTTTTGGGTTGGCGTCCACCAGTTGAGAACCACTGTTTTAAAGGACAGCTATGCAGGTATCAGATCTTGGATTTTTGGATGCATTTGATAAGGTGACTCATTCATTATGTGCTAAGAAAGACAACTTATGTGCGCCAAGAACAAGCTGTATCATGTGAGTTTGGAAGTAGCTGTAAGTGTGCATCTGAAGGACCTTCATCCTGATCAGATCCATGAGTTTCTGACGTCACAGAAACACAGAAAGCAAAATCTTATGTGCAGCTATGGGCACAACCCAACGGTAGAGTAGCTTGAAGAAAAAAAATGTTGAATTGATCACTTTTGAGTCTCCCACTGGTAGAATATGCAGAGTTTGGCCTTTCTTTGGCTTAGTGTATCAGCCAGTATAGGCCATAATGAGTCTGAAGATGTCAGCATCTGATTTTACCAAAAAAATCCAATATTTCATCACCCCATTAAAATAATGGCAAAAAGGAGTTTTTGACCTAGATCATCTCTTGATAATGTTGGCCATCTCTGGTAAAATCGCCTAAATCCTTAGTTGAAAGGATCATGCCATGATCATGCCATTACCAGAGATGGCTAGCATTATGAAGAGATGATTTAGGCCAAAAACTCCTTTTCATCAAAAAATGTCTTGGGCCATTATTTTAATAGGGTGGTGATTTTGAATCCTTAAATATGATTTTTGTATTGCCCTTAAATCAGTGTCAGATGTGTAAAAATGGGAGAATAAACATGGCTGCAGACACGGCAGATGGACTAGAGCAGGTGAAACCTCTGTAGACGCAGTTGGAAGTTAGATCCTGCTTGGATCCCAGATGTTCAAAGGAATGAAATGATCTCACCACTGAAAGTTGCTCTTCATAATTCCCTTTTTGCAAACATTATAAAACAGACTTTTTGTGTTTTTTGTGCAGTGATCATTTAGCTAAGCATGTGCAAAAAAAGCTACTTAATTCAAATATCCAGATTGGTTCTAAACTTTCTAAACCATTACAGTTGGTAAAAAAAGTGCTATTAACAAACCTTATTTCTAGCTGAGATCATCAATAATGGCTAAGCTCTTACTGCACAAATACTCAGAATACCTCCTAACAGAAAGATAAACAGAAAGATGTTGTGAGATCACTTTGTTTTCCGACTTCCCAGTGCACATTTGCTAATGTAAATCCACTGCGTCTGCTGTCAGGTACTCTTGAAAAATGGTGTGAGATTGTTAAGTGCAGTAAGAAAGCTGAAACAAAGTATTAGCTGGATGAGAAAAGAAAGGAAAAAGAAAAGGAGAGGAAAAAAGAAATAGCAGTTTCAGGGTAATGATATGTGGAGGACATTAAAGAATGGATGACACTTTCCTCTGTCCTCCCTAAAGGCAGACAATGAGAGTAAGTTATAACCCTTTTTCTTTCAATCTATCTGGGGAGAGTTCAGTCTATTACTTTAAATCCTCTTCGGTGATGCACGGTGGTAAAGGTTGGGATTGATGACACATCCTCTATTGTGTAGTATTGTAATTCATCAACTTCATCTCTGTGATAAAATATGTAGCTGTAACACTTTAAAAAGAGCAGTGCATGATCTTGTCTGACAGTGTTGCAGTGTTGTTTTCGTTGACGATGACATTAATGAAAATATTTCGTAAATATTTAAAGACGATATTCTTCTCGTAAATATTATCTTTCTGTTATAATATTTCGAAAAAATATCTCGTAGACTGCAGTGTTGTTTTCGTTGATAATGACGAAAATATTTTGTCAACGTCATCATCAACAAAAACAACACTGCAGACTATATGTTTAGCGTTTGACTGAAAAAAAGCTCATGAATTATGCAGCTCTGTTTGTCGTCCACCACTAACGTTTTCGTCTAGTCTCGTCTCGTCCACGTAAACGCGCATTTGTCTCGTCACATTTTAGTCATCTAAGACTTATGTTTAGCTCGTCAACGTCAAGTCTTCGTCATGGAAAAAAAAGGGCTATTTCATCAACGAAAACAACCTGTGTTGTTTTTTTGACAATGACGTTGCCGAAAATATTTTGTCAACGAAAATAACACTGCAGAATATATGTTTAGCGTTTGACTGATGAAATGCTCATGGAATTTGCAACTCTGTTCGTTGTCCACCACTAACGTTTTTGACTAGTCTCGTCTCGTCACATTTTAGTTATCTAAGACTTATGTTTAGCTTGTCAATGTCACGTCTTCATCGTGGGAAAAAAGGGGCGTTGATGAAATATTTTTTTTCAGTATTGTCCCTAAAATGAACAGTATGACCATGCAACTTGGATGTAGTAGAGCTGCTGGGTAATTATTGTTTGCTACATTCACTATATTTTAATGGTATTTTTTGTAATTTGGGTAATCAGACATCACAAATAGACGATACTAAAGACTGTAATATCAGAGTATTTTTAAAACCCCATTATTTGTCATTTAGATCCAAGACATTGTTCTTTCTAGTTTCTGGATCAAAGTACGGGGAGCATGCTTGTAGAGCTCCAGAATATCCACCCTTGAGTGTTATATCACAGTGCTGAATATATTTATATCTGTATCAAGTGTTTTCAGAGAACACTGTGTGACTCAGTTGAATCTGTTGCTTTGCTTTTAATGTCACAGCTCTGCATAGCAGCCTTTTGATATCTGTTTGACTTCACTTAATTCATCGGAGGATGCAGACTGACATGTGGAGACACAAACCAGAACATCCAAAGAGCATTTTCAGAACAGACACTCTTTTTTTGAGGAGTATTTAAATAGGTCTTATATGAGAGGATTAGGGTTGAAGAATAACAAAAAATGTACACCTCTAGAACAAAGCAGCTCTTAGTTTTATGATACATTTCCACGGTGATGAATTTGAGTGAGATTCATGAGCCTAATGTTGTCATTTCCACTGCTGATTTCACCATCCCAACATCCATCTATGTCACATATGTTTTCCCCCACACCATGTGTTTTAGTGTGTGTGTGTGTCCGTGCGTGTTTGTGTGTGGCTAGGCAGCCAGATGTAACGCGCTGTACATTGGGATTGTTTTGGTGAGGTATTACAGGGGATTGGGGTAAAAGGAAAGCACAGGGTCCCTCTTATGAGATTATTTATGTCCCCACTGTGTAATCTGTCTAATCCAGCGCTGGATGGTTTGAGATTACACTTAGAGGAGTCGCTGCGGTTAATGAATCCATCCTGTGTCTGGTGTCTCCTTATCTGTCTGTCTATGTGACCCACTAGCAAGAACTGAAGAGGCTGATAATCAGATTTTGATTTTAGAGATTTAGAATTAAAAAAAAAAACATGATTGAAAAAAGGAGCATGTCGCATATTTTTCCTTCTTTTCTCCTCTGTGTTTGGCCTTCATTATGCTTCCCTGCAGTGGCGCACACTCGACTAAATGCAGTGTCAGAATTTAGGATGCTGTCAAGGCTCTGGCAGTGTTGCCATGGCGAAGCGTCCTCAATGATGTCACTCACTCAGGGCCTCCGGAGACAGAGCCCCGCCCCTCCTGACTTTTCTGCCTGCTGGTATGTGTGCTTTTAATGGTGTGTGTGAGTCTGTGTGCGTGTGTGTGTGTGTGTGTGTGTGTGAAATGGGCCGGTGAAAATCACACTGTGTTATCCTTGAAACACCTGCCTGTGTGTTTCAGCTTATAATGAGCTGTCTAGCTGCAGTCTGCTTGGGCTTTTTAGGAGACACATCATTATATTCTGCCCCACACATTCACACACACAATCACACACTCACTCACACACACACACAAACAGGGGGATAACATTACCTCACCACAGGAACCCAAATCTCTGTGGCTCCTGCTATCTCTAGTAATATATGGCAGTGTGTGTCGACATGTAGGTGAAATAAAAGGTGTACATTTGCATATTTGTGTGTATGAGCTGGAGATTTGGGGGTTGGGGGGCACCCCTGTTGGGTTCCTTTCATGGCAAAAGAAAGGTTGGATTCCTTTGGGAGGCTTTTCTCCTCCTCCTCCTCCTCTTCTCCCCTCTGCTTCTCCCTGCATCCTCTTCATTCATCATCTCATCCTTAAATTATTCTTCCTCTCTCCTCTCCTTCCATCTTTTCTCACTTTTGCCAATGTTTTCCTTCCCCTCCATCCTCCCTCCAACCCCGTGTCAGCATTGTCTCAGTACTGGGGGTCGTCGGTGCGGGGGTGGGTGGGGTTTTCTGCCTGCAATTTCGACAACACCTCTCTCTTCTGCTTCCCCCCTCCCTCTCTTCATCCATCCCTCCCACCCTCCCTCTCACTCTCTCTCTCCCTCTCTCTCCCTCCTCTCCCTCTGGTCCGCCCTCCCCCCACCCACACTCCTTTCATCAGCAAGCAATGAGGTAATCCCTAGCAGCCGCGTGAAGTGCAGCAAGTGCAGTGAGAGCGAGAGCAGAAGCCGGTGCGGGGCAGAAGAAGAAGCAGCAGCAGTGACGGTGGTGGTGGTGGAGATGTCAGGAGCTGTGATATCACTCGCTCTTATCAGTCCCAGCTGTTTGCAGCTAGCTCGTAGCTAATAGCTGATGTGGTTACCAGCAGCTGCTTGCAAGCTGCAGCTTTGGGTGTAGCGGTTTAGCTTGTAGCTTGGGTTTTCTGGAGTGGTGGCACTATGTTTAGGCGCTGTTAGCCAGGCAAAGAGAGGCAGGAGAGGAGGACTGGCAGGGGTGGGACAGGCTTAGCTGGACACTCTGGGGTGGGTAAGAGGTAAGGAAGGAGAGAGAAGAAGAAAAAGAGGTGAAGAAGAGAGAAAGGGTAGGGTAAGGTTTGAGGAAAGGTTTGAGGAGAAGGTGTGTGCCCACCATGACGGAGAGGTGTAGTCTGTGGAGTGCCCTCTCGGCTGCAGCATGCTGCTTCTACCGGGGCTCTTTCATGCAGGTGCAGGTGAGTTTGCATCCTTATGTATTTGTTTTCATGTGTTGTTGCAAAGTGCCTCCAGTGCGTTATATTGTTACAGCCGAACATATGCTTTCCTCTTTTTTTTTCAACTGTCCAAGTTTCTGTACATTTTTCCTCTATGCATGTGTGTGAATGTTTGTTGGCTTGTGAGCTTGTGGGTATTCGTGGGAGGTTTGGCTCCTCTCCTGTGCCGGCAGCCGGTAATGTCAGGCTGCCTGCTCGAGCTGGCAGACTGATGATATCATAGGTGCTGTACAGTACTTGGGTGTCAGATGGACTGTGTAAATTCATGGCATTAGGGGGTATACTGAGAGAGAGTGAGGGCGATTTGAGTGTTTTGTGTGAGAATGGGAGAAGTGTGTGAAGGGTATTGTACAAGGAAGCGTACTGTATCAGTTGAACTCTGGCTAAATCTGGCTTCATGCATGAAACCTAATACTTGACCTTATTCCTGGGACAAAATGACACCCACATTGTATTCTCTGAGTGTGTGTTCAGCGTGTTTCTGCTTGGTAGTTGTTACCCTTTGGCGGAAAGCTTGTGTTTTGATATAGTCAACTTTCCAGGGATTGAAAAAAATCAAGTTTGTTTAAGAGGTATTGTGGGAATTTTCTGCTACTCTCATGTGGTTTGGAAGACTCAAAGGTTGTAAGATATTACTAAACATGCAGCTCTTTCAAAATAAGAGCCATGGTAGACTTTGGGGAGCTAAAAGGGGTTATGATGCAGTGCTGGACTTCACTTGAAGCATATCCTCAAGTTTTTCTCGTCTTCTCCTCTCTCTCTGCCACGTTGTTGGTAGCCGGCTGTCGTTATAATTATAGTTTTACTCCAAACTGGAAAGCCACGGAGTCCTGCTGTTTGTGTGTGCGGGGCAGTAATCCTTATGTTTTGTGTTGGCGTGTCCCACCACATCCACGCACGGCAGCGGGACACTAAAGTGAGACAATTTGAACGTCTTGATGCTGGATCACTTTGCTTGTTTTGTTGTTCGAAAAACACATGTCAGTCGTAGAAAAACACATGCCTTAAGAGAGAGAGTCTGAGATTTTATTTATTTATTTATTTTTGGCTCACGTCTTTCTAGGTTTTGGAGGCGTCTGCTTTTGTTTGGAGTGAAGTGTTTCAAAGCTCACACTAATGAAGTTATTTTAATTAAGTCTGTCATGGGGCTCCTGCGTTGTGGTGTTTGTGGTAAGGCTATGTGTGTGTGTGTGATAACAGGGAGAAGGAGGGGTAAATTAATTAGCAGTCACTGAATGGTTAGAGTTAAGTGGGAGCTCTTCCATTGTTAAAAAAAGAATGACTTAATTCGCCGAACTTGGGCTGTAAACAAACTGTGTGTTTTTTTTCCCGTAGACTCATATTGATCCCACCAGATCCATTTTAATTAAACATGGCCTGTCAGGCACAATGCTGTTTGTCACGTAACCCAAACAGAGAAGTGATGCTTTAATCATTACTTGTTCTGAAAATTCAATTTCACATTGATACTATTTTTTTTTCCATTAATGGGAAACCATTTTCAAATTACACTCTGTTTAATCTGAACTAACTGCAGCTGATAATGTGGGTCATATGTCATCTACCATCACAGGGATTACTCACTGCCCGCATGATCAGTCAAACTTAGACATTCAAAGGTAGTTGGTCTTCTTATCAAGTCACCTCGAGACATGAATTCTCCTCGACACAGGTCTGTTAAATAAGAGTGTTTATGTAAGAGTGTTATTATTGGTCAATAAATGCAGCATGAAAATCTACTTTAACTATTGAATACCATGTCTGTTACACTTCCTGTTTTTAAGCCATACTAAACACAGGTGTACGAGAAGTTTTTACTTTAATGTTACACTTAAAAGAAATGATTGTGGTCAAAAATGGTTAAATATTATTAACTCACATGTTTGCAGTCGACTAATAAATGACTTGTGAGCCCTGTATGACATGCGGAGATGATATAGACACAGCGACGGTGCTGTTTGACCCCAGCTCATCAGCTGTATCAGTGCAGAGAGATTACATTTGATCCCCTGGTCTAGACTGCAGTATGCTAACTATGGACACACACACACACAGTGACACACACACACAGTAACACACTCACACACACATGGAGAGAGTCATGCAGCTCATCCATTGTGTCCGCATTATACCCAGTGCTTCCAGCACATCTCTGTAACTGGGACAATGTAACTGTCCGCTGGACTCCTGCAGCGTTAAACCCCCCAAAAGCCCCCAGAAAGATACTCTCCTACACACACACACACACAAATGCATGTACGCAAATGCAGGGACAGATGCACAGACACAAATTACACAGATATATCCTCCTCATATACAATTTGATTGTTTTTGAAGTTAAACCTTTTTTTCTGTAAGCCACTGTCTTTCCATCCCGTTACTCCTCCCCCACTCCACCTCTCCCTCTCTTCTCCTCTCGGCTCTGTAGCCTCATTCCCTGCTGACCTAACCAGCATGTGGCAGCCGTCATGCCAGCCAGCCAGCAGCCGGGCCCTCTGTCCTTTAGCGTTCCTGCAGCCTGACTGTATCTGGAGCATAGTTGTCGACCCCCCAACCCAGCAACATGGCACCTTTCTGCCACCCAATCCCAGTTACGCTATTAACCAAGCTTTATTATTCTTACATTATTACATTACATTAGTCTAATTACTTAGATTAACTCACAGACGGAGTAAAATATTTTAAGATACGATATAAAACAGCTGATTTACTCTAATGCTGGAAAATAAGAGCGCAGATGTAAGAGAAGTTTTTGTTCTCACCTTGATTTTGCGTCCTTCTGCTGCCACAGCGTCCTGTTCACCTTAGTTTACAGTTTCTAAGGGACCCTGTGACGTGCAAAGCTCAGAGGATGCACTGATTATAGAACGAGAAGAGACAAATGCAAATGAGCTGCTGATAATGCAGTCCTTTGAGTCGATCAAAGTAGGTTAAAATTACGGGTGATGCATTGAAAACGACACAGGTGACATGAGAATTTTACCCCGCTTTTTATGACATTGTCTTCTTTTAGTCAAAACAAAGTATATCCATTCATTTACACTTCTTCATTTGGTATGTATGCACATCTTAGATCTTTTCTTTTCCGGGAAACCCTGCAACAAACAGGTCATGCATATTAATCCGGACAGTTTTATTACACTGCTGTCCTGCCTGATGTCCTGTCTACACCTCATCCCTATTCCCAAAGCAGGGAGTCATTTTTAATAACAGAAATTGGACTGGCACCATTGGCAAGGCTTCATTTCTATAGCGCCTCATATATAAAATGTATCCCGCGCTCCTTAGAGTCTGTGCTTCAGCGTTATTAGTTTTACAGCGCCAAAAAAAGTTTCATTATATCGCTGCTTTCAGCCATGAGCAGTTTTGTACGTCCTCTTACATTTTCTTCCAGATGATGAAGGAGAGCCTCGTGGGTTTCGGTCACTCAGGCTGTCACAGCAGGTTAACCAGCAATCAGCCCGTCAGTCAGATCCCCAGGAGGGGGTCAGACAGTGGTTTTGTATTAGCTGTACCCATCACCCCTCTCTCAATCTAGTCCATGCTAAGCTAGCAGTAGAAGATATAGCCCTCTTAATGCCCTGATGGGTGTGTGTGTATCTGTCTGTCCTAGCCAGAAAAGGCAGCCCCAGCCAATTGGTATGTTTTAGTATTGAAATATTCACCATGTAATCCCCTCCACTCCACTCCTCCTATCTCTCGCTCCCTCTCACCCTGCTCCCCAAAGCTTTTCACCACAAATCCTCTTTTGGCGTGCCTGCCTGTCACACCCTCCGGCGCATAGTGTGAAGGGCAGCTGTATGTGTGTAAATGTGTGTGTGTGTGTGCATGTAGAAATTGCCTTGTTGTTGAGTCCATATCCTCATTAGAGCTCTGTGATGTTTTTGGCAGTAATGAGGAAAAATCCTGCGAGTGTGTGGATGTGTTTGTGTTTGTGTGTATGAGTACGTGTGTGTGTGTGTGTGTGAGTGTGTGTGTGTGTGAGTGTGTGTAGCCTCAGACCATCCTGGGCTTTTGTTCTTCATTCACATTTCTCTGGTCAAAGCACTCCTTTGGTCTGTAATGTCTGGATTAAACCAAGCGTCAAACCCTCACATCCTTTACTTTACTTTCTGTCTTTAATTGGACATGTTAAACCGTTTTTTTAGGCCAACAACCGAGGACAGGGATTAGTTTAAGCCGGTGTAATCAATCAATAATTCTTTAGATTAATTTATTCCTACATATTTATTTGACACTTTTAATCTTTGAAGTCCCTCTGCTTGATATTTAAGAAGCTCTTCTTGGTTTTACTTGAAGAAGACCATCCATGTGGCCATCAATCTGCCCCTCAATCATAATTTCACTTATCAATCTCTGACCTGTCTGTTTAACTAGTCATCCATCAGTCCATCTATCTATGCATTACTCATCCATCAATCTATCTATCATACACACAGTAGAGCTGGGTGATACGGCCAATGTTTTCCTTCTATAAAAAATTAAAATGACAAAGGAATGATCCAAAATGAGATTTTAGCCCTTTGGTGATTTGCTTACCCAGTTGTGGTTGATAATAGGTACCATCAATCTAATGAGAGGCTGCATAGTTTGACCGGACCGTAAACATCACATTTTGGTGGGTAATGTTGTACAGAAGAGGCAGGGCAGCATCAGCTAACATCGCGATTGGGTAGAGCACACCTGGGGGTTGATAGTTTTGAGAGTGTGGATAAACTTTGTGTACGAGGACCATGTTTTATGGATGCAACATTAGAGTTAATCGAGGTCAGTTAGCCTAAGTTCTATTTTGGTCTATTTTTCCATCTAGGTCTGGGTAGTCTGACACCTTTTTAGTTCGCCATTCTTTAGCCTTTTGGATGAAGATTACAGGAGCAGAAAAGGGAAAGGAGAAAAAAGTCTTTTGGACACATCTCAAGACTTTCCATTTTACTTTGAAGAAAAACAAACTTGTCCTTTCGTTCATATACCTGCGTCATTTAGGATATGAAATAAACATATGCATTGTTTTCACAAAGATGGGATGCAGACAGTATGTGCTGCTATAACTGTTTGGCTTCAATCTGTAGTTTCATTATTGTAAACTCTACTAAGAGTGTTTCTAAAATCATACTCTTTCATCTAAGGGTCTTAACTTCCCACCGAGAACATCTTCATATCATAAAGACTGGTGCTTTTTAGCCTACTTGAATCTGGTCCCAATCAGGGTTAGCTTGACTAAGTAAGTTTACATGGTGATCTAGTCGGGTGAAAAGAGAGCCAGCTTTGTAGCACTTGAAATCTGGCTTTGTAGGACACCTACTCAGTTTTTTCAGCGCTTCTTGCTGTTTTTTTGCCATTCAGTGGATGACCGTGGTGACCCTGCCTGTCCTGAAATCACTTGCATACCCTCTATTGTCAGCTTTGTCTCGCTTTGGGGAGAAGTAATTGGAAGTTTCCTCACAGGAGGCTTACTCCTCCCAACACATGGACTGACAGGGATACACAACATGTATAATCCAGCTATCCAGCCAACCACCAATTCATCCATTCAGGTGGATAAAGAAAGAGGACAGCCATCAGTCTGTACTGGTATTATCACATTGGCACAAAGATCTTCTATTATCTTCTTTACTTTCAATCCATCGACTACATCTGCATCTTTGTCCCACCTAGAGTTCAGCCTTGACTGACAAAGTTCAAGCCTCCATTAACGGCATTAAAGTGTGTGAATGACCCCGCTTGGCACTGTAGACATTTAGCGTGAACACAAACAAATGCAATCAACCTTGAAGGTATGATCATAGTTTCCTGGTGTCAAGTATCAAAATTAAAATGCTGAACGGCTCATTCTGCTAAGTGACCTTGTGATATTGTGGTAAGAATTGTCATCACAATGTCTTCCCACCTTGGTCAAATGTGTTTTAGGCTAGAGTCCTCAACCTCAATAAAGCTATCTCTGCTATCTTTGGTTGGAAAAGCTTTAAAGATTTGAGACTTATCTCCTAAAACCTGCAGCAGCTGCTGTGAAATTTCCAGCTGCCACCGTAGAGCAAAAGCCAAATAGGATGTCCATGAAACAGTGTGATATGAAACCGTATCGTGCCATGATGTAAAATACAGTGTAATGCTACACCATTCTTACACGATCTTTACTGAATGCTCTTTTGTAGAGCCACTACAAGAGGCACCTGATCATAAAGAGACCTCTGCACAGTCATCTTTTTAATCTTCATCTTAGTAAAGGGTGTCAGAATGAAGACTGGGAGTTCAGTCCTTCACTACTGCTGTGTACTCTGAAGGTATAGAGAGTACTTTGCGATGAGCCTGTGTGCGCTTCATTGAGCCTTTTACTAAACAGATTAAACCAATTTTGAAAGTTTATTGCAGTCTAGGAAAGTTGAGCACTGGATAAGATCAGCTGTTTGTTCAAAGAGTGTAAAGGTCAGTGAAAGAGTCTGAACAATGTAATTCAAATGACTGTGATCAGCCTGTCTTGTAGAAATGTGTCTGTAGGCCCTCCATGCTTCAGCAAACTCGAGCGTGTAATGTGCTCGCCATTCAACAAGTGCAAATGCAAAAACAAAATGGTCCCCTCATTTCATGACTCTTAGCTGCGGGCCAGGATCCCAGAGGTTTCCAGCTCAGTGTTTCATATAATCATCTTCTGTCCTTCTTGACATGATAAAAGAAAGCTTTAAGATAGACAAACATGAGGACATATGGTGAAGGCTCTTTAAACAGAGACAGGTGGCAAAGGGGGATTATACCTGCCTGCAGGTTAGAGATGAAAATGCCCTTTAACTCAGTGTTATAATTATCTCCCCCTCTCTCAGCATTTAAGGAGTGGGGCTTAAAGTAATTGCTTTGGTGAGTATTTACATATTTTATCTGTTAGGGCCTTTTCCTCCAAAGAAACTCATGAATGTTTAGTACTGATCTCCAATCCTACATTAACAGTCTATGTTCCACTTATTTTTCTTTGTTCCGCCTGCTGAATTGGTTTTTATTAGATATAGATTTGTTTGAATATGTGGATTGTAATAGACTGGCTGTCGAATGGACTTAAATGGAGGTATGAATGCTACAAAGTGAAAGCCCAATAATTTCAAGATAATCACAAAATGGGAACTTTAAAATGACAGGAGGCATATGCATTAAACAGAGTCTCTTTTGTATTGCCCATTAAGTACAATTTATGTATGTAAGCAGTTTGTTTATCCTTGACTAAGGCCACAGAGTTCAGTTTCTAAAAATCCTAACTGGGAGAACATTCCAAAATCCAAAGCAATTTGACAGCCCCTTAGCTACCACCAAATAAATACTAATGTTAGAAGCTATCGTCATCAGCTGAATCACACTCAGTCAAAAATCTCATAGTCTGACTAACATACCTGGATAATGCTGTAGGGGATCATTTTCTCTTCCATGTACATGGCTCAATCAGACTGAAACTGGCCTAATCAAGCTTTAAGTTAGAAGTTAGAAGTTAGCATAAATGTATTGGTCGAAAGCCAGCAAGAAAAGAACTCTAAAGGTTAAAAAGATAAAATTATCTTACAAAAAAAAAAAAAAAGTAGTTCAGAGGTGCAATTATGAAGGTGTTTTCAGCGCTTAATATAAGTCCTGTTAGCCTCTTGCGAATACGTTTGATCAACTGTTTTGATATGTAATTGGTCAAAGGGGAGACCATTAGTCGCTGTATTTCAATGTTACCCAAAAAAGTTTGATAGTATATAATATCTGATTGGCAGGTAGTAACCATTAGCTATTTACACAAAGTAATTTCCTAGCTAACATTAGCGTTAGCTAGCACATCTTACCCATCATATAACCCAGTGGTGTCGACATCAGGTCAGTTTTTATGCAGTTTTATCTCATGTTGAATTGAGCTATAAAGTTACTGAGAGTAAACTCTTGGTATTCTGGTAGTTGATGGGTTATCAAGTACGTTAGTTTAAAGCCTAAAAAGACATAGCTTCATAACAGCGTTGAGTTTACCCTCAGAGTGTGACAGCAGAGGAAATTTGCTGATGTATGAACACGGCGGTGAACAGACCAGTAAAAATGCTTCCCTGCGTTTTTCTTATCTCGTCCTCCCTCTTCACACTCGGTCTTCTCTTTGTACCACGTTCATTCACAAACTCTAATTCTCAAATTCTTCAGAGTTTTCAGATGAATGAAGTCAAGAATCTGCTGGTTTTACAAGCAAACCTTCAGAGCTGACAGGGAGGGATGAAGGGTGTGTGTGTGCGCACGTTTCATTCCTCTGAAGTCTCTCCACTCGCCTCCCACTGAAGAAATCACACACGCCTGTGGATCCACACGTACTACACACCGCGCTCACATATGCTGGGAGCGTCACAGCTGAGAGGGAGTGTGGCATAGTGAGGGGATTTGGGTGCAGGCGGCTGCCAATTGTTTGCCCTCTTCATCTTTGACCTAACCTGACCCCGAGGACGTGAAGGTTATTGGATCACACAGGCGGCAGCAGCTTTAAAGGCTCAAATCTCCCAAGTGAAACAAATAGCCATTCCAGCACAGGGAGGAGCACCTTCATGCCTTTAGCACCCTTTGTTTGACACAAAAAATCTGGCCTTCTGGTTTAAAATTGTGGGAACACAGCATCTTCTAATGCTCAGAAGTTTGTATTAATGTTTAATTAAATCTTTTAATCTTTTTAAAAATTGCGTAAAAGTTACGATTGTTATTTATAAATGCCTCAAACTGGTGAAAGCGCCATCAGCGTCTGAAAATCTTGAAGTGCTCAAAACATTAACTCCAGCATGTATTGGATCAAGTCCTTTTTGATAACATGGAAAGTGTTTCCGCACATAGCAGCACCCTGACGTCTTCTTTTAAAATGATCGATTCATTACATAAGATAAATATTCAGTATAGAGTCCGTTTGCTGAAGAGAGCGTACAGTATATTCTTTAGGTTTCTCTTTTCCAGCTTTCAGTGCCAGTGTTGCTCTCTGTTCTAATTTCTAATAACTCCCACTGGGCAGAGTGTGTTTGACTTACAGAGGGCCCTGGACCTCTGTGGAGTTTTTTAATGCATCATTTTAGGAGAAGAACCCGGGGCTGTTAGAGCGTCTCTGGGTGATTTGCAGAGAGAGAGAGAGAGCAGCTGAGAATGGCAATGCATGCATGCTGGTTTCCTCATACATACACATTCATCCACTCATTTATGTGAACACACTGTTTCTACACATGCATTCAAGGCTATTCAGAGTCAATCTACTTCCACTTTTTGTTGCTTATAATTTAATACAACAATCCTTTTTTTTCCCCAGTTCATTGATTTGTTCAGTCTCTAAGCTGTCACACAATTTGCAATGCATTTACATTTTTTCTCATTTAACGGATGAATCAATTTATAGATATGTATTCAAATAGTTTCCTTAAGGTTGTGGAGAACTACTTAAAAGAGTGAAACAGGAGCGCTTTCTTAAAGGGATAGAGAAGGCAGATAAAGCGCGTTTTTTTTTTTTTTTCAAAGGTATTTTGGGTTATAAATGAAGCAGAAAGGAGGCGTTAATAAGAAACAGATACAGATACTGATAAGAGATTAAACAGATTTAATTGACTGAAATTTGATGGCTTTGTTGGATCTAATTCAATTCAAATGACATTACATCCCCTCTTAATGAGATCAGATTTATGCAGTGTGGACGGTGGAATCGTGTGCTGGAACATGTATAGCTTATGCGTGCACATGATTGCTGGATTTTTGCGGAGATTAGACAAAGCAGAGAGACATAATGAGGACTGTGTGGGAGATATCCATCACTATGTTTCTGATGTAAGAAGTTATAGACAAGGGTAAGCAATGTTTTGTGCACCAGGACATCTTAAATTGCATTATCATGGTTGGAAGATTGAAAACTAGCATCTGAATTTGTGTCCTTCAGTTTGAAAGTCAGTTTTTTTTCATTTAAAGTCACTCATACAGCGTATTTAAATGATGCTCAGGGTTGTTTTGTGTCTTGTTTTTCACACGTGTAGTCTTGGACAAAATCCCAAAAGCTATCCTGGCAATTACCAACCTGCAAGTGACATCATACTCTGAAAAAAGGGGGTGTTAGGGGTGAGCAGTGGGAGGTGTGGGTGGTGAAGGGGGGAGGGGAGTGTAAAACATGTAAGGAGGAAAGAGAGGAGAGTGAATGCGCAGCACTTTGTAACAGGCTATCAGAGGCTAATTTCCCATGAGCATCTCTTTGAGGAACGGCTCCGGTGTCTCTCGGGGGAGTGTTTACGCTCACACCTTCTTACACACTTCCACACAGAAAGCGAGTCCTTCTCTGTTCCCTGTTTTTTTTTTCTATTGCTTGAAAGCGGTAGCAAGGGCAAGGCTGCTTTGGAAAGGTGTGCACGCAGGGATAAAAAGAGGCGTGTGTGGGAGAGCGTGTGCGTGCGATTAGTTTACTGCAACGTCCCAGCTAGCGGTAAAAGCTCCATCTGCATCACCATGACAACAGCCCGGTAACAACAAGGAGACAACACCCATATTAACCCTCCCAACCCCCATCAGATGTGTGTGTGTCTGTGCAAGAGGTGTGTGTATGTGTGTGTGCATGCTTGATTACATGCATACTTGATATTGTGCATTTAAGTGGAATTCATATATATGTGTGTGTGTGCGTGCGTGTGTGTTTGTGTGTGTGTGTGACAGGAAGAGGGTCCATTGGGGGGGCATCCCAGCAGGTACTGTCTGTCTCTGAATGATGGACACGGCCCTAATGGCTCGGCGTGTATGCCTCCGTGGGGAGTGGTCACACTTATACACACACACTTACATGTCCGCACACACACAAACACGCACGCACACGCTCTATTGGTGCTGGTGTTATGAATGGAAGTGATACCTCAGCGGTGCGCTCCCACTGTCTGCCTTAGCTCTCTGCTCAACCTCCAAGAAAAGATGACATCATCGTCAGCCAATGGCAACACAGCTGTAGGGCGTGCTTCACTCTGACAATCTCAGTAAGGTTGTGTGTGTTTGTGTGTATGTAGGTGCTTGTAATCTGGATATAAAACTGATTGATATGCGCCCTCATTTCCATCTTGACATAAATGGTTACAACTCCTTTTTTTCTACATCTCTCCACCTTTCCTGTCTGAACTTTCTCCCTCCTTTTTGTCTCCACATCTCTCTCTCATGCCTCTATATTTATCCCAGCCTGAACTGCTGCATCTTCAGCTGCATCATCACCTCTTCCTGTGCGTGTGGTTTGTTCGTGCGTCAAGTTCCAAGGCCAGTCAATAGGTCATTGTTTGCGCTGTGACTCTGCAGAATTTATGTGCGAGCGTGTTCTGACTCAGCAGGGAGCAGGGTGTCACAGTGACCGAGATCTAGATGAAGTTGTTTATGACACACTTTCCATACTTTGACCTTTCATCTAAAGTGAGTGTTTGCATCATGGGTCCTTAGTCATGCTATTATTCGTATCCATGTGTGTTTATTTATAGAGAAATGGGTAACAGTATAAACTTGTTCTTGCAATAAATGGGAACAATTTAATGCTTTCATTTGACTGACTGCCAAACTAGACAACAGACTGTATGAAAGATCCATGCTGGTCATGCATCACTCCAGTTGGGTGGTTATACGCCAGTTTAACCAGAAACAGCCTGCATGCAACTGTATTTAACTCGGTTTCCCAAATCTAAACACTGCTTAGCTATGCCATGCTACGAGGTGCCATCTGTCATCTGTGCTTGTTTACATCCAAGTAGTGGAGCGAGTGGCAGGTGGCTGCACTACAGCTTGGACACAACATATGACCACCATTGTGGCGTCAATGATTAAAATATTAATCATTTGATTGTAATTAGTAATTCTGGTGCCAACTGGGAAGGGTACATTTCATTGTTTAGACGCCTAAATGCACAAATCTCGGAAAAATACACATAGAAGTCATTTGTGTCCGTTTGAAACCAACACAAATATCTGTTAATCTGAGGGATATTTGTGGTCGTATCAGTAAGCTAAATGTATGTTTTAGTGAGCAGAGGAGACTGGATGTCAATATTACAGCTTAGAGAGTTATTTAGATACTGGGCAATTATTGTCAGCTCCCTTTGTATGTAATTTGTCTTAACTTCTGCTATTGTATATCATATCTTTAGTACTCTAACACAATTCAAAGTGTTTCATTTTTCAGGGGAACGAATCCTGATTTGATCCCATTTGAGCCACGCAAAGACCAACAGCTTAGCCCGTGTGATGAAACGTCAAAATGATTTTGTGAACATTAAAAACAAGAGAGAGCTCACATATTCTATGTCTTGGCTGTGTTTCAAAAAGCAAAGCTGATTAATCCTCTGCTGTCAGTCATTGATTAATTAATCAGATGCTGTGTCACCATATGTCTGTGTACCCATGGTAACAAGGCTGTGGCTTAGATTAGATCCTTTATTGGAGGTAAATAATAACAGAAGTAGTAATTAAAGAATATAAATTGCATAAATGTTATAGGATATAACCAGCATATTCAGTTTGTCATACCAAAATGTAAACGATTTGCTTTGTGTCATTTTATTGCGATTAAAATCCCAAGTCAATGACAATCACAGCTTTCTTTCATCTATTTGAACCAACCAAGGTCTTCCCCCTCCATTTCAACAGCTCCCCTCCTCCCATGTGGTCTCTCTGCTGTCTGTCCTTCAGCTGCCGCTTCCTCCCTCTCTCTCCTCCGTCCCTCCCCTGTTTAACTTCGTTGGAGAAATGCATTGTGGGTTTGGGCTTTTCCTATCACACCTGTCACTGTAAAGATAGATGGTTCTAGTATGGATGGTAATGGCGTTGGCTCGCAGTTTAATGGCAAGTAAGGGTTGAGTGAACGTGTGTGTGTGTAAGTGTGTTTTTGTGCCCATGATTGGATGCGATATATGTTTAAATTCATGCACGCATGTCTGCACCTGGACAATCATATGACAAATGTGTGTGTGTGTTTATTGTGTGAGTGTGTGTGTGTGTGTGTGTGTGAAGAGGAGGGTTTGCACTGATGAGGCCTGAGACCTTCCATCCATCAGTTTGACCTTTTACCCCAGAAAAGCAGCAAATTAGCCATTAATGGTCCAGCCCAGGATAGAGGAGGATGACAGCGAGTGGCACAGGCCTTAGGGCTAATTGTGTGTGTCCGAGTGGGTGGTAGTGTTAAGACCAAGCTGAGCAAAGGTGTTTTGTTATTGTAAAATGATGAGGTGTGGTACACAGTAATACTTCTTCAGTTTTCTGACATCCATGAACGTGTCTTCTCTCTCCACTGAGCTGCTAAAATCAAAGGTTAGATTTGTGTTTCCAGCCGAGTGAACAAACTGCCCGTAGCATCATTCAGCTGTCCCAGCTGGCCCTGGTTGTCATAGACACTAATGGTTTCTGTTTAGATTAAAGACTAATAGAGGATACTCTTCTCTGTTGGGAAAACGATGCTGAAATAAGAAGGGACCCGTCATTTGATGCTTTGACATGAAATTTGGAGGATTTTTCATTGACCTAATCACTGAGTAAAAATTGAAAAAGTAAGAATAATGAAGTGAATAGGGGCTGGTTTACGGGTTTATCAACTCAAGGGAGATAAAATACGTGGATTTGTGTTTTATTAGACCTGAATGGGTCCAAGTGTAGGTACTATTTACACAGTACTATGGTAGTGTTGTTTTTATGAAACCAAGACCTCTGAATTCTTTCAACGGCTGATACAGACACAGATATTTACTGAGCAAGTCAGCAGATGGCAGATATTTAAAGCCAAAATCATTATCTTGATTTAAAAAATATATATATATATAATAAAAGCCATTATGCCATGCACACTTAAATCATATGTGTTTAATGCTACCCCTCTGAGCAATAGACGGCTATTAGATATCTAGTTTTATTTAGACCTAATTTCAACCGTCTAGATTCTGTATATTTTTAGAAGCTTTTTAAGAAGCTTTTTTATATTTTAGAAGCTATCGTTATCAGCTGAATTTCAGCACAGCTAATTTATAACCCAACCTTTTGAAAATACTAAAAAAGAAAAAAAAAAAGCCTAACTTTTTAAATCCATAGTCCATTGAGCAATAGACGGCTTTTAGACATCTATTTTTTTTTTTCATCCTAATTTCAACCGTCTAGATTCTGTATAATTTTAGAAGTTGCACTTTAACCCGCTTTTCGATAACTATTTATCTCAAAAAGCAACTGTGAGTTGCGCAACTGATCTCCAAGTACTTAACCAAAATAATTATGATAGCCATTGAGCAATATACAGTGTAGTATAGATATAGCCCAGATTTAGACTTGGTCTAAATTTAGACATCTAAAGAAACTTTCATTTATAGACCTGTGGTAGCCTGATTTAGACCAGTCATCCAGGCCACGTTTAGACGTCTATTAGACCTCTTTTAGACCAAAAAATGCTCAGTGGGACCCGTCTCAGCTTTGGTGTTGTGAAGTATGCTCCACAGTTTATTTCCTCTGTTCTCAAAGAGCAGAGCAGCTTTCACACTCAGGCACAGATATTAAGTCTTGATCGTATCCATTTTGCTCTTAAAAGCCCTGCTAGTGGAGCTTGAGAGTCAAGGTGACAGATTCTCTTTAGAAACCTTGGAATAATAAATCTAATTCTTGTATATTTGACAGCATTTCTTCTATTTACAGTTTCTGTTGTACTGTAAATAAAGTTTATTATCATTGTGTGATATCAGGAATTAATCTGGTCAAGATGGTAAAAGAAATGGCTGATTAAATCCCTTAAATGCCTGACATTTTAGACTCATGCATCTTTATTTCTCGCTCTTCCTTCTGCCTCCTAATGCCCCCCTCTCTCTCTCTCTCTCTCTCTCTCTCTCTCTCTCTCTCTCTGCTCTCTCTGCTCTCTCTGTTTTGCTGATGGAACACAGTAATGCTCTCACTGTTGTTTTATATCAACACACATTCACTCACTCACGCACACAAACAGCTACACACCTGAGCTCAGCAGACAGGCTGAGTGGGTCGGAGAGGGAGTGAGCACAGAGAGGGGAATGATATGATATGTGGTTGAGAGGATGGCAGGTGAGAGCAAGGAGTGAGCGATAAACTGACAGAGAGAGGGAGATAGAGGGAGTGAGTGAGATGGCTGATGCAGAAGTATAAGGGAATGAAGGAAAATTTAGTAGGGAAATAAAAAGGAAAAGAAAATGAGTAAGACAAAAGGTGATGGAGTAGGTTTGTAGGATAAAAGAGCGCATATTAAGAGGGAAGAAGTGGGATATAAGATGGGCAGATCAATCTTTACACTCAGAATCTATTCCTGATTCACTGACTTTATTTAAAGGGTTTACCAAAACTCTGTTCAGAGAGAAAAAAAACCCTAAAAAGTTTCGGAAACTGAAGCAGTGAAGTATCAGGACGCTATATGATGAGTCAGACGTGTGTGTGTACATTTGATCTGTCTATAAATTGCACTGCAGAGAGGGGAGGAGTGAATCTGTAGGGGTGTATGAGAGGCAGTGGAAAGCAGGAAGGCGGAAAAGCAGCAAACTGAGAAGTGAAGCCTCAGTTCTTCTTTGATTGCTCTGAGCACAAACTGGCCCAGAGAGATGGACCAGGTCGGTACAGCTTTTCCAGTCAGGGCCAATAAACATCACGAAAAGGAATCATCTTGAAGGGCTTTCTATGTGATCTATAATGTATAATACAGTGCCATGGATTTATTCTATATCACTGCCAAGTATGCATTATTAATAGGCTGCACAGGATGGCCGTTGTATGGTGAGGTGCACTGGTATAGATGCTGTAGGCCACATAGCATGACAGAAAAACAAGAGTACCTCCGACAGAATTGAATAGACACTCTTGAAAAAGTTCTTGACCATCACCAGTGAGAAAGAGAAAGACAAGTATGACATGATCAACTGTATTATTTAAATGCATAATGCACCTTTATCTAATGTAGGATGTAAAGACAAAACAGTTCTTTGACAGCCGTGGACATATTCCACTGGTGTAGCCAAAGCATGAAACAGTCTGGTTGACAGAGCCACAGGACCAATCAAACCATCCAATAACTAACAGGGCTCTCACTTTTCATCCACAATTTAAACCTTTGTTGGAACTTTGTGGGAAAAGTTCATATGTGGACTATATGGTTCTGTTCGAACTCATCCCACTGAGCAATAGACGGATGTCTATTATTTTTTTAGACCTAATTTCAACCGTCTAGATTCTGTTTATTTTTAGATGGAATTTAGACGTTGCACTTTAACCCATTATACTTGTACTAAAACCAAAATAATTGAGATAGCTGTTGAGCAAAATACAGTGTAGACCTCTGTTAGCTGGCTAGTCTAAACTTGGTCTAAATTTAGACGTCTAAAAACTTTTATTTTTAGACCTGTCATCTAGGCTACATTTAGACGTCTATTAGACCTCTTTTTTTGACCAAAAATGCAGCAGGATGCCTAAAATGGCTAGCAGCATGATCAGAACTTCATCATTTGAGATTGGACAGCTGAAGAAAGAAAGATATACATTGTGAGGAGAGAGTGGGGTAAGACATGAAACAAAGAGAGTCTGCTTTCCATTATTTAAACAGTAAATGTTTATTCTAACTTACTTCAGTCATTCTAGCAACAGGTAGAGATTTGGACTCGAGGGAGTTGCTGTTTTCTTTATACTGAAATCTTATCTCAGTGTGCCTGAAGTGTGTTTGTAATGCCCCCGTATACTGGCTCACCATCAGTCTCTCTTTGCTCAGTCAGATTTTGTCTTACCTTTGTGTTTGTCTTGGGTATGTTTTACTCTGTTATCCTTTCATGTACCGCACGCTCCCTGTCACCCACATAACACTGCACAACATACTGCATCATCAGCAAAAATGACCTCCTGGAGATGTTGACATGCAGTAGATGAAATAAAAAATCACACTCAGATGAGAGATGCTAGGGTGATAAAACTTGATTTGGAAACATGGTTACCAAATGTTGTTTTTTTGTCCTAAATCCTCTCAGCCACGTTGGCAGGAGCCCTGGTCACCACACAGCGTAATGGGTGTAAATTTAAAGTGTGAGTCATTGTAGAAAAACAGCAACAAAAAAATGGCTGTTAGATTGAGTGGGCTGATGAGCTAATAGCTTCCTCTGGTGCTGGTCCTTGTCTTTGTTTCCAGCTATTGTCCTGGTTTTACTCTCAAATTTGAACTAATACAGACTGAGTTCAAATTTTGGCAGTAAAGTGGCATTTTTGTCTGCTGCAATGTGGTGTTTTATAATAAATGCCAGTGTTATGGACTTAGTCAGGGTTGAATTTTCAGACCAACCAAGTGAAATCTAGAGCCCCCCAAAATACATCATACACACAATCATACACACAATGTGATACCATGATAGCTGCTCCAAACCAGCCATGTTTTCCTCCTCAGTTCACACCACTGCACATGACAGAGCAAGACACACATGGGGCACATTAACCTCTCCCTATCACACATAAACTCTCTCACACACACACATACACACACACATACACATATTTCCTCAGGGAAACACCAGCTGGGGCATGCAGAGTATGGAGTTTCCATGGCAACTGCATCTATAGGTGTGGCATTGCTGAGTCGACAGGGAGTGGGGTGCAAATGTGTGTGCTCATGTGTGTGTTTTATTTCATGTGTGGTGGTTTTCTAAGTTATTTAGTTTAAGATATGTAATTGTGAGATCATTCCATCTGTTCATTATTACAGCTGTAGTCTGGTCATTAACAAGACTGACAGAAAACAGAGATCTGCTGACAAGCGTGCTCTTAACTGGCTCTCTGCTGCATGCTCATTCTTATGCAATCGCTGTCCAGACTATAGTCAAGTGAAAATGAGAAGAACTTTGTTTCTTCTCCTCATAAGTCATGTTTCTTACTCACTTGGACATTATAGATTTGAGAAATCAACCATCTGATTTAAGCTAATGTGCAAGTATTTTCATGTGGAGGAGATAAGACATTTCTACATAAAGGAATAATCTGTTTCTGCTGTTTGGGTTCATCAAGAGTTAACCTATAGTGACATACTGCTGCATCTCCTCTGCTGTAAATAAAACTCCAGGAATGTGAGCGTTTAGTTGGCCAAACAATGCCAGTTGGCACCAGATGTATTTGTCGGTTAACTGAATAATTTATGTTTTCTTATTGTACGCCCACATAGCTGGTTATATGTTGTCTTGGCTATAGCTTTAGCCCCGGTCAAGCTACGGCTGTGGCTTTAGCTAGTGGTTTATAGTATGATAAAGCTGGTAGTGTCTTGTTGTGGAGTGGTTTGGCAGTAGTCGTCTCCTTTTGACAAAAAAATCTCATCCTGCTGATTTTTACCATCAAATGTATCATTTCGTCACCATATTAAAATAATGGCCCTAAGTCATTTTTTGACCAGATGAGTTTTTCTTTAAAAAAGGACTTTTTTTTCGTCAAAGCTGAAGATTATGCCGTGATCCTTTCAGCTAAGGATTTAGGTGATTTTACTAGAGATGGCCAGCATTATCAAGAGATGATTTAGGCCAAAAACTCATTTTGGTCAAAAAATGACTTAGGCCATTTAATAGGGTGATGATTTGTTAAAAATATTTCCATAGAAATGATAAAACTAGGGCTGTTTTTCATTTGCTTGGCTGACACCTGCCCCTCACACTGGTTTTAAACGGATGACAGAGAAATTGTCAATCTTGTCCCTGGTGCCTTGTGGTCTTATTCACGTCTGTGTATCATGAAAAAGTATTAATATGAACGTCAGTTTATTTCATGATTGCCACAAACCTCCTCATAGGAGCTTTGGAGGCGTGTGCAGGTTGTGTCTGGTTGTACTTACCAAAACTTTACAAAGCTTTGGCGTGTGGACATCAACCTGACAAGGTGACCACGGTGAGATTTCACATTGTTTACCACAGACTCTGTGATCATGTGTACAAAATGACAAGAAACAATCAGTCTTGTTCCTGATAGTTTTGTTTGCATGTGGATATGATGAGAGGGGGTCAATATGAATTTCATTCTGTTTCATAAATGGTATAAAATCCTCACTCCTTACTTCAAGAAGGATCAACCTCAAATATGCAGCAGAATCTGACAGTTTCTGTCCAGAGGCTTTAATTGCTTTTTCCTTAACTGTACAGTCACCATTTCGTACCATGTGAGACAGAAAAAGTGCTGCTTTAGGACCTTTTTTTTAAGCCATCAAACTCTCATTATTTTCACAAAGGCAGCAAATGTGTACCGGGATTAAATTAACTTATTCAAATGTATATTTGACTCAACAACCAACACAATGAAGCCATTATTGGAGGTCTATTCAGGCTAACACAAAGCACTTAAAGGATACACCAACTTATGATTGCAGCAGACTGAAAAATGTGACAGCTTTCTGCAACTGAGTCCTGCCTGCTTCAAACCCTCAAGTACAAAAAAAGCACTGATATAATGAAATCCATAAATCCCTTTTTGAGAAAGCTTTGGCTGAAAATAGATTGCTCATGTAGGATTTAATCTCTCATAATAAGTCACTGATTGAGTTTTTAAGGCCTAAAAGCTGACATGCTAAGTTTAGACTTAGTCATCAACATTCTGCCATCAAGTAATTTGGCAAGTCTATAAGACCAATGCATGTGTTTGCGTTACATAATATGATAATTACAGCAACAGAACACATGTGGTTACATTGCTGGGTCTTAAGTAGAAGTGTGAAAGTAACACAAATTGAATTAGGCTCATTAAAGATGTCGTATTTGATCCACAGGAACATCTTAATTGATAGTGTGTAATCTTTAATCAGTGTCTGTATCACAGTCTGGATGACATCAGCATTGCAGTCAGGTACTTTAAAAAACTGAACACATCATCGGTGCACTTAGCAAACTGAAACTCTGTCATCCTTATTTGTACCTGCTTGAACACTTGTGTCTGTTTGTGTGTGCGTCATGTGCTACTCATGCACTCTTACGTCCCGTGTGCTAAATTGATGTTTTTTTTTCCCCACTCACAATTCTGAGTCTGTGTGTGTTTTTCTGTGTGAAAGACAGAGAGATAGTGTTTTGCCTAAAGGCTTACTTAGTGAAGAAACCGCGGGTCAGGAGGCGAGGGAGAGACGTGCAGTTAGGAGGCGAACTTCACAGTCAAACATCATTAAAATCTCCTCTTTCTTTGTGTGTGTGTCTGTATGTGTGCATATGTGTCAGTGTTTATCTGCTCGTGCTTGTTTGTGGGGAAAAAAACGCTTAAATTGTTTTTTGTTTTATATTTCTATGATGTCAAGGTTGCTTTTTTTCTGTTTTTCCCCCTTTTTATCATCGCCAACACGCTGTCAAACGCACACAGAAGTTTCTGTAAAAGACCGAGATAAATGAGGCAGAAAAGATATGATTCAATTCACAGAAGTGACAACATCGTGGATTCATACTGACAATAAAGACCTGCATCCAGCCTTATAGGGCATTTCAGCCTCAGCGTATGGATATTTGTGTTTCTCTCTCTGTTATAGCTTTTCCATCAAAGTGCTGATAGATGTTACCCACCAGGTTGATTAAACAGAGAGAAGAGAGAGAGAAAGAGCTGCAGTTGGTCTACAAAGCAGAGACGAGAATCAGAAAACGAAGTGATTCACAAAAGAAGAGACATTGAAATATAAATGACAGAGCCAGATGAGGACAGAAAGAGAGAAAAATATAACTCTTCTCATTTATGATTGCTAGGGAGACTGCAGGAGGTCGTGACTTTAAAGCTGTGTTCATTGAATAAAGCATCACATATGACTGACATTATTGATGTCATTTTATACACAAAACCCAATTTGTCAACCACACTTCATAAAAGAGGGAGATCATTCTGATTAATTTGCTATATTTCCTAGAGATGTAACAGCATTTAGATGTGATCTGTGTCATATCAGCACTCACAAGGCCAATGAGAAATGCATTCGACAGTATATAAAATCTAAGACATTATCGGTATTATGCTGCGTTCGAGTTACCACAGAAGTCAGATGTGGGAGCTGAAAATGACGTCACACTCGAGTTACCAGCAAAATTGGAGGCCTGAAACAAGATGGTTGCATCTACGAAAGTTACTATAGCACTTGCCTTATATTCGGACAAGGCGAGCGCTAAAATAACTTTTTCGTGGATGTAGCCATCTTGTTTCTGCCTCCAATTTAGCTTTTTTCCGATGTGGTAACTGAAACGCTGGGAACGTCATTTTCAGCTCAGACATCTGACTTCCGGGGTAACTCAAACGCAGCATTAGCATCAGTCTTTGAAAAACTGATAATGGATGGCTACAATTACTTACCACAAAGTCCATACTGTAGGGTGGGCTGGTACACAAGACACAGTGTGGGTTTTTGAAGGTTCCCCCTGGTTAAATATAAGGTTTAAGCTCACTTGACTTCTTTTCTACTATCTAATGCTTTATATTTTCACCCCACTGTTAGTAATCCTGCAAGCCACCAGAGTGGCAGTCGAGCTCAGCTAAAGGCAACTTTGGAGGCTATGAAGTGCAGACCCACAGCCGGTGAATACTTCACCACACCAACAACCTCTGGTGGTAGGAACTTGTGTTGAGCAGTCTTATCCGATCAAACAGCTTCTCTAGGTTTATGTCCCTAAGTAGTTAACCACATTTTGTCTTAAATGCATCAGTGTCAACTAAGGAGGGAGAAGCTATGAAAAAATTGTGCCGCCAATCAGATCAGGCTCACTTTAAATCCAGCGTGCTGAGGTTGCCTGAGTCTTTACGGGTAAAGTATGATGATGGAATAATAATATCTCTGGTGTATAATACATTGGCAACAACAAAGGTATTAAAAGTGAGTCTCATACCCCAGATTTTACAGTTTTTATCCGATAAGATACAGCCAGAAATGACACCTCACACAGATTTATTTTTTAAAGTAAGACGGGATACATCTGATGATCATCATCCATAAATAAAACATCATCTAACTCCTAAAATCTAAAATCTGCAGAGGCCTTTCTGGCTTAAGCTTGTTGAGAACACACTAAGAAGTAGCTGAGACGATTGTACTTTCTGGCTATGGTGCAAAAGTAGCCCCAAAGGGACATTTTGGGCGCATCTATTTCTTTATTCAGCTTTTTCCATCCTGTCATTCCTGTGACTGTGCTTGAAATTGAGTCAGCACTCTGAGTAGAGCTCAAGGGACAGAACTGATAACTCCAAAGTTAAAAGAAAGCCAAGACTAAGCTAATGGAAAAGGCAGAGAAAAGAGTGCAGTACAGATAAGAAGAGAGCACCCATGCTGGGCAGAGCAGCACTGTCTTCCTGCAGTCTCAGTGGGAGTGTATCTGTATGTCATATCCTGTCCACCAGCTGTCACTCAATCCAGGGGGTCTTTTCTCTGACTGCACTTTGATTGACAGCTCACAGCAGCACTGTGTGTGGATATATTTCTGCAGTGATAAATATATAAATATATCACATCCAGCTGCCTCTAGGGGTGAACGCCCTCTGTGTGTTTCTTTGTGTATGTGTTGGTCGAGACACTCATTCATAATGACAGTAGAAGGTCACTGTTGTGAGTCTCACGTTTTTTTTCTGTCTTTCCTGGTCGTCACTCTCTATGTCTGAAGCTAGTTCATTGATGCAGACTGATATTATTTTGAGGCATCACATATATACATTTTTTTTTTCAATAGAAATGGATTAATGAAGGAGTTTTTGGTGACTCCCAAAAAGGGGCGGAGCCAGTGTTGATTTGCTGTCCTCATTACTTTGAAGTACGACATCTCATAAAAATGATGTTTGTCAGTCAGATTTGTAAGAACCATCTGTTACAATCTGTCAGGGAAAGTTGAAGCATCGTTGTGACCTGTGAGGTAAATGTAGTATGAGTGGCCACTAGAGATGGGTGATATGGGCTAGAAAATGTATCATGATAAGATTTGCTACACTGGTGATAACGATAAAAGTCCCGATATAATTTATGACAGGGTTTCCCCTGCATGCTATTGATTTTGGCGCACCGCTGAATGATTCTACTCGCACTGTGTGAGCACAACACACGTTACTTCCGACTAGTTATGAGTCATCACAAGGGCATCAAATTCTGTTGGACCCTCTTCTATCAACGTGAAAGGAAATTTCAAGCTTATACACGGTCTATATGGCTAGTAGCATTAAATAAGTGGCATCATTATCAATGCGGCACTAATAATTTCTACTCGCACTGTGTGAGCACAACAACACACAACGTTGTTTTCGGCTTATTATAGTTATCAACGAGCGCATCAAATCCTGTTGGACCCTCTTCCACTAACGAGAAGGGTAACATTAAAGCCTATACACAGTCTATATAGTGAGTAGCGCGGGTAACGTAACGTGAATGTAACAGTGTAGCTCCAGGAGCGGCGGAGGGGGGTAACAATGCCCCCTGCTGGACAGCAGCAGACTCACTGTCTGATGTCAGGCATACCTGATTGTACTCATCTAAGCCCCAATCTTGAAGGTAATCTCTCATGTGGAGCCTCGTTCAGTAACAGGCTGCTCAGAAACGTCTTCTTCATTACCTTCGGCCATGTTTGTTTGTTATTCTGTTCTGTGTGGGCTATGGCTGCGAGTCCGTCGCTCGAGCTTATGTCACTGACTTGCATTTATCGTATTTATCATGAGATAGCAAATATTTACTGATGATTTATCACCCATCCCTAGTGGTCAGAAGACCTGGGTTTGGACTGTACTCGACTGGATGTAGATTTCACAGTGATATTGTAAGGAGTTGTGAGTTAAAAGGAAAGTTGTCTGGAGGGATTGGCTTTGGGAAAGGATATTTTAGTCAGTTTTTATCAGAGTGATATTGAGCTATGTCTTTGTCATCAGAGACTTGTCCAGCGTGGCCGTAAAGAGAGTTTGTGAAAGTCTTTTGAAGGACGGCTCACTCTTCTAAGAATCTGAGGGACAACTCTATGAAGGCAGAAAGGACAAATTTACTTACATTACTTACATTTACTTGGAGATGTTCTGAGTCTTATTTTTCAATGCAGAGAACAATGATTTTAGAGTGAGGCCACGTTGAGACAGCAAAATAAAGGTTTCAGCTGCTGTTAAAAGTCATCTCATAGAAATACAGCATTCACTTCAGCCAGTCTGGTGCGGTATTTTCTTTAAGGTGCAGCTTATTTCTTGGAGTAAAATGAAGAAATGGAAATGAGGAGTGGTTGGATCTGCTTATTTCTCAGTTAACAGGAGAGTTGCACCTTTTCACAGCATGTTATTTTGCCTCTTTCTCCACACTGATTCCTCCATTTGCTGAAATTTCGTAGTACATGCTTTAATATGCAACACAGAATAGACAAGACCTTAAACGCACCACTCACCTTTCTTTATTGTATCATTGCAGAAGTAGTTTCACCGACTTTAATTCAATGCTACTCTCCCTTTTTAGTCTAAACAATAAGGTCTAATGTTACCAGCACTCCCTCTGATGCTTGTATCATTTTACATGTGTGTTAAAGAGTCTTATATCCGTGTGAAGCAGTTTGAATGTAACTGGAATCAGGCTGGAGGGCACAGAGGGATTATAACAGTCTGGAGAGCTGTGATATCGGACACATACATACACATAAACCCTCATAATGCGCTCGTGCATGTGCAGGAGTGTGTATAATAGGAGATAGGCGGCTACGAGGGTCTTCATGCCTTAATCCTGGTCCCTCTCCCCCAAAAGAGAGGGACATGGAGTCGAGGGAGGGCAGAAAGAGAAGAGGTGAAAGAGAAATGAGATCAAGGGATAGAGGGGTTTGTCCAGAAATGACCCTTGACCCTGGTGTGTGTGTGTGTGTTAGTGTGTGTGTTAATGTGCACACATGACCCCAAGAGGTGGGTCTGCCCCACTCTGCCGCCACCATGACTGTGGGCGTTTCCATGACGACAGGGTTAGAGGCTAGCCCACGAGCTGCAAAAGAAAAAAAGGTGCATCCTGACATGAGCTGAGATCTAAGTGCGGCGGTCTCTTTTGAGCACATTCCTCTCTTTTCTTCCTTTTCTCTCCTTGATTTTTCTCCGCTTTCCACCGTGGAGACTTAATTTTCCTCCCTTCAGGTTTTTTCTACTTGTCAGCAATTATCTCCTGTTTCATTTCTCATTCATGCCGTTGCTCTCCTCCGAGTTGTTTGTTTTTTTTGTTAAGTTGCATCCCTTTTTAAATTGCTGCTGGTGGTACTTGGCTTTGTGCTCCCTCCACAAGAATTAGCAAACAAACTAGTCCAAGCACAAACAACAACATGCTGATTTGTGCTCGAGTTAACGCCGTATCCCGCTGCGTCGCGCATTGTAAATACCTGTGGCTGAATATTTCTGACTTAACATCAAACACACGCAACGATGAGGTTGAAAGCAGTAAGTTTCAGTTTAATCTTGTTTTCCCAATTAAAACTGCACGCTTGCACACTGATTCAAGTATGCAAAATGAAGGAGTATAAATAAACATAACAAATTCAGAGAGTAAGAGAGGGTATGACAAAACCAAAATCCACACAACATTCAACAAGGCGTGTGTGCAAAATATATGTATAATTATGTGCATACGCTTAAAATCCCCCCAATCATCATCCCTTTTAAATATTTTCCTTTTGGGCTTCTGCTCTCTTATCACCCTGATGGTAAACGAGAGCAGGTGTCAGTTTTCTTGCAGGGAGGGTAAAGGTGACGGTGTGGTTGGTTGCAGCCATTTAATCAGCTTTAAGGAATAAAAGCATGTTGGTGTCGATTAAATCATGGATCATACTCTAATGTCATATGTTTGTCAGTGTCACACATGAACACACTCCTAAACTGAATATCCTAGACTCTCCCCCCTTCCCTTATCAAAAGATGGCACTACGTTCAAGAAATCAAATCACTTTATGAACGATTAATCAAGTACTCACAAATTTCCACATTTTTTAACCTGTCATGTAGGTTTCCTAAAAATAGGAAAAAAGAGTGTTACAAGAAAATAACAGAGGGAATCAATTTGAAATAAGACAGGATCATATAAAATACTTTAGTACAGGCTTTATCTCATCAAGTGTTGTAAGTTTTTCTTGAAAACCAATTTTGTGCTTGAATTTTTTACATGATACCCTGTAATGGCTCGATAGGTAAAAGTAGATTTGAGTGGTTCTCTTCTTGGTTTTGGTGGTTCAATGTATCCAGAGCTGGCTTGTCTCGTCGTGTAGTTATGTAAATTTTGTGTATATTTAACTTAGTCATATAAATGCTGTGGTCTCTAGTCCATTAAAACATTACAGAAAAAAGTGATAGTACGAAAATGTAATCTATTATCAACAGGAAGCCATGAGAGCTTTCTGTGCATTTCCGTGACATTTAAAGGACAGTGATGACAGTTACAAGTTCTCGATTACTCAAATATTTGTCCCCATCCCTGCCCTGATCTATTCTGCTAAATAAATGCTGTAATGATTTTAAGCCTTTCTTTCTTTTACAGATGCTCTTAAATTTGCTTCTGTGATGTACGAGCTAACCCCTGAAAATATACAAGAGCACCATCCATTAATATTGCTACCAATGTACTCACACACTGAATGCATATAAATGCACGCCCACATGGATGATTGCACACCCACTTACACTCTGCATGTGCGCAAATGCACACACCAATCAGTTTCTCCATTGCCTCCTTAGGGAAGCAAACTCCTGCATCAGCTGCTAAATTGTCCAAACTATCTCATCTGCTAATGGGCTACCTGTCTTCCTGCATGTCTGCCTCTCCGTCTGCAGTAATGAGTTCCTGTCTGTCTGTCTGTCTGTCTGTTTGTCTGTCTGCCTCCCTGAATGTCTGATGTGTTGTCTGGATGTGTGTGGGTTGAGTCTTTCTGCTACCTGTCTGCCTCATTGTCCATCTTTCTGCTGGAAGCTGTGTTTTGATCTGACAATCTGCTGCTCGGTCTGGCTGCTGTGTTGATGAGCCCTCTCATGGTGACACCATCAGTCTGTTCTTATTTCATTGGAATTTTGATCATGTGCTTGTGTGCTGCTACTTAACCCAAGGGAGAAACACAGCATGGATAAAACAAAAAGGGAGCCTGCAAACATCCTGGTTTGTACTGAAGGATGTTCTCTGCAACTAGCTTAGATGTACATGAAAAGAAGTGGACACAGAAATATAAGTATGGGCAGAGCTAGTCAGAGTAACACTTAGAATCTTTATGTTTTAACCCTAGAACACATGTTTACGTGATTTTCATTATGTGGTGTTTGTCTGGGGGCAGCACAGTGGTGTAGTGGTTAGCACTGTCGCCTCACAGCAAGAAGGTCATGGGTTCAAATCCGGGTCATGGTGTTTCTGTGTGGAGTTTGCATGTTCTCCCTGTGTCTGTGTGGGTTTACTCTGGGTCCTCTGGTACTCGTACAGCCAGTTTGGTATTTTCGTGAACTGAGGCGAGGAGGGGAGCTAATGTTATTGATCAATACAGGTCTTGGCTGTGTTAAACCCACTCCACGCCCTCTCTCCTCCCTCACTACGACTTATGCCGCTGGGAGGAGCTGAGTTAGGGAGGGGGGATACTTACGCCGGGCTGCACCGCTCACCAAAATACCAAATTGTGATTGGGAACGCCTTGTTGGCGCGGCAGACCTGACTTATGCCGCGTCTGCGCCACGTCGCCGACGAAGCATGAAAATAGAGCCCTATATGTCAGCCCTGCGATGAACTGGCGACTTGTCCAGGGTGTCCCCTGCCTTCGCCCAAAGATGCTAGGCTAGGCTCCAGCGACCCCAGGAACGGGAATAAGCGGTAGAAAATGGATGGATGGATGTGTTTGTCTGAGTATCATGGGTCCCTGGGTAGCTTCAGCATTGCCTTTGACATCTTTGAAGGCATGTTTGTTTCCCTGATCCAAAACCCGCTTTTTCCTACAGGCACGTGTTTGTGTGATTTTCATCCGGCAATAGTGATGGAGGGTAAAGTAGGTTTGGGTCGATTAAATAGCTGTGTGTGGGTGACTAAGGTCAGTAAGAGTGGTCCTGGAATTTGCATGCTATCTTTATTTAGCACAGTGGTTATGAATAACTATCACAAAGTAGTGATTTTCGAGGGAATTCATATAGTGATAAGAAATATTTTAGTCAGCTGGTCATTTTTACTCACTCAAAATATGTCATATTTTGGTTCTCTCTCCTGTCAGCTCTTATTGTGCCAAAGACCCTGAGTCTTCACCAGGGAAGACTCACATGCCCCAGCAATGGGTTGAAAAGAAACTAAGTTTATATATTTTGGGGGAACGCCTAATTTCAGTTATTTTGTTGCACTTTTATATGGTCCCCTCATGGCACCCCCCCCCCCCCCCCCATTAGACATTTCACAGTCAAAAATAAAAGAAAACTACTTAAATTTGTCATGTATGGTCCTTTTTTTAAATAAATTTTGATAACAAGTACTTCTTCTTGGGTATATTATTTCGGGTAAAAATCACCCAGCGATAGTGATGGTGTTACTATTTTAGCGATAGCGTTCTCGGGTTAAAACAGTGAAAGGAAAAACAGTTTAATTTCTGTGTTTGTACCACTGAAGAAGCCAGGAGTGAAGCTTTGAGAAAATAACTATTAACAACGAAACTGTGACTCACAGACAGATTCTTTTGACTAAAGTCTCCTACAGGGGCTGTATTCAACTACAAAATGATCACACTGGTTTTCAGATGTATTGATTGAGGGAATTTCTGCTCTATTTCTGATCTGAACACACAGTTTACAGCTCAAGTCCTGATTGGACTGTAAGTATTGTAACACGGGGCTGAAAGTCCTTGACTGCTGATTGTTAGCTACACTGGAAATACAGAGAAGGTAACCACTGTTCCTAGAGGCATTCGTGGCTGTTAATGGACACCTGATTGGTTCAGAGATTAGAGTAATGCTTACAGTGATTTGAGTTTAATGAAGGAGATAAGAGTCAAAGTGTTGATACTTTGTAAGAAAGGCTCTTGCTCCAAGGTTGTACTGTCATTGTATACTAAAAGGCCAAACTCCCCAACAATAATATGTTGCTATAGCAACTAAGGACACAGCCTTGTGGGAGTACAAAAGTGACACACACCTAGTCATTGTTATTATAAGCCTAGTTTCCCATATACCTCCGATTGTACTTTCCCTTTGTGTCTTTGCCTTTACCACCAACACATTTCTTCTGAATAGACTTTTATTTCACTCTTAGCTCTTTTGTCCCCTGGAGTGCCACTCTGGTTCCCCTCTGAATTTGATTATTTATTTTTATAACAGAATGTTTCTGCCATTACCAGACCCAGTCTCTTGAGTTGAGCCGCAATTGCAAACCAGCTTACAATATGTGCGAACAGCCCCAAAGAGTAATTTCCCTGCAATATCACCATGTGGTGGATTTAGATTGAGGGCTTCCAGAGTGGGTTTGATGCAGACCCTCCACACCCCCTCATATGTCAGAATACAATCCCTCTTTCTGCTCTGCTCCGTTATTGTCTGTTCATTTTCTCCCTCCACTCTTAACACATCCTGTCTGATGTCAGCCTATTCCATGAACCATATCATAAATAGAGCCCCACTGACATTTCAATTTGCCCCATAACCCCCTCATATATATGTACACACACACACTCACACACACACACACACAACCACAGACACATACGTTTGTGCACAAAGTTCATCGTGGAGCATCAGTTCAGTAGCAGGCCTCTCCTGGGTTTCCACAGAGACGAGGAAAAGCAATAACTGCACACTTGACCCCTCTGCTCTTTTATTGGCCCCTTCACACGCACGCACACACACATTCACACACCTCAAATCTAATCTGGGAGAGTGAGCCTCCTTCCGTGATATTCCTGCATCTTTTCCCCCCGGAGGATTGGAGAGGAGGAGCATAGGAGAGAGGAGGAAGTTAATAATTTCATCCTGCAGCGACCTGGAGACGATAAGATCGATTGTTTGGCTCTTGTAGTCTCCTTGTATCACACACACGCACACACATGCACACACCAACACACAGACACACACACTTGTTTGGAAAGGTGTAATAACACCCTGCACACACGCTAAAAAATCATCACAGTTTCTCATCCTTGCCTACACTTTACTGCATCTCTCTTCGTCTTTCGCTTAAGTTTAGCTAGTAGCTGCAACTTTCTGATTGTGAAGAGAGAGTGGAAGATGAAATGTGGGCAGGAGGGAAAAGAGAGGAAGAAAGAGAGAGAGAGGGATTGAAGGAAAATATTAGGAGAAGCGACAAGCTAGCCTTAGCGACAAGCTTGTTTACTGTTTATTTTGGTCTCCAGTCTCATTTCTTCTCATATTGGCGGAGCGGAGATGATTTCCTTTTTTCAATGTTTATTCCTGTGTGGATTCCTTGTGTTGTGTGGTTGTTTGTGCAAGAGGTTGTGAGTGCATGTGTATATTAGCGAGCGTCCCCTGTTAGTCTCCTCCAAGCTCATTTTTCTGAACTCAGTCTTTCCACAATCAGCGGTTGTTACGGCGCGTTCAAGGTCCCAGTGCAAGAATTCCTATTTGTCTTTATTTTCCACACAAAAACCTCCTAAGTAGTGCAGATAATTGAACAAGAAAATGTTAAGTGCCCATTGAATCATGCACACTGTGAGAACACTTTGTTTTTACTCTCAAAATTCTAATTGTAGATTCACTGAATCCTTTTGTTGAGATCACCTGAGAAGCTGAATTTTCTTTAGCATTGTCCCCTGACAAAAACAGCTTTGTTTTCTTGTTCGTCATCTCATCTTTTCCCCTAACAGATATATAGAGCTTTCTAATCTGAAATATGATCTTCATGTTTGTGTATTTAGCGTTTAGCCTTTCTGAGTGACCACACTCACACGCCAGAGCTCGGTCTCTGCAGCACACAAGGACAATAAGAGATTACTCGAGATGATTTCTGCCTCTTTGTAATCAGGTCAGGGTCAATAGGATTGTTGGTGAGTTGAGGGGTCATAATTATTCTGATAAACCCAAATCCCTGAAGCAAATAGGATCCAAATATCTGTGGGTTTTTTCTGAAATAAATGAAAGTCGCAAAAGGATTTTGAATTTTAATCTAGGGTTGCATTTCTCTATCCAAACCACAAAATATATGTGTGATTATTGACTCTTCGCTGTCCTCTTGTGATTTTTTTTTTCATGCAGTTCTCAAAGGAGAAGTACCTGCTGGAGTCTCCCCCTGAGAAGCTTCGTAAAGAGCTGGAGGAGGAGCTGAAACTGAGTGCTGCCGACATTAGGAGCCATGGCTGGTACCATGGACACATCCCCAGAGAGGTAAACACACAGACTGGAATAAAAACACTGCAGGATGTTAGGAGTCTACACACACACACACACACACACACACACACACACACACACACACACGAGCCCCAAAAAACTACTTTTCCAGTCTATATTGAACCATGGATGCTGTACAGAACTGAATTAGCAAGAATTATGGCATTCCTAATGGATGGGAGGACAGGTAAATTGAGTTATATTGATAGAAATTTTATTCATCAGTGGTTTGGAGATGTGACAGAGTTGTTCTTTTTTATGTTTCATTTTATTCTACATAACTTTTCTTTGGTAAGAAGCAAAGACAAACACTCTGAGATGTTGTCACTGGCGATTTACACATGTAGAAGAAAGAAACAGACAAACTCAGAGGCGGATTTGTCTAGAATTGAAACAGCTGTTAGGTGAAGACGTAATATAATTTGTTCACTTTCACAGCGAGTTTGTGCTTCAGAGGTTTGAGACAGAAACAATGAGTCAGTGACAGCGTTGGCCTACTGTACGATATGCAGCAGATCAGTCAGTTTAATTCGTAGCTGGATGCTGTATTACACTTCTAGTTTAGCTCGATGTTTTCATTAATGCAAATGAAGTTCACCTTGTTCCACTTCAGCGCGACAAAAAAAAAAAAAACTAGAATTGTGACCCTCTACCATCAAGAAGCATGAGAATAATAAGCCTCAGGTTAAACTCTGTGCCACATTATCTCAGTCCCTTTTGGAGTAAAAAAAATATTTCCATGAATAAATAAATAAATTCTGAAAATGATGAACTGCTTCGACGGTTTGTATTTCAATTTCCTGCCTTCATGATAAACTTAAAAGCCAAAATGAAATAAGATACAAATACAAGCTTAATAGTGTTTCTCTGTGGGTTGGTGTGCTTGTCACCCAATAGTAAATAGTATTATTAGCTGAGAGTGTATTCGGCCAAAGTGCTTGGCTTTCAAAGCACAGTTCAAACACGTTTACACACAGAATGACACTGATTAATGAATCCCATCATCTGTCACAGCTCGGGAGAAATTGCTTTAGCGCTCAGAAGGAGGGGAACCTCTGCCAAACAGACAGCTGTGTGTGTGTCGATGACGAACGCAATTGAGTTTCACAGCTGGTGACTGGGTCACACATACACAAAAAAAAGCCTGCTCCACACATACAAACGCAAACACACACGCACACTGTACGCACATGTGGAGGGCGCTCATTCAGCCACTGTCTCTCGATCAACCTCTGTTCTCACAGACACACATAAACGCAGATTCAAATCAGCCATCTGTGAGTCTTCCCTCTTTTAATTTACATAAAATATTCATTTATTCATGGATTTGCCCCTTGAGTAAAGTTGGGGAAACCCTGAGTCCCCTGGTTACTAAAACAGTATTTAACGTTACACACTCTCAGTGCACAAACAGCGGCTCCTTTGATTTCTTTCATCCTGCACATTTTCTTTTTATAGTGACGGACATTGATTGATTTTTTTTAAAGCTTTTGCAGGAAACTTAGAATCACGAACCTCTGCTTCACTAAATTGTTATTAAATCATCATCTGACTCAGTCGAACAGTGGTGGGCTAAGAACCCAAAAGCCAGACTTGACTTATGAGGATCATACCAGTAAATCATTTTAGTTTAAGAGAAAATCAGCGGTTCTGATATTACTCAAGTAAAAGGCTTTAATAGTAATCATAAACTACTACCGAAAGTTAAACTAAAAGTAAATGATAGTAATAAGTCAGAAATTTTAAAGGGTTATTAACCATGAACTATCTAGACATCACTTTGAGTTACAAAGACTTTAAAGTACGCATTTTATTTCTGAAAGTAGGAACAAGAAATTAAATCAAATTCACAAACACATCAAATGACTGGAAGAAAAGTCCCCAGCTTTGAATCAAGTTATTGAAAAAACAAAAGTGGGCTCTGCGCTTCCCAGAGCACATGACCTGTGTGTACGCTGCCCCCTGCTGGCGTGTGACACTCTGAAGACGCAGCACACTGCGTGCTTTGCTGCATGATATAAATCATGCCTTGTTTCCTGTGCAGAGTGATTTCAAAGCTTCTCACCTCCTGCGATCATCAGACATTCCTTTGCAGATGCTTAAAAAGGTGATTTTGCTCAGTTTGAAATATTTGTCTCCCTTACTGCTTTGTTACAAGATCAATATTGTGATCTTTACTCCTCACAGAAACCAGACACACATCTGAAGCGTTTGATATCAGCAAGATGTACAGCCTGAAGCGCTTCCATTGACCGGGAATGAGAAGATTGCTTTCCTTGATTGCTTGTTTTGTCAATACATTCAAAACAACTTTCATTATTGCGACAGTGAGGCACTCAATAAAATGTGTCCTCAGAAAATCATCCTCATCAGTATTGCCAGCATTTTATCCATCACTGCCAATTCAAACAACGCACAGCACAGACAGTTTGGCAGTCAGAGAGATAGTTGTGTTTGTTTAGAAACTGTCCTCCGGCATGCTTATGAATAATCCTGATTGTCTAAATTCAATTATTTAACAGTCAAAGTGTCAGAAACTAAATATTCACACTCCTGCTGTGCTTCAGTGAGCCAACCCTGCTGCTTGGAGCTTTTTCCCTCATTTAAACCATGTCCTTTTTTTCCTCCCTCTCTCTCTCGAGGTGTCAGAGACTCTGGTTTTACGTAATGGAGATTTCCTCGTGCGTGACTCTCTGACCAGCGTTGGCGACTACGTACTGACCTGTCGATGGGATAATGAGGTGCTGCACTTCAAGATCAGTAAAGTCCTGGTCAAGTCCAACGAGACAAAGGTGCGTATTTAAGCTTTCACTGGCGCTCAATACCTCTCAACAGCTACTTCTATTCAGCTGTATGCGGTCTATTCGTATTTGCATTGAGACTCTTTTCAGCTGCCTTTGAAACAGACAGAAATCAGCACTGATAAGTCTTTCTGACCAACAAAAGCGAATAACACCATCAGGGAAGAGAATGAGAATGAGAGAATGAGGATTTCTACTGGGCTTTTTTTATGTCATTAAGTGTGGAAGAGGAAGTGGAAGTGATGAAGTCAAACAGCCTTACTTTAACATTTCTCAACAAACATGTGCACAAGAACGGCTCTCAGGGGTGTCCCGATACAACTTTTTAAATTCTGATACAAAACCGATATAGTAGCCTGCAGTATTGGATAGAAATTGATCTGATATTGATACAAATTTTTGCATGACAAGTTTTGCTCTCAGCTTCAACAACTTTTTTGGACTTAAACAAAAAATTCTACCACACAGCCGACATCACTTCTACTCCTTAGTACTTTGTTAGTACCTTAGTACACACTGTTGTTGTGATCACATGGGCTCTGCATGCTGGATCCGGATGCAGGCTGATCTAATCCGACATTCATTTTTCTGCTGATATCGGACTGATATCCGGTATCAATATTGGATCGGGACATCCCTAACTGCTCTCATAACAAAGGAAATACTTAGCGATGACTGGCAGACAGCAGAGAGCGGTGATGTCGAAGCGGACTAACAGTTACAGTATGCCCGATTTTCCATCAAGTCAGCCAGCCCCTAATTATGCCTTATGATGCAAAAGTTGTTGCCCTTATACCTTCAAAATAAAAGTAAAAAAAAAGTATTTTTACCACATTTACAGTGACTACTGATAAGCGAATGAGCTCTTCAGACCAGAAATGTTTTTTTTTTGACAAGCTGTAAACGTGTTTATTTGCACTGTAAAAATTAATATTTTAACATAGGTGTAAATGAGGTCTCCTGGGCGTTTGAACCCAGCCCCAAGTGGACACTCTGGGTACGGTAGTTTTGGTACTTCTGTCTTGGCTTAATTCTCTAGCACCTGAGGTTGCCGCTTGATTGTCACGTTTTTTAAAGGCAACAAGTCAAGCCTTAGAGAAATTCCCTTTAGTCTGTTTTATAGATAGTGGGACAATGTTTTGCAGAATAACAATCCTGCACTGAAGAAAACTTGAAACTAGAAATAGAGACATCACATTTCTTCAAAAGATTGTGTCATTCATCTGATCAAAGAGTGCGTTTTTTCTGTAGATGAGCATATGCTTCTTTTGTTTATTCCATAGAGCATCACAACGTTTTTGACATCTGTGTTTTTTTGTTTGTTCTCCTCAGGTGCAGTATGTTCTGGAGGCTGATAGTTTTGACTCAGTCCAGGAGCTTGTACGGTTTTATGTGGGCCAGCGCAAACCAGTCTCCCAGTCGAGTGGCGTCCACATCTACTGTCCCGTTAGCAGGACTCTCCCCTTACGCTACCTGGAGGCCACCTTCGCTCTGGCCAACAGCAAGCAAGGCTCCGCCTACTCGCCGTCCAGTCAGAGAGGAGCGTACATCAAGAGGAGGAGTGTCACCATGACTGACGGGCTGACCACAGAAAAGATGATACCTCACAGGTGGGCCAGTAGAAACAAATACAACTCTGTCCTTTTTTTTCCCATCTTATTTGTCGTTGTTTCATTCTCGCTCTATGTTGGGTCATGATCAGTGACCCGGACAGTCCCAGCCCAGTTCAGACGCCAGTGGCACCTCCAGAACCAGAGCCCGAACCGGAACCTGTGCCCATCTGCAGGTTGTCTGTGTGTCGTGTTTGCGCACTAATCTAGCGAACTTACCTCCCACATTCCCCGCAGCCCCCTCACTCCACACTCACCTTCAGCACCTCCCAAAGCATCCAGTCCTCTGAGCGAAGTTGACTCATTCACTCGGCCACTTCAGCACTGGGTTGCTCAAGTTTCAAAGTTTCAACAAGGCCGTTTGAAACTTGAATCCACAAAGAAGGAGCAGACAAATCTGTTGTGTTACAGTGCAAATAAATGTTATCCTCGCTGGGAGTATGGAGAGGAGTTCAGCAAGCTGTCAAAGCAGGGGATAAAACCAGTGCCAATGAGACAGTGAGCTTTACAGAAAGCAAAGACAAGTGGAATGAAACATATTTGGGCATCATTTTGGAAACTTTTCCCAGCGTTATTATGCTAAAAAAAAAAGAAATTATGCGCCTTAAACATCAGTAGAGCTCATCTTCTTCTGTGTGGCCAAAAAGTGCCACATCCTCTGCTCCTTCTTTCAAGACCTCAGTCATGTGCTCGCTCTGAAATGACACAAGAACCACCAAGAACTAAAAAGAAATGTTTCTAAGGTTTCACTAACTTTCCTGTCCTCTCTCATCTTGAAGAAGCACCCTTCCTGAACACCTAATGGATCATTTTGAACCCTAAACTGCACTGTTTTGTTTTTTTATCTCTTTAAGATAACGGTTACGTTTAAAACTAATGTACAGAGAATATTAACACGATGAAAATACTGTTTTTGCAGCCCGTCAACAATCCACCACCATAAGGACGCAATGCGCAACTGTGCGATGAGCATGGACCAGATTCAGGAGTATCGCTGCCCCTTGTCACCTGTCGGGGAAACCCCACTTTCTCCTGCATACACTGCCAGTAAGTGGAAAAAACAAACACACTCAAAAACACAAACAAATCCACACTCCGAGAGTCCGAGACTCATCTCTGTTATTCTTTATAGTCACCAGGCAGAGAGCCCATTCAGGTGGGCGGATCCTTGCCGTCATCCCGCCCTCTCCTGTAATGCGGCGTTCCAGCGACCCTCAGCTCAGCCCCTCCACCTGCGACAACCCTCCAGATCACCCCGCGCATACCTCGCACTCTGCACACTCTTCGCCCGCTCATCATCCCAGCTTTCAGTCGCATTCCTCGGAAACGGCAGGGAGCTACTGTGACCTCAGACCCTGCCCCGCTGGGCCCCCGAAACCCCCGACCAAGAGCTACGTGGAGAGATTGCGAGTGGAAGAAGGGAGGCAGAATGCAGTGAGGGGGGAAGGAGAGGGGATGTTCAGCGCTCCACAGGTGGAAACGACATCCTCATTCAGACCATCCAGGTAAAAGACACACAGAAGCACACAGTTTCTCTGTGCACTTCAGGGTTTCTCTCTCCTAACTGAATGTAACGCTGTAAGAAGAGAACTTACAACCTAAAGAGCTCTCTGGTTATTACTCCGGGAAAATGACTTCAGATGACAAGAAAGAAAGAAATTCAAATTTAATTTAGAAGTACATTATATGCATGAAATGCTTACAAGGTTTTCTTGCAGAGAAGACAGTTCCACCACTTTTTATGCAAAATAGATGCTGCTGAAACGCCACCTTTCATCATTTGCTACAAAGACTAAATACGCATATCATTACAGTGCCGACCAAAAAAGAGAAGCACACAAGAACTTGTTTTGTATTCACAATGCACTTCCTCATAAGTATTCAGCTCCTTTGGTAAAAATGAATCCCAAATATGGACAAATCCTGGATACAAGTGACCAAGTATCATAAATCACTTTGCTGCTGCCGATATACAGTATTTAAATACATCAGTAATGTATAGGTTTACTTATCCACCTCAGCATAGGTATACATTATTAAGAAAGTAAACACTATTAAAAATGTAATGAAATAAAAGGGCACTTAATGACAAACAGACTAAATCAATAGAGCAGCACTAATGTAAGCAGTTATTGTCCAGGACTGTGTGGAAGAATCAGAAGTAGACACTTTGGTAGTTTTGGCGTTGTGGGTAGGTGCTAAGTTCTGTTAGAAAAAGAAAAAAGCACCCGTTCAATAAAAATTCTGCTGTCTCGGCGTCTGTTTTCAGGCCCAAATCCTGGCTGAGCTTTCTCCACCGCTCGAAGGATGACCCGATGTTTATTTGAGTTAGATTCCTCGCTCGGTCACATTTCCTCTTCGACTCTGCCCTTTCTTCTGTCGGCTTGCGCTTTTGGCAGTGGGGCAAGCAGAAGTGGTTTTTTTTTCATCCTTCTTCATCACAGCTCCTATTGCTAAGTTGCTACGCTACTTTTAGCCGCTCAGAGCTCCAAGGAGGGGATGAGTCGGAACTATGGGAGAGGGGTGTGTCATACAGCGAGGTTATTGGATGGATAGGCGGAGCAGGAGGTTGACCAATGAGAGCTGTCTCGGACGCAATATTTTTTTTTCGTAGGATAGGAGGGGAATGTCCCGCCTCCTTCGCCTATGATTGGCTAGGTCCCGCCTCCTTCGCTTCTGATTGGCTAGAAAAGCTGGGCTCCGATTGGTTATTCCTTATGGCTGTGAAATGTCAGCATGCGCACAATCCGAGCATGGGCTGTCAGCTCTGTACATCGAACAGAATATTATCATACTTCTGAATCCCCTAACCCTAACCTCGACAGACGATAATGTTTCACAGCCATAAGCAATAACCAATTGAAGCCCAGCACTTCTAGCCAATCAGAGGCGAAGGAGACGGGCCCTTGCCCTACCATCCTGCGAAAAAAAATCACGTTCGGGACAGATGACTCCCATTGGTCAATGTTTTTGCAGCCTTGCACCTGCTATTTCCATTCTTTTTTCTCTTCACTTTGTGGAGATCGCACTACAGGACCATGATCGCCATAGAAACGAGGTTCATAATAATTACCAATCTCTCCAACCGTCACCCATGCCTTGAATAAGAATATATTGAGTCTTAAGTTTAGGCTGGGCCCATTTCGTGTAGCTTGTGCTTACAGCAGCGGGTAGGACAGCCTTAAGGGTGCAGAGCTGACATGTTGAGAGATAAGTACGCCTGCTGACAGTTTGTCAGAAAAGGTAAAAATTCAGGAAATAGACGGCTTCGATCGAGCTATGCAGCTCCGCTTAGAGTGTTCAGATACTAAAAAATAGACTTGAGCAAAGAGCTGATAATCCTGTGGGAGCCGGCCCGAGGGCAGACTTTGTGCTGTGGTTTGAGACACAGCAGTTAGTGTATTTTATTGGGTTTACTGTGCCATGGAAGGACACAGCAGATGAAGCTTGTAAAAAGAGAAACGGTCAGGTACGCTGAGTTGGCAGAAGCAACGGAGCAGGAAGCAGCTTTGGACATCTAAGTGTCCCCTGTGAAATTTTTTGGTGCAGGGGACATTATTGAGTGTGCTAACTCTTCTGGGGAAATTGGCAGTTAGAGGAGTAAAGGGCGCTGACATTAGAGGTGCCTGTGTGAGCCAGTTAATGGCTTTTTGGGAAGAAAAAAGCTTCAAGAGGACACAGTCTTGCCAGTATTAGAGCTAGTGTTGGATGCTACATGATGTATACAGACTACATACAGTGATAAATGTTGCATAAATAGATGAGACGCCTACATTAAGAAATATCAATGATACTGAAGCAGGTACTCTTTTACTTATGCTGCAGGACAAGGGAGTTCAGACAATCAGTGTCAAATAACTCACTATGCCCATCTGCAATTATTATGCAATTAGGCTCTTAGCTTAAGGTTGGATAAACTAGGCCAGAAAGCAGCTGATAGCAGTATTAATCTTATTAATGGAAATTTTGAGCATAACACTTTGTAAACAACCTTTTCTCTGTGATGAAGGCTGGAGGATGACAAGCTAAAAACACATCTTTCATAATTAAAACTCTGGTGAACTTGCTAGCTCTAATTCTGTAGTGGACTGTTTTTTTTTCCACTTCTACTTTAAAGAGTCAGTGAAACACATTAGGTTTGTGTCAGTTTTGGTGCCCTCTGTGGACAAAGTGGTTTTTGCTTAGATAGTGTCTTCTTAAAAATCTCATCCTAATGTGTTTTAACACGTCGTCATCTCTATTGTGCAGGTATGAGTCTTGTCTAATGCCAGCTGAGAATAAACCTCTGGAGATGTCGGTGCTGAAGAAAGTCAAAGAGCTGCTGGCGGAGGTGGATGCAAGAACAGCAGCTAAACACATCACCATGGTGGACTGCAGGGTACGTACAAACACTCCAACACACACTCACAAACCATTCAGTTACCCTTAGGGGTTCTAAGTAGGGACTCAAACGGCACATTTACGTCTAATCTTTGTTTTTAATTCTTTTACAGGTGGCAAGAATATTAGGAGTGACCCCAGAGATGCAAAGGATGATGGGAGTGTCCTCAGGGTTGGAGTTGCTGACATTACCGCATGGACACCAGCTAAGACTTGACCTACTGGAGAGGTACAAATATGGATTTCTTTCTTTGTCTGCCTTTGTACTTTATTCACTTCATGAATTCATTGATTGATTTCTCTCTCTCTCTCTCTCTCTCTCTCTCTCTCTCTCTCTCTCTCTCTCGTCCCTCTTCTTCGCTCTTTTGGTCTTAACCACCCTGAGACTTTCATCCTTTCTTTACCGTCTCATAAAGAATTTATTAAAACTAAATAGGATTAAAAAAAAGCATCAGCCAAATTATGCTCGTCATATAACCATCACAATCTCGAGGCTGCGTCCCTGTTAACTGCATAGATGAGTTTGGATTAAATAGTGCTGTATCATCCCTTAGATTCTACACCATGTCAATCATGATGGCTGTGGACCTGCTGGGCTGCACAGGGAGCACAGAGGAGAGGGCGGCTCTGCTTCACAAAACCATTCAGCTGGCTGCTGAGTTGAAGAGCAGCCTGGGGAACATGTTTGGATTTGCTGCAGTGATGAGAGCCCTGGAGCTGCCACAGGTATAAGAAATGAAAGCAATCCTCACAAGAACAAAAACTTTTATGTTTTTTTTAAATTCTTTTAAACAAACTGATTTTTGTCACTTTTAATCTTAGATCTCCCGCTTGGAGCAGACGTGGGTGACATTACGTCAGAGACACACAGAGGGCGCTATTCTATACGAGAAGAAACTCAAACCTTTTATGAAGAACATGAACGATGGTAAAGGTGAGATCCGAGTTCAAATGGCAGGTGCTGGTTTGCATGTGTGGTTAAAAACGTGCCAGTCTATGTAACTATGAAACCTCCCTTCCCTCTCCAGAGTCCAGCGCCCTGTCCAACACCTCATTTCCTCACATCATTCCCGTCCTGTCTTTGCTGGAACGGGGTATGGCTCTCGGGGAAACACTCGAGCCCTGGGAGAGCGCAGAGGTGGGAGTAGATGTGGTCATGTTCCACCTAGAGGCGGCTCGGACCATCGCACATCACGGGGGGATTTATAGAAATAACGTTGAGACCAAACTGCAGGGTAAGTTCGAGGAGAATCTTTGGAAACATCATCTGAAGAAGAACCATGCTCATGGTGTTATTATTATTGTTGGCACTGTAGGTCTGTTGAGAGGTCGTTTTTGAGTCTTTAAAGTGAAATGTGCCCCTCAAAAGAGCAGCAGTGTCCTTAGTTTCCATCACTGCAGCGACAGAATGATTACGATCAAAACAGCACACAGTTGAAAATAAAATAAAAGGTTGTTTTCTGAGCTTAAATGCATTAGTATTAACGCACCGACTTGTTTATGTAGTTTGTATGGGTGTGATCACAATATCAGTAACGTAATGTTATGTAATGATTATGTGCAAGTGCGTGTGCTTACTGTTAACTGCATTGATCTCTAACACCTCCCCAGAGGTTTCCAGTTTGAGGTCATTACTGCTTATTGAACAGCGTGTCAATATCTATCAGCTCACGTCTCTGTTTTCTCTTATATCTCATCATCGATCAGCGTGACCTGCGCCGTCTGCTACTTTCTACAGCTCTATGAGTCAAAGTTAAAACATGAAACACTTGTTAAAATTGGTTTAACTCAAGGATTTTATTATGAAAGCTGTCTTTAGATGATCTCCTGGTTCAGTTCGACTGGTTTTGATGGATCTCTGGAGGTAGTACTCGCTTGAAAAACAGCATAGCACACAAAGCTCATCTGATTGATGAGGTTTGGACATTGTTCGTACCTCACAAGTTAACTTTGAAAGCTTTTACCCTTGTCTCTTTGTAAAATGAGTTAATTATAGTGCAACTGACACTGAGATTAACTTAATATCCATTCAAAAATAGCCTGACTGTGGCTTAATTTGCTCGCTTTTGCCTCTTTTTAGAAATTTTAGTTTTGTTTTTCTTTTAATCACAGTTAGTTTAAAATATATACATAAGGTATCTAACGTGCTACATAAATGAAAACTGAAATAAAATTTTAATTTTCTAAATATTAATAAAGCTAAAACATGTTCCAAAACAAATATGAGCCTCTGATTAGAGAGTCGTGTGTTAAATAGTTGATTCTGTTGGTTTGAATCATCTGTATTTCAGTGTCAGTTTTCTTTGGTCTTGTTTTCAATCAATTATAGCGACTTTTCAACCACAAAAGTAAAACCCTCCCCTCATTTCCCCTCTCCAGGATTCCAGGAGCGAGCAGAAATACACGAGATCTTCCAGACGGAGTTTCAGATGCGTCTCCTGTGGGGCAGCCGGGGCTCAGAAGGCAGCCAATCGGAGCGCTACGAGAAGTTCGATAAGGTCCTCACTGCCCTGTCACATAAGCTAGAGCCTCCTGTGCGCCACAGTGAGCTATAGCACCTGCTGGGACATGCCCATATCCTGCACTCCCCACTTGTGGTATGGTCTGATTTTGTGAAGGATGTTGTGGAGAAGTCCAAACTAGGAACACTGGGAATAATGGGAGGAAAAAGAAGAAGAAGAGGCAGCTAACAGAGCAATAGGACAACAAAGAAGAGGGTCTCAATTAGAGCACATGTTGCATTCAGTGTGGACTCTCCTGCTCCTCCATGTGGACTTCCTCACTCAGCGCTTAAATATTTAAATGAGACAAGCTAAGGATAAAATAAGAGGACGGGAGAGATGGATGACCAGCTTCCTCTGCTTGGTACAAACTAACATGTGTACGGCTTATCCTGAGGGCCAAATAGAGCTGCAGAGTTTGGCTTTGCACCAATAAAACACAAGACACTCTCTTGTTGCAAACAACTGCTGTCACACACTGTAGCAGAAATAATAACAATAACCTACATCGCTCATACTTCAACGTTTTGTCGGTGTGAATGAATGTGTGTGTGCGTGCGTTTACATTCCCTCATTATTGTATGTAATTAACGTTTCATGATTATTTATTTCTTTCGGTCTCAGTGATTCAGAGAATATCTAACCATCACGGACATCGCTTCGCCAAACTCCAGAGGATGTGTCAGTGCTCATTCCGTGGAAGCCATGTTCTTAAAAGCTCATTAAATATGCATCAAGCAGTCCCATTGAATCCCATTAAAAATGTATCAGGCATGCATTAATAAGTGTATCAGAAATGAAACATTTGCCATACTAACGCAGCAAATTAAATATAAGGGTTTTGTACGTCGTTAAAAAACATGAAGACGATAAAGAAATCCTCTCTGGTGTTGATGTTTGACTAATACATTTGATATTGTGTGTCTTGTACGCTAAATTTAGCTGAGAGCACTATGACTTCAAGCAGGATGTGTATTTTTAAATCAAGTTAAAGCAATGTTTCACTCAGTACAGAAACATAAACATGCTGTAGTGCGACTACAGCTTTGATAGTAACTTTGCATTACTAATGAAGTGGTTAATGCATGCAGTTCTAATTGTCATACCCTGGTGAAATGTTGCCTTAACCTCGTTTAAATACTATATATCACTTTATACAGATACAGTCATGTCTGTAGTCTTGAATAATGCTGTCTGTGTACCCTTGACCATATATAGAAATGGATGACATATCTACACCTCCTTCTACTGTACAAAAGTGATGCCAAAATATCCCTGTGACAGGCACTGCCAAAATGTGATGTGGGAGTCTGAGTCTGTGCCCCTTCCATTAAAGAATACACTTTTATAAATGACCGATAAAACAGCAGAAATCCCTCAGGTTCGCACAGTCAGTTACACCGATGTGAAGTGGCTCTTTAGTTTTCTCCAGTTCCTTCCTCTCCTCTGTGCTTATCAACTTTAAAAAGTTAAATTAAAAAAGTGAAGCACTCTGCCCAATTTCAACTGTCAGATCAATCAATCTGGGGAGAAATTTCCTAGACATGTAATCAAGTGCTATATGTTTTGGTCTCACTTTTGAGGGGCTGTCACACTGTCCATCTTTTTTTCATCAAATAATCTTCCATCTTTCAATTTATATTGTTAATCAAATAATGATGTATGCAGATGATACAGCCATGTCTGTGGTTAACTTGAATGATACTGAACACAGAGAAATCTGTATTTTTTGACTTCATCAAATGAAAACGAGAAGTTCCCAAACTGAGCCAAATAAGGAGATGTTGATCACATTCCTGCTGTAGAGAATGTCTTTCGGTTGTGTGTCATTATTATTATTATTATTATAACTATAATTTTTAATCTTGCGTTGCAGCAATAGAGCTGTTGCTATGGGATTACATTTAGATGGACTGATCCATGTACAATCTTTGCTGTATTTGCAGCATGTGGACCTGAGAGGGCTGGAGCCAACTCTCAGAGATATGCAATCATCGCAACCAAGGGCTGAGACCCCTGAGGAACAAAAACCCCATTTAGGCTATTACAGAGTTTCAGCGTTTTCCCTGTCCATCACCTTAATTTGAAAAACTCAATCCCATGTTCTTCCTAAACCTATCCAAATAACATAATCTAAATATGAATGAAAGTCATTTTAGATATCAATCAAACAGAAATAGTTCCAAGATACCTTAGCGTAGTGTAACAGAGATCCTTAAATGGACGCCTGGTTGTCCTCTTTCTAACTCAGACCACATCCAGAGTCAGCTGTACATATGATGAGTGCCAGTTCCCACTGTTAATCCAGCAGGGGGCGATCTTTAGTCAGCAAAAAACACTGAATCATTAATTGTAATACAATTTAACAGGAAGGCTTACACACAGGGACAATAATCATGATAATTGTGTGTTTTGAGACCAATGTTTGATATCGTGTTATCATAAATGAAACCTACTGGTTTAGGCTTTGTATCTGATGACACTGAAGGTGAAAAAGTGACTGATGATGATGATGATGATGAAATAATGTGATGTTTTGATTTGTCCTCTGCTGAATGCTGTACAGGAATGCTCTGACCATGTGTGGACTCTCCTGTTGTTACAAACGGGACTGTATGAGATAAAGTTGAAAAGCAAAAAGACAAAATGTTTTAGGACTGATCTCATGTTTTTTTTTACGTACTGTACATAGGAAATTCACCTTTTTTCAAATAAAATGATTGCTTGTGTCAAAGATTTTGAGTTTGTCTAATATTAAAAAAACACATGTATGTCACTGAACACAATACCTAGTTTCTCTTCAATGATCACATTCAGTTGAGATCATGTCTGGTCATTGTAGAGTTACCCGTTTTAGAAATGTCCTCCACAACTAACCTGTGCGTGGCATAAACCTCAGCTGAAAACAACTCTCTGAACTGCGCTGTTGAACTGGATGTTGGGGTTCTTCATTAAATCAAACATGGACTCTATTTAGAGTCACGTACTTAATATAAAGAACTTATCGTATATGTGGCTAAAGTTAGTCCAAAATAAAGGAAATAACGCAAGAAGGAGAAAAACTCTTATTTGAATTAATTCATTCAGAAATAATCTCATAAACTATTTAATGCCTTCACCTCTGGTCCCCACTTCACCCTCATCCATGACAAATCCTTTCATTTCAGTCTTCTGGTACCCCCATTTGATGACTCACTCACTTAAAGCCACAGTGAGCATTTTGCAGTTGGTTATGAAATAGTCTGAAATTGGTAGTGACGCCTCTTCATGACCCAAAGACTGAATGTGAATGCCTCAGGGTAGATAATGTCATTCAGAGCATGGGAAAAATTCATGATGAGCGATTCACATGCTGGTTTAAAGAAAGGTGGAAAATTTGGAAATCATGCTCTCCTTTAAAGAGGGGAGGGACCACAAAGCTTGTCATCATCGCACAGCCCAAAAGCCAGCATCTCTAATGGAATGGGCACAAATCACTGTCCATGATATATGCATTATACAGTGTGTGACCTCAAACTGTTGAACATCTAAACCCAACATCAGGCAAGAACAGGACAACATTTAACCGTCAAATCTCCAGACACCAGTCTCTTAGGTTTACAAACATTTACAGTGTTTTTATCAGAGGAGGTGACACAACACAGTAGTTAACACATCCATGTCCTACCTGTTTAGAAATTGATTATTGAGATCAAACTAAAAAGAGGATCAAATGTTTCTGTTTCAACATTTGATGTGTTGTCTTTAAACTATTTACAATCAAATTTATGCATTACATGATTTTCAAACTGTTTCTATCAAGATTTCACACAGTGTCCCAAATCTTCTAGAACTGGGTTTGTAGTTCATACCGTAGAAAATTAACAATAATAAATGAAAATAAGCAAAAAGAAAATAAAGGATTAAAATAAACATCACTAGACTTCTCTTTTGTGCTGTTTAAACTCATTAGATAACTGGTAAAGGGTCATCCTGCAGTCCACTTCTTGCAATGCACACCCACAGCCAGTAGGTGACACCATTTCACTGTCAAACCCAAGCTGGCCCTCATCTTTTATACAGTTCACAGTTAGTCCTCAGCTGCAGAGATAAACATCCTGGTTCTTGATCCAGTTTAGGAGGCTGACAGTGCACTCCTTCTTGAGTTTGAACGCTCACTCTGCGGGAGGACAACATGTCATTTTTTAATGCACTTATTTCTGAGCTCCTGGACAGTTTGGCTACTTCATAAATGCGACCAGTGTTAATAATGCATTTCAATCTGATCTGTATTTTGTGTTTATGAGAAAATGCACTATATAAAGTGTACTGGGCATGCGTGTTTTGCGAAGCCTCACACATTTTTTTACAGACAGACCCATGGCGATGGCAGTGGGAGGGAGACAAAGACAGATGGAGTGTGTGTGTGTTTATATGTTTGTGTGTGGGAGTGTGCGCATCTATGCATTTGTGGGCTAGTGCATGTATGTGTGTATGTGTGTGTTTTTGAATCAGTGTGTGATTTAGAAACATCAGTGTGTTTTCTGTGCACCACGACACAGATGTTGCAGAAATACCTGCTCGTCTCATGAAGGACGCAGCAGTGCGGCCTGGCAGCTGTTGTACAAAATGAGGGGTGTCCAGTTTATTTCAGGTGAGAATTTTGTTTCGAGAAAAATAGAGAGAAGAAGAATTACTGCGTTTTTGATCGAAATAAGTGGGATTCAGAACGGAAAAGAGCAAAACAAAACAGAAACTAATGAGATGATAGGATGTTTTCTAATCAGCTTCAATAGAAAATGATCATTCCCTGCACTCTTTGTCTCCCCTTCCCATACAGTTCCATAGGCGTAACATGTTATGGGTGTAATCTCTAAGAGGATTCTCTCTGCTTGGTATCATGGTACATGTTAATTTCACCTCTTTATGTTCCTTATTGAAACAGACCCAAGATCTCCCAGGCCAGCCAGCCAGCCAACCAGCCCGCCAAGCGTCATCAATTCACCCCTAATCTCTCCCCCCAGTCCTTTTTACAGCTAATCCATTGTGTTGGTCATTGTCATCTGATCATGTGTGACCCCGGCTGCTTTATAGCTGGTGCCTGGCAGCGTAGCATTGACTTTTGACACCCATCTATGGGCAGATATCAGGGGGGAAGGGGGCAATCAAACCTGCCTCCAAGTTTCTTCTATCCATATATTTTTATCCATATTTTTTCAAGTAGAGTCACTTATCAAACACCAAACTTCTGATATGAGTAGTTGTGAAAATAGGAGGATATTAAGAGAAGAAAACAGGTGTGTATTTGTATTTGTCACACCAAAGTTTTCCTTTACTTCTGCTCAAAATAAAAAAAAAGTTGAATCTCATGGATCAGGTATTATCATGTTTTAGAGTCAGGTGGGAAATGGTCATGTCACGACAGTATTCCCAATGTGCAATAGGAGCTAACTCTTTATAAGGATTTCCTAATAGACACACATGTACCCATATTAATATATCTGGGAAGAGCCTCAATGAATGACTAAATTTTGACATTTATGCTTGTATAATTAAAAAACATCTTGTCACATTTAAGTATTAAAACTATGTCTGTACACTTGAATAAACCATATTAAGGTTAGTTTTATGTTTACTGCTTCAAACATTTAGAGACCACAAGAAATTCATCAAAAGAGGCGAGGCGTACCGAGCACAGCTTTACATGAACCTCAACCCAGCTTAGCAAACATGACGTGACACCCGGTGATGGTGTGATCAGTCCTAGATCACTCATGAAACGTACAGCCATAACAATCCCACCCATACCCCCGCCTTCAGCCCCCTCAACCTCCCTCTGAGCTCGCCCCAGGACTGTTTTACGATACTCTCTATACCCCAAACACAAACGTCTTCATCAAAACTTTCACTGCAGCCTCCACCATCAGAGGACTCTTTCGTTTTCCCGCCTCACTTGTCCTCACCCACGCCTCATCCCTCCCCTCCCTCGCCCCCGCCAGGCCCCTGGTCGATCCGTCTATCTGCCCCTGCACTGACTCCTCATTAACACATGAATGAAGGCAGGGAAGGGCCCGCTAAGGCTTGGACGCCAACAGAAGGCTGTGGATTTGCAATTCAAACCTCTGACCGACCCCCTCTTACCCCCACTGCACCCTCCCAGCCCCTGTGTACTGGGACTAGAACTGTCACCAGTATGATTGAGGATGTATATAAGGAGGGAGAGAGGGATCAAGAGACAGATGTGGATTCACACACACATGCCACGCACACTCTTATATTGACATGCACAGTGCACATACATGCAAGCATGCATATACAGGGTATGAAAGCAAGAGAAAGAGTCTTATATACTCAAATGACTTCCACTATGGTGACTTACTGGAATAATATAAACCAAGTCTATGGAATTACAAGTTTATAAATAAGGGGAAACCTTGAAAGAATTTAAGTGTTAAACTTGAAAATGTATACCTTATAAAATGCTCATCCTAAAATGTTTAAGAAGTTTATAAAGGCACAGCAATCATCCAAGCTTAAATAACAAGTTCAAGTCCATTTAAATGGCAAGTCCAGTCTAAAATAAACAACATATGCTCTCCTCATTCAGAGTGACACGTCCTTAGTCCAACAAAACACTGAGAAATCTGTTCGATCGCTTCAGTTCATAGCTGTATTTTCTGTCTGCCAGTGTTTGACAAGGATGTAAATTTAGCTTCCGCTTGATCATGCATCTCTTATGTATCAAAATTCTAACTGTTTCTACTTAATATTCATTCTTAATCATCATATTGCCCTCAATCAGGGCTCTACTTCAGAGGTAGTTGGTGTGAGTGCCCTATGAGCAGAGGCTACAGTTTTCATTGCAGTGGTTGCCTGACTTCAAGACATGTCCCTTTGTTGCGCATGATCCTCCACTCTGTGTTCCCCAAAATTCCCTCTCTCTCACCAGCAGTCCTACAAAATAAAGACAAAAATGCAACAAAAAACTTTCAAATTTTTTTTTTTGATGTTTTTACTCTGCCTTTTCTTTCTGTCATTACTGTTCATGTCTAATAATCTACACTAAATATTATTGTTGTTGTAATTTTGCCTTACCTTTAGATGGAATGAGTTGTCATTATCAAGCCTGTCAAACAAAACTTCATAATTAAATGAATAAATAAAAAAAACTAAAATGTTCGTAAGTTTAAGACAAGGGAGGGAAGAAGGGTTTGGCAACACAGTAAACTTTAATTTTAATTCAAGTATCAGAAGAAAAAAGCAGGTCTTTTTTGTGTCAGAGCTTCTAAGTTTTTTACATAAAGAGAATATAAAAAGGAAACTACAATAGATACTCTTGAATTAAATAAAGAAAATGTACAACATAGATCAACTGACACAAGCACAAAGTCAAGATTATGGAAAATTAAGATTAAATAATGACACTGACAAAATTAAATTTGTCAAGCTTAATTTTATCGTTACAGGAAATTGTAACACAAATAAAGAAAGAAAGAAAGAAAGAAAGAAAGAAAGAAAGAAAGAAAGAAAGAAAGAAAGGCAACGGTCAAATATAATATTTTGTCGTTTGAATACAGCATGTATTTATTTTAAATTAAAAGCTAACCTGCGGTTGGAGTATTTGATCGGATTTTATGAAGTCGTTTGTAAATCGAATGGAAGGACATGAATGATTACGTCACTTCCGCCCTACCCCTCCACTACTTCCTGCATGTGCCGACAATATGGCAGCGCCCGTAAGCATTCAGCTGGAGTTTGGGTAAGAGAATTTATTGCATATTGACATATTTTTCTGCCTAGTTTCTCATTCTTTCTGTGTTTAAGCGGAAACGGAATCTTTAACCACCTCCTTATCTCTATATTTTCCTGAATTGTCCGTCGTTTAATCGGTAAGATGGGCGTTTTAAACATGTACGAGTGAAGTTACAGTGAAGTTTGAGTTTGTTTATGAAAAACAAAATCATCATTTCAGGTTACTTTACGTTCCTCCATGACTGCATACAGAGCAACTCGATCCCTGACTTAGGTCTCAACATTGTGAGATCTATCATGCAGACTTTAGACAGACTCATATGTCGAGACTGGTGCTCAGTTGCACTTAAATCGGAGAAAGTCTCAGTTCAAAGTAGATTACACTGCAGTTTGATCAAACTCAGAGAGGACACTAAACTGACTGAACTAGGAGCTGGCTGCTGTAAAAGTGACCCACTTAAGACACGTCCCCCCCTAAAGACCTGACCTGATTTGAGACTGGAACCAACATCAAGTCTCAGAAAATCCCACAATAACATTAAACACATTTCCAAGTTATTCAAAATCAAGAAATAAACAGATGTTATAGGATAATCATAAAGTTTTCCTCTCATTTTAAGAATTTGATGAATATCAGACAGTAGCTGCTGTACAGCAGGTCTGTTCATTTATAAAGTCAGCTTGCGTTTCCATCATGACAACAGGAGATCCACTGACTGAGAGTGTTTATTGTTGTGATGTGATGTGATGGATGATCTAAAATTGGGAGTGCAGGAAAAAAATCTACAGGCTGACAACAGGAGATCCACTTACTGACAGTGTTTGGGTGTGTTTGTGGGGCAGCAGGACTGAGTGAGAACAAGGAAGGAATGCCTGGGTGGAGTTTGCCATGGTCCAGCCCGATCAATAGAAAAATGCATTAAAGGGATATTCCTGCGTAAAATTAATTTAGGGTCAAACACAGAGTTAGACAGAGTTAGATATCCCCTCTCTATAGATGAATGTTGCAGACCGCTTGCTTCTCTAGTTATACCAACTTTAGTAACAACCGCAGGATAGCAATACACAGCGGTCTGAGGATCCATGAACAAACCTCAACCAAAACGCCACTCTATAGCCACAGATAATGCTCAGAACAGCACCTAACTTCATCAACAGTACATATAGGGTCCTAGCCACAGCACTAACCACCAAACATCTTTTTAACTTTGCCTAATTTCTTTAACAAAGAGACTAAACACAACTCACCTACTTTCTTCCAGCAGCCGCTTGTTTGAAGCGAGACCTTGGGGCAGTCCATTACAGACTACAGCGGGGTGACGCAGCTCAAGGAAGAACATTTATGATCATTTCTTTATCAATTCCTTGAAGTAATAATCACCATATTCATCTCTTTTGAGAGTGGTAAAGTTGTGTTTAGTCTCTATGCTAAAGAAATTAGGCAAAGCTAAAAAACATGTTTGGTGGCTAGTACTATGACTGGGACCCTATATGTACTGTTGATGAAGTTTGGTGCTGTTCTGAGCATTATTTGTGGCTATAGAGTGGCGTTTTGGTTGAGGTTTGTTTTTGGCTCCTCAGACCGCTGTGTATTGCTATCCTGCGGTCGTTACTGAAGTTGGTATAACTAGAGAAGCAAGTGGTCGGCAACATTTATCTCTCGAGGGTGTGTCTAACTCGGTGTTATGGTGTGTTTGACCCTAAATTAATTTTATGCCAGGGTCTCCCTTTAATACAGTATGTAAACACTATTTTATACAACAGCTTTGGGTCTAATAATTGATCATACTTAATAATCACCATCTGAACATTGATCATAGTAATCAGAATTATTATTGTGTCCATGGAGTTAAGGTCGTACAGTCTCAGACTAGTTCACTATTCCACTTAATACAAAGAGATCTTAAGCAGAATAACAAAATAGTATAAACCTGGTAGAAAATCTCAAGTAGTTTACAAATATAAACCCTGGCCTGTTACTGTTTTCCTGATCTTGTTGTTCCTTCTTTACTTACTACCTCTCTGGTAAATAAAATTGATCTGTGATGATTAATAACTAATCTTAGAGATGTTTTTACTTTTAGAGCTGGAACATCTGAATAGATCTGCCTCTGACCTCTTCATCATACTGTGAGCTTATTAACAGCAGCAGCATTACTTTGAACTCCCAGAACTCTTAGCTAAATTAGATTTCCTGTCATTGTAACATACAGTCACTTCATCTTGAATTGTACGAGGAAGTGGAAAAAGCACTGTGCTCATATTTTTTATTGCAGGAAATTCATCACAATTAATTAGCTGGAGGAATTGATAAACTACAAATGATGAAGTGAGAACTTGAATGCTGGTGAGAAATGCACATGAGTGATTACGGTTGTCTTTTTGTCCAGTGGTGGAGCAGAGCTGCTGTTTGACGGTGTGAAGAAACATCATGTGACTCTTCCGAGCCAATCAGAACCCTGTGAGTATCAGCTGTCACCTGTCTGTTACTGTCATGAGTGGAGCCTTATTGTGTACCTGAAAATGATGGTCTCGTTACATTATGAGGATTTTTGTGTGACTGGTGTAACAATGTCAGAGAATGTCATATTATTTAACAGAGGGCAAAAAATCAGAACCCGTAATGTAATCTTTATCTTATTCAAATATCATGTACTGTTTTTGTTCATTATTCACTTGAGACTGAATTATGTTTAGAGTACAACTTGAAATTGGTTGTAAACTGTCAACTGTCAATTTGTTGTACAACTTTTCAGGATCATAGTGTCACGTGAGAGCTTCATGGGAGCTTACATGCATTTAATTCAATTATAATTAAATTATATGAATCACCTTCATCCTACCCCCTGTTCTTTGATAAAGGTCCATCTATTACACTGGGTTAGGTTTTTAACTCTGGTCCTGAAATTCTGCCACGTTCCTTAAACACACAACTCTAACCAGGCCTCATTCAAAATAAAGGAAAATAAACAGTATATTTTTATAATGAGTTAGTACCTGACTTTCTCAGTGATCATTTTGAAAACTTGCTTCTGATTTGTCAGTGGTCATTCACTTTGAGTAGCTAAGGCAGCATGAAGGAACAAATAATAGCACACATCCTGCATTAAATAAAATCAAATTAAGGAGGGATGGCACATTTGCTCTTTATGATTTCATATGTTTTTGTCAACAGTGCAACAGAAATGTTTCCTAACATGGATGCTGGCTAACCTAGCATTCCCTGTGACAAGACTTCTCTGCTTCACATGTTCTGGTTTTAATGTCACATGACCACCAGCTAACTAAATGTGATATCTCAAACGATAATAGCATCAACTACTCAAAAAATTTGAGATTCATGACTTTTTAAATATTTAATAATTATGACCCTCACATAATCTGGTATCATAGTTCTACATTCCCTTTAACCAAATATTAAGTTTCACTTTCTCTGCCGCCTCCTTCCTATCGCTTTCTCTTTTCTTCACCTCCTCTCCTCCTGTCTTCTCATCCTCCTCTCTAGCCTCCAAGTTGCTGTCTGTTTCTGTCTCTGAACCTTGTTGCCTTCTTAACTCGTAAATTTTCGCCACTCTTGACAATGTTATGCTTTTGCATTTGAATGGGTGGTACCACAGAGGTTAAAAATGAAGCATATGGTTTTTTTCTCTGTATCACAGAAGAACAGAGAAACACATGAGCTTGACGTCATTTTTGGTCATTTCAGCTGCTCATTTTTTCAGAAAAACTTAACAGCATGCCTCATGATCCACGTAGATTAGATTTTATTCTTGGTTATTCTGATGATGAGGATGGCCAACTTTAAAAAAAAAAGACTATTTTCCGATCAGGACTGAGATCATTGAGAAAAGAGGGGAAGGAAATGTTGAGGCCCCCAATCGCAGTCTACTCGATGTATAAATGTCTTGTCGTTTCTTATGTACGAGGTTTTGTACGCGTGTGTGTATGTGAGAGAGTGAGTGTTTGTGTTAGTGTGTATGTGTGTGTGTATGTATGTGTGTATGTGTGATATGGAAAGAGTGAACAAACGAGAAATATATGTGCTTTTGGTATTTGACCAAACAAAGGGTGTCCAACGACAGCGCTGGTGTTACCACGACAACAAAAAGACAAAAGTTGACCAGAACAGAGAATGTCAGCTAGATATGACCTTGCTGCACCAGACGACCTCTGTGTGTGTGTGTGTGTGTGTGTGTGTGTGTGTGTGTGTGTGGTATGAAAAAAAAAAAACAGAATTTTTCTGCACAGTTCACGCTTTTATCATCAGACATCGAACGCCACATTTCCTGGCTGGTTTGCTTGTTTTGATGGTACGACTGCACCGACTGGTTGTTTGCGTGTCTGCTGAACCCCCATGAACTAATTTCGCCTCACACATCAGTGTGCGTTTGATGAGTGTGTGTGAACACAGACGGGGTGCAGTGGAGGCAGATATAATTGCTTCTGAATCCTCCGTATTTCTCTTTGACCCCAGTCGGTGATTGATGACCCTCGACTGAAAGACCCCACCCCCACTTTCTCCCTCTCTTTCTCCCCCTTTCTATCCAACTCTCTCTCTCTCTCTCTCTCTCTCTCTCTTTCTCTCTCTCCTCCCTGGTCTAAGGATCACACACTTTCTGCCCCATGTATGAGCAGAAAGATGGATCGCTCGCCCTCTTCCACACACACACACACATGGCCGTCATAATCGCACAAAGACAGAAAAGCAAAAGGAGAAGAAGGAGAAAGGGCGGAAAGACTGCACGCACAAAAGAAAAGCGGGGTTTGAATTGGCGTCAAAATGGCGCCTTTTTCCTCCCCTCCCCTCCATGTATATTTCCCACCCACGCTACGCAGATATCCCAAGATGCTCTGGGGGTGTGTGACGCATTTTTCCTCTCTATCCTCCTTCATTTTCTTACCGTTCTACCTGGAATGGAAGCGTTATTCGACAACACAGATTTCCGTCTTTTCACCTCTCTGACTCTTGATTTCTTCACATTGTCCTCCATATTTTTACTCACTACATTTATACAAGCCTGTCCGGTTTAAAGACCTGTGCGTAACCTTTTACAAGAAAGCCGTTAAAAGGACAGCGCCTGATGACTGTTTCTGTTATAAAAATCTTAACTGATGAAAGTTGGAATCATTATCGACCTGTGTATCCAGCTACGACGGCCTTTTTATATTTTCTGTGTGCAACTTTTAACATGTCTGCCTGTGTGTGTGTGTGTGATCAGGGAGAAAAAGAAGAGAGGAAAGAGAAGAGGAGAGGTGAGCAGGTTTTATGAGAGAGTTAAAGAGTGTGTGAGAGAGAGGGGAGAGAGAGAGAGAGAGCAAATGAAAAGTAAATGGGCGAGCAGATGAAAGAGCGAATAAGGAGGTAATGGTGGAGAAAAATTACCGATAGTCAAGAACAGAGAGAGAGAAAGGAGTGACCACAAAGAAGGAGTTATGACTGCTGGAGTGATTATTTCTGTTTTTAGCCCCACAGAGGTCAATATTCACTGCCTGGTACTCTCCCTCGTGTGTGTGTGTGTGTGTGTGTGTGTGTGTGTGTGTGTGTGTGTGTGTGTGTGTGTGTGTGTGTGTGTGTGTGTGTGTGTGTGTGTGTGTGTGTGTGTGTGTGTTGCAGGAAGGTGTTTGTCTTTTTTTTATATGGAGGCCCAGAACCGTAGAAAAAGCAGCACTATCGTTATACAACTGAGCTGGCCTGCAGCACTGCAATTAACCTGAACAGCATTCACACACACACACACACACACACACACAGGCATGTGCGAACACACACTTACACACACACACTTTTACACACATGCCCTATCATAACCGCTGTGACCAAGGTGCCTCCAGAAACCGCTTTACTGCTAAGTGCTGCAAGAAGAGGCCGCTTCATTTCAAGTTCTACACCATTTTGATGTTTTCTTTTTATCATGAAGGAATGTGTACGATGTTTTGTACGATCATATTTGGTTGATAAAGAAAGAATTAAAGGTGTTTTTGGTGATTTTATGGATAATTAATTCAACCTCAAACTAGGAATAAAAGTGTTTGGTGAACTCTGAAGGATTTCATGTAAAGCAAATTCCAGCCTTGTCCCTTTTGTAGACATGTTGTATTTTTCTTAATGTCTTTCACGTTAAACCTCGGAGGTGTGTGACTTTTTCAATGTGATATCAGCCCTGCCTTTCATCCAACTGATCTCCTCATCCCCCCGTGTGTCTTGACATCTACCTGCCCCAGCTTCTCCGCTCTTCTTACACCTGGCTCGGGATGACTCACAGTCATCCTCTCACCCGATGTATCTGCTCCATCTGCTGCTGCGGCCGCCGCTGCTGCTGCTCTCGGATTCTTTTACTACATATTTCCTCTCATTCCCTTCTGTGACATTACACAGCCAGTCCATCTCTTCTCGTTTCTTTCTAAAGGAGGCCGTTCCTGTTTATTTTAAGGTCGTGTGTGTCTCTGATACGGCTTCCAGGGACTGCGCTGATGTGCTCACGTGTTCTCGCGAGTCATCATGCTCCTGTACATTAAGCGGACAGCTGTGATCATACACACACACATGGCCCACACTCCAACACACAACGTGTGGTTGTAAGAGGTGTGTGCTTTTTTTTTGTACGATCATATATCTATACTATTTTCTTCTAGGAAACACTCAAACACACAGATGCTCTAAAGCTCTCACACCTCCTTGAACCCTCAAGCCAACAGCTGCCTTAATTCTAATATATTCATTATTGGTTATTAGTGGGGATTTATCCCAAAACCTCTCATTGTCGTTGCCTTTGTGGCTTTCTGTCAGCCGCTCTGAGAGACGCTCGACCTATTGTTGAGACGAGGTCAATCTGATTGTTCAAAGGGTCAGACTCGTCGAAAATTTGAGCAACATTTAGATTTAAGCTCAAGAGATGTCGGAAAAGAAAAGAAAAACATCCTGAGATAAGGGTTTAATTTATTTATCAATTTTTATTATCTGAAGACTGTTAAGCTGGAATGATATTTGTTAGCAATTTATTTATCAAAAGAAATAAATTCTTTTAGAAAATTATTTTAAAATGATTTTTTATTCTTGAAAACATTAAAGCTCCACACAGATTCTGTTTGCTTTAAGGTCCGTACACACTTTTCACTCCTTTTCCTTATTCTATCCAAGGTGCACAATGTCGCTCTTGGCCGTTGACTTCACCTAACCCTCCCCCCATTTCCAGTGTCCTCTCCTCCCCCCCAAACATACACATACACTCATAAATATACATAGAAACTCACCCACACACACACACACACACACACACACACACACACACACACACACACACACACATATACGTATAGATATAGGCAGCCTCGTCCCGCCTGGTGCCTCCGTCGCGTCACATCGACCGGAGGGGCTGGAACTGGTGCACCTTGACCCTCAACCCCTGACCTCTGACCTCTGTTGTCTGCCTCTGTATGGGCTTTGTGTGTGCGTTAATGTGTCTGTGTGTATGGGCTTCATATATAAATATATATCTGTGTGTGTGTGTGTGCGTGTGTGTGTCTGTTAATCAGGGGATGTGAAGCAGCTGCTGGTCTGGATCCAACGGAACCTGCTGAAGGAACGGCCGGAGCTCTTTGTCCAGGGAGACTCTGTGTGAGTGTGTATGTGTGTGCACTTGACACACACTTGATCTGTATACTGCTTTACAACCTTGCAGGATTTCTGTTACACCGCACAACCACTGGATCCATTTTATAATCCAAAATTGACAGTGAATTTGATCAGAAAAGATTTGTCAGAACATTTCCTAAAATGTGGGAAAAAAGTGACAAAATAACAGAAGTAGTCTTTGAGATTTCTGAGGCACTTCTCCTGCAGCTTAGAACTGCTGAAATGCCGAAAAAAAGCCCTAGCCTTCAGGTTATGGGTTTCAGTAAGATGATTACCTGTGTGCAAGTGTGCTTTGTGTGTTTCTCCACACACTTATATATTTGTGTGTGTGGGTCCAGCTCTCACAGCAGTCTTATAGGACTGGCTGACTTTTACTGCTGCCTTTGTGCAGGACTATTTATAGCTCCACCTAAACCAATGAATGGAGAAAAAGCCGGGCTACCTATAAACCTTGTAGATTAGATGTGTGTGTACTTTATGTTGGGGGCAGACACACACTGTCTTTTGGGCAGACCCTCATCAAGGTGTTTCCTCATCTTTAAAAAAAGGTGTGTTTTTGATCAGTTTAGTTTTTTTTTTTTTTTTTCTAGATGTAGGCTTGGTGTTTTGCGTGTTCATGCTGTGTGTGCACACACGTTTGTTATCACAGGTTACACTCATGCTGCCCTTCTGTACTGACGTCAGAGCGCATCCACAAGGTGTAAGGTGGAGAGGAGCAGCATGAGAGGCAGCAGCATCTGTAACACCATCCACAGTACTCGAACAGTTTCCTATGTGGCTTTAAAAAAAATACATATATGTTGAGATGACTGCACCCATAGGTGCCTGTCGTAACCCTCCCCCTCTATCCCCAGACTCCTTTTTTAAAAGGCAAGGGATTTTGGTTAAAGCCGTCTTTTGTGTGTTATTTTTGGGCCATCATAATTTTTGTAGACCCCCTCCCCCAATCTCTGTACTCTCTTCCCTTAGCCACTTATATCTGTTTAACGGGAAAAAAGCCACCTTTGCTTTTAGTCCTTTTTAGCCGAGAAGTGTTTCTGATATGATATGATATCAGATGATGAAGGCACTCCATGTGTATTTTTAGAAAGAGGGGATTAATTGTGTAGATTATAAGAAGCAATGAGAATAACTGAATACTGACCCTGTTAATTATTACATGAACATAAGTCACACACAGTTACATGGACCAGTCGATTTATTTTCATAGATACAGTGTTTTGTCTAAAACTTAATCACAGGTTGTCTTCATTCATTTCCAAGATGGTGTTTAAATTCAAATTAAAACAACAAATTATATTATAGCAAGATATTACCACTGTGTGAGTTCTTTATGTTTCTGGGGAATTTTTTAATTGTGTGATTTTTATCAGCAAAATCTATCACTTTGAAATTTTGGCTGTAAATAGGGATTTATATGCCAAAACAAACAAACAAACAAGAAAAACAAACAAATAAACAAACAAAAAACTCACTGAAATCTAAAATTTCAGGTCTCATAAAGACTTAACTGTGCTTGGTAATTATTGGTAGACACTAATTAAGTGATGTAATCAAAATTTGCTCTAATTATTTTAATCACAATGTGCATTAATTATATATAATTACAATATGCTTAGACTAAACAGGCCTTTTTCAAAGAGAATGAAATTTAACTTTATAAAGCAATTTTCTTTTCTTTTTTTAAAATTATATATCACAGTTATCACATATATAGATTTCATTGATATGACATAAAAAGCTTGTAATTTTTTCTTGATTATATATTCATTAATTGATTGTTAAGTGGATTTTTTTCCCTTCATATCTATGAATGCTTTCCTGCTCTACCTGTTTAAATCCCTTACACGTGTGTGTATATGCATCTTCTTGCTAGTGTTACCTTTGGGAAATGTGTCTGACCCGTAGACGTTTCTTCTCCCACAGGAGACCTGGGATTTTGGTGCTTATCAATGATGCAGACTGGGAGCTAATGGTGAGCACTGGGAGCCACATTCACTGTCAGATGGTATAGAGAGTGTGTGTGTGTGTGTGTGTGTGTGTGTGTGTGTGTGTGTGTGTGTGTGTGTGTGTGTGTGTGTGTGTGTGTGTGTGTGTGTCCTGCAGTCTGTCAAAACATACATTGCCTTTACTTAAAGCTATTTTAACCCATATTTTCAGCTCTCAGAATGCACCATCATAGTCTAAAACGATGGGGGAGTGTGCATGTAGCAGTTTAATGTCCTTATTCATAAATTCAAATAGCTCTAAAATGCCTATATTTACACCAGGAAGAGGAAGACTGCGCGTGTGTGTGTGAGTGTGAAGGTTAGCGACTGAGATTGTTCATTTTCTCTGAGTCACTTCATGTTTCACGTAATGTGAACACAGCTGCAGAACAAGTTTGTCCTTGGGGCCTCATATATCTGAACACATATTTACATGCACACACAGTCTGAATGCTTCAATTTGAATCCATTGATTCAATTATAGGACGTAACACAGGTTGTAAATGAAATGAAAAGTTTGTCATTGATTGGACTACAGCAGGAACACAGGGGTATTTTTCTCCTCTGACTTGCAGAGGTGTTTGAATATTGAATACTTTGTGTGTTTTCTTAACCTCAGGGGGAGCTGGATTACCAACTACAAGACCAAGACAACGTGGTGTTTATTTCTACCCTTCATGGAGGATAAAGTGAATTGAGGAAAACAAACATCTCTGGAAAAGACTTTTCTTCACATCTCCTTCCTCTCTCTCTCCCCCCCTCACATCTCAACAACACGCCATCCCATTGGATGCTGCCCGCACCGTGACATCTGCGGTGATTGATGTTGGTCCGCAGGAATGAGCGGAAATTTAGAGATGGTCACAGAGAAAAATGTGGAAATGGTGAGATTGGAATTTAGTGGACGACTGTATACCAACATATTTTATTTCTAATAGTGGAAGGGTTTCAAGGGCAAACATGTGAAGCTCGGGTTGTACTTATCACCTCACAGATGTGTATTAATGCCCACATTTGGTGTATAAACCTTTCCCTCCCACATCATTTATTTCAGCATAATTGCAAAAATCCATAAAAACCTTACAGTGAAGCCCCAACAAACATGAGGTTGATCATGAAAAATAATGAAGACCGTTAACAGTTGTTCAAAAGTCCCTCTCAAGTGTTTCAGTGCTTAATCAAGAGGGTTGTATTTCTTTCTTTTTTAAACAAATATTAAATCTTACCCCATAAAAACTTTTTCCCCCTATTTCTACTGTGTTCTGTCGTTCAAGATCAGAGAGATCCAGCAGAAAGTTCACGATGCTCCTTGTGTGCATTAAAGTAAACCAGTAATTAAAGAATCTGCACATTGCCTTACAACATTATAACTTGTCATCTGAACAATTTATCAGATGTTACTTTCCCACTTCAAATGCAGACTGTCCGTATTTATATTTCTAGAGATTAAAAAAAAGCATTTTTCTGCAAATAATGACTATGTTCCCTTCTAAATAAGTACAAAACTCAGTTTCTTTTTGGGTTTTTTATTTTTTTATTATTTTTTATTTTTTAGCAAATAATTTTAACATTACGTAGATTTTTTTCTACTTGTTTCAATTTTTATTGTATGACTGTTGCAAAGTTTTTCCTCCTCATAAGAATTTTCTGACTTACTGAATAGTGAATAAAAAAAAGAAACAGAAATGGGAAACTTCTGTATTATAATATAATATGCAACAACCATTTGTTTGGCAGTAGTCTTGGAAAGTAGCAAATCAAGACAAAAATAACTTTTTAAAAAATAATTTTATTTTATTTATTTTATCAAACAACATTTGAACTCTTAATTCATGAAAGACTGTAGACAAACATGGCAAAAAAATAATCTTTTGTGGTACATTTCCCGTCAGCTATCGTCTATGGGGATAAACCAGTTTAAATAGTATAACTTCACTGTAATTGTCGATAAATATAATGCGTTTAGGTACTTTGCAATGTCAGCCTAGTGTGTACTTAAGATTAGCAAGGTCCAAGCAGTCTGTGAACCGCACTGAGGCCTTCATCCTGACGCTTTTCTCAATTAGGATTTTGCATCACGCTTCGATAATTCCTGCTGATAGCTTATATCTGATCGATTTTAGGCCTTCTCTGTGATCACACTGCAGTTTTAGGCTGATTAGACGAGACTACAGGGGGATTTTACCGTCCTGTGGCCCCTCTCAGCTGGAATATTCATAAGAGGGGGTGCCGTGTATGCGTGTGTTTCTATGTGACTGTGGTGGTGGTGAAGATGGTGGTGGTGCTGTTGGTGGGTGGGGTGTGAACTACAGGAGCACTGCGGGAGGTCGAGTTCTAGCCTCCGGGTTGCCCTCCTCTGAACGCCCGGGGCGACCTAAAACCTTTTCTCGGTGGTAGAGTCCGATTTGCAACGGGAAACCGGCCGATAATGGCGGCTAGAAAGGAAATGCTAATGAAGCTAGGAGGGGGTCAGAGAGGAGAAAACGAAGCTCTGTTTTAGCTAGCTGGAGTTGAGGCCTTTTCACTTCTTTTTGGACCAAATATCAAAAGATATCAAATGTTAGAAAGTTGATTCAGGCCGTGTCCATTCTTAAGCTGTTAAGGGTATTTATTACAGCCATTACGTGCACATTATGCCACTCTAGTGACCTATAATTCCTGTGCAAATTCATCGCTTTATCCCCTCTCGGCTTCCGTTGTTATTTACTTCAGCTATAATACAGTTATAAATGGACGTCTTCCATGAGTCCTGCAGAGTCTGGACTATTTCCTGGGATCAGCCCTTCAGTTTGCACACTGACTGTCTGGCTGCTCTGCAGGAGGGATGGTGACGATGCTGGTGGTGAGACATTGAACGCACCATCAGATCATACACGGTCCGGGTTACAACAGAGGGCATCACAAGCCTATCATCTCCAGTCTGCAAAACACTCCTAAAGTAGATGTAAAACCTACCAGAGGATAATTTTACAGTCTTGCATTGTGCAAATAATAAGTTTATTATTTTTATATTTTTTAAATTGTTTTGACTAAATAAAGGGTATTTTGAAACAGAGCTTCGCATTTCAGAAATGCTAAATTTATGTCTAATATTGAGACTGTACTGACACAATTTAGCCATTTTCTTTTAAAAATAAATATGCACGTTATTGGATGTTGTATGACACTGAAAAACGAAATAGTTGATAACCACAGTAAGAGTAAAATAAAATAAAACAGCGCCTTGCCTGCTGATTTTAATTCGAAACACATCTGCTGCCAGATTAGCAGATTTGGCTCTTGTAGTTTCCAGCAAAGAGTTCATTGCTGAGAGTCAAATATGCAGCTCATATTTCACAAACTTAAGCTGCACGTCCAAATAACTTTTTAATTAAATTTATTTTCAACCCTGTTGAGGCTCGACTTTACACCAGTAGCCTACTGCAGCCTGATATTTAAGCTTTTTTTTTATTGCATACACTCTTCGGTTATTTTTTGCATAAAGATATAAAGTTGAGCAAATCATGCAGTCTTGAGGAAAAGGCTTCCCATATTAAATATTTCATGTGCGAATATTCTGCACTGTACATGAAGAGAATCGGCAGCAGTCTTTTACAGACAGATATGATTCACTGATCCCCTTGAATTAACAAAGATTAGCCTTTAGTGTTTTATCACAACACGTGTTTTATCACAACACGTGTGTGTGTGTGTGTGTGTGTGTGTGTGTGTGTGTGTGTGTGTGTGTGTGTGTAGTGTCTACAACAAAATACTAAATTGAAACCATTAAAAAAGATATTTGAGGATTTCTTCGAGCCTAGAGGTTATATAGCCTATTTTAAATGTAATGTTAAAACGTATAGTCTCTTTTTTTATCTTTTACAAAACAAACACAGTTGTAAATGCTCAATAATTTTAAAAATGGGGACGTGTTTTTGGCAGGAAAAAGTTTGGTTTTTTTCTGGAAAAAAAGAAAGAAAAATTAAAAATGGGAAGACAATAATTTGTAAAAAAAAAAAAAAAAAAAAGCTCTTGAGAGCGTCCCACGTGATAAATCAGGGACGCTGTTTGGCTCCACAGATTTGGCAGACCTCTTCTGTCCTGCTTGTTTGCTGTTTGCATAACACCATAAAAGCTCTACATGCTCTTTTTAAACAAAGTTTTAAGCAAGTTGTGTTTGATACATTTCTTTAGCTTCGTTTTACTTTTACTCTCAAATACGAAGGTTTTATTTGAGTATCTTTTCCACCTACCAGATAAACGCTTTTAACTAAAACATTTGTGAAATAATTGATTGATTTATTTGAAGCTGATTCAATTTCCTCCTAAAAGACTTTGTGTGTCTGATGGTCCAGTTTTTTTTAATAGCCTTGCTCATCTTCTTCTGATGCACACAGGCCTCTCTTTGACCACTCCACTCACTGCTTTCTACCATTTGCCAAACACAGTCGATACATCGATGCTTCTCGTCGATATTTGCCATTTAAAACAAACAGTCCTGATTAGATCTTCGAATAAGTGTAAATACCAATCGGGCCATGCAAAACGCTCACCACAAGAACATGTTACATGAGGCAGAATCAGTTTTTCTTACTCCGCTTTATTGGAGTGTTTTCTTTTTTTCCTCCACTCTTTTTTTTTCTTTGCATCTTACCTGAAATGAGACAGTTAGAAAACAAAACGACTCTACAAGGCCTTTCTATAGAGGCGTCTTTGTGGTGTGGAGGCCTACTTTCTGCATGTGGCGTTTGGCCAAAGACAGCAGCAGTGATGAATGTGAGTCTGCAGCAACAGATGTCCATACACAATTCTTGGGGTTGAATTTGAGTTTACTCAAGAATTGCGTTTGGACAATCAGACGCTAAAGACTCTGTATATCCCCTGCCAGAGGTTAAAAGCCGATATTGAGCTATTTAATCATTTAAATCTCAAGTGAGCATGAGCAGTTAGTGTAGCTGTAGGCCCATGGCTGCACCTGCTACGGCTGCCTGCATGCCCTTTGACAGAATGAGCTGCGCCTGACACTGAAACTGATTCCTATTTGACGACAAAGAAAGAGAGCACAGCAATTTGCATTATTTCTGACAATATTGCAGCTTTCTCACATGCATTTGCAGCAAAAAAACAAACCTCAAAATATTCTTTGCAATATACTAAACCTGCAACACTCAGAATGCCTCTGCACACTCTTATAAATTAGCAGCTTAAGCAGCCTTTAAATCGGACTGGGGGAAAAAGTGCATCATCATTATAAAATATTTCTAATGCAAAAGAAGCATAGTTGCAACCACAACCACTTTCTTCTGACCCCTCTTCTTCAAAGCAGCTTATCCTCTTTTACCTCTCCACGTCTTGTAAAGTTAACCCCAACTCAGTCCACCTCTCTGGGGCCTTAAGATGGCTGAAACGCATCTTAAAGTAAAATGTCATCTCCTTTGGTTTCACCAGGGAGCCCCACTTTCAAAGTGTTTCAGGAGAAAAAAAAGTGAGCAGGACTTCTCTTTCATCTCAAAGTCCGAGGTGAGAACGCCAGGGAGACGCTTCGCCATTTCTGCACCTGTTTACTATCATCGATTTAAGAGAAGACTGCTCAGTTGTGGAGCCTCAGGGTGCACAAAGGCTTTTCCATGGGTGTTTAATCTTAAAAAAAGAGAAGAAGAAAAAGGAAAAGAAGAAGAGAAACCCCCCCTCATCTTTTGAGAAAGACTTAAAGCGTTAATGTTCTTCCCTCTTGTGTTTTAAAGCCGATTTTCTTTTCAAAAAGGAAACCCCTTAGTTCCCGGTGGTGGTGCGTCCTTGGTTCAGTTCCCACGATGTGCGTTCTCCCCGCTCCAAATCCCCTCGAGCCAGCAGCAGCAGCAGCGTCGGATGGTGACGAAAAGAGGCTGAGGAGCAGGAGGAGAGGAGCGGACTCCTGCCTTCCCCCTTTTACTCCCATCCTTCCTTCTCGGCTCTCTCGTGCTGACTGACTGCCTGGATGCCTTGCCTCTCTCCTCCTCTCTCTCCTCCTCTCTCTCTGACTGTGTGCCCTCATGGCTTTTTCTCCCAACAATAAACGCTGCGTCCGCGGCGCGAGGCGGAGAGAGGAGTGGAGAAGGTCCTCGCTTGGTACTGAATTTGAATAACACCACGGGGTGATAAATGTCCATTGTACTGCTTAAGTAATGAATCTCCGCTGTCCTCTATGTCACACACACACATACACACACACATAGCCTACACACACGTACACACACACGCCAGCAGCTGCGATGAGGGACCAGCAGCCCCTCTTAAAGACACAACAGCCCTATTTTCTCCCCAAAAAGAGATTACAATCCCGACACTGTTTACTCTCTGACCGCACTGCATGACGTTCACTGTTTGTCTTGTGCCCCCCACTCTTGTGTGAGCAAACTAGTGCAACGCTGTAACCAGGCACGCGGGCATAAAGCGATGCCTTCAGCTCCATGTGCGGCCATTCTGCTGCAGAAGAGGGCAAACTACTGTATGCGGGCCCTAATGTGGCAAGTTTTTGTCCAGAGTGACAGAAAATGACTTGTTTATGTGTTGCTGATGTGATGGACGACTGTTCTGCCAACAGAGGCTGTGTTATCGTTTAGTTCAGATGAGGATAACTTCTCAAAGTTTATTCTATAAGATGCAATAAAAATCTAAAATTGCGCAAAAAGTTTGCCAACGTATTGTGCATGTGATAAATCATGTTGGACATATCCTAGATTTCATCTTTGGTGCTCAGATGTGCACCTGCTTGTCATCAGAATTGTGAGGAATTAACTCAGTTGAAGTGTTTCTTACAAACAACAGAATGCTGAACCAAAACCCTTCCTATATTTTCATATATTTTGTTGTGTGCACATATTTGAGGCTCGCAGAAAATGTGCTATCAATGGAGATAGCATTTTTTAGCGCTCATGCAAAATTCGGCTTAGTATACAGGTGTAAATGTGATAGTTTATTCTAAGGAGTATACAGAATCTGGAGCAGACTGTCTGTCATTGGAAACTGGAATCTGTGTCAAGCCCATCCTCATGTCGTGCATATCAGCACTTTTGAATGCTGCGTTTGCGCTGCAGCTTTTTGATGCTTGCAAACGCCTCCTCTCTCTCCCTCTCTCCTCCACTTTCCCTCTCTGCCTCTCTCTCTCTCCAATAAATCATCCTGTCTGATCCCGCCCCGGGCGCAGGGGGTCCTCCTCTTTAAAGCTCAATCCGTTTTTTCCCCTTTTCATCCCTGTGAAGAAGCCGAGTTAACCTCTGCTGATCCACAGGGCCATGCAGAGCCCCTTCTCAGGCCGAGCCCGCCTCTCATCCATTCATACATTCATTCAGCCAGTCACTCACTCATTGCTCTTTTTTTTTTAGTGGTGAAAAACAAACCCCTCCATCTCCACTCCTCTACCTCATTCCCTCTTTCTTTTTTTGCCTTTTCATACATTGACTCCTCCAGAGGGCGGGAAAACCAGAAGGAGTCAAGAGGGTCCACTTTCACTCTCACCTTGACATCATTCAAGAGATTTGAAGAGCTTTCAAGATGAAAAAGGGTTAAAGATGAGCTTAAAATGTTTGACTTGTGAGCTTGGTGTTCAGTTTACAGAGATATGTTAAACAAAAGATGCACATTTGAGCTGAAAATGCTGCACATGTAGGGAAAAAAATGAACAGCAGCTGAATTCAGATGACAAGTTGCAATAATTACTTACTAAAATATTTTAATAGTTTGTTAGAAAATAATGCAAAGACTGGTTTAAAATCCCTTTTTGATAGAGTATATAAAGCTAACTTCCTACAGAGTAAGTCTAGTATGACGTTTGGCCTCAGTCAGAGGGAAAAAACACACTGCTAAATCTGGAAATTGTCAGGCTTTGCAATTTAAATATCAAATCTTAGCTATTAAAGTCTAAGTAGCAACACAAAAAAGAAATTGAAACTCTATCAACTACCCTCAGAGGCTGAATTAAGGCCTTTTGGCTCAGTAGCTTTCATGTCGTCCGCTACTCTTGGTGGTGTATAGTCGGGGTGTGTGTGTGTACACACAGAAACAGTAGGGGACCGCTACACTCCAGGCAGGGGCCACTATGCTTCCCTCCATTCACAAATCAATGTTTAACCCGCTGGCTAAAAGGCCTGGCAGGGGAGAGGGAGGCCCAGTCGACGGGGTGGGCTATGAAACCGTCCTGAGGAGAGACAGAGAGGCAGAGAGGAGGGACACAGAGAGAGAGAGTGAGAGAGAGAGAGGACAAAGGGAGCAGAGGGAATCCTTAAAATAAACCTCCTCTGGTGAAGGCATCTCCTCCCTGCTGCTACAGGGCACGGCTGGAGAGGACGAGGAGCAGCGAGGAGAGGTTGGAGAGAGGCGAGGGAATGTCGTGGAGATGTTTATGAAAGACAGGGCAGAGGGACAAGTGGGCACAGAAGTAAACTGGGAGGAGAAGTTTTAAATAGTTGGGAAACATGCATACATCTACCTGCTTGAGCATTAAAACAAAACATTAATGTTGCAATGAAATCATCAGCAGTCAAGAGAAAATCAGAATTTGTTCAGTTGAACAATAGCAGAAAATGTAGAAAACATCTCCTCTACAAGTCAGTCATACTTGTTGCTAGTTTTGTTCCTAGTATGACTGTCGGTCTATCTGTCTGTCTGGTTGACTCTTTCCATCTCTCTTGTCGCCTAATTTAGTCTGTTCTGTTCAGGCAGATTCCTTAACACTAATAACACTGGTTCTGCTTCAGGTTCCTGCTAGAACCCACTGAGCATTTTTGGTCTAAAAGAGGTCTAATAGATGTTTAAATGTAGTCCAGATGACTGGTCTAAAATCAGGCTACCACAGGTCTAAAAATGAAAGTTTTCAGACGTCTAAATTTAGATCAAGTTTAGACTAGCCAGCTAACAGAGGTCTACACTGTATATTGCTCAACGGCTATCATGATTATTTTGGTTTAGTACTTGGAGATCAGATTTTTGAAATAAATACTTATCGAATAATGGGTTAAAGTGCAACTTCTAAATTTCGTCTACAGACATACAGAATCTAGACGGTTGAAATTAGGTCCAAAAAATAACTAGACGTCTAATAGCCATCTATTGCTCAGTGGGAACTTTCTTGCCAGTGTTGCAAAATAAGTACAAATTAGAAGATTAAAGAGATATGCTTTTTATTGTTCTTTGTTTTACTTGGAGCACAGTTGATAGTAGTATCACACACAATGATAGCCAAGCTGGGCCCATCTTTCGAGAAACTGGGCTGAGAGCATGGAAGCTAGGCTACCAGCAGCTGCAGACTAGGTCAGCTTTACCACTTCAAATTGTACAATATGTTTTGATATTTACTTGACATCATTTTTGGCAAATAATGCTGAACACTGGGTAAACACAGTAACAGTGGTAGAGGTTGTTATTTCAGCTCAGTCTAGCAGCTAACAGAGAATTTGTCACAGTGAATATTTTGCTGACCATGGGTTGCATCATTATGCAATAAAGACACAGTGAGAGCTGAAACCCTAGAAAACCTATAACATCCTGCACTTCTAGTTTTTCAGTTTGACTTGTAACAAACTGAAGGGAGTTGGTATAACAGTGGCATTCAGTCCCGCAGAGATCTCTGGTCTGATGAGTGATGTAGACTGAAGTCATGTGAGCCACTGGTATCCTCTGATTCAAAAGGTCTTGTTGTTACCAGCTTCCATTGTTGAGAAGAAGTTTCTCCCCTCTCTCTTTCCAGCCTCTGAGTCCTGTTCCCCCGCTCTTTATCCACAACTAATGCCATGCTGTCTCTGTCAGAAATGTTCAATCTTTAGTGTAATTGTACTTTTCGTCTCTTTAGAAGCCCACAGCCAATCAGCGCATTGCAAGTGGAGGGACACCTATGTGTTATATCCACAAATATAGCTGAAATAAAGTGACTCTCTGACAGCAAAGTCAAGCCCTGAAAATGTTTTAAATTTAGCTCACACTCCGGTGACACTGGTGTTTTCGTCTGACTTCTTATAACAAGCTAAATTGTGATACAATTGTCCCCATCTGTGTTTAAGAGCCTCTGACACTTACTGTGTAAAGTAAATCATGTTAATCCTCCTGAAAAAGAGACTATCCCTTTACAGCAAGTTGTGTAAAAATAAATAGAACAAAACAAATCAAAGTGAACTTATTGATGCACAACAAGATGCAGTAAAGGAGGCAGACAGCAAAGGTGAAAGAGCGTTTTACCTATCTTTGTTGTTTTGTTTCCTAGCTGTAATGATTCACAATATTTTGCACCTTTATTTAGCATTCTATACAAGTTATTTAGAGGCCAAGTATTTGACCCTCTGGTTAGACTACACCGAGAAAAACGTAGTGCTATAAACATCAGAAGCATACGTCTGTGTGGGTGTGAGGTACGAGCATTTTCTTAATCAAGTGGACAGTTTGTGACATTGATCACAGGGCAGAGTAATAAAAGAAAGAATCACCAAATTCCTACATGAATGCAGGACTGAGATTTCTCCTATTTCTCTCTCTTCAGATCCAATACACACCTCTGCAACAACCACACACAGAGACACACACCTTCCCCCCATGTAAGCATGCTGCTGCCTAAACATCCCCCTGAATTCTTTGACAGTGGCTGCGCTGTTGCCTGGCAACGAGGGGACGGACAGCGTCATCCAGGGAGCAACAGAGAAGATGAGAAGCCAAGAAGTCTGCACTAATCTCACCGTTACTTTGTAGAGATCACAGGGCTGAGGGGGGGCTCAGAGATATCAAGCTACTTCTTATTTTACATCAGAGTTTGAAAGGCTAAAAAAGTGCAAAAATAAACCAGGATTTTTTCACAAGTAAAGAAAGCTCAAAGAGGAAAAATCCAACAAATATACATTAGATTGCGGAGGCACTATGTGAGAAGACTTAGTGAAGAAATCTCACGATAAATAAAAATAAAGGTAATCTGGTTTGTATTCATAAGAGCTACTTAATGCAATCATACCTGTTACACAGACCCCATAATCTCATTATTTTAGTCTGGATCATCAGCTCCTTAATGCTGACGAAGACTGGATTTAAACTTGGGCCATATTTTTACACAAGCAATCCTCTGTAAGTGCTGGACTCAAACAGCCTGAGCCTGGGTTTAAAGACAAAAAACAAAAACAAAACCATTGTGCTTTTGATTTTGACAACATTCTCCTCCTCATTTTCTGAATTATATGATCGCTCTGCAAACATGTTGTAGTAATGTGATTTAGACAAGGTTAAGTAGAAGAAAAAGACACATATATAGTGTACCTAAATGTGTAGAACATTATCTGAAGTGGTTCTTGTTGGATATATTTTCAACATGAGCTTAAAGTGAAGATTCCAGCATTAAAAAAATCTGATTTCGGCACAACTACTACACAACTCAAAAACTTCAATTTTAAAGAAGCCTTCATAATCACCTCCATAGTTATAGTTGCATATTTTCCTTTCCAATTTCTGATACAAAAACATACAAAATGCATACAGTTTATCAAATACACTTACATACTCAGATTTGTTGCTGCCTTACATGTGCAAATATACTGTCAAAGAAATGGTTCCTGATAGATTCATTTTTGATAGACGATATTACTCCCAGATAATGTGAGTCTTCATGTTTCTGTGTGTTGAAATAATAGCTTATTAAAATTTTGTACAAAAAAATCCATGCCTCAAACTCCCTTTTAAAAAATAAGCCTTATATTTTCTTTCACCATCTTAATTATCAGCTGATCATAAAAGGGGAAAATGTCTGCACTGAAATAAGACCACTAAATGTTGTCTGTAGGTTGAGTCACAGATAAATACTGGATGACATTCATAATAACTGACTAATCCTTGAAGGTGTTCAGTGACAAAAATTCAAAAGTTTTTCCGGTTTTAGTTTGCAAGAAGAGAAAATATAGTTTTCCTTTTTTTTTTAATATCAATATAAATCGAATACCAAAAACAGATCATTCAAAAACAGACATTATCATTAGTTACACTTCTTTTGGATTCAAAATGGATTTGGACCAACTCAACGGGAGAAAAAAACATGACATCTTAAACAGTCAAAACATCACACACCAGAGGTATACATAAGATGACATGGGAGGAGGAGGAGGGGCAGACAGAGAGAGAGGCCTCTGTTGCTGCTGAGTAAGAGGGTATGTGCCACGGCTCAGACCCTGAGTGACAGGTATTGACCCGCCCAACCAAAAGACGTCTCTGTGGGAACGCTATTGATTATTGCCACAGCAATAAAGGTCCCGGAAGCCTGTGAGAATGTCAGGACTCTGTGCTGCCTGAACCAGACCGGGTCCCAACACCAAACACAAAGACAGAAACATTTCTTCCACTGACACGTCCTAACCTACAGCCTTTAACTCTCTCACGCTAGCTAAAGGGCTCTTACTGGGAGGAGAAAAGATGAAAGACGAGATTGGTGACATGGTGAAATGTGCATTTGTTTGAGGGTGGCATGCATGAGCAGACCATAAAATATATTTAACCTTTTGTCTTTAGCTGTATCAAAAAGATTCTTTGGTCTAAAGTTGGAGCTTTTGGTCGTTTAGATGTTTGTTGTCACTGCTTGTTATAAAATGAATGAAAGTAAATGGAAACACCTCAAAATTATTATTATTATTTTTAAAAGTGTTTCTATTTTATATAGACAGAATTATAAAGGATAAAAGTTGAAATTATAATGGATAGAATTAAGGGAATTTTCCTCAGCAGCGTCCTGCAATAAACTGATTTTTCTTTTTGCATGAAGGGCTGTGCATCATTCACAACAAGTGCAGAGGAGATAGATTGCTGTTATGGCCCATTGAAGTAAAATACTTGAGTGTTATGTAAGCCAAAAAAACCTGCATGGTAAGTGCCAATAAATTCAATACAGGTAGAAATGAATGGAGGTTAATGGTAAATATCTTTTTGACAAAAAATACAACAGAAATTCATTTCAGCCTTTTTTCATCATAAACACAGTAGATTATTCAGGATTCTGCAGGAAGATGCATTAAAGTTCAGTTTCCAATTGGTAATTTTTAGTGTGTTAAATAATATCCATTTATTTCCATTAATTTTGAAGAATACCACAGCAATCTCCATGCTCATTATGTTACAGCCGCACAAACGAGTACAAAAATACCTGCATGTATATGGACAACAACTGGCACCTTCGTAAAGTCTTACTTAAAGTTTTAGACATTTTTCTTCAGATTTTTCTGCCACAGAGTTATGATGAATTTAAGTCAATGAAATATTTCTAACCACAAAAAAAAGCACAGTTCAGATTCACTCTTGATAATACAACAAATTCTCTGGATCAACAAAGATGACAGCAGTAAAAACACATCTTAATAAAATATTGTGGAGATTATTTCTTGTGTTTTGAGTGACATTCACTCATATTTGAAAGAAAGCAGAAATTGCATATCAGTGCAATCTCAGTGTCTGATTCTTAAAAACAAACTCTCAATGAACCTGGAGGCCACTAGAAATAATGAAATATATGTTTTTAATTGGGATTTAGCTTAACAAACCATTTAATCAAAACCACACCAGCTCATGCCTCAAAACCTGCAGTTTATCGACTTTTCTCACTTTCTCTCCAACAATCTGGTCAAAACAATAAAGATTTTCTTTTGTCATTCTCTGCTTCTCCCTCTGTCCCACTTTCACACACCCCCTCACACAAACGCCATCTCCACCCTTGACCTCGCTGTGAAAAGTTAGTGTGCCCGAGGTTGAACTCTCCCAGATCTGCCACAGCCACAAATGCTGGGAAAGTGGCCCTGACATACATGCATGCGTGCGTGCGTTTGTGTGTGAGTTGGACAACACTTGGGGTGTCATGAATAGGAGAGATTTGACCCTCAACCCCCCTGACCTGTCCACACAAACGGCCCCCTTTAACCCATCCCTGCTATTGTCAACCAAGACGGCTTTCGTTTATTCACACAGGCCACCAGAAGAGCCAAAATTCATTATATACCACTTTGCTTATTATTTCCAACCAACATTTATGCCCCTTCTTCTTTTCTAGCTGCCTCTTTCTATTTTTCCCACTCCCATCACCACTCTTTGCTTCTTTCACAGCCTCTTTCCTTTCAACCTCAACTTCTGATCTTGAATTTTCACTTGAGAGTCAAACTGCAGGAACATCAATGCCAAAATATTTGCATCATTGAATTTAATAGGTGTTCAACTTACTCACTTCTCAGCAAAAATAGACCCTTCAAAGTTTCAGCTGATAAAAAATCAAAATTGTCTTTTGCCTGAATTGATATCTTCAATGTTTGTTACTTGTAGAGAGCATTTGAAAAACTGTCTCAATAACAGCTTTGACTAATTTGCATTCACAGCAGTTGATCCTTACATGTAATTAATGGACTTGATTGCTAGAAATGGATGGTTCCCTTTAACACTGGACTGGTTTGGATTATCCATGTCAGACAGGTAAGGCACCGCAAATGTGTTCATATAGCACATTTAAGTAAAAAGCTAACTCAAAGTGCTGCACACAAAATGTCAAACAGCAGAGAAATGTACCATAAACGGCATTGAAAATCTGATTTAAGTCTAAGCTATTAAAAAGAGGAGAGGAGGTATAATAAAAACAACTAAAATAGAAGTTAAACCTGACCAGAGTACGACAAGGAAAAAAGAAAAATCTCTGGAAGCCAAGGTTGTTCTTTCTCAGCACGTCTGACATTGGGTTTGGTGTGTCTCAGGGAAGTGTTCTGGGTCCTCCTCCTTTTTAATTTTATGCTCAGCTAGGTAAATAGCTTGTCTTCTGACCCCAACAATATTTCCTTGAATAACTGAACTATATGCATGTGTGCATATATATGATTACGGACTGATAGACATGTTTGATCATGTTATAATTAACCATTGTTTCTCTCATTATGATGTTGAATTCAGTGCTGGAGGATGTAATCTATCTAAATAGATAAATCAGTCCAGGTTATTTCCTCACAGTCTTTCAACAGATGGATGTTGTCTACTAATGCTGGGATTTTATAAATGATAGATTGGGATTTCCTTGTTCTTGATTTCCCTGGAACCAGTCTTTACAAAGAGGTTTTTCAAAGCAGTCCTCAGCGACCTCCAGGGGTCATTCAAGAGGTTCAAGGTGAGGCCCTGCAGCGAAACCTAAGTGAACACTTGTGTTAATCCCCCATGTTAAAGAACACAATAGGAAGTGGAGACTGAAGATGCAAATATGACCTTATTAGAAAGAGACGTTTTAGTAACAAAAAGTTGTTGACCCCAGGAATGATATGTAACAGAAGCTGTTTATGATGGACCTTATCTGTGCATCCTTATTTACATCTTGATCTTAGAACCTTGCTCCTTAAGTAAGTGACCAAACATACATTCTATCACCCTACTCCTAAACACAACCCAACTGCTTTGCCTGCTCCTGAATCCTCCACTCAGGTATGGATTTTCTAAAGCCCACTCAGGGGTACGTAAATAAAAGAGGCATCTTTTGACCCTTTTATTAACTGAGGAACTACTCTCTGTTTTATGAGTACTTGCTTAACAATGGATTCAGTGAGAGCAGCAAACTCTGAAGCCTCTTAAGGCTATAGAGCTGTAATAAATAAAGCCAGAGTGCAAATGGAAAATGACAAATTACAAGTTGTATTTAAAATTCAAAAGGCCTCTTGGCTAAATACCGGGAAGGAACACTTCAGTGTGGCTCTTATGAACCATCATGACTCTGCTCACCCACTGATCAGTCCTCCTTTGAGCTTTATTTGAAGTCACTCAAACGCTGACTAGTCTTCAACATATCAGGCCTTTAGCCCTATAATGCCTGAAACCACAAATTATGGCCAGAAAATTCAAATTTTTGGAGCTGAAATGTTTATTTCACTTACTACTGAAAAACAAAAAAATCAAAATGTCCTTAAAATCTTACAAATGTATTTATTTATCTCGTTTGATACAGTAGATGTTTTTGGAAACTGATAAACCACAAGAGAACATTTTAATAATTTATCAGACTGTGTTAAGGTGTCTTTTTTTTTTTTTTAGAAATTTGTTGATCATATTGATTGATAGATGTATTATGTATCAAATATGATAGAAAAGGCAATAAAGGGTCAGTTTGTTGCCATCTTAGATATGACATGGTGCTATTTAAAGACAGGTCAGTAAATGCTAAAGGCAAGAACCCATTTTCACCCTCAGTAAGAACACAAAATACTCCTGACAACAAACCTTATAGTAGGTCTATACTGATGAATACACCATTTCACTGCATTAACCAAGAAAAACCATAAAACTTACACAGACGTCCAGGTGAAGGAGAAGGCTTTCTCTTGGAGGAAACCTCCCTCTGCTGGCCAATCTGTGTAACTGCAACCAGATAGAAAATCCACTCATATAAGAATGTATTAAATTGGCTTTTTTGTATTAGAATCATATTTTAGCTTCATTTTTCTTACTGTTTTAGAAATGTGTGTTATATTCATGATGAATCCCACAAAATTTTCAATCTAAACACAAAATGCAAGCTGAAAGATACACCCCTGTGTAAAAGTATACCAAGTTATACAGTCTCCATGTGTTAATGACTCTTTGTTTTTGCTTTCAATGACTGCTAACTCGGTGTTTTATTATTTCCATCCGTCACAGTGGTGAATTGATTTACTCCTGTCTCTTCTTGCAGGATGTTTCATGCTACACGTCATTGCTTTCCCACTATGTCACTACTCTCCACTGAGATTTACTCTGAGCTTCAATCCGGCTAAATCACGCCAAATCACGCCTTCACCTCATCTTTTTGGATGTCCTGTTATCAGACTTTACTTGTGTAATGGACCCAAAGCGGAAGTTGTCATTTAAACCTCTCTCGTAACTTTGAGTTTGGATTTCTCGCTGGAAAAAGCGACTAGCTCTGAGGAGAAAGTAGGGGGGTTGAAGTTTTTTGGGAAAGCCCTCTTTTCTCTGGGATTGCTGACGCGTCCTGCGTTACGAAGCTCTGAGTGGACTCGCAGCCCCTTTTCAGCTTCTTCCACCATGTTTCTTTACTTTCTAGCTTTAATGGTCTTTCTTTCACCGGCTGAGTGCTACTTCTCGGAGGAAAAGTACCCAGAGGAGTCGAAAATGCAACCTCCGACCGTGGTCGTCGCGATAATAGCCCGAAACACTGCTCACTCCCTGCCTTACTACCTCGGAGCACTGGAGAGACTCAACTACCCCAAAGACCGCATCTCTGTGTGGTGGGTTTCCTGCATGGACTCTGCATGCTCTGCCAGACTGTTTGTAGAGAGAGGGGTCTCCTTTTTATCCCACTATAGCAGCCGTTCAAAAGGTCAATGGCATTTAAATGAGTTGGTGAAAGCAGCAGCTTACCACCCCTCCCCTGTTCTCTCTGAGCCTCTCACACTGCAGGCTGCTGCACTCCAACACTTCACTTCCTACTGTGTTTTGTGGGTTCGTTTTTAATGCTGTGAAGTTTCTTCTGACTAATTTGCTTTCTCAGATGTAATTTCAATGAGGTAATCAGTACACACTGACTGTTAGTATCCACAGGTAGAGCTGTTCACCATATATCTCTGTGGTGTGCTTACATGCAGTTTATGTGCCATTAACCAACCCTGATCTCATTTAAAATCTATTCCGCTTGTTTGTCTTGATGAACTTCCATCTAACAAGAGAGATTAACAGTTGCTAGATTGCCTAATAGTGCACAGTAGAGCTTGGTAATCAGATAAGACTGATTAATTGTATTTAATGATGCAACATTAAAAATGTGGTGTTATGCATTGTGATGAGTGGTAATATTGATGCAGGGTTGTGATTTGAGAATCCTTCCCAAATGGGGTTTGAACCGCTTATAAGTAACTCAGTTTATGATGAGGTCGCCCCCTCTGAACAAATCTCAAATGTGTAAGCAGAGCTGTTAAAATTTCAGAGCAGCCAAAAAATAAAAAAAATAAAATAAAAAGAAGAAATCCCAACAATGATTTTCTTCCAGCAAAATTTATGTGTAACTTTTGAGAAAACACTAATGTTATCTATCAGGTCAAAGAGGGGCAAGCCAAGAATGGATTGGCATGTTACTCTAAAAATTTTGCCTTAATTAAATATCTATCTTTACAAAATATCCTCCTCTCTCATTTGAAAGGTTCAATATGTTCCTATTGTGGATCTACTTCTTGAGAAATACTAAACTCTGCTTCTCTTCAACTTTTTGTAGGTCACTTTGTCCCCCCTGAACAGCCGTTTCAGGCATAAATAACACATATGCAGGAATGATCTATCTTGTTGCTACTCGTTTTTTTGTTACTCATACAGTATTCAGTGTGATAACCAGCTCCATACTCCTCACACAGGCTTTAATTTTACAGCACAATATTCTTCATATCATACTAAGTTGTCTGGAAACAGTTGAAAAATTTCTAATGTAAGATGTTCCCAGACTAGAGTGTCTGATTTTAGTTATCCCAGCAGATTCAATACCAGATCAGCTAGATAGCTGATGTCAATAACCTAAAATCAGAGTATATCAAATAGTTCCCCAAATTGATTTACATTCAAGGCCAAGAAGACGAATATAAGAGATGTCACAGTTGGATTTTCATTTTTGGATTTCCCCTGCTATTTATCAGACAAACACTAACATTAGTTAGTTAACCTGTTTTTCCACAGAGTATAAGTTCACAGAGATGAAAGTTGTGGCTCTGAAGCAGAGGTAAAAAGGTGTTGAGGGTTGATCCCGATTTCCCGATTACACACAGAGACTGAGTCGCGATGAAAGTGACAGTGGGGAGCAGTTCCTCTTCTTATATTGTGGTTCTTGATGTTTGGACCCTCAATACTTTTTGAAAAATCACAAGTTAAAGGGAATGTTCCCATCCGTTAAGAGTAAGTTGCTGTTGTACATTAACTTGACGCTATGTTTCTCTGCGCTCTTCAGGGCAGCAACAGATCACAACACAGACAACACCACAGCCATACTGAAGGAGTGGCTCACTGTGATGCAGAAGTTTTACCACTATGTCGAGTGGAGACCCATGGACAAGCCCACGTAAGTCCTAATTATACGGCCGTTATCTAACACTGTTGACGAAAGGAGCGTATGGTTTGATCCTGTAAACAAATCTCAGCCAGATCACTTCAGCAGCTGTATTACTGCAAAAAAACTTTATCTTTTTATTTTATCAGGATCACAATCAGAGAGCTCTTCAAGTGTCATAAAGTTGGCAATAAGTTGAATTTATCAACTGGGGGTAAATAAGTAAACGTGCAAACCAAACCTGCACTTAAAGCACTGCTCTTTCTCACTCTGTCTATTGTCTGACTCACTGTGAAAAGGTAACAACACACACTGAATAGCCTTTAAATCTGTAGTTCACTGATTCGTCATGGTGGAGCCTCTGTTCCTAAAGATAGCACCATTTTCAGTTCACATAATGGGGAATGATGCAGCATGCCTAAGCTTGTCCACACCTGTAACTATGTGTGGGCATCCATCTTTTTAAGCTCATCAGTTTAGCTGTGTTTTGAACTGTGTAAAAGACATACACAAAATTTATTTGGGTAATCCTCCCAAATAGATTTATCTTCCCTCTGAGGTTTTTATTTATTTATTCATTTTTAGGATGTGCATGAAAACAAGTCTTCTTTTGTAAGTTTGGAAAGCTGCAGTTCACATAAGGACAACAATAAGCGGTGCCTGCTTTCTCTGTCACAGGTCATATGCAGGAGAGTTTGGTCCCAAACACTGGCCAAACAGCAGATATGAGTATGTGATGAAGCTGAAGCAGGCAGCGCTTAACTTTGCCAGAAAACGCTGGGCCGATTACATCCTGGTGAGCGCTGAAATAATCTTTATTCTGACAGCATTGTGGGATTGATCTTGGTCCTTTCTCCTGTTTTATCTGATGAAAGCTGTCCTCCCTTCACTGCTCTAGTGTCATCCAAGAACAAGATTTGGCAACGATCGTTCCCACGAACATCACTCATCTAATTTTTTCACTCTTTCGTCTGTTTCCTTTGTGTCTCTGTTTCAGTACGCTGATACAGACAATATCCTCACCAACCCAGACACTCTCAACCTGATGATAGCAGAGAACAAGTCTGTCATTGCTCCCATGTTAGACTCTCAGGGAGCGTACTCTAACTACTGGTGTGGTATCACTCCTCAGGTGAGTAAAAACATAGTCCCTTACATATTTAAATGGTCACACTGCTGATCCTAATCCGCCTCCTCTCTGTCTCAGGGATATTATCGTCGAACGGCTGAATATTTCCCCACACGACACCGCCACAGGCTGGGCTGCTTCCCTGTGCCGATGGTTCACTCCACCATGCTGCTGGATTTAAGGAAGGAGGGCATGAAAAAACTGGCCTTCTTCCCTCCTCACGATGACTACTCATGGCCTTACGATGACATTATTGTGTTTGCTTTCTCCGCCCGGGCTACAGGTCTGTAACTGCTCATTTATTGTCATATCTGTATAGTTTCATCCACTTAAAGCTCCTGTTAGTAATTTCACCTGTGAACATTAACATTAACGCCTCTATATGAGCTTTAAAAAGCAAACTTAGACAATCAGCATTGAAACTGACTGTATTTTATTTAAAGCTTCAGTCGGGAACTTTTATTTATGTTTATTTTGTGGCGCCCCCTGTGGACGAAATGGTACCTCTTAACTATGTAGAAGTCTTAACAAAAAAAAAAACATACCATGCACTATTTCAACAATAAATTGTATCACTGACTGTTCTAATGGGAAATGTAAAAACAGGCTATTAGGATAGTATGCAGGTAAACAGCTTGATTGGCACCTACCCCCCTACCAGCATTTTTAGGCATTAAAACTAACCAAAAAGAAATAATTAAACTTGTTACCAATGGTCTTGTTCACTTTTGTGGGTCATAAAGAGGCATCAGTGTTAATTTGGGTCCACTCTGTAACCTGATAAAAACTCCACACAGGAGCTTTAATGTAGAAATAATTATAGCATCAATTATGTTTCTACAATAAATGCTGGACTCACAGGGGTAGGCGTCAGGTTGATTGACAGGCTACTGAAGAAAAAACACTATTTTAAACATTTTTACGCTGCATTTATTCTCAAAAAAACATCAGAAAAAATCTGAATTTATTTACCCATGTTCAGAAAAGGTCAACAAAGAGACAAGAGGTGGTGCTTGGTCCACAGGGGACACTAAGTTTGATACAATCCAGAAAGTTCTCCATTCCAGGAGCTTTAAAGGCGATAAATGGAAATCATTGTGGAAATATCTTGTCCGTTAGTTTTAAGGTTATGGATTTATTCCTGTACAATTCCCAGAGATACAGATGTACCTGTGTAACAAGGAGCGTTACGGCTACCTGAACGTCCCGGCCAAACCTCACCACACTTTGGAAGATGATCGTCTCAACTTTGTCCATGTGCATCTAGAGTCCTTGAGTAAGAGCAACCAAAATATGAAACACAGATAAAAAAGGAGAGAAATTATTTTTCATTTTGGTAGATTTATTGGTTTAGCTTATTCTGCATCTTCTCTCTTTATCAGTCGATGGTCCTCCAATGCAGCCGTCTCGCTTCGTGCACATGTTCCCCAAAAAGAGAGACCTCATGGGTTTTGATGAGGTAGGAAACATCCCGTTTGGTTTGAATGTTGCTACAGTTTAGGAGAATAATCTGTTGTGATTCATTACAAACTGTTTGAATAGAAAATTACTTTTTTTCTCAGCCAACACAGTGTTTTTAATAACAGTAAGAAAAACATTTTCCTCATCCAACCTTCTGGACCTAAAAGTCTTCAGTGATCATAACAAGTGTGTTAAATTCTGTAGCTGGGTCAGTCTAATAGCTTCAACAGAGACAAAAACGTTTAAACTTTTTATTTCCATTTTCATGTTTTCCGTTTTTAACTGATTGTTCTTTAGTATTTCTCAGGCTTTTGTTTTCTGCATATGTTGCATCCAAAAATCCTTAATTTCCCATCAGCTCTTTGAATCCATATTGCTCTGGTTGTTCCTAATTCTTTACACATCTACTGTTTGAGACCATTTCATCCAATGATGATATCACTGCTGGTTTTTGAATTGGATTAATAATCACAAGCAGTATAGATCTCTACACATAGATCTCCCTATAAAGCCTCTGTAGCTCATGGCTTTATCAGATCACTTAAGTAATCAAAGGGATTGTAAAAGTGGCACAGTTGACTGTTTTAGCAAAAAGATAAAAATTTTAAGCTCACTCAATTCCAAGGATATGAAAAACAGCAAATCCAAACTTATGAAGTTCATACATCATTGTAAAACGAAGAGGATCAGTGTTAAGATGTTAAAGAAGTGATTTTGGGGATGAATTACAAGGATTTCAAGTACGAAGATTCACAGCTGTTTTCTTGGACATCAGTAGAAAAGTTTCCATAAGTGCCCAAAATTGAGGGGTTGCAGAAAAAAATGCACGGGTTTGTTGTTTTAAAAGAATTCTTTAAATCAAAACACTCCAACTTTTGGAGTGACAGTTTAATAAAGAAGTCATTTCCACACACAGCACTGTACAGCTGCAAACAAAGGAAGAGACCGAGATCAAGCGGGGTCTATTATTAGTGCAGGTGTGGTGTTACAGGTGAAGGCTTTTGTCTGCCTGCCTGATTCATGGTGGGAGTGGGGATTTTCAACAGCAAGGCCACCATTAATTACGTTTTAAAGTGGTTCTTACATGGTTTGTATGGAAATCCTGCTTTATGCCTGTTTGGCTCCTTCTCACGTTGACATCTGCTTTTGATTTGATACGGAACACAGCTGTGCAGGGACGAGCGAAAGGAATTCATCTTGTCATGCAGCTTTCAGTATTCAGAGAGTGAAGCTAGATATTAGATTAGAAATGAACTGATCAACACGTTACTCACAATTTGGAGTTTACAGATTCATGCAGATGTTTGTCCTCTCTCCTCAGATTTTCCTGATTAATCTCAGGCGCCGTCAGGACCGCCGAGACCGCATGCTGTACTCTCTAAACGAGCTGGAGATTGACGTGAAGGTGGTGGACGCTGTGGATGGAAAGTGAGTCCACACTCTTTAGTTCACAGTTCCGTGTTGTTGAAAAGTGAAATATCGAGAAAATCCCGATGACAACAATGTATCAATTATGACTTAATCTACCTCCTGTTACATCAACCATTGACTTTCACTGCAAAACAACTGCAAACCCTTTTACTTCTCATCCTGATTTGGTTTTTGACTCATTGACACTAACCCGTTTCCATCTTTTATTTGATTCTTTACTTCCGTCTTTCTGTTCCTGCACTTTTACTGCTGTCTGCCTCAAAAGACATTACGATTTGTTCAATAATCTCATAGTTCATGATTTTACTGTAGGCTCATGGTTAATTTCTAATCACATGATAAGAAAAATGGGAAAGAGAGAATCTATGCATCAATAAATCTTACTTTATTGTTGTGTGCTCTGTGCATGTGCACAATCAGGGTATTTCTTATTAAAGTGTTGGTGGAGCTGCACCAACATGTTTCTGTCTTGTGTAAAAGAGATAGACGTTGACCATGTTCAGTGTGTATTAAGGTGTTGTTTTTGTGTGTCTGTGTAGTGCTCTGAACAGCAGTGATATTAAGATCTTGGGTGTGGACCTGCTGCCCGGCTACTACGACCCGTTTTCAGGTCGCACACTGACCAAAGGAGAGGTGGGCTGCTTCCTCAGCCACTACTTCGTCTGGAAGGAGGTGAGAGGATACATACCTACGTCTTTTTAAACTACAACTAAAGCCAAATCTACTGAAAACAGAATACAACACAATCCAAGCCTGGTATAGCAACAGGTATCCTGTATGTGATCCACTCCAACTCTTCCCTTGCTGTCTGTTCAGCTTCTTTTATGTCCACACTTTGAGAAAAGGAGCTTCACCATAATAATGATTTAAACAGCTTCCCCTTCACAGTTATCACATTCACTGAATTCTACCATATTTCTCAGTGCAGTCATTTCCCTGGATTTCCATTTGTTTTTACTAGAGCAGTGTTTTTGTACAAGAGCTGAAGGGGAGGATGTATGTGTTTGGCTGCTGAGTTGAAGAATCACCAAACTTTTTCCAGAATCATTTTGGACCAATACAAAGACTTTTTTTTTTTCTGTGGGATCAAGTCAACTTCATTTTTGCCCTTTATATTTTGACTTATGTGACCATAACGCATATTCTGTGAGCTGCAAAAGCACAACAAGCAGAAACGGCTCAGCAGCATGCCCAGTCATGGTTTGCTCTACGACAGTGACTAAAAGGTTGTTTTTGGCCTTTATTGAGATAAGAGAAGATAAGATACTCCTTTCTTAGTCCCACAAGAGGAAAATCCGAATTTACAGTTCATCCTTTCCAAGAAACATACAGTAGACAGACACATACAGATGAGGACAGTAGATAGGACAGGAAGACTTCCTGTGTAATGCCTAAACCACTGGACTAGTTTATGTTTTTTAGAAAAAAAGTTAAACCTCAAAAAATGAAACCATCTGTCCTTGTGTTTTATTCTAACCCTATAAAAAGAGAAAAAAACATTTTATGTTTTTTTGATGTAAAAATGTTTCAGTTAGGGATTCAATAACTTGAAAAATGAACCAAAATGGAACTTTTATCAAACAAGCACATAGAGTACACCGTCTTCTCAAGACTCTGTTCATTAATCTTCGACGCTCTTCATCTCTGTCCTGTCTTTTAGTCACTATCACTTCAAAAAACCAAAATTGTTCTTCGTTTCATTCCTGAGCCTTCTCTGGCTACATTTTCTTTTGTGCATCTTCTTCACAGATGGTGGATATGCAGATGGATAAGGCGCTGATCTTTGAAGACGACGTTCGTTTCCAGGCAAACTTCAAACGGCGAGTCCTCAGACTGTTGGAGGAGGTGGAGCAGGTGGAGCTGGACTGGGACATCATGTAAGCTCAACATGTCTTATTTGATCTGCATTTGCTTTCCAGTGTTTCTGTGTCTGCAGTTTCCTCAAGACAAAGAGTTGCCTGTTAGTTATAGTAGTAGTATTTTAGCTGAACCCCCAGCTGTTACAAAGTGCAGAGACTGATAAAGATAATTTTAAAATATGGTTGAAAGCAGAGTTAGATAGAAGTCTCTGGTGCTTTTCCAGCCTCTCATATAAAAGTTTTAAGGACAGGCAGCCGTGGTGGTCATGAAAGCATTTTAAAAGTTTGAATCAGCAGGAAAAGGGGAAAAATGACCAACCTCTTTTTCTGTTTTGTGGTTCCTGTAACTCTCTAAAATGGGTAACACTCACATGTTGAACAAATGCTACAAAAAAACTGATACCGCAGGCAAATTAAACCAAAAACATGTGGCAACAAAAGAATCATAACTCGCACCAGATTTCACCACTCAGCGGTTTCTTTTCAATCTTCTTCTTCTTTTTTTCTATTTCATCATGGCTTTATATTTCTCCAGATACTTGGGCAGAAAACAGGTGAATCCTGGGAAAGAGCAGCCGGTGGAGAACGTTCGGAATTTGGTGATGGCAGACTACTCCTATTGGACTCTGTCCTACGCGATCTCACTTCAGGGAGCCCAGAAACTGCTCAACGCTGAGCCACTGTCCAAGATGCTCCCTGTTGATGAATTCCTCCCCATCATGTATGACAAACATCCAAAGTAAGTAGACAGAGCTCTGCATTACTTGTTTAAATCAATTTCATTATCGTTTTGGTAGCTTTAAGGCTCAACAGCCTCTCCGTGCTGCCAGACCCATAAAGGCAAAACTGACCTCAGAAGTGCTAAATGCATTCTGCCCTATATCTGCATGAACTTGTATAATGTCCTAAATTTAGCCAAGTTTTTTATAGCATAAGTAGATTAAAGAACAGTGGTAAGATCTGAGGTCTGCCTCTCCTCCCGTTTCTCTGAAAAGAAAGTCACTTTAGGCCGTAATCTCTATTCCTGTCAGTTAATGTAGATGGTGTGCAGTAAAAAAACACACACTATGTTTTAAAGTACATCTTACATCTTTCTGAGGAGATGTTTTCTATTTTAAACAGATTTCACTGTGGTGTCTGGGATTGAGTCTCTGAATTATAGCTAACTTTTTAAGGTCAGAGTGTGTTTACCAGATAGACCTGAACAGCTAAAAAGAGGATTCAGATGGGGTCGACTTGAACAGAACTCTTACAAGACGGACATATTTTTGGTTATTTGAAGGATGTTCATTGGTCGTTTGTAAAACTGTTGAAGGGTAGTGTGCAACATCTTTTATCAGAAAAAGAAACACTGAAGTTCAGAGCTTCTGAGAAGAGTTTTGACAGAAATTGAAATGTAAACAGTTGCTTCTTTATGGCCTGAAAAAACAAATAGATAGATAGAGAGATAAATACTTTATCAATCCCTGCATGAGAAAATTCAGTTGTCATTCAGTAGCAAGTATGGATACAAGAAAGACAATAAAATATATATAAAAATACTCTAAAGCCTCCACTCATCTAAATCAACAATGATTATTTTATAAATGAATAGCTGCAGGAATGAAACGTCAGCAAGAGGAATGAAATTTCTATACACAAATTTTTATACAAAAAAAAAGAGAGAAAACCCTGTGGGGGTGGAAACAAAGTCTGCTTACGTTCAGAATGTATTATGTGTCCAACCTTCCCTACATTCCCATAACTTTCGTAGTGTTTAGACAAAAACTTTTCATCATTGGCTTGCTAACTCACTATGCAAAGACAGACATCGGGTGCAATATTCTTGCTTTGAGTTCACATTTTTATGTTTATATGGAGAATTAACACACACCAAAGTATTTCATTAAGTGCTGATACTGGCAGTAGACTAAAACTGAAAAAGATTACGTACACTTTAGCTCCATGTTTAACTTTCTTCAAATTGTTGATGTTTCATCTCATAATGATCGACTACAAACCAGAGAACCCGACCATCATGACTTGAAATGGACTGAGTTTAAACTTTTAATACGGCTGTAGACCTTTGTTCTCTCTTTATGATATTAGTCAGTAAGAGATGCCATAAGTCTATGTTTGTATTATCCCAGTTGCTAGCACAGCTCTGATAATTACTATTATTATTACATACGTAAGTGTTGTCATATTGTGACATGTTATCATGCAAACAGCTGTTAGCATGACTGTAGACTCATTTGCTCATAGAGTTGTTCATTGCTTCTTTAATTGACCTCACAGAGCTGCTGCCGTGGTTTTAGGCTCTAGTCAACTTTCTCTCTATGCCTGTATGAGCATTTTCTTTCTTTCCTCAGCCCCACACAGCTGCTTGAAAGCCTGATGACTCTTGTTTTTGTTATTTTCATCATGGTGCCTTTACAAATGTTCAGCCAACTTTGTCTCAAAGCGACAACAACAACATTTATGTCTTCTTGAGGTCTGAAAATGTCCACTGTTCTGTTTTTGTTCCTGCGTAATAATCTGTCTCTGTAACCCCTCAGCTCACATGGTTGTCGTTGTTTATTGGCTGCGTCCTGAAATCAGACCACAACTCCAACTCTGACTAAATGATCCTTTAATCTTTTTTCAACCCGAGTTCCTCGTCATCCCACAGTTTTGACTTCACAGAGTATCTGAGACCCAGATGACTGTGATGAAATACACCTTGGTCTGCAGGGCCTGCAAACCAGAAGGCTTGGCAGTGTCTGTGTGCTCCGTCATGTGTGGAAAACTGGCTTAAAGCCAACCCCACTTTCTCTTTTCTCTCTCTTTCTCTCTTACCTCTGTGAGTCTAATTCGATATGCTTGACTAGTTTGCTAAGAATGCATCACGACAGCCCACCACACACACCGCACACTGGTCCTGCTGTTGCCCTTCATGCTTTAAGTTATCACACTGTGTTTCCAGTATCAGTCTCTGTCTCAATTTCTTTTCAAATAAGACCACTTCAAGCAAATCACAACGTTTTTATCCCTTCTTTGCAGGAGTAAAACAAATATACTGGCAGTTTTTCCAAAGTGTTGCAAAAATAGTTCGTATAAAGTTTTTAAAAATCGAATCTTTTTCATCTTTACCACTGTTTCTCTCTTTGCAGTGAGGACTACATGTCCCATTTCCCCAACAGAAACTTACAAGCCTTCAGCACAAGCCCCCTTCTGGTCCAGCCTTGTCACTACGCCGGTGATCCTGAGTGGGTAAGCGACACAGAAACGTCGACTCTGTGGGATGATGACAATGTGCGCACTGATTGGAGGGGTTCCCACAAGACCCTGAAAGGGTCCGCACCGCCCGAGATGCTGTCAGCTGCCTACAGGGATGAACTCTAGTACGAACAGACGGCGCTGTGGAGAGCCAGCAGTGGGTCAAAGGTCAGAAGGTCAGACAGCGAGAGGCTGAGGAGAGAAAGTGTTCTATGACTTTATTTCAGTCCACTCCGTGTCACACCACTGACACGCTGAGGGACACGCAAACTGAGCTCTGGGTTTTTCCAAGCGTGTTAGCGCGTGTTTGACATGAGGATTTTTTTAGTAAACATAAGGGACAGCGACATCGTGACTGTAAAGATTTGTACAACAACACTTGTTTCAACACCTGTACAGATATCCGAGCAGTTTTTACTTGAATGTGCAAAACAAATAACCTTGTCTTTAATGTATTGATCTCTGAATTTCACCATTTGCGCATGTCTTCTTTTGTTATTGTTAAAAGACAGAAAAACTACACAGAAAAAATTATTTCCATGGCTTCATTCGCATATTTAAAACTACGGTACCTCATAGATTTTTCATATCCAGCAGGAGAATCATCATCATCACTTTAATTGTTGTGTTTGCAGGAGCTGTAATCTTTCTCAAATCTCTAAAAAAGCATATTACACAGTCTATCATGATATAAAAGGTCCATCCAAGCTCTAAACCAAACAAGTACCTCAGGTAGTCAAAAACACATTTGCATAATTTGTCACGCTGTCAACATGATGTTGTGGAGTAAATTCAGTCTACCTGCAGGTAAGCACTGATCTGGTTGTTGCAGAGTGCTGCTACTTCATTAAAACAGAACTGCCTCTTTTCCTGTGAAAAATCACCCCACAGGTGTAGCCGAGCTCTACAGCACTTGAGCGAACTGTCTTTAATGCATCATAGAGACCCTGAAAGCTGACAATGTGGTGACTCTTTCTGCACAGGTTTGAAATGCAAGTGTGCTGATATGAATGATTTCGCTCTGATGTCTGGATAAAGTCACTCTGACCTTGTGTTACAATCATCATCTGGTATTAGTGCCTGCTTTTTCAAGTGTTGTTCTCTTTTTTTCTTATTTATTTGTAAAGTCTTCTTTGTTATTCATTGATTTATAAAAAGAAAGACACAATGCAAATGGTGAAAGTGCAATGGTTTATATAACAAATCCTCTCTTTCCATTTCTACATGTCTTCAATGTTGTAAAACCAGATGTTTGGACAATTGTGAAGACTTTTTAAGCCTTAATAAAAAATGTTCTTTTTTTCTAATTTTCCACATGCTGAGTATGTCCATTCACTATACAGATATCTGACCAATAATCTCTAGGCATTTTGGTTGTTTAGGTTTTTAGATTTTAGACCAGATTTTGTAGTAACACTTCCAACCACAAGAGGGCACAGTTACCTTTTTTATGCAGAGAGATCTGCTGGTACTTTTCTCTAGTAAGATTTCTGTTTATTCAAATTTACACATTTTTGTAAATATATAAATTATACATTAATTTTGTTCTTGATTTAAATTTGTTTTTAGTCTCTTAACATTATGTCACTCTGTTGTTAAGTTTGTACATTTTTGTCATAAATGCAAATTGATTTTATTCAATCACCTTTCAGAAATATTCGTTGTAGTCAGAGGGAACCATAGACTTAAAGATTTAAAGCAAATCTTTAGATGACTGTTCAAACTGTGACTGTATTTGATGTGTGTTACAGTTACGATGTGCAGTATCTGTCCTTAACGTCTAAACATGCTGGAATCTAACCATTTTTTTTTTGCCTTATTGTCCCATGCAACAACTTTCAAAGTACACACAATGTGCCAAAATTAGTCTCCAAATACAACCCATACTCCATGCAAGATGAAAAACATTTGAGAAAGCAGTTAAGTCCAAAGGTCTGTGCAGACACACATACACACACACAAACCAGAGTGAACATGGAGAGATTGACTGCTCGGGGTCTGCTTCAGGCTGTATGAACTGGAGAGAACCTCCTATCGCCAGAGGGAACCTAAACTCAGCTCCTGGTTGGCTGCTGACTTGGAGGTGTGGACACATGAGGTCAACTTGTCAGGCAGAGAAAGTGCCAGTGGCTCAGAGCTTCAGGGCGTAAGGTTTCATAATGTGAAGTTACATGAGGCAGTGGTGTTTGGGGTTTAACATGTCTCTCAACATTCATTCCCTCACAGCAGCGCCAACATGCAGAATACATCTTACGCTTCTCTCTCACAAACATTGCAAACATGAAATGCCATGTTTATCTGATGTTCCCTTTTGCATGGATTGCTTTCTAGACCTTGAGGACTCACAACAACAGCTGCTACCCTACTTCCCCCCTACACAACCACAAATCACATACTTCAAATAGCTTGATCCAAGTAGAAAGAAACAAAGCTACTGTTTTTTAATAGAGGACTGAAATTTTATGGAAGATCACGTAAAAAAGAAAGGAAAAAAATAACAGAAACAGACTGAAATCAATACTAATGTCTCTATATTACCTTTAAAAGCAAATAGAACCACTGGATAAAATATTATCTCTTAATAGCAATTTTGTATGTCTGTCACCCATGCCACAGGAGAGGGATATATGGAGTGGTGACAACATGCTACCAAAACAGCCATTCTTGCTTTTAATCCATGCAAATGTCCATACAAGTTGCATAAGTTGACATACAAATAAAAAGCTTACATTTACACAACCTGAGATCTTCTTCACAGGTGCTTTAAAGTAGTGGTTCTCAACTGGTGGGTCCCAACCCAAAAGTGTCTCGCAGACACGTTCTGGATGGGTCACGAACTGCTGGTCAAAAAAGGAAATATTTAATGCAATATTAATTAGATATTTGATATTTTCTGCATATGCAACTTCAGTAGTTGTACATAAACATAGTCTCCCATTGACGTCACTCATTGGTGTCCTAAAGAGGCCTTACGTTCACTTAACCTGTACAGGCAAAGAAGTGGATATGAAGCTAGCAGCTTGCCTTTGGGCAAACGAATGCATTCCTTCTATAAGTTATCTCAGTCACACCCCTCATTCACTACATTACTTACAGCTGTAATGTCTTCAAAACAAGAATTGTTTGATTCCTCTATCTAGACCAGTGGTTCTCAACTGGTCTCACTCCGGGACCCACATTTATAGAAGTCAAACCAAGCACATTTATTTTTTATATTAAAAAAAACAAAAAACAAAACTATACTCTAAAGTTTAACATGAATCCACTTGTTTTATTGAGTAAAGTGCATTTCAGAGCACATGAAGGGGACAACATGAGGACAACAACTACTGAAGTTGCATATACAGAAAATATCAAATATCTAATAAATATCGCATTTAATGTTTACTTTTTTGACCAGCTGTTCGTGACCCATCCAGAACATGTCCACGACCCACTTTTGGTCCAGAAAATATGTATGCGTGAAGAAACTAACAATGTAGACCAAAATCTTCCTTTTGCATCAGGCTGTGAACATGTTAAAGGTTCTATAAAGAAGAATATTTTAGCATAGGTTTTACAGGTACCATATTATAAAAAAAATGTAATTGATTGGCAGCCAATCTGGTATCACTGCAAAGATAATGAGCTAGAATATAAGAGGCTGCAGATCCTCCACAGAGGCTCAATTTATGATGCCTAAGTCAACTAGACAAGAGACTTAAATAGGACTTCACAGGCTTTGGAAAAGGTTTAAATTTCAAGCTTTTCAAATCATATTGAGATAGTTTTAATCATTATAACTTTAGCATCATATTGATCAACTTTCCAGCTTGTTATTGTCACATTTTTGCACTAGAAGATTTTGCAACTTACTTCGCTTTTTTTTTGTCAAATATGCACAACATGAGCAGTGTGAGGTTTATAAACTTCTGTTCTTTCTCGACATCTTAGAATAATTATCAGTGTCCTTATTTGACCGATGAAGTCCCAGCTCTGCTTCAGTTTGTACTTCTGAGTGTACTACAGGAAAGCTGAAAGGGGGAGGGACCAAGACAGGAACTACAACTGCAGGGTCCTCCACTCTTTTACAGCTCACGTTATGTGACAGCTCGTGAGCTGTAGTATCAGAGCTACACTTTTAATCGCGGTTTTTCCTCGAAATACACTCATTTTTGGCCATTTCCGCGACTAAACGAGACCTCCTGCAAAAAACACCTTCATCGGAGTGCATTGACCCAGACAGTGTGTGACACGCGGAGTGTAAGTAAGTGTAAACCGAAGCCGGACTGCTCTCAAGCAACTTAAAGTCATAGTTGACTTGTTTGTTGGGGATCACATGCACCGTATATGCCACGTTACTGCAGCCTTTAGCTATAGGAGCTGTTTGTGTTATTTCAAGACGGGACGTTCACACTCAAATGCACGCAATTCGTGATGCGTTCGTGCTTTTTTGTGCGTGTTTGTGTGCAGATTACCGTCCATTCACACCTCAGTGTCACTCAGTGTTGTAAATGCAAGTTTATGCTCACTTTGAAGTTTGCTCCCGACCACAGATCTGTTGGTTGCATAAGTCTGAACTGCAGAAAGGCCGACTAATGAATGAGCTATTAGTGCAGTGGGTGAATAAAGTCCACAAATACACTTTAAAAAAATGCATTTGTTTCCTTCAGACCCTGTTTACCTGCATTTGGGGTCCAGTTTAGTGTGTTCAGGTGTGTAATTTTCAGTTTGTTCAGTAGTGCCAGCCTAGTGCATTTGTTTTCTTCTTTTTTTGCTGTGGTTCAGTGAACACATCACCTAAATAATAATTAATTATCTGGTAAGGTGAGTTATTACCTGATCTTGACCTACTTTGAACCCTCTATGAAGATCAACCATGGGGATAGGGAAGCTATAGAACTATTTGCAGTCATAACAGCCAAACAAACAATGCTACCATTCATGATCAACGCATAGGTTGTACAGGTGAACCTAAATAGTGTGTCAACTGCACATTTTGAACCCTAATGTTAGGAAAATAAAACGATTACTGAGCCAAGTGCTCATATTGTTATCTCAAACCACCATTTTAAGCAACACATATTGTTTAAAATTTAATTTTACTTATTATCTCCCATCTTCACACACACCAAGGTTGAATTAATGCTTTCATCAGTCGTGTTTTGCTCCATTTAGATTTGTGTTTTTAGCAAAGAAGAGTCAATGGACTCAACCCGGTAGAGTTAGAGTAAGTAGAGTGGCCAGTGGATAATGTAGCATCACTGTGCCCTGTTATGTTTTCTGTCTGTCCGCAGGGGCCATGGCCTTCCTTGGGAGCACAGTTCGGCGGTTGGTGTCGGCAGTACGACCACCTCGCTCTCCCTTGTGCCGGACGCCTGCTCGCTCCTGCAGCTCTGAGCCCACCAAAGAAAAAAATGTTCCTTATGAGAAGACTCTCAAACAAGATGGATCTTCCTCTGGACCCACTAAACCTTTACCCAGGTTGGTTTATGATATTTGTGCATGATAACCTCAGGTTGTAAATAGCTTGGTTGATGTCCCAGAAATGAAAAGACATGTCATTGTGGCAATAATGGATATGGAGAAAAATGCTTATTTATCTGGAGTTTTTGTAATTAAGAATAAAATAAACACTTCTATTTAATTTCAATCTAATAAAAAATTAAAGGCAATAGTTTGAAAGTGGAAATATAGGATAACTCTCCATGGTGTACTTTACACAAGGTGTTGGAAACATTTCTCAGAGCTATTTGTCCCAAAGGTGCAGAATTGGATTGAGATCTGGTGACTGTAGAGGCCACTGGAGTACAGTGATCTCACTGTCATGTTCAAAAAATTGGCACTAAAGGGCCTAAAGTGTGCCAAGAAAACACCCCCACACCGTTACACCACCAGCAGCAGCCTGAACTGTTGATACAAGGTAGAATGGATCTATGCTGTTAACACTGAATTCTGACCCACCATCTGAACGTTGCAGCTAAAATCCAGACTCATCAGACCAGGCAATGTTTTTTCCAATCTTCTATTGTCCAGTTTTGCTGAGCCTGTGCAGATTGTAGCCTCAGTTTCCTGCTCTTAGCTGAGAGGAGTGCCACCTGGTGTGGTCCTCTGCTGCTGTGGCCCATCTGATTCAAGCTTGGATGTGTTTTGTGTTCAGAGATGATATTCTGCATAGCTTGGTTGTAACAAGTGGTTATTTAATGCACTGTTGCTTCTCTATCATCTCCTACCAGTCTGCCCATTCTCCTCTGACCTCCAACATCAACAAAGCAGAGATGGTTGTGCATGAAAATCCCAGTAGATTATCAGTTTCTGAAACACTCAGACCAATCTGCCTGCCGCCAATAACCATGCTACATTCAAATTCACTTAAACCTCCTTTCCTTCTCATTTTGATGCTCGATTTGAGCTTCAGCGAGTCGTCTTTACCATGTATACTTGCCTAAATGCATTGAGTTGCTGCCATATAATTGGCTAATTAACTGTTGGGTTAACAAGCAATTGAACAGGTGAATCTAAGATGTAAGATAACTATGACTTTGTTGCTCAGCCCATACCTAAAGAAACGCGGTAAAACATATGCAAACACAGAATTGACACATTGATTCATATCCATATGCTGCTAATTCTCCTCTTAAGGTCATGCTCCAGTTCAACTGTAGGTGTCTGCTACTACCCTCAGGTCGGCAGATGTGGTGGTCATTGGAGGAGGCAGTCTGGGCTGTCAAACCATCTACCACTTGGCCAAAATGGGGATGACAAACGCTGTTCTGCTGGAGAGAGACAGACTGACTGCTGGCACCACCTGGCACACTGCAGGTAACCTACTGTAAGAGTATATTATAGCAGGGAGAAGGGACTTTCAGTGTCAGATGAGAATTATAGTAGTCCTGGCAGGAGGAGATAAAAGCATGCCTAACTGTGTCAAGGTGTTTTCTGGGAAGCAAAAGACTGGTTTTGGAAAGTCTTTCACGCTGATAAAAACATGATATGACTACTGAAATGAATTGCTTCTCCAGATTGAGGTTGTGATCAAAAATTAAGATTTTTGCAGCTGTTAGAAATATTTGCTGAGAGAGGCCCTAGATGTTCAGTGATGTGGGTGTGTGCAGTGTCTGGGACAATTATGTCTTATTCATGTTAGGCTGTAGGAAGTTGTGGGCCAGTTTTTAAGGGTGGGGTAGGCAGGACTTCGTTAAAGAAGCATCTTTTTTTTGTGGTGGATATACGAAAAAGCTTTTAATATCAGTCAGTAACTATTAAGTATTGATGACATTTTGGAATATAACGATATCGCTGTGTTTTGTTATGTCTGTGTAGTCAACATTTAAAATTTTTTGAGCGGCCCGCTCTTTCTGACTGTTAACAAAGCAAATTTCCACCTCTCTCAACCTGATTGGTAGTGAGGTGGACCCTGCTCCCTCGTGCTGATTGGTTGTGAGGCAGACGCTACTCCCTAGTGTCTGTAACAGAAGTGTTTCTTGTCAAACCTGCTGCATGTTGTAGCGCCACTAAACTGTTTACCTCGGGTCCTGGAGTATGTCACTATCCTAGTTTTAGAAGTCTTGCAAACATTGTGTTTGCTGGTAGTCCATTGCCATCAGTAGCACCAATACTTGATACTTGAACGTTGACTGGGCCCCATTTGTAATTATCTTAAGTATTTATCTGCATTATATCTGAATTTATTTAGAACAATACGAGTGAGCAGGAGCGTCTGTTTGTGGGCGGGGCTTGCTAGAGAGGAGAGGGAGGGGAGAGGAGGAGCTGAGGGGAAAACTGGTTGGGAGGGGTTGTGTTTACATTCAAGATTCCTCCCAAAACTGGCATTTCCTCAGATCCTGCCTACCCCACCTTTAATGTCAGTCATACAGTTAGAAAGTGATGGATAACAGGGAGGTAAAGCTTGGTGTCATCAGCATAGAAGTGAAAATCAATGCCATGTCTACGGATTACGTCCAAGAATCAACTGACCCCGAGGTGCCCCACAAGACAAAGTAACTCTGGAGGACTGTAAGCTTCCAATAGTAACTCCAGATTTAAATAAACATGTTAAAAGCTGAACCAGAGAAACTGACCCAGAGTTTAAGACATTGCAGTAAAATCAATTGGTGAACAGTATCCAATGCTAACCCTAAATTTCCCAGTTGTTTCCCAGTCAGATAGATCAATAAAATCTATCTATCTATCTATCTATCTATCTATCTATCTATCTATCTATCTATCTATCTATCTATCTATCTATCTATCTATCTATCTATCTATCTATCTATCTATCTATCTATCTATCAGAACTAGAATTGAAGAGTTGGGATGATGGGATGAGATGCTTTTTGGGAAGTTATTGAATGATTGCTTTAATGATATGAATTATTTTTTGATTAATTAATTATTCTTTATTGATTATTGTTGGTAGGATATCAAGTGAACATGAGGAGTGTTGAATTCTGCTGATTATCTCAGTGAGAGTGTTGTGAGAAATGATTGCTTAGTAATGGTTCAATCTCCATTAACAGAGTATGACTCACACTGTTTTCCTCACCTGAACCCTTGTCTTATCTCATTATAGTATCTCCTGTCAAACAGGTTCCTACAGTGTTGATAAGACTTCCTACAGTTTATGTGCTGTATTCTTAACCCACATTGTGCCCAGACATTGTGCAGCAGTCTAACATAAAAATGTGTGTGTTTGTTGTCCAGGTCTGCTCTGGCAGCTAAGGCCCAGTGATGTGGAGGTAGAGCTCCTGGCTCACACTAGAAATGTGATCAGTAAAGACCTAGAGGAGGAGACGGGTCTTCACACAGGCTGGATCCAAAATGGAGGACTCTTCATTGCCTCCAACAAACAGAGGCTGGATGAGTATAAGCGTCTCATGTCGGTGAGAACCAAACACTCTCTACTCTTAGCATTTGGAAAGTGTTGTTTCCATGATCATAAGAGTCAATATTTTCTTATTTGAATACTTCTATGTTTAGCTGCCGTTAGTCGATGTTTTAGTTTGTGAAGGGATGTTTGCTTGACATGATGATGACACGAGAGCAGTGAAAGGCTTTGTTTGCTCATGTTTTGTGTTTTGGAAGTCCAAAGTTCATTTGAAAACTTCTCCTCATCAATACACAATGCAAAACAGATTCAGCCATGTGCATTCAGCATGTTGAAAACTGAAATTCCTCACTTATAAGAACACCAAAACTGATGCTTTAAGTGACTTAGGAGCTTGACAAGGAAATTCATGTACTTGTAAACCTGAAATCTTTAACTTAAGCACATGTAAAGAGTGTTGTTTATTTATATGTTTTATTTGATTTCAAATAAATCTTATAATCACAAACAAATACCCTCTTCCTATTTCTAGCTGGGTAAAGTTTATGGTATTGAGTCCCATGTGCTGTCACCTGCTGAGACTAAGGACCTGTATCCTCTGATGAACATTGATGATCTCTATGGAACTCTGTATGTACCAAAAGATGGGACCATGGACCCAGCCGGCACGTGCACCACCCTCTCCAGAGCTGCATCAGCCAGGGGGGCCACGGTAACGTATAGATTAACTCTATCCATACAAATAACATACTAAAGGGGATTTGACTGTAATTTCAGCCCAGTAAAGCTTACATTTTTTTAGTCAGCTCGTTTTAATTGTAAAACTGGTTAAAAGTTGTTTGTGCAAAAAGACGCTTTTCTGTGTATTAGGTATCAGTTTTAATATAAAAAAATGTTCAGGTAAGCCTTCATATTCAAAACTAAGTCTCAAAAATATGTTGATAAGCTTATCTATTCTGTTTGGATCTATATGTAAATGCAAAATACCTTTTTTTCACATTTTGAAAGAATCCCACTTTGCACATAATCCCTCTGACCTACATGCAAACTCAACTAGTAAGCAATTTTGTTATCTGCAGTTCAAGTTTGTGTTTGTGTGTGAAAAAATAGCTCTTGTTCTATCTCGTTCAGATAGAAGAAGAAAATCCAGTGTAGATAAGTGAGTCATAACCTTGTGTAAAGCTAAACATTAATTGCTGTTACGACCAAATGACTTCCCAAGTGTCAGTAAGTGTGACTCTACTTGCCTAATTTTTAGGACTGGAATAAAAATACCTGCATATTTGTAGTGGTGGGTACCTCCACTGCACAGTTCAAAAGATTAAGGGGTAAAACTCAAGAGAAACATGAGCTTTCGCAAATATGTCTGTGCAGGGGCAGGCCTTTCAGAAAAAGTTGCTAACTTTGGTCTTAGGTCTGACCTTTTGGCCTCACAAAGGTCGCTTCTTGGGGGAAGATCACCATAGTAACTGTGACTGCACAGCTGCTGGACTGCAGGATAAGCTCAGGCTGCTTTTATAATTCACAGACGTGTAAGAGCACAGAATCAAAACCACATTAAGAATAATAATAGAAGAGGTGTGGCCACAGTGCAAACAGAAAGGCTTTTAACTTTAATGAGCAAATGTTAAAGGGTCTGTAAATATTAGTTTAGTTTTATTCAAAACTTGAATATTACATACTGGACATATCCTGGATAGAGCCCTATATATAGAGGGAATAAGTCCTGGACAGATTATTTTACAGGAATTACATGTGTACTTATATTGAATTAAATCAAATTATACTGTTACATATTAAATCGAGTCTTATTAAATCAATGTATTTTATAGTAATGTATCTTATATTCTGTTGCAAATATTGCATGGTATTTTATCGTGATATCTGGTTGTATTTTACCGTTAAAATCTGGATATCTTGCCAGCATGCTGCACAGTCAGCATACATTATCTCCACGATTCTTGTTGATATCACTTCACTCTTAAATCAGGTGATTGAGAACTGCCCTGTGACTGGTATCCAAGTGCGGACAGATGACCTCGGAATAAAAAGAGTAAAGGCGGTGGAGACAGCTCACGGGACTATTGAGACACCCTGTGTGGTGAACTGTGCTGGTGAGTTAGACACACTCAGTTTTTATTCCAGAGAAAATTAATCACAGGTTAAAAACACTGAAAAAAATTGGGAATAGGGGAATCTGCAAGAATTCCTTTCTTCCAGGAGGTATGAATGTGAGGATATGTTGCTTTTTGTGTCTCATGCAGGTGTTTGGGCCGCCAAACTGGGGGATATGGCTGGAGTGAAAGTGCCGCTTATTGCAATGCATCATGCTTATGTGGTGACAGAGAGAATTGAAGGCATACAGGTAGGATCTCCTGATATCATATGTGTACAGCTTGGTTGTTCATTAGATTATAGATAAAATTATCCACTTACATGGTGTTCAGTAGCCCCTGATGGCACACTGGCAAAAAGCAGGTTGGACTGGCAAAGTTTTATATAGCAACAAAACTATGGCTATAAGTTCTTTTATTGCTGTCAGTAAAGACACCAGAACATGAGGAGGACTCCTTTTTATTTGTCAAGAATGTTACTTTATTTTTTGGTTTTGTTGTGTATTGAGTCAAAGCTTGTTAATGTGGCATCGGAAGACAGAAGTCAACGAAAGGGGATAATAAAATAACTCAAAATCACTGAAGCGCTAGAATAACTTTCGTAGATGTAGTCATATTGTTTCCGCCTCTGACTTTGCTTTTTTCCGACTTGGTTACTAAAACGCTGGGAACTCAGGTGTGACGTCATTTCCAACTCCGACATCTGACTTCCGAGGTAACTCGAACGCAGCGTTACACCTGCATCTAATGATAGATTGTTTTACAAACATTTGAATCTGGAAGGGAACTTTTTCAACCCTCCAAATAATAGTATGTTGGTGTCTGAAGCTAAATATTAATACAGTATGCTCTGTTTGCAGTATCTAGAGCAGTGTGAGGGCTGAGGTTTTAGTTATTAACAAAATTAACCAAACACCCCAAACTAAAATTTCAAACTTTTAAGTAAACTAAAATAAGAATAAAAATAAAGGAAGGCTTTAAACAATAAAAGACAACTCTAACGCCAATTTCAAAATTCACTGGTTCACTGTTCACTATTTTGAGAGAGACTGTGTGTGAAAAAAGTTCAAAAACTCTAGAATAATGTTAATAAGAAATAATTAATCACACAAAATGCACACTGCAGGTATCTTGATAGAGAGCTTACAACTTATCTTCAACACTATATAAAAATGTCCTTAGAGTCTTTGTATTAAGTCAGTCTGACCAACAGGAGGCACTGTGAGATAACATATGTTCGGACTAGTGTTGGAGAGTGTTTGGATGAGACTGTGTTCATACAGATTGTGATGTTTGTTTGTTCTCTAAATGCTGAAAAGGTCTATTTTTGTTGGGGTTTAGGGCTCCTAAGTGTATAGATATAAAGCATCTGTCAGAATCTGTGTACATGATCCACAGTGGCTCTGTGACTGTGGATCTTGTGTGTGTTGGGCTTAGTTAGTGTACACATGCATAACTGTGCTCGTTCTCCAGAGGCCTGCGGTTTTAGGCGGGCTGTCACAGCTTTCCTGTATTATGTAGTTTAAGAGCAGCTTAGCCAGCATTACTGCCACATCATGTACACACAGACATCAGCCCACACACAATATGACACACTTACACACTTAGACACCATTAGAAAATGTGTTCCCATCAGGACATGCAACTTGTCAGGTCACACATCTCATGCTGACCACATGCGTGTCTGTGACTGGATGTGTTATGGTCCCCTGAGGCTGTGCTGGTGTCACATTTGAAGTACAGAGCTTGCTTATGACTGGTGTGTGTTTTAAACTGCGTGACTGTCTGACAAGTCCAGCTGAGTGTTTTGTATTCAGTATTGATTACATGAGTTGAGCTGCCCCACAGTGCAGGGAAGATAGTTTGACTTTTGTCACAGACTGAGTGCTGTTTCCCAAATGTCAGCTTGTTCGTTGGTATTTCTGTTTTGTACCCAGAAAGCTGACAGATTTCCGAATAAGAAGCGCTCGTGACAGAATAAAACAAAAGACACAACACACTCAAGTGTAACTATTCATTAGACATTCCCCAAGAGTGTTTACTCTGACTCAAGGGGATGAATGCTGCTCTCTGCTGGGATTTGAATGAGGATTTCATGGTATATCAGTAGCTGCCATACCATACATAAAGAAACGCCATGGTTTGTTAAGGTGTTTTCCACTGGTGCTATAAAGATTTAATGGTTGTTATTGCTTGTATTATATACCCTGGTCTGTACATGTGCTTCTGTTAAACAGAAATCAATCGCACATAAAGACCATTTCAGATCTGCGTGGAAACAGGGATTAGTTTTGGTTTCTTTACTTTGAGTAAAAATATTCTGAAATTTGTCAATTTAGTCAAGAAACATTAGAAGAGTTTGATTCACAACATTGTTGCACAGTAATTACAGCTAAAGTAACCAAGCATTTCCTTCAGATTTGTTACCATCAATTGGCCTTTCCTTGAATTAACGACATGAGGAGTTAATTGGTTTCAAAAATGTATTTAAATGTTAAAGAAATGTATGTTGGGGTACTTTATTCTTCTTTTCTATGTTGTTGCAGAAAAAAAAAACTAAATCTAAAAACTCAAGCTGACATTTACTTTTGTTTATAAAGCTTAATCTGCCCACACAGTATTATAGATCTTAATTTTTTTTGGATGTTTCCATTTTAATTTTCTTTTTCATTTCAGAACATGCCTAACGTCAGGGACCATGATGCATCAGTGTACCTGCGCCTCCAAGGTGACGCTCTGTCCGTTGGGGGTTATGAACCCAACCCCATCTTCTGGGATGAGGTAAACTTGATTATCACAGAAATGACTGACCGTCTCATTGTCTTTCTGTAATTCTGAGTCTCTCCATATCGACTGTCTCTGCCTGAGTGAGAAGTATGACGCAGCGTCTATCCTGTTTGGCATAAAATCAATACTTCAATGAGGAAACTGAATGAAGTTTAATCCTGTTATATAGTCTGTGTCAGTTTGACCCCCTCTCTTGTTCATTGAGTTTTATTTCCCATGTCTTAATAACTTGCTGCTTTATTATCTTGGAGGTCAAAACATCCCTTTAATGGGACCAATACTTAGTGTGTGTGTATGTGTGTGAAGGTGTGTGTGTAGGGAGGCTTACCTACCTCTCACTTACAAAGTTAAAAGATGTAGTATTACAGTTTTATCACTATATTTTAAGTCTTTTGTTTAAAACCTTATTTAAAGCAGCAGTGATGAGTTTTTTAAATTTATGAAAAAGACTGAAATTCATATTGACATTTTATACGATACACAAAAGCGAACAAGATTGTGTGACTATAGAATAAACACATCTGTTATACACACTGTTTAGGTTTATTGGACCCAGTGTTTGATATGTTCAAACTCAAGTTATGAACATTTTTTCAGAGCCTCTAAAGAACAAGATCAATCACTCGAGAAAACCGAATTATTGCCTTACTCCGATTAAGACCAGACAACTAAAGTGCATGTTAACACCGTAGTCCGACTATAATCAGAGTTTGAGAATTCTGATTGGAGTCGGAGAACTCCGATCAAGACACCCAGATTGTATGGCGACTATCCAAAACAATTTAGCCGCCGAGAGGCTAAGTGGGGGAAAACGGTACCTTGCCCGACGCGCTGGCTGTATACACTTCAAAAAACAGGCTGTATCTCCGTTTGTAGATTTATTAATGCAAAAGACAAAAAAACACTTACATTAAACAGAAAAGGGCAGTTGTTCACAAAACCGCTGACTTACTACTACCGGTGCTGACGAACTACCTCCACCCACACCACGTGACACTCATCCCCGTATATAACCACACAATACATAAATATTATAAAAGATCATGGCTACCACAATGAACTGGCATCTACACAGATAATGCGATTGGAATTCGATTTTCTGTACCATGTAACCAGCGTAGTCGGAGTATGATTGGACAATGCATCTGCATGTGCGCCACGCCCCCGTAACCCTGGAACAAAAACACTAGAGAAGAAGAGTAGCGTTCACCTCATCTGCAGAAAAAGTAGCGCGTGCATCATGTACGACAAAAACAGCGCTGTATGATGCTTCATCTTTGTGCTCGAAAACGCCCAGCAGCAGTTGTAGACACTTCTGACGTCTTGCACGGACCTGCTGTTGTTGTTGATAGTTGTATGGGGTCGGAAACAGCATAGCTGAAAAGACCTATATCGCCCCTAGTTTTGGGAAGCAGGACATGTTCACGTCAATAATTCAATTTTCACGGCTGCACGAATACGCGGACAAGGAGAGAAGTTTGATTTAGCGAAAAAAAAAAAAAATTAAGAGCTTAGTCCGATTAAGCTGTGCATGTAAACGCACTGACAGCGATTATAAAAGTGTATTTTTTAAAGAGATGTTTTTAATGGGAAAAATTCATGTCATTAAAAAAGTTATTTCAGTTATTAGCAGAAGTCAAGGATCTGAACACCTGCTTTTGAGGCTTTTCCCAGAGGTATGATCATCATAATACACACTTCAAGGGAGAATAACTCCTTGACTTTTATGACGTTATTGTTTTTCTTCAGCACCACCCACAAACTCTGTATTTTTGGTACCACTGCTGGTAAAATTGCTTTCATTGGAACATTAAAACCAAAGTATTTTTCATAAAAGACAGAAATGACAAAAGGCTGTGGAGAAAATTATTCATAAAAGTGATCATTGAGGCGGTTCTTTTGTGCACAGACAGACTGTTTAAAGTGGAGTTGAATTTGGAGATCAATCATTATAAAAGCTCGAATTGTCAGGAGATCTTAATGGATGTGTACTTTCTGTCAAGGACAGAGTTTGGTGCATTTTGTTAAGTAGAGTGGACGTCTCAGTGGCAAGCTTTTTCCCCCCTGTCCTTGTTTTCCGCACTAATAACTTCTCCTTCCTAATACTTGAGATTATTTATGCATGTACTCAAGCACAGGACTATATGTACTGTGCATTCAGTTGAGCAACACAGCCCTTCACTTATAGCACAAATAAATATTGCCATTTATTCAGCCTGTTTAAGAACAAGGATCAGCAAGGATCCTAGAAAAGTAAAGAAATGTAAGTGACTCAGTGGATACTGATAATGTGTTCTTGTCTGCTGGACTGATTTCATGACCCTTTGTTTATACATTTGGCTGCTTGCCTGTCTACACACAAAAAATCACAAGGTTTAGTGTCGACCCCAGCGTGGATCTAACCGACACATTAATCGTTTAGCTTTTCCCTAAACTAAAAAGGTGTGGAAAGATAAAGTATTTTAAGTGCGTCTATCCTTTGTTGTCTGCCTAACGTAGTATTGGTTATATTCTCGAGAGACTGTTTGGTACTGGATCAATGTCTGAGTCTGTGGGTGGTTTTGTTGCCTTTGGTACTGAGGACATGACTTTGGGTTCAAACACCTTAAAAACTGACTCAGCATTGGCCTAAAGAGCACTGATGCAACACTAGGTAAGGTTAACCTCGTTTTGCATCATAGCTGCATTCAGCCGCATACGGTCAGTTTTAAGATACCAGCACTTTGGTACACATCAGAGCACCGATACAGCACATAGGTAACTTCTGGTTGATCATAATTGGAGAACTACCCTTTATTTAAGCCACTGTCTCCTTAAAGCTCCCTAGCATTCTGGGAGCCTCCTTCACTGCTGCCACGCAAAAAAGTTGTGTTTCCTCTATATTAAGGAGAGTCACTGTCTGGTCATGTCACAGTTGGAGCAAATATGAGTTTTTGAATAAGCCATTCAGAGCACCCTGTAGTCCCATCTAGGGATTACTTCAACACACAATAACCTTCCAACCTGAAACTTTGCTCATGTAAAGCACTGATGTCCAATTTTTTAACTTAAAATTGTATTTTAAAATATAAAAAAAGCATAACACCACCTCTTTTTTTTTTTTAAACAACTTTTAATAGGATAGAAATGCATAATAATATTAAAAAACAATGAACAATTCTCATTATGTACAGTATCTATGTGTGCGGTATTTAGTACCGCCCTCATTTTACTTCATGTGAACTTTTTTTGCTGTAAATGAAATGTCCCCCTGCTGGCCATCGAAGGGAATGCAGATTAAAGTTCCTTTTTTTATACAAAGTGGGCTTGTATTTGAAACCTATCTTTCCTAAGTGTGTTACTTGCAGCTGCAGTTCCTTAATGGGAGTAAAGCTGAATACTGCTGCAGATGGGGTGATGAGTAAAAAGTGTTTTATTCACTGAAAGAAGACTGACCTATAGAAACCTTTAAACTAAAGTACAGTCCTGAGTATTTAGACTTCTTCACATTGATATCCCCAAAGTCTCCTGTTTTGATTTTATGTTTCTATATGTACAATAGTCCTGGGTTTAATCACCTCACTGTACAGGGTCATGTTTCCACAGTACATGACTTGAGCTAAATTGACCCCATATGAATTTGTTTTGTAACCTCAGGATTTTAGTGCGTTGGTTTCGCATTTTAGAGTCTTTTTTTTGTGCTGAAGCTGCTCCTTTTGTTCCCGTCATGCAGCTGAGCATTGCTTTGATGTCTTGAGGCGCGTGGAGAAAGAAAGAGGAGATAAAGAAAGAAGAATTAGTGCAGAGACGGGGGAGAATAGACGAAGCCTACCGAGTGAAGATGAGCAGGATCGATGGCTCGGGAGGGATTGAGAGAAGTGTTGTCTAGGACAAAGAACACTGCTCTTCAGATACTCCAGTTGAGTGTCAGAGCTGGGTAATAATGCAGAAACTCTTTGTTCACATGAAAGCAGCGCCCATCAGTTTGCACGTCCCTCTGATGTTCCAGCCTTTATCAGAACTGAAGTGCTGCTGTTGATGTTAATTGTAAAGGAGTCAGTTTTCTTCAGTAGTTCTCTCCTACTGCAGGGTCCTGATTTTAAGAGTCACCTATGTTTGACATGTGCTGCATTCTGGACGAGACGAGTATATACAGCCTTGTGCATGAGCAGTGACAACACACATAAAAAGAGACCATTTCATTCTGTGTTTGTGTGGAGGTTGCATTTAACGAACCCAGAGTGAGGATTCAACAACCCCCTGAGGAGACATGACCGGATCAGTACCAAGATATAGGGGAATAAAATGTCACAGAGCATTTAAGCCGGACCTACACCTTTTAATTTGAACAACAGAGTCCGTCAGATTAGTAAAGGTGGGGAAAATATCAGGATAATGTGGTTTAAACTCCTCGGCATGAGTTGCAGGAGCTAAATGATGAATATTATTCTTGCTGATGAGGAGGGAGTACGAGCTGTCCAGATGGAAAGAAATTAGAGCTTGGACAAGGAACTGAGGGATGGAAGGGTCTGATTTAACTCGTGTTGACTTCTTGATGAGTGGAGTCAATGCAACAGATGCTTCAGGATTGTGTAGTTGTTGTAACGAGTGTGTCCTCGCCGTGTCTACAGTCAGAAGAAGTAACTTTGACTTGTGTCATTGTGTTCATGTCAACGATGATGAGGAAAAAAGCAAAAGTCTGTATGATTCTCTGGCTTTAACATTCAACATTGATCAGACTTTTTGTGGAAAACATGAACTGAACAGCGAACAACGAGATCACAGAGTAGCTATAACTAATTTTTAAACATGTTTATAATGCTTTTTTTCTTACCTTTTTGGAGACATTTTGTTTTTCTTTTTAGCTAGTCAGATGTGGTTATTCATATTTTAATCATGCATCAACCACCACAGTGTTGCTGAAGCATATATGATCGCTTGGTTTGACTTCATTTTGTATTATTTCATATTACATCATCATGGTTTAGCATAACTCTCCCAGGGATTTCCTTTCTTTTATTTTATACTTGTTTATTTTTAATACAACTAGTAAATCTTGAAAAAAGGCTCAAATAAAAATATTCAAAAGCTTCTTTAATCTCCTTTTCTTGCAAAGGAGACTTTGGTACAAAATCTGCTGATTTGCACCTTCTCACATTTTCTTACATTTCACACATTTTTCTTCCAAGAATGATGTTTTCCAGCAGAAAGACATGTAATGTACTTGGACCATGAAACTTGTGTTAGAATGAGTATAAAATTTTCTTGATAGAGTCAGTCCTTGCACACGACTGAAAATACAGGAAGTAAGCACATTTGTTTGTTTTGTTCGCCAGGTGTCGGATAAATTTGCCTTCAGCCTGTTTGATCTGGACTGGGACGTCTTTATGCAACATATTGAAGGTGCAATCAATAGAGTTCCTGTTCTGGAGCAGACCGGCATCAAATCCACTGTGTGTGGACCAGGTACTCACAAACACAGACACATATGCACACACCAATAAACACACATTCTAGCACAAAACAATAATTAATTTTAAAAAGTTTGACCACATCACTTAAAGTCAAACTGCTGTAACTGCTGCTGCAACTTGACATGCACTGGTTGTGTCAGCAGTGTTTGACCTATCACAAACATGAGAAAGTTGCTCTTGGCTGATTATGTTTTACTTACAAAACGAGCTGGAATTAGAAAAATATGTAGTTGAGCACAATATTCAGAGGAAGTTTAACACAGCTGCATTTACAAAACGAAAGAAAAAGACTCATCATTAGCAAACAATCGATCTGTTCACTCCTTGAAACTAATATCCTTGCTCAGATCAATTGTTGTTACCTGTAAGAGAGATGTTAATATCAATACTGAGGCATGTGCAGAGCCGCTCTAATGGAAACACTTTTCCACTAAAACTCAAAAGAACGACAGAAACGGGGTGAAAATAACATTAAAAGTTGTGAGCTGACCCTAACTCACTTCATCTTCTCCAGTATGTTCTTTCTTACTCCTGTGTTGATACTGTGGTTAGGTTCAATTACTTGTCACCTTCAGACAAAGGTTACAAAAATGTTGGGGTGTATGTATCTGTCTCCAAATGCCAACTTTTTTACAGATAAATTTTATTGTATTGATAATAAAATAGCAGCAAATTAACAAAAAGACATTTATGGGGGGGTTGAATGCTGAATGAAAATAAAGCAAATAAGATGAAGAGGAAATAAAAACTTGTGAAAGAATTACATTAAAGGTAAAAAGTGGTTTTAATTGGATAAAACTACCACAGTATCTATTTGACATTGAAAAAATGACCCTCTTATGAGTTGACATTCAAGGAAAACTAGAGATGAGAAGAACTTGGGAGGAATGGAAAACAGACCATGATGCTTGGAAATTATAAGTAAGTGTCTGTCGTCAAGGACCTCGAGCTTAAAGGAGAGAGAACTCATAGAAGGTGAAGGAGATTAAAATGTTTTCTTCTTTCAAACTCACGCTGTTTTTGTGGTTGAAAAGCATCCCTTCACTTGTGACCCTGTCTGTAAGGTTGCTTTTTAAGTTTTGTATTTTTCTGAGTCCTTAACAGTCTCCTTGGAGCAAACTGAATTCTGAACAATGGTCTGAGTGTTATGAGCTTAATGAGCACCAGTAGTGTCTGCTCAAGAGGATTAAAGACAAAGGAATACGCACTGTAGAGAGGTCTCTGCTAAACTTGTGTGTTTCTTATTTGTTGCCACTTTTTCCTTCAGAGTTTATCTTTTCTTGCGTTTTCAGAGTCGTTCACAGCAGACCATAAACCGCTGATGGGAGAAGCCCCAGAGGTCAGAGGTTTCTTTCTGGGCTGCGGCTTCAACAGTGCTGGTAAGAGCTGCTTACTTTTAAGAAGGAATAGATATCAAAGTCAGACTGTCAATGTCATAAATCTGGATACTTTCAAATAATTTATGTTATAGCGCTTTCCTCAAGGGGGAAGGGATGAAATGATAGAGCTTGAAAGGTCAAAGGAATCTTCGCGGTGTGGTAAAATAAACAGAAAGGAAAAACAAGCGGGGAGAAACAGCCAAAGAGTGTTTTTCTTTCCTCGATTTTGACCCAGTCATAGCCGATCTCTGTAGACACTCTTAAGGCACAAATAAATAATGGAGTGCCTCTCTTTTTCACTGAATCCACAAAGAAAACACACACAGACACACACACACACACACACACACACACATGCATACATGTATCAACAACAACCCAAGTCACTTTCTTCTTCCTCCATTAGCTTACCTTTGATAACTGCGAGGAATGTGAATATCTCAGCAGTCTGAAAAACAGAGAGAGAAAGGGAGGGCATGAAGGGTAAAGCAGTCCGCACCAAGGTCAAGAGACTGTTGAGGAAATGCTTGAAGGAATGAGGCTTAAAAACTCCAAAGGAAGACGTTCTGATGAGAGCGATGAAGATGCAAACGTGAGCTCATAATGTGTTCCAGCAATGAGTTTTTATAAAGACAAATGAAGCCATAATACCTGCTGCATTGGGCGCTGGAGATGTTTTCTAAAAACCAGAGTCAACCAACCATAAGAATGTTTCGTTGGTGTCTTATATGGTATTTACAGAGCACTATATGGTATTTAGCACACTGACCAAAGCTTGTGCTGAATCAAAACAATCTAAAACAAGGAGACAAAGTGTTGTTGAAGATGACATGACATTAGCAGGTGTGTTTTCAGCCATGACTGGTTTTTAATGTAAGTTTTAAACGCAGCAGCTCTCACCTTTTTCTCGTACTCCTGCAACATCTTTGACTGGTTTGCAGCATCCAACCATGCCAACCCGCTTTCCCCCCTTTTCATAAACCACTATTGGGACTACATTTTTTCAACATGTGTAAAAGTATTTTCAGATTTAATCTTATAAAAGAGAATAAATTAGCAGTAATATTTGTGCTGGATTAATCTCTGTATTACGACGGAGCATTAGGGCCACATTAAAAAAAAAAGATTTCAAGGATAAAGTCATTACTCACGAAAATAACGTCATTACTAATGAGAATAAAGTCGTAATAAAGTATTTACTTATGAGAGTAAAGTCCTTATATTCTAATCTGTTGTTTATGAATAGAGTTGTTGAAATGAGAGCCATGGAGCATTTTGTGAAAATGGTAATGGCTTTATCGCGACTTTATTCTCCTAAGTAAGCAATTAATTTATTACGACTTCATTCTTGTAAGTAATTCTCGTAAGTAAATATTTTATTACAAATTCATTCTCATTAGTAATGACTTTATTCTTGCAAATTTAAGACTTCAATATCGAAGTCTTATTATTATTTTTTTTGTTTATATGGCCCTAATACTCCATCGTACTGTATTCATGTTCTTGGTAAAAAAGAAATAATGAAATTTAAAAAAAAAGAATTTGACCCTTTCTGTTGTGTTAAAAATGTGAATCTTTGCAGGCTCTTGTTGGCTCATTTATATAATTATGAGTTGTGTTGTTCCCAGGATCAGTGCAGGGTATCAGAAATGTTTTTCCTGTTTTTGCCAGTTTGAGGAAAATTGGTCATTATTGGTTTAGCTTTCTTAAAACCCTGCTGTTTTTTTTTTGTTTTTCCTCATCTTTATGCAGATAAATAAGTAATGTGTCTATCTGAAATGATCATCTTCATATCCGGTGGGTTGCTGGGACAAGATCATTGAAATGGGCCACCTGTTGCAGATATACCACACCTGCTAACAGGGACTGGATAATGAGGGATTATGCACAGCAAGAATGGCTCAAATGCCTGTTATTAGTGCAAACACACACAGTTGGATTCAGCGTGCACTCTCTATCGAACAAGTCAAAGCAGGAACTCTGTAAAGTCAACTCTGCCTTTTTTTTTTTTCTATCTCTGCTTTGTCAGTCTCTCTTCCTCTGACCCCTTTGTCTCTCTGACTCAGGGAAAATCTCGTGGTTATCTTTCTTTCACATTCTCTCTGGAACTCACACGGCTTATTTTGCTCACAGCAAGGGAAGACAACAAGGCTAATTCAGAAACCATGGGGCCAAAGTTAGCTGATTCACATTTAGAGACCGATCATTGGGTGCACAGTTGTCCTCCTTTTCTTAATTTTAAGATGTTTTACTTGATAGAGCTCATTGTGCTGTTTTTTTTTTTGTGCTTGTTGCTTAGCAACTTTGAAGTTTCTCACTCTTTGTGTCAAACGCCATGCTGAACTTCTTACTTTGAGAGCACTTATTTCTTGTAATTATGGGCCTATTATTGCTTTTCACTGCTGCACCTCTTCACCCCACCCAAATCAACATCCTATTCTTAATCACAATAATGAGTGCCTTCTCAGGTATTGTTGCTAGTTAAGGCTTTTGACAAATAATAAGACAAAGAAAATGGCCTGTATCTAAAAGAGAAAAGTAGAGAAAAACAACTGGGTTTGGTCGTTCAAAGATCCTTTCAGTCAAAGAATCTGCAAATGGAGGTTCGCACCATTCCAGAGCTGTTGTCTGATCAAACAGTAAAATCATGATTCATTGACCCACGTTCTACCGGGTAGGGCTGGGCGATAAAATAATAATGAGATATATCAAAAATTAATTTCCCTCGATAACGATATGAAACATGGTCAATATGCTTTTCGATAACCGGCATTCTGTCATGTTTTGGTAGACTATGCGAATAGCCATTGAAAAGGGGAGTTGCTCCAAGTCCGCACTGCGCTGAACCAATCATGTGCTGAATTAGAACCAAGTGGCAAACAATGCGTAGTAGCAAGCCGCAGCTACACGCAACACGTGAAGCCAACAACACTGTTGGTGAGAAAAAAAGAAATGCAGATGAAAGCTCAACAGATGACATGCTACCAATAAGTACTGTTAAATTTCATTTAAGAGTAACAGGGAACATTTACGATTGATAAGTGATTTTTTTATATCATGTTATATATTTTTATTTGTATTGACTGATATGAAAAAAAATATATTGTGATACATTTTTTTCCCATATCGCCCAGCTCTACCCCCAGGTTTACTTTAACAGTGAGACTCCACCAGTCTAGGAGTTTAAAATGGACCAATTCTCAGACAAAGCTACGCTAAAATCAGACACAAAAGCACACTTTTCAAAAAGATGAGCTTCCATTCCAGGTAACCTAAAAAACCTTTCAAGATATTTACAGTTTTGTGACAGGGTTTCAACGCAAGTATGGAAAAGTATGGAGATAAATCTGATCAGTTTCCAGGTCTTGAAAAGTATGGAAACTGAAAAATAAAGTGTGGAAAAATATTTGTTTCCAGACTATTACCACGGTTCTAAAATATTGTTTTCGGAAATAGAAAAGTAGGTATTTCCAAAAAATAATTCTAAAAAGTAGGATATGGGAAAGTATGGAAATTCCAACTGTGTAGGAACCCTGTGTCTAAATCTTTTGAGCTGATTGACTGAGGCACTGGGCATAAATAAAGCACCCCTCCTTCATGTTTGTGTATGGTTCTCTTTGAACTTCTATATTTGATTTGGTGGAAGGAGTTATATGTGGTCCAACTTAATATAATGTCAAGGCTTGTCTTCTGTAAGTCAGCATGCACTCTGCCCTACTACAGTAGAGATATTCTCAAGTTTTCATTCCCCCTCAATAAAAGCATTATTTGAACTTCTGGCAGCGCCACAGTAAATGTCACAGGAGACAAGAGGAAAGCAAATATCAAAAAGGAAATGAAGGAGTGATGCAGAAGAGAGGGAATGCCAATGATAGACATAAGAGAGTGAGATATTAATGGAGGGGAGAAAGGGAGAGGTACAAAGGCCGAGAGGAGGAGATAAGTGGAGGCACAAGCATGGGAGTTCACACGCAGATTTACACTCACACATCAGCGTGGCTATCAGGGTGACATTTATCAGTGCCACCTCGCCTTGCTGGTTGTCTCCGCGTTGTCTGGAGAGAACTCCATCATCCCCCTCCCTGCGTCCCCCGACTCCCTCAATCTCTCTATCCCTGTTCCAATCCATCCATCCATCTATCCCGCCATCCAAACATCCACCTATAGGCCTGGCCAGGAGTGACAGCACCCCGGCACGAGCGAAGCGATGAGAGATAGAGGGAGAGGGCTTGCTGTGAGTGATAGAGATAGAGGGATGAAGGAGGGATGCAAGGACATGCAAGGACTGGTTGTGCTGCTGCATAGTGATGTTTTGAGTGTGTACACGCTCGCACAACACACATACACACACATGCAAATCCCCAGGAACAAAACAACAGAAGGGGGTTGCTGAAAGGGAGCAGCTCATTAACCCAGGAGTTTCGGGTCTGGGTGGATGAAATATTAAATTGTCAGTCTTCATATGCTAGTTGAAACAGACAGAATGCTGGAGTTGTTTGGTTGAGGATGATGAGGTCAGATTGCTAAGAGGCCGCCGTGAGCGAGGGTCAAATGATGGAACACAGGTCAGAACGAACCTCTGTAGGTTATATTACGTACAGGGAGAGATACTGATTTCGGCTCTGTTTCAATGATACATACTCAACATCCTCCAGACATGCTATAAGTTAGAGGGGAGAGGGGGCCTGTGTTCAGATTTGTCTCTCTTCCCCTCCCCCGCCAACTTCTGTCTCTGGGGTGGGTCCAGTAGTGAGCATTAAAAAAAAAAAATCAGCATGTTTTTTCTTCTCAGTATCAATAAATGTATGAATATTCTTCATGTAATTACTTTCTACATAAGAGATCTTAGATTATATGAAGTATGTCTTCTTCGAGACATTTTATTGACAAAATGATCCATCAAACAATTTCATTATTATTACTCATGGAGTGAATATGTTTAAGCTTATCAAATGTGATCATTGTGTATTCTTAATAGTGAAAAAAGTCCTTTGTCCTCAATCTTGTTGTGTGTATTTGTCGTCAGGTATGATGTTGGGAGGTGGTTGTGGCAGAGAGCTGGCTCACTGGATCATCCACGGCCGCCCTGAGAAGGATATGTACGGTTATGACATCAGGTACATTAATGCATTTTTTAAACCCATGTAAAACATAAAGAAGTTAAATACAAAGCATTTGTGTACCAAAACAATGCAGTCTGAAGAGGGTCTGAATATTTTGAATTTTTCTACCTCTGCTCTCAGGCGTTTCCACAACTCGCTGACAGGCAACCAACGCTGGATCAGAGAGAGGAGTCATGAGTCGTACGCAAAAAACTACTCAGTGGTGTTTCCGTTTGATGAGCCCCTCGCCAGCCGGAACATGAGGAAGGACCCTTTCCACAAGGTAGATGAGCGGTTGCATTTGCAGGAGTACAAGACACTTTTTCATAAGTCAAGTCTCCCGTAGTCTCAATAACAACAAAATATAAAGGGGGGACTGGGTTATCTGAAAATCTCTCAGCTGATTTGTTTTTTATTATTTCATAAAAATTCTTTCTTAAACTTACACAGTAATTCGGCTGTTTTGATACTATCCATACACACCTTAAAGGGGTGATTTAGACTTTTTTATCAAAGGTGGCCAAACTGGGACAAATACTTTGGCATTATGGACATGAAATTTGTCATAAATGAACAGCATTTATTCATCATTTCTATCACAACCCATCTTTTTGAACATTGTAACTAACATCACAGTGTCGTACATGCATTATGTTAGAGTTCTTTTAAAAGGTTACACAAAACAGCTGCAACATATAAACTGTTTTTTTTTTCTTTTGCCGAAATCTCTGTCAACTCAGAAACATAATATTTGTCCAAAGTCACAGTGAATTGACAGGAAACTTCACTGAATAGCCAAGAAAGTCAATGGAAGCCCATTGAATTACAGCTATTAGATACAATTACTGATTCCAACACAAGTCCCACCCGTGAGGGCTGTAAAGTCGTAGTCGACTGGTCGAGTTATTGGTCGACCAAAATTCTGATTGGTCGACTCAATTTTTTCCGCGTCAATTTACAGTCCAAGGTTAATTTCATCAGCAGGAACGTACCAAGTGCTAATGGGGGTGTTTTCAGAGCACCCCCGTTTCACAGGTAACAGTCTGTCTCAGAACAGCCCCCTTGTTTTCACCATTTTGGACTCGCCCAACCCACTGGAGACCGGCTGGAGACAGAAAGATTGAAATGCGTCCACGTAAATCAACGTCCGGTGGTTTGCTAAATATAATATTTGTGTTTAATTGCCTTTTTGTGCTGATATCGGTATATTTTCACCCCACCAAGCCACAATTTGCTGTGCCGTCGTCCCCTGCCGCAGACAGGTTTGCTGTCAGAGTCGGACCCACCCCCAGATTAGTTGATTTAAAATTTCAGGGTTTTAGTTGATCAACAATTGCCTTGGTTGATTACAGCCCTAATACAGCAACTAAGCTGTGATTTTTGAGGACTTTTAGGTGTCCGGTTATATTCAGGGAAAAGGGGGACCCACCAGATATTCATTGAATCTGCCCCTGACACCTGTAGCAGACTATTTTAATTGCAAGTTTTCATTCAATCAAGGCAAGATTTTCTTCTTCTTCTTCTTCTTCGTCTTATCATGCTCCCACACATGGACCAGCTTTCATTTAACCAAAAACAACAAACAAGAACAGATGAACCTTGAACAGATCTTAAAAATGTTACAACAGTACAAGCCTCATTTGGGAAAAGTGTCAAACTTTTGATAATGACAGGGACCTTGTTTTCGTAAAGTTTGATATTATTTGGTGTTTTGCTTCTTTTACTTTCGTTGAATATAATAAGTCAGATCAAAGTAGAAACACTGCGCTTTGTGCCTCTTCCTGAGATGTAACAAGAAAATATTCATTTATATTTCTCCTTGATCTAAAAACACTTCACACTAAACAGACTGTAACCTTCATTTTATTCAAGTGCAGTTAGGTAAGAGTCGAGCTTTTACTATGTGATAAAAGTGTAGGCAGTGTTGTGTATCTCTCAGGATTTACTCAGACGGACACCTTTTGGCTTGTGTATAGCTGAGGGGAAACTTCGTGGACCCGTATTGACGAAGTTTCCTAACATAGACTAAACCGGCTCACCTCTTCCAGTCACAGGAGGTTCACTGCTGCCATTTAATCTGGCCAGACGGCTTTCAGCAGATCCGGTACTTGTGGAGGTTACATGACTCAGTCCCTTTCTGCTTTACTTTACTATTCATTTCACTCCTCGCACAGTTTTTCTGTGTATCGACGCACGGCCTTCAGCGCTCAGTCTCACAGCCCGTTATTCTCCCTTTTTGACATCCTCTTTCAACAAAATTTCCTCCTCTATTCATCAGGCTATTCATACCAAATCTATTTCTGATTCTCTCGCTTCCTGTCATTGTCGCTGTCTTTAATCCTGTCACAGTCTGTGTTTTGTCAGAGAACAAGTGATGCTTTTGTTCCCTTTCTCTCTATTAACCTCTGTAACCTTGGCATCTGATTGGATAATATAGACAGCAATGTTGTGATAGAAAAAATCAACATATAAACAATACAGCTGTCAAGATGTGCAGGCTTGGGCATCAGCTTGTGTATAAATGTAGGAAGAAGAAGAGTGCACTGGAGTTACTGATTCGAAAAAGTCGTGATTTAACTTAGGGCTGGGCGATTTGGCCTCAAATCAATATCACAATATATTGAGCAGTTCACCTCGATAACCATAAATTGACGATAACTACTCCACAAGCTGCTCACCCCCTTTCAACATTAACTTTGTCTACTTCAGCCGCTGCTCCAGCCGCTCCAACTTTAGAACTGTCCTCCATCTCCTCACCTGTCTTTCCCTCTTTGTTACGGACTAGATGGGGCGGAGTCAAGTCTCTGATGTAGGACAGCGTCTTAAAGGGACATGAGACCATAGCCTACCTACACACATCCAAAACCAACTTTGATTTATTTATTTATTTTACATTGAATATATTGACATGGGCAAAATGACTCTGGTTATTGTTGTAAATTTTGGCTTTGGTCAATTTTCGGTTTATCCCCCAGCCCTAATTTAACTTTAGGGTGTGTCCCTAGTTGTCCAGTAGACCCGAGTCCAAACCAAATTAATGGAGTGCATTTCAACTCTGAATTTATGATACAAGGAAGCATGTATAAACCTGTAGATTATTACTTTTGTTCTTTAATGCGCTTTAATAACTCCTGTGGGGAGTTTTGTGTATATAAACACAATAGACTGAAATTTTTTCTCATGTCTTTTTAGGATATACAAAAGCAAACAAAAACATCAACAGCACAGCTGATGATTTTTATATCACAGTTTTTAATGCCTTGATCCAGCTCAGTATTTAAATGACAGCCCTGTTTTACATAATCTGTCCGAAGATATTCACAATAAAAGAGAAATTTGACTACCAAAAATCAGCAGGATGAGATTTTTTTCAGAAAACTAAAAAAAAACTCAAAAATGTAGATGTCAAGATAATCAAAGACAGCTTTGTAAACTAAAGGTTCCTCACAGGAGCTTTAACAACTATACAGATCTTTCTTATTTTACAAATGCAGGGAAATAAAGCAGGTAAAATAAAACAGGAGTCTCTACAACAATAAGCATGTACAGGAGAGACAAAATGAGTTTCTCTCACCAGAGTGTTAGTGATTGTCACAGTTAGGACTGGGAAGTTATCAGTAAGCAGAGAATAACTATATCTCTCATATACTTCTGGGTGCGCAGAGAATATACACTAATTGATTGATCTTTGACGACGCTTGGCTTTTGTTATACAAGGTGGGCATCCCTGGTGAACTGCAAGAGTGGGAAACACTAGATGTTCATAACCTCATAAGTCTTTATAGGATAGCCAGTTTGTCTCGTCCCTCTCTGTTGTGCTGCCTCTTAAAATGAAAACATACAGGCGAATATGATGAGTGTATCAAATCTTAATGCGAGTATCTCAAACAGCTAAAAAATGTCTGAAATTGAAACATAAATCTGTGCTTTTCCAGCATTTGTGCGTGTTCTCTCATACTTAATGAATTCCAGTTGACAACAGGAGTGTAGAGTCTGCTGTCATTTGTTTCATGTCTGGGTATCTTATATTAAAGCTGTATGTGACTCTATTATTTGCCAAGATATCTGAATATTTTTAAAATTCATTTATCCCTCTGACATCCTCTTTCTTCTTCTGTCAGTTTTTTCCTCCCTTTTCTCATCACATGTCTCCTCCACTCAAATCCAGAGACAGATATCTTGTTCAGGCTCAAGCAAACAGCAGTTAGCGGCGTAACTTACCCCAGCAGCTACATTTATTAATGTGCTTCCTTGCCATCATGACTATAAATGATACACTTAGCATCGCTGGCACAGTCTCGAATGTCTCTCAGCTTCCTTTCTCTCCTCAGTCTGACATAAACTCTTAATGGGCCTCGCCGCCATATTTTATGCATTAATGACCCACTTAGTCCTGCTTTCCTGTTTCAGACTTCATTTACCTTTAACTGTTGATATTTTTTCTCCCGCTCATGCATGCAGGCACTCTTTCGGTGCAGGTTACTGTCACACAAACTGCATTAGCTGTTATATCAGGGTATTAAGTAGATTATATCTGCTGATTTCTTCAAGTGTCATTTCATGTGGCTGATAATCAGATTTCTTTTCAGAGTTTTTTAAAGATTGGTGACAGGATGAGTAAGATATGAAAAATGAGAACTTTTTTCATGTGTTTCCTGAGAACAGTATCCTGCACAGGAAACATGCGTGTCATGGCTTTTATTATCAACTAGAGCTGCAAAGTGGCAAAGCAAAACTTTGTCATTTCTAACGATAAACTGTGAGGATAGCAAAGATCACAGATTATGCAAGCAGAGAGTGTACTGAAACAGAAAACTGTAAAAATGCTGATATTTTTTCTTCTTAAAAGTCTGTGAAGGTGCATTTCTATAAAGTTGGAATAAAGATAATTATGAGTGTAAAAAACACACTGTGATCTGGTTTTCTACAATACTATTGAAAACTGCAGCAGGTAGAGGGAGGCCGCTCTTGTTCAGGTTAGAGTTCAGTAAATCCACGACAGAAAGGACCATTTACAATCTGACTTGGTATTCAAGTATGTCTGTCAAAAAATAACATCTGAGTTATTATTTTTGACAAAGCCGTCTTCTATTTGAGGGACGTTTGAATCAGCTTGGTCTAAGTATCATGATCTGTGTCAATAGTGGGAAAACGGCATCAACATCTGGCTATGAAACTAAATTTAAATAAATACAGTACACAAATTTCAGCTTTTTTGGTTTTATTGATAAAAGAACTAAATTCATATGATTAAATTCTCTTTCTGATCATTTTTCTTACATTTGTTTATTCTTTTGTAGTGAAAAATAAACTCCTTGCTGTTGTGGGCTGTAATTTATAGTTTCCCTTATCGCAGAAAAGTTAATGGGAACTTGTGTCTGATCTGTTTAAGATTTAGATAGAGGATTTGTATTAAAATGACTTTGTATTAAAAAAGAAAACAAAACAGATTTTTCTATTAAATCACAGAAACCCAGTGGGAAACATGTCACTATCTGTATCCATCTTTGGAGGAGCGGTTTTATCACGTTTCAGCCCCCAGATTAACACACTGTGGCTCTGGTTGGTTAAGTATAAGATAGACTTTCTCTTTTTTAGAGGTCACTTGTAAATTGGGTCTTTGGCTTTTATATTTAAATTACCTTTAATTTTCCCTCGGGTCATTGATTTTTACCATGATAGATTTAAATACAGAAGCTGAGGGACACTCTTAAGACTCTGTGCACAATGTCATATTAAGACTGCTTTTGGCAGACCTAGTGCCTTGTTGTGCAGCGCCGTACGATTAAAGATCATTGCCAAACATGACAGTTTTTTATTTCTTTATCCCCGCACAAAGACCTCATCTGCATAATCCACGAGCGGGTTTTGGTGATTATCTATTCAAGCTAATTATACGACTAAATTAGAGTACAAAGCACCAAGAAGACACAAACGGCCGCTCTCAGGTGGACAGACTGGCAGCACAAAGAAAGCAACATCATTCCCTGCAAAGCTGGGCTGGTCCAACCCTTGAATTCAAGCCCATTAGACCCCTGCTAATCACATGTAGAGGACCATCACCTAGCAACTAGCCTTCATACTGTCAGAGAGCCTTAGATAAATGTACAGCTGGCAGAGAGAAGAAGAAGAAACACTGAAAGAGTAATTATTGTTTCTTAAATACGTGTCTTTTCACAACACTGCCTCTTGCTACTAATCATCACTGCATGTATTAATGCTAAGAGGTGCTTAAGGAGGTTGATCTTCCAACAACACTGTCCCTGTGCAAATTAGGAGACTGTCTACTATTTGGAGATTATTTCAGAGCATAACCAGGCAGTCTCTGATGCTGCTGCTCACACATTTTCTCCACCTCGGTTGCGGGGATGGTAAATATAGCTCGGTGTGGGAAGTTTTGGCAAGAGACAGCTAGCTGCTTGCTAGAGGGAGATGGTAGCAGAACATACCTACCTAACTGTGGGCGACTGTCAGTTTTAACAAGGAGGATGGAGAGCACTAGAATATCTTATTTTAACACTAGTCAAGGGGGGAGGAATTGACAAGTATGCTCTATTTTAATTAAAGGAGAATTCACTAGCAGCATCATCAGTCATCTGTTTATTTAAACCCATTTTAATTTTTTATGTCACTTTCAAGTTTCCAATAACAACTTTTGGAGCTTTTCATGCTGCCTCCTAGTGGCCAGATGCACACCAAAACCTACATGGGTAACTTTGGAAAACCATTTAGGCCCGGACCACACGTATATAGATATTTATTTATCAGGATATTTTTGTACTCCCGTCTAAATAAATGTATCTGTCCACACGTGTTAGTTCTCAAAAATATCTGCGTCCACATGCAGCCTTCAAACTCAATCCTATCTGGTGCCGCTTAAAAAAAAAATTCAGGAACAAAGCTACCTGATTGGCCGATGAATCGTAACAGCGTGATGCGTCATTCATTGTTTGCGGAAGCTACGCTAGTGCGTCGGGTCCATGTGACGGTGTGGCGGCTATAACAAAGCAGACGCCTGTGTGCGCTGGCTGACTGGTGGATGTAATTGTATAAAACAAGGTTCACTTGCAAGGCTGAAAACAAATGTAAAGAATACCCTGTCTGTCCGCCATCGTTGTTGTTGTTTTTCTTTTTAATTCGCATGCGCGAGTTGCGGTTTGACGTCATCGATCAGTAAAAGTTCAACCACACGAATCCACTTATACGGATATTTTTTTATTTCTCAACTTGTTTTTTCAGATTCAGATTTATCCGGTTTGAGTGTTCCAAACTCCCGTTTAGGTGTGGTAGGGAGGCTTAATCCGACTTAAATATGTGCGGTTTGAAATATATCCGCATTCGTGTAGTTGGGGCCTTAGTTTCCAAGTATAATAGTTTCCAAAATATAATACCGTATGTGTGTAACTATGAGTGTTTTAAATTCCTGCAATAACATGTACGGTTTATTCCCAACTTTGACACCAAATTGTGAACTCTCTTTGCGTCTGCTCTCTTCACTGAGTTCTGTCTTTCTGTGATTGTTTTAGGTGCTGACCGACCAGGGCTGCGTCTTCCAGGAGAGACACGGTTGGGAAAGACCGGGCTGGTTCAACAAAGATTCACCCGCTCCCGTGAGACACACACACTTTAACTAAACACACTTATTGTAGACATGCAGTACAAGCCAATTACTTACTTGCATCCACATATTGACAAAAAGCACTTTAGAGAGTCATTTGTAATAAGGATGCTAATTTTATCCCATGGCTTCTAACGGATGATATTGACACTCTGTCTCGTGAAATGCTTTGTCCTTCTCCTTCCTCTAAAACAGCAGTGATTGATCGTCCTGAAACTACATTTTTGTCTTTGTTATTACAAAGGTGAAAGACTATGACTATTATGGTGCGTATGACATCAAGAGGAATGTCAACTACAAATATAACGAACTGCTGGGCAAAGAGTACACCTTCGACTTTCCTCCACATCACAACGCGGTAAGATGGAGAGGATTTGTGCCTCAAACTTTGCTTAATTTAGTAAAGTGTGTTATTAAAACATTTACAGAACCAACAATTTTGTCACAGATTTGGTTACTGAGGGAACTGCCAGTGAAGTTTAGGGTGCAAAAAGTTCATGTCATACTCTGAACAAATGGATATTTAATAATCTTAATGTCTTTATTAGTCTGCTTTCAAACCCCACTGTTGAAACGAGTGAGTATATTATCTTCCTGGCTCTGAATATATACAGTCATCTTGTCGTGTTTGGCAAAGACTGGAACCCGCTTTGATTAAATGTCATGATTTATGATTGATGATTATTGGATGTCTGTAATTTTGCTCTTTTTAAATTGCAGATTAAGAGCGAATGCCTCTCGTGTAGACATGGCGTGGCCGTGTTTGACATGTCCTACTTTGGGAAGTTCTATCTCACCGGACCAGATGCCAAGAAGGCGGCTGATTGGCTGTTTACCGCTGATGTCAACAAGAAGCCAGGTCAGTGTGTTGCAACAAGAATGCATATGCATACACACACAAATACAGGCTCAGGCGCAGACAGATGGGAGACAAGATTGACGGGATGAGGAGGTTGGAAACATGGACGGAGAGACTAAACAGGACGCCAACACATGAGCAACAACAATCCACTCTTGCTCATAATCCCCTCTAACTCTAAATGCCACTTGATGTTTTTTTTTTAGCTTGTGCTGCAGTAGTTTCAGTGGAGTCAGAGCTGTCAGGTTTGGTTGTTTTTTTTTTTTACCTGCAAACCAGCTTCTGTGCCTGCTCTCTGCAGTGACAAGTGTGTGCAGATGTGAAAACAAGCGGCGGTCCAAGTACTTGTGTTATTCTTTTATCCACTTCTCTCACTTTCTTGTCAGTTTTCACCGCTGAACAGGAGAGATGGCAAATGTGTTGACAGTAATAGACTCTTAGAAACATTGACTTATCATCTAACTATTAGGTTGATGTTAGGATCTGAAAAAAATCATATTTTTCAAAGTGAAGTGAAGATGTGAGATTGCTTTATATTTCTTTTCTCAACAAATATGATTTTGGGTGAATTGGGGAATCATTAACAACCTTACAACAACTTCCTCCTGCCTTCCAGTTGGTGCATTTCCAGTGGTCACTAAGACTCAAAAGTATGTGTGGCCAATTAATTGTCTGTTCTTTGTTATTGTAGAAACATGACAGAGTAAGGTGGCGCCCTCTGTGGACGGAATTAGGAAATGTGTGTTATTTTTGGCACCCCTAGAGAGCAAAGTGACACCCCTTAGCTCACCTTATCCCACTAGTGTAAAGAGTCAGATTTTCTCATCATGAATATTTCGTCGCTGTCCGATGAAAAATCTCCACTTAAAGCGATCTGGACTTTTTTCAGCACACGCATGGTCCACAATATTCCCTAACATTCGTAGCTTTGGGTATCCAAATGACCAATGGAAAGACATTTTATAACATCATCTTTTCAACATGTATCTCCATTGGGTGTCAGAAGTGTCAACAAAGCACGTATCTCCCGCACTGGCCCTGCATTGTCATGTCAGCAAACAGACTTTACACTGTGACAGACTCATAAAAGTCCACAGTAGTGCTACACTAATATCCTCACATCGACTCTTGCAGACCTAAAACTTTTTTCTAACCATGAAAGTGTTGCTTACCTGTGCGTTAGATTCCTTGAGCCAAAGTTCATCTCCATGGGGGGTTTGCCTCTGCAGAGGCAAAGCTGCCGCTGTTTTCTCTCTCACACTCGGTCGTGCATTAACTATAAACATAGTGGGGCATAAACAGAATAGTCGAAGCTTGTAAATAATTAAATATCATTGGAGTGCATTATTAAACAAACACGTATGTCCACTATCACTCACAACGCAAAGCACTTAAGTCTGTTTAAAATACCGAACCAGTCACTGATGACTGTGTAAATATAGATTTTGATTTCAGGTCCTAATCATGTCTAATTACAGTGTTTTGTGGTTATTCTGTAAGGTAGTTTATGAATAAAACTGTTTTTTAATGTTCCTGGAAATAACACATTTTGGAGATACGTGTTTTTTATTGGACAGTGACGATTTGCTCTACAGAGATATACTGTATACAAAAAAAAGTGCTGCTCAATGAGGGGAAAATGACACCCTCTGAGACTTCCTCCCTTACAGCTTTTACAGCCATTAAAAATTACAAGATTAAAAACTGTCATCCTTTCTCCACTGGTCTCATTTGCTGTTGAGATCATAAAGGTGCCTCATTATTAAGTACTGTCTGTCATAGTTCGAATCTCCTTACAGGACCTTTAAGAGATAAGGTGGATGCCTGAGGCCAACAGGACACCAAGCTCAACAAGAGTCCTCAAAGCTTTAATCTTGTCATGTGGAAGACTTCACCCCCAAAATCAAGAATATACTCTAGTGCATGTGCAGTATGTTATTATACAAAAAAGATAAACAGTATCTGCAGATTCAAAAGGAAGTATGAATAAATAAGACAAAGGAAATGTAATTTAGCCGAAAGAATTCTCAGAAAGACCCAGTTTCAATCGCAAAACACTCAAAATAAGATGGAGTATGATACATATGAGATATTCAGTGCACACGTCCAGCGAGCCAAGCACCATCTTTTGACGTTACAGCCTGTATCATTCTCAGCGCCGGGGGACACGTTTCTTGGCACAGCTGTCACACAGCAGTACACAGCAGGAGGTCGATTCACCTGCATGTGTGAAATAGGTGGACGCCTCATTTTAATTTCTGCTCCTTTGATTGATGTCCTGTAATTCCTTCCAATTTATTTTCCTCCAATAATCTTTGACAACCAGATCTCACCCACCTACGTATGCAGCTTTTTAAAAACTTGGCTTTTTGACGTGGTGGATGATGCATCAGCCAACTTTGCTTTCCCAGCCTCCTAGCTGATCCCTCTCTCTCTCCCAGACTCTCGGTTCTTGGTGTATGGCAACAACAGGAGTCTAAGTTTTGCAGCCAATACATTTGTACATCCATGTCTTAAATGACATACAACTATAACATCAGCTGTTCCTTTAACTGAGAGCTGATTGAGGGACAGCTGCACATTAGCATGTCATGGCAGACATTAGAATTTCTGGCCTGATAGATTTTAAAAATTCGATGATTAATTTTTTTTGAGATGATAGTCATAATAAAACAATTTAATGATGTTTTCTAAAAGGAAAAATCTTTGTAAAGTGGTGCTCCCAGCATCCATTACTTTTGATTGGGATTCATTTTTCAACTTGTTTCCTTGGTAACTATTTTATTAAAAGGCAGGGTTCCCCGGGCAAGTGTAGTCCCTGGAGGAGTGTTGAAAGAGGTGTAAGTAGACCTGACTTGATTAAAAATTCATTTTTTTGTTCTCACAAGAAGGCCAGAAAGAAAATATATACACACAGCTCCCAAAGAATTTGTTAGAAACAAGAGCTTGACCTCCGTTTTGGGTTCATTTTTTATTCACAGGTTTCACTGGCCCCATTTCATCATACTACACATTTAATATTGGCCTACAAACGAGGCTGCTGGCAGAATTAATTGTTTATGTGTGTGTGCGTGTGTGTGTGTTTCAGGCACCACTGTGTACACCTGCATGCTGAATAAGAGAGGAGGGGCGGAGGCTGACCTGACAGTGAGCAGACTGGAGCCGGGTGCTGCCAGCCTGCCTCTGGCTCCGGAGTCCAATGGTGAGAAACTCATAGACTGTGTAAAACATGGACCTGGTCTCAGCGACATCAATCACTGCTTTCTGAAGTGGAGTTTTGAAGGTTGCTAGCTGTGGTCACAACATTGGAAGCTTTACAGAACTCATTATTGTAATGTCTCTAGAACGATGCACCCCCCGCACCCAAATTACCCAGCAGCGCCTCCTAGAGTTAAGTTCCCAATCATCAATCACTGACACTTCCTAAAATAAATGAATTGTCAACTTCTACTGTAGAGTCATAGAGGAATATTTAGTTTAAAAAGCAAAAATATCATTTTTTGAAAACTTAGAAACAGTAATCATGTGGCGGAAGAAGATTTAGTTAAAGGTTACAACTTTAAACCCACATACATGGAAAATATCTGCTTCACAACTGATGATAAGAGCAATGGTTTTAGCATCCCCAAAATGAAAAAGGCTAAAGGTAAAGAAACACTGAACAAACACATTATCCTCCAGTCCTAAAAAGTTCAAATTCAAATTCATTCATTCATTGATATGGCTCTTATTCAGACAAAAATGTCATTCAAAGTGTCTCATAGAGGCTTAAAATAACAATAAAACCCAACGCTCCCACCCTAACTCACCCACACATACACACACACACACAAGCACACACACAGCAAGAATTTAAGATATATTGGGACATGGCCTGACACTGAGACTTTACGTGAGGAAAGAGCTACCTCTGGGAAACACTGGAGATAAAAAGATAAAAATGGTGAAAAGAAAGTAAAATCTGATGGACTAAAACAAGAAAATGATATAAGATGAACAAATAAGTAAGAGCTCTTTACCATGTAAAAGGGGTAAAAGAAGTAAAAATTTCTAAGGTGGGAATTAAGAAAAAGACTAGGAACAGAGATAATTAATAAAATTACATAAAATAAAACATTAAGAACAAATAAACATTACCTCTCTAAAACCATACAGGTTTTAAGCCCATTGGTATCTGCACTGATTTGTCTGTAAGACTGCTTCTGATGTTTAACTCAGCTGCCTCAATCGGCACCTCTTACCACATCTGCAAGACATCAGGAGCAAAAAGCAACAAGTGCCTTACATCTGACTTAGGCGGCCATATCACACGGTGTTCACTAACTCTAAACAACTCCAGAGACCTTTTAGATTCACCCAGAAAGGGATTGGCCTTCATGGTCTCCAAGGTGAACTATAGAGCTGCTCAGTCTTTCAGGTTTACACACAAAACTGTATTTAACTTCCACAGTCACTTTGGTATTTTGACTTTTTTTATGGAACATTTTTTGTCTTTTTTTTTTTATCCAGCCATTCAAACTAACATGATCTGTGTCTTTTAATTTGTCTATATTAAATACACATTTGAAAAACTCTAGATCAGGGATGGAGATAATCGCAGTGAAAAGGCTGGACAAGAGGAGACTAAAGATGTCTAAAGAAAAAAAAATCTTATTCTTCCTCTTCAGCAGAAAGCACAGAAATAATGAAAGGTCCAGATCAGGGGTGAATGTAAACACAGTGTCTGCAGTCTGATTACCAGATGGCACTGCGGGGGCCAAACAGAAGGTCAATGCAGCAGATCAGATGAGAAAAATTGTGTTAACTTGAGAAATATCAACATCGGTGGTGAGTGGCTGTTTAATACCATGATATGTTTAAGCTACTGTTGCTCAGTTTTTATTTCTCTTGAAAGTTATCCTCAAAAAGAGGATTTAAAGAAGATTTAGACTGGTATAAGTTTACATGCTGTCTATTTAGTCCACAACAAATCATTTTTGTCAAACTGTACAGCTCTTTTCTATCAGATTTGTCGTTATTTGTTGTCTTCTTTAACAATTTGAAGATATTTTTTCGGCTCAACAAAATGAGACAAAAACTGTATGTAATCTAAAAATGAACAAATGCTGAGTCAGAGACCTAGTTTGACTGTCCTGCTACTTCAGAGTTGTTCTTTGTGTCTGATAAACCCAGTTTTATCACTCTTTACATTTCTTCCTCGCCAACTTTTCCTCAGGCGATGCATACTACCTCGCCATCGGAGGCGGCGTCGCAGAACACAACTGGAACCACATCCAAACAGTCCTCCAGGACCAAGGCTTCAGCTGCCAGCTGACTGACCACTCTGAGGACATGGGGATGATCAGCATCCAGGGGCCCAAGAGGTGAGGAAAAACTGAGGGGAGGAAGAAGTCTTTGAAGGAAACAGGAGGACTTTTTATATAACTAGATGAGATAAGGACAAATAAGGTGGGTGAGGGCGAAGAGCAGGGCACAGGAGAGGGTGAGAGGACTGTGTCTGAGAGGTCTAAAAGAGGAGGGTGATACACCTCCTCGAAACAGGAGGAGGGAAGTCAGATAAAGAGGGGAGGAGATTAAGAGCCTATTCTCAAGTTGAGGCCGCAGCATTAAGAGCAGGGACAGTGGTGAGCTGTAAACAAAAGGCCAAGAGCGGAGAGTTCAAGGATCGTTCTGCATTTTTATGAGCTGCAGGTTTAAAAGCTGGATTGATGTGAAGATATGATCCTAAAAATCTTAGTCAAAGCAGCTGGAACTTGTCTGATCTTGAGGTTGAGTTGATTCTTCATGATTTTAGCTTTTTAAAGGAGTGGATCCCACTCATAGTCGAGTACAGCTCTGAGTCAGTCTTACATTTGGCCAGCTGTTTTTTTTTATAATTTTCAAATACTTTATTTTTTACAAGATACAAAATCAAAATGTTTTGGCTGTAAGTAAGTACATAAAACTTATATGCATAAAATACAATAATACAATAAAGACATTGCTGATAATCATTGTTAAATTAACAAAAGCGCTAATATTGGAAATTAATAATACAAGTGTACGCCATCACATATAAAACCAGGTAACAACAGTAATAAGGATAACAGTTCAGGAGGATACAGGTGAGAGAGTTACAAAATGCTTGATGGAAGCTGCTTTTAAGAACTCCAGTGGATGGATGAGGATGAACCCTCAGTCAGCAGATGCCAGCAGACTCTAAAGCCAAAGACACACAGGATCCGTACTGAGCGCATTCCGTTTTTGCTCTGTAGAGCAGCATTGGGTATCACATACAGGATGCGTATTTGGAGCGTGGCAGTGGTCTTTTTCCTGCTAATTTGGATATAATCCAGTGACCGTTGAGCCTCTACTATATGTGGAAAAGCAACATGATTTTATAGTTTTGGTTTTTGCAGATTTCCCTGTGTTTAATAACATAAACTATGTTCCTTTATGCTGAGCTGTTACCTTCAGACACAGTTAGCAGTTAAAAGTCCTGTTGGGGTCCACATGGATCAGAGACTGACCATCGGATTGTTCTGTGTTACTGATAAATCCAGAACCAGGAAGTATTTCTCATCAACACAAACTGATACACAGTCCGGAGTTCACATATGGTGTTCTATTTTGAAATACCAGATGATATACAGGGTTTTAGTGCCTAACATCCTGTCTAGATCGATCTTCTCTGTGTGAATTGACCCGTATTGGAAGCGTAGAGCAGCAAAAATAGACTTGTTAGGTATCTTTAGCAGTGCTGCTCTCGATACGATGCTGCGACGGAGCTGATACACTTCCTGTATACTTTGCTGGATTGATTAGAATAGAAACCTATTTGCTGCGTGATACACGGCGCTGCTGCCACACTCCAAATACACATCCTGTATGTTTTAGCCTTAAGTTTCTGCTGCAGTGATGGCTGAACTTTTAAACTGGTTACTAGATTCATCTTTATGCCATGCAAGAGACTGAGAGGAGAAGTTCAGTATTTGTTGTGCCTGAATAGATACACTTTACATTACATGGCATCACAGTCAAAGATGTGAATACAAAGCTTGATCGGTGATGAGAAAGATGGAATTTATTGATGCAAAAGAAGCATATAATGGACCTTGAAAAAATACACTTATAAAATCAATTCGAGGAAAAAGTGAAAAGAAAAAAACAGTCGAACACAATTGTTTCTGCTTGCAACAGAATTCACCCCTGGCCTCTATCATTTTTGAACAGTTGAGTTGAACCTTTCAAGGAGACTGCAGTACAGGGTTGATGCTTCTAGTAAATGGAAAAAAAGTCTCTTTTTAGATTTCTTTGGCAGGAATTAGTTTTATATTTTGTTTCCTTATCAGAGAGATATCAGGTAATCTACTGAAGTGATTTACTCCAACAGTGCATCACATCTCAAGCCTCCTCAGCAGATACAGTATTCAAATTAGGTTAGATAACATTATTCAGATTTGCAGAAATCTAAAGCTGCAGATTTTTATCATTGCATAAAAAAATCATTGTGAGACAGCTGTCTGCTCTATGAACACTGACACACACACACACACACACACACACACACACACACACACACACACACACACACACACACACACACCCACACCCACACACACACACACACACACACACAGGGTAAACATGTGAAGGAGGCATGGCTGTCTGCAGAGTGATTCTGCTCCTCTCCGGGTAGATGTTGATGATATTTAGCAGCTGAAAATGTCACAGTTTCCTCTTTTATTCTGTTTACTTCTTCATCCTGCTCTTTACAAGTGGAAATAGTGCCACACATGTGGATTTGGAAGTCGTCCAGCAGCATGTGGCTTTCTTCATCCTTCCTACAGCTTTTCTTTGTTCTTCGCTCAAAGCCAAAGCTGTGCCACCTTTACCTCCACCACTCTCCCGCTCTGAACTCCTCATCTATCTTTTCCCTCCTCTCTCCCCCACCTCACTGCATTCATCTTTGTTCTTCCTTCTTACCAGCAGCAGGGTTAGGCCACCCTGTGTGGGCTCTGTCGATTCCTCTATGTCTCTGAGAGGCTTTCTCTAATCTCCCGCTCTCTTAAGTTTCTTATTCCTCTCCACGTCTCTGTAGATTTTATCCAGATTTGTCTCACTTTCTCCATCCGTGTCTTCCCTTTCGCTGCTTAATGCCTGTTTTATCGCTTATGTAAAATCAGAAATCAGTGCGTCACCAGCTGCAGAAATCCTCTGTTTGTGTGTGAGTGTGTGTGTTTGTGTTCATTATAGGTATATACACACATAATAGGATGTTTATTGAATTCATTGAGTTTTCCGGAGCATCCGCAGCACACTCAGCTCGTTAGCCTGAGTGTACATCTGTGTATGTTTTCCCTGTGTGTGTGCGTGTGTGTGTGTCTATAGCATAAACAAGATTGGCGTCTGCATTTCCCTCCTTGAAATGATTCTTTGCTCCTCCTCAGTGTTTCTGCCACAAATGGCGAATTACAGAAAATCGACCCTGTAGTGCTTAGGCTTTGTGTTCTCCTGACCAAATTGATCTTCTGAAAGAGAGAGAGAGAGAGAGAGAGAGAGAGAGATAAAGTGTCTGTGCAAATATCTCTAAACTTCCTCGCTCTGTTTTATTCCTCTTCATCAGAGGCCGGGACTTGTAGCTTTTTCCCCCTCACACACACACACACACACACACACACACACAGAAGCTGCTGCTCCATCATCTGCTTTGTAATTATGAAACGTAATTGATATATACAAAATTATGTGACGTAGTGTGTGTGTGAGAGAGAGAGAGAGAGAAAGAGAGAGAGAGCTTGTGTGTGTGCGTGCATCTTCGGAGAAGCAGCTGAGTGCTGCAGTTAAGTGGCGAGTCCGGGGAACAAATTTGTCGTTGCAAGACTGCATCAGCACACGCACACACACACACACACACACACACACACACACACACACACACACACACACACACACACACACACACACACACACACAGCCATTCAGTGATTATACATAGCTAATTGGCCTTGCTCTCGGGTTCTTGAGTTCAGTGAGCAAAGCATGCTCATGGTAAGGCATAAATTGGTGAACAACCCAAAGGAAATATCTGCCTGTGCATCATCATCATCATCATACGGCTGCAGGCCTGCACATATGCCTTTATGCAAGAAATGCTTTATTTACATAAAACCCAGTCTGCATTCACATTTCTGCATCTTCCCATGACCACATCGGTTTCTCATTAGAAGAAAAGGACACCCACACTCATGCACACAAACGTAACATGCACCCTTCCCCAAATATCTCCATCCCTGGCCTCCTGCCACACTGTAGCAAAAAATATCATCTAGAAAAGGCCTCCACCTGCCCACTCACACACGTACGAGCAGCAAAGTAAGCTAAACTTAGTCTCTTTTCTTTCTGATGACTCATCTTTACGTAATATTGATTTTTCAGCCTGTGTGAGTGTGCTGGTGGGAGATGGATCGGTTCTGCTGCGAATAAAACAGGGACTGTTGTGTTTTCTTAAAATATTACAGATCATTTTAAAAACATGACCTAATGAAGACGGGCACAGAGAAAATATCTTTCACACTGTTTGCATAGGTGGAATTAAAATTTTAACACCATTTCTTTGTTATTCATGGCGTGGATACTCAACACTGTCACACTTTTATAGTGTAGCATCGTTTATATGTGGGAAATTAAATTGGATAAACACATTATTATTGAGACACATTCACACACTTTAATCAAAACTGGAACAACAATTATTTAAGTGTGTTTATTTAAAAAAGAAAAACAACTGTGTGCTGTTTTTCTCTGTGTGTTGGTCCATGGGGATGTCATTCAAACAGTTTGGAAAGATTAGCAAAGAAATGTGTTTACGTATGAGCTGATTTAGCAAAAATCACATCCTCATGTTATGCAGTACCATAACACACCATCCCATATTTGACCATACTTTAACCTTACTGTACCATTACATACCATAACATAAGAATAAGAAGAACTTTATTGATCCCCGAAGGGAATTGTCTGTTGTCTCACATAATATGTCTCTAAAAGTTATCTACTATTTACACAAGAGTTATAAAGTCTGATGGCTGTTGGTACAAAAGATCTTCTGAATCTTTCTGTCCTGCAGGGAAGAGAGAGGAGCCGTCCACCACCATATGATGTTATTTGTTATGGTACAATACAGTGAGATATTAGGACACATCACAACATAGTATGGTTGAATACATAATACTCCAGTGATGGTCAAACCTGAAGACGCTGCAGGTGAAACTTGTAGTTAATTCATGATGAAGTCACAGTAATACAGGAAAAGGATTAGGGCCACATGAAGGGAAAAAAAAATAACAACAGGAAGTAGATTAAAGTGAAAATTTTGATATTAAAGTCGAAATTTCGAGATTTAAAAAATCGAAATGATGTCAATAGACTGAAATTTTGGAGATTAAAGTTGAAATTTCGAGATACAAGTCGAAATTTCAAGATTATGAATTGTTGCAATAATGTTGACATTTCTAGAAGAAAAAAAATAATTTTGAGATTAAAAAATTGAAATTATGTCAAAAAAGTCGAATGTTGGAGATTAAAATTGAAATTTCGAGATACAAGTCGAATTTTCAAGATTTAAATGTTGCAATAATGTCGACATTTCTGGAAGAAAAAAAAAAATTTTGAGATTAGAATCGACCTGAATAAAGTTGAAATTTCCACTTTTTAAAATTTTAACTTTGATCTCAAAATTTCAACTTTAATCCCAAAATGGAAATTAAACAATCTCCCTCCTGTAATTATATTTTTCTTTTCTTGTGGCCCTAATACTCTGTTGCAGTGCAGCGTTTATTTATTTATTTGTTTATTTGTTTGTTTTTTAAAACTATTTTCTTTTCGTCTCCTCCCTCTCTGAGGTTTCTTCTCACTAAATCTGTTGTCACTGATTTCAGAATAGTTCTGTCTTAATGTCCTTTATAAGGTGAAACAAATATTGAAAAAATGTCCCCTCCTGGTACGTTATGCGCTTGCATTTTCTTTTGTCTGTGCAGTCGGGAGGTACTTCAGGAGGTGTTGGACACAGACCTGAGCAACGAAGCTTTCCCCTTCTCCACCCATAAAGTTGTGAATGCTGTGGGACATCAGGTGAGAACTCAAACTCACACTCACACACACATAGTTCCTGTAGTGATTGGATGTGATAGATTTGTCAGTATTAACATGAGCCTGTCAGTACTTGTTAGCAGTGAATGCAGGTAATTGAAAAATAAATTGCGTGCCGTGAAATGTCGCAAAGGCAGGTGGCACTTGAGGAGGCAGACCCTTCAAATGCACAAACAGGGGGGAAGTATGAAGGGAGACGGTGTCGGAAAAAAGCTATTCATGAGGGGACAAACCTTCAAAAGCCTGAAGTACAGAGAGAGACCCAGCAGAGACCGCCTACTTATTGATCATGAAAAGAATATTGTTGTTTTTAATGACTGGTCAGATCATTTTTCATACTCTATTCTCCACTGAGGTTTTAAACAATCTGGCTGTTAGGTAATTTAGCCCCGCCCCCTCAGATTGACCTCTACAATTTTCCTGGCCTCCGATCAAAACAAGCGTGTTGTACCGACACACGCTGTGACACATATGTCCACACACACTCACTCTGTCTTTGTGGCTCTTGCATGAATTATGCAACTCACCAGTGATTGCAGGCGGCATCTTCTCGCAGCTCTGCAGAAGTGAGTGTGTGTGTGTTTTAGTGTGTGTGTGTGAGTGTGTTGCTTGTGCTGTGTTCCAGCTGGTTTGCCGGCCTTGTCTTGGTGACATTTTAATGGCTGCACTGCTGCGAGAACAGAGTCTTCTCTCTGCCCTCTGCTCCCCTCACAGCTCATTACAATCTCTCTCTCTCTCCCTCTTTTTTTTCTCTTATTCTCTCTTTCTCTCTTCCCTAATTGCAAGTAGGAGTGAGGGTACTTGCATGCATGAGGTCATGTTTATATGCATTTTTGTTCTTGTGGTTGTGTCTGTGACTGATGTTCGCATGGTGAATTTATAAGCAACAGTGTGCATGAGTTTCAGGATGACGCCTGTGAATTTGCTGGCGTCTGTATTCATGTGTGTTGTGAACACTCGCAGTTCTACATGTAATGTCCTCCTGAGAGTTTCTTGGTGTACATATGGGGCCCAGAGTGATCCGGTGCTGTCCAGATGGCCTGGCCATCACAGCACCCACTGGGAAAACTGTTGGAGATAGTTTTCTCTCCTCATTTTACACACCCTTCTGCGTTTTCTTACTTATTAGCCTTCTCCCTGAGCTTCTTCTTATTTAACAAATGGATAATTACACCTTTTTTATATTTTTACCATTATTATATATCTTAGTGTGCATTATTATCCATAAAAAAACCTAAAACATCAAATTTGGCACATAAAGGTTTTTTTGTTGGACTTGCACATGAGTAGTATGACAGGCTAATGAGTCTCCTTTAGCCTCATCTACATTTATCGGATTTGGTTGACAGACAGGGCAGTTGGACATATAAAAACCTCGAACACCAACAGGAAATTTCCCATTATGAAAGGATTAGTAAAAATCACCGTATGTGGGCATTTTTCAGGGTTACACTTTATAAACTCCTCTTCCATTGCTTATCTAAACAACCTCAAATTTGGTGTGGAGCTAAAAGAACCTAAAGCTCTTGTTATGGGATAGCAGGCTGGCTAATGGCTGAGACACAAGGCTGATATATCCACCTTTTTTCTGCATTTGACAAAATACTACCAAAATTCAACAATTCAACAATATTAACAAATGAGAATGTAAATTGCTGAACTTGAGCGAATGATTGATGTTTCAGATTTCATCTCAGCAATGTGAAATTATTCAGAAATATGAAAACACAAGGGAGATACTAGGGTTGAAATTTAAAAAAGAAAGTCATGCAGGAATTCAATTTTTCAAGCATATTAAAATCTCATAAAACTAGATTTATCAGTTGGTAACATGATTTTTGTGTTTTTGGGGCGATTTTTGCCTTTATGGATAGGACAGTGTGGAAATATTGGGAGATAGAGAGAAAGGGGGGAGGACATGCAGCAGAAGGTCAGGGCCAGACTCAAACCCGCGATCACTACAGGGACCAGGGTCCCCCATACATGGGCCATGTAACCTGCTCGGCCACCTGCGCATCCCCAGTTAGTAACATGTTCAAGATAGATTTTTAATCACTGGCTGAAAAGAGGAACACATGTTCTGCTTTAGATTCCAGCACATGGCTAGTATTTACATCAGAAGTAATATTAAACCACATTATTCTTTGTATTATAATAGAATTATATGAAACATAAGGTAGTAGCTGTTCTAGATTTGATTTAGATTTTCTGTCATTTAAGATGGAAAAAGATGTTGTTTTAATTAACCCCAGAGATGATAGCGATACCTGTCTTGTGAGGGTTAATGCCGATATCATGCTATTTTTCCTCATTAATAGGCCCAATTAATCTCAAGCCCATATTCTGAATTAAGTTCAACATCACCAGGGTAACTCCTGGTTATCTGGCTCTACTAACTAACAACTACAACTAGCAGCTGCTTGTGAACTAGTGAACTAGTGAAATCAGGGTTAAAAAAAGTTCTCCCTGGATGAGGCGTTTTAGATGCTCTAATTTTCTTTGCAGAGGACCCTCAATCCTCCTCTTATTCTTTGTGCTTTAACATGCTTAAATAAGACCTGCGATGTGGGTATCAGGTGTTATACAGATAATTCCATCTCTGTAACCTCCAGACAACCTACAGTCCAAGGTTGCAAAAATAAAGCATAAGCTACAAGGATTTTCTGGCATAAGTGTCTCTGTTCACTCAAAGTTAAAGAGACATTTTTATCAAAATGCATCTTTTAATTTCTGTTTCACTAAGTCCCCAAAAAGCACTCATTCTTTGATTCAATGCCATACTTACTGCTGTTTACAAAAAAAGTTAGACATTAAATTTGCCAAAAAGGGATAAAAATATGAAAAGAGCTCCAGAGTACCAACCTCAGCTTATTGCTTTCCCACTTATTCAAATAACGGATCTGCTTTCCTCGCTTCAGGAAAAGGACCCTATAGTTTTCTCCTCTCAGGTTGTCTCTCTGCCTGCGTTGCAGCAAGGTTTCTCTTTTGTGTTTCTTGTCACCTTACCTTTTTAGTTTCCGCCTCCTAACCCTGACACATGTTTTTTATTTCCCTCAGGGCTTGAAGCATTCATTCAGCGTCAGTCGTTTTCAAAAGAGATAACCGTTTCCTTTTGTGGACCATATCTTATCTTACACTTCCTATCTCAGCTCTTTTCTGTGGTTTTTCTTGAACCCTGCTGTACTCTCTTCAAGCAGCAGCGACTTTGTGTGTGTGTGTGTGTGTTTTTGTGAGCGAAAGCAGAGATATGACAGCAAGTCATACAAGTCTTGCTTCATCTCTCTAAACCTCCTCTGTACACCTCTCTGGTCCAGGTTCGAGCCATGCGCCTGTCATTTGTGGGAGAGCTCGGCTGGGAGCTGCACATTCCCAAAGACTCCTGTCTTCCAGTCTACCACGCTGTCATGGCTGCTGGTGCAAAGCATGGTATCATCAACTCAGGCTACAGGGCCATTGACTCACTCAGCATAGAGAAAGGTAAAAGGAAAATAGTTGTGGATCAAAATAATGATGGATCCGCTTTTTAATAATCATTTATCTTTGCTATTCACTGATTGTTGTGTTATTTTTCCAGGCTATAGACATTGGCATGCTGACCTCCGTCCAGATGATACACCTCTGGAGGCGGGGCTTGGCTTCACCTGCAAACTGAAGAGTTCTATCCCGTTCCAGGGCCGTGATAGGCTGGAGAAACAGAAGCAGGAGGGGCTGAAGAGGCGCATCGTCTGCTTCACCATTGACGAGTCAGTGATGACCGAGGCTTTATTTGCCTAAACACATATATCATTGTTGAAATACGTGTTAAAGCACTGTTTTAGATTCACTTCCATTCATTCTATCTTTCCTTTTTCTCTCTTTTCCAGGAAAGTACCGATGTTTGGTCTGGAGGCCGTTTTTCGTAACGGCGTTCCTGTTGGTCACCTACGGCGTTCGGACTATGGCTTCTTTATCGACAAAACAATCGGTTATGGATACATCCGCAATCCTGATGGAGGCGTGGTAAATGTCTGACACACCCAAGCCTTAACTTACAAACATGATTCTGCCTCTCTAGTTATAGCAACTTTAGTAACAACCGCACAATAGCAATACACAGCGGTCTGAGGATCCATAGACAAACCTCAACCAAAACGCCACTCTTTAGCCACAAATAATGCTCAGAACAGCACCTAACTTCATCAACAGTTCATATAGGGTCCCAGCCACAGCACTAGCCATCAAACATCTTTTTAGCTTTGCCTTATTTCTTTAGCAAAGAGACTAAACACAACTCACCTACTCTCTTCCAGCAGCCGCTTGTTTGTAGGGAGACCTCAGACGAGTCCATCATCGACTGAAGTGGGGTGATGCAGCTCAAGGAAGAACATTTATGATCATTTCTTCATGAAAATGCAATCAGACCGAGACGCTAAGGCAGAAGAACTACTGCGTCTGCAGTACAAAATGATTAATATGATGATTATTACTTCGAGGAAATGATCATAAATGTTCTTCCTTGAGCTGCGTCACCCCGCTGCAGTCGATGATGGACTCGTCCGAGCTCTTCCTACAAACAAGCAGCTGCTGGAAGAGAGTAGGTGAGTTGTGTTTAGTCTCTTTGCTAAAGAAATTAGGCAAAGTTAAAAAGATGTTTGGTGGCTAGTACTATAACTGGGACCCTATATGTACTGTTGATGAAGTTAGGTGCTGTTCTGAGCATTATTTGTGGCTATAGAGTGGAGTTTTGGATGAGGTTTGTTTATGGCTTCTCAGACCGCTGTGTATTGCTATCACGCAGGCGTTACTAAAGTTGGTATAACTAGAGAAGCAAGTGGTCGGCAACATTCATCTATGGAGGGGGTGTCTAACTCTGTGTTACGGTGTATTTGACCCTAAACTTATTTCACGTCGGAATATCCCTTTAAATGCTGTAGGTTGTTCCATATTCTGACTGTTTTTTTGCAACAAAGTTTTTCAGTTTTTTAGGTCTCTAAATTGATGAGTTTTATGTTATGTGACAGTTGCTTTAGTGCACTTTTTCTTATTTTGCTAATTTTTAAAACCATGAGATCCAAATGGTTATTTTATTCTTATATAAGTTTTATTTTGCATACAGTAGTGTGGGTCTGTGAGTGGGTCTGTGTTTTGGACTGTCTGAAAGGTCACTTAGCGCCAAGTTCCAAGTTTTAACGGCCAGCATGCAGCTCTTTGTCTGAGTTTCCCTTCACATATTGAAACAGATGCACACACAGACTAACAGATGGAAGATCAAACAGGAGGTCTGAAGCAGCGAGAGAGAAGAGGGAGACAAATAGTCATGGCTTGAAGTGCTGTGCTCACAGGCAAATTTACTTTTTTTTTACATTCTGAAAACTAGAGCAATCCTGCTGTGATTTGTCTGAGTATTTAGATCTGTATCAAGGAGTCTGTGCTCAACAGACACAAGAAAAATTATGTGCGTGTCTGTGTGTGTGTGTGTGCGCAGTGGTTTGTGTTTGATAGCATGTCAAATTTGTGTCTGTGTGTTCGTGTCATTTGTTTATTATCCATCCCTGAGCTGCGACCAGCAAAACAAAGCGGATTGACACTTGGCTGTGTGGAGCACTTCAGTTTAGAGATGCGCTCGTATAAACACAAACACAAATGTACACACAAACACCGGTCTGTGACGTCCGGTCTGCTGTCACTCAGTATTACAGGTCACATCCTCTGAGATCACATCAGTAGCTTCAGCAGAAATGCGTATTTACTTTTCTACTAGGGGACATTCAAGTGTCTGCGCTCCTCTGTGTGCTTGATCTCCTTCAGTTTCTGTCTTTCTTTCGTTTACTGTAGGCTCCTCTGTTTTTTACCAAACGTGTCCTGATTGTATCTCCTTGTGCAGCTTCCTTAAAGAGGCATTCAAAAACACGACAGTCACTCTGACAAATACAGTTGACATTGACAAAGAGATTAATGCTGAAAATTAAACACAGGATGATAACTTATGAATGTGACTGTTTTTGACTTTGAGATTTTTAGTCATTTTTTATCTGTATAAAACCTTTGACAATAAGAGAGCGAAAGACAGGGAGACACGATAGGCCCCTCCTAATAGTTGGCTAGTGTAATCCAGATCAGCATCATCAGTTCTACGTTGTTAGCATAGACTGTTTATACTATGGACAACTTGGTTCCGCCTTCCGCCTGTATACGGATTTGAAGCTGAAAAGCTCTCAGTAATTCTGCGTTCCAAATATAATCCAAAACTCTGACAGACTCTTGGACTAGTGTGACATTAAATAACCACTTTGGGTCAAGTCTAAGGTAGGGTCACAGAGCCCCTCAGTTTGCTGCATTTTTGCTCTAAAGGAAGAAATGATCAGGGATCCATGATTGCCCATGAACACTGTAATGCAGTCAAGCTCTGGTAAAAGATGTCAGTGTTTATCGCATGTCCATTGAAACCGAGACAAGGTCACCGACGTCCATCCTTTGCTTCACATCATATCCGTCAGACCTTTTAAGCTGAAGTAAAGACAGCTTTGTCCCTGGCCTTTGACTGCACCACTTTACTGCCCCCTCCAAAGCTTTCAGCATAGATACAGTAAAAACTGAGTGGTGCTGAGAGAGAGAGAGAGCTCTGTGTGCGTGTGTGTTTGTGTGTGTGTGTGTGCAAAAGAGAGACAGAGTGACAGATGAGTGGGAGAGCTGCAGGGAGGGAAAAGGGGAGTCAGTCAGTGAAAATTAGCTCTCTGGGTTACGAGGCAGCTGACATTGACTCATGACGGGATGAATTGCTCCCAGTGTTTTATAACTCCTGCGCACTTCTTTTCTGTCACAGTTGAAGGCTGTGAGATTGTCCGTTATGAAGAGCTCTGCCAGTTTGGAGCACTTTGGTTTTTTTACAGAGTGTGGACTAATTAGCCATCTCATTTTCACTCTATTTTAATCTCCAGTGTCTCCTCGTATTCCAAAATATAAATTCCCCCCTCACTCTTTATTTTTATATCTCCGTCTGTCGGTTTTTGCCTCCTGTATTCATGCAATCTCACTGTCTCACTTTCCCTCTGTCCTTTACCAGGTGAGCGCTGACTTCATCAAGACTGGCGACTTCACCCTGGAGAGGATGGGAGTGACGTACAAGGCCAAGGCCCACCTCAAATCTCCATTTGACCCCGAGAATAAGCGTGTCAAAGGCATCTATGCTTGAAGAAGACCACACATATAGAAACTGATAAGAGCAACAAGCTCCTGACTGAAGAGGGGTGCAGCTTTTACATGCAGATGCATCTGTCTTAATTTTGACCTCTCTGTGAAGTGTTGGGTATCTGGAATAATCATAATCTTATTCATACCATATCTGTAATTTAATCGCCTTAGAGGGGATTTCACTGAACAATGTGCCCATTTTAAAATGTCGCTTCTTCCAGATTATATAATATATATCAAGACCTGAAAAAAGTGCTTACATAAATTTTGATTCTGTGTTAAGATCCAAATTTTATACCTACTCTGAGTTTGAGGGTAGATATGTTTTCATAGTTTTGTTAAAACTCCAACATGAGCAGTAGGATGTTTTCTCTTATAAACTGTGATGGAGGACTGGACAGACCTCTGGCCCAGTGACCCCGTGGATCAAGGGACCCTTTATCATAGCCTCTGCCGAAGTGACTGTTTACACTTTTTGTAGGAAGGTCAGTGTAAATGACTCAAAGACGCACAAAACAATGAAGTAAAAGGAGTTAAAGAATATGAAGAGATAGAAAACTACCATAAAGTAACCACAAAGAGACTCTAAACAACCACAACAATGAGCAAAATGACCACAAAGAGATTTAGCAAAAATTTAGCAAAAAGAAACAGCAATGACGTCAAAAAGACACAGAAAAACAGAGACAAAAATAACATTGAAGAGGAAAAGTAATATAAAGTAACAAAAACAAGATCAAAGAAACACAAAATAACATCAAAAAGAAAAAACATCAAAAAGACAAAATAAAACAAAAAGTACTAAGAGACAAAAATGCCACATCATAAAAGCCAAAAACAGATGGAAAATGATAATAGTGGCAAAATGATTACATAACGACACAAAACAATCAATCAATTAATCTTATCTAGATCAAAAATATGTAGAACAATAACAGAGACACAAAAATCAACCACAAAAATCAAAACATCAAACATTGGCATTACTGTGGGGGAGGGCCTTTTTTATGTTTGTGCCAAATGGGTTGTTGACTGACAACAGACCCACATGTTTACTTTTTTGAACTAAAAATGGCTCATTTGATTATAGCACACGTTCAATAAGATGACAATTAAGTCCTAATCCTGTAGATTTATAAATAGCAGCAAGTGACGAGCTTTTAGCCTGTTTCAGATAAAGAAACTAAACTGAATCTTTGTATATAGGATGCTAACAAAAGTCAAATCAAGCTAACTGAGAAAAAGTCTTAAAATGTAACTAATCTATGTCACTGAACCTATGCCATGGTACAGCTTCATATTTGAGTTACAGTGGGGAATAAAACTCTCATCATGTAGCAGCAGGATGATAAAAACATCAAGCAGAAAAGGAAGTTAAATCCACAAACAGAAAAAAACTCTTATTGTCATTGATTTCTTTTTTAAACATAGTAACTGAGTATATTTTAACACTAGACCAAATATTTCCAGTAAATAGTATTAAGCATTGCCTCAAAATAACATTAAGTCTTAATCTATCTTTTTGATAATCCAGCAGCCAGTATGGCAGGGATTTGAAGACATTTGTACACTTGTAAGAGAGTGCAGATAAGGAAAAATCTAATAAAATCTGAATCAGTGGGGAGAACCTTTAAGTGCTTCAACCTGGTGCAGACTTTTATGGAAATGGAGCAATATAAAAGCTGAGCATCAAGTTTAATTTTGTACTTTATAATGAACCATTCCCCAATGGTATAGAAAATAAAAAAGTATTCTTTAACTTTATGCCAGCCCTTCAGGCAATTAGATTCAGATTACACTGAGTGATGTTTGTGCTGATTGAGTAAAAACAGAGTTTAAAGAACAGACAGTCTTAATGTTTATCAGAGTTGGAGGAAAAGGAAGAAGAAAACACCCCAAGGCACATTTAACCAGCGAGGGACAAAACAATGCTGCAGAAAAATGGCAGAATAAAAGGAAAGTTATCAGAAAGCCGCTGTCACAGAAAGAACCCCTTTGTTTCCCCGATCTAGACCCCCTGCCGCTTTGCTCTGCAGCGATAAACTGCCACCGCTGCTTCTTGTATGCTCACGTTATTTAGTTCCTTTTTTTTTTATAAAGAGACATGTTGTCATTTAACGAGGCTATCTACACACTCAGGCAGCCTTAAGAGCTCTCATTTTGTCTTGTTTTGCTGTTAAATCACACTTAACATTTTGCGTATCTGCCTCACAGAAAAGCCCTCCAGGAGTTCAGAGGGCATAAACACTTCTCCCTTTTACTGAGAGCACTTCAACAGGGAAGCATCTGTAGGAGATGTTTGGCAGCAGCGGCACATTAAAACAACCAAAACATCCTTCATTAATACACTAGATTAAAAAAAGGAAAAATTATCTAACAAAGCAGAGCGGTAAGAGGCTGAACTGATCAGAGGTTTTGTGTGACTAATGTAAACTTTGAAAAAATCAACCAACAAAGTGTTTACAGCCGTGTTCTGACATTTTACTGATGCTGGCTACAAACTGTGAATTTTCTGTGCCTTCATGCATTGATAGTGCAGTGATATGTAGACACATAAAAGCTACAACTGCCAAAAAAAAAAGTTGCTCTCTGGCTTCTTTGTCAATAGTCTCTATTTTTTATGGTGAAGATGATTTTAGTTTTAGCTGGAAAATATTTACAATCCTCAGGATCTGTGTGCCTTTGCCTTTGGCAGATTTTTAAAGCAAGAGGGAACCTAAAATGTATCTTTTGGCGCTGACTCGACCTTATTTTACATAACAAACAAAGAGTGTGGCCTGTGTAACGCTTGATTATTGAATGCAAAGGACACCCAGAGACAGAAAAAACAAAAAAAGAAGTTTGGAGTACAAGTTTGTGAGCTCTGTTGCGCCTTTAAAACAGGCAGAGGTGGAGGAAAGTCCTTATGTTGCAAGTCCAAGTCAAGTCTCAAGTCTTGGCTCTCAAGTTCGAGGCAAGTCCAAGTCCTTTGCTCACAAGTCTCGAGTCAAGTCCAAGTCAACACAGACAAGTCTCAAGTCAAGTCCAAGTCCTTACTGTTTCTTTCAAGTCAAAAACAAGTCATATCAAAGCCATAAACCATTTGTTACATGTAAAGATTTACATAAATCATGAGCATTTTTCACTTTTTGCATTTATTATTAAACAAGGGTTCTTGTTTGTGTTAAGTTACATAGTGCAGCTTCAACCAAACTATTTTACATGTCATACAAAAAATAATCAGATAAACTTCAATAATTGGAAACTTAGACAATGTGCACAAAGATAAGGAAGACTCAAATATGATTAAACATTAAACTGATACTTTAATTCACTGTTACAAAACAAAACAAATGAGAGACACAAGGCAACACGTGGAAACAGGCGGGCAATACTAGCGAGCGATTTATGTTCAGTCCTCCTGTTATGAGGGAGGCTAGAGTTTGAGACAGTGTTGCCAAGTTTCGTGAGAGAAATAAGGAAACAGACCTTCAGAAACAAGCCAAAAACAAGCAGATTTTTTTTGCGGGAAATACGCAGACTTGGCAACACAACACGGTGTTACCAACGGCCGTAATTCCTGACTATTAGTTGATGCGACACTTTTTAAACGGTTTGGGCTTGCTGTAAGGTGAAGACTTGAAAAGACTTTTCAAGTCACTTGGCTCAAGTCAAGTCAGGTCAAGTCAAGTCTCAAGTCTTTAGCAATCAAGTCCCAAACAAGTCCAAGTCATTTCTTGATCATCAAGCAAGTCAAAAACGGGACTCAAGTCCAAGTCGAGTCTCAAGTCGAGTCGTCAAGCCCCCACCTCTGAAAACAGGAAGTCAATGCAGAACTGAGAAAAACTGGGGTTCCTCAAGTTGGCTCCTAAAGCTTAGTTGTACACCCATAAACACCCATATTTCTCACAGATAAATTATGAATTATCATTGCCTGGTAATGTGATGTAGGTTTTTATATAGCTCATCCATATACAAGTCAAGGTTGATAGTTATGTGTAGATTTGTGTGTTTCCTGGAACTAAAATGACTGCTGAATGGCTTGTTGTATCTAGAGGTCAGCGGCCGCTCTTCAACTCCTCCTCTTTACGTAAAGGTTGACTAAATGTAAGGTTGAGTCAGCATCATAATCGTAAACCATGAGACTGTTTCAATGCAGTCAGTGGTCAAACCTGTTAGTGCTTTAACTCAATTTGAAGTCTCTTGCTTTATGAGTTACATAGACATTTATTAAATAGAATATCGTTAAGATACAGAAAAAAGAGACTAGTTCTGCATCATGATAGCTGTGTATTGAGCAAAGATGTGTTATCACGAGTCAGATTTAAGATTATAGTTTCTGTTTTTGTTTACATCCACTTCTGCTTTTCTAAATCAGGTGAAACATGAACTAAAGTCAATCACACGTCCCCTTAAAACAGCAGCTAAAACACAGTGTGCAGATGTACAACAAGACATTTGTATGTATAGGTAGAGCTTGCCTCTCTGAGTGTGTTGCTGCACGTTCAGCACAAAGTGTTTACTAATGTAGAGTGATTCATTGATTCTGCCCAGCAGGCCATTAATCATTGAAATGGTTGTTCTCTGTAGTGGCTTAGGTTAATAACAAGATTTATATAGAAAATGTGAAGCAGAGCGATAAAATACCATCACAAATAGTCCTCTGACATTAAAAAAAAAAAAAGAAAAAACACAATTGTTTTTTTTTTTTTTCCCCCACATCAGTTTATGGGAATTCTCTTCCCTACTATACACAGACTGTGATGTGAATACTGAAAGGGGTTGATAAAAGCAGGTGAAGTTAATTAATTTAAATGAAATAGTATGAACTTTTAAATGAAGAGCTTTTAAATTAGGATTTTTTTTCAGTTGTTCTTGTTGGTATTGTCTAAAGAGTTTTTGACTTGGTCTAAGTGGAGGAATATGAGTCATTTTCTGTCAAGTTAAATCTTGTTGAAATAAATGTCAAACAACTGCCAACATTTCTGTTACATTTATTATTCAACACAGAAAATAATATATGGAACAATGTATTAAATCACAATTTCCTTTAAGAGAAATTCTGCAGATGGTGTAGGCAAACACATCTGGTCCCCAACATCAGCTCACCAGTAGCACTTGAACTTGTTTAGTCCTTAGTGTAAGAAATACTGCCGTTGTCTGATTCAGGTAAAAATGACACATGAATAGGATCATCAATCTTAATGCTAATTGGGACACAGAAAGCAGGTGAATATATGTGATCACAGACTGTGTGAGAGAAACAAATGGGGAACATCATCATTTTAATTCTACAAAGTCACAGGTGCATCTTTAACTTTTCTATATAGGGTGTCCTTGCCCTGATCCGAAGCTGCCCCCCCCTCAGACTGTGGGTGTCACAGGCTTTCCCTCACAGGGGTAGCGAGGCTTTTCAAGGATGGATGTGACCTCTGGCACAGGTTGTTTTTCCCAGTCTCCCTGAAGGAATGAGATGGTTAAAGATTAAAAGGTGCTGATATGACCCCAAAAAAAGTGTCCTTGAAATTTAAACAACGGGTTTGGTGTCTGCACATTTGTCCTTTCAAAATATGCACAAAAGGGTGATTTTCATCATCTTATTATGAGTGGATTTTAACGAGACAGCTTAAAAACTGTGAAGTGTCAGTTTCTTTCCCTTTTCACAAGGTCCCCTGCTGAAGTGTTTTTGTGTGAAGTGATTCATACAAGGTCAGCAGTGTTATGCCAGTTAATCTGTCAGTTTCGTTCCGCTGCTTATGTCGATTGTTGATTCATTTCTGAGCAACTCATCTCATGTTTCCCAAGAAAATTAAAAGGTTGAGGTAAACAGAAGCATCAAGGGTAAAATAGCCTTAATTTTTGTTTCATGAAGATCATAACTTTCGCCTCGGGACCAGTTTTTGTGAGAAGACAAGGGTTACAAATCTAAGTGTAATTACTTATGGATGACAACCAAGGCAGCATTTTGTGCACAAGCAGGTAGTATTTGTGATTAAACAAGGACAATGTCAGGCAAACCACGTAACAGCCCATGTCATGATGAAGGATGATGCCTCTGTTCTTAGATCGACACATATCTGGCAGCTAACCTGCCCTCTCTTTGGCAAGTTTACGTGGTCAAGTGCCACCAGCGTTTTTGTCAAAGAAGCAACTTTTGCTCACACCACTCAAGCCCTGACTCCATGAGTGGAAAGAGGAGAGATTATGATGGGTCTTTGACAGCCTGCGTGAAGGTTTACAACAACAGCTTGCAATACAACAGAAGAAAACCTTTCCTCAGATTCTCCCAAGGCCTTCCACCAGTGTGGAGGATGCACTGCGGGTCATGATGATTGGATCTGTGTGTTTATAGGACCAACAAAGAAGATCCAGCTGCAGCCGCGGGCTCAAATTCACATGTGACACCCAAGCAGTCAGAGCCTCCTACGCAGACACCCGAGAGATCAGTCCTGAAATCTGTGAACTGTTGGGACCCGAGGCCTCCCTGGTGACTTGAGGTAACAACAGAGGTTTGTGGTTGCCTCACTATGTTCTGTTTGGTGTTGATGCTATTGCTGGAAATGGGAGAAGGCACAGAGGAAGCAAGACTGGCCATGGTTGTGCTAGGATGCTTTATCCCTGTGGACACAATGGGCTCTATTTTCGTGCCTCGCCAACGTCGTGGCGCAGGCACGGCGTAAGTCAGGTCCGCCATGCCGACAAGGCGTTCCCAAGTACAATTTGTTTTTTTTGGTGAGCGGCACAGCCCAGGGTAGGTATCCCCCCTCCCTAACTCAGCTCCTCTCAGCGGTGTAAGTCGTAGGGAGGAAGGAGAGAGGGCGTGGAGTGGGTTTAACACAGCCACCCTCCGCTGCATTGCCGGCAGACACGAAAATAGAGCCCATTGTCTTCAATGAGGAGAACCAAAGAGGGCAGTGTGCTGAGGACTGTACCTCTAATATGAAAGATTCAATAGGCAGCTGTCTTGTTGCAACCCCCAACCTAGAGGTCAAGGCAATGGTTGTTTTAAGGATGCAACACGAGATGATGGAACCAGCCGAGATGCCACCGGTTAGGTACTCCCAGTTTCCCCATGACTGCAGAGCAAAGCTTTCCTGTAATGTAAGGTACTGAGAGTGATAGAAAACATGGACCAATGTAGTTCTGAGCGCTTCTTGTAGCTTTTGGAGCTTTTGTTTATAAAGCTGAGATGTAGCTCCATCTCTGCAAGACCAAAGCTTTTAGTCAAACGCTTTCTAAACCTCCACATGCAGATGACCTGCATGGAGGCAGCCAGGATGACTTTCAAAGATTTCGATTGTTAATATGTCTTTAGCTGTACACAATCTCAGGTCACATGTGGCTTTGTTGATATATACAATATTGCCTGCACTGCATGTGTCCAAAATCAATGTTAGTGACTGTGAGCAAGGCTGGTTAGTGACTCCACTTTGTTAAATGCTGCTGAAAAGAGTAAATACTCTCAAATCCTGACTTTTAGCCGTAACTCTGAATGAATCTTATTTATTTTATGCATGTTGACTTCACTGAAAATATCTTGAACTGCCCTTGAGAGGTGGAACTACAAACCTAATCTATACTGGCTTATGTAAAAGACCACATATTTTGATTGGAGTTACTGTAGTAAATGTTTGGAAACTGAGACCCTTAACAGCATCTTTACATACTAATGAGATCAAGCGTTACGCCTCCTTCCATTAGCCTCCTCCCGATGTTTGTGAGCCGATTTCTAAACCTACTTCAGCTGGCTTTGTTTTCTCGTTCTCTTTCTAGTCACACTGGGATTTGTTTCATCTTGGTGTGTCTGACCTGGTTTGCAGTAGCACAACTGATGTTGCAAAAACAATTTGATCAAGGCTCCTACACTGTTTGGATTTACCCGCTCTGATCTGGATACATTTCGTGCGTCCGTGTTTGTATCACAAGTTAACAAGCCTTCAGTTCAGCTGGTCTGACTATATGTGATCCGACTGTCGCCTGCCAGTGAACTGGTTTAACTGGCAGGCAAATTGAAGCATGTGTGTGACAGGGGCTTACAGGAAAGAGGCGTGCAGAGGACTGGTTGCAGTGCATTGATATGGGTGCCGTGTTGAAAAGGGAGTCCAGAACTTCCCCAGCGAAAGGGTCCCAGTGCAGCTGCGAATACTGCTCCGTCACACCAACTTCACCACACACACACCGGTCATTCCCATGGAACCTGGAGGGGAGGAGAAAAGAGAGAAAGAGAGGGTGACGGAAAGTCGATGAACAAGGCAGGGAGAGTGAGATTGGGAAAGGAGGACGAGATTGGAAAAAAAGCAGACAGAGCTGGTGTTAGGAGATCACTTAAAGGACAAAGCAGCAGGATTTCAAGATTAAAAGAAGTAATCACTGTGGTTCCCGGGAGTGATGGATGCTGGGAGGGAGGGGATGAATGCTGAAACCAAAAAAAGTGCTTAGTCACACTGAAGATGTAGAGGAAGAAGCAGGAGAAAAGAAAGACAAGGGGAACATGTGGATGATTGAAAGGAAAGGCGGCGCGTTGTGCTACCTGTTCATAAAGCTGAAGTATTTCTGCAGGTATTCTGGGTCAACATGGCTCTTGCACAGCTCCAGTTTGGTACGAGGGTAGTAGTGAACATAGTTGACACACATCTCCTCCATAATGCCAAAACCTCCCTTAGGGGAAAAAGAGATTTGGATGAAGGACAGCATAGATAGAGAGTACATAGAGCAGCAGAAGCTATTAAAAGAGGAAGAGATGGTAGGATTACACTGAGTTTTAAGGAGAAAGATGGAGGAAGGGGAGAGATTAAATACGGCAATACTCAAGGATATCTTCTATTGTTGTTGGTGTCAGTGCTCAAGGTGAACCTCTGGAATATAAAAATAGTACTTGAGACTGCTGTATGTATGCTGCTCACCACTGTCGGCTTGTTCCTGTCTTCTGTGTTGAAGGTACACTTTGTTATGAGGACGTCACCCTGTGGGATCAAGCACAAAAACACACACTTCTGCATATTTCAAGTTCAACAGTAAAACAAAAATCTACACATGCTAATAAATTCTGGAAATCTTTCTCAAATTTGTTAGTGCCTGAGACAGTCTGATGCAGATTCATGAACATGTTAGAGCTCCTTTTGGTCCACGCTGATTTTGGCGCCCCTTTCTTACATTATCTGGTGCATGTATGTGTATTTATTTAAGCACAATATACCATCCTGCATTTTATTAGTAGGTTGTGTAAATTTTTGCTCTTAGAGGAGAAGACAAGAAAAGCTGTTCCTTTAGCATGAAGTCGCTATGTAGGACACCTACCCTTTGGCAGTGGTTTTAGGTGATAATGAAAAGAAAGAGACCTTTAACCTGTCACTAATGGGTTTGTTCACTCTCTTTTGCTTCTGAAAACACATCAGTATTCATTTCAGATCGCTTAATAACAGCTAAATACTCCCTAGAGGAGATTCCAATTTATATACATCATGTCTTCCTAAGTTTTTCCTAGTGTAATGTGCATTTATTGCAGCCTATGGGCGATACAGCCTATGGGCGTACCAAGATTTCGTAGCTCACCCAGGGGATACACTGTTTGAGCTGAGCGTCATCACAGTGACTCTCCGCCGAATGCGTACAATGCTACTGCACAAGTGGTGGCGTGCATACAATGTTACTGCGCAATGTTGGTTTCAGGAAGTAGAGAAAAAAATGCAGGGTTTCAAATACGTTTACTGTCAGAAGGCAGAACCAAGTTGTCCATTGTATACACAGTCTATGGGGTCAACCCTCCAATGCCCTTAAAAGTGCATGAGACTACAGAACCATGTGCACTCTTTTGCAGTTTCAACCACAGCACAGCAAAAGCATATCATAATTAACGTGAAACTTACCACATTTTAAATCATATTTCTACATTTGCGATTTTGTAGTAAACAGTTGCATGATTAGGAAAAGTAACTGGAAAAGTTTGCTCCGTAGTGTTGGTAAGTTCTAGGTAAGAAAACACCCGTAATTCTCTCTTTAAATACCGAGTAAGTGGGTTTCAAAAAGAAATATCCTCAAGTGAACAGCTGTTGAATGAAGCCCAGTAACGTTAATCTAAGCTTACTCACCGAAAATTCAGTCATTTCAGAAAGCCAGATGCTCGCTGAATAAAGTTTTTGCTTTTTGGAGCTCAGCCGCTGTTTTTACAGAACATCTCATAACAGCGCTGATTTTACAGCCTATCCCCATTTCCTCCCGTATAAGCACCTTACACAGCAGAGAGGTGTTTTAATTCAACACTTTAAATGCAAAAGGGGTGAAAAAGAACATCTGGGGCACTTTCCCTTTCAGGAAGAGACAGATGAGCTTGCAGAATAGTAAAATCTCCTTTCTACTCTGGGAAAAGTGTCTGTGCTGAAAATTGAATCACAGGCTTTGAGATCAGCTTCATACTTACAGGTAACACATTCGCCATTTTGTGTAGAACTCGAATCGTCTGTAGAAAACAGGAAAGAAAAAAAGCAGGTAAATCTACTTATTTTTCAATTATTGTGTTTTCATATTTTTGTTTAAACGCCCTTGAATAAACACACCGGAACACCGAGTTAGACACCCCCTCCAGAGATTAATGTTGCCGACCACTTGCTTCTCTAGTTATACCAACTTTAGTAACGACTGCAGATAGCCATACACAGCGGTCTGAGGAGCCATAAACAAACCTCAACCAAAAAGCCACTCTATACTTGTTTTGCCTTCCAGGTAACCAAAGGTGTAGCCACACTCTTTTTACACTAAGCTAACATTCGTCCAGCTTAGCTTAGACTGCTTATAAAGTCTGCAAAAGCCTGATGAGGCTGCAGGGTTCAAAACGTCACCGCCACACAGGTAGATTTAGATCAGTCTGACATCAACAGACGCTGGAGATTTTATGTCCTGTGTTTAAAAGGAAACAAACAGATGTTTCCTGCTGTCTCACAACAGGTCTCGTGTTGTTTGTCAGATCTGATATCTTGTTGACGGATGTGGAGCAAGTGCTTTCTGTAGAGCCAGAGTAAGACATGCTCATTCCTCTCATGTAAATCTCCACTGTAGTGCTAAAAAACATAAAAAGACATATGGTTGCCGCCTGATGTGTTCCCTCATTAAAATAAACATGGGAGCAGTAATCTGTTTTGCAGTTCTTACAAGACAACAGCACCATATGCAGATTAATCCACTGCTAGGAACAGTCCCAAACAAAGGCACTATATTTTCAGCTTTGAGTAAATGCTTGCTAAAAACTGCAGCCCTCTGCTGTGTCAGGATTTAAATTGGCTTTGATAAGGATGAAATTTCTCCTTTTCTAGGCTGCTCTTCAGATTTATGTCCTTTTTTTATCAACATATGGGCTCAGGCTGTTATAGTGTTGGTTTTGCTCTGACAAAAACATAGATTTTATAATCAGATATGTTTACCTGGCTAGGTCAGGTATATCTATGGCTGCCAAATAATGGGTTTGATAATGCCACTCCACCCTCTTTACATGAAGCTCACTTTGTCTTGGTTATCAGTTTTCTTGACTCAAAAGTTCAAAGGGGGAGTGATGTTTTCTTTTAATATATATTCTATTCCCGTTGCACACAGCTTTGAGTGCATTATACAACACATTATAATCAACACCATTAAATATAAAAAGATTTCATGGATATTCCGGCGTAAAATTAATATAGCGTCAAACACATCGTAACACCGAGTTAGACACCCCCTCGAGAGATGACTGTTGTCAACTGTTTGCTTCTCTAGTTATACCAACTTTAGTATCATAAATGATCGTAAATGTTCTTCCTTGAGCTGCATCACCCTGCAGTAGTCCGTAATGGACTGGCCCAAGGTCTCGCTACAAACAAACGGCTGCTGGAAGAGAGTAGGTGAGTTGTTTTTAGTCTTTTTGCTAAAGAAATTAGGCAAAGTTAAAAAGATGTTTGGTGGCCAGCACTATGGCTGGGATCCTTTATGTACTGTTGATGAAGTTAGGTGCTGTTCTGAGCATTATTTGTGGCTATAGAGTGGCGTTTTGGTGTATTGCTATCGTGCGGTCGTTACCAAAGTTGGTATAACTAGAGAAGCAAGCGCTCGGCAACATTTATCTCTCAAGGGCACGTCTAACTCGGTGATACGGTGTGTTTGACCCTAAATTAATGTTACGCCATAACATCCCTTTAAACATGATCAATACAATCAATATGGTAGGATTCAATTTAGTACATTTTATTGACACCTTTTGAAAATGTGAAGTAAAACATCTTTTTTTCTAATGTAATATATTATAAGAATCAATGCCCAAAGCTGGATCTTTGTACTGACTTTTTCTGGCCTTTTATTTACTCACCTGGTAGTGTGTACTAAAGTGCTTATCCTCCTGCACCACTTCCAGTTCTTTGCCTCCTCTCACCAAAACTGTCCTCACCCCACGACCCGCCAGGTGAGTGTGCAGCTGAGATGCAAATATATAGATTCCCCCAGGAGGCAAAGCCTGAACAAACAGAGAAACAATAACAAACATTTCAGCCCCAAGCAACATTTTTCTGCTGTAGGGACCAAAACTTGAAGAAAGCTCCAAAGTAAAAATCTTTACCCAGTATTATAACATTTCCAGCATAAATAATGCAACAAATGCTTTTCTTATACACACTGTCTTGGTACACTTGGAGGTGCAATATCCACTGAGGTAGAAAGAGTGTTGTTTGGGTGGGATAGCCATGATGGGTGTGTAAACAAGGCCAAGCTCCATGATTCCCGCATCATAACGCCGCAGACTGGGGGTGTAATGTAACCTTATCCCAGATGAGTCTCGACGGCCTGCACAAAGATATTACAGAACATTGAAATAGGGTAAATAGTCAGTTTATTTCTCGATTTTAACAAAATACCTGCCAGAATTATGCTGCAGTGAGGAGAGACAGCAAATAAAGTTAGGCACAACTCAACAGAAAGTCAGGAGAGAGACTGTAATGTCACCTGGAGTTTATCATGCATAGGCCAGAAAACAATTTAAGGTTTGTAATTTTAAGCCAGGGGAAAATACTTTGTGGAGGGAAAAAAGACTGTGGCCTGGCAGAATCTGTGAAACATTAAGGGCTGTTCTGGTCATTTTTGTGAAATGGATGTGAAATTTGAAACTAATAAGGTTCCCTAGTGACCTGGGGGTTCAATTTCAAGCATTTTAAGTTGGACACTACCTTCATTTGTCTGCTGTCAACCCTCTAAAATCTGCAGAAAATGTCTCACATTAAAAAAATAAACACATTTAAACAAAAATCACTGTGCAAACCAGTCTAGCTTTTATTCTGGGTTGACTGTAAGTGTGAGAAATTCCAAGTTGAAGCAAAGTATTTGCTTGAGATTAATCTTAAATTGCCAGGAAGTTAGAGGGGAGAGATTTAGTTAGATAATTATGTAGGACATTTGGATATTATGAGCTCAGCTCTAATCTGGATAAGGGAAACAGAGTCTGCAGTGACTCGTTCAGGTGCGATCAGAAAGTATGTGTGGAAGAAATTTAAATAATTTGCCCTGTGAAAGAGCCTGACTCTTATCAGGAAAGACGCAGCGAATCCTGATGCTTTGTGTGTGTGTGTTTGAGACAGAAATAGAAAGCATTTGTGACAGTCTGAGTTCGGATGTGTGTTTGTGTGTGGGCTGTACCAGCTATAAGGAGGGGGTTGTGGTAATGGACCTCCAGGCGAAGAAATCTCGAGGAGCTTGGTCCACCCATGGGCAGCCCTGCATCAGGAGGGTAGTAAAAAGCCTGAAAGTGAACACACAAGATATCAGTGCTCTTATTTGTTCACAGCTGCTTGTTTTCTTCACATTTTGACAAGATTATTGACGCTGAAAACACTATGTATTCATCTTATAAATGTGTTTCTGAAATGTCGCACAATCTCTATAACCTCACTGTAGCTTATGTTTTGTTTTTGTTTTTTTCTGTCCAGCATTGATAGAACTCACACATTTCTGTCTCAGAGTAGAGAAAAGTTCATTTAGTCTACAGTTGGACATCCTAGTTTAACTTCCAGTCTCCTTAATGTGCAACCTCCAGTCAAAGTTGTATCAATCCTAAATAACTACAATTATACTTTTATATTTTCTTGCTCAAAGTGCATGCATAATAGGCAACCTTTCTGGCCCTGCTAGGTGAAGTCCGCCACATTTTTGATGGTGGCCTCCAAATATAAAAACTAGCCTACTCCAAACTCCCAGCCACCCACAGGAGTTAAAAATGAAACTACAACAAATCATAAAGTGTTTTTTTTTCTCAGCAAAGGGGACATCAGCATATTGATTTGAATCATGTCCGTTTTCGCATCTCTCGTTAGCCTTTAGGGATCAGTGAGCAGGCTGAAAAAAACCTACACTGACTATAGTATGCATACAGAAATCTCATATTTTTTGTGGCTTCTCCCTCAGGGATGCTGTGTCAACTTGTAAGACACATGTTTTTCCTCTCTTCATTGTTCAGTCTTTGGTTACTAACTGTTCCTCTTCTCCAAGCAAAAATTAATTTCTGAGTCACGTCTGCTGCTATGGGCATCAAGCCTCCATGCAATTATAAAGGAATCTTGATGAAGTATTGATTCGCCATCAGTGTCTTCACCTATTCTAGTAGGCAGCCCACCTTAAGCCTCTTCTGCTGACACATACATCTTGAAAAGGAGGAGAGAATTGTTTTATTAAATCATGTCCTCGCTGTAAAATCCTCCGAGACTTGCTTTCTCCCCTACAAGCACGCACTCTCCCTGTTTTTTTCCCCTCTCTTTGCTTTCTGACCGTGTCGTACATTATTGTTACTCTCAAACTTCCACCACTTGGTTTTCCTCTCCTGTCTTTGCTTTGTGTTTTCGGAAGGCCGTGTTTCCCCCGTCTGATGCAGTGCCTGGGAGAATGAAACAACACTATTAAGAGGTGATGAAAGAGGCCTGAATATTTCCCACCTAATCTTGTCTTCACAGCTCACAGCCCACAGAAGGCATCCTGCATGTTTTTGTTTGCCTGGCAGATAATCCAATCAGAGGGGCCAGGTTGGCTGTGATACAACAGGGAGCGGAGCAGAGAAATATGGTGACAGGCTTGCTGGTCCCTATCCTCTCTGGTTCATGTGACCAGAAGGCTGCGCCCTTGCTTGGTCAGCGGACTGGTTGGTAACTAACTACTCATAGTGCATGCATAGGGTGCTAGAGGGCTTTGGAAACAGGTGACTTTTCTCCTGATATGAAGTCAGGGAACTGCATTATCTGTCTTTTTTCAAAAATCACCAAAAACTTACTTTTATGGTGTTTTTCTGTGACTTTCAAATAAAATATCTTACAGCCAGGAGGGCTTTTAGCTGGCTGACTTCTTGCTAGCTGAATATGCCAGAATAAATATACTCTAAGAAATACTGTCACTGTGAAGTTGCACTAAACAGTTTCTCTGTATTTTGATCAACTGTCTAAAAGAAGTGCAATGTTTTTTGGTCTATTAGGGGCAGCAAAACATGCTGTAACACAATATTGTTTGCTTGCAGTTATCTGTAACAAAAATTGGCAAAAGTTGCAACTTACTAAAATCATCTAAATAAGTGTTTCTTGGCACATTTTGACTCCCAGTCCAACACTCACTCCTTAATAGCGCTTTGTTTGGGGGGGGTTCATCCAAGTCCTGTTTAGCAAACAAGTTAATTATTTCCTGTTTTCTCATTGGTAGCCTCTTTCAAGAGCTACATACACTCACCGGCCACTTTATTAGGTACACCTGTCCAATTGCTCGTTAACACTTAATTTCTAATCAGCCAATCACATATGGTCAAGACAATCTCCTGCAGTTCAAACCGAGCATCAGTATGGGGAAGAAAGGTGATTTGAGTGACTTTGAACGTGGCATGGTTGTTGGTGCCAGAAGGGCTGGTCTGAGTATTTCAGAAACTGCTGATCTACTGGGATTTTCACGCACAACCATCTCTAGGGTTTACAGAGAATGGTCCGAAAAAGAAAAAATATCCAGTGAGCGGCAGTTCTGTGGGTGGAAATGCCTTGTTGATGCCAGAGGTCAGAGGAGAATGGCCAGACTGGTTCGAGCTGATAGAAAGGCAACAGTGACTCAAATAACCACCCCAACAACCAAGGTAGGCAGAAGAGCATCTCTGAACACACAGTACGTCGAACTTTGAGGCAGATGGGCTACAGCAGCAGAAGACCACACCGGGTGCCACTCCTTTCAGCTAAGAACAGGAAACTGAGGCTACAATTTGCACAAGCTCATCGAAATTGGACAATAGAAGATTGGAAAAACGTTGCCTGGTCTGATGAGTCTCGATTTCTGCTGCGACATTCGGATGGTAGGGTCAGAATTTGGCGTCAACAACATGAAAGCATGGATCCATCCTGCCTTGTATCAACAGTTCAGGCTGGTGGTGGTGGTGTCATGGTGTGGGGAATATTTTCTTGGCACTCTTTGGGCCCCTTGGTACCAATTGAGCATCGTTGCAACGCCACAGCCTACCTGAATATTGTTGCTGACCATGTCCATCCCTTTATGACCACAATGTACCCAACTTCTGATGGCTACTTTCAGCAGGATAATGCGCCATGTCATAAAGCTGGAATCATCTCAGACTGGTTTCTTGAACATGACAATGAGTTCACTGTACTCAAATGGCCTCCACAGTCACCAGATCTCAATCCAATAGAGCATCTTTGGGATGTGGTGGAACGGGAGATTCGCATCATGGATGTGCAGCCGACAAATCTGCGGCAACTGTGTGATGCCATCATGTCAATATGGACCAAGCTCTCTGAGGAATGCTTCCAGCACCTTGTTGAATCTATGCCACTAAGAATTGAGGCAGTTCTGAAGGCAAAAGGGGGTCCAACCCGTTATTAGCATGGTGTACCTAATAAAGTGGCCGGTGAGTGTAGTAAGTTAATGCATTTTGAGTTATTTACCCCCAAAATAGCACCCCCCTGTGGTTTAAAGGGGGAAATTAAGCCATAAGTGGAATTACTAAAAGTGTAAAAAGGGAAGTATTGCTTGCTTGCAAACTTTGGAGTCCAGGGGATGATTGTCCGTGGGCATAACATTTCAAACTATATGCACTCATTTCATCCATGTTGATTTAAAGATATCAAGCTGTTAAGGGGGAATGTGCTGAAATATTAAAGTAACAGTAGGCTAAGGTCACTTGGCTAAAAACAGAAGTAATGATAAACTTTGAGAACCTACTACACTAAATTATGTTAAAGTATTTCCCTATGTTAACAGTCAAAGTATAAAATCAACAGGAGATCATGAATATGTTGACTCAACACCTAACCAGGTTTTTTTGTAGCCTGACTTTCTGGATCCAATGACTGCTATTTGTTAGAGTCTCAGGATGAAAATCAGGTTGTGGGTCAGAGTCTTCTTTACTGTGATTGGACAGAGGTGCCAGTTTTGTAAAAGCGGTGTTTCATTGGGGAGTAATTAACCCATAACAGATAAACAGCTGGCAGTCAGGCAGTTAGTAAACGGCTTGCATCTTTTCTGCTTTTCACCTTTTTAACTCTGTAAAGGATGCATTAACGAAAGCAGGGTAGTGCAATATTAACAACAAAAAGAGCAAGAGCACACAAAGTAGTAAATGTAATAATGTAGTTTCCACCGCTGATAGAGACCAGGAAAATCAACAACCTGTAAAAAAAACCCTGCACATTTTATTTTTTTTGTCAAATTAATCTGTTGAATGAGAGTGTCTGCCATCCTCTTTCTCAATGTGGAACCTCTTTTTAAACAACGTACATGTGTTTTCATTTGACTCTGTGTTGAGTGTCCACACAAACAGGCTTGTGAATTTTGCATGTGAGAGTGCTTCCCACATACAGACTGTCTTTAGGCTCCTAATAGATTTTTGCTAGGCGTGGGATCATCTTCATAAAGTTCCCTGCCTGCAGTACGGCAGAAATATTACAAGTGTAGGAGTTATTGTTTATCTCTCATGATAGCAACAATGACTGGACCAAAATCGCAAGTTATTCCAACTCTTATTTAATTAGAGACTTGTTCAGCCAATGTTTATTTAAAAAAAAAAAACTTGTCAATGTATATTTTTATCTAGGATTATCTAAAGGTGTTTGCTTCTATTTTCAGGACAGTTTAAATAGACTGGAATAACAAAAGTCAAACCAGGTCAGTCTTCATGTTGTTAGTATGACTGTTTTGGTTTGAGGATGTGGGCATGAATACAGTCAGTGGGAGTTAAGTTAGAGGATGTGCGTGGGTGTCTGTTTCCCATCATACCTCAGCACCCATGGCCCATGCAGCCAGCACATGGCGGCAGAAATTGAGCTTGCCCGGCTTCATCTTGTCATCACAGGAGCCGCTGTAGTGCGGAACATTGGGCATATCGGGAGAACACTCAAACACTTCTATGTGGTGCACGATGGCCTCGTTACCTGGAGTTATCACTGACTCATACTGACAGAAACAGAGAGAGGTGGGAAAGAAACAAGTGAAAAAAAGAGAGAGTGCTGTTGTTTTTGTGGCTGAAAGCTGTGGCAACATTGCTTCGAAGCACAGTTATATCAATAAAAACATCTCTGAAATTCATTATATGCAGAGTACAGTGCATTATCAATGCTCTTCTAATGTTATCCCATCCTTTTAAAAGATACACCTGTGGGGTGCTGTTTGTTTTCATTCTTTTTCTCCTCCTTTGACCCATGACAAAGCAGCCCTTGGATTTTTAAGCTGTCTTTGAACAATCTTCATTTAATACGCACCCTACTGTTCACAACTCAAAGGGATATTTCAGCGTAAAATAAAAATCCTCCCCAGATATGAATGTTGCCGACCGCTTGCTTCTCTAGTTATACCAACTTTAGTATCAACCGCACGATAGCAATACACAGTGGTCTGAGTAGCCACACACAAACCTCAACCAAAACGCCACTCTATAGCTACAAATAATGCTCAGAACAGCACCTAACTTCATCAACAGTTCACATAGGGTCCCAGCCACAGCACTAGCCACCAAACATCTTTTAAGCTTTGCCTAATTTCTTTAGAAAAGAGACTAAACACAACTCACCTACTCTCTTCCAGCAGCTGTTTGTTTGTAACGAGACCTCAGGCCAAGACATTAGGGACTGCAGTGGGGTGACGCAGCTCAAGGAAGAACATTTATGATAATTTCTTTATCATTTCCTTGAAGTTTTTCATTTTGCACCGCAGATGTGGTAGTTCTTCTGCCTTAGCGTCTCGGTCTGATTGCATTTCCATGATAAAATTATCATAAATGTTCCTCCTTGAGCTGTGTCACCCCGCAAATGGACTGGTCGAGGTCTCGCTACAAACAAGCAGCTGCTGAAAGAGAGTAGGTGAGTTGTGTTTAGTCTTTTTGCTAAAGAAATCAGGCAAAGTTAAAAAGATGTTTGGTGGGTAGTACTGTGGCTGGGACCTTCTATGTACTGTTGATGAAGTTAGGTGCTGTTCTGAGCATTATTTGTGGCTATAGAGTGGCGATTTGGTTGAGGTTTGTTTATGGCTCCTCAGACCACTGTACTTTGCTATCTGCAGTCGTTACTAAAATTGGTAAAACTAGAGAAGCAAGCGGTTGGCAACATTAATTTCTTGAGGTTGCGGTGTGTTTGACTCTAAATTAATTTTACGCCGGAATATCCCTTTAAGCGGATTTCAACTGTTTGCGATTATGGAGGCCTACATACCATAACAATGTGGTTCTTTGGCATGTTTTCAGGCAGCTCCTGTATGAAGCACCAGTAGGTAGTCTCTTGATTTGGTATGATGACATTTGGTGCAACAACATCCAGTGTCTCCACATCTGGAGGCAGGGTGGGTGATGGAGTGTCAGGGCGGAGCATCAGGATCCTCTGTACTCCTGTGTGGATACGAGAGAGGTTCAGCTGCTCCAGTGAGGGGAGTGGTTGATCTAGAAGTCCATAAATAACGTGCACAGTTCCCTCCTGGCCAATCAAAATGAAACAGAGAAAAAGAAGAAGAAGAAGAAGAGAACATCAGGCCTGTGTCTCAAATTAAAAAGCTCTTACAGATATCATTTGGCTGAAATGCTTAGACAAACAAAGAGAACTTTTCATTATGTTGTCATAGCGATGAGCCTTGGTTTTGAGTCTGAATCTGTATTACCATGGAAACCGTATTATTTATAATGAATTTTTCGGTGGGAAATGTGCTTTTTACATTTTTATGATCTCTCCCTGTTGTCTCGTCTCATAGCTTTTTACCCATGTGCTAAATACAGAATTAAAACACCTGGTAAAAAAGAGCAGACACACACTCTCCTACGCACACATGGCCACAGAGCAAGAACACTGTGGCTTTTCTTCAGGTTATACACATGCATTCAGACACCATCCCCTCAACATCGCACATTTCCGGGCCACCTGTTATCCGACAAATCCAGTTGGATGAGGATTGGCAGATGTTAGTTTTACATTAAGGCAATATGTGACATATTTAACAACAGGTGTCTTTGCCCTACCATGTGCTCATATGCAATAAGATGTAGGAGGAAGCATGAATGTAAAACAGAAAATCCAGTCAAACATACTCATGCAGCCTTCTCCATACAGGTTACATCACCTTAAAAACAGCTTAACACAAAAACTACCATGGTCCTTAATCTCTGATGTAGGTTTTGCTTTGTAGATGGAGGCATCAGCACTTACAAAACCAACCAAAAAATCCTCACAGGAGCTTTTTGTGTCCATTCATAGAAAATGACGACATTGCAGGTAACACACCCAGCTTTTTGTACCCACAATCCTTTTCTAACACCATGTTTTGCCTCTGACATATCAAGTTTCACAAACCTCTATGAGGTAGTCTCTGGGATCACAGGTGCTGAATGGTCTTTTGAACAGCAGGTAGAATCCATCAGGTTTCTGTCTGGCTTCAATCAACTCGTAGTCTTGTTGGCTGTCCAGTGACACGTGACCCTCACTGTCGCTCCATGCATCCTGAAGAAGACAGAACAAACAGTAACATGGAGGAATCATACCTGTAGATATAATAATAAGAAACTACAGCAAAGTATTTTAAAGCAAATAGTTATTGTAGTTTGAATTCAAGTGGCACAAAATCAGACAAATAATTTTGTTTTGTGGTCCGTGGATTTAGCAACAAGGTGAGGAGATGACTTATCTACATTTTATCCAGGATGGTTTTACTCATTGACTCATAATTTATATATTTTAAGGGATATTTATATAAGGGTAGAAAATATCAATTAAATATGCAGAAAGGGTTTGAAGGTTTATGTTACAAACACTTTGCGACTATTTGTTCATTTTAAAATTAGCACAAACCTCTTCAGATCTCCATTATTATTACGCTCTGGATAATGATACAACTAAAAGAAAGAAACCAGTGAAAGTGTTCATGTAGTTGGTGTTGTGAAACCTTTCCAATCCTGTGTACAAGACTCCGCTTCTTTGCCAGGAGGCTTTGCAACAGCTCAGCCTCTCCGCTTCTCCTTCTCACATTCTTATCTGTCCAGAATAGCACCTAAGATCTCTCTCTTTATTTCTGTCTCCTGCTCTGTCCCTCTTACGTAACTGTCCTACACGTACCGCAAGGACTGTGAAGCCAGTGTTTTTGAAGCACATACAGAGGATATAAATCTAAAATAAGATGCAAAGAGAACACACTATATGTTATGTGCGTTACATGTCTGTGAGCAGAATAAACAGGGTACAAGCTCTGAAGAAACCACACTCTGCCCTAACTCTTTACGCTTACATGTGAAGTTTTGTCAACAGTTATGGAGAGTGACAGTGAATCTGGTCCAACTCAGGGTTTCTGCCCAAATAAAAGGAACTCTTTGTCCTGCCACTGTTGCTAAACACTTTATCATTGCTGGATTGTTGTTTTGTTTCTTGAGATATATTACAAGAGTAGAGTCAGAATCAGAACCAACTTTATTGGCCAGGTATGTGTGCACAACATTGCTCTCCCTGTACAACATAAAACATTAAATACTATATGCTTACATTAAACACTGAACATTCAATGTATGTTCAAGATTAGGATTTACAATAGTGCAATGGTGAGGAGTGCATGTAGGGGAGAGTGGGGTAAGATGAGCCATTTTTTCATATTTCTAATCACTACATCAAGGCATTCATAGTTTTGTCTCTAACTAATGTATCTGCATATATTTCAAGATGTTTTGCATCCCTGCAAACCAACAGAATGAGTGTAAACATAACTGCCTTGATAATATAGCATGCCAAAAAAAAGTAGTCTCCTATGGTCAATTTCTGACTTTATTAGTCCTCTAAACTAAGATGGTGGACTTTTATGTTTTTGACCTCATGTTGTAGCTCATAGATACCACAATTGATGTATAAAGCAAATTTAAAATGATCTTTTCTGGTCTGAACACAATTCTAATAAAACTTACGACAGACTAAATTCACTTTCAAGAGTGAAAAATGTTTTTTTTTTTTTTTGTAAATAAATGTCTAATCCCCTTCACCCATGTGCTTCTTACCTTGACAGACTCCATGAATTGATGCCCATCTCCTAAATATTTGGTCACATGATCAGTTTGTTTTATCATTTCCAGGCAACAGGGGTTGGCTCAACTTACCCTTTGGCTCAATTTACCCCACTCTCCCCTACATGCCGTCTCCCCAACGTCCTGCCAAACTCACCAGTCAGAAGCGGCATATGCTACTCGTGGACAGGTCACATTAACCAATCAGTGACCTGCTCTCCGTGTTTGAAACGTGAACGCGATTTTAAAATGGCTTCAATTCAACCACAAGTGGAGTTAGGTGATTTAATCCCCAAGAAAAGAAGCACCGCGGTCATCTGGGATTATTTTGGAGGCTGCAGACGTGCACCAGAAACAGGTAGGTTACTGTGCAAAATCTGTCGCGCTAAAGTTGCTACATGAGCGGAAACACAAACAACTCATACCGGCACTTGAAAAACCACCGAGGGCACTTTCAATTAGGAGTGCATGACGAAAAAGTCCGGTGAAAAGTCTAGTAAACATGAGTGAACAGACTACAGTTACAATATCTTTTACCAGTGCAAGCCAGTATGACAAGAGCAGCAGGCCCCTGCTGATATAGACCTGTTTAATATCCTTACTACTGGTTGTTTTTGCTGCATGGATTGATCCAACAATTTATTTTTTCAGATTTAGGATTGTAAGACTTGCATTAGCTGGCATACCACTATCATTTTAACTATTGAGGTATTTAAACGGACAGAAATGCAGCTTGAACCAAAACATCGACTTAGTTCCCCTTTTTTTATTTTAGACTTGATAAGTAAAGTTTTCAGGACACAATTTGAAGACTGATGGAAATATTTAAACTTTGTTAGTAGTCTATTGCTCTGAGATGATTGAAACCTTTAAACATGTTCCCATGCAGCTCCACTGAGACATCAGAGTCTCTAAAACAGGGGTGTCAAACTCAACCACAGCAAGGGCCATAATCTGGATTTAGGTCTAACCTGAGAGCCAAACAGGGTCAACGTTTCACCAAAACTGTCAACCTCCTTTTCAAAAAATATGTAAGAAAAATAGCAATGATTATAAATCATTTGGAAAATCAAAAAAGATAAAAAAAGGTAAGTTTAAAGGCAATCTGAGATAGAAATTTTAAAATGTTTTATTCTATTTTTGTTTATTAGTTCAAAAGATCAGAGCATGATATTAAAAATAGAAAAATAAAGAGCAAATACACAAATCTAAAGTATAAAAATGACAAAAGTCTAAATACTGAGTTGAACAAAAACAAAGTATGAAATAAAAAATCCAATCATGTTTGACTTGTAATCTTGAAATGCAAAATTGAAAACATGAAACATAACTCCAAATATTTTTTTTCCCCCACATTCTTGACTACTTTTCAAATCTTCCTTACTCTTTAATTTCCTAGATTTTCGTGGTTTATTAAGGACATTTTAATAATGGTGCTAAAGTTTACATTATTATACTGGAGGAAATCTGCAGACTTCATACTGGTGGACCAATAATAATACAAATATGATATGATCTTGTGGGCCAGATATAATTGTTCCATGGGCCAGATTTGGCCCCTCGGACCTTGAGTTTGACACCTGTGCTCTAAAAAAGAGGGACAGGTACGTGTGTGTCCATCAGAGAAGTCTGAAGGTGTCCTAAAACGAACTTTCTATCCCTGGAGATTGTTATAATGTCTTTCTTCTTATATAATTGGTATCATTGGAAGTCAAACTTTACCAAAGAAAAGGAGGAGAGAGGATAAAAAAAATCCACTGTCCTCTTATCTCTGGTTTTGAAGGTAAATGACAAAATCTTAATATTCAAGTCTCCGAGGCCTGATTTGAATACATTGATTTAAAAAGGGATTTTAGAAGTCTATGAACTAGAGCATATCTAAAATGTGCCTTGCTTTGTGTGAGGCTGCGTGCGTGCGTGCGTGCGTGTGTGTGTGTGTGTTTAAGAGAGAGAGAGAAGGGGAGAGAGACTGTAGCGCAGCAGTGACCTTTCTTCTGCTGGTAGTTTTGCCCTCCTGAGGGGAGGCAGACAGATGGAGCGAGGGGAAGAAGAAGGCTGAATAGCACAGAGGAGATCAATTTTAACAAGAAAAAAGCTTTACAGGGATGTGAGTTACAGTATTATTTTTGATCTGCAGGGATATGGCACACTGGGATTCATATGACAGCTCGGGTAAATGGGCAAAGTCTTGGGATTAAAGTAGAAATAAAGAGAGGGTTAAAGTTTCTTATCCTGTAAAGGTACAATTGTATCCCCTTTTCTCATCAAATGCTCCTACAATTATGAGTTTTTGCATATTAGAATAGTACAAAAGATACACCATATATCTCATCTTCTCTTTAATGACCTAATGTGCAGTTTACCATCTGACAGGTCTGATTTTTCACATCTAATCTCATTCGCACATTGCCATTCAACATGATAGCTGGACTGAAATAATTACGCCGGCATAACCCGACAGACTGCTGGTGGACTTATTAGCCGCAACTATGTGTGAAACTTTGATGTGTTTTCAGAGCGCCTTTGTGTTTGAGCCCACAGGGCAGCCTCTGGAGTCCTGCGAGCTCCTTCTGGCCTCAGATCAAATCACAGCAGAGATTCCCAGCAGAGATTTCTTTTTATGTCCTTCCTCTGCTGAATACGTCAATGAAACTTCACAAACACAACTAACAGAGATGTATAAAAAGCAATCATTCTCAAAAAAACAAGTGATAATGGAGCAAATAGTGACTATGGACAGTGTCAATGTGTATGAAAACAAAGAATAATATATTTAGCTGCGAGACAGAGCAAAAAAGCATCAGAATTACATGCCACAGCTGCGTAATTTTAGTGTTACACTGAACACTTTTTTCCGTTTATTGGAGCGCTGCTTTAAATAGGTGAAACATATGCCTCGTATACAGATCCCATGGTCCATAACACAGCCTACCCAGGCTCAACCCTCCACCCTAGCCCCCTACTATGCATCATCCCCATTCTGTCTCTTCTCCCCTTTTTCGTCTCTCTGGGCTGTCCTTTCAATGAAATAAGCAGACAGAAGAAAAAAGAATTTATTCTGAACCTTAATGTTAAATCAAATTTCAATGTGTGTGAAAGAGAAATGAAAGACAGAAGGTGTAATTTTAAGTAGTTTTAACATGCTAAGCGTTAATGTAACTACACTGACTCAATACAGTGAGTTTAAGTACATACTTTACAAAAAATAGAGACTTAAGGTGATCTGCAATACATTTAAACTCATCAGAGAAGACCAGGATTAAAGAAGCATTTACTGGGATTTTATATAATTTATAACCTAAAATTAACCTTACATTTCTCTTCACTACAAGCTGTATAAAAAGAGGGATGGTACAAAGCCTCTCTGATAGTAAAGCCTAAAACATTTACAGTTCATCTTGATAACTGGCTGCAGTTACAATGAATTCAACAAGCGATTTGTGTACGGCGCCACCTTGCACTGTGACTATAACTGCAGTGGCAATTCAACATCCTCTGCTGCTCGCTTACTGTCAGTACGTTTACACACTGTTTGAAAAATCGAGTTATCGCCTCAGTCCAACTAAAACTAGACTTTTAAAAACATGTAAATATATTCGACCAAATTGAACTCCTTATAGTTGGATCAGACTTAAAAATGTCTTTAGCCCTCTGTGCATGCTTCAGTGTTAAAGGGATATTCCAGCGTAACTTTAAACCATGGTCAAACACACTGTAACACAGAGTTAGACCCCCCCTCGAGAGATAGTTTGATTAAATTTAGAGAAACAGAGAAATAAAAGACCATATTAGCTCCGTATTAGTGTTGAAGTGCCATAAAACGTAACATTACCACACTAGTAACACCAATCATTTAACAGCTGCTTTCAGTCATTAGTTGCACAAGCAAGAACATACGCTTTCTCCTCATTTTTAATCTATTTGTTCATTTGTCACTGTAAATGAATCCCCAAGGATTACATGCAGCTTCTCTACCAGCTGGTAGCGGTTCTTTCATTTATCCCCTGGCAGAGAACAACTAAAATGCAACCACAGGGTCACTTAGAGAGGTGCAAAGTTACTGAAATCATATATTCCTGATTCACTATTGAAGGATATTTTCATCTTCACTATGTTTACAGAATCTTTGTGAAGTGTCTCTTCATTCAGTAGTTATCGTCACATTAGGAAACTGTCATTAAATTAGAGGTTTGTGTGTACTGCTCTGTCAATCATGTCAGCATATATATAATTTGTGACTTTTTTTCTTATTTTCATATAAAGGTTTTGGAGAACATGGGTTGCAGAGATCAGTGCCAAAGACCTTATCTCTCCAAGTGCGTGTGTGTGGACTCTGGTTATCTGAAGGATTCCTGATCGGTAAGGATATACAGTTGACATTTTCTTCTTTTTAGCTAAATGTTGGTTCCAACAAACTAAACTCTAAAATCCCTGGTATTATTTAGATATCGTTGGGTATTATAAAGAGGTAAAACTTAATTTTATTTCTAAATGTTCAGTCATGAACACATACGTTGTTGATGGAAATGTTATACAGTGTGACCTGAAAAAGAGTTTAACTTTATTTAAGAAGTGCATGACAGTTTCTTTCACTCATAATTTAGCTAATTTATCAGCAAGATGGGCCTCTGCACCTTTAGACAGTCATGTTGTCCTTAATTTATTTGTTGTATGCATTTTCAAAATATTAGTACACCTGTAATATTTACTGGCTCATCTCCCATGCTAATGCTGCATTCAAGTTGTACTCGGAAGTCGGACAGTCTTCGTCAACCCTGACTTAACAACAACTTCATAATTCAAGATGGCAGCGCAGTGCATCAACAGTAAAGAGTAACAGTAAAAGCACTTGTAATGTTTTATTTATTAGCACTTCTGTTTTGTTTTAGTGAAATTAAATAAGTGGTATATGTTGTGCTGCGTCTAACTGTGAACACGGTGCTATGGTGTTTGTAGAGTTAATGCTGTATTGTGCATTGTTTACAACTGGTATAGCTAACAACAAATAAAAATGGCTAACAACAGCTAACAACAACTGACAACGGCGAACGACAGCTGACAACAGCGAACAACAGCTGACAATTGTAAACAACAGCTAACAACGAACGCCGTCAACTCTGGTGTAGCGTCATTCCCAGATGCGAAATCCGACTTCTGCGGTAACTGGAACGCAGCATAAGCTTTCATACAAAGTCATCAGAGGTATTATGAGAGTTGTGTAGGAGGGCTACATACTGTATGTGTTATGCAAAAGTTAACAAAGTTTGAGTTCGTCACAGCTGATTTAGTAGCTGAAAACTCTGCCAGTTCTTCAACATGCCTCCTACGTCATTGTCAAAAGTAAAGTAGCCCTGAAAACAGATGTTAAAGTTATAAATTGAGATCTCAGTGGAACAACTTACATTTAGATTTGTTCAAATTTTTAATGACATAATAAAAGTAATTGCAACATGTGAACTACCAGTTGTTCATTGGGCTGAGCTACAGGCCTTAGAGACAGCTTTAATACAGATGGGATATGCCTCAAACTAAAAATTAAGAATACATGACAAATAATCTTTTGGTTTGAGTTAAAGTGCCAATTTTTCATAGAATAATATTCTGAATTTATTATCTGACGTTAAAACAGAAGACATGACATCATGATAGACGGCTCTGTTGACAATCATGAGTTCCTGCTGTCTTCTTTACTGGATTAGCAGAGTAGAAGAAAAACTGTGAGAGAGAAAAAAACAGAAACACTGGAGCTCTCCATAATCATGAGTGCATCAGATGGACACAGGAGTCTGTTCTGCTGTGGACAGTATCGACCTGGGGGATTTTCTCTGTCTCATCAGAAAGTCAAATGTGTTTTAGTCAGCACCTGTTACGGCAGTACTTTGGCTTCGTAATTTTATAGGAAGGCGATAGAGGCACGTCATGTGTTTTTTTTTTTTTAACTGTCAGTCCTCTGACACATGCAGATCATTGTGGTATAGACATTAGAGGCTGCTAATTCACTTTCAATCCACCGGTGACCTTCGCTCCTGTTATGCAAATTACATAAACACTCTCAGTCATCCTCAGAAGCAGGTTCTAAAACTAGCCCTGTAAAAATAGGTTCCTCAGGGTCCCAATATATATCATCCATTCAACTTGTTAGCACTTAATCTGTTAATTATGTGATAGAGATAACCTTATTAGGGAGAAGAATAAGAATAAATTCTGCATCATTTGTTACTACAATTAGCATCCATCCTCCTCACGGTTTCTCATGAATATTTACATGGACAAAAAGCAATTGAAAAAGATAGGTAAATGGGATTCATGCATAAATTGCCTCTTAGAGACATTAATCAGGGAATTTCTTGAAGGAAAAAATCTCTACAGGATTTGTGTGTGGCAAAATGAGGCCTTTTTACACATCTTAATCAGCCCAGGATTCAATTTTGATATGCTAATATCTCCTAATGATTCACACATGAACTTGAGCTATTAGTGCAGTTTGAGTGATTTCCCATTACCAGGGGCCGATAACACTCTTTGTGAGAGTGTGAAGCAAACTGTCTGCCGGCTCCTTCTGCAAAAACACCAATCTCACACCCCAGGGACCTAAGACGCCTCCTCTCTATAAGGACTTTATGTAATCCCTGTGCATTTAGGAACTTAACAAGAACACTTAGAAGAGGGAATTGCAAGTGTGAGTGAGAAAGACAGGTAAAAGGTTTGATTTACAGTGCCTATAGAAATCTGCTTGTTACTCTCACTTCTAATAACCACTGTTCCCAGTATTCTAAATTTAATGGTATAGGGTCTTACCCCAAAGTAGCTTTTACTCCCAGAGTCCCACAGCACAACCAGGTCAGCGTTGGTCAGCTCCCCACGGTCAGACATTCCCAAGACGACACCATGTTTGAGCTCCTTGACCCTCAGCTCCATGTACACCTCCTGGTTGGCGTAGCTGATGTTCCATGCCAGTTGGAGATCCCCCAGTGGGTCAAGGGGCACACGAAAAGGCATGGGCAGAGGTGGTAGAGGGCTGGGTGGGCTTGATTTAAGAATGGACACTTCCACAGCATTGGTGGGCGCCTGATACGAAGCCACCAGGATGACCATGAGAGCAGCTAGGGCGGTGAAGTACATGATGGTGACGTCCTGAAGGCGAAGGTTCTTGTTAAAGACCCTCATGGCTCTTATTGTGAATCTTAATCCCGGGTGATTTTCTTCTTTTCCCCTCAGCTTTGTCTTTCAGGCTTACTCACTTTGTCAGCTAAAGTTCATTTGAAGTTCAATCCCAGAAGTTTGAAAGACAGTTTTTCCAGTTCTGTAGTTCAGAGAGTTTGCTAACTCTTCAAACTCAAACCTTTTGGATTCTTCCGCTCAGCCCTTAGGCCTCAGTAGACTCCAAATCCAGCTCACAGTGGTCAGGTGAGATCATTTATTCTTCTGTTCCCATGCTGTCCTCTCCTCTCAGCCTACAAATTTTGGAAAGTTGACTTTTTCCTATGTTTTCTGTTTCCAAGCCTTTGTGGGGATTGTCTCTTTCCTCTGAGCAGCTGCTCTGTCTCTATCTGTCTCTGGCTCGTTTTTAAGAGACTCCTCCCTTATGGGTCGTCTGTTTGTATCCTGCCTAATAGTATTACATTTGTTGAGGAAAATTGGATTGTACCCTTTAAGCCCTGGGGTCAACCATGATTCTGCACATCTGCCAGCCCCTAATTGATCCAAATTCAGTCATGGACATTATCAATGACAATCTGCTTGGGTTGGGTAAACTTTATTGCTTGCTCCATTTGTCTTTGTCTTCTCTGTTTATCATGTTTCGTGCATCATTTCATACATTTTCGGCCCAAAAATTTGACAAATAAGACCCCCCACCTGCTTTTTGGGTGTTTAACTCAAAGCAGGATTAAGGAACAGCCAGTACTTGTGGAGGCGTAAACAAGGCATTAATGCATCAGTCCTTTTCCCAACCCACCGCCTGAGGCTGCAGGAGACCTAATCAAACTGCCACTTACAGCTTTCAAAAGCAAGATGGACACATCCAGGTTGGTTTCAAAGGTTACTCAAGCCCCTGTAGCAGAGAGTGTGTGTGTGCTCGTGTCTGTGTGTGTGTTTGTATTTACTTAGAGACAGGTGAGTTTAAGTGGGCAAAATGACTTAAATGAATTTCCAAATGCATTAAATGTTGGTCCTTGGCCGCCTTTTGCAGATTCAGGAATCAATACAGTCCAGAGAGGGTACAAGCAGGAAGGTTAAATTCAGGGAAAGACAGAAAAGCATAAACAAAGTGAAATTGAGCCAAATCACTCTAAAAAGCTCAAACACAAATGTATTCTCAAGAGGATGACAGTAAAAAAAATGTTGTTATACATGATTACAGTCTAATTATAGCATCACCACCTGGGTTGCGGATGCTGTGTTGTGTGATGCAGAAAGAAAAAATGCAAAACGATTACATAAGATTATCCAAGATTTATTTTTTATATACTTAAGAATCTGTGTTTGATTTAATAGCCCAAAATCAGTCAGTATATAAAATATTCTGTCAAAAGAATACATTAAAAATACCAATGTTGTCCATGCTGTGTGTGTTAATTTATCCTTTAAAAGCACATAAGACCTTTGCAGAGCCGGCACAAGGCCGAACCAAAGGCCTGCGTAGGGCCCTGCTGCCAATAGGGGGCCCCCAAGAGCAATCATAAAAAAGAAAATTTAAATATTTTTTATATTTTGTATGTATGAGTGATTCTTTATGTATGATGAAATGTATATTATTATAAAAATAAAATTAAAGTAAAAACATTTTAGTTCTGCTGCTGATGTACGCCTATGATTCTTACTGCCGATATGTCAAAGCTCCGCTACCGTTTTGTGCCTCCCGCTGTGCAATGTGCACTAAGCATCCAAAGCACAGGTAGTTTTGGGGCAAAACAATGTCGGAAAAAAGGATATATCTTTCAGGAGCAGAGAAAAAGACGAAGAAGAGAAAAAAATGCCGAAATAAAGGTATGTTTGCATGTCATGGAATGGTAATTAAAGTGATTTGTGAAGGTGTGTAAATGATCAACAATCAATATTATTGGCAGAAAAAGGGGGCCCCAAAATCAAATTTTGCTTAGGGCCCCATTGAGGTTTGGCTCTGTGCCTTTGTCGCCTTACATTACTCCTGTTTCAGCCTCCTTGCTCTGGCTGTCAGTATGTCTTGGAAGCGATTTAAGCACCTTACTCCTGACCTTAAAGGCTACTCATGCCCTCTCCCCATACCACACATCCATCCTCTTGGTCACATATGAGACAGTAAACGGTTCGTAATCCCAGGTAGAGGTCTTTAACTCTGAAACAAACAGCCTGAAGATATCAGGTCAGCAAACTCACTTCTTACATCTCTGCTGAAGGCAGGCATTTATTGGAGAGCTTTTTTCTGATTTCACTTTATTGAACATCCTCTTGTTATCTTCTCTGTGATTTTAATTTTGTTGTGCTTTATTCAACTCTAGTAAATCACTTTGTGGCATGGATTTAGACAATTGCTCTATACATAGATATCATTGTTGATAAAAGGACTGGATTTGGTGAGCTCTGCTTTATCAGATCTCCAAATTTGCCACCTCAAATATACTAAACACAGCTGACCTTTTGTACCTTATATACCATCATGAAACCAGTATCACAGATGTCTCATTCTATAATGTATAAAACTGAGAGCAGAATTAAACCCTCAAAAACATTTGTTTAAAATACATGTCAGTGGGTTGGCTGAGATTTGCTGATGAGATCCAAAACGTCTGAGATTTTAGAGGATTTTTACACATCCAGAGGAAAAGCGAAGGTGTTAAAAAAAGAAAAAAAGGCTGAATACCATTGTGCAGCTTTGGTCTTAATACCCTCGTTGTTTTACTCGCATTGCCAACTGAGACACTGGGATAGAAAAGACAATCAAGAAATTTAAGTAAAATCCCTAAATCTCCTTTTTCTGATTCAATCCGGAGAGCCTGTTGGAAAAAGCATTTTATTATTCAAACGGTATAATAGATAATGATCTTTCCAGCTTTCAGGAGTGCTGCCTGGTAGAGACCTTTGAGTCCAACAACCCAACTCAATTAAAATCGTTTGGCCCTGTGGACAAAATGTGAACTTTTGTCTTTGCAAAAAGTTATCAAGTACGTGAGGAAAAATCAGACACATCTTAAGAACAGTACAGAAAAACCAGTCCATGCACATCATGTTCCCTCTAGGTTGGATTACTGTAATTCCCTTTTATCTGACACCCTCTCAGGCCTTAAAGAGTAGACTCAAGACTTTCCTTTTTAAAAAAAAAACCTGGAGTTAGGGCTGGTTCAGGTTTGGACCAGTTCTTAGTGATGCTGCTGTAGTTTAGACTAGGGTGACCATACGTCCTCTTTAACCCGGACATGTTCTCTTTTTGGGGGGTTGTCCAGTTAAGTTTATAAAATCCTTCAAATGTCCGCGGTTTTGTACGTAAGTTTCGATTTTGTGTCATGTGGACTAACTGAGTTAGAAGCCCGTAAAAGACACTCGATCTGACCCAAAAAACTCTCAAAATTAACTTTGTGTGACTCCTTGACTCCGCCCACGCATAGTCATGTCTTCTTTTTGGGAAGTCAGGATATGGTCACCCTAGTTTGGACTACCTGGGGAACTGGCACATTGAGCTCCTGCTTATCCTCTATCTGTCTGTGTGTCTTTAACTCTAAATTAGTATGTCCCATTAAAATCACCAACCACAGTCTCTTCTGAGAGTCCTTAAGCTCCCTCATGACATAGGTTCCTCTGGATCACAGCTGCAGATGTCCTCCTGCCGTGGACCTGCCTGCTTTCCAGCTACGTCAGTACATTCATCAGTCTCACCAATTTAACACTTTTATAAAGCTGATATTAAATTATGAGCATCAGTCTTTGTAACAGAACAAAGCCGAGCTCCATGTTTCATTGCTTCTGGAAGTGCTTACAGACACACTTTGACAACTCCCAAGTAAAACAATCTTTCAAGCAGGTGGCAGTACAACTTTGTTTCAGTAATTCAAGCAAGATGAATGAAAGTATAGCAGGAAGGATGGTGTAAGTAGTATTCATTCTCAGTTATACTGTTGCTCTGTGTATCCCTTTTTATCTCCTTGTTGAGTTTTAGTTCTTGTGATTTCCAGGAATTGCTTGTCATCATAAGTTGTGGGTTTTAATACAAACTCTATATAATGGATTAAAGTTTGCACATGACGTCAAACTGCTGAATCCTTTTTTGGATCTGAGCAGAGCAGCAAGAGCAGAACAGAGAGGCCCAGCCTGGTATCTTGTTTGTTAATATAATAAAGACAGATAGTCCCTGAGGCAAACGCAGAAATGTGTGTTTATCCTTCTAAAAGTCTCTGGCCTTCACATGAGTCGGAGCTCTCTTCTCTTTCTGTATGTGTCTTCTTTTGTTGCTTTTCATCTCCCACAATGTCGCACTTCCATCTCTTTACTAGCCTGTCTGTCCTTCATCACACTCCTGTCTCTTACTGCTGATTGCCCTCTCCCACTCTCTTCCTGTCTTTTATTCCTCTCACAAACACACTTATCTTTCTGCTGCCGCTACTGATGTGTCAGCAAACATAAACAAGACAAGATGCGTAAAGTCAGCTCTGATCTGGGGGGGAACAGCAGAAAAGGAGGGGAGATAGAGAGGGGGATGGGAGGGTAGGAAGAGATTTCGGGAGAAAAAAGACACTCCTCCTTTGTGTGTATGGTTGTTTGTTTGTGGATGCAAAAAGCCGGGGGGGTTATCTGACATTTTCCTGCCTACAACAATCCAAATATTGCCCCAAAACTTTCCCATCATGCTTTGCTTTTAGTTTGGGAAAGGCTAATACACACACACACAAACACACACACTTATAATTTAAATTCTATGGGGCAGCAGTTTGATGTGAATGTTCCTGTTTTATGTAGTTTGATAGTTGTCACAATTAGGCTCAGGCAGCATTATTTTATGAGCACCATAAAAGTCCTGCAACATCTGAATTTTTTTATAGATTCATCTTTTGAGAGCTTCTCACAGCACCATAGCTGTGTCATCACGCTTTTTTACCTTTATATTGAACTCTCAACATGTACCTTTGTGTCCCAGCGTGAGATTTCACAGTGCAATGGGGCATTGCATAAGCATTGAAGGTACAACATAGACGCTCTCGCACATTCAGAAGTGTATACGCACACACCATTCCATCCTTTCAGCCCTCACATTCTGCCTCTGTTTCACAGTAGTTACAACTTCTGACACTGGTGAGGTGGCCAAGAAACTTTGCGTTTTACCTTGTGTAGGCTTTTTCTCGTGGCAGTAATGTTTCCGTCCGTGTGGTGCTGCTTCAAATGTGCTAACAAGTTGGATGTGTTGCCAGTAACACAGGCTGCTGCTGAACAGTGCTGGCAATCTGCTTTCGCCTTATCAACTCGTTGTCCATTGTTACATTTCCCGAGAAGCTGTAGTGATCCCCCACATGAGACCTTAATGTCAGTGGAGGATCTTCTAGTTCTCGTTAGTCTTGTGTTATGTTGACTAGAACGATTAAAAAAACATGTTCTCTGTGTGGTCTGCTTCTGTCTTCCATCCGCATGGGATCTTAAATATCATGTACTTTTCATTATGCACATAAACACATGTAAACCGTACAGGAAGTCCTATACTGAAATGGTTCAGTCTTGTAAGTATTTAGCACATTTGTATGTAGTATGGCTGTATGATAGCAGATGTGGTTTCAGACGAAGGCTGCACGATATTGGAAAAAACTAACATTGCAATTTTTTTCAACCCTGCGATATATATTGCGATATTAAAATATACTGGAATTTTCACCAGATGACCTGAATAGCACTTAATGTTATGCTGCACCGCTGAAATCTTGAGGACAGTTAACCTGCTCTGATCTTACCTCTTTCTGTGAATGTTAGTAGAATGGCTTCTTTCTGTCTCAGAGGTATTTTTAGCTTGCTTTTATTGTGGCAACAGATTAAAGGCACTGCCGACACAGAACATGTGTCTGGGTCGACATCATCCTGCTTGTAACTGAAATAATTACAAATAAGTGACTTTGCTTTTCTTTCTGGCAACAAGTATTCATCTTCGGTGGTTTTCTCTTGTTCGTTTCTCATTTTATAATTGTTGTTGATGTTACCGGTGTTGTGCCAAGAGACTCATGTCCGCCGAGAATTGCATCCACCTTGCGGAAACGCACACTGCTTATAGTAGAGTGGTTCACGAAAATGTACAATTTAAAACTAATACAATTCTTATTTGTGGGGCTAAACAGTAATAAGTAATGTTCCCAAAGTAATTCTCGGTGGGTATGCGTTTCTCGGCGTGGTTTCCTCCTCTCTGATTTTGAATGACAGCTGGCAGGGTAGTCTGATTGGCAACTGGGTAAAGAACGAATGTGATTGGTAGATCGCTGCTCAGCACATGCAGAGTCACATGCAGTCTATCTCAGTCGGCTACCCTTGAAATTAGATGAGTTCTTTCGCCTCCTACATCTCAGGCTCGGCAATATGACTATTGTGCACACATACATCGCTATGACGATGCTTAAACGATACATCGTGCAGCTCTATTTCAGACACAGCCAGAGTATTTGTTGAACGGCACCCACAGTAGCCAAAGGTTTTTGATGAATAGTAATGGTAGATGCTAAAGAGACACAAAACCAGCACCTCAGTGTCAGTTGCACATAAACACATGTCCAGAGTAGAGGTAGCTGATGATGAAACACTTGAAGCGTTTAGTCTTTTCTGAACTTTAGTCAACTTTTCTTTGGAATATTTTCATGTTTCTTTCTTCCAAGTAGTTTTACTCAAAGTGTTTTGAGTGTGTTTTTAAACCTGGGCCCAATTTGATCACATTTTTGGATCTAATAGACTGCAGGTACAAAAAGATGTGGAATCACTCTGGTAGATAGCCTCTGCCAGCTGCCACAAATGGGCTTTAATTGCTGCAACCTCGGTGCCATTGTCTAATTGGAGTGTAACTAAAAAAGATGTATACCAGCTACACCTGTGTTTTGCAAAGTAAAATGAGTGATCTGTTTGTTGGTTTTGGACGGAGCTACATGAAGGCAGTTTCACGTGAAAATAACCTATTACTCCATAGATCGTATATAGCTGAAGGGTCTCATGTCAGAATAGTGGAAATTTCCTGTAAGTTTGCTCTAACAGCTGAAAGATACGAATACTAAAAGCTTATTCTAAAACCCACAGCTGATCCTTACATTTTGAGTAAAAGGGATAAAAGCTGTGACTGTGGGGTGAGCAGCCACCTTGCCACTGACACACACACACACACATAAAGAGAAAGATGGATAAAAGCAGAATTCCCCTCAACATGTCCAATCCAACCATCTCATTCTCTCCAGATATAAATATTTCAGCACTGCACACTCTCAAAGTGCACTAATCTCCACTTCTGTGAGTTTGAATAATGAATGCAATAAAAACTCACACTGCTACTCTTAACGCTGCCTCAAACTGCCCCCGGACCGATTTGAATGGGAAAGGCCAACCCCTGTAAAGACTGGATGATTGGAGGAGACGATTTGTGAGAGGTAAAAAGAGGAATGAAAGTAAGAAAAAAAATAACAACTGTTCAGGAGGAGACCAAATAAAAGAGGGTAACAAGAAGCCTGGGGAACACTCTCATATCCAGGGATTGATTCCTGATATGCCCTGTAGACACGGGGAGAAAAATGATCCTTCCAGGGGCAGTTGTCTCTGTCGTCCTAATGAAATTTAATGAACGTTGTGTTCCAGACATAAGGAGACAGTTTGTTTTTCCACCTTGGGCAGAGGACAGGTGTAATTTTTTAATTATCTTTATAGAGTTGGCTGCCACATATATGCATACAGCTGATAAACCGCTGTGACTCTAAGTGGAAAGTTTAATAGATCTCCTTTAAATACTGCAGCAGCTTCTGGATGTCTGTGTAAGAGCAGGACAGGATGACTTTCAGGCATGAGCAGCCACCTCTTCACCCCATTACTTTTGCACCTCCTCTGGTAGTCCTCCTAATGTGAAATAGTGAGTTTGGGACCCAATGGATTTTATATGACAGGGAGGATGCTGTGACACCAGATATTTTCAGATAACACACATTACCCTGTCAGATGAAGACATCACGAATTAGTAGAATAGCAATTAACAAAAAGACAAATGACTTAAAGGGATATTTTGGCGTAAAATTAATTTAGGGTCAAACACATCACACCGAGTTAGACACCCGTCGAAAGATGAATGTTGCCGACCGCTTGCTTCTCTTGTTATACAGACTTTAGTAACGACCGCAGGATAGCTATACAGAGAGCCACGTGATCAACCAAAAAGCCACTCGATAACCACAAATAATGCTCAGAACAGCACCTAACTTTTTTCTTCATCTTTTTGTGGGAAGGATTAGAAACTAAATATAAAAACTGATGTGATTTCCCAAGATGGTAGTTCTCTGTTAACATTACCTAAAGCTAAAACCAAGACATATGGTGAGGCATCTTCTTATTACCACGGCCTCTGTCTATGGAACAGCCTACCTGAAGACCTGAGGACTGCACCTAATCTTAATGATTTTAAAAGCAAACTAAAAACATACATTTTCAGTCTTGTTTTCAACAGAATTTTATATCATTAACTTCATTGAAGTGTTTTAGCCTTTATCTCTTTTAGTTTCAATGACAGGATCGTCTTTTTTTGAGCTATTTTGGTGCCCTTATTTTAGTATCTTTTACCGTTGCTTTTATTTCATTTTATTCATTATTTCTTAAATTTTATTTTATGTTACTTTGTTTTTAGATTTTAACCTAAACCTCCAGTGTTTCCCTATCTTGAGTTTTAAAATGAAGTTTCCTCAGTGCGCACATTCCTGTTTCCATGAAATCAAGCTCTTTTTAAATTCATGCATTTTAATACTGTTTCTGTTGCATTTAGATCGTGGGGTGGGAATGAGGGGTTGGGCTGGGGTAGATTTGGGTATTCTTTGTTTCTTTTTTCTGTGTGAAGCATTTTGTGCTACATGGTTGTATATGAAAAGTGCTATATAAATAAAGACTGATTGATTAAATAAAAGCGGTCTGAATTTTGGACCTCTATTCGCCTAGTTTGCAACCAAATACCCTAGTTTTGATCAAACCCTGGTTAGTGCTCACTTGAAACACTGAACCTGTAGATTTTCTTGTCAAAGCAGTAAAATATGAAACAAAATTAGATTTCTGACTGTTGTCTCCATTCAAAACTTGGTCTCCTTGCGCGGCAGCCCACAGACATCTGCCAAAAAGAGGACCTTGACCAGCATAGAGTCCCCCCTCTTCTCCTTCTCCTCCCCCTCCTCTTCTTCTACCGTCTGGTCTCTCCAGCACCTACAGCCAATCTGAGCCTGTGACTAAAGCGCCATCTCTCCGGCTGCACACTTCAGGCTGCGTTTACTCGCTGGCTCTGCAGGGCGCTAAAAGCAACCTCTGCATTTAAAGCAGTTTTTTCTCCCTCTCTCTCTCTCCCCCTCTTTCTCTCTCTCTCTCTCCCTCTTTCTCTCTCACTCTCGCTCTCTCTCTCTCTCTCGTTGGATGTCGCTGTGCAGGAATCAGCAAAATACACGGAAAACAAACTACCGTGTGCGTTAAATTTACAGTAGATGAATTCTTCTGGATATCAGACACTTTGAAGCCCGTTCGCCAAGCATGAGATGCAGAAAGAGAGTACGAGAGGAAGGGAGAAGATAAACAAAAAAACAGATAAAAGAAAAGAAAACGGAAGCGTACAGGAGCGAAAATATAAGCCCCGCATCGATTTCCGGAGCTCCTCTACAACAAACACCTGACCTCGACCTCCATGGACGGTGGAAAAAAACCGGTTTGTTGAAATGGAGATACCGAGATTTTCTCTCATCATTCCGTCTCCTCCTCCAGCACGCGCGCTGCCGAGGCTGATGATGATGATGATGATGTTTGCGTAGGAGTATTGTATTTTGCGGACGGCATTAGTACACCAGTCTCTTTACTGTTCAAACAACTCCAGACAAGCGGTGGATGGACCTGCCTGCTCCAAGCACAATCCTCAAGAGAAATATTTTTACTCATTATTGAAGCTTGGCTCGTGTTTTTTCTTTTTCCCCTCTCTTTGGAGTGTTTTCCACATGTCTTTCTGTGAGTCTGGGATGTTTTGCACGCGTATGAAACGGGCTGCGTCCGGAAAAGTAGTGTAAAAGCAAACACTCAGAGAATAAAAGTGAGCGTTTTTTGCATTTGCTGTTTTTGAAGGTGAAGTGGTTTAGGCTCCATCTCTCTTTTTTGGAGCTTTCACTTTCTGCCAACACCGTTTTTTAAATTAAATTTATAAGTACTTCCGTTATTCAGTGACTGAGGTTAAAATTGCAACCTGCAGAGGTCGAGACCCTAGCCCCAAGGAGCCACCGCAACCCTAGATGTGACCCTGTGAATTTCTCTTATCTCTGAAGGTAAGACTCTTTTTACTCTTTACTGCAAAAGCTTCTGTGTCCACTGACTTCCAATGGGATGCATCCCAAAGTGGGTTTTTCTTTTCAGCACCATGGACAGAGTCAGACTTTTCTTACAGCATTAGATAAATCTTGTTTTTCTTCTCCTTATTTCACCCAGAACATTCATAATTCATCAAAGCCCACATTGGCAACATACAGCACAAAGTACCTTACATCTCCCAGTTTCTGACAGCTGTAATTAAACTATGGGAGAGTTGTGGATACACAAGCATCCAGAGAGATGGATAAGAAAGAGGCTGAAAACCAGGGAGAGGTTTATAGTGTTTTGTATGACAGACCTGCTGGCTGGCTGCTTTGCCACATGCTAACAAAAAACAGCATGGCTTGTGAGCCCAAGCTACTGTCACCAACTGTTAGCCATGGTTACATCCAAACTGTTTTATTCCCCAAGATATTTTTAAGAAGGGTGGAAATGCATTAGGGCTGCGCAGAGTGGAAGCATTACAATTGAGTGTGGTTAAAACGAAAGGGAAATAATTGAAAAAGGAACCCACAGGGGTGAAACTCACCACCTACTGGGTGCTTTGAAAACATGGAAGTGGATAAAGTAAGAAGTAACCAGCTCGAATGTGAGCCCATGACTGTGTTGGAGGATTTTATGTTTCACTTTCTTCATTATTTATGATGATAGAAAGTACATCCACTCTTTAAAAGTTCGTCCAAAAAAGTATCTTCTAATTCCAAATTCTCATGTCTCCAAATCTCTGCAGTGGTTTGGTCTCTTTTTTTATGCCAAATTTTTGATTGCAGACATGAAATTGAAGTAAAAGTTTTGCGTCTATGTGGTTTTTGATTAATGCTGTTGTACCGAAGAGTATGAAACAAAGTTTTACTTCAGTCAATTTGACAGTACCCCATATTTACACTTAAAATAAAATAAAATGTTTAGATCATACTGTATTACGTAATCCAACCCACTTAACGAACCAACAGCCAATTACTTTTCCACGTTTGCAGTAAAGAACAACTACCCAACAGGCAGAAGCCTCATATAGCATGTATAGCATGTATATAACAGACATTAATATTCAGACTAGCCAGCTAATATGAAGGTGAGCAAACGCCCCAAAACAGGTCCTCCCAACAGATGGCCGTCAACATTCCTGTGCTGGTTACAACGAGTGATTATGTACCAGTTCAACCAGACACATTCTAGATACAACTTTATTTCAATTTTCTTGATCAAAAACCACTCTACGCTACAAGATGCTATTTGTTATCTGTCCTTGTTTACGTAAGGATAGTAGAGAATTACTAGCTATAGAGCTACAGCCCCAGCTAGTGGCTGGTGACGGCCACAGCTTAGACCTGGTTTATGACCAGCATTTCAAGCTTGCATTTACTACATAAAATAAGAATATACTTTTTCTTTACTTGTTTAATCCACCTGTAATTCTAGTGCCCACAGGTGAGGGTAAAAATAGTTTGTTTAATTGACTGAATGTGCAAATACATTCACTGACTGTTTGAAAATGTTTTGCCATCGTCCACCATGTTCGTTTAAACACAGAAAAGTCTGGTTACATGTGGTTATATGTGGCTTGGAGAGTTACAAAAATGCCCAGGAGGCTTGTGTCGGCACTAAACCTTTACTAAAATGCCTAATGCTGGTTTTTCCCTTTAATAAGGAAAGATGGTGTGAGATTGTCCATGTAGATTCTCAATCATCTAGGTCATAGTTTTCTTGAAGACTCCAGACTTCTTATGATTTCAAGAAAATGGCTTGAGATTGCTAACTAACTCAGAGTCATACCCTGGAGTTCTGTGCTGGGCATGCTTGTTCAGTGAGCTACAGTTAACGCTCATGCTCATGCTGCCTTGTTGCACCATGGTAACTGGTGATGCAGACTCCATATTACATCAACTATCCACCAGCCAGTTGTGAATTTAAGGTAGCATATGAAGTAGCAACTGGCATTCAATGCACACATATATAAATACAGACTGTGAGCCTATAACAATGAGAGACAAGGCGGGGCTTCTGTTCCCATGGTGACTTCCACAGTGACCCTCAGAACAACCTTGGCCCCCAGGGAGATCATTCATACTCCTGCTTGCACACACACACACACACACACCCTAAGAGCGTGACTATGAGTGACTGTGTGTTTCTTGCCTTCTTGCTGCTTCTGCAGGAGAGAGAAAGAAAGAGAGAGAGAGAGAAACGAGGAGGAGAGCGAGGGAGTTGAAGGACAGGCAGATGAGTGGGATGGAGATGGAGAAGCAAATTTCAAAGACAGATGGGTGATGGAAAAAGATAAAGAAGGAAGGTGTGGAGAGAAGAACACATTTAAAATAGGGAGAGTGAAGGAGAGGGAGAGAGGGAGGAAGGGAATGGGGTGGCGGAGGTTTAAACACTGGCAGAAGAGTCAAGAGTGAATGCAATTACAGAGGCAGCACTTTTGGGCTTTTTTTTTCCTGGGCATTTAAAGTGTACTCACATTTCAGTTTAATTACCTTTAAAATGCTCTGTTGGGAGGGAGGATCATGATAGAGCCACTGTGGTAGAGATAAAGAGGAGAAGTGGAGGGATGGAGACCGGAGGGGGAGGGGGATATTGCTGCTCAATGATCATGTTAAACAGTCACCACCCGTTCCCCTTCCTCCACCATCACCACCCCCCTCAGCATGCTGATCTCTCTGTGCTCTCTCCTCTTGCAGCTACACCCCTGACATGCTCACACATCACGCTCGCGCGCACAGATGGGTCCCCGTGCAGACACCAGTGCCGTCTGCACACACAGGGACACACGAGCGCGCACGCACATGAGCCGCTGGTCAGCTGCCCTCATCCCAATGAGTGATTGTAAAAATCTGCAGCTCATTCTGAAGAGTAGAGAAGAGGTGAGGGAGGGAGAAACAGGAAGAGGGTGAGGAGACACAGCAGCAGAGGAACAGCTGTTGAGCGGCCTCCTCTTGTTCTGTCTTTTCCACAGTGGATTCACTGTCAATAAGCTTTTACATTTTAATCATTAAAACAGCTTTAAAAAAATGTTAATTAGGAAACAGTGCATCATCTCATCTAAGACATGGTCTCCTCTTTTTTAGGGCCCTAACTGTAAATAGTCTTACTCAGCATTTAATAGCTGGACATCACAACATCATTAGACATGTCAGAATTAGGCCAGGGAAAATTAGCCTTCAGGGATCATAGAGGCTGTAAACAAGCTCCTGTTTTTCCAGTTATTTAAAACGAACCACTTTGTAATGATAGAGGTGAACACACCCAACAGAACTCTGTTTGCAGTCATCAATTTGGAGTTGATTTTGGCGGCCCCAAAGTCATATTATCTCTGTACTGATCCTTGTTAGTAAACACAACTATTCTTTGAGTCTTTAGGAATTTGTGTGAAACATTGCTGGGAAAATATGTATGCGGATCTCCAAGGATTCATGCTGTAAACCACCGATACAACAAATAATGTCATGGCAGTACTCAGTCTTCCTCCTCGTTGTCTGGTTTGCATTTGTAGTTTACGAAATCAGCTTTCACGTACGGACCACTGAAAATGTTAATGAAAACCACATACCTCTCCAAGTAGCTTTTTCACACATGTTCCTCACAGTGTGAAGCCTCCTCCATCAGACAAGGAGAGTGGTGTAGGAGTGGAAGTATGACCATTGACTATAGAATAAGTGGACATACAACTGTGATGTAGCTGCTTTGTTTCTGAAGCCGTGTTTTAAAGCATATCAGCAGCTGTTGCCATATTGGAAATACCGACTCAACCTAATGATTTGATCCAGATTTCTTGACCACTCCATTCTACTTTTCCTATCAAGCTCTGCTGCCGCTCTGGTTCCACATCTCAGTATCATCAGGTTTATTAAAATGAATCAGGGTTAAAATTTGTACCTCGTCTTAAAAATGGAAGGGGGAACATTTCCTTAAAGCTTTGAACAGCTGGTCTGTCTGTCTGCATGGCCTGCAGCATACTGCATATATTATACACCATTTGTAAAGTCAGGCGGCACACTCCTCAGCGTGGCTTTTACATTCTCATCACGTGAGTGTAACTTGCAACACATACAGTAATGTTCAAAAGAGCCAGGGGGGATTTCTCGCTGCAAACCTCATGCTCTGGTGCCTGCACGAACATTATGGGAGTTTAGATATATCATGATAAATTAGAGACCAAATGTGATACAAGCACTGACATTAGGAAATATGTTAAAACATGATTTTGGAACACGCAAGCTCAAGAAGGTCATGGTTTACTACAAGTGTTGATCACAACATAAGTGCAGCTAAAAATGGAGCCTTACAATAGTAAAAAATGTTCTATTCCCTGATATTTTAGCTCCTCTGCATCACCACCACCTTCGTAAATATCATGCAGTATTTGAGCTGAAAAAAAAGTTGGTTCAAGTACAATAAAGCCAGAACTTTTGAGCGTAAACCACCCACTCGAGGAACAGAAAAGGCGACGGTAAAATGTCAGTCTGTAATAGCCCCGTTGCCATAGTAACTGAAGGCCGGTTTGTACTTTTACACATGCTGTCTCTTGAGCACTGACCATTAACGCTAACAGCTAAGCTATCATCAGCACTGAGCTTTAAAACACATTTCCCTCAATCACCTTTACATTAAACTAAGGACTCCCATCCATCCTCTCAAGCTCTTAAAGGTGCCCTCTGCTGACTTTTCATTATCCTCTCTGCGGCTTTTTTTTTTTTTTATTCCTGCTCCCTCCTACTTACCAATCTTCTTCATGATCTGTCACTTTACATCCCAGTCTTTTCTTCCACCCTGTACATCTCTCCTCTGTTTCTCAAGGTTAAATCATGCTAGTCTACCACTGATTTTGTATGGACTCATAGACCTTTTGATATGCAGAGAGGACAGTTAGAGCTCTTGTTTGTGTTGATTCTGGCTCCCCCCCGGCACATGGGCCAATGAAAGATTTGTCCTGCTGTTTTTACACCAGATACACAACCAGTACCGTAACTCTTCGGGACTCTTTGCTGAGGAAAATGTAAAAAATAAAAAAATAAAAAAGCTAACTTAGCAGAAGTATTAATTTGTCTCAGTCTTAGGGCCTGCTCTACTGAAGGTTTGCGTGTGCAAAAACTTGATAGCGCACTAACCACTGAGGTGCACTGAGGATTGGGTCTATCAAATGAGCAATCCATGTAGCGTGTTTGCCTTTATGGATATGCAGATTGTATGTAGATCATCGGACTGTGCAAAATTCTGGGAGGATCAGATGCAAATGGAATCATTTAGCGCTCGCAATGTGATTTATCAAACCCGGAAACCGATTGCAGTCGCTGTTTTGCGTCTATATTTAGTAAGTTTGAAAGGCACGTGCAAACTGGCACAGCGTTACGCACAAATGGCTGCAGTCTTTGCGGGGAAGGAGGCAAAAGTGCAAAAGCGTTTTTCTAGTAAATGACGGTTTTGATAAATAATTAGGTCAAACACGGAACAGTCGCTAAAATTTATCTCTTTGTCATATTGATTTTAAATTGTTTGTATCCCTTTTTAATTTTTTAAATATATTTTCTTGCATCTGTAAAGCACTTTGAATTGCCTTGTGTATAAATGGTGCTATACAAGTAAACTTCCCTTGCCCTTTATGCAGTTGCTGGCTTCCCCAAAATGATAGGTGCAACTCCATGGCTTCAAATTTCATTTTTTGGCTACAACCAATTCGCTCTTACAAACTCTCCATGGTGACAGCTGATAGCGCAGGCAAAATCCTAGTTTAAAGAGAGGCACTTTTGGGCCTGTTATCAACTGTGCACGCAATGATAGTAGATAACCTGCAACAAGCTCACAAATAGCACGTGCAATTTTTTAGTTTGCACGCGCAAGTTAGCGTTTGCTATTTGGGATCTTAGTAGATCAGGTACTAAGTCTTTAGACAAAAGTCCCTGTTAGTTTTTGTAACATTTTTTAGTCTTTTTTGCCCCCTACAGTTTCAGTCTAGTTTGGTGTAGTAAACATCATAACATTTTTGATCAAGAAATTTCCATCGAGGCTGATTCACGTGTAATTTCAATCTCTTTATACTTTCAAACATTAAATGCCTTAATTTCTTTCCTTGGTTGGATAGTTCAGCTGAAACTCTCCCACAATACATTGTCACTGTGCTGTGCCTGCTCATCTATGAGTGTAAAAAAAAAAGGTGATTTCATGAAATATTTACATCGGCCACTATGGATATGCTTATTTTCCAACACTTTAAGTAGGCTGTCAGTTCACCAAGCCTTCAGCTGCAGCATCATCATGATTTATAAAACATCTCTCTTAGAATTTTCTCCATCATGTTGCAAAATTAGAAAAAACAAGGCTTCACATGGGATTTTAAAGTTTGCAGAGGCAAGAAGAACGCCTATAATTTTAGACCGACACAACCCAAGTATAGCTGTTGAGGCTGTGCTCGACAGGCATAGGGAAAATAATGAATAATAGAAATGAGAAAGACGCACAGATGCAGTTACAATTTGTACCCCAGGCACACTTGTTGCAGATAAGTGACAAATCTAACTCTACACCTTCAACTAAATCAGCCAGTTACAGGAAAGCACTGCTCAAATCTTGACGGACAGATTGGACTCTGTGGGAGAAATATGGATTTTGAAAGTCAGGGAGCCCAGCACTTAAATTTAAATCTCATCTCATGAATGGAAACTAAACCAACATCTGTAAGAGTTATTATGATCAGTGATGTATTTACTGATCCCAGTCTCAATGAGGTTGGGTCGTTGTGTAAAACATGAATAAAAAACTGAATTCAATGCATTTGTGAATCATTTTTGACCTATACTCAACTAAAAATACTACAGAGACAAGATATATATTATTATTATTTTTTGCAAATATTCACTTATATTTCTGAATTTGATGCCAGCAACGACATAAAGCAAAGTTATAAAATTAACAAAAAAAGTGCAAAGTTGCATGCTTTTAACAGCTACCTAGACATGGATTGTACCAGTTTGCTCATGACAGGAAAAAAATGATGGTTCTTTTACAGCAACAGGCGGCCCATGCTGCATGAAAATCAACATTCAGTTTAGTGGTTTGAAGAAACACGTGTTTTTCAAGTTTGAGTGGGTAGCTCAGAAGGGAGATGAGGCCAAAAGAGAGTTAAGTTTGACATTTATGGTTTTACAGACATGTGGGTGCAAGGAACACAACTCCAAGAAGTGGTATTTTTCTGATCGCATTTTTGTGCCTCTCTGGGCACCGTATTTGGAGAGAAAAGGCAAGACTGTGTTGCAGGCAGTGACCTCCCCAATGCTCTCATAACATTAGTTTTGCCACGGACCAGGCAGATTTACATGGACTTACCTGTAAAAACCACTTTAAATCTGGTTTCAGTGGAACAATTCTGTGAGCTTAGAGTTACAGTGAAACAGAGCAAGTCAGCAAGCTCTGGATCTGGTCCTGGTTTGTGAAGCAGAAAAAGTGCTCAAGTGCTTCCCCAGACTGTTAAGTGATCAAGCGAGTCCCCTAATCTGCACGCATCTTCCCCTTTAAGTGCGTTTTACCACATGCCACAGCTGTGTGATGATTTTATCAGCCAGTAATGTCTGTTCTTTGACTCTTCTGAGTTGTGTAACTTTGTAAACACCAAATACACTTTTGAATATGCAAATCAATCATTCTGCAATCTGCGCGTTGAAGCTGCTGTCTTTGCTTGTGGGTGGCTCTGCAGTTCAAAACCGTGTTCACAAATCTGAGAGGCATGCTTGTGCTCCCTTAAGACTGAGAACAGACAAAGGAGGCAAAAGTTAATGAAAAGAGCGCCTAAACAGAGAGACAGAACGGCTACAGGGGAAGATACAGCAAGGGAGCAGGTGGAGGAAAGCCAAAAGGAGGCGAAGATGACAAAAAAAAGTGAATGACATGACTGGCAGTGTGCCGAGAATTTTGATGTGGTTATAAAAAGATGAAGGAGAGCAGTAGAGCAGAGCAGGTGCACAGCTGGCTTCACAGAAAGCTTTTAGGGAAGAAAAGCAAAGACAAAAAGACTCTAAAACACAAGCAGCTGCGAGCTAATTTAGCCTACAGTTCACCACAAACACCTCCTTTTTCATACGAATGAACACATAAAAACATTTGACGTTGGCTGCGGACAAACACTCTGAGCTAATTCAGCTGCAAACAACCCTCTGTTTAGCAGGATGTTAGCATTAACAGCAGCAGCAGTCGGGGTTATGTTGCGGTGAGCGCTGAGCTAACCAGGTTATGCTGCTGTAATATGACTTGACCTTCACAACACCACCTCTTGTTTCACTACATTTATCCTGGCATCTGGCCAAAGCGTGTGTGTGTTTTTGCGTGTGTGCCTGGCGAAAGCGCAAGTTCGTATCCCCTCAGGTATCGTACGGGGCTTTTAAACGCACACATTTAGATTAAAGATCACATGAAATATCCATTATCCAGAATGAGGACATTACGGCTGATCAGGTTATGTGTCCTTGACTTAGACTCTCACTCAGTCTGCAAACACAACCTAACTCTGCAACCTTATCTCCTCCAACACATCTTTTTATTCCTTAATTGAAAGAGTAACCAAAGGGGACGGTTTTGCAACATGAAAAGACTTTCTGTGTGGGCTCTAAATGAACTCTTGAAATATCCATCAAGGACTGCAGATAATTCAGAGTGTTAATTAAAAATTATAAGGTACAGGTTTCCTTTCAGTCCACTAATGCTACATTTCTTGTCTCGGCAAATGTAGGTGTATTTTTTCCTATTTGCAGTGAAAGTGTGTTTGACAGCTCACAGACAGTAACACACAGGGGGTGGAGGGGGGTGGCCATGCATGAGAACTGTAAACAGCAGGCGGTTGGTGCGCATAATAGCAAACAAGATAGAGTATGAAAGCCAACATTACCTGTGAGCTGTGAGGAGACTTCCTGCAGATACAGGCTATTTTTCTTTTTCTTTTTTTTTTTTGGATTGAACAAAATGGTGTTGAATCTGGTTTTGAATGTTAGGGAGGCTGTGACGTTTGCAGACAAACAAAAAAATGCATTAGAAGTATTTCAATGCCTTTATGTGTGTGGACTTAGTCTGAAACAGAGATAACTACTGCATATCCAAATCAAGTATTTGAAGTGAATCTGCAGCATTAACAACCCTTCCCTTATACAAATGTTAAATGTTTATACCAAAACTCAGAAAGGTGCAAAACCATGCTATCAGGGCTGATATCAGTTTTTGCAATGGCTGATGCCGATACTGACCGCGGGTTGGCTGATATACAATAGTGATATAACACATCTGTTGTTGCTGTAGTTTGCATTTGAAAAATGTACTTTCATTTCAGGTCCAAATGAATATACTACTGAATCTTGAGAAAATATTCTGTACTTTACTTTGTGGGAAAAAAAGCAACTTTTTAAGTGGGTGTTCTACACATGTGCTCCTCCTAAGCTTCTCTGCTTGTACTTCGGTTGATTCCTCAGTAAGGTACTGACAGACATCTCCTGTGTGTAAAACACTTACTATTGATTTGTACCTCATATGACCCCTCTTTAAGAAATTGAACTGTCCTTGTAAAATGTCATGTTTTGCAGCAGGATAAACATGATTTTAGCCGAGTACAAAAAACAGCTGCGGTTTTTATACCTCATTGGTAGTCAAAACTGTATAAGGATACATTTTTTCATGGTAGTTTCTAATGTTTAAAAGCTACGAGTTATGCATAATTAGGCATAAGTAGGGGCTGATTTGACTGATGGTTCAGTTGGAGTGATTGTGGCCTTTAGATATTAATAAGTGACATTTTCTTTTTTTTTTAAACCTTTATTAAACCAAATTAGTCCCATTAAGATCAGGATCTCATTTACAAGGGCGGCCTGGCAAGAGCTCAGCAGCACATAATAAACACAAATTCAAGAAGGATTAAATCAATAAATTACAACCATTAAAATATATTTAAAAATCCAACAGTATTAAAATGAAAGTGCAACAGTCTTGAGGATAGAAAGTATTTAAATAGGAGTCTTGCTACCTGCAGCTGTATCCTGTCGGGCTCTGAAGTAGTTTAGCTGGTAGAGCAGGTGCTCCGTGTACAGGTTGTGTATCTCAGGTTGTCCTTTCAAATAAAAGAAAAATACCCAAGATTTAATCTTAAAGAGGTTTTACAGAGTCTATGAATAATACAGGATATGATCCCTATTTAATCTCATTTTTATGAGCTTTCTTGCAGTGTGCACAGATATGTACTCACAGTGCACATTAGACACATTATTGGCAGCTTTAGCTGATGGCATATGCAGAAACACATTTAGCCAAAAATGATGCTATATAATGACGCTCACCAGTGCCCGGCTGAAACATGTCTGTGTGGGGGTGTAAATCAGTGAATGCTAACATGCAGTTTCCGGCGCTCCAGGCAGTTGAGAAACTTTGAATACTCTGTGTGCTGTGAGAGTAGTACATCACCATTTAAATCCATGTGAACTACTGTTGCTGAGGGGGGAAAAGCCAAGTAAGAAAAAAGTCTAAAACTGGAAGGATCTCATTGTTAAGTGTCAAGGAGCAAATGTAATTTAATGGTGTCTTATCAAATTCAGAGCGAGGAAAAGAAATTCAATTTATTTGAGGTCAGTGTATTACCCTGAACAGAGCATGTAGCCAGAGGGAAGGCTTATATATGTGTGCGCATGTGTGTGCCTGCATGTTTGGCAGCAATATATTAATCTGTCATTGGGCCAGAGTCAGCATGGTGTTATCTGCTTGCATGGCTAACATGGTTGGTGGTTTTTCCCACCAGGAAGTCCTCGTGGAGCTTAGTGTGTCATAACAAACCACTTTCTCTGTCAGTGCGATTTCTCGGGCCCGGACTTGACTGACATTGAACTCATAAACCAGGAGTGAGCCAGTGGCAGCAGGCAGTAGCTACTACTTTACAGCTATTACCCAGTGTGGAGCTAAAATCAAATAACGTAGACACACCTGCGGTACATGCACAGTAGTCACGCAGAGATTTCACCCTGCTAAGGGTAAACATGCTGAGATTTGGTTTGTTTCTTGCTTCCATTATTGTTCTTTTTATTATCCAATATAACAAAACAAACTGAGCAGACAGTTTGCATTAATATCTCTTTCTCAGCAGACTGATATTCTGTCGGAAGCAGCAGTTTACTTTCACAGGGCCCTTGCCGGCGTCAAGTAATGGCTCAGCTTTTGTCTGTTGTACTTATGCAGCACTGAGCAGAAACAGAGCAGTTTGTTGTTAGAGGAAAGTTGCCTGAGATTTGTGGCGTGTGTGTGAAATAAAGACTAAATGTGTGTGTTAAAAAGAGATCTAGTCAGCAATGTGAGTTAAAAATGTCAGAGTATAAAGCCGACATATGAACACAAGCTACAAGCTAACTTCAACCTTACTGCCCTACCTGTACAATGGACATGAAAATACCTTACACCACAACAAACTTTGAGCTAAAATGGGAACTTGTTGATGTAAGTACCCATGGATTTTCACTTTTTAGTTAATAGTTTCTGGTTTTGTTGTGATACGAAGTTACTGTTACCCTTTGTAATATAAATGGAAATACCTTAGGTCGTGTTCACACCTACAGGTCTGTTTCCTGATTCGAATCCAAGGCAAGACGATACATCTTCAGAAAACTGGACCGAAAGTCACATGAACGCAAATATCGTTTGGTTATTAGTCATTAGTTTATGCGAGGATACAAACCCCGCTCTGCTGTCTTCGCCTGTCATGGAGCATCGTAGGCTGATTTTGCTTTTGCTACTCATCTGGAGCGCGCATCAATTGACGCTAGTCGATCGCGCATATGAACTGCTCGTTAGCCAGCGAGCAGGAACTGCGGCATTAATTAATACATTCCGGAGTAGACGTGGTGTAAACAACAGACGGATAAAGACGAGATGGCAACAGGCATTAATGAGAGCCTATCATGATATGTGTGCGGTGCGTTTCCTGTGATTGGTGTGGATGACGTTCACACCAGAAATGAACCGCTCCAGAGTTCACTTGATAGCGGTCCGAGACCACCTCTTCAGGCGGACCAGAGTTCGAGGTCAGCGTTCACACCGACCCAAACAAACAGCACCAAGGGGGTAAACGCTCCAGGGTTCGGTCTAAACAAGGTGGTGTGAATGCGCCTTTAGACTACAAGTATTCTGCTAGCACTACTGTAAAAGATGAGTTCACCACCTCGACTGAACTTAGTTTCTTTGTTAAAGTTTGTTATTCTGGTCTGAGATAGACTCCACTCACTTGTGTTAAATTGCAGCTTCAGAGTTATGGAGCTTCACAATTCAAAAGCTGTAAAAAAAAGGTTAAATGTTTTGTTTTTAAGCAGCAAACTCTGACTTTCAGTAAAATTTAAATTTAAGAAGCAGACATAGTGAAACAGACGGTACTGTGATTTCACTGTAATGGTGCTGTGTTGGTCCATCTTGAAAATCAAAGTGCAAAAATCTGCACTCAGCTTTGTCTCACCGACAGTATGACCCGTGCATTTATACAGAAACTTGTGGATATATAAACCTGTTTTTATTCAATATGATGTTAATATTGCTACCTTACTATGTGCATCTAATGGACTTTGATGCTCCAAGCTGACTCTCATAAATCCTGTGGCACCGAGCCAGCGCTGAGGCTCTGTGGCCGACCACTGGCTGTAGTTTTTGTGCCCTGACTGATGCCAGCAGTGTTGGCATCAGTCAGGGCTCATGAGAGGCTCACTGAGCCTGTTGAATCAGCAGCAGAGTCAGACGCTGAGATACTGTACACATTGCAAAGACATTGTTGAGGTAAAACGTCTCTGACTCTCACACCTGTTGCAGCCACGGACACCAAATGTATCGAGATTTCTGGTAAATATTGCTTCCATAAGAGTGTACCCTGTAAAATACAATAATGATTTAAAAGGATAAAATCTGCGAAATTTCAAAACAGCTTTGGCACTTACCCTATCGAAACCTTTTAGACACCCTGTTTTTTTCTTATATTTCCATGACAACAGCATAGTGCTCGAAGAGCATCTTTATACCACTTGAATCACTGAGATTCAAGGCGAAGGACTGCTCTTCGATCCATCAACTGTGAAGTTCAAAGGACTGTAATGTCTGCCGGCCAACTTCAGCTCCTGCTGCTGCAAAGATTATAGCCTGTCACACACAGGCTAGTGGTATTATTTGCACAGTGGAGGGCAGAGCATAGTGTGGCAGAGGGGAGGAGCAGGAAGTGCAGTGGCAGACTGACACAGTGTGATTAAGTGCAATTATTTTGACATGATTTGAAAGTGAAAGCTCATTTTTGGTAGCTGTTCAGGGAAAACTGTGTGCTGATAGACTGACAAGTGGTTTCAATAATTTTTGGCAGATTTTATCTACAGTTTAAAATTAACTTATTTAGAAAAACAGGCGTTACTGTCATTGTTTATTCATAGATCAAGAGGAGATCCTTAAAGAAATAGTTAGATAAATGACATTTTAGTGCTCCTGAATGCAGGTGACGGTTACTGCAGCTGCCATATAATTTATGTAAGCTGGAGAACATTCATCATAAAAGAGATTAATGCTACACAGTCAAAGGAAACTACCACTTTGGAAGAACTGCTGTGGTTAACAAAGAGGATCAAATTACATTTAGATATCCCCCAAATGTGTCTCATTGTCCGAACCATTACAGAGCAAAATGGCTCTTTGAATGCTGTGAACAAATTTAAAACAAATTTGATTAAAGTGCAAACGTCTGCACAACCTGCTGTTGCAAAAGCTGTTTTAGGAAGTTTTATTGCAGTTTGTTTTAGTTTTAAGCCTCAAACAAGGTAGACAATGCACGTCCTCCCTCTCTTTCTCTATCTCCCCAAATTCCACTCTGTCCTATCATTAAAAGGCAAAAATCGCCTAAAAAAATAACAATAAAAAAAAAAAACAAAAGGCAGAAAAAAAGGAGGGGAAATAGTCAACTGGCTTGGTCTTTTAAAACCTTTTAATCTTTAACAATTTGTCACAGAAAAGGTTTTTTAGTAGAAACGGATGAGTTGGGGCTGAGGTGGTCTGGACAGTCAAAAACTGCAGGGGTTGAAATATTGAGTTGGGGCAGGTTTCTCAGGGATTTTTTAGGTTTAGGAGTGAGGGGGTCAGGCAGGCTTATACATATGCAAAGGTAATTGCAAGTGAATCTGCTCTGTTGCCACCACTGCATGCAAAACGCATCTAAAGTTACAGCAGTGCTTCCTACATCAGCATGCAATCTGAACTGAATGACTAAGCAAGGTCATGCAGATGGATGAGGGACATTTAGCGAGCTGTATAATTAAATGAAGGGACCCCCCGGTCACCATTATGTGTTTTTCTGTCTTTTTGCTGAGATAGGCACACTTGCCAGGAGACTTTTTTATTAAACATCATTCATGGGAGGCATTAATTACAGAAATGTTGCCCTCTTAGTGCAAGAACATGAGAGATAAAATCTATTCATGGTTTCCAGTTATCTCTGCACTCCAAAACTGAAATCTGTCTTGTCTTCATCCACAGCTCTAAATCTCCCTCATATCTCTCTCTCTTTCTCTGACAGCCTTTGGGATTTCCTGGGAAAGGTCAGACTTGGGGTTAGCTAAGCTGCTAAATATGTTCCAGTAGATGGATGAGGATAGAGAGGCTTACCTGAGGCTACCTCTGTGTTGTCATTTTTTTCTGAGAGACAGTGGCAGGGACACAAAGAAACGGTGGGAAAACAAATTTCGGTGTGCATGGTGAAATTTGATGCTGCAGTCAGGGTCGGAGCAGTTTGACAGGTTAATATTATGATAAGGCTTAAGGAGGAATTTGTGAGCTGATTTCAGCGTGTGTACCTAAGACTAGCTGCACTGAAGAGGAGGGTCTGTGACGGTTTTGTGGGTCTACGTTGCTGCATGCATGCGAGGCTTAATGCAGATTAAAAACCACGAAAATAAACACTAAGTCAAAGCAATGATACACCATCGGATCACAGCTAAAGCTCACTTTCTAATTCATCTTCTGCATCATGTAAATGTTTAGTGAAGTCATTTCCTCCTTCCTTGGGTACATTTACACATGCACATCGGCTTCCATTTCGTTTACATTATAATCTGTGTGAGCACGTTAACATTTCTTGTGTTCTCAGTTGCACATTTGTAACGATAATTTTCCCTCATTGATGAGTGCAGATTGATGATATAATAACGGAGATTACCAGAGGAAATCTGAAAAGAAACAGTTCAAACATCCGTTACTATTATGAACCGATCGATCAGTTGGTTGTCTAGTTGATTGGACAATCAGTTACCATGGCTACCACTTGTCCTATCCTTGATCTCAGAGCTTCAGCGTGATGAACAGGTCACTTAAGATGATGAGTTTCATTATTTTACATTTACAGGACATAATGTGTTGTGTAGTTTGATAAATTGATATGAGTTTAGTATATGTTTACATTTGTATACCATGTGTCATCACTATTGGTGCACAGAGTCTGTCTTCTAAGAGGTAGGGATGCACAAGATATGTAAGGAAAATGCATAATGATTCATTAGGTATGCAAATTAGAATCCGGACAGGGTGAGACTAGACCTGATGTGAAGATTTCACCTAGCAGTGTATTACGAACTGACTCTTGTTGCCGATGCTTTGCAGATATATCCCTAACTGCACTGTGTGATTTGATCTTCACATTTTTACAGTCTGACACTGACATGATCAGAGTTTTACAACAGCAATTTCGTCTTGTCTATGTGTACAAACAGAAGTGGCTTTTGTAAGAGCTGGTAAAGATATGTATGAGCCGTATGCTCACAGAATCTTTGCATTTCTTATCCTCAGCTGTGCAATAACTACACAGCAAAAAAAGCACAAAAGTAAATAAATAAATAAATAATGGGACTATTCCTTTAAAGCTGCAAAGCTGCATTCACAGGAATGTCACAGCAGGACAAGTTGAGCTCTGAAGAAACAATAATGAGATGAACAAATAGGATCACAGTGATGCTTCTTTACTTTCATGATGGTGCATATATTTCGTGTAATACACATCAGTAAGTAATGGTGGATGGGATGAAAAGTGCATAATGTGAATTTAAATTCTTTTTAATTTCCTCTGATTTGATAACACACACTGTGGGAGGGAGCTATTCAGGCTGTCAAACTTTTGGCAAGTTTAATTCTTTGCGATTGCACAGTTCATTAAAAAGTAGACAAAGACAAATTGAGTGGAAAAAGCTGTCATGTAGAGAATCATCAAGCATCCCACTGAGCATTAACTGGACTTGTAATGTTTAAATTCAGTTAAAAAATGTAAATTTGAGTCAAAATGTTCTATCATTTTTCAGCCAACTAAAATTACTACATCAATGTGCAAGAGAGCACATTTCTCTCATAATGTGGAAGACAGAAAGGGTAATGGTGACAGTATTTCTTCAAAGTAATTTCTCAGTGGTAGTTTAAATCCTCTATATGCTAAGAAGTACTTTAAGAGCATTTTATTTTTAATGCAAAATCTTTCATCTAGTGCTTCATGGTTGGTTTAATTTTAACAAGAAACTTCTGACATATTAAAGGGAGCAGTTTGATTTCTTACAGAGGAGGAACTAAGACAGCTAGCTTACAATAGCATCTGCAGCAAATTGACGTACCTTGGTTGTGAGCAGCTGCACAAAAATCACTGTTGTATATGTGTGAATATGGGATCATTCTTGTGAAAGAAACAGATTTCAAGTTAAATCTCAGTTAAACATACTATCAACATACCGCTATCTCCACTTTGCTCACAAAGACATTTTACGTTTTCATGTTTTAAGGAACAAATATCAATCTGCAATGTTAGATGTCTAAACTGAATGCATTAAATGAGGACAAAGTTTCCAATTGTTAGGTATACATGAGTTGGAGTAATTCAAGGATGAGACTGAAGGCAGCTCTGATCAGCTCTGAAACATGAACCACCTGCTCTGTGCTTGTTGTTTCCTTTTAAACTTTCCAGACCACATTCAGAGTTGAAATTGAGTACCTATATTTTGTAATTTTACATTTCAAATAAAGGTTCATTGGTTAACTCAATGACATTGACTTTGTCGCCTGGTAACAGTGTGAGAAGCTTCTGGAGAGTTGGCCTGTCACAAGCAGGTGGGTTCAAAAGGACGGGGGGCTTTAAGTGACAGTAGCTTCAATGAGGTCACTCAGACAGAAGATGAAAAGAGAGTTTTTAAAAACACCAGCTGTAAATAAAGAATTTTCAGCTCTTGTGAGCTCTTGTGGAGGTCTTAAAGGGACAATATTAAGCCTGAAATGATCATATTAGTCTCTCTTTAAACAAGCTTACAGGATCTTATTAAACTGACTGCAACTCGTCTATGTTAACTCAGGTAACAGAGAAGTAAAAACAGGGAATCAGGGTTAAACAATCGTGTGTCTCATTGTTTTGAGACTGGAACACTCAAATAAGAAGTAACAGAATTCTGTTTCATCTCTAACCCGGGATTTCCACCGCATTCGGAATGGCTCCGATCTGGAATGGCAGCGATTTTCGCCGTACACCAGTTCCTACCGGATTTGTTTGTGAGGAGAATTTCGTGGCAGATTACAAACTGCAGGAATCGCAAGAACTCACAAGAACCCGCGGATTCACATGCAATCGCAAGATAACAAGTTGTCTTTAGCCACATAGGCTAACCATATAAGCAGTAGATTGTGTCCTTCCAGAGGAGGAAATATACTTCTAGTTTATTGAATCAGCATCCTCTCATCTATGGTGTCACTGGGATGAAATGCTGTCTACAAACCTTTCACTTGTTTGTCCCGCCTGTTTGCGTGGTGGGAAATTTGATCTGCCTGAAACACGGAGTGTTTTATTTTGAAAAGAAGCCGGATGTTTGTTTTGTGTTTGTCCCCGACTTCCTTTCCAGCACAGGTTAAACTGTGCTGAATTTGTCCGGCATGCTCCAGCGTCCGGACAAAATAGAACTCTTGCGATCAGCTACGATCGTCAGATACGGCCTTTTCATAGCCGTTCCAGATGCGACTTGTTTCACATGCTGTTGTGTCACTGAGTGTAAAAAAACCCAAACGTTGAAGAGGCATCTGTATTCTCATTCAGTTTAGAGCAATAAATCAAAGGATAGCCTCTCAAACTGTGAACATTTCCCCTAAAAGCTGCACAGCTGCATTAAAAGTGTGACACAGCAGGTCAGGGTGAGCTCCAAGAAAGAGTAATGAGGTGAACAAATGGGATCACCGTGGTGCTCTACCATTTACTTGCTAGTGCATATATTGTGCAACACACCTCAGTAAATGATGGCAAATGAGACGGCTGTTGCATAATGAAAATCTGATTTATTTTTAATATCCTAGAATAAGATTATTCGCTCTGTAGCTGGAAGTTATGTAGGTAGAGAGATAACTGAGAATAGTCTTTGATTGCTCAGTTAATTGAGAGTCAACAAAGACATATTGAAGACAAACAGAGGTAATCAAACTGGTTTTGTGAAACTTGTTGAGGCACAGGTCGTTGTGTCTTTCTTTTATTAATGATGATTTAATAATCCTCGCTCTGTTACGAAGGCAGTTGAATAGCATGGGAGCAATTTTGGGGCATAGAAAAATGAGCACTGTTTAGACCTCTTCCACCAAACGTCTAATAAATTTCAGGGCTTTTTGGCTTTTGTGATTCCTCCAGAGGACCCTGTATGTGTGTATGCTCTGTGTCTTTGTATATGGCTGCAAATATACGACTGAAATCCCCTTTTGACAGGGACAGCTGTAATGGAGCTCTTTCCATTGTTCTCAGGGCATGTTATTGTCTCTTGTGTATTTCTCGAACCAGCCACCTCCTGTGTGCTTGTACCCCATTCAGCTGAGAGCCTGTCAACAGCCATTATTCCAAGCAAGACCTCTGCTGTGATCCCTGCCATGTTTCATCAAAGCGTGGCAATTTATTCCAAAGCCCACTGTCTGAGCATGTTAGCTACTACTAAAATTATTGCATGTGAGTGTTTGTGTGTTTGTGTGTGTGTGTGCGTGTGTGTATGCCTGCTATCTGTCTTTTCCCCCCCTAACCTCTTGTCATTCCTGAGGAGGAATACCAGCCGAAAGAAGCTGAGCCAACAAGTTTGCCTTTCCCTGGTGCTATTTCACAATGGAGTCAGGGTTGCATGTTTGTGTATGTGTGCAGTTAAATAATTAACACTGTCCGTCGCCTTGCTGCAGCTCATTCCTCACACACTATTCTGATTAAAGGAGCTGGTGGAGATGCACACCGCCTGCTGACTCTGTATAGTGACTAATGCATGTACATGATAGTGTGTGTGTACTTGTTATTGACTCAGGACTGGAGTATGTTTACATTTGTGTGTATGCAGGATAATGACTTATCCTGCATTATTTGTGTTTGGTTTTTGCAAACATCTTTCATATGCTTATGAGTTTTTTTCAAGTGAGTAAAGCGAAGGCCTTTTTGAGTTTATATTGGCGATAATAATGAATAGGTGGTTATGCAAGCTAGAAACCCAAAAGGGGTTTTGCCGTTTGAGGTATAGCCTCCATATAGGAGAGAGTGGGGTAAGTTGAGCCACCCCCTGTTTCTTGGAAATGGTAAAAGAAATTGATCATGTGACCAAATACTTAGGAGACTGGCATCAATTCATGGAGTCTGTGAAGGTTAGAAGCACATGGGTGAAGGGGTTAGAGATTTATTTCCAAATAAAACATTTTTTTACGCTTGAAAGTGAGTTTAGTCTGTCATACGTTTTATGAAAATTGTGTTCAGACCAAAAAAGATCATTTTAAATTTGTTTTATACATCAATTGTAGTATCTTTGAGCTACATCATGAGGTCAAAAATCTAGCATAAAAGTCCACCATTTTAGCTTAGAGGACTAATAAAGTAATAATAGTAGTTCAGCGGTAAGTTGATCCATTTGGCCAGGGGTTAACTGAGCAAGTGTAAAATGGCTTTTTACACAACAGCTTTTCAGCAGTTATATGCAATAATAATGAAGAGAATCATTGTACCAGTTGAATTGTGTATAATAGATAAAAATACACATGAATGTGAAGAAGTGACTGTTATTTAGGGAGAGAGAACGTGAGGGAGGGCTGGGGTGCCCCGCTCCTATGGTCAACTTACCCCACTTTAGAGCTCCTATGGTCAACTTACCCCATACACAGGGTGTGTTGACCATAGGAGACCACTTTTTTTGGCATGCTATATTATCAAGACAGTTATGTTTACACTCATTCTGTTGGTTTGCAGGGATGCACAACATCTTGAAATATACGCAGATACACTAGTTAGAGACAAAACTATGATTGTCTTGATATAGTGATTAGAAATATGAAAAATGGCTCATCTTACCCCACTTTCCCTGGTGTGGTGTGGATAGACTGTTTGGTCATTGGTGCCCCAGACATACGAAACAGACTAAATAGTTACTACTAAGGGAAACAGAAGTTCCATGGTATAACTTTCAGAATCCAGAAAAAGTAAGCGCCAGCAAGAAATACCCTTAGAGGCCGGGGGTCTGCCAACGCAAAAATGTTGATAGTGGACACAGGCCCCAAATACTCTCTTGTCAGACTTGTTTGGATTCACATACCATGAATCATATCAGCAATATACTGGCTCTTAACTTTGACAGAGTAATATTAAGAAGTATGACTTATCTAAATCACAAAGTAGACCTGGGGGTCTTCTGTATATCTGTAACACACACCTTTTCTATCCCTTTATAATTTGACCTCAAGGGTGCATTTAGAGTATTACACTGCAGCTGCCCACTGTACTTTCCGGTATCTCATAAAAGGACCTTTTAGAAACAATAACTGAGAGGAAACAATGACATGAAGTGAGTTAGCAAGCATACCCGTGAGCGCAAAATGGAGTTTGAACAATAAAAAAACAGGGTGAAATCGGGTTAGAACATCTAAAAGATCACATGAACCCGCTTTAAAACCAAAACAATGACAGAGAGATGCTAACGCACCGCTCTGGGCTAAGGGGAACTGCAGAGTTGCGTAACAATTCTCTGTGGGTTTGTCATCATGAATGACCCTTTTCATGCAACACATTGTCATCAGTCCCTTCATGAGCATAAATATATTGATTGTTGTAGCTCTTTCTTATAAGTCTGCTGTGCGTAACACCAGCTTCATCTCAATGTCAGACACACCCAGGAGACTCAAACTTTTATTTGTCTTTTCTCGATGTTGAAAATGTCACAAAACCGAGCACATTTCCCTGCTCGGTTTAACTCACGGCCTTCAAGGCCAAAACAGTCTCTTCTTGTTTTCCCATCATATTGATTTGGTTGGTGGACTGTGTGGCCCGCAGATTGGATTAGTGTCCAGTTGTATTCCAGCCCGAGGGAGAGTGGTTGTGATGTGTTTGTAGACAGGGCAGATAGTACACCGTAGAGACAGTATGATCCATTCTAAATGGATAGAGCGTTTCTGGAGAGATGTATCAAAATACAAGCTAATGTGGTTTGGACCAGGCTTGCCATGTAAGAATTCCACAAAGGTGACACAGGGTTAGGAGGTCATGGCTGTCACTTACATGCTTAATGGTGTACAGTCTTACAGTGACGTGTCAGCTAACTGATGGAGAGCTTTGTTAGCAGGATGTAGAACTAGAAACTGCAACAGATCAATCCAAATCTTATTCTGGTAAAGCAGGAAACAGCATGACAGTTCTTTTACATTTATGTCAGGTTGTTCCATTTTTACTGTCACTCATGAGGCAGTCTGCGTATTTATTCTAAATATTTTTGTTTATGGGTGTGTCCACGTCACAGTTGAGTTAGATCTTGACAACATGAGCCTGTGCTGCTGTGTGCTTGCAGCTGATAATGGCTTGCACCATTGAGTCATAGCTTAGCAACAAGCCTGCTGGCCTATTTTTGGTTGCAGGCAATTATCCACAATGCAGTGTGATGGTGTAGTGCTACGACACTTCCAGATTGTGGATGTAATGAAGGGAGAAGAGGTCTGCAGCCACATCTGCCTAGTGTCTGCAGGGTTTTCCTAATTTCGTAATGGGAATGTAACCGAAACAGTGAACTTAGTGACAACTTTTGCCCTTTCAAAGATACTGAAATAGAAGTCTTTTACATATCATTGAAGGTAAAATGAGATAAAAGAGGAAAAAAGATAACAGTTGTCAGGGGAGTAAAGCCAAAATGTTCTGTCTCAAGTTGGTCTTGAGAGGAATAATGACAGTAATGAGGCCCAGATGTGAGAGCAGCCTCAACCATCACTGATCCTGTAATCCTCCTCTCACATTGGCTTCAGGCTTTAAAAGTTACAACATAAAAATAGTTAATCTTGTTGCTGATGGTGTCATTTGCTTGTGGATTAAAAAAAAGACAGCAGTTTGATTTTTGTCCTTTTCATAAACATAAAAAATTAGCAGCATGTAATATAGATTCTCAAAATTATTATCATTCCTATTCGTTTTCCACTACAGGAGTAAGACTTTGTACAGATATTTTTCCAATAATGACTGTAATTTGTAATCCTGCCTTATCTTGTCTTTATCTCACACATAGTGGATTTGTCAGATTTGCAAATTCTCAACTTGTGGCTATAAAACAACGAAAAGTATATTTGTTTCATCAATTTCTTAGCAATAGATATACAGTATATTTTTGCCCTTTTTTTATTATTGTATTTAATATTTTGCAGAATTCAAAAAGTAACAGTAACCTACAGTAAGGCTAAAACCTGGTTTGCGTGCCCTGCCCTTACATTGTGTCAATACAAGAGCCATTTCCAGGAATAACTTTTGCAGACCTTTGCTATGTTGAATGTAATCCATTGAGGTTAGGTCAGCTGTGACTTTACACTGAATTTGGGGTAGAGATAAATCTGAACTGCTCTTGTGTTGTCGTTGTTGTTGTTGTTTAAGATTGAGGGCTTGTTCATGAAGAAAAAAAAACACACTGACTGCTGCAGGTATCAAACCTGTAACCCAAAGCCTGCAACAGCCTAAAATACTTCAGTTTTAACAGGGGTGGATTGGGTATACAAAGGATATATTTTTAACAATTTAAATGTTTGTGATTAATGTACATCACCTCAGGGAGTAAAATGAAATTTTTAAGCCTCCAGGATCGAGGCTTCTTCCGGTAATCCAGCTGCTGTAGAGACTGAAAAGAACTAATTAAAGGGAGGCATCGATCTCATAAAACCCAGAATGAGGTCAGCTTAGTCTGAAGTAAATCTCATTGCTGCAAAATGATGTTCAACTCAAATCATTTCTGTCTGCATGTGAAGATTGTTTTTGTATTAATACCTTGTGCAACTGGCTACGACTATATTGTGTTGATAAGGAAGAAAAGATGATGGTAGGATTCTCTTTATGGTTGACCATCATGTATTTCACAAGTATACAAAGTAAAACACAGCTTCCACTAAGGTTCTACTATTTCAGTGAAATTAGAGCATGAAAAGGGTGTTAGAATGGGCTGTATAGAAAGACAGACGGGACAGCAGCTCCCTGAAAGTGAGGCCAAAACATTTAAAGCTCCTCCTGTCACTGAAGCTTGTCATCTTTGTTGTTACAGATGAAACGCAAGTCAAACTATAAAATTAAATAAAAGTCAAAGTAATGTGTCATACATATGCCTTGGTGTCAATAATGGCATGTTGAGAAAGGCATATGTTTTGAGTTATTACATTAATGGGTTTACAGGACTTAATATAGCCACTACACCCTGGTGAATTTGGTGTAATTTTTCAAAAGCAATGAAAAATAAAATACACATGTTAACCTTTTATACCTGTTTGATAATATCAATCAAATACTTTTTTCAGGGTTTGATGGAACCAAAGTTACACAACCAGGATTGAGTCACAGTTGATACAGTTGATATTAGAATTGTGAAAAAGAAAGAGAGAAAGTAAATAATCAGGTTGAAGAAAGAAAATTACTGTGAATCACAGCAAATGTTGATTCTACTTCACAAGATTTGTATAATCCCAGAGCACAGGGGCCGACATCTGCATTTATGTTCATTTTTGAGCTTTGATTATAGGTCAAAGGTCATCCTCCAGCCCTCCTGCTGGATGTTTCCCACTGATTGATAATATAAAGGTCATTCGCTTTACCTGCTCTCATTTCATTTTATCACTGTGGTTATGTATTTTTCCTTACTTTTTCCTTTTTTGATCAAAATTTCCATCCTTTTTGCTGCCGTTCTTTGTGTCTAGACTTTGAACGCTTTGGTGATTTGGTGATGAATCTAGTTAAGAAAGCGTTGCTCTCAGAATTTAGTTTTACAGTGACTTTGAAAACCCTGACCGAGGATTTCTTTTAAGCTGTTTTGTTTTTTTAAAGCTATGAACAAAAGTCTCTGGGATTATGTATTCATGAGTCCTGGTGCATTCATAAAAAATGGTTTACTGTGAAGAATTTCGATCACAAAATCTCACCACAATTCCTTCACCCTCGACTTTTCTTCATTTACGTAGTCTCTCTCTTTATTTTACACATTTCTCCGCACCTCTCGCACCTTCTCCTTTACCCCCTCCATCATTTTATTCTCCTCTTTCATATCCATTCATCACAGCCCATTCTCTGCCTGTTACCCAGCTCATCTTGACCTCCTTCTCCCACTCGCTCCATATCAATTCACCGCTCACTCCGTCTTTGTTTCTCTCACCTGTTCAGTCACTTCAGCTCTGCTCACTCCCACCATCCATTTATCTCTCCACACTTCTGTCCTTTCCTCTGCTGTCTGCTCTCTCTCTTTCACTCTCACTTCTTTTATTTTTTATATGTGTTCAAGCCCGTGATCCTGTCTATATTATGAGCAGCACTTGTAGGATGATTCCATTACATGTCTCCTAACTGTGGGATAATTCAATAAGGACCAGTGAGATGACACACAGTTATAATCTACTTAATGAAACCACTGTGCTGATGAATTATGCGCTTTCTCCTCTGCTGTTTCTTCTTTGACTCACCCCCTACCCCTCCTCTACTCTACTTTTCCCCCACTTCTACTCACTCTCTCTTCCTCTCCTCTCACTCTCTGCAGGGTGTTGATGGAGAGCCTTTCGAATGACAGCCGGGACAGTGGTCATCACTGGTGGAATTCTTGCTACAGTTATATTACTCCTTATCATCGCTGTACTGTGCTACTGTAGGCTGCAGGTAAAGACACAGCTGCCTTCAGTCCCTGTCATATTCCTTCTATTTTCGCCCGAGATTTACACAACTTCCAGTAATAGATGTCCCCAAGTTGCACACTCTGTCACCCTCCTTCACCCAAGAAAGTACAAAACAATATGTTCTGAGAGAAATATTTGGTCTTTATACACAGGTAAGAGAAAGTTTATCAATGCATTTTTTCATGAAGTACCAAATAACAGCAAATTTGATAGTTTGTTAAGAAGATTGATGCGTTTTATCTTTTATTTAACCAGGTCAAGAACCACTTTCCTGTTTTAGTATGTGATGGGCACAGGTTATGCAATGGTTATGCCATTTTTTGGCTACAAACATTAACTTCCTCAAGTTTTTCTAGGTTGCCTGGCAACTGCCCAAAGCTGCAAAACATTTAAACTCATACACCAATCTTAAAATGGCACAGTGTCATTCTAAAGCAATCTTGTTAGAGCCCGATATGTAACAATGACCCAAAATGTAAAAAAAAAAAAAAAAATGTGATTAAGCAAAAAATGTAAAAATTTGTCAATAATGTAACAAAAGGGTTTAGCCGAAATGTAATTCAAAAAATGTTATAAAATCCACAATGTATAACTGACCCAAAATGTAACAAGTCGCTACATTTTGGGCAAAAAGATATTACGTTTTGGGCTCTTGTTACACAATCGACCAGTTATTACATTTTTTATTGTATTTTATTTATTATTACATTATGGGTCATTGTTACATATCAGGCTCAACAAGCATTTTCCAAGCCAAAGAGTTGGGACCCAAAATGGGTTGCCAGACAGTTTTTTATTGGGTACCCTACTGGCCTAATTAAGAATGACCTTAGAAAACCCTCTGTGGAAAGGTGTATCTTGCTAAAAGCACTTTGTGCAGTGCATCCTGGAGTAATGCATGGTTAAATGTTTCAGCACCAACGTCACTGTGTGTCCATTTTAATTAAACATCTTTTTTTAATCCAATTCATTTCTGCTTTCTCTGTGTTCAGCTCAGATACGGAGTGAAATACCTCTCAGTTGGGTAGATTTAAAAGTTGGAGTCAAAAAATTGTCCCTTTGCAAAGATGAAAATTCAAGAAATGCTTATAAGATAATTTGAAACTAGAAGGGTAATATTGAAATAATGTTTTTGTGAATTTTTAGTTTTGAGTGTCACTGTTTAGATGGTTACTGGTAACAAAAACACAATGTCAGTGAAAGTAAATGATTGGCCTGGGTCACACATCTCAGTCCAAATCTAACACAAGTCCAAACCTGAACCAGAGAGCCAGCCCTTGTTATGTTTGAACCTGACCAAAGCTCCTTGAAAACCACAGCAATGAGTTAATATTACAATATTTTGTTCAGCTGTATGTAAACTGTTTAAACAAAAATAATTTTGGTCCTTTGAAAACACCAACTTTTATCTTAGGGTCTTTAACTGAAAAAGTTTGGCCCCACTTTTGTGAGATCTTTGGCCTCAGAGGTGCTGATAGGTTAATGATGGTCTTGTCTGAGGGCCAAGCTTAACTCACGTTTCTTGATGTCGGCTTATGTTTACATAAAGACATGGAAGCTGTATAAATCTTTTCATCTAAGCCTTGGCAAGAAATCAAACAACAGATTTCCCAAAATGGCAAACTTTTGCTTTGATTTATCCACTTTTTACTCTGGAGCTTTATCTTGTTTAGCTGTACAAACTGTGACTGTAACAAGATGATAGAAGATCTAAATGCCCTCAGAGTGAACTCTAGTTATCATGATGCATTACACCCACTCAGATTAAAATGGTCTGAAACAACAATGTGACTGAGAAGCTGTACTAACAGACTCCATCCTAAGTCCCTTTGCATATAAAAACTTTGATATTTCGAAGCATTTTCACACCTTGAGGATTGGGTTGTTTTTTCATTACTGTACATGGAATCAAATCCTCATGATTAAAATTTCTAATAGACATCAGAGAGAAACTAAATCTTGTTATCGTTGCTTCTCATTTGAACATCTGTGAATGAGTCATTCATTTTGCTTTAATACACACAAGATTTGGGTCCCAACAGCTCAGTCTAGGGACATGAAAAATACATATTTTTCATCAAATTTTTATCAAAGATTTCCAAGCTTTGGTTTCAAAAGCTCATTATTTTTGTAGAGTTTGCTCCAGACACTCAAATTTATTTCCCAGGAAATGTTAGCAGAACAGCCTGGAAGATAATGCGGATGTAACAGTTTCTTAAAGGTACAGTAGCAAGATTCTCTTTTCTGTTAAATACATGGCAGATGGATGGCCCCCAAACATCATGTATTCAGTGATTCAACAGCCTGCACATAGTTTGTATGAGAAAAAAGAGAAGATGGGTTGAAGAACCAAAATAAATGGCTGAAAATTGATGAGTACTGTATAATGGGAGGTTAAGTATTGTTTTGGGGAGCAGGCCTTGATACGTTTTCACATTCCATGGAGTCAGTTGTGTTTAATTTTATGAAAAAGGGTCTAAAGGAGTTAGAAATACACCAGAATTTAAGTAGGAAACTGCAAAACCATTTAACGTCAGCTCATCCAAATTGTTTGTGCTTGGGAATAAAACTTAAAGTTCCTGTGAGGAGTTTATTTCCCATTTGTGAAATATACTGAATTAATATTGATGCTTATTCATGATACTCAAAATCAAATCAGACCATAAGTTAACAGATTGAAGATTTTTATATCCTTATTTTTTATGCCTGAAACTGGTGTGAAGGGGTAGGTGTCGGCCTTTCAGCAGAAGAAAGAGCCCTGGTTTTTGTCAATTCCTCTGTAAAAAAAAATAATATAAATATATCTGACTGCTAGAAATCAGCAGGATGATATTTTGACTACTATAAATAGAATGTAAAGAATACAAAGGATAAGATGATCAAGCCTGCTTTGTACACAGGGGGGCGCCAAAATTAATACAAATGGAAAGTTCCTTTTGAGAACTTTAAATTTACTTGGTGTTAGACCCAATGTTAAGAATAGACCCTTGAATAAAAGTGAAGCTCTGTGAGTGGTTGAAACTCCAGACTGTATCAAAGCTTGAATAGTCCAATTGAGTGAGGCCATAACTGTTCGAATTCCCCCTAGTGACTGACTGCAGTGTAGGTCTTTTCATTATAACAAATGGAACATGGGTCAAATATTCTTGTTATCCATCATCCAAATTAATAGTTGATTGTTGAGATAATTACCACTTATAAAGTAACTTGGGGAAAACCATTGTGCTTGATGTAAAGTCCATTTTCCAGTTTCCTCTGGACACTATGTGAGAATGTCAGCTCCGGGAAATGCATGCGCTTCTGCACTTAGAGCTAATTGCACTTCTTAAGATTCTTATATTTCACAGCAGAATCGAAACTAATCCTCATATTATGGCTTCATATTAAATGGCCGGATGCCAGGAATTAATTTGAGAGCTACATGTCGTGGGCCAAAAATAGCAACGACAAATTCTCCTCTGAAAAGTGGATTATGTATACAAGAGTGTTTGTGCAGGAGTTGTTGAGGGGTGCATGACGTAGTACTGAGGAGGATGTGCAGCTTCTCCAAGACAACATGTATAAGCATCAGCAGTCATGTGGGAGAAAAGGTGAACCGGCTAAACATAATTATGAACCAAATGTTAATGCATGCTGTCATGTGCAAATCATACACAACTGAATTAATGGCACATTCTGTTGATGGTTAGCTGACATTGTACATCTTTCGCAATCAGTTATTATTAGGATGATTTCAGAGCACTATGTATGTCACCACCAAGTGAAGAACTGAAATGATGTATGTTATAGTAGCTCTTTAGGGGTCCAAATGTTGATTTAATTCTCACAGATGACATATTAGAGGGACACAAACAGTTTTAAAAAATAGAAACTGCAGTTATAAATGTGCTGTGAAGACACTGTGTTGCAAAAGCCAATCTCCCTTTTCTCCCCTTCACACCAAAGAAACAGTGGCTTTGTCTCTGTTCAACATTTAAGCTTTTTCAAAGTTTTTCCTTGATCTTAAAGTTTGATCCTTTTACTGTAATGGAATTAACAATATTCAGCTGATGCTTTATCCTTGTATGCAGAAATATCTTCAAATAAGTGTAATTTTCTAGGCCCACCAGAATGAACAATGATCTTAAGAGCAAAATGAGTTGTGTTGAAAAAAGGTTCTCCATAAACGGTTAATTTTGAAGATAAAAGGTGACTGAAAACTTATAAATATATGTTTTTTATTATTGTAGCGACTAGTTTCCTTAAACAAAAATGCCGCTGGGGTTTAGGTGTGCTTGCATCTGTGACTCGTTCAATTCATTCAGTCCGCTTGAGTGTCAAAAGTGATTTATTGTTCAAAAAGGAAAGAAAACACGCTGATCCAGGTCCAAAACTTTTGCCTTCAAATGAAAAGGTGACATAATGAAATTAGGGTAAAACAGGATGAGTGAAACGGTCAAAAGAAAATTATTAGAGCTATCAGACCAAAAACTCTTGTCTGACTACACCGGTGAGATTTAAATAACCTGCCAAACATCCCAAAACCACAGCCCTCAGTGTGACGTACCTATTAGAAATCATATCATCAACAAATATATTTTGGCCCCCTCAAGTATTTTTAAATTTAAGGCTTGTGATTTGTTGATACACTGGTATTTGCTTAAATTAACTAACAACATACTGAATGTTATTTTCCAATTTCTTTTGTGCAAGTCCTCTGGCATAATGGTTGTTTATCTATAGAATAATACTGTATGACCATTATATCCACAATATAAGGGCTGAATGAGCCTTATAGATGTTATAGTTCATATGAGCTAATGGACAAAGCAGCATCATAGACGTTCTTCCTTTTCTCTTATTGCTCTTTTTTTATCACACTGTTAAACCCTCACCACAGCTCATATCTCTCATGATTGTACTCTAATATTCAGTTTCTTCTCCTCCCCTCATCCCCTTCTATGTCCCATCATCCCTCGTTTCTCACCTTCAGTATTATTGCTGCAAGAAGGAAGAGTCCGAGTCGGAGGAGGAGGAGCCAGACTTTGCTGTTACATCACGCCTCCCGCCGGTTCACTCAAATCACAACATTGTGGCGGCAACGGCCGCCGCTTCCGCCATCCCAAATGGCCCCGCCCTTTTCTCCACCCCTCCTCTGGCTAGGAAACTGACACGCTCACAGACCTTCTGTCCATCCTGTACACACTATGAGATGCCTTTCTACCTCCAGCCGCCTCAACCCCAAGTCCACCATCAACCAGATGGGCTGAGGAATGGAGGTGATCGGATCAGCTACCGCAGCGTGCAGCAGCAGGACCTGGAGCTGCCTGTGCCTGTGAACATTTCAAACTACAGGAAACCCAACCTGGCCCGCTCGGTCACCATGAGGGACATGTTCCAACGCAGCTGTAGCATCAGCACTGATGTTTAGCCCGGTGAGGTTGGAACCTGGAGTAAGATTATGCCTAAAAGAATGGGGATGACCTAGGCTGGACAGCTTGAGTCTGATTGTGTTTTTGTCATCTTGACCGGTGTAGTCCAGTCTAGTGTTGTTTAATCCAGTCTGGTCTCGTTCTACTGGTCGCCTCTTGCAGAACTGAGGACTCGGATTGCTCTCAGGACAGGATTTTTAAAGGTACTATGCTCAGGTCCAGGACCTTACACTTGGGCCTATATGAAGTTTTAAGTATTTAGATAATGATAAAGTATCCAGATCAAGAACTTCTTGCTTTGGCTTGTTTTGAATAGTTATTTTTTAACGATAAGAGCGGCATTTGTTTTACAACTTGATAAAGTTTGCAAAGCCCTAATTCCTCTGAACTCTCATGCCCATGGCCTGAAAGATAGACAAATTCCTGCCATGTCCAAATGACATAATCAGCAGGGATTTTCTCTCTGCCATAGCTGCTACAGACAAAATATGATTAGGTGAAGTCCGATGGTTCCCCCTCTCATGATGGGATGATCTGTCTGTTCCTCCATCCACTAGATTAGAGAGATTATAAAATATCACTCACCGCCAGTGGAAAAGCCAGAGGAGGAAGGGGGATGTTGTGTTTAAGCTGCCAGCAACAGACATTTTAGACTTAACTTAGGCCATAATATTTTAAGACGCAAAGGGCTCACAGAAGATGAAAATTCCTGCTTGTTTTTCCACATTTTTTCATAGAGGGGTCCAGTTTGACAGGGGGCTGGTTTCATGATACCACACTTCTACAGAGAAGGACCTTTGTGTTTTTGCAGGCAGGATGGACCGGGTGCCAAAAGGGGGACAGGTTCTTGCATATGTGCGGTTGTGTGACTGTGTTTGCATGCAAGTGTGTGTGCGTGTGTAAAAGTCGATAAGTTGTTGTACCAGAGCTCTTTTTCCATACAGTTCTCAGCTCAGTCTGTCACCCCTGCAGTGTGTAAACTGAACCCGGTGTCGGGTTGCAATAACATTTTGAACATTTAATATAAAAGGGGGATTGTTTTAGTTTCTGTGCGTGCCATGTTACTGTTATATTTATGTTAACGATTAGAAAGATTAAACCAGATCATTTGACAAACTGTTAGTGAGCTTGGCGCTCTTTTGTAAATTTTACTTTACTTTTTCATGATATACACAGACTGAATATGAAGGTAAAAGTCAGTACAGAAGCTCTTAACAATGTGATATCATTATATTTCTTCACTGACGTTTCATCTCGTGGACTCTTCACTGCATTCCCTGTGTTGTCCCAAATTTGTTGATACATGGACTCATGTGCTAAAGATAATTTCACTTTTAAAGCGACATTTATAAATATTTAACAGGCCACAGCATACACCCAAGTCTCTCTCTCTCTCTTTCTCTGTCTCTGTCTCTGCTCTCGACTCACTGGACTGAGGAATACTTGCTCGGAGGTACTCTGAGAGTTCATCTCGGGATGCTTTTATTTTCTGAGCTCGGCTGACTGGAGGGCTCATTTTCTAACAGGAGGAGTGTTACGGACAAAGGACACACACTTAATGAATGAAATTATTAAATGCTTGATTTCTGGAAGATAAGATGTTGGTTGTGTAACTTGAAGATGATCGGATGCTCCCCTTTTCCCCCTGCCTCCTCAAAGTGGATTGTCTTTCTATCTTTCTTTCTTTCACTCTCTTTTTTTGTCTCCGTTGATTTTGTTCGATCAGCAATCAAGCTCATTTATTTCCCCAAAAGGTGAAACAGTGAATGATTTCGTTATGATTTTTCCCTCTTGTGACATGTGCTCCCTGCAAATACACCGCAACACACACGCACCACACAGAAACACACACATACAAAGTTGTCAATGCTTTGCTTTCCTTACTTTTTAAAGAGAAATGTGACAGTTGCACAAGAAATGTAGTGCCATAAAGATTTCAGAGAGAATTTTATTATAATTATTATTACTATAAGTATTATTATAATTATTACAAGTGTATATTCAAATGCAGTGTTGCTTTAACCCTGAGGTATTTGAATTACTTGCTTTATTTTATGATCCAGCTGGTTTTTCAGACTCAGTACAGTACAGCAGAAATGTTTCTGTCCTTGTTTCTAATGTATAACTAACAGACACATTGTTGCTAATAAAATGGTGTGAAAATCTGTCTCATCTCTCCCATTTGTTCAAAAATAACACAAGTACATTTCTCTGTTTGTGGGTATGGGCTTGCAGTTTACACATCTGCACTATCAGGTATTATAGGGAAGAAGATTCCTTCATTTCTCCTCTTTTTTTTGGTAAACTCAGTAAATGCTGAGTCACCATCACTGTAAGAGTAACTCATTACTAGTCTGGTTGTGTTTTCTGTTCCTTTTAGGCTTGCGGACAAACAACTGATTAAATCGAAGTGTAGTGTCGCCTGACTTGAATGCTGGGCATATCAGCCAGCTAAAACGCAGCATGTTTTGGTCAAAGCACGTCACCACAAAGCAGTACAGTCATTTTATTTCTATTAAGGATAAGAAATGGATTTAGGACCTTTGAGCTAGCTAACTAAGGTGAGATTGTGTGATTCTTATCCAAAAACAGTAGTCTAATTCTGCATTGTTTGGTGCATATGTTGGCTGATCATTTTTGATTCTGAAAACAAGCAAGCATCTGTTCATCATCTCAGCTCCTACAGGAAAATGAGTCATTACCCTGCAGCTGACAAAAGTTATCTGCAGAAGAACCTGTTTCTAAAAGGGGATCAAGCGAAACAACTTAAGTGTTTTTGTTGATATGTTTAAAGTCGAGAAACCAGACGTACTGTAACAGATCACTCACAGGAGAAAACAATGAAGCCTGCCAAACCTTTATCCACAGCGCTAAAGTCTGTTTGCACACAGATTCAGTCAGCCCTGAGGCGACAATGAGAGCGTTTTGACAGCAAACATCTTTGAATGGGGAGGGGTAAGAAGCAAGAATGGGATGCATAAGTGCGACGATAACCCAACCTGACAGTAAGAGGAGAGCAGACGATAGTGACAATGAGAAGTCAACCGTGCAGGGAGGCTAAAAGACTGAAACGAAGAGCATTATTCAAACGATAAAGTGAGCCAGTCAGAGAGGGGGGGAAAAAAACCTGAACATACAACAGAAACACAACTAAAAAGTATTTTTTTTAGCAAGGAAACTGAAGTAGTTATTAGAAGGATGAGTCAGAGTTAATGAATGAGGAATAGCACAAGAATACACAGACAGATGGAGGCGGTGAGGAGCTGATATCAAACTGAGGCCTCCCTGTTACAGACATGAATAGCCATTTTGTGATGGCATTAATACAACAGCACTGCTTCAGACATGAAAAACCTCTCAGATTATGATGGATTCCCTTTGATGTGGTGAATTCAAGCCCCCACTTATTTTCCACGTAAAATTGCGAGCACTGAAACAGGGAATTAATGTCACACTATAGCATTCCACCCACGAGGCAAATTGGCAGCAAATGTAATTAATGACTCTCTTTTTCGGACGCTGTAATTTGCATTTAATGACACTTGGACCACTTCATCGTGGGTCTAGAAGCGCATGCTTAACATGCTGCAGCTTTGCTCGGAATCAAGAAGCATTAGGAAACTGCTAGCCGAGCTCCATAAGGGGTAAAAGCGTCAACAAATAATGTTTACCAATACTGATATGAGTGAGATGTTGTTGTAACAGTGCGGTTTGAGATTTGTGACATTAACCCTCCATCATGTCTGACTTTGTCCACCTCAGCAGAGTCTGCCTCATAACTACAGCAGCCGGACAATCTATCAGCTGCTTTCTGTCTAACAGTCTTCCACACAGGCTCTGGAAGCTGGCCTTGCTGGGCTGAAGCTAACCACAAATCTTTCCATCTGACAGATGATCATCTCTCCAGCCAGCCCTCTAAATGTGTGTGCATCTGAATCGTGTAAAAAGGCTTTTGATGATATGCTTGTGCAAAGTGTGAAAATATATGTTTTGTGGAGTAAGGTTGAGGTATTCGTTTTTTCATGTTTGTTTGAGCTGAATTTGTATGACTGAGCGTATTTGCAGCCAATGTGAATTATTTAGTGGCATAATCGCCTCCAGTGTAAACAGAGTGGCCTTTAGAGGTGTATCGATGTTTTATGACATGCTTTGAATCATCCCCCTCATCTACCTCTCACCCCGCAGCCGCATGCTCTCTCTTTCTTTCTCTTTCTCTCAATCTGTCTATTCACTGCATCTTCTCTCTCTCACTCCCATCTTGAGGTTCATCTTCTATCTTTTCCTCCCCCCAAACTCTCGAGTATTACAGTGCTTTATGTGTGTGTGAGCGTGCGTTCGTGTGTGTGTGTCTGTGTGTATTTTATGGTCCCTGGCAATAACTCTCCAACAGTTGAATTTAGATGCAGTACAGAGGAGCTGCTGGGATTCCATGAATTATGGACATGATACATACGAGACCCTCCTGCTAGCATCACAAGCCAAGGGGCTCCTTTTCTCCTTCTCCCTCCTCTCCTCTAGTTGTCCGTCTTTTTTTGCCCTCCTGTCTTGCTCACACTCTCATTCCTGCTTCTTTCCTTGCACAGATTTCTCCTTACTTCTCCTAAGCCTTTATTTCTAACTCTGTGTTTCTGCACAGCCTACACAAGCTATGTTGGATACAACCCCTAAATGAAAATTTCATCAGATTTTCAACACTGAAAGATAAATAAGAAGTCTGGATTTAATTTCCTGGAGTCATGAGATAATGTTTTCAGAGAGCTCTGCCACCGTCTCTGTATAGTAGCTTTGTCTGTGGCACCCAAAGCACTGGGAAAAACAGCCTGTCTTCTTATACAGGAAAATATTAATATATGGGGGTGCGGTGGGGGGTTAAAATGGTAACATCAAAAAGACTTGAAACTGGTTAGGGCCTGTGATAAGTCCTAACAAATGAAGACTCTGTAGTCTGTGGGTCGTATGGCTCGAAAAATGACTTAGTGGATTGCAGTATGTTGCAGATTATGTAGAAAGAGAGAAAGTTGTCATAATTTAAAAGGATTTGAAACATTTAAAAAGCCAAGATTCAAAGCTAAACTGAAAGAGTGCTGTGTTACAGTGAGAGGAATAAGTTGGTGGAACAATCTGAAACAATCTTGTTTTTGAAAAATAAGAAATAATGAATTGTAAAAAGGCATGTTGTCCTGCAGCTCTTGTTTATTATAACTGTGTTTATTTGATTTATATCTTATGAAAGACAGCCAGACTATATAAGATTTTTCTTTTTTCTGCTCCTTTTCGTTCACATGTTTGAGATTTTTTCTTAGTTTGTTTTGAATGTTTTAAATATTTACTAAATGAAATAAAGTATGAAAATGAAATGAAATGAAAACTGGTGGTACCTCTTTAACAAGCTGATTTGAAGGCTCATTTAGAAACATAACTATCACTCACATTTCATATTCATTGGGGTGGAGTAAAATCACTGCATCCACAAGAGGGCGCTTGTACAAACCAGTCTTGCACAGGCCTCCATGTTTCTTTAGCTGCCATCTGACTGATGTTCAGTTCTCGTCCAATACCTGGGCTGCTGTTCTGTTTTAGTTTTTCGTGCCTGAGGAAGGTGATGTCTCATACATGATTTTAGTTTCTAACCATCTTGCACAGTCCTTCTTCATCACAGGCATTTTCATAAGTATTTTTCTTTGTTGTGTTCTGACCTTGCCTCAACTGTTGGCAAAAGCTCCTTGGAACTTTTGGTTTCTGTTGATTTTGGAGCTCACCAGAGTGGTACCTCTCTTCTCTGTGGTGATTTTGTTTGGTTTATGTTGTTTAAATCTCATTCTACCTCACCTTAAAGTCAAATGCATGACTCATTAGTAGTCTCAGTACAAAGGCTGTTTCAGCGGTGTGCCCTCAATCACCACAGCTGGCGCCTATCTTTAACAGTGGTCCCAGCTATTAAAAACAACATGGAAGCAGAGCTCTGTTTACTTATGGTTGGTTTGCTGTTATGGATCAGATAAAGCTATCAGCATTCGTTTCAGAATACAAAAATTCCCTTTTTACAAGAAATGTTTTTATATGCAACTGTAAGACAAGCATGTGTGTGATAAAAATATGTTTCATTAGGGCCAAATTCCATTCAGCTGCTTTAGTTTCAGGCTTCAGCGTGCTGACTCAGAGTCACACTGACATGACTTACGAGGATAGACACATTACTCATGTTATTAGTAATGCTTTCTTTTTTTTCCTGACAAGTCAAAACGTCTGCAGTAAAAATAAAACATCTTCAGCTTGCATCACAACGATAACACGTTCATCCATCTGCACATTTGACTGCCTTAAATTGTCTCATCACCTCTAATACAGACCTTAATCAGAATGTCAGAAATAAATAATATAGCATTAAGGACGGAGCTCTCCAGACTTGAGACAAAAGTGCAACTCTCAATTACTCACATTGACAGGAACAAAACTTACCTCAGCATTTAAAAAACATCCCTGCTGTTATAACTGCAGGTTTTTTACCATATCTCAGAAATGAAACATGTCCTCTGCTAACTCTGTTACACAAATAGAAAACATATACACAAGCGCACAGATGCTCCATGCTATGACAGAGATGAGAACTAGCCATCCTCCACACACACGCACACACACCCTTGCTCTCTCTCTCTTACACACACACACACTTAACTGCGTGCAGGGGCCATTACTGCCCACTGTGTGTTATCTTGTGATTTCTAAAAGAAGACAGGCCATGCCTCCAGTCTGAATTTTTCATTCTCCACCTCTCTCTTTCTCTGTATAACAACTAATAAATAAGCAATGAATCCTGTGGACATAAAGCAGAATGGACTTGATTTTATCTCCTCCACACCCCAATGCAAACTCCCCTAGACCCTTGATACACATTTTGTCTCAATCTTTTCTTTTTTTCTATTAACCTGTCTCTCTTTCAGCCATGTGCTGTCTTTTGGTGCATGTTTTAAGAGCTAAATCTTTTTTTTCTATGTTTTCTATCCTCTGCTATTTGCCCAGTGAACCTTGATGATTAACTCTAGCCCTGATACGCAGGGAAAATGTGTGTTGTGTGTTTTTTTGTTTTCATGGGTTGAATGTGACCTTTTGCTTGGTTAATCCATCACTGATTTATTTTTAGAGCCCAAGTGGATTTGAAGTGGTATGAGCTGTTTGGTAAGCAGTTCAGAGTAGCCTCAGTTTAGATTAACAAATATATGGCCAAACATCACCCTGGAATTATGCAATATTCTTCTTTGTCAACAAGTGTGTGGGTTGTTACAGACAGGGAGAGCGAGATAGAGAGATAGAGAGAGAGAAAGAGAGAAAGTCTGTATCTCAGTATTTTTGAGATGAAATCAGCAGAGATAGGATGAGAACAGAGGTGAAGCCCACTTACATGGTGCTTTGTTGCCATCTGCTGGTTTCATAAAGACAGTTGCTTTGTTGGTACATATAAATGTATGTTTATTTTTTGTGTAGATTTGGCCAAACAGACCCTCATACTGACTAAATGTCCAGCTTTTCTATATGTAGGCCTATAGGTTATTCAACTGACATCAGTTTACCAGTTGAATTAAAGATCATCCACTGAACAATGTAAACAATTTTATATAACTTCAATAGTGGTGACATATTTTGAGTTGGACAAAAAAAAATCCACCTTGTGAATTTGTAGGTATTAAATGGGCTCGTGCTCTACAAAAAAACATATATGAACAATGTATATGAATTATTTGGCCCATCAATTGATAGGTTACGACTCTAACCTGTATAATAAACAAGCTAAAATCGACGTTTTCTCGATATTGATCGAACAATAAATATATATGCATTAGAATCAGTGATGATCAGTGAATAGCTGTGGGTCAAATCAATTTTTTCAGAACCATTTTAGAGGACTTTTTCCCTTGGACACTCAAACTATTTGAGTCCCGCCTTCTCGTTTCAACAACCAATCAGATCTTAGTATCAGACTGTACGTCATCAGCCGCGATTCGCAAACTTCCTTTTCCCCTCCAGCTTTCATTTCTGTTGAGTGGTTCAAACTGATGTTTTCTGGCCATTATTTATTGCATTTAAGGAAGTATGAACACACAACAACCCAGTGAAACAAACAGTTGTCAAGGTTTGACTCCGAGGGGAAACGACTCGAAGAAAGGAGCACTGAGGAGGTATTTTAGTAACATTTAGCCCAGGACGGCTAGTTCCCAGCAGCTACAGTGTACAATGGTACTGACCTGTAAACAGCATTTTCAGGACTCAGTATAGTTCCCTACCATGTGTTATACTTTTTATTGATTCCCATCAACAATGAGTTTCACTAAAAAAAAATGAATATTGTTTAGCCAAATGATATCGTCCCCCTTATTTTTATGTGCGTTTTCCAAATAAGAAAAAAGTCTAAGCAGACTACAATGTACATGTATGATCCCAAATTCAAAATGTTTGTGGTACTGTTATAAGATTTAATGAACGAAATGTGATGGTTTGGAAATCATTGAAACCATGTCTTTAACAATAGGCAAAGACAATATCAAATATTGAACCTGAACAACTTGGATATGGGAGAAGCATTTCTAAACCTTGAGGTGTTTTCCTTGTCTTTCTGCAACACTCTTCTTCACACCTCTTTGTTTTAGTGAAACATTTCCGATCTCTTACAAGTTTCTTTCCCTTCTCCACCAAGAACTCCATTCTCAAATGTCAAGAGAGTTCATTCCAACTTCAAGTCACCTGTAAGTACTTCCTTCTTCCATCTGCAACACTCACTTGAGTATTATGATTAGTGCCTCATGGCCTGTCCATTCAGTTGTCATCTTTGTCTGTTTTGCACATCACAGCTTCAAGTAACTGAGAGTGCCAAAGTTAGTCCAGCAGAGGAGGTGGCAGAGCTGGAGAGAAGAAAAGAGCAACTGGACAATGAGATAGCACAGCTAGAGGCTGAGTGAGTACAGCTGTGTGTGTGTTTGACCTCAGTGGTATGTGTTGAGTTTCAGTATGTTGATAACATTGATGATCCAGTTAATCATTAGAGATTGGGAATCAAACCTGTTGCTAATTTGTCTCTTTTGAAAGGGGTTTAATGTTTTTATTTGTGTCTGGTAATGAGGATTTTCTCAAAACTGCTTTTCTGCATTATAAGTGTGTGTGTCTGTGTGTGCTATTTTCAGTGGATACAGAGTAGAGGAGCTGGAGCATCATATCGATATGCTGCATGAATACAATGACATTAAAGACATTGCACAGTCACTACTTGGCCGCATTGGTAAGAGAAATACTTATTTGGACATTCATAATATACTTTTTTGTTCTGTATGTAATAGCAAACAAAAAAAGCTTTAATTTTCAGAATAAAGTCACTTGACTAAACTGCACCATAATATATGTAAAGGATCATTTACAGTCAGCTGGTGGATATGTACATTAGAATCCTGATTCCTGAATGGGGTTAGGGTTCTTATATTCATAACCCCTGGCTCACTTTGCATTTTCTTGCTGATTATCCAGCTACCATCTAAGAGTATAAACTAGTTGACACAGATGTTGATTTCTAAATGATTTATTTACAGCTAAAAAACATGGTCAAATCAGTTCACATCATGTAGCCCCCCTTATAGCCACAAATACTCATCAGCCTCCTCATGAGTTGACGATTGATTAAATGTTGTAATTCATGATCGAATTAAAACTTTATCCTGTTAACCTTTAGACACGGTTAGACGAGGTTAACAGGGTAAAGCTTCTGCATGAATAGTTATGCTGACACTTCCTTCCTCATTCGGCTCTTCTGCTTTTAGAGCTTTCCTGCTGACACACCTTACAACATAAACAAAGGCAAATGTTTCAACTCAAACCGTTGTCGCCAGAAACATAATGACTGATGGTTTAAGTTACTTTGCACTGTCTGCTTTCAATCATGCACTCCAGAAAATGCCTGGAGAATTTTAGGAGTCACAGCATCACCTGTCAGACAGATAAAGAAAAAAAACAACAGAATGATCAGAACCATGACTGGATAATTAGATTATGTAAAGGAGTATTAAAATGTGCCTGTACTTCTCAGACAATGCAAATGGAGAGGGTAGTGGTGTGATATGAAGTGAATCTGCACTGAGACACACTTCTCCTAAAATCTCAAATAGAAGTTTCATACTAGTGTACCAAAACATGTCTATTCTTTCTGAAAACATGTTCGTAGCCTGAAAATATTAATCATTAATACAAATCACCCACCTCTGTTATTGATTCACATTACTGCAGCATTTTTATAATAAGGTTACAAAACTTAACAGAACACCAGCTACTTAACAAACATCAACATCCCCGTCATTTGGATTACATTTGCAAACAGCTATTCACATGGTAGAGCACAGTTTCTTAGTGATTGTTTATGGGCGTGGTTTTCCTACTAGTAGACTATAATACATCCTTCCTCCTCTTGTTGCCATCTCCTTTTTTTTACCCAGGACAGACTGAGTTCAGTTACATTTTCACCCGCAGAGACATTTTCAACACTCTCTTAAGGGGCTATTAGACACCATATACAAAATAGTATTGTGAGATGATATTTAACACAATGTCTTTGTTAGTGATATAGTGACCAAAGAATACAAACATCTAAAGGTTTGATCACATTTTTAAAAATCATTCAAATGACTGAGTTGAGGTGGCCATTAGATTTACATCATGTAAGTGAAAAGTTGTATTCATCACTCTTTATTTTTATGGATATGCACAATTTAAAAATGATAACTAACATTGTTTTGTTTGTTTTCGAGACATGAATTTGAGTTGACACCAACAAGCTGATATGCAGCCCACAAATCACAAGACATTAGACCAGCTGATCCTTTCTTGGTCTCATGAAAAGATTGTTTGAGATTCCACAGCGGGCCACCAGAGGGCAGGAAAGCAGCATTTCTTTCAAACTGCTGACTCAAAAGCCAAGACTAGACCTTTTCAACTTTGACATTATTTACATAACACTGATTATATTTCTTGGCGACGGACCCAAAATGATTTCACCCACTGTTGGATGAAGTCTTTAAATTTAGCTGCCATAAAATCAGGCCCCTCTCTTATTTGGAGTCAGCTCGGTTATAAATAAAAGCAGCTGTTAGACGTTCCTTGGTTGTCTGCGGTGGCTAATATTTATCAGCATTTTTTTCACACACTATACGATGCCCAAAATGTTGATGTTATTTGCACAACCTCTCTTTCTGGTCATGAATGTAAGAGTGTGGTGATTTCAAGTGGCCTTGAGTAATTTTCTGTGAATGTACTGCAACGTCTTGAGGTTAAGTAAATCTGGAGAAGTTCAAATATTTCACTCTGCCAGGGAGGCTTTAGTGAATCACAGCCAAGTCACATTGTGGTCTTAGAGTGTGTCACAACAAACAAGACTTTTCACCTACTTTGTCACTTGCTTGCGTGAGGTGATAAAAATACCTACAACATATATAAATTCCTAAAATGCTCCAGTGTCATTTAGAAAAGCTTTTGGGTTTGTCACTCTGAACATTTGAGGGGGTTTAAAGCTCACTATCTCTTGAACTCCTCCTCTCTCAGTACAGTGAACAGTCAGGATGATAATGACCTCTTGGTGAATGGAGCTGGCGTTTCCCCTCTGACACAATAGCAGTCTTTCACATCACTCAAACACACACTGGCACACACACATACACAATATCCTGTCTGTCGTGCAGACGCATGCATGCATGCACTCACACATACACAGCTGTCATAAACACACGTGCTGTTATCCTCTCGCTCCTCTTATGCCCTCAGCCTCACTCACTTTCTCTCCCACACACTTTTACAATCAGGCTGCTCTTAAACACTAAGTTGCTGTTGTACTGTATGCTCCCATTTTGAGAGTGAGGAGATGGGTGGGCAGCCTGGAGAGTGAGAGCAGACAAGAGAAGATGCCCTGCAGTACCCTCTTGAGACAAATGTCCCATTGTCTCTTACCGTGTCCGTCTGTCTGTCTGCTAAGGTCACTGTCATATTTATTCAAAGTGCCTGTAGACTGTAAAACTGTCTCTCGGTTAGAATATGTCTTGTCTATATATGTCAGAAGGGATATTATTGCCTTGACACAGTTTGTTATCCAAGCACTAATGGTTTATACAAGTTATTGTGAACAGATCCTTTGTACTGTGTATAAAAGGCGGATATTTCGAAGCTTTTTCCTGTTTGAAAATTCATTTTGACACATTTGTCCACTGCATTTCTTCCCAAACTAAAATATTGCCAAATGTCAGAACAGAATAAGTGCAGTTTCAAATGCATTAGTTTTACTGTAGCATTTTAAACTACTATGCTGTGTCTTTTCATGTACATGCCATCTATTTGGCACTGTGATGTCTGTCTGTTCAGTGTTTTGGGGGGATTGTTTGAAATATAGACCAGAGGGAGTTGACCCTGTAATCTCGTAGAGGTCCCTAACCCCCTCTTTGCTATTTCTTGCAGCTGCTCTGAGGGGGACCACCACACGAGATCTCTACAGCCACTTTGGTCTGGAACTCGATGACTGAAAGGGAAAACAGGGCAGGGGAAAGTGTATGAAAATGAAGTGGGGAGACTGGTTTTGCAGACCAAATGGGGTGGGACAAACAGGGATAGTCTTGAATCTTTGTATCTAAACCATTTCCTTACAGCAACAGCAACAAATTAGTCTAAGGTGACTTTTCTCTTGGCTTTTTGTTTGTCTTTGTTGTTCACGATACACTGACTCCAGCGATTCCAGGGATTTGCTTTGTCCTGGTATTCAGACTTATTTGAATGGAGTGGGGAAAATGTATGCAAATCTGGTTAGAAAGAAAAGAGGGCATGCTGGTGTGTAAAATGTGTGTATATTGTACAAAATATTCTTGACAATAGTCTTTAATAAATATGTAACTCAACACAGCAGATGATGAGATCCTGTGTTTATAGTTACCTGCAAATTCACAACGAAAACTGAAAAGTAGCTGCAGATGATTAAAAAATGTAGGTTTTTATATTTATTTCACTCTGGTTTCAGTATCCAAATAAAGATATTTTACGAAGTGAAAGTGTAACCGTTGAGAAACGGGGTCGTGTCAGGTCATAATTTACCCACCCACTTCTTCTTTGGAGGCTGAAAGGATGTTAAGCAACGGGCACACTCAGTTTCCTGTCTGTTACCCTTTTGAAATCTAAAAGTTGAACTACAAAAGAAATGTAGATAGTGACTTTATTTTTAAAATCCTGAATCCTGAATACAGCTCTGCTTGCCTGGAACACAAGGTATACATCCTGAGAAGATACTTACCCAGCAGAAAAGACAGAATAGTGACATAATACAGTGGGTGTGTCCTTATCTGTCTGAAAGCCTCTGATAAGGTGTCTCTGATAACTACAGAGGGGCTTTACAGTCCTCATTATGCTCTGTTTGACTGTGATGTTGGGCCTCTGTACCCCTGTGTAAAAACTGTTTGACCAAGTCCTGGAATGAGCACTTTTTATCTGTCATTGACAGGTCAAAGCTCAGCCTATGTTCTTACCCGAACTTTGCATCTTTTTTATCTGATGTACAGTGCAGGGTGTACAGTCAAATCATCTATAAGATGACTGCAGATGTGAAGTGCTGATCCAAGAGTTCATGTATCTCAGGTTTAGACATTTTAATTTTACTAAAATTAATGAACATGTGAAATATTTTGCAGGATGTCACTATTAGCCTAAGTGTTTCCCTGTATTTGAGTCGTGCAGATCTCTGGAGAAATAACCTTTCTTAACCCTGCTCTAGTGTTTACAGCGGGTCTTTTGTAATCTTCCTCACTTATGCAATGAACTTCATGACATGACACACTGCTGTGATGACCAGTGTGTGAAATGTCAGCCACCCTCTGTCATTCAAGGGGACCTTTAGCTGATGTCCTGCTATCACGGGCCATAGCACTATTTTGCTCTAGTTTGCGATCATTTACAGGATAAGGACCAAAACTGAGTGTTAAATGTAGTTTGTGCAAATGTTGTTAGGACCACTCAGTTTGATCTGTACAGTACGGGGGCCGAGAACTGCCACTGCTGCAAAAAAAAGAAAAAAGAAGTCACAACTGAAGTTACTAATGCAAAAAAAAGGTACTGGAGCCCACTACAAATAAAAAAAATGGTGCAGATTAAAAAAAAGAAAAGCCACAACAGAAGTTAACGGCCCGAAAAAAAAAATGGCAATGGAAAAAAAATGTACTTACTGCAAAAGTAAAAGGATGCAAATAAAAAAAGCCACAACAAAGGTGAGCTGCTGGGGACCACTAATGATGATGCACCACTAATGATGGTGTTTTACAATCTAGACACACAAGACGACAGCGAGAAGACGAGCAAAGAAGTAAGTGGAGAGGTTATTGTTTTATTTCGCCTCGTGTGCTTTTCAATTTGTCATTTGGTTGGGCCATGTAGCGCCCGAGTTGTTATGAAGTAGAACTGAAGGTAACACCACACCGACATCCTCCAGTTCAACTTCGTATCGACTCAGGCGCTTCATGGCCTGACCAAATGACGCATTGAAAAGCACACGAAGCGAAATCAAACAATAACCTTTTCACTCACTTCTTTGCTCATCTTCTCGCCGTCGTCCTCTGTGCCTGGATCGTAAAACACTGGTGCATCATTAGTCAATTTCATCAGTCATCAGTTCATTCCTTTTTTTTTTTTTTTTTTTTTTTTTTTGCATTGGGACTTTTTTGCGTCGTTACCTTCCGTTATGGCTTTATTTTTATCTGCACCGTTTCTTTTTTTATTTGCAGCGGGCTTCGGTTTCTCTTTTTTTATTATTTGCAACTTTTTTTTTTTCAGCGGGCTTCGGTTTCTTCTTTTTTTTGCAAAAGTGACTTTTTTTTATTTTGCATTCTTTTTTATTTGCAGCAGTGGCAGTTCTCGGCCATCATAGTAAAGGTAGTCTAAATATTTTAGCATGTGTGATATACATCTGCAGTATTATGTTGTCATCCTTATACATGAAAAGCCAGCAGAGCTCTCAGCTGGTGTATGGTATTTTTGCACTGCCACAGTTTTTGTGTCATTAACTTTCATTGTGGCTTTATTTTCAACAGCATTTCTTCTTCTTTTTATTATTTGCAGTGGGCTTTGGTTTATTTTTTCTTTTTTTTTTTCTTTTGGCAAAGGTAACTTCCATTGTGACTTCTTTTTTTGTATTCTTTTTATTTGCTGCAGTGGCAGTTCTTGGCCTCCATAGTAAAGGTAGTCTACATATTTCATTATGTGTGATATACATCTGCAGTATTATGTTGTCATCCTTATAGATAGAAAGCCAGCAGAGTCTTCAGCTGGTGTATGGTTAGCTGATGCTGAAAACCTGCAGACAGCTAGTTGATATGTTGCTCTTTTATTGGTGATAATAGCAGGATGTCCTTCACAGCTTACTTCTTCACTGATCTCTCAAATGCAAAGATCCGCCCAGTGAGGTGGTGGACTCCATGTGCAGAGAGAGAGGCAGGGCTCATCTCAGGCCACACGCTCCGGCATCAGGCTCCTGCTGTAACCGGGTGGAAACTGCTGTGAGAGAGAGCTGGCCCTGCTGTCTGTCTGCAAGCAGCTACAGCCACACCGCATTTCCTCTTCAGCAGTGCCGCAAACCCCGCCCATGCCGGATGGGATGTTTTAAAACTTTCCCTCTCTGATTGGCCCAGCCGCACGTCCGTCACCGCTTATTCCTCATACATTGATGGGACGCTGACGGCAGTAGGCGGGCGCAGCTAAGAAATTTATAAGGTCATTTGAATTACGCTTGCTAGCGAGCTCATCAGCTACAATGAACCCAGAAATTATATCAATGATTGTGACAATGAACGGATGATGATCGAAGGGTCAAAGTCGACGCGCGCACCAAGGCGGATTTGACGCCCGAGCGGCAGGAGGAGAGGGGAAGGAGAGGAGCAGCAGCAGCAGCAGCTCGTTGTGGTATTAACAACAGGAGGGGATCCCGGTGCGTGTGTCCGTCCCTGTGAGCGTTTCTGTCAAGCCAAGCGAGCGGCGGCGAAGAACGGAGGGGGGCGACCAGGCTGGCCTATAAGCCGATCAAGGCGGAATCGCACACGACGAGCTTCACGTCTTGGGTTTTACGCGCATCTACATGCTGTAACGGTGCGGGCCAGGTGCGAGGTATGTACGCTAAAAACTGATCACCTACAGCCTTAGCTGACCCTGCGCCGCCACGATGCTCAACTTCACGGATATTACAGGCTAGAATAAGAGAAGCCCGTGGAGTGGAGTGGCCCGGTAATGACTCTATTGTCCTCTTTAACAACCTTGTGCGCAATCGCCCCGTTATAAGGACAAATGAGGTGGCTCGACACTTAGATATCAGACAGCCCTTCCGTCAATGAAAGGTAATTTATGTGAACGTGGAGTGCATGTTCAGCAGCGTGCCTCTTCATCCTGAAAGAGGCTGCTGCTGCTGTCCACTCTCCACCCGCTTTCTCGCTTAAGCCGATGCGCGTAATGCACTGCGCATCTTGCTTCCCAGGCGCGTCGGCTACAATGATAACCTACATTAAGTTAGCCAGATGACAAACGCTCCAACCGGGATAAAGGCCCTGTCTGGAGGCGCACATGGCCCGGTAAGAGAGGCGCAGTGGGTTGAGCCTGTCTTTCGTTTCCCCTCTACTACCGCAATATGATGCTACGCGCCTCTTAAATTTCCGGGTGTAGCAGCAGCAGCAGCAGCGACTGATGAAGCATTTTTTCCTCTCTGTGAAACAGTCAGAGTCGTTCACACTGTATTTTTAACCTGTCATGTCGACCATTCGGGTTATTTCAACCGTGCACAACCAGCTGTCTGGACACACAGACAGACAGTCAGCGTTTTAAACTTATTAAGTTGATAGACTAATATAGCAATGATAACAGTGAGACTACAGCCACACACAAGGGAGACAGAACAACTTCTAACCAGTCTGCTCATTGTCTGTACAAAATGTGCACTCTTAAAATCACATATTTAAAATTATGAAAGTGTTTTTTGTTTCTCTCACACAGGCTAATGAATTAATAATAGGCAGTGATGTATCTTTTACTGCTTTAGGATCATCTTCCCAGTTACCTGGTGGCAACTGGACACCAGTGCCAAAACAAGCTGTCCTCTGCTGCTCTTAGCTGTCACCATAGACGATTTTCTTTGAATTCGAGCCTCTCCAAGGCCTCTCCTAGCCTTGAGGTTTTTTTTTTTTTTTTTATAGTAGAGAGAGAAAGAAAAAAACAAAAAACAAAGAATCTCTGTTTTACAAATTCTGCCCATGTGAGAAAAATGGTGCTTGTGACTACTTAAGTGATTTTACACATCCTGTTTATGACAGGTTACACTCAAACCTCATTTGTATCAACATCACAGCGTGCCAGAGTGAGTCAGTATGTTAAAGTGTGTACAGAATGATAGATAACATTTGCTTGAATACTGTTTAAAGATACTGGTGTGAGATGTTTCTCTCTTTCTTGCTGAGTAGAAGTTTGGTATGCAATATTTGGGGTGAGTTTCCACCACCTTCTACTTGTATCTGTATCGTTTTACATCTGTTTGCATTTTTTCAGGATGATGCGTCTTGCTAGTTGTACAGCCCTGCTGTTTGTGCTGAGGCTGCTGGTGGGCTTGCCTTGGTACCAGGTTCTCCCGGCGATTCTGATATTCTACCTGGGAAGTGGAGGATGGAGCTTCCTGCAGATTTTTGCCAAAACAGTCGGCAGAGATTTACAGTAAGGAGTTGGATGTTATGTGTGTGTGTTTGAGTGGTTCTGGTTTTAATACAGAGATAGAAAGCTGGAGAATTCTATCGTAGGTCATGCTTCTATTTGGTTTCTTTTTCATAAGTTTTGACCGGTCAGATTTTGACTGGCTGCCTGCAGATGGTTCAGTCTTTTATCCCAGAAATTTCACCTCAGAAAATTTTGACCTGAAGTGAAACAATAAGGCTCAAGTGCTGACTATCACCTCTAACAAAAGCCTGTTAACAATCAGATTTGGTATACTGTATTTGAAATATGCTCTAAAAATTTGGGAATTAAAGCCCTTTTAAAATCAAATGTAAAAAACAACACGTTTAAATCCAGTGCATTTGATACACAGCCAAAACAGCCTAACAGTTTGCCTCTTTACAAACATTTGAAGCCATTTAAAAATCAAAGTGACTGGAAAAGGTTAGCATATCAAGTCCAAGCACTTAGACACTGTAGACTCTTTAAAGCAGTTGACACAAACCTTGTGCAATTTGCAACCTATAAGTCAATATAAGGCCACAAAAAACCCTCTTAGATCTACAGCTTGGACCTTTGGCAGAGATATTTGTGTTGATAAGTGAGAGCCATATAAGCCATAGTTATCACTTATCAGCTCTAAAAAAATCACACATGATAGCACATTGATATAGGCCTGTAGAGATCCACTGGTATGTTGTCTTCAGTAAATCATTTAAAGCAGTCACTTTAAATGATTCAATGCAGTCGCTCAAGTTTTACTCAGTCTTCACCCAGAGTCTCTATCTTTAAAACTTCATTACACTTCAGGGCAGCAGCATCTCATTTCAAAAATGTATCGATTATATTTCCAAAACTGATTCTGTTGTTTACCACAGTGACAAATTTAAGCTCAAAGAGAGTCTGTGCAGCTTTAGCCATGTTAAATTTAGCCCATCACATCAAACAAGCTCTTTTTGAGAATTTACCACAAGACCTGAGGCCTCAACAGGCTCAGTAAACAGCCGGCGTTCAAAACCGACGGCTCATTCCTGTTGTTCATGCTTTTAAAACCTGAAATATTTTCGACAAGAGACAATAGAGGGGATGGGGGAGGAGGGGGAGGCAATTTCAACCGTCTCACCTAAAGCCAATATTTACATTGTGGAGTAACCATGGTAATTCGTATGTGTTTGACTTCCTTTTTTCCTCAATAGTACCAGAAGCGGTCAAACAGGAAGTTGTAAAACACAAGCGTGCATGCCCTATTCAAACACAAACCAACAAAGTGACCTAACCAGTTGTCATGTTGTGGTGCTTACCTGTGACCTAGTGTGTACAAAAATTTGTGTCATAGGTCGAAGTTTCCAAGACTATACTTGGCAGATGCTTATTGCGTAAACACAAGAGCATGCTGTTGCTAATTTTGATTTGTCCTTTTATTATTGTAGCCTCAGGGTTCAGATTTCACTGTAACTGACCTTGTTAAAGCATAACCTTTCCAGCCATGACTCAGAAAATTCCTCGTGTCATTTACTGGAACTAGATTCAGGTATTTACACTGTAAATCTCACTATGGTCCACATCTGAATGCTTCTGTAATCTATGTCACCTTTGAATGTAAATATTTCTTTACCTCCTAATCCCAGTGATTGTCACTGGGATTTAAGTGACAGCATGTATTTTCACAGGAGTTAGTGGTAGAAAGTAATGATTTTCTTCTCAATGGTGCAGCGTATCGCCTTTACAAAGCTCCACCGAGAAACCTGAATGTAAAAATCAGTGTTTTTAATCACTGAGACTTGCAACATAAGAATTATATAGTAAATGTTAGTTAGCTAAATAATGTTTATAATGTTAAAGCTTGGTTTCTAACATTATATCTTGATAAGAAACAACAGTAATAAAGTGTATGGGTCATGTTGCAACAGAATCTGCTTCAAATAGCTACTTATCAGTGCCTGCAGCAAATTAATCCCCTGTGTCATGATAAAATATCATCACCTCACAATTTGGCCTCAATGTTAAATGGCTCAAAGGTTTTTATGGCTCCTCAGTTTTATACTCCGCTCAGGAGAGCGCCTGATAGCTGCACCTTTGCACCATACATGTAAATAATCCTGTAAGATTGTGCCATTTAAGCAGACTTTGCCCTTTGGATCCATCCCACCATCTGTCATAATGTTTGTGGATATTATGGTTAGAAATTTTACACAGTGTAGATCACCTTAGCTGAGTGACTGCAGATAAACTTAAGAATAGAAGGTTTTGAACCTTGTAGGCCCCTAGCTGGACAATTACCTCAAGAACATTTGGAGTTTTTGGTTTGATTTTACACCATTCATGCATCCACAGTGGAAATATAGTGACAAGACTTTACCATTTTATGTCACTACAGTTTAAAAATCATCATCAGAGGATCAATAACATGAATATTGTACATTTGACAGTAAAAATCCAGTCAACTACTTTTGCTGCGTGATATATGCCATACTTTGCTTCCAAACATCACTTTTCACACACAAAAAAATCAGGAAATTAATCTTTATTTTGTTGGAGATTGGCTCATAGTAACAAGACACAAGAGTAACTTCAGTTAGTAGTTAATGGGCTCAAACATGGCTAACCAATGGTCTTTTAGGGGAATCTAAATGGCTGTTACACTAAAAATTGAATCATCTTTCTAGTTGTCTCCTTTTACTAACATTTACTTTCACCCCCCCAGTGCTGCAGTTGTGTTGTTGCGGGTGAAAATGAATGTCAGGCGTCACCTGAAAGAGAAGAACACTATTCCCAAGATCTTTGCTGAAACGGTTCAACGCCACGGAGACAAAACGGCGCTAATCTTCGAGGGCACTGGAGAGAGGTGGACCTTCAGACAGCTGGATGAGTACTCCAACAGAGTGGCCAACATGCTGCTGGAGCGAGGTTTCAGGGTACGCCTATGGAACGGATGATTTCTGGAGAATCAGGTCTACTCTATTGCATATTTAACACACATTGAACCTCCATTTTTGTTGTTCTTCTCCTCAGGAGGGTGACGTGGTAGCCCTTTTCATGGAGAACAGATCGCAGTACGTGGGCCTCTGGCTGGGCATGGCCAAGATTGGTGTCGAGGCCGCTCTTATCAACTTCAACTTGAGACTCGAGGCCCTGGTCCACTGTGTCACCATCTCCAATGCCAAGGCTGTGGTGTTCGGAACAGAGCTGATTGATGGTAAGAGCAGGAACAATAAAAAATAGAGATTTATCTGAGAGGTACGATGCAAAATTATTTGTTTTACTAGTAAGATAGGCAAGTTTACAGCCAGTAATCATCACAATCAGTAAATCTGATAAGTGCTGATGTGCTTCCGCTGTGATGGGGGAAATAAGTGGTGCAGGGAGAAAGTAACAGAGGTCATAAAAGATTGATGGGTTGGGAGGAGGTGTCTCTACAATATCAGTGAGGGGAGCTCTAATGGCTGACGGATGGGAAGAGAGGAAGAAGTAATGAGGAGTGAAGTGGAGAAATGTCTTTAGCATCGAAGCTGGTCAGAGAGGAAAATTGACTTGCGGATAATTAACTAGAACAGACCTTTCTGCAGCATGTTAAACCTGAGTCACCTTTTTATAAATTGGTAATATAACTAATCTTGTGGTTTAATGAATTAAAAATACAACCCAAAGAATAATAATAATACAGATTGTTCCCACAATGAAGGTTTTAACCTCATAGTTATTTTATTAAAGAATAGTTCAATCATTGGCCCAAGCAGTTTGTAATTTTTACTCAAATATGCACATTCTGAGGTTGAAATAGAACCAATAGCCTGTTGTGTCTAATCTGCTAACCTGCAGTGTGGACTCAAACCTGTAGACCTCAAACCTTGCAGCAGCTCAGAGTTGTCAAACATAAATTAGGCGTCCGTTTCAATCTCCTTGTGACCCTTTTTGGGTCTGTGCCCGATCCAAAAAAGCCCTGATCTCAACAGCTATAAAGAACGAACGAGTTTGAGCTGTTTTTCCTGGGATTGATGGAGCAGTCTGTGTATTGGACCCTGCATTCATCATGTGCTTTATGCCTTTTAAGTAATTGGAAGCGCAGCCTCTTTGCTACTGAGTCAACCAGAAGTATGGGACGGCAAACGCGAAGCTTTTCGGCTGAGATAAACTCTTTAAAATAAAATATTCTTTGGTGCGCTTCACTCAGAGCCACATATTGCTTCTTTCTGGCCTTGTTTCTTTATTCTTCCATGGGCCTCTCTCTGCCTTTCACCAAATTCTCATGAAGGTCGTTTTCCTCTGACGTCAGAACAGGAAGCTCAAATGCTCTGTTGCATTATAGGTAACTGCAGCACAGGTCATAGTTACAGTGACTATTCAGCCATATGTAGAGCCAAACAACATACTCAGCAGCCTACTAACTACCCTCAGACTGCTTATGTTGTATAAGCAAAACCCCAGCTAATATTACATAAATTAAGAAGTAAATCTTGGCTAATGTGGTGTTAGCTAGGAACCCCTAGCTAACAAAACATTAGCTACAATGGTCATGTCAGTCACTTCATGCTATTATTATTATTGCTTATGCTTATGCTAATTATGTGGTATCAGTGTTACACAGTACAACAGGACTGTGGCGCTTCCTGTGGCACTTTTAGCGTTAGCCTCAGAGCTAAGGGTAATACAAGCAAAAGTGTCTGAATGTTCATGTACAGCTAACAGCTCATCAAAAATGCTCTTTTACCCTAAAATATGGCAAGGACTAACCAACAATTGGTAATATGGATAATAACTTGTCATATTTACTAAATTTAAGTGACTGAAAACCTTGAACTCAACAGCTTAGATACTGTACTGATGATAAAACCAAACTGACTGTAATGTGTCTTTTTCTTCTTCTTCTGCTTCTTAAAGCGGTGTCAGAGGTCCACAGCTCTATGGGGCAGAAAGTGCAGATGCTTTGCTGTGGAGACTTTGACCCCCATAGAGCCCCACAGGGTACCGAGTGCCTGGAGCCCCTGCTAGAGAGCGCCCCGTCTCATCTGCCAAAGCGGCCACAACGCTGCTTCACCGGTGAGAGTCAGCCAGTGACACTTTATTTGACAAATAAGAGTCAGAGCTCCTGGGATATCATTTAGCAAACTTTGGTACTAATTGTCATTATTTACTTTTGTTTAATTAGAGTATTGACACATCAGTGGTGGCAGGTAACCACTGAGCCAGATAAAGCCGGGGATAAGTAATAGATTAATTAGGGACTTAATTATTTGTTATTTAAAGCCTTTCTGAAGCAAATGAAGTGAATGATAGAAAATCTCAACCAGATCCTCTGCTCTTGTTCAGTAACTACTTTTTTTTTTGCAATTACTGATGACTCATCATTTAAACGTCACTTGTTTCCAAGGCAACCTTGACACGGCACACAGGTCAAGGAGAGAAACCAATTTCATCCACAATATTAATAATGAATTCATGAATTCATACAGTACTCGTATATCTCAAAGTCAAAAACTCAGATTGGAGGTCTTAATATCTCGGGATTTCATTATTACAACCTCACTTCAGGCTTGTTTTTGTCCCCATTACTCAGCATTTTAAATTTTTTATTTATAAAAAGAGCTGATTTTGTATTTCTGGAGAGACAGTTTTCAGAACGTTGAATAAAGTCCTATCTACTCACTCACTTTCGCTCTTGAACATGGCATGTAACTGCTGACAGCTACACAGTCTGTAGCAGAAATATAAGCTCTAATTCTAGCTTGGCATCCACACAGCTGCTTGTGCTTACTGTGCATACTTCTTCCAGCCATGATTTTGCTATTTTGAGGCATGCATTCTGTCATTCAGAAATTTTGTAGGCTTGATCAAAAGATTTATTGGCACAAAATATGTTTTGCACATAATGAATGTTGTTGAGCATGCATACAGCTGACGTGGTGATTTATGAATGGGAGAGGCTCAAGGTGACAGCAACCTGATTCTCCTGCTGCGTATATCAGAGCTCAAATATCTGTTTATCCTGTTAAGTAGGGGCAGGTGATTATTACTGATAAAACAGATAAGAAAGGATTCATTTTTGTTACAATCAAAGCCAGTAATAGCCCCAAATTTTGATCTGACTCTCTGCTTTGTGTTTCAGATCGCCTGTTCTACATCTACACATCAGGAACCACTGGGATGCCTAAAGCTGCTATTGTTGTGCACAGCAGGTAGGAAGGAGCCGTGCAGCTACCCAACAGATACACAGGATTTGCAGCCCATGTTTTTTTTCATTCATGCAGCTTTCATGTGCACTTACAATACCTTCATAAAAAAATTTGGATCCGAGATAAAAAAAAAAAGTTGTTGATTTTGTTTTGACCAGAGTTTCTTTCTTCTCTTGCCCCGTGGTTTTCAGGTACTACCGCATGGCAGCTTTAGTGTATTATGGCTTCAGGATGACACCAGAGGATGTGTTGTATGACTGCCTTCCACTCTACCACTCTGCAGGTAAAATTACAACTTAATGCAACATCTTAATTCAACTTATGGAAGGGAGTCTATATGCAGTTAATCTTTATCTTGATAAGATTTTCAGCCTGAAACAGCATCCAAAGAATCATAATGTTCTGCTATTTCTTTGTCTTCAGGTAACATTGTGGGAGTGGGCCAGTGTATAATCCACGGCATGACTGTAGTCATCAGAAAGAAGTTCTCAGCTTCACGTTTCTGGGACGACTGTGTCAAATACAACTGCACCGTAAGTATGATTTAGATCAGAAGCCACTGCTATAGGTTTATTTTGTCCACCAGTTAATATCTTTGCATGTTTTTTTTTAACAAGTTTGGTGTTCAAATAGTAATCATTCCTCTTTCTCTACTGTGCTGCTCCGCTCTCCTCTAGATTGTACAGTACATTGGGGAAATCTGCCGGTACCTGCTGAACCAGCCTGTGAGGGACACAGAGAGACAACATCGTGTACGCATGGCGCTAGGCAACGGCCTGCGTCAGTCCATATGGGAGGAGTTCATGAACCGCTTTAATATCCCACAGATTGCTGAGTTCTACGGAGCCACAGAGTGCAACTGCAGCCTGGGCAACTTTGGTAACAAGGTGGGAATGTGTCCGGCCGTTAATTGGTGATGATGCCCTAAAAAGCTTAATCATTTTAGTCAGCCTTTGCTTTGTAATTACCATCACTGGGTTGAAATATGATTTTCTGAGTTGCTTGAGACTCCCACTACTCACTAAATCCCATCACCTGGGAGTTTCAAAGTGTGTTCAAAGCCCCCATTACATCGTCTTAGTCTAAAAATGTCTTGTTTTCTTTGTTTAGACAGCTACTTATGATGACAGTGCTGCAGCTTTTTGACCGGTATGAGCAGGTCTGCCTTTCATCTTCTTTTTTGAGACTGAAAGCTTTGCTGCTGTTCATATTTTTTTGTCTAGGTGGGAGCGTGTGGCTTTAACAGCCAGATTCTGCCTTTCATCTACCCCATCAGACTGGTGAGGGTCGACGAAGAGACCATGGAGCTCATTCGAGGACCTGATGGTGTCTGTATTCCCTGCAAACCTGGTATGTTTGACGTGTACACATGCTACACCCTTACTTAAAACCTGAAAGGAATAGATGTTGTTTCAGAAAACCACCAGAAGTACACATTGGGTGTGTTAAACAGTGACGATGCAGCTCCATTACAAAACTGTCTCTAGGTCTAAGCTGCTTCATAATATCTCTTTATTATGACACATCCTTGCTGTTCAGTGTCTAGGAAGACCCTCATTTGTCCTTTTTTTACTTACATCGATGTGATATGAAAGCGAGGAAGAGATGACTAAAGTCGATCATTTTAATCTTACACAGCTGAAAGAAAACTTGTGTAAGTTTCCCGCAGTTAGCATGAAACTATTCACTGGGATTCACTGTATGCTAAATTACTAGATAATAATAACAATGATAATAATAACTTTATTTGTATAGCAGTTTTAAAAACAGAAGTTTACAAAGTGCTTTGACAAATAGTCAAAAAGCACATGGAAATAAAGACAAACAAAATGCTCAGTTAAAATGGAATTGAGGGCCGTTTTCATACGTCATAAGGAACCCAGACAATACAAGAACCGTGCAACATAAAATGAGACAATGAGAACCAAAATAAAAACATAAAATGGTTGAGAAAAAGAAAATGCGATAAAAAGGTTGAGGCAGAAAACAGGATAGGAAATATAAAAGACAATGTCAATAATAAAAATATGCTCTATTATAAGAAACAGGGAAAACCAAAGCAAGAAGGAAGACTTAAAAATGGCGACTTTGGTTTAACTTGTTAGTGAATGATCGTGGATGGTGCAGCAGTTGCCTTGTGTTAGTTTAATGAAAAACACTGTTGGATGACAGACTGAGCAGACGGGGAGCTGACTTTTTTCATTTATGCATAATTATCATATGTTCTATTTATGTATTGGCCTTTTATTCACCGGTCAAATCTACGCAAAAAGTTGTTCCATAAAATAAAGTCATAAAAAACACTAAAGATATTTCTTTAAAAAGCTGCTTGTCAAGTAAGTAGGTCTCAGGCTACAAGACAAACCCGCTCAAAATCATTGCTTAGTCTTGAATGAACAACGCAAGGGTTGATTGTGATGTCACGTTGCGTTTTGTCTTTGCTATCCTACATGTGCTGAACACACACATTCTCAGACTAGCCAACACACAGACGGACAGTGCTGTTTCAACAGCTAAAAGTGAAGTTACAGAAATGTAAATAATACACCTTGAATTGGAAAATGGGGAAAGGACTTTTGCCTCTTCTAAAAGCAATCCCCTCTTGTTGTAGGAAAATTAAAATTGTGCAGAACATATTTGGGGTTTGGAGAAAAAACGATTCACATAAGTGAATTTAAATTTTCAAATTTAAGAATAAATCTTAAAAACTGACTTAAATGTGATGTATATTTTTCGGGGAAATATGGTTCCTTTTAATATTCAGTTAACAATCATAATCATTCAAATGTTTCACTGGTGTTAAAAATGCAGACTAAAAATAGAGAAAATTGGCAATATCGTAGAATCGCAATTTAAATCAAATCGGCATCCAAAAAAATTTTCCAGGAATTGAATCAGGAGAAAAGCATATCACCACAGCCCCGAGCACATATACTGTATACGCCAGTTTAAGGTATAAAAATCTCTGTTTTTCTTCACAGGGGAGCCTGGCCAGCTAGTCGGCAGAATCATTCAGAATGACCCTCTTCGGAGGTTTGATGGCTATGTCAACCAATCAGCAACTAGCAAGAAGATCGCTCACAGTGTCTTTAAGAAGGGAGACAGTGCCTATCTCTCTGGTAATAGTCACTCAAATACATGGTGATTATCTATGTTATCTTCTGATGAAGTAAACCAGTATGACCCTCCTTTCACCAGGCGACGTGTTGATCATGGATGAGTGCGGCCACATGTACTTTAAGGACCGTACGGGAGACACTTTCCGCTGGAAAGGAGAGAATGTTTCAACGACCGAGGTGGAGGGAACTCTCAGCAGGCTGCTGGACATGAAGGATGTGGTAGTCTATGGTGTGGAAGTACCAGGTAAAACTCGTTCAGTATCTACTCTTGAATATCCACTGTTATCGAAGTTCCCACAGACCCTATTGGGAGACATTGTTAGTTTTAGTTGCAAACTGACTTTTGGTCGCTTGACAGTTGCCGTCTATAGTGTCAAAAGGATGACACTGGAGAAAAGCAGAGTATTCACAGCATCATATTGTTATTAGTATTGTTAGCCCTGATAACCTGTGAACTGGGAAAAGTATAAAAACACCATAATACTAACTTTTTACTCTTCAGAAAGAGCACAGACTTCTTGGTTGGTCAGTTTGTAGATTAAACCACCAGGCAAGCCATGTTGTTTGTCTGATATTTGCATGAGAAATCCCCATGAGGCACTAACAGCACAAACACGGCCCGGAGGTTAGGCTCAGAGACTGAATTAGCTCAGACTACACCCAGCAGACAGCTGGAGGCACCAACTGTCACTTAAAGCTACTACGCCCGTTATTAGGCATAAATTTGAGTCACAATGTCATCGAAATGAGAGTTTTATCAGAGTCTTCTGCTTTAGCTGTAGCTGCAGCGTTATGGTCTGCAGCAAGCATATTAAACTCTCCTGTGCAGCTGGGCTTTTTAAGGCAGGGTCTAATGGGGATTGGCTGGTTTTTATAGCCAGCACAAAGTGGCCACTCCTGTATTTGGTATTTTCATTGGCTTAATTCATTATCTCAGGAGGGTGCTGCTTGGTCATCCTCCAATTGGTGTCATTTCTCTTCGAGCTGTAGCAGAGTGGGCACAAGTGAGTTTGTCGTTTCACCATTAGATTCAGATACTGTGTGTAGCTTGAGATACAAATAGGTTAGTTACCACACCTGCAGTGCCACTCCTGACTTAATGAGCATGAAATTAAGTAAACCAGTTTGAATTCTCTTCAGCTTGTGCTGAGCTGTTTCAGATGGCATTCCCAGGTGTCACTTCTAAAGCAAGATATCTTAACTAACAGCTGATAAATCTCTAGTAAGATACTGTTTGACGACACAGGCATGATTCTTGCATCTCTCAGCATCTGTCTGAAATTAAAAGTCCACCATCCACAGAATGAATCCTCTGATGGTCATTGTTTTTGTGCGCACAGGAGCCGAGGGGAAGGCTGGAATGGCAGCCATCGCTGACCCGTCTCACTCCTCTGACCTGGAAAAGTTTGTGAAGGACATGGACAAGGCTCTGCCTCCGTACGCCAGACCTGTTTTCCTCCGCTTTCTTCCGGAGGTCAACAAGACAGGTACGGTATCTTTACAACCATTTGTGAAAAAGGAAAAAGCAGAAAAGGCAGAAAGCTAAGATAACGTCTGTACAGCTGGTTTTGATGGACTTGTTAGGGTTTGTGATTTTCTTTCCTCATGTTTTATCATTTTTTTAAAAGTTGCAGTAAGAAAGAGAGAAACCACAAAGTGTAACAATAGAAATAGGAATAAAAATAACTTTATTTTTATAGCACTTTTAGGTTTGCAAAGTGCTTTGACAAATAGTCATACAGCACTGAACATCAGCACACGGAAATAAAAACAAAAGCTCAGTTAAAACAAGGCCTCCAAATTGAAGGCCAGTTTCATTTGTCATAAGGAACCCGGACAATACAAGAACCCTACAACATAAAATGAGACCATGAGGACCAAAATAAAAACATAGATTAGGTAAGAAAAAGAAAAAGAAATAAAAAGGGGGGTTGAAAGCAGAAAACAGGATAGTAAATAAAAAAAGACAATATTAATAATGATAATTAAATAATAACAAAATGATAATGATGGTAATAGTAATAATAAAATAGAATAATAAAAATGAGCAAGAAAAAACATTAAAATCAATAAAAGGCCTAATAGGTTAAATAAGAAAAGATTATAAGTATAACAAAGGCTAAAAAGACAGTAGGCCGAACTGAGATAGAGGTAAAATAAAGAAGTGTAGCAAATCTGAAACAGCTGATCTTTAAAATAATATATCTTTATTACCTTTCTATCTGTTTCTCTCACAGGAACATTCAAGTTTCAGAAGACAGACTTGCGTAGGGACAGCTTTGACCCCACTGCAGTGTCTGACAGACTGTACTTCCTGGATTCCAGCAGAGGGCGCTATGTGCAGCTGGACGAGGAGCTGTACCGCGGCATACTGTCAGGGAAACATAAATTGTGATGACCAGGCTGAACACTACACAAACACACAAACACGCAGATATACAAACAGATTCAGAAAAAAACAAGACAATATAATTTGACCAGGATAGCAGAAAGAAGGACTTTGCCTCCATCAACATAAATGCATATTAAGTAATAGCCATACACACACTCCATGCGCCCACAACCAAATGCCAACATATTTACATAAACACACCCACACACACACACATTGTAATCCCCCAACCACCTTGCTCTTTAAAATCTCGAGAAACAGACTTATGCACGCCGCACACTCACACACACACATTGCACCACTCCATCCATCCCTCCCGGCGCCCCTCTGGCAACTTCTCTCGCTACCTCAGCAAACACAGAGAGAGTCTCACACCCGAGCAACCAGGTCTATTTGGTAACTTGAACGCACCCTTCATATAGCCACACAAGCCCCCACCCACACTGGCCTCAAAAGACCACGCCTGTCCGTCCTGGTCCATCGAAACCAGATGTGTAGCTGGAACCCACAGCTGGAGAGCAGGCTGCCTGGCGTCGCAGAACGCAAAAACTTGAAAGTACAGATAACCACAGACTCGAAGGATGCTGAGGACACGCATGGATTTAGCACATTTGGGACAACGGAGGGACCCTTTTGAGGGGCCGAAACCGCCTCTCAGTTTGTTGTTTCATCCGGATGATTGTTTTGTGAAAGACAGCAGCCTTCTCTGTCGACTTCACCTGCACAATTAGCCAGCAGTGACACTCCTGTCTCTATCTGACGTGTTTTTGTGTGTGTGTGTCATTTCTTTCAAAAGGGAACAACACGAGGATAAGAGGGATTTTCAAAAAAAAAAAGCCCCTGACCTGTAAACCATATTCACAGGATGTGTATTTAGACCAGTGGTTGAAGCCGAAAGATTCACTGAAGTGCAATAGTGCTCTGGCGTTGGTAGTGCAATAATCAGCTGCACCACATGAGCGCTGATAGAAAATAAAAGCTTTTTATTTCTCTGCACCACACCAAATATTTTAAGTTGTAGTATTTGTTTACATATTTAAAAAATATGAAACTCTTAGTAATTTATGCTCTTGCTCGCTCTCTTTTTTTTGTTATATATCAGGTTGTTTGTGCTTTATGTTTATCCAAATCCATCCTTTTAGAAAGTCTTTAGAAGTGACGCTGCAGTCCTTTTCTATATCAGCTGCTGGAACACAAAGTCAAGTGATCTGGCTGGTTCAACCCTGGCCTCAATACAACATGCTTGTTTTTTTTTTTTTCCTTAAACAAGACTTGTTTACAGTCAGTTTGTTCGGCTGCATTGTGCAGGTTTTGTCCCACAAGATAACTATCATAGGATATGTGTGTGTATTAAAACACATGAAGAGGACCTGGCTGAAGACAGAGATGAAACAAATGGTCTGGACTTCACAGACTTGTTTTCAGCAATCTCCCGGTGCTAAGGAGGGTTTTAAGTGAGCCGAAAAGATCCAAAGATATAAAGGCGGGAGTGGAGGTATTGATCGTGGAGGTGTGTGAAGATAGGGACAGCAGAAGAGGGGGAAATGTGCTTTGTCATTGTCATTTTTTCTGTTGTAGCAGCATGAATGAGCATCACTGACCACAAGCAAAGCACGGTGCCTTACTGTGAGTTCACCTCCCAGATTCACAGGCCCTGATCCCCAAATAGTAACTCTTTGGGTCCCTTTGTCTTTGTTTTTGTTTTACCCACTGTAATCTTATTTGTCATTCCCAAGTTCCTTGTAGTAGTAGTGTTGCAAATCTGGCTTTAAACATCATGTTTTATTCTAAAAATGCTTTGTTGAGAATCCATGGCTGACCCGTGGTCAGTGTGTAGATCCTGCCAGGTGCAGGAGGAGTCGGTGTCGATATTTCGGGCCAAGAGTCAGAATGTTGCGAGGCTTTTGTCCTGTAGTTTTGAATCAGTGCGTCTTCCTCTCTTCCTCTAGTTTAGAGTCTTAACCTGTTCCTAGCTATAATCCTAACTTGGCTCTTGCAGTTTTTAGTCACGTTTTTCTTGGCCGAAGTTTCTGTTTGCACCTTTTACTGAAAGCCTTTATCATTCTGCAAAGCACTCTAGTCACCCCGATTAATGATTCATAATCTCTGGCCTCATTCTGTGGCCCTCTATACCTACAAAACGGTACCTCTGTTTGATTCATGCTGTCTCTGCCCGGCTTTCATCACGTCTTCTTCGTCCCCTGTGCGCTCATGTTCATCCAGACTATGGTACAAAGTGTAGTTGAATATATTTGAGATAGTTTCCAATTGGAGTTCGTTTTGTCCTTCGTCTCCAAACATTCAGAACTGTTCCCAGAAATCTTTTGTCAATGTGTGTCATGTGCGTCGGCTGTATATAAACATGGATAACGCGTCTTCACCTCCTCTTGTTGTACGAAAGCGAAGCCAAAATAACAAACTCTGACTGGGTTTGGCTTGACCCTGCACTCTTGTAACGCAGATGTAACTTACAGAGAAAATGCTAAAGCTCACCTCAGGTCGCTAAAGTCTGCCGCTTTAACAGATGCTTGCGTTGTTTTGAAGCAACCCTCACAAAGCAGGAGCAATATTTAAACTTAAGGACGAACACTTCAACATAAATCAGCATGATGGAAGCTAACTATAATAACAGGAATCATATTTTAGATCTATATTTTGACTCATGTCTCATCTGTTAACATGGAGGGAGCAGGACTCTAATACTGCAACCGTTAAACAGATGAAGCTCCACATATTTTGGCTTCACATTTGAGGAGCTTAGAGGTTGTCCATCTTTATATAAAGTCTACAGTTGTGTGTGTGTGTGTGGTCTACCATTCCCCTTGACTGTTTTCTTTGAGGCCACCTCAGCACAGCTGGTCTGACTCACATGAAGACTGGCTGTACTGTGTGTCATCTTGTTCATGAGTTTTGTTGTGACATCGCTTAGGCTGCTTTGTTTTTCTGCAGGATGACTCTCAGTTCGAATACCGCTTGACTTGATTCATATTTTTTGCACTGGCGACTGCAGATCGTAGAAAACTTGCCTCCACCTGTTGTTCCCCTGCATCTAGGATAAAAAAGGTGTTCGATAGAAATCAAGCTTGATCGCTGCTTCCTCTGTGGTCTTAGTTCTGAATCTCTCTCTCTCTTTCTATCTCTCTCTTTATCTCTATTTCTCTCTCACTTGTATTCATTCTTTAATGATGAGTGTGAAATGTTCTCCTGAATGTCTGAAAAAAGCGAAATGAGTGACCAATGATGTTGTAAAGTGATGTGCGCATTTACGGGAACAGTTTGGCTGTTATGATGATTGAGCCCAAGGGTTGCACTTTGTGGACCCCTGACTGAACAGCCCCACAGCTGAGCACTCTGAATAAGATGTTTCCATTTTACACATATTTTTTAAATGAGTTTAAATTATTATTTTTGAAAGAACTGTCAATTATACTTTGATCGTTTCACTGCTAAAATATGTGTTTGAATTGTTTTGTTTGTTGTGTGGAATCATAGCTTTTTTTGATTTTGGTTGGAAAAAGGGGGATTCATGCATGAGTGTAAGACAATCCAACGGCAGTGGGATTTATTTCTCCTTTTTACGAAGACAAAAACATCAGGAACTGGTCAAGGAGCAGCTTTTTCTGGATGATATCAGTCGTACAAGTTGATCCAGAGCCAGTTTGCCATGTCACTGCTCATTAAAAACGTTTCAGAAAGTGTATGGCAAACCGTTTAAAACCTGAAATAGCCAAAGCCATGTAAAAACATCTGGGGTTGAGAGTTGGAGACATGTGTATGACCAGAGGAGGGCGCTGTGCCCTCACTGAAGATTTTCAATCAGAAAGGAGCGTGTCAAGTTGGTTTCCATGCCATATTTTGGACCTGATGTGTACAAATTAACAACTGCAGATAACAAAATCTTTTATTCTGCAAAAGACTGATATAATTGTCACCCTAAAGGTCTAACCAAACGTTAAGACGTGGAAATCATTACAAACAAGGCGGGCTACAGCATCCAAACAACGGTGTGTTTGCAGTCTGACTGTTTCTCATGCCTCTGATCAACTTTTCTGTTTTTTTTTTTCTCTTTTGCACTTTTTCGTTTGTCTGTTTTTTCCCTGCCGTGCTCCTCAGGAACATCCAGCAGTGCTAGAGAAAGGAAACAAGTTTGTTCACGTCTGCCTATGTGAGTGAAAGGTTGTTGTTGTTTTTAATTATTTTTATTTAATTGCACAGGCGGCAGCTCTCAGCTCGTGCAGAGTGTGTAGAGGAGGTCTGTGAGGTGTGCTGACACTGATGTCCTCTTGTCCACTGAAGGCTCTCTGTATAGATCATGCATTTCAAATGAATGAGGAAAAAAGCAGTGCTGCAAGTGGAAAAATCATTATTAATAAAATCTATTTAAATTGTTCACCCTGGCTTTGATGGTTGTATCAGTTTTGTCAGGATGGAGCAGATTTAATGGCTGGATCCTCGACCCCCTGGTGTTTTAAAAGGGTCAAAAGGTCAGACTATAAAAGCTTTCAGTCTGAGATAAATTTGGCGCCCTCTGCTGATGAAGCAGTACCTCTGAACTCTGCTGATTTTGTAGAGGTACTTAAAGGGATATTCCGGCATAAAATTAAGTTTGTGTCAAACACACTGTAACACTGTTAGACAACCCGTCGAGAGATGAATGTTGCTGACTGCTTGCTTCTCTAGTTACACCAACTTTAGCAACGACCGCAGGATAGCAATACACAGCGGTCTGAGGAGCCACGCGCAAACCTCAACCAAAACGCCACTCTATAGCCACAAATAATGCGCAGAACAGCATCTAACTTCATCAACAGTACATATAGGGTCTTAGTCATAGTACTAGCTACCAAACATCTTTTTAACTTTGCCTCATTTCTTTAGCAGAGACTAAACACAACTCACCTACTCTCTTCCAGCAGCTGCTTGTTTGTTGCCAGACCTCGGGACAGTCCATTACGGGCTACAGCAGGGGGACGCAGCTCAAGGAAGAACACTTATGATCATTACTTTATCATTTCCTTGCAGTAATAATCACCACATTAATCATTTTGCACTGCAGACGCCGCAGTAGTTCTTCTGCCTTAGCGTCTCTGATTGCATTTCCATGAGGAAATGATCATAAATGTTCTTCCTTGAGCTGCGTCACCCTTCGCTGCCGTGATGGACTCGCCTGAGTTCTCTGTACAAACAAGCAGCTACTGGAAGAGAGTAGGTGAGTTGTGTTTAGTCTCTTTGCTAAAAAATCAGGCAAAGCTAAAAAGATGTTTGGTGGCTAGTGCTATGGCTGGGACCCTATATGTCCTGTTGATGAAGTTAGGTGCTGTTCTGAGCATTATTTGTGGCTATAAAGTGGCTTTTTGGTTGAGCGCATGGCTCCTCAGACCGCTGTGTATTGCTATTGTGCGGTCATTACTAAAGTTGGTATAACTAGAGAAACAAGCGGTCAGCAAATTTCATCTCCTGACAGGTTGTCTAACTTAATTTTGTGCTGGAATATCCCTTTAACTTCAAAAGAAAAAAATAAATAAACATCCCATAATTTTTTAACTGTAAAGCCTAACTTTAAAAGACCAGTCTGGTAAGTATTTGGTCAGCTTGCAGTCAGTCACTGCCTGTGGTAGGGCATAAAAAAGGACGATATAGAAACAATCAGTCTTGGGGTTAATGGTTTAATTTTGAAGGAGTATCATTATGTATTTCAGTTCGTTTCATAACTAGCTAAACACTCTTTACAGGAACTTGAGAAGCTTAAAAGTTTTAGGAGAAAACTACATTTTAACACTCAAAGCTTTGCAAACTCTGTGTGTCATCAATGAAACAAAAGTGGGTCAAGCTGTTCAATTTGGGTCAAACAGAGATATACTTTGCATTCAAATTCTAGATAAAATGTGATTTTTCTTCACATTTGTAATTAAAACAGCTTGAGCATCCACTTTGAGCAGTCCCTCAACAAAAATACTCTTTTGATTCTCATGAAGTAAGATCTGAACTTGTTTCACCTTCTCCCGTAATTTACACTGACATGTTTACAAACACATGTTAATAATTTACTACAAATCAGGGCAACAGTAAGATTTGCACGTCCAGCCTTGCCAGTGCAGCTGCGTGTCATCGTTGAAAAGGGTATAGAGTGCAAGGTGCTTGAAAGTAGGAGAATTAGACCCACAACACTTCTTAAAGACACAACGATTCATAATGCAGACACACTCCCTTCAAATCACTTTCAACATCTTTAACTGTGTTTATTCACATTTAGTTCCCTCAAAAATTAACTCCAAGCTATGCAATTTTTTGTCTGCTTTCAGTAAGCTTTTTCAGCCATAAATTTGCTGGTAAAGGTTGTTTGACTAATTTTTATTACAATGAGCAAATGAGGTTTTTACCTCTGAGTACAGAAATACAGAGAGTGCAAAGAGTTCATCCTCACTTTCAGCTGAGTTGTTGAGGCTCCTCTTCCATGGAAAGGAATGACTTGTTTGTCGTGTCTAGACCTGAATGATAGTCAGGATTAATACTTCATTCAGTAGTTGTGCAAACATGCCTGTCAAACTTTAATTTGAGCCAAGAATGAAGATATTGTTCTTCCAGGAAGAAGTGGAAAAGTACCGTGCTGTCGAACAACCTGAAGCACCCTTTATATGTAAGACTGTACCTGAGCTACTCTTCAGAAACCAATTATTGATCAGCTGAAGAGGAAAGTCTGAAGTATTGTGAACAATGAAAGTTTCAAATTGCAGGTTTTAAGAAGTACCTGCATATCAATGCAGTTCTGTTGTTATAATAATGCAGTACTGACAGAAGCCCTTTTGCATTATGAATACTTAAGCATACTCTTGCACTTTAACTTCCATGGATGCAGAACTTTGTGTGAAATTCTGCATTTTAAAGGCCAGAGTGTTGGTTCATGTATAGGTGGAGGCCAGTTTTTTCCCCCCATTCCAAATTATGCACTTTTTTGAGGGTCTAAACATGCCACAAACTCACAAAAAAACTTAAACACACAAAAATAATTTATTTTTAATGAGTAAAGATGAGTCCTCTTTGGCCATTTCTACTTGGATTAACTCCTGCTAGAAGGTTCACCCAAAACATGTCTAGATTCGTCGGCTATACAGATAGAAATGATAAAAATCTATCAAAATCTTGTTTATTAATCTGCTGCAGATTCTCAATCTGACCCAAAATTCTCCATTATGATGAGAGTTTCAGGATCTCAGGCTCTTTGAAAATGCATGTCAGAGCAAGTCCCCACTTCTTCATTTTCCCTTCAGTGTGACAAAGTCTTGTGAAACCAGTCTTATGCACATGAGCTTCAGCTGATGCAAAGCGACCACTAGCACCACATATATCTGCACGTATGAAAAGTTGAAGTCTAAGTCAGGCTTGTTTTGGAGCCTCACATCTCCAACACTTGGCCACTGTTCTGCGCTCCCTGGCGATGATTGGCCAACAACCAGGTGGGTGGATAAGCAGCAGAGCAAACATTGCCACAGGCTTTGCCACTCTGTTCTTGAGTGTGTGTGCTGGCTGCAGTTCACTTCAGGCTCAGGTCAGATATTCTCTCGCTACCTTTCAGGTCCAAACAGCCTTTTCCTTTTTCTTCACGCAGACATGAGGTCCACTGTGGTTGCTGTTGTCATGGTGATGTGCGGGATGGTGGCCCGCGCTGACGTCAAGCCGCAGAAAGATTTCAACTTGCAGAGGGTAACGCAGACTCACACTCTCAGATCATAGAATAATGGGATTTTAATGAGCCTATGTAAGTTCAATCACAACGTCTGTTTTGTGAGGCTATTTTTCAACATCTGTTTATTGTCTGCGTGAAAATGTCTCTGTGTGTCCATATGGGATTTTTTTACCCCGACTCAGACTGTGTGCATTATAATTGTGTGTGTGAGTGTGTGTGTTTGACGACAGCTTTAAGTTGATGACCCAAAATATAAAAGTATGTATTTAAAGCTTCAAATCATCATAGACCGTAAAGATATAAATCAGTGCATCTGTAGTGATTCTGCTTTGTTCACATATTAGAGTTTGAGAGAGGTTATTCTGACATTTCCCAGAGTAAATCAACATGGGGACAGGGGACAATTTTATATGTATATATAATATATGTATTCCTCCAAGTAAACTCAACTATGTATATATAAAACCCTATGTTGGGATTTATTTATAGATATTGACAAAAAAGACCATTCACATGGGTTGTTGAACACAACTAAACATCTAAATAACTTTTACTGTCCTATCTGCAGGAGCCTTATCAAATGGGCATGTAATTGTTTATTTTATTGACTTGGTTTCCCTGGAATAATGAATAAATTTACTTTTTTCTTAAAAAAAACAACAACAACAACATTGAAACAGGCTGACTTTGGATCATCCCTGTGCCATGTGGCATCATGGCATGTCACAGTCCGGCTCATCACGGTGACCAGTCCTTTTGTTTTTGTTTCAAAATGGTTTTAAGAAAATAAGCTGTTGCAATTTTAAAAGTAATGAGAAAAGAAGGGTTGTTTTTTTTAAGATTTTGAGGAAAAGAAGGTGAAATCTCAAGAAAATAATCTTAAATAAAAAAGTTATCACAGGAAGATAGAGCAAGTAAAATGCACAAATGCAGGTCCATTCAGGATGTCTACAAAATTAGTTGAATTATTCAGAAAAAATTGAAATTACTCATTAATACTCAGGAAAACTGAGTAAAAAGCATGTCACAGCCATAGGTAGTGAATAGCTGATATAAGCAACACACAGGTTTTTTTTATATATATATAAATTCAGCTTGTTTGAAATGTCCTCTCACCCTCTCTGTTTTTTACAGACCTTTTATAAATATATGAGGAAGTACTGTGGTTAACACCTGTGTTGGAACTGTGGTTCAAATACAGCATACTTGTTTTTCCACTGTGGCCATTAAGGCTAATAATATAGCTGCTAAAAATACATGTGAGCATACAAACAGCTACAAATGCCTCCTGTTTATCTTAATGCAAGGTGACAAAATTGTGTTTTTATTGCAATTCATTTCAAATGTTAAAAACACATAAATCAGGTTTACATTTACACTGAAAGACATTTTGATGAACACATAGACTGTATATACTATTCTATATACATTCTATGGATAAACATAGGAACTGTATTTTACTCAAAGTAAACTCAACATATGCCTCAGTACCTCTTTAAATGTTTCCTCACCAGATCCACAGCTGGAAATAGTCTCTGTTTCCTCTTGTTTCTATAATCCTAGCAAAAACTGATCACCTATTTAAAGATACAAATAAGCCTTTAAAATTAGGAGAAAAGGGAAGCTTTGCAGTCATTTAGAGCCTTATATTTTCAGTATGGTCTGGTCAGGCGTTTTCGGGTGTTCAGGATGGTTAACAATCCAAAAACATACTGTATTTACTAAAGTGTCAGTCCTATCCTTCAGACTTGACAACTAAAGTGAGTTTCTTTATTGCATCAAACATTTGGACTTGTCAGAGCATGACTAAAACAGACACAAAGCCTGGTTCGAAGCCAAATACAGATTTCAAACTCTAATTTGTCTGCTCTTGTGTGTCTCCAGTTTGCAGGTAAATGGTACAGGGTGGGTCTAGCCTATGACTCTCCCGGATTTGTCCCCTTCAGAGACAAGTTGAAGGCCTCCATGGGCTTGATCACACCTTTGGCCAATGGCAATGTCAACCTCACAATGTGGGATGCCTTGTGAGTACTTCTGTATCATGAAGAAGTGCATGAGCAAATTAAGAAAGCTTGACAGAGATAAAGACAGACCATGTTTCCTCTGTGTGCCTCAGACCTATGGGCTGCATTAGACGGGTGTACCAATATGAGAGGACCAACACACCTGGACAGTTCACCTACTTCAGTGCACGTAAGTCTGTGCAAACATTTGTGTAAATATTTGACCGGTACTCAGCGAGTACTCACAGCAGAAAAGACAGACCACAATCCTCAATTTAAAGCAGGGTGGAGGTTAGGTAGCAGTGATATAAACTCCATATGTAATGCATGTATAAAAGTCCAGTTCGGTGGTTTGTAATTAAGTCCTGCTAACAACAAGGTAAGACAGTCATTCTTAGGGATCTTAGGGGGCCCCAAGGGTGGCAAATCAGATTCCAAGGGGAGCCTAAGCCACCCCTGCTCACTTTTCTGGATGCGCCCCTGATGATGACTTGGCTCAAATCCTAAATGACCACAAAAGAGGACCTGAAAATAAAAGTACAGTACAAATGTGTTATTTTCAGAGGCAGTTTTAAATACAATACTTCTAAAGATGTAACGCTCATTTTTACCCCTTAAGTAAGAAAAAACTGAGCACTCTAAGATCTACCTAATGATTGAAATATTATTAAGTTAAAGTAGTGTTAATTACCTCGTAATTTTCATTTTTTGACGTAAAATCTTAAACAACTACAGTTTTCATGCTTTTAATTTGTGATTTATGCCAGTAACATGCACATATTTATCCATGACCATGCATTCTTAATTTATGTATTTTCTAAAGCTACTCTAAGGAGATTTTTAGACAACAGATATATTGATGCTTTTTTTCATGTACACATTTTTTTTTAAATTTCCTGGTCACAACAAGATCGATATGAGCTACAAAACTCACAATTTTTGCACTGTAATTTTTAAAGCCTCAAATCGGTGTGAGAGGGAAAGCTGTCTGCCCTGTTTCACCATCTTTGTATACAATATTTACAATAAATGATTTGCATGAAAAGGACCATATAAGCAAACCCTGTTTTGTCCACATGGGGGTGCCAAACCAAAAGTTCCTCACAGGAGCTTTACTATACTGTTTGATTTTCACTTGTTTGATACATTTTTGAAGGTTACTGTTTTGTCTTATTTTGTTCAGAATGTCTTGAATGTGATTTAATTTCTACCTTATAATTTTATCTTCAATATGATAAGTTTATCCAAAATAAAGGACCCCATTTATGTGAATTATCTACAACCCTCTTGATTTCAATTCTTTTTTCTACTTCTGTATGTTTTTTTTTTCTTTCAGGCCACAACATGGTGAAAGACATCACAGTGGTGGACACAAACTACACCGACTATGCTCTGGTTCTCAAACACAAAGTCTTTCACAGAGAGTACACACAGGTGGCGCTTTACGGTAAGACACACACAAACATTTACCTTTAACATGACATCAAAGCACATGAGCTGCAGAGTCACACAGTTTTCACCACTGCTCTGTATGTTTGCAGGTCGCTCTCAGACAGTCAGAAATAATGTTATTCAGAAGTTTAAAGCCTTTGCCTTGGGCAGAGGTTTTTCTGCAGCATCTATTCTGACTCCTCCTCCTGCAGGTAAAGACGGAACAATGCACATACTGTATTTTTTTATTTATATTCTGTACCACCACTATGTGACACATGTAGTATAATAAGGAGTGTATCATGACCCTTAAGTTTCTTTGACTTTTTCTTTTTTTCTTGCGTATAGAAAATTGCCCACCATCGGGATCTGGATGAGCAGTAAGTTTTCTTTTTAATTTTGCAATTTTGAGTTAAAATAAGTCACTTCAGGGTGTTAATGCACATTTTTACAAATTGTAGGTTCCCTTGTGTGCCTGGGATAGAGGTGGATGTGAACTCTGGCGTGCTCTTCGGTCAATCATTTTGCCAACATCTGTGAAGTTCTACATTAAAAAAGAAACTCAACAAGCAAACTTCATTTTTGTAGATGCATGGGTCATAACTCACAAATGTTACAGATTAAATCCTATTCTCTGTGGTGTTATGCATTATATTCACATATTTTGCCACATATACTGTGGCAGCTGGTATTAAACTTTCATTTAATAAGTTTGCATGAGTTCTGGTTTAAAGCAACATACTGAATTATTAAGCTGTAGATAAACTGTAGGTTAAGGATGCTGACTTGAGCAGATCCAAGTTTAAGAGCATCTTTTTATTCTTCATTTTGTGCCATTTGTTGAACACATAGACTGTATAAACTATGGACAACTTGGTTTGGTCTTCCGTCACTCAAACAGCATATCCCAGGGTGAGCTACACAATCTTCATACGCCCATAGACTGTATCAAGTGTCAATCATAGAAAACATGAACCCCCTAATAACTTTGCAACCAGTGGGGAGAAAAATTTATATTCTGTTTAATTAATTTCTTAAGTTCGTCCACGGCTCCACAGGGATTGCAGGAGGAAGTAGGATTTCTGACCTATACTGCAGCCTGTCACCAGAGGGTGCTGTTCTCCCAGTGGTTTCATGCAGCAAGGAGGCAGACGGCGTCCATTCTGTATACAGTCTATGGTTGATTACTACAACAATTGCAGTTCATATGTATGACCACTAGATAGCAGACTCTACACACCAATACATCTGCCAGGACCCACTATAGCTGACTGTATCTGTGCTCACCTGTAACCTTTCCTAACTGCTGGAGAGGCTTATGTAAAGCTTAAATAAATAAACATAAATAAAGCTTGTACTGTGAACTTGTACTTAATTTCTTACATATTGATTGGTTATTTGTTTAAGCCCCAGATTCTGAAGTCCAGCGATTCATTGCTGAATCTATGGAAGAGCAAACACACAATCACATGGACACATTTGGTGCGCACACAGAAGAAGCACAAACAAATGGTTAAGGGTCACTTAGAACTTTGCTCTTATAGTTTAGAGGTTAGAGGGGTTTTTTTTCTCTCCTGTGGTGCCGTTAGAGGAGAGAGAGCGTGTGTGAGTTTGACTTACAGTGGCTGCCATGCGGGGAGTGGTGTGTTTGTTGACCCTGCTGGTTCTGAAAGAGGTCCCTGTGCATCCAGCACCTCTTCCAGCAGCACAAGATGGCTTTGATGTGGGGTCGGTAAGTCATAGCAACTTTACAACAAAAGTCACTCTATGTAAAACTTATGTTGTCTGATTTTTTCTTAATATATTTTGGCAACGGATTTTATTTTACCTCTAATAATAGGATATTAGGATAAGGATACTCCTTATAGAAAAACCAATAAGCCCATGCAAAGGCTTCCCTGGACATTAAACTGTTTTTTGTCTCTTCTAGTTCATGGGGAGATGGTATGAGGCAGCTGTGGTTTCTACCTGTCCTCACTACATGCAGCGTAAGAGGGGGAACCCCGTTATGGTTGCCATGGAACTGCAACAAATTTCTCCTGAAGGCAACTTTACCATGACTTCCTCTAGTTCCAGGTCAGACTTGCATTGTGTTCTTGAAAACACAGGTTCTGTACTAAGCACTAACTTGTGTTGTTTTTGCATGTGGGTGCACGCAGGAATGGTTTGTGTATGCAGACGTCTACTGGTTATAGCTCGACAGACACTCCTGGAAGATTCTTCCATCATGTTGCAAGTATGTTTGTGTATATCGAATTTTATCAATGTTAGATTTAAATGCTGTAAACTTGGTACATAAAGTTTAATCGGATTATATTCTTGCTGCAGGGTCTGGTGCTGATGTGGATTCCTTTGTGGTTCACATTAACTATAGTGATTTTGCACTGATGATTCAGCTGAGCACAGAGAAACCATCAGGAACTACAACCACTATGGCAAAGCTTTTTAGTGAGTCTGTAGTTTTTGAATCAAACCTTTGAATAATTAGTTGTTTTTATTTACGTTAAGCAGTAAGTCTGTGATGTGCTGTTTTTGTCTGAAGGTCGAACTCAGAGCGTGAGTCCTGCTGTGCTGCACAGCTTCAAATCCCTGGTCAGACAATATGGACTGAGTGAAGCAGATATCGTGAATCAAAGTAAAGGTATAAATGTATAATCAACATAACAAGATGCTTTTCTTCAATGATGCACATCAACTCTATACTTCAGTGTCACTGTCTCCCCAGGTGAGTGTGTTCCCAGTGAGCAGGTGCCAAAAGCCATCACGACTCAGCCTCAGGTACTTGTCTCACACTGTGACTTAATGGATTCACATTTGTTCATACTTCTCTTTTTTTATTTTAAGATTTGTTTGTGACCCAATATGTTTTATTTCACCTCCTCACAAAGGCTTTAAATTTTGCCATCTGAACATACTCATATGTTTGTTTTTGTTTTTTTTATGGACACGTAATTTTCAAAATTTACACATAAATATATGTTGATTTGCTGTTACAGGTTAAGTGATCACATGGGATAACTCAAGAGGACTGTCCCCAAACACTCATTAGACTATCATCAAAATACAAATGTTCTGTGACTACTTTGTACTGCTTGGTCATCACTGACTATGCTGTAACATGATGTATCCTGTTATTCATGTAATTCCATCATGTATAAAAGACTTGGCATGCTGAAATAAATATGTTATTGCTTTGCTAATAAGTTAATGACATGTTTGTTTGTCTAATGTTTTATCGGTAACCCTTTCTTTTACGGTTCACTTATTACCAGGTAATTAACAGGTAATTACCTGGTAACAACATGAAATTATCTGGTAATTACATGATAACTACTAAGTCAATACTGTCTAGCTACCAGGTAGGTAACCTTCCATCATCATACAAATTTGAAGCCGAATTGCTCTGGTATTTCCAGGATTTTCTCCGCTTCCTGGAACCACCACTTGTGCAGTAGCATTGTACACATTTGGCGGGTGAGTCGCTGTGATAATGCTCGGCTCAAACAACGTATCACTACGCAATCTTTGCACGCCCATAGGCTGTAACAAGTGTCAATCATAGAAAATAAGAACCCCTAATAGCTTTTGGAAATGGAGCTGCACAGAAAAAAAGAAAAGAAGAAAAACTAGACAGTATTGACCTAGTAGTTATCGTGTAATTACCAGATAATTTCATGTTGTTGCTAGGTAATTACCTGTTAATTAGCTGGTAATAAGTGTACCGTAAAAGAAAGCATTACCGTTTTATCCTTACAACTGTAAGATGACCAGACACATATAAAAAAAAGTATTATAAAAAATAAAAGTATTTATCAGCCAACGTGTCAAATTTCTGGCTACTTTTTTTATGATACACAAATTTTTATTTTTATTTTTTATGTTAAGATATTCATGGTAAATATTTGACACATTTTATCGGGTGTTTAGAGTCTTATTATTAATAATTTTATTATGGACGGACGCTTTACCACTGGATCTTCGGGATCCGTGCACACATAAGGAGATTCGTTATAAGATTTGTTCACTGAATCGTTTAATCCTTGACCGCAGATTCACCTGTGTGTCGACCCACTTAGCTTAACCGAATCACACGTCCAGTACACTTTTCCTGTAAACCAAGAGGAGGAATCGTCTGTCAGGCGCAGGTAAGTTCATTTTAAAGGAAAGGAGATATCTCTAAGACCTTAAAAGCACGGTGCACTTTATTGTGCTGAAGGTACAATATTGTGTCATATTAATGTCTGGTAGTGTTTACAGTTGTGTGCAATGTGTTTTTAAAAAATGAAAGCAAGACTAACTATAATTAAGCTTTTCCACAATGTTTACTTCTGAAAATAACGATTAAATTGTGAAAAGTTATTTCCGGCGTTGTGTTCAGCGTTTCTTTGTGTCTATGTAACCCGTCAAGTTAAACCAGGTGGACACTGATCCTGTAGCCTACATCAGTGAAGTAAGCTCCAGAGTTGTTGCCACCATCCTCTCACTCTGTGTAGACTGGTTTTCTACTCTTTTTTGGTTTAATTTTTCCTGGAAATGTGGTTCAACAGACCAAAATGAATGGACTCAGTGATTCAATTTAACCACAACAAGGCCATCAAAACAAGATTAGTGACAAGAACACCTGTCCTGTTTACAGAGCTCAGTCTGTGTAATTGTGTGAATGGATTAGCTCACTAAACCAGTCTTTTCAGGACAGTCTGGGGCAACAACTAAATGACATCATTATCTTCCACAGAAATGAGAAGCTAAGGGATTAAACTTTCCAGAACCATAACAGTAGAACCAATTTTTATTGCAGTTATTGACCTAATAATACAACATCTTTAGGTTGCTGGACTGTTTTTTTCTGTTCTTAGTAAATTATCAAGTTATTCATGAGCAACAGGTTGGGGCAGGTCAAGTTAGCATCTAGAAAATGTGCAAAACCAGAGATGAAGGATGAGCCAAAAAGAGGTCATGTGACTTTAGATGTCTAGATGTGTAATTATGAGTTTGCTTGGAACATACTGTGTCTTCATAGACGCTAGTGTTAAAAAGGTGATATTCAGTGAGATCTTTATGCATTTACTCCTCAAATTATCTCAAAATTTGCTGTAAACTTTACACCAAGACCAGGTCCTGCCTGTGATTGGCAATATTTTAAAAGAGTGGCAAAAAAAAGTTGCATATGACAGGTAGAAATCTCCAGTAAAACCAGAGTTATTGATGAACAGACACCAAGGAAATGAGTTAGAGGGAGAGACAGAAACAAAGACATGGGAAGAGTCTAACAAAAGTAACAGCAACCAAATGGATTGTGGCTTTTTCTGTGGCTAATATTAGCAGTTAAGAGACTGTGTGCAAATACTGTTGGCCCATTTTTATCCCAAGAGTATTCTTTGATGTAGGATATAGAATATAAATCTAAATATATAATCTCTGAGATTAAGTCTCATCTGGAAAAAGAACCAGCTGCGTACACAATAACAGTCTGAACATATTTTCAGTTTTGACTTTAGTGGTTTTTCTGATGATTACTTTCATTGATTTGTTGATGTTGCCAAAACTCTGGAGTCCAACGTCTAAGTGGTCAGCTGCCTCGTCTAGTCCGTGTTCAAAGTGAGAGACAGAGAAGAAGGACTTTGCTCTTTACTTGTTTGATTTTTTCTTGGCTGATGGAGTGAGTGCGGGGGCACACAAAACAGGTCAATGCCCTCGCTGAGAGGGACAGTGTGAAAAATTAGGACACCAGATCACATTTTTCTTGTTTCCAGTGTCTCACGCTTTCATCCTGTCACAGACAGCTGGACAGACGGGCTGATAGGATGCAGAGAGTGGTGATTGTGGTTTCCCTGGTGGTCCTGGGGTGGGCTTGGACCACCCATGGGGTTCCTGTACTCACAGAAGCGGTTTATCCCACACAGGAGAACTTTGATCTGGAACAGGTGAGTGGCTCATTTCTGCAATCTTACATGTTTTTTTTTCCTTCTCTTTTATGTATAATATTCTGTGTCATACTCATCATGAAAAACAGCTAAAAGTTGGTGACACAGAAATACCCTAGTCTCAAAATATTCACTTCTTTCTCCTGATAGCCTTTACCTTAATTGTTTAAAAATTATTTTTGTGCTGTCACCAGAAACCTCTGTGCACTAACTGTGTCAAATGTTTATTTTGAATGGATAATTAAAATGAGAGCTAAAAACATTAAATTGGATGAATAAAGACTTACATGTAGTTGCATGAGAGAACTTCAGTTTAAAGCACATGAAGTGCAAACATCCTTTTCACTGACAGAATTTTGGTGTCCCCTGTATCCCATGGCCAGATTTTATAAGCAGGATTTGATCAATGAGCTTTTCAGCAGACTTTTGTCTTTACATTTTTAAGAGCTAATGAGTGTCCTTAATCGGCACCTCTGCGATAACAATCATAATTTTAAAAAGCACTCTATACAAATATAGGTAACACTTTACGATTACCATAACTTATAAATGGTAACTGGATAGTCTATTAATGTTTAATCATCATTTTTAATAGCATATAGACCATTAATAAATTATAAATTTTACAATTTTAAAAATCTAACCCAGACCCTAACTCTAACTCTAACTTTACAATAACTATCCAAGTAATGTTTATAGGGGGTTTATAAATCACTTATTAATCATTTACAGAGTATTACAAACATCAGTTGCAACTGTACAGTAACCATCTAAGTAACTTTAAAGATGGTTTAAAAACCAAATATTAATCATGTACAAAGTGCTACAGGCACACATTTTAATCTAGATGTTTTACAACCAAAATTTAAACCCCATATTAACCTTTAATAAATAGTCCATTAATAATTAATGAAAATTAAAAAATCATAATTTCATTGCTTGTTAATGGTAAAGTAACTATTAACTTACATTATTAAACTATCAATTTGCCATTTATAATTGGTCTATATGCTGTTTTTAAATGATGATTAAATATTAATAAACTATCTATTTACCATTTATAAATTACAGTTATTGTAAAGTGTTACCCAAATATTTCCAAAAACAATTTGACCAGTTTGATGAAAATGCTGAGTAAACATTTAATTTTTGAAGGTATTTCATCCAGAAAAAAAGTACCCTCAGTAATTTGATAGGCTGTTTAAAAAACTTAATCATCAGTTCCTATTTCAGTGACAGATTTGATGTGTATGATATTAGTTGGCTGTAAATATCTTATGTTATGTCTTCATTACAGATTTTTGGAACCTGGCATGATGTTGCTGTGGCAACTACATGTACCCATATGCGGCAGCACAGGGGAGACGCACCCATTGGGAAACTGATCCTGGAGAGAGGCACCGTTGACGGCAAAATAAAGACGACTCGAATTGTTCAACGGTTTGTACACAGACACATATTAAGTTTTACACACTGAGTCATACTTAAGAAAAAAAGCACAAGAATACATGTTGTGCATTATTTGATAAAATTATTAATCAGGAAAAGTTTTTTTTTTTTCAAAACACTACATTACAAATTTATATTTAATGTAAGATTCTGTGCTAAGAACTATATTTTATGTAAAACTGTAAAAAAGTGTCTCATTTCAAACTTCTGAGCCATCACATTACTCTTAGTTTGCCTCAATATTAAGTCTTTGTTGTGTGTCTGTAGTCATGGAACATGCAGGGAAATGTCTGGGGACTATGATCTGACCTCCACACCAGGGCGATTCTTCTACCACATCACCAGTACGTCTCCTTCTCCTTTTCTTCCTCCTCCGTGTGGTCTTAAAATGACACAGCTCTGTTTTTAGTCCGTCTCATTCAGAAGTTTCAACAAGTGTGATGTTTCTCCCTGTCATTTCATCAGGGTGGGCAGCAGATGTGGACGCCTACGTGGTTCACACAAACTACAACGAGTATGCCATCATTATTATGATCAAACAGAAATCCTCAGGGGACAAGAGCACTTCGCTTAAACTTTACAGTGAGTGGACACTCTGCAAAGTGCTTTGTTTCATTTTTTAATTTGTAAGGCACATTGTTAATCTCAAGGATTAGATTTTATTTAATTCACCCCCATTAATGCTCATTTTGTCTATGGTTTATTCAGTCTTATTTGACATGAATAAATTATCATAATAAATAAACCAATGTTGCTTTTTTCCCCTTCAGGTCGAACCAAGTCTGTGAGAGACACCGTGCTAGAAGACTTCAAAGCTCTGGCCAAACAGCAGGGGTTGGGTGACGACACTATATTCATTAAGCAAGACAAAGGTACAATGCAAACACACAACTTGAATTTGTATTTATTTTATGTATATGAATTAAGCAACCCAATATACTTCTGGCAAAGAGCATAAAACTCATGTTGTAGCCATAGTTTCAACCTTTAGCCAACTTTCCAGTCTTGTTTTTAGTCGGGCCTTAAAACTCACTCTGATGTTATTCTGTATATCGAACCTCCATTGTCATGAAACCAAACAACACTGCAGATAAATATACCATTAATGCATAGTAATACAGAAATATGTTATTTAAAAGATCTTAACACCTATAAAAGTTTGAAAAATAAAATGCAAAAAAACAAAAAATGAGTTCAGCTCTAATTCAGTCAGCGTTTAACTTTCACTTTTAAAAATGACATATTTGATGTTTATTTGTTATTAATCCAGTTCTATGTGTTTCTAAACTAAAAGCATTTTTCCTGAGAGGCTGATTCATATCCTTTTAAATATTTGCATCTAAGATTGTTTTAAATACGTGCACACCAAAAGAATAAATACTGGAGAGAATAGATCCAGTTGAAACAATCTTTTGAATTTTTAAATTATGGCAAATGTTCAAAAAAGCAAAAAAAGACTAGCAAAAATACTGAATTTGTATAACAGTATTATTGAATTATGAAAGAGATTGGTTTCTAAGTCATATTGTTTCATTTGATGTCTTTGTAGGTGACTGTGTTCCTGGAGAGCAGGTGGCAGAGCCGGCAGCTCAGCCCCAGGTACTTAAAGTGCAGTTATCAAGCTCAGCTGCATTCTCTTATCTTGTGTGTTTATATAATTACTGAAGAAAATATTCACAAATATTTTAAACATAAAAAGAAAGCTAGTTTTTGTTCTTGAGTTTTACCTCTTGAATGATTTCGAGACACTTGGCTGGAGAATAGCCTATAGATCTTTTTCAGCAGTTCATAAGTAGAGTACAAATAGTTATATAAACAATTAGTTATATATATAAATAATACTTCTCTCTCTTGTTGCTAAAGAAGCAGAACTATTTCTGATTGGTAACTTAGTATCAGCTGCATTTATATTGACACAGATTTATACTTGAATATAATTTGCTGACCAAAAAATTGGAGAAATGAAAAATGACCGCACGGTAGCGTGTCCCGCTCAACATATCTTAACTTCTCCAATGCCATTTCAGAAAAGAATTACAGTGTAAAGGTTGTGGAAGACATACCAGGTCAGGTGTTGGTTTAGAGTCAAAACTAAATACTCATGTGTCTTAGTAGCTCTAACTGAATATGTTTATGGTATCAGCAACGGAGGAGGAGACATAAGGAGCTTACAGCGGACCTTGAGGAGCCTGAGGGCTCTGGTGATGATACCCCTCTTTTCAATGTCACTGGTGAGTACTGAGACTTCATAAACATGATACCATAATACACTTTGTCACATACCAGAAGATATGAGATCTTGATTCAACTGAGTGTTTTTTCTCTTTTGTTTTTTGTCTCATCTCCCTCTCTGTCCCTGTCTCTTCCTGTAGAGGCCTGTAGTGCAATACCAGATTCAGGACCATGCTTTGGGCTGCTCCCGCGTTTCTTCTACAACTCTTCCTCAATGAGCTGCGAACACTTCAACTACGGAGGCTGTTTGGGAAACCAGAACAACTTTGAAAATGAGAGAAACTGTCTGCAGAGATGTCGCAATGAAGGTAAGTAGTGACATGAAAAATAGGAGACCTGCTATCTGTTCATTATAAAATACACAATACATCTGTTTTTCTTTTTTTGAATCTATATCCAGATCAGTCTGCATTTGTCCATGACTAAATTTTGTGTAGTCTTCTTTGCGTCGTAATCTTTAATCCTTAAAAGTTGCTGCAACTAAAGAAAACTTCTCGCTGCTTCCCTCTCCCAAACTCTTACTGCTGTATTTAACAAGGCCTGATGAACAACCGTGTAACTGGTGTTGGTACCAACATCTGTTAATGAGATGTGAAAAATACAAAAAGAAAACCCTGAAAAAACATGTAAATATTTAATCACTTTGTTTTTTTTTCCTCAGCTGCGTGCCGTCTGCCTATGAAAGCCCAACCTTGCACAGGCCAGCCACAAATCTGGGCCTTTGACTCCTCTGCGGGGCTGTGTGTGGCTTACAAAACGGGTTTCTGCCAGACCAATGCAAACAAGTTCTACAGCAAGGCAGAGTGTGAGGAGTACTGTGGGGTCGTTCATGAAGGTGAGGATACACAGACATACGTCATCATCATGCATCACTAAAAACAATCTCTAAACCCACATGTGACAAAAGCATTCAACGTGTTTTCCTTCTTTACAGAAGCAGAGCTCCTAAAGACAAACTGAAGGACATGAAGCCACATCTGCTCATCTTAGTTCAAGGAAGCTTTTTTGCATCGACAGTAGAGTTAAATGAGAAGTGGGGATGTAGGGTTCCTCATGCAAGAAATTCTGGGCTCTCAAGTTAGAAATTATATTTTCTTGTAATCTGGTGAATTGTTCATGTCAAAGCAAGAGTCCCAGTTACCACAAGAGGTCACCAATAAAACACTTCTCTGTTTCTCTGTTTTTCTTGTTTCTTGCAATATTCATTTACTATAATGTTTCTTTCCACTCCTGCAAATGCAACACATGATAAAATAATACATTTTCTTGCAAATGCTCTTGAAAATGTACTTACTGGGGTCTCTTCAAATAATATCACAATAGGTAAAGTCTAAAACCTGCTCTTAGGTGATAAGTGATATTTTAGTATGATCATTTCCATGTGAGCAAATATAGATTTTATGGGTTTCAATAAGGCCTTAAAAACACTGTGAAAGCTCTGACATATTGTCCAGATAATTGTCCAGATTTTCAGTTGAAGTGAAATTCATCAGTTGGGACAACCTCAGACTAACATGGAACTGTGATGGCATCTGGCATGTGCATGTGTATGATATTTGTGTAATAACAAATATCATGCATGTTGCTTTTTCAACATGAGAGGTGCCATGGTGTAATGGTCAGCAATGTTGTCTCACAGTAAGAAGAATGTAAATTCAAATCCTGGTCAGGAATATTTATATAAAATAAAAGTATGAAAAAAAGTCATACTATTGTAAGATAATAATTTTATAGAAAAGATTGATAAAAATGACATAGTAAACTTTAATAAAAAAAATCATTCTTTAGTATGTAAAAAAAATGTCAAAGTAAAGTTTGATAAAAATTTCACATTTTAGTATGAAAAAATTCATAGTTTAGTATGATAATAATGTCATGGTATAGTATGATAAAAATATCATAGTTTAGTATGGTAAATATATCCTAGTATGGTATGATAAAGATGTAATAGTATAGTGTGATAAACTCTCAAAGTCAGAATGATAAAAATGTCATGTATAGAATGATAAAAATATCACAGTGTAGTTTCATTAAAATGTCATAGTATTGTACGGTAAAAGTGTTATTCATAATTCCTGCAGTTTGAACAGGGCTCTGGCCCTCTTCTTCAGCATTGGCTCGAGCCCTAATAATTCAATTCTCCACTAGAGGGTGGTGTGCACTCTTCTATCCATGAAAAAAAAACACTTTGCTTTATTACACGTTGGATTGAATTAAATGTTCTGAAAGTTCTGCAAAAGTATTGTGGGGAAAGTGAAATTCAATAAATATATCAATTCTTCTCATCGCATTAGAGCCTGCTACCACCCTAAATCATTGAATCAAGGACCCAAAGAGTTTAGAAAGAAAGAAAAAAACAAAGAAAGAATAACTTTAGTTATCCCCAAAGAGAAATTCAATATTCAAAATTTAAGGTGCCAGATGTAAAATGCTCTTTTTATTTCTGATTTTATGGTAAGCTACAAGTATTGGACTTTTTTATCATTATTGCAGCTCCCAATTCATTCTTGTCTGATATACACCAGAACAACACAGTCTTGGAAATCAAATCAAAGAAAATGTCAGTGAGTTGTGTAATTTGTGGTTTGTTTTTACAGATTTTCACATTATTTGTCAGTGGTAACAAAAGCGTCCTAATATGTTGTCTTCATTATGGTCCGTCTTGAAGTCTCTTCTCTGTTGAGTGTTTCTTCAAGGGGGCGGTTAATGCTCAGTGGTAGCGTTGTTGTCTCCCAAGCAGTAGGTTCCACGTTCAATCACAGGCCCATCCGTAAAAATATGACTAATTGTCTGCCCAAGACACCTGATGCTAAACTGCCCTGAAGGCTGTGCCAGCGATGTGTGCATGAGGTTAGTTTATACTGGTGTTAGTCCCTGCCATCAATGTATGTATCAGTGAATGTAACATATAACGTTTAAGTGCTATAAGTAGTCAGAAAACTTAAGAAAGTACAGTCCCTTTACTGATCAAGCTCAGTCAATTCATCACTGTCCAGCTCCTCCTCCTCCTGGCCATGTGCTTTGGAAAAAGAGTAAAAATATTCAAAAGTTTAAACACAAGAAATTGAACATGAAGCTCGTGATAAAAAATGAGCAGTCAAAACCAAGACTTTTTAACATTTAAAACTCCTTACTAGTATTGTGACACCTCTCCATACACGAAGTCACGTTTTCAAAGTTGTTTCTGTTTCCCAAACACCCTCCAAAGACGAAGGTTTCACAGTTCTTTGAGGATGAGTTGTAGAAAAAGCGTTCCACAAATGCCCTGCATGGCCCTGTTTCTGGAGCTAAGAGACACACCTCTACAGGAAGAAAGAGAGAGAAGACAGAATGGAGAGAAGTGAGAAATATAAGACATGGGACCTGCATATAATTAAAATACCTATCTATAAAGCAGAACACAGTATAAATGTACAATAAATCTGTTACCTGTTCCATTGACGTGAGTTCTGTTACCCGCAGGAGCCACATTATCACTCACCTCCTAAATCAAACCAGAGGTAAACTCACTTAAAGGTACGATGACACTTAAAAACTTGTTCTCTAAATATTCTGCTATTCTGTAATCCTTTATCTTCAAAATCAATGAAATGTCCTGTTCATATTTACAGACATTCGAAACTTGTGTCAGCCTGAATCAGGAGCAGTATAACAGCAGAAAATCCCAATATTAATCCAGACATGTAGCATTAAAGGAGAGAGCTGTAATCTTAAACATCATTAGTGCATCAGTAGGCAGCCGTGTAAGAGATTACAAAAGAAAAAACACATAGATGTTGTAACTCACCTCATCCACATCACTCGGCCTCCGCACATAAATCCCTTGGAGGGTCCAAGTCCACCCCAGAACCAGCACAGAAATGAAAACCAACGCTTTTGTCATCCTGTCACTCGTCTATTAGAGCTGTCTGTGAAGATATAATGAAAATATAACCAGACCCTGGCCTCATGGTTTTGCACACCACTCCTCCCAGCATGGTTAGTTTACTGACCTTTGACCCACGTGTACTGTGTGACCCCTGTTAAGTTTAACCACGACTGCCAAAATAAAGGAACAGCACAAACTTTGATCTTGCTCTGTTTGTTAGTTGACCAGATAATCACCAATGGACTTCGAACAAAAACCAAAGTATTTGTTTTATACAAACGTTGTCCAAACTATTGAAATATAGACACTGAGAGGATTTGTAAAGATGGCATAACCTAAATGATCACAATCAGACACTGTTTATGTGCATCTGTATTTTAGAAACAGAAATGTTGTTATAAGCAGGGTGCAAAATGATGTGCTTAAATAGACATTAATTTTTTTAAACAGCTCAAACTACTCAGCAGACTCAAACAATGAGGTAGAACTTCTCAGTTTTATTCAGCAACACAATCTCCACACAGAAAGACTCAAGCTGTTGTTTGCACAGACCACAGCGGGGCATGCTGCCACTGCCCTCAGTCGTGAGTTGAAGTTGGGATCCAGAGAGCAAATATTATTGTTCAATATGAAGAGAAACCTAACTTCATTGGAATCGAGTTTACAGGAACAGCACGATAATAATTAAAGTCCAATCTTAGTTTGATTTATGGAAAATTCACGTCAACAGGTCTATAGTGATAGCACAGAAGTGGTAAGATAAGAACTTTATTAATATCCGAAGGGAAATTCAATATGGTGGTGTTTATATCAATGTGGTTAGGGATAATAATCGGGATTGGTATTAGATCAATGAAGCAGTAAAAAAAAACAATAAAACAGTAAAAAAAAAAAAACTGTAAAAGTTCGATCATTAAGATTAACTTTGCACCAAAGATGCTAATACATTAACATTAGCTCAATAATAGTGTTAAAAATGGTGACACTGATGCTTGTAATCCACTCAGCTGGAAAGGAGGCCAGTTCTAACAGGAAAAGTGAATAAAAAAACTTATAAACACTCATCCAATTAAAACTTTGGTGAAACTTTTATAGAGTAACAGCAAAATAATAAAGAATCATTTTTAGAAAACCTCAGTAAACTGTGAGAACCATGTGTAGTAGGGCCTGTCATCTAAACCTCTAGGTTTTTCTATGACTGGATATAACCAGAGGGTGGCGATACAGCTCCATTTTTATCAAGAGTCACACCAGCTAATTTGAAATATACAACCTCTGAAGTGTAGAGTAAATCTTACAGACAACATAAAACATCTCCTCTCTGGTTTCTGTTTGTTCTTCTGCTTCCACGTTTTCTCTCTCCTCTGAATGTTTGTTATCCTCACTAAAGGTGACTCAACATACACTTAAATGCATGACCCCATCCTCTCTCTCTCTCTTTCTCTCTCTCCTTCTCCTGTGAAGGAGCCAGGCTTCCTGCTCTTAGTTCCCAGAGTTCCCGGCTGCTGGCAGTAGAATGCTGGGAATATCCGGAGAGGAAGGGGAAGTGACATCACTGCGCTGACCTTCCGTACCGGGCCATATCACCTGGTGCTGGCTGGAGGAGAGCTATCAAACAGGCAAAAACACACTTACTCCTACAGAAAAATAACCATGAGATCACAAACTGAATCAGACTTTGGTGTGCTTTCATAGAGAGGAGGTAAAGAGGGGGCCAGCCTGGGTACAAAGCGTAAAATATATCTCTCATATTTTTTCTCATCTCATATCTCTAGATCTCATTTCTCATATCATTCTCATCTTTTTTATATATTCTCTCATCTTTTATGTAAGTGTGCAAGATTCACTTTGTGTGACATCTGCCTGCTGCCAGTGGTATAAACACTGAAAACAATGTAAATGACACCGTCAAAGCCATCAAGAGACACCACTTTTATATTCTGTGTTTCATAACTAGCTCCTCACAGGTGCTTGAATTTTGAGGATGAAACCAGAGCTTTTTTCCTCCTTGAAAATGATACCCCTAGGACCTTCAGGTTGTTCCCCATCCAGCAGCCAGGATGCCCCCTGCCCAGCCAGATCCTTGCTTTACACAGACCCTTCTTTGAATAATCTTTTGTTGCATGCTTATTTATGATTATACTAAAGCAGATACTTTGTCGAACTGGGAAAAAAAGAGGCAAATTTTGTTTCCTCTTTAACTGTTCTTTATTTTTTGAGTTCAGGATTTAAGTTCTTAGTTCGAAACTATTCAACTTTGACTAAGAGCGAAGTGAAGCAGACGTCAATACACACAGGCTGTAGACAGATGGGAGCTAGATTTAAATACAGAAAACATATGGCCTGCAGTGGAGATATTTACTGAGTTGAGAGAGTATCTCAGAGGATACATTCTTAGAGAGCAGAGGTCAGAAAACGCTATGTTCAAACGCAAACACAAGCACAAACACAGATGTAGAAAAAGACGTACAGGCAACATAAGATGCAGAAGTCCCTTTAAGCCAAATCAGGCCCAGAAGGGGGTAGAAGGGACAGTGTGTGTGTGTGTGTGTGTGTGTGTGTGTGTGTGGTGGAGACGTCATTATACAGAATGACAAAAGAAGAGGAGATTCTCTGGTCAGCTGCTGCCGATGTCTATTGTCCTGCCATCACAGGACAGCCCCCTACCCCATCACCGCCACATCCCAATTGCCCACACACACACACACACACACACACACACACACACACACACACACACACACACCTCATCTTGTGTTGGACATCACTTTCTTTCCTTCCTCAAGTTCAACCCTGATTACATGGCTGCCTCACAATGTTTAGGGACCCTGTGAACCTCCTACCCTAAACCCCAGCTGTGGTTTCGAGGGGTTTTAGAAAGTCTGAGATCCAACAGATGTTAAATAAAAAAAACTCATAGAAAGTTCAGGACAAAGTTTAGGTGCAGTCAACAAAAAGAGAATCCTTGATTTATTTATCTCTTACTAAAGCTGTCCTGAAAACTTGTCAGATTATGAGAATTTAGAGATTATAACCTTTTTGAGCCCTGAAGTGTTTAGTAACTCTTAGATGGCACAGGCACTGCCAGACAGGCTCGTTTTGACTTTAATTACATGCTGGTTTTGTCCAACAGCTGTAAACACATTATGGCTCAGATCTAGACATGAGCTAAAAACAAGTCACAAATTCAGGAACTGAGCCAAATCCAAAAAACCCTTTTCATTACTTTTAAATATGGAGAATATGGGGGTCTTTCTTGGTTATGTGGCCGAGCTAATAAGCTGGTGATAATACATGGTGGTAGACAGTTTGATCAAATCCACAGCAATGGTGAGCTTATATTGGCTTGAAGTATGATGGATCATTCCCACAATGATATAATGGCAGAAATGTGGGTTCAGTACGGTGTTGACCCTTCTGTTGTGTCGCCTCTTTTTTAACAATGCTTTGGAAATGTTAGGAAACCAAGAAGACCAGTCTGAAGTTTTGAAAGTGATCTTGCTAGATATAGAAGTCAGCTGCTCAACAGATCAGGCCCTTCCTCGGCATATTGTTGGTGTCACCATGTGCACCACATGTTCTGATGAGTGACAATCTGGGGCTGCAGGCAGGCCAGTTCAGCACCCAGATTCTTCTAGTCCGGAGCCATGTTTGCAAAGTGTTGTTTGGCATCTTCCTGTGGTCCAGAGGATGGAGGATGCATTGTTTATGATTTCCCAAAAGAAATCAGACCACGGGACAGTTTTCCACTTTGCCTCAGTCCATCTTTAACGGTCTCAGAGATGTCGACATCATTTCATTTGTTTATAGATGGTTTCCTCCTTGTATGAACAGTTTTAACCAACATTTGTGGAAACAGCGACAAACTGTGTTCTGCTTCTTGGATGTGATTTTGAGCCCATGCATCGATTTCCACTACAGAGTCACATCGTTTATAATGAAGTACTGCCTGAAGATCACAGGCATCCAGTATTGGTTTCAGACCTTGTCCCTTTTGTGCAGAAATATTTCCTGTTTCATAATTTTAAAAAACGTAAAGCTATTTGCTCACACAGTTCCCCAAAGAGAGATGAACCTCTTCTCATCTTTGCTGTAGGTTGGTTCAGGCTCTCTGTCATGCCTTTTTTTTAATTACTTATAGTCATGTTACTCACCTGAGAACAATTAACCCAATTAGTAAACAGATTTTGTCCTATAAGCACATCTATAATGTTCATCAGAAGTTGGTGTAATGATTGGCCTTTGCAAAATGAATAATCTTTGTAGTTGTGAAAAAAAAAAAAGTTAAATCTGAAATGATATTTAAAGTTTGGCGCTTTGTACCTTGTAAACCATGATCCAAATTTCTTTATTTTTATCTAATTTAATGAAGAGAGTTACAGCTTTGACATCCACCCATATTTTTACAGAATCATCTGCCAGATCCAAACCAACATCAATAAATGCAGAGACAGTCACCTCTGTTCAAAAATAGCAGAAGTGCATGAAGAAGCTGCTCAATCTAACAACCAACAGCACTTGTAATTAGGTGTTTTCCATCCATGGAGAAGTTCAATTGTTTCTAATGAAGGATTTTTTTTTATAAGAGAAGGCAATAAATTCAGCCAACTAATAGAAGCAGCTATGAATGAAGCTCCTTTCTTCCCTTTGTGTGTGTGCTGTGTAAGTATGCGCCTCACGTAGCCCTGAAAGGTGCTGAGCTCTGCATTATCATTTATCTTCCTCCCAAGTGTTTTTTTTTTTTTCAGGCACTGTTTTAATGTAAGTCCTGAACGTGTCTTCATTTTGCGTTTGTGTTAATCCACACCAAGTGACCCTTGACCAAGTGACCTCAGGAATTTTTAACCCTCCACTGTCTCTGCACAGTGTGTGACTCCCAGCCCCATTCTCCTTTGATTGGCCTCTCTTGGACACACACGCACGCACACACACACAGATTATATGACCACTCTGTGACACTCGCAGACACAGAGACAGACACAATAGGAGACCCGGCACATTCCTTTCCCCAGGTGGCATAAAAGACGCGGCCGGATCAATGTCTTAATGGGCTCCAAACCAATGGCCCACAATCATTAACCCCTGACAAGTGCGGCTTCCTCATAACCGTGGCCAGACTATTGTGTGTCCACCATGTGTTCGTATACGAGCCATTGTGCAAAGGGTTCAAATGTTGTATGGAGCTGGTTAACCGCTGGATGAGGGCTCTAACTTAGAGCATTTGAGGGCGATGGCATGTGATGTTCAGACCTGAGAAACCGTGAAGAAACTGGACCAAAAAAAGAGTCCATGTTTAGGTTAGCGATTTCTTGAGTACACTTAATGTAAAGAAGCTAACATTTGGATTAAAATATCAAATAAAAATCGAAGTTGAAGAGTTGTGCATAATTATTTTCATTCATGTTGTCCATCCCTCTTTTACTCACTTGACAAAAAAAGATTCAGCAATATATTCCTCTCTCCTCCAGGCATCTACTCCAAAAGCCTACCACTGAGCCCCTACAGCCGTGCATGTGTGTGTGTTTGTGTGTGTGTGTGTTGGGCTGGTGGTGGTGGGAGGACAATGGGCGGTAAGGGGGCTGGTTGAATGGGACCATTGAGTCTGCTCAGCCAAACAGAAAAGCATCTTCCATCTCACTTCAAAACCCACAGTTTCACTCTGTACAACCAGGCCTTTATTCCCCATAATTACTCCCTGACACACATGTACACACACACATGCGCACTCACATATAGATCTACATACATTCACATGCATATTTATGAATACATACGAGTAACACGGTGCGCTAATCACAAAAATAACACAGCCAGACTGACTCTTGACAGTCTTAACATGTCAAGTGTCAGTTTAATTGTTCTGATGATTCTCTTCAACATCTCACCAAAGGAGATGAGACGGAATCTAACTTATAGAAAAAGACGGGATATCTATGGTTTTTGAGTTTTGCACAGATCCCATTAATAGATATATAAATATCAGTCCCCACTTGAGTTCAAAGTCATTTGGTTGTACCTGCTTTTATTGAAAAATCTGAACTTGTGTAAACCGTTGACAACGTTACATTTACATGTCACATCAGATTCAGATTCAGATTCAGAAAACTTTATTGATCCCAAAAGGGCAATTCATTTGCAGCATTTCAAGAGCAGCTCACACATACATAAAATCGTACGTCAGTCCATTCCAGTCACAGTGGAACCTAGATCGAACCCTTACAAAATATAACACACCATATCATGTCAAGACTGGGCTGCATATTGATGTGCATACAGACCTGCAGTTTAATATAACATATCATCCTAGCACTGCAGTTGTCAATTTAAGTGTATATTACCGTTACTGAAGGCAGGGTCTTTTTTAATGTTGACCAATGTTTTCATACTTTGAATCAGGGTCAAACTGTTGCTGTAAGATCACCTGCACCTGACCCAAATATGAAAGTGATTCACACTCATTAACCTCGCTGCGTATTAGGGAGAAACAATTCAACGCTGCATATGGAGATTAATTTCCTAATCCATCTGAACCCAATTTTCCATACAGTAATAGAAAAAATAGCCACAACATCTGTGTCACAATATGTACTAACAACCTAATTCACTCTAAGCCCTCAAGAGGTATTATCGTACACAGCCTGTCAGATAAATGTGGCCGGCCCTGACAGAGAAAGTGCTGTCTAATACAGAGAGCAGTATCACCCTCGGGTTTTGTCAGTGTTACACTGGGCCATTTAAACTCCACCGAGCTCGTTAGCCTAGATCCAGCCCTGCGGCCAGCCTGCTCATTGTGTGTCCTGCACACTGAATCATTGTGTAGGAGGATAATCCATACAGGGTAATTGTTACACCCTATCATGCTGTGCATAAGGACAACCCGATTTAGTTCAAACGCTGGGTTGATCCATCCATCTTTGCAAGCAGGTAGAATCATCGAAGCTAGCAGAGCTTGAGCTCTATCTAAGCTCAGCTCAAAAAGTAAGATAAATTGTGTTCGATTATTGTGAGTGAGATGAGCAGCAGAACAGAGTATGTGGGTTTCCCCCATGAAAAAGTTGCCAAACAGCTTATTTTGCTTTGCCACTGACTCTTGTTTTGAGCTTCTGGTACACCCAGGTGTCTGATTGTCAGCATCTGTGAGCTTAGGCCCTGCTACAGTGGACCATAGGTGTCTTTACCAAGAACCAATAATGCCACAACTGACTAATCTAGATAGGGCAAAAATTGCAGCATTAATCTCAATGCAGAGAGATATCAAGATGAGATTCTGCAACCAGTGGCAATCCTTTATCTCCACAGTCAGGGATTAAACTCTACCCTCCAAGATGACAATACTTGCCCCCACAGAGTCAGGTTTATCAGAGACTACCTCCTGAATTTGGGAGTGGAGAGGGTGGAATGGCCTGTCAGCAGTCCTGGGCTCAACCCCATCAAACACTTGTAAGATCAGCTTGGGCTTGTTGTTTGTGGTGCAGTGATCAACACAACCACATTGGCTGACTTTGGACAAATGCTGGTCTAAGATCGGGATGACACCCCTTAAGATAAGATAAGAAGAGCTTTATTGATCCCCAAAGGGAAATTCTACCTACCTACCTACCTACCTAGCTACCTACCTACCTACCTACCTATCTATCTATCTATCTATCTATCTATCTATCTATCTATCTATCTATCTATCTATCTATCTATCTATCTATCTATCTATGTAAAGCTATCTTCTTGCATTATCTATGACTTATGGACTGCATAACAAGTTGGACCGAGGTATTACTTCCTGTTGGTGGAGCAAATACTTTCAGGTTAATACACCTTGAGGTTAAAACACCTCGAATAAATGTTTCAATAACTTGCTTTCATGACAGTTATGAACACGTTGATTTCTATTCAAGTGATCGTCTCTCTAGTATGTTTCTTATTGATGGAGGGAAAGTAATAACAGGATTTACAGCTCTGTTAATATAGGTGGATTTCTGCAGAGTTCTGAACCCAGAAGAAGTAAATGTACAGATTGCTTCTGCTCATGCTTGACAGATAGAGGAAAGTCAACATATCCACATTCGGTCGACACAATGAATTCATCTAAACACTGGAGCTTTTTGCTGTTTATCTATAAGAAGGAAGAGCTTTCCTTCTGCAGCACTGCCTAAATTTATCACATGGAGTGAAGTGTTTGGCTAACTTTCACCCTTGATACCGTGATAGAAACAATCGTCAGCCCTCTCTGTTGTAGGATTCAGCTCTTAATTGTCTTATGAATATTAACAAGAAGCTGTGTTCAGACGCTGGTTTTACATGTCAGGGGGTTTTTGAAAGAAGGTGAGCAAAGATTGAGGTCTAAACCCAACCCTTACTCCTCTGTCTCTCCACCTGGCTTTCTGCAGCTCTGTGTGTTGGAATTGTGTGACGTCTCTCTGACACACAGCACCCGAGGAACAAAGGGTGCAAGCAGAAGGAGATGTTGTGTTGGAATTGTGTGTGTGCGTGTGTGTGAGTACCAGGGACGGGGGAAGGTTGGGACGGGTGTGGACTGGTGGTGGGGGGTGTTGAGGCTCCATATGGGCACCCCACCCTTTGTAAACCCCCCCCTCCTGCAAACAGGCAGATGTCAAATAGGACGTGCCTCCCTGACGGGGCACAGGGTCACACTGCACAGGGGTAAATAACAGAACAGGAGGGACAGAGAAAGACAAGGGGAAGAGATTGAGAGAGAAATTCCCCTGCCCCCAATCTCTGCACTGCCCCGAAATATTCCATATGAGATGTTAACTTTACTGGAAAAAGAAAACTGCAGACACAAATGTACCTGTACCATTTCTAAATCTGGAAAAATCAATCATGGTGTCCCTAAGGGTTCAATTCAGGTCCTTTACTTCTTGAACTTTTACATATTGCCACTCAGCAACTTGATCATTATAAACTGTATAACAGCCATGGTGATGTCACGGCTTATATTACTAATTGGACTGATGCTTTTCCAATTAAAGATGCTTTTTGAAATATTCAGTAAATGATGATGGTGCTGCACAGTTTTCGTCTGCTCAGCAAAAACTAAACAGAAGTCACATCAGCAGAGAAGTTTGATTCAACTATGTGGTGCATTAATTCTATACTAGGGCATATATCTGAAGCTTTCTCTGTAGATGTTCATTTATGTAGATGTTTTTTCTTCACAAAAACAGTGTCTGCATCAAACCATATTTATCAAATATGTGCCAGAAAAACAATTATAAACATACCTCAGTATACCTGAAAAATGATGAGTTGACTCGAGTTCACTTCTACAGTCGTGAGCAGTTATTGCATTATTTGTAGCTCAGTGAAGATGTTAATTTTCTTCAGTTTAAAGGACTCGACATCAAACAACAGTTGGTTCTTGTTTCAACTGGTGTGTTTAAAGAATGCAAATCTCCAGTGTGGCACTATTTGACCATGAGGAAGAGATGCAACGCGACTCAAGGGCAGGTGTGTGTGTGTGTGTGGAAGTATGGGCTGCAGTCCTAAACAAAGCAGGGGAATGGAGACACACACACACACACACATACACACACACACACACACAGGCTGTTCTCTGTGTGTTCAATGGTTACGCCCGCAGGGCAGGAGTAAGGTTACTTTACATACTGCACTTACAGCTCCCTTTACCACTGGGGTATAAAATGGATTTGAATGAGAAAGAGGGGAACAGAGGGGTGAAGGGAGGAGGGGGAGAGGGGGGAGCCGGGGGACTCCCTTTGTGTAACAGGAGGTCTGCTGCTGCTCTGGCATGGCTATGGAGATGGAGGAGCGGGGTCACTCTCCTTGCTCTCCCTCCCTCTCTGTCCCTTTACTATAGGCTGGCTGCTCTGTCTCTCCCTCTCATCCCTCCCTCCCTCCCTCTCTCCTCCATCTATCCCTTCCTCCCTATTAGCATAGCAGCTGCCTGATACAGGGCATAGGGTGGGGACCGGCCAGGTTGCTGTGTGCATATGTGTGTGAGGGGTGTTTGTCGGAGGGGAGGGATGTCAGGGGGGGTAGGAAGGAGGGGGGTCCAGTCAATGGCGGTCCGTCTGGCTGGTGAATAGCAACTAAAGCAGGCCCCCGCAAGCTAGACAAAGGAGCCGGGGAGGGAGGGGATGGGGGTCGGGGTGGAGGGATGAGGGGAGGGGTGGAAGAATGAGGCAGTGAATGGAGCGCCTTGTCACTGGCGCTATGGAGAGAAGGACAGAATGAACTGGAAGAATGAAAGAAAAGTTCAAAAAGGAGCGGAGGGCAAGGAAAAGACCGGCCTGACCACCTGTCTCTCTCTCTCTCTCTCTCTCACTTCAGCTTTTTTACTCTCCTTCTTGCTCTCTGGCTCACTCTGGGGAGGGGCGTTCACTTGATCGTGTTTAGCGACAGACATGTTTTTGTTTGCTGGGAGAAAGTGTCATATCAGCAGGATTTAAAGCTCACTGTCATTCACAAGCATCATTCACTGGGTGCTGATTTTGCGTCTTGTGAGTCAGTCAGCTGCAAAAGAAGTAACAGAAATAAAGTGAGAAAGGAAAATACAAACAGGACAAATGAACAAGACAAATGCTGCTGAGTACAGATCTAAGTCTGACTGACATGGATGAGGACTCTAGGAAGAACAGTTCCACCAATTCAACATGTAAAACTAAACTTACCTGCACAACTAAAGGTCCATATACACCGGGGCCGACGCGAATATAGAACTCGAAATTACGAAATATCCGGAGGAGAACTTTGTCGCGTCTGACTATACACACATCAAGCCCGATGCGATTTTGCGACTTTCCGGGGGGAAAAAGACGCGTCCCATGTGGAAGCAAGAATACTGACACAACAGCAGACTGACTGTTTTTCAGTTCTGATTGGACTCTAGTGTTGAGATGTCTGTCTGTCATGATAGCATGAACTGAGTCGGGGCCAGTACCAGATAAGCACATTAAACTATAATCCATAAACGTAAGGTAACAACCAAGACCTAATGGTGCTGCGACAGCAACGTGATTGAGTTTGAGACAGTGAAAATACATATGGTATATTGTATCTGAACAGGTTAGCTTATGAGCTAAAGTTACTTAGCACAGATGAAAGTTTAAACAAAGACGTTCAGCAAACTGTTAAAACACACAAACCATCGTCATATGAGAAATCCGACGCTATGACTCTCCATAAGTTGTCCTTCAGGTTGTTATCTTTATAATATTTGTGTTTCTTGTCAAAAAGTACTCTGTTCTCCGACATGTAAACAATTAGCCGGTCGGCCATGTTGGATATATCATTGAATCTGATGTCGCACGAAATCTGATTGGTCATAAGTGGACACACAGTATGCCAAACTTTAGAAAAATCGACCGTGATCCGAAAAAATAAATGCCGCAATATCGCAGGACGGGAAAACGTCGCTGATGTAAACATGTGTATTGACAAGATACGGGTTCGAAAAAAAATACTGACGTCCGAAATAATCGCACGTAAAAAACTCTCCTAGTGTGAAAGGACCTTAAGTCCCCCTAAACTGGATGACACCTGACTATGTGTTTCTTTTGTATTGTTTTGTTTTAATGCGAATTTTCTCTTGCAATAAAACACACCTTTCTGCTTTTCTGGCATCAATTGCCCAGACACAGTTAGCATCGTGCTACGTAAGATGAGGTGAGGAGTGAAAACAAAGCAGATCATCTTGTAAACCAAAGACAGGAAGCAGCATGATGCACAGTGCATCTGTTTGTCCATATCTTGCTTGGCAACACATAGTATCTCACTCTCGTCAGGGTTAGACTTCTTTGGTACAGAACAACATGCTGAACAGGTCGCTGCTTCACCTGCTGCTCATACTGGGGGTCTTCAGTGAATGCCTACACTGAAGCAGAAACCTTATCACAGAGGCAAACAAGTTGGTGACATGGAATGGGTTTCCACTACGTCCTGGCTGTTTTCTTTGACTGCTTCTTTTTCACTAAGGATTGTTTGACCCTGCCACAAACCAGCAGCCTGAATGACCGCATGATGCCCGGACGATTTGGTCCATTTGACCGAGTGTAGAGTGAAATCTCCTCAGACCAATTCGGCCTTTTTGTACACTTCAAAAGACAAAGCTTTCATGGCTTGCACACTTTTGAGGATGCAGACGCTGAACTAGAGCGTAAAACTTATGTAGTCCGCTCGCTGAATTTTGCTCAATGTGTCACGAATATGCGAATAAACAAGTTTAGGTATCTTTAAATTTATCTTCTCTTGTTTTACAGCCCCTAAGTGCACAAAATAGTGAATGAATTGAGTTCTCCTGTATTATAATGTGGGAAATAATGCATCCCTGCTCTTCAGAACAAAGTAACTACAAGTCATTTAAATCTGGGAAATAACTCCACACTACTTAGTCACACATTACTACCTGTTGAGGTACTCTCACATGCACGCTCTCTGAACATGTTTATGAAAGAGGCCCCAGATCCACAGGTGTGTGTTGTGGGAAATTCCCTCAACAGCCGTGAGCATTGCATGACTGCCGCGCCGTTTCTCGATAACCATTGTAAACATATTTAGAGAGAGCGCACGCCCACACAGGTATTTTTTCAATTACTCATGCTGTGTGCACTTAAGGTTAGGTGAAAGTAGGGCGGAGCTATGATGGGGAAAGTGACAATCGAAGAAGGAGAAAAGTGGAAACCAAGTCTGGTGACAAAAAGTGTCCGGTATGTTCAAGATGCGCATTTCGATCTACAGGGAATCAAAGGACTTTTAGATGTTTAGATGCTGTCCTATTAAAATACAGAGGTAAATCCCAACCTGCAGAGGAGCTTTCCACAAAAAGCTGTTAAAAGTTACTTAAAGTTCCTCTTTACATGGCTGTCATCAATCAACAGGCTTCTGCAACGACTATAAGTTCCTCGTACGTGCTCGAATACGAAAAAAAGACGTTCAAATAAACCGTTGGTGTTACAACATTGCTCCTGGACTCAGTAATCTTGATGTGACAGAGGCTCTATGAGGTCACCATACACACAGTTTCACAATCTGAGTGTAGATCAAGAACGGGGGCCGTTATACAATGAGGGTTACAGTGTTTCAAAATCAGCTGAATTACATTTTAACACATATCACAACATGTTCAGTTAATCTGGTGTTTGACAGATCAAGTGTAAACCTGTAAGTGAAGGGTGTAAGCATGGATATGAATATTTTATGAGCTGGTGAACAATGGGCTTTTGAATGGAGATGGAAGATTGTCACGTATGATTACAGCTGTTTAGAAACTGACAATATTTCACCGAATTTCAGTGTTAAATACATTCACATACACAAACACAGGACCTGAACTCGTCATTTTCCAAGTTTGACTTGTTTACTTTTCCTCTACAGCGGTCTTGATGCCGTGCTGGTTCAACGACTCTTGGAGTTTACTCTGCAGAGATCTTCTCCAAATGCCTTTATGTTGTCTGGCTCCTTAAGCTGCTCCGTGCACAGGCCAGACCCAGATGAGCGAAGGGAAGCCAAGACACATGAAGAACCTATTAGGGGGCCTTGCAGCCAGCAGCAACCCTGGGAGGCCAGCCAACTCAGTGTGTGAACAATAGGGAACCCAGCTCAACAAAAACATCCTGCAGAAGTGAGAGACTGGGAGGGAGAGAGGAAAGGACAGGCGAGGAGCAAGCCAGATAGCCTGCTCAGTATCAAAACACAGAGGGGATGGTGTTAAAAGGGGAGCTAAATTTCTGAGTGTTGAGTTTGATGGAAACACACAGCAGATTGGCGCGTTTTGTGTGGTCTGCGTTGTGCATTTCAGCCGAGGTCACAGATGGTCTGTTTAACAGCTACTCTGAGAACTATTACTCTCCGGTTTTAGAAACTACTCCATCAAGATGACACGAAACTCTCACACCATTCTCCCATCACATTTGTAACCCTCTCCTTGCTCAAACATTTGCTCTTAACTGCTGGTTGACACCCAGTAGATGTTACAACATGAACAGGTCCAACATGTAGAAAGACGCATTGTTGAGGCACTTTTTCCCACGACCCTCCCACAGCCGTGCAATATCAGTCGCAACTCAGCATTTCCAAGAAACAAGGAAGAACACGACTTAATGAAAGGGTGCATTTGAAATAGACAGGTGCAGTGAACCAGGGGGACAATGCAAGCGGTGAAAATCTAACAACGCTACAAACTCACACATATTGCAAGAAGTTTAAGCTCAACCCTGGAAAGGATTGGAAATGTTCGTTTAGGCTTCAGAGTCACATAAACTTTAGCACACTCACTCAGTTTCTCAACAGTTTTTGGCTGCAAATGAATCCATGTGTTCCAGTTTTTCACTCCTGACTGGTCCAAATTATGCGAGAGCGGGTAACAGGAAAATCAAACTATTTTCAGGAGAATTTCACGCACCATTAGAGCAGGACCTTTCGCAATAAAGCTCTCAAAACGCGGGCCAGCAAACCAGCAAACTGTTTATTTTGTAGAAGCAGAGGTGAACGGCTAATGGAAGGAGTCAGTAAAAAGTAGAACAGAAGAGAAGCTGAGAGGTGGAAAGCTTAGTTAGCACCATGCATGCTCCTTACTCATTAGAAAGAGAGCACAAGAGAGAAGAAGTGTGTCTTGGGAAGTTTTTGAGTGTGTGTGGGGGTAACATAAAACCGGCTCTCCTACAACACACACACAGGGGAGGGGACCCTTCTTCAAACTGAGCCTACCCACAATGCACCAGGGCGCCTTTATTCCGACAGTGAAAGGATGAGGCTGGGTGAATGACAAAAGGAGAGAATGGGGGATCTGGGTTGGGCCCGGCTTGGAAGACAGGGGAGGGAGGAGAAAGAGAGAGAGAGAGAGGGGCAGAGGGAGGGGTTTGTCACCTAAACTTTACTCTGAATTCACAGATAGCAAGACGGAAGAGGAAGAAACGTATGCATACACAGAGGATTTGAGTTTAATGATTTCTTTACTGGCTTGTACACAAACGTACAAAAATAATACAGCACTCATCTCCACATGACATCATGTCATCATCACAGTGTTACAAACGTTCAAAATAAAAAGAATAAAAACAAAAACAATTAAAAAATAACATGAAAAACATGATGGAACATCTGCATCACTCATGAAAAATCAGCTGTTTCCTCCTGCTTGAAATGAAGCAAGACCAGAAACACAACTTGGTCCAAAAAAAGTCAGCACTGTTTTCTCATTCGACAAAAAAAAAAAAAAAAAAAAGACAAAAACATCTCACTCATGTACACCAATCCGGCGGCTGGCTCCTTACGTCATAAATGTTATGACCCTGGTAAGCCAAACAACCACACAACCGTGCAATTTTTAATCATGTTACAATGATCTTACCATCAAATATTATTCCCCTTTCAAATAAAACAGGAAGACAGCACTTCAGAAAAGAAAGTGCCCCAAGATATCATCATCATCATCATCATCATCAGAGTTGATATATATATCCATATGTATATATACATACACCCAATCACAGAGATACACGCATCTTTGTTCAAAAAAACACAATGTTTTTCCACAAAGTAACACACACATTAGGACATCATCACCTGGAGCATATATTTATACAATAGTATTTTGTTGTGTTTGTTGTTTTTTTCTATTCAGAAAAAAAATTAAATGTTGACACATAAAAGCCAACTTTTCAACAACAGTCATCAGTGCAATATTCAAACCAAAAAAAAAAAAAAAAAAAGAGGAAAAAAAAATCAAGTTTAAGACAAGCGATGCATATTTCATAAATGTTGCCTGATACCAATCTATACCATGATGGAGTGGATCTATCGCTTCACTTATTTGTGGTTTTCTCTCCAGGTTGTAACAACGGAAAGTCTTCAGTCTGAATGACTGGCACAGCAGCACACAGGTGGGGTCTCACGATCGGCACACATGCACCCACACACACGCACAGATATGCTTTGAAAACACACACACTCTATCTCTCAACAGCTTCTTATGGGGCCAACCTGTGCTGCTGTGGCGCTTTGACACAACTACGAGTGATTTAAGCAGTAGGATTTGTAAAAAAAATAAAATAAAAGTAAAATAAATGAAAGAAAATTTGACATAAAAATGAAAACAAACATGAAAAAACAAGCAGCATTGATACAAATGTTAGGGTGCCATGACTGTCAGGAAACTTTACGCAACCAAATCTTTTCTTTTCCTTTTCTGTGACATCCTGCAATTAGTCATGTGGTGATGCTTTTTTCCATTTTTTTTCTAAGTCTTCATCGTCCAACAGTATAAGGGTCCTGCTCAGTAGTAAGTAGAAACTATTCCAAAGCCTTGGCCCCTGCAGTCGCCCCGCCCAACACCGGGGGCGCTCAAGGCTCCACATTTTTGTGCAATAAAACTCCCTGCGTTTATAAGTCATGCGATACAATTCCATTTTTGTATGACTGAAAAAATAAACATAAGTGAGGAATATCAGAAAGGAGGGAAATTATGAGGTTTAGGGGAGGGGGGGTATATGCAACAATGGCTGAGAAATAAAGAAATAAGAGTCCCTTGCAGGAAAAAAAAACATGATGCTTTGCTTGTCAGAATTGGTTTGGTTGTGGTGTAGAATAAACTGTCCCGAATTAAGATGCAGGAATGGGTGTCATCGCATCCCCTGTATTGAAGTCCAAAAAAAAACAAAACCATCAAAACTAAAAAAAGAAATAAAACACACACTGACATGCGGAGGAATTGTGAGTCTCTTCAGACTCCAAACGTGGCAGAGCGGTGAGAGAGAGAAAGAGAGAGAGCTGAACAACTTGAGAATACTTTAAAGTCGAGGTAGCTGGCAAAAGGCAACCAAACAAAGTCCTTTAAAAGGGAGGAGGAGGTGGGGGAGGAGACAGTCCACTTGAGGGGGGTACACAGGTCGTAACAGAGAGAGGGGGGGATTCTGGGTTGGGAAGTGGCAGATAGCTAGAGCCTACCTCCACACGGGACAGTTTATACTACGAGTCTGAAGCAGCTTGAGTCACCCTCTTACACTTAAAGATTTTTTTTATAAGAAGAACCACAACATCATAAAAAAAAAGAAATGCATCTTCTCAATGTACCTTCATAAATAAAAAAAACCCAGCCCGCTTTCACAGTGATGACTAGGATGTTCATAAAATACTGAAAGGAGATTATAAAGTGAATTCCAAAATAAAAAAATGCGACTTTTGTTTTGATACAAAGCGGAAGCAGCTGTTTTCTTGTTATATAATACATTGACCAAAAAGTGGTCTCACACAGGCCTGAAAAAGTTGGACGCCAGCATGGCAAGATCAACAACAGAGCGCACTCAGCTACTGTCTCTTTCAAAATAAAACAGAAACATAGTAAAGCTATTGTGTACAGTACTTCACAACAATCATGGAATCAGAATTGTTGTTACATAATGATTACACATCTGAAAGCGTGTTGGATAGCCATAATGCCGCTCTTTGAGTAAAACAAAAAAATGAATCTATTAAAGAAATCAGACCTCTGGTATAACCAACAGAGGGCAACCCTTCTTCTCTTGTTCATGTGTCTTCCCTTTCAGGTTATTCCAGCATGCAGCCACACAAGCATCAAGTGCCGTTATTTCTCAGATTAAATATAACTTCAAGAAAAAAAAGTGGGGGATGAGGAGCAACAGGTCAAATCCGATTCAGCTGTATATTCTGGGGACGGGTGGGACAAAATGAAACTGGGCCATCTGCTCTCTGGATTCCAAACACACATGTGATACACAGACACTGGCTTCTTTTCGAGGGGGGGATCTAGAGGACACATTCAAGAGGAAAAGCTTTAGTACCAACAAACTCACCGATATGGCGTTGCGTTTTTTTACGGGAGATTCGTGTTGCAGCGCTGTGTATGAACCATGTGGTGCTTGGCTCTGGAGCCACTGAACCCGTTTGGTTTACACTGAGGGAGGATTACTGTGCAGACCTATTTTGTTCTTTTTTTAAAAAATAATTTGGCACAACTATGAAGAGCAAGAGCCTGGCTTTCCGTGCGTTGCAGTTTTATTTTCCACTTGTTTTCTGATTTTTTTGTTTTTGTTTTTTTACCTGACAGCAGAGACTGATCACCGGGCGCCAGAGGAGTACTTGGCCTTGGTGATGAGGTATAGCACAATGTCTTGGTGGCCACCGAAGGCGGCGATGTGTAAAGCGCTCCACCCTTCCCTGTTGGCCAGCCGAATATCTGCGCCAAACTTCACCAGCAGTTTTACCAGCTCCAGGTTGCCGTCAATGACGGACTGGTGCAGGGCCGTCTGTCCTTCAGGCCCGAAGGAGTTGACGTTGAACTCGCAGTTTGTCATGTTCTGCAGCAAAGAGTGCAGCTCCTTGGTGTTTCCCTTCTTCACCGCCTCCTGGAAAACTCTCTGCGGCGCGGAGCAAGTCGACACATCCGCCTGGCTCATGGTTGCAGCTCGCTGGAGGAGTGAGGGAACCAGTAATCCTGCCCGGGATCTAAAGCTGATAATAATCGTCTTCTCCCTGTTGAGCGTCTCTGGTCTGGTGACAGTGCCACAGTTACACTGTATCACAACCGGTTATTAAGGCACTTTTAAGTTTTAAAACAGGAAAAGAGCTCTGTTTATATCCCAAAAAGGACAAGAGATGAAATAACACACTCGGTGTGCAAAAAGTTAATTTATAAGAGATCCTAAACTCCCCTCAAACATATCAGGGTGCTGGAAAGCTATCCAGAGGTCTGTGGATGTATTTCCTCTCTCTGAAGCAGCAGGTAGCCTGTAGCAGGGGATGGAGGAGAGAGACACCTCCGACTCCACTTGGGGAAAGTGGAGATATCACAACTATCTCCACAGGGCAGCCGTTCCTTGAAGAGTCCGACCTGTTTCCTGGTCCTGGCTACACGTCCCGGCTATATGTCGCTGCTCATGTGGTCTGTGAACGACAAAGTAGTAAGAAAAGTACGCGTGAATCTCGGCTCCTAACGAACACACTCAAGGGACACCCCGCATTCCTCCACATCCAGCAGTCAGATCAGGGTACTCCGTGCGTAAACGTTTACGCACGGATACACCGTTTCAATTCTGCCACTTCACATATAATCCGCTGCAGATTTGAGACTTACCTGTGACAGATGGACGGGTCCGTGGCGACGAAATCGATACAAATCCACCGTGAGGCCCCGGTCTGAGTCCTCGGCGCGGTCCGTGTGAGTCTCTGCCCTGCGCTGCGCTCTGGGGGAATATTTTACGCGTCCTCTATTTGCATGACAATACAGTCCTAAAGAATCAACTGTGGAGGAATGGGCGGAAACCCGGGGAGGTTATAGGCTGCCGGCTCGGTTAGAGGGAGGGATCTGGGCTCCAGTGAATCTGCTGGGAGGGGGCGTGGTCATCCGAGGGGGGAGCCAAAATGTTGCTGCAGAAATATTAAACAAGCCGCCCGCAGCAATATTAATGGTGAGCCCTACATCCGATCTCCTGTAGCCAACACCAGGAAGGGGACTCAAAGCCAGAGGCATGGTGCTGCCAGAGCTGTAAATGCTAAGAAAGCGGGCACGGTGTAAGGGATCATCCCCTGGATTAACATCAACAGGAATTCCCTCTGCGTTTCACTGACAGCGAGGATTGTAGAGCACTAGAGGATTTCATTCAAACATAAAAATGTACAAAGTGTAAAAGGAAATAGTCATTTGATTTAAGAAGCTGATGTCCAACACTAATGGTTTACTTTTACGCACAGTGAGGGGTTATATCAGGCATTTGGAAACACATGTCTTAATCTATTTTCTATATGAGGATAACGATGACTACAGGTGCGCAATTTGGGGGCAAATGATTCATAAAGATGTCCAAGTTCGTGGACTTATTGACATCCTTTCTTTTTGAAGGGGACAATAATAGACCACATAGGTGACTTTACCTGCAATGTGACCCCTAAACTAAACTAGACTAACACTCAGTTTACTTTTAAAGCGAAATGAAAACAATTTGGTCTTAGTTTCGGGCTTCTTTTGAGGAGAAATTGTGAGAGAGATTAATTCACGACTTGTGGAGTGAGTCTGTGAGAAGAGTGAGAGATATAATAAACGTACCAAAAGGAAAAGGGCGGACAAATCAAACTCTAAACGGTCGCAGGGAGCCACATAAAACACCTCAGAGGAGGAGATTACAGGCGGCTGTTTAAATCATAAACTGCGGATATATTCCAGTTGTTTTCAAACGACTAGACTGTGGAACTTCAAATAACAAAAGCCTCTGCGCTACTTCCTTTTTGCAAGTGAAAAGAGGTGACGCTGTGCGCAGATTGACACGCCGCTCAGTTCCCCCCGCCACCGTGGGAACTGGGTGGCTGTGTGTGTGTGAGTGAGTGAGTGAGTGAGTGCGATTGTGTGTGCGTGTGTGTGTGTGTGTGTGTGTGAGAACTAAAGATGGAGAAGGTAGTGATAGATCGTGATAGATGAAAACACGGAGTTTGACAGAAAGAATGCGTGTGAAAATGACAGATCTAGATGGATAGGGTGCAAAATAATGAGAGAGAGAGACAAACATGTGGAAACCACAACAGGTATACACCACTGCCTCTCCTCCTCGCGCCGTTTGCTCCGTTTGGTGGCCCGCATGCTTCATCTCATCTGTGTAACACATAATAAACCGCTCTCCGCTCTGATAGTTTGGTGGTTCTAACACTGTCCTCGTTTTCCCACACTCTGAACTGTACATTTGGCGCACGTCTGTGGCTGCATCTGTCTACGTGAATGTGTGACGGTGCATCTGTGCATCAGTGTGGGAGAGACAGCAACAGAGATCCCACATGAGAAGGTCACAACCTAATTTATCTTATCTTTCGAGAACAGATCAGACTAGACAACAATAGATTTCATGATGCACAAGTGCAACAAGGTAAGAAAGACAGCTAACAGGAACAACAGCAATGGAGACAGCAGAGTCACTGCTAATGTGAAAAAATGGAATGGTGTTACTATTTATGTTGTTTATAGTGTAAATACTTGTACATTATCTCTTTATTTTTACTTATTTTACTTATTTTATCTATTTATCTCCTTATTTTTACTTATTTTATCTATTATGTATCTCCTCTTTTACTGTTTTTGCACTGGAGTATTCTGAAAAAAGCATTTTCCCCCTTGGGATTAATAGAGTATTTCTGATTCTGATAAATGCAACTGTTCAGCTGTATATACAAAAAAACCTCTGGAAAAACTATTTTCATGTATGGGTGTTTTATCGTCCATTGTGTCACGTGTGGGTGTGCATTATCATGTTCATAATGGTGTTTGCTTTAGACATTACTTCAAATGTGTCCATTTAAGTGTAAAAAGCCAGCAGATATCAGTCTGTCACTATGTCACTTTCAAGGATTACAAGTGCAGAATTTTAATGAATTTATGTATCTCCAAGGTAAATGTGTAATATTCAAAAGTGTACTCATAAGATGGGTGTTTAACAGTGTTCCAGTTAGGACTGGGCGATTATATGACCGTGATTAATGATCGTGATAAATTTCAGTCCGACCATGGTGATCAGCTGTGAGCTTATTTGATCAAACTTGGCGAAAATGTGCATCACAACAGCCAATCAGAGTAGAGCTTTTCCTGCTCACTTCTTAAAGTTGCTGGAGAAGTAAGCAGAGAAAGTGGAGCTGAGGGCAGTAAAATAGATGTCAGCCATAACTTTGAGTCATCCTCCAAAGATGTTATTGTTGAGAAGAAAAGTTATTTAACGTCTTGTTTAGTATTTATCTATTCATTTTTCAGTTTTAAGTACAGATGCTTAAAAACTGGCAGTTTAAAAAAAATCGGGATAATAATCGAGATCGGACAATATGACAAAGTATATCGTGATCATCTTTTTGGCCAAATCGCCCAGTTCTAGTTCCAGTATTCAAATTTACATGTGTATGAGTTTTGTGAGTTATTCCCACCGCTGGATCTTCATCCTGAATGATAAATTGATTTAAGAACTGTACAATGGCTTGACATGGTTTTGAAGGAAACTGTGTGATTCATTTATTTTGCATCTGCAGGTGTTTGTGTGACTGTACGCCGCCTGCTTGTTTGTTCCCCCACAAGTGGCTCACAGCTGCAAACGCTCCAAAATAAAGACTGCGGCTCTGAGTCATTCATAGAAATGTGGTGAATACCTAAGGTCGACCTTTTATATCAGCTACAGTAGCAGATGTGTGTTTTCCTTCACATGACACAGCATTTGCTTGAATTGGCACTTTAGCCCAAAACCTCCTCACAACACATCTGGGTTTCTTTTTAAGATTTCATTTGAGAGTTGGTAATTTCAGGATTATAATACATTTTTTTGTGTGTTTGTTATATAAATGTTTCTTTCTTAGAGTCACTGAATGGTGCAGAACATCTTCTGGAAAATCAGGAACATCTGTCCGCTATCAGAGCTTGGCTGCACTGCGTCTGGACACTTGGAAAACATTTGCACAGACCGCAGGAGCCAAAAGTTTCTCCGATTGGATGAGTTTCTCCCCCTAAACTCTGTGGCATTTGCTCTCCTCTTTTGGCCCCCCACCACTTCGCAGCAATGAGTCTTTCTTGGTAATGTGCGTCTGGGAAGCAGCGAAAACAGACACAACCAAGAAATGGCTGTCTAGATAAACTTCAAAAGACATTAAAAGCTCTAAAACACATATTTTTAACATTCCCTGAATTCTTTTTTGACGGGTTATTTTATTTATGCAGCTGTTCAAAAGGTAGAAACCCAAAACGAATGCGTAAAAGCGCACGAAGTAAAACCGGTATTTTAAAATATTCAACAAATAATACTCGATTGGGAGATTATGCAATATTCCCCATGAATTCCTGGATACAGGTCATTTGAGATATTAAAATTCTGTTCGTTCAGCAATATCGTGCTGACAGACACACCGCAAGTGGTGCCGCGCACTGGTGTGTGGCTCCTAAGTTAACGGAGCGCCGGCCAGCTCGGTGTACTGCCCCGAGTTTTGGCGCCGAGACCCGGGGCAACCAGGGCCAGACTCGGCGGGAGGAGCCTCCTATTCCGGCTGAGGATGTCAGTGTGCATGCATGTCGCTGCAGAGGAGAGCCAAGAGACAGTAGAAGTTTAAGAAATTCAACGCAAAGCTATCACTCAAAACCGTCGTTGCTTATCATGACGCGGTGCCAGAAATATTCCCCAACATGCATCCCAGAAAATATGTTGAACTCAGCATGCTGTTGTGTATGAGAGAGAGAGAGAGAGAGAGAGAGGTGGGGGGGAGCGGGGTGGGGTGACGTGTTACCAGGAGGGAGGGCCTTCTGAGTCCAATTCATTCCGGGCACCACGTGTCCTCAGAGCGTGGGAAAGAGGCGAGCTTTTCTTCCCAGCAAAGAAAGAGCAGGGATCAAATAACACGGTGCTGCAGCAGAAAGCTCGCGCTCTGTGCAGAGGCAGGGGCTGCTACGACCACCCGGACAAGGACGGGACAAGACACACAGAGAGGGGCTTTATCTGGGAGCTAGGATGTAGACTTTATTCACTGCAATAGAAAAATACTTCGGAGTTGATGAATGTTGCTGTAGTTATTATACAGTCTGCGTTCAAGAGAGGTGCATGGCAACACGCCAACATTTTTTGTTTTCCAGGATGTGTGCTTAAGAGGAAATAGGTCATTTGTTTGAGACTATATTATTAGGAGACACTGAAAAAATATGCACCTAGATGAAACTTCTTGGTCAGGATTTTTCAGTCTGACACACCGGTGTTCTGTCCAGATTGATGTCAAACCGTCTCCAGCTGTCAGCATCAAACATTTTCACAGATCAAAATCCTATTCCGAGACCTGCTTCCTGTATCTAAATGAAGAAAATGCTTTCAATATACATTTACAGAGTCCACACTTGATTGTATTTGATTACTGATTCTAATAATGGTCAAACTTAACTGATATATCAAGCACACAGTTCACTTCAGCTATTTAAAACATATACACTCACCGGCCACTTTATTAGGTACACCATGCTAGTAACGGGTTGGACCCCCTTTTGCCTTCAGAACTGCCTCAATTCTTCGTGGCATAGATTCAACAAGGTGCTGGAAGCATTCCTCAGAGAGCTTGGTCCATATTGACATGATGGCATCACACAGTTGCCGCAGATTTGTCGGCTGCACATCCATGATGCGAATCTCCCGTTCCACCACATCCCAAAGATGCTCTATTGGATTGAGATCTGGTGACTGTGGAGGCCATTTGAGTACAGTGAACTCATTGTCATGTTCAAGAAACCAGTCTGAGATGATTCCAGCTTTATGACATGGCGCATTATCCTGCTGAAAGTAGCCATCAGAAGTTGGGTACATTGTGGTCATAAAGGGATGGACATGGTCAGCAACAATACTCAGGTAGGCTGTGGCGTTGCAACGATGCTCAATTGGTACCAAGGGGCCCAAAGAGTGCCAAGAAAACATTCCCCACACCATGACACCACCACCACCAGCCTGAACCGTTGATACAAGGCAGGATGGATCCATGCTTTCATGTTGTTGACGCCAAATTCTGACCCTACCATCCGAATGTCGCAGCAGAAATCGAGACTCATCAGACCAGGCAACGTTTTTCCAATCTTCTATTGTCCAATTTCGATGAGCTTTTGCAAATTGTAGCCTCAGTTTCCTGTTCTTAGCTGAAAGGAGCGGCACCCGGTGTGGTCTTCTGCTGCTGTAGCCCATCTGCCTCAAAGTTCGACGTACTGTGCGTTCAGAGATGCTCTTCTGCCTACCTTGGTTGTAACGGGTGGTTATTTGAGTCACTGTTGCCTTTCTATCAGCTCGAACCCGTCTGGCCATTCTCCTCTTACCTCTGGCATCAACAAGGCATTTCCGCCCACAGAACTGCCGCTCACTGGATATTTTTTCTTTTTCGGACCATTCTCTGTAAACCCTAGAGATGGTTGTGCGTGAAAATCCCAGTAGATCAGCAGTTTCTGAAATACTCAGACCAGCCCTTCTGGCACCAACAACCATGCCACGTTCAAAGTCACTCAAATCACCTTTCTTCCCCATACTGATGCTCGGTTTGAACTGCAGGAGATTGTCTTGACCATGTCTACATGCCTAAATGCACTAAGTTGCCGCCATGTGATTGGCTGATTAGAAATTAAGTGTTAACGAGCAGTTGGACAGGTGTACCTAATAAAGTGGCCGGTGAGTGTAGAGTTTACTATTCATTTTAAAATGCATTTTAGTTCAATTCATGGTTGCTGGTTGCTTCGCTCTCCCTCGATACTGGACCAAATTTCAGAAATCTAAGCTAAAATACCAAACTGCACAGAATCAGAACCTTGATCCACATGTTTACTCTAACCATTAACAACTGATAGGTATTACATATTATCACAAGACGCCTTGAGAACTTGTTCACCACATTCAGGGACACCTATCCACATACATGCTGATATCTTTGAGTGTCTCACATTGAAAGTTTAGCCTTGATGTGACATGAAGAGCAAGCTGAGATGAGGTGGACCCTGACTCACCTATCACCGTGAACAATAAAGACTGAACTTAACATGCCTGGTCTTTGACGCCCATATTTGTTAACTCTTTCCTCAGTGATGGGAAATGTCAGGATTTATGTCCTGATACAGATGTCTGTATTATTGAAGGTGTAATGTTACTTTCCACAACAAAAGCATTAAGCCTAAGTCTTCCGTTGCCATTCTGGTTATGTAATTGGTAACATGGTGTTACATGACTTACAGGTTGAGGCCTTACCTGCCCTTTCAAACATATACTGTTGTTAGTAGACAGTGAGAGAATAGACTCGGGCTTTGGTGAAATTCTGTCTCCTCAGCCCTCTGCAAACCGACAGCGTGTGAACTTAATAAACCAAAAGCTACAGCTTCAACATTTTAAACACTTCACATCTGATGATGATATAATGGTCAAATTATAGCGTGCATGGTCTAGAGAGAGATTCCATCACTTTACAACCTTTACTTTAAAAAGATTAGTCCCTGACTTCCTACCGCAGGCGCTGTGATTCAAACGCCGTCATCAAAAACACATCTACCTCTGTGATTCACAGTATGACCTGTCTTCACAAATCACTGCGGCTTTTTTGATGCGAGTTGAGTGATCAATTACATTTGGTGCACATCTGGCTATGATTAGGGGTTTCTTGGATTTTATGAGTGTAAAACTCAGCCTCCAAATGTAATTTTAAGTAAACGGGTTAGAGTTTACTTCAAGTAAAGAATTTTCCTCATTAGATCACTTAAAAACTCTTTCAAGGATCTCATTTTCATCACACGAATCTAACGAGGAATTCTTGAGCAGAGGAGAGGAAAGGAAGGTATGAGAAAATATGAAAGCATAGGGGGAAGGGGGTGTATGTGTTGGGTTACTCCGTGACCTGGCTGCTCTTCGGCCTCGGGGCAGGAAACCCCCCCTTACACTGTTAACGTTACACCTGACAGACATCAGTGAGGCTCAGATGATCTCATCAATCTGTCCACTCTCAGTGCTTCACCATCTGTTTGGAGAGTTCTGAAACACATTAACACTAAGCATTCGCTCACACACTGAAACCCTCGTTTCTCACAGCTTAATAATAAAACAAATTACGGTTTATTAACACATACTGAGCTCCCAGCTACATATGTAAACATTGCACAACTGCAAAAATGAAACATAGAAATATACAACATAACAGACAGTTAAAAAGGCCAAGTCATTACGTCCTGGCATTATATAACTGCGTCTTTTAAAACATAACATTTAAAATAAGTCTTAAAAATATGACCCGCTCCCGAAAACTGATTCAGGGAACAAACTTAACTTTGCAGCGCATCTTTACTTCATACATTTTACAGTTTTATAATATAATTCCCTGCCGAGTGCAAAATTAAAATCTCATCTTACAAATGCTGCTTTTTTTTCCTACTGTGAAAACTATATACATCTGATAGGATTTTTGGCCAACAATAAAAGGAAAACAAGTAAATCATGCATATATTTTCTTTGGGTTTTGCACCGCTGTCGATTAAGGATACGAAAACAATAAGGCTATCCATGTGTGAAGTTGGTATGTTCGCTTGTAGTGTCTGTTCACATTTTTCATGCTGTTTTATTCTTTTATAGAGTCACATATAAACTCAAGTCTCCCAAAATTGATTTCTGGATGACAGCAAATATTACTCTAAAGCCTGTATAAGTTGTTTAGCACCTACGAAGATGTGCAGCTACCCATGCCATGGACACTTACCCATTCCCACACCATCACAGATGCTGGCTTTTTTTTATATAGTGTGCTGATGACGAGCTGATTGGTCCTTTTCTCATTCTGTGTGTCTTGAACCTGAATATGTGGATGTATTGACAAAGTGACGTTGAGCCTACGCAGCGTTTTCCACCCCAGAGTCATGTCTGGTTTGAATGCAGCGAGTTTTACTGAGCTACTGTGGCTGATTCAGTGTCCCTGTCTGTTATGTGTAAGACCTCCTGGAACATGGAGAGCACGCGGTTGAAGTGAGAGCCATCCCAGAACACCTTCCCACATCTGGTGCAGACATAGAAGTGCGGTATCCTCGGCAGGAGGCCAGGTGGCACGGTGTGGAGCTGTATTGGTGCACCCCCAGGAAAGGCTAGGGTGTCAGGGTCCAGCCTTGAGAGCGAGGCCCACTTACACTGAGGGGCATACCTGGGATTCTGGGGGGTCATGACGTTACCGAGCTTCTCCTCTTCATGTTGTTGTGTGAAGTCAACATCGCTTTGGTCCTGCAGAAATCCTGATAAAAACAAAACAAAGAAGGATGATGATGTTGGATGAGTAAGAGTTGGACATATAGACCTCAGACAGTTCATACACCCTCTTTCCTGGTACTGCTCAGTTTGACTGACCTTTCTCTTTCAGCATCCTGTTCATGTCCTCTCTGGGCACAGCCACGTACTCATCACTGTTACATGCCTGGAGAAACAAACGAAAGAAAGAGCTCAGGACTTTACTCTGACAAAGACAATGACCCTGAAAGCAAATAAACATACTAGAGGTGTCCCGATATGATACCGATATTGTGGCCTTCAGTATCGGCCAATACCAATACTGATCTGATATTGGCACAAACTTGTGCATGACAATTTTTGCACTCAGCTGCAACATCTTTTTTGGACTTTGACGAAGAATACTGCCACACAGCCGACATGATCCCTACTCCTTGCTACTTTGTTAGTACGTTAGTACACACTGTTGTTGTGATCACATGGGCTCTGCATGCTAGATCCAGCTGCTGCTAGATAGAGGTGCCTGAGTGGAGTCTGGAATGGACTGCTTGTATCAGAGTGCTGATATTGGCGATTTTAGATGCAGGCCGATTAAATCCAATATTTGTATTTTGGCTGATATCGGACCAATATCAATATTTTATCGGGACAGCCCTAAAACATACATTAGGGAACTCCAGTTTTCCTAAATATAGTTCCCACTTCTGACTTCACTCAAACAAAAAAGGGTTGAAATAAATCACTTTGTGTTTGATGTATGTAGAAAATGTAGAAGTTTCACTTTTTGATTAAATTATGAGAAAGAAATGAACTTTTTTTGGACATTCTAGTTTTTTTTTTACCATAAAGTAATTCTACCTATTATCATTTATTCTTAACTCAACAATTCCATTACCATATCAGCATTGAAAAGCATTTTTGTTTGAAAAGTATGACGTGAATGCAACAGAGAGGTTTTCCCTCTCTTTGAGTGTGAAAGGAGCCAAGTGTTACAGACTGATGGGATCAGTATGTGAGTGTGTGTAAAGACGGCGTTCACGCCTCAGTAACATTCACATGTCCATGCCGTCCTGTCCCTCTCTGAGCTAAAAGTCTCCCTGGTGGGACATTAGTGACCCCTTGTTTGCCGGCCCTTGACGCGCGAACACACACACATATACATACTTGTCTGTAAGCCATCCTGACAGCATGTCAGTGCTAAAAGCCTTGTCAACACACCTGAGCTCCACCCAGCAAACAGCATTCCTCTTAGAGGTGGGCTGTAAATCAAACCACACTCACAGCAAAGGCAAGATCCTTGGCTAGCTCACTTAAGGACAGTTTGTCTTTTTGCTGGGGGGAAAAAAAGGGTAAGGAAGACCTCAGATCAGAAATAAAGAATCTCATCTCGTGTATGCACATGCAGAGCAGTGTTTGCCTCTGCGGTTTCTGAGGTCAGGACAGGAGAAAGCGGCTAGACAGCAGAGGTGTGGGAATAGCAGAGGTGTCATCTTCTGTCTTGTCCGTGGGAATGAAGCTCATCTCTCTCCCTCAGTACGCTCTGTATTCTCCTCTTTGTATTCACACACACACAAAATTCACCGCACAGACAAAACACCGAACAATCCGCACGGGCTCCACTACAGTGAGCATAAAGTGCATGCATACAAAGTGCTCGCAGCGCATACACATGGCTCACACATACAAGTGTGGCTGCAGCCAGGAAAACAGACCCAGCTATTTGCTCAGCTCAGAGTTTCCCAGAGTCAAGCAAGCCAGAACCTGCTCTGAACTCTCAAGGCTAAGCCACGGACCGGCAGGCACACACGCACATCATCTTACACACACGCAACCTGGATAGAAACAATTCTAAGTATGATTAATCAAAACAAAGCTCGTTACAAATCCAAAGATCCTCCAGAGATCTGTGAGATAAGTATGTAAAGCAAATAAAACGTGGAGAAAAGGAAAGTAGTGAAAGTATGTTGAGGGGAATGTGGTGGTGGTGTTTGCGCACACTGCAGCCATGTCAGAAGAATATGCATCGTCATGAAAGTGGAAATGACTGAATTTGCAAGTGGTGCATTATTTTTGAATGAACACAGATGGTGGCTTTGTGCCTTCATCTATGATATGCAGCCTTATTGGACACGATGGTTTCGGTCATATTTTCCTCTGTTTTGTATGCTGGACTACACCGAGGGTTGAATTTCCCACAGTCAGAAGGAGAGTTCTCAGGCATGCACTTATCACAGAGCGAGTAAGAAGTTCAGACATGGAAAATTGGGCCTCTGCTGCTCCTGCATATCACAGAAAGCATTAAAGTGACTGCTCTGTCAAACCAATTAAAATGTGACATGTTTGCACTAGCGAAAAAACTGTGTTTGTGATCGTCAAGAAGCACAGCGTGAAGCTCCAAGTCAGTGTAGTCTGTGTAAAGTGACAGCGCGTTCACTTCTAAACTCTTCAAACCCTTTAGAAACTGTCTGGGTGAGCCAACAGACAAATTCTTCACCCAGGTCAAATTTCTATGTGAGGGCAGGGTGAGAACGCAGGAGGCTATAATCAGGAAAGTTCACCACAACCTATGTCCTGCTGCTTTACAAAACATGCTGCAGTAGTGCAATTCAACAGCAGAGACTATCAATCTGTCCCATCGAAAAACTGTGCTACCAGTCGCGACCAGCACCCACGATTCTACATGTACATGTGCCCGCTTCTTAAATAGTCGAGTCTTCGCAGTGTCACTTAAAAAAATGGGACATGGAACAAACCCTGAGAGTTTCTGGACAGTTTCAGGGGTACATAAGTGAAAGAAGCTTCAGTCAGCTGGGCTTTCAGAAGTTTCTATAGTGTGGTGTTTGGAGCTGGTACACATTAACATGTCCCAGATTGTATTTTAACCCTTTTTTTCTCATGGCTGCTTGTCCTCTAACTGAAACTCAAAAGCTTCTTTCCATTACCAACATCTCCAAAGCACCACTCCACTGCGTAATGTATTAAAATGCCCGTTTTAAGTCCAAGTTCTCCTCAGGCCAGAGAAATTCACATAAATCAAAAAGGACACTATAAATTAAACTGCTAGAGTTGCAGATTTTCTTGATTTTAATGCAGCTCTGTACGGTTTTAGGCAGTTGCTACACTCCTGCTTTCCCTCACTCTCTCTCTCTCTCTTTTGTTCTCTTTCTGTGTTTTTCAGGGAACCTCCTGCATTCTCACACTCCGTGTGGCCGTGCCAGAGAAAGAATGCTCCTTGCCGTGACAACAAAGGCTATCTAAAGTGTGATACTGTGTTTCAAAGGATGGGAGGTGGTGGAAAAAAAGAGGAGAGAAAGGGGGGATAGTAGAGGGGAGTTAGGAAAGAGAGAAGGAGGGGGGTGGGAGATTTTTCCCTAACGTTCTCAAACACACACACACACACACACACACACACACACACACACACACACACACACACACACACACGCTCACCCTGCACTGGCTCTGTAGGCAGCTCCCATGGGAAAATCCTAGACCAATCTCAGAAGGCGGTACTTTTTGGGCTGATGTAGGTCACATGGTCAAAGCAACCAATTGGCCACTGGTGATTTGATTCAAATTGTGGTAAGTCAGGTACAGGGCAGCGTGGGAACTGAGAGGAATCATGTATGGGGAGAAAGAAATGCACCGACGTTCCTCTTTGAAAATGTTTTCTTTCCCTTCTTAAAGCGATTTCCAGGTCCAAGTTAAGCTTAAAAATACTTTGTTCCACTTTCCAAAGTTGATGTGGTCTAAAAAACATATACACTTTTTAAGAAAAGAACAGCCTTTTCTAGAAACGACAGCGTGTAGCCCTGCTAAAGAAAGAAAATTCAAATATACAACCCCAGGGATTCATTGTCTGCTCCCATCGTCCCTTGTCTGCCATATTTCGCTGCCCTGTCATTCACTCAGGGCAGATTTTAAAATGTAGTTGCCGCAGTGAAGTGATGTGGATCCACTGAAAGCGCAAGGTGGAAAAATCAGACTCACTTCCCTAAAAATGATGAGTAAGGAAAAGCCAACTGGCCGAGGTATTGACCTCTTTCTCTACTTTCCCACACACGTCCCAAGGTCATGCCAGGTGATCTGGACACCTCCCAACAGTGATGGATGATTTCACACATGGTTTTTTAACTGACGGATGCAAACCGGAGAACACTGGCCTAAGTTGATTTTCTTTGGCTGGACAGGAGGAAGGGGAAAGAAATGGAAATATTTTTCTTCATTTAGCACTTTCCAACTGCAAAAGCCGAGGATACTTGAAAGTTAATCATTATATGGAAGTAATCCTAGAGTGGAAATGAATCCTAAGTAGTAGTTGGCAGCCTGTAATGTATTACCTATGACGAGTGGGGGAAAGAGAATCTCTTTACAGAAGGAAGCGAGTATGTTTGTGTAAAATGAGGGAATCTTGAGGTTCAGTGGCTGTAAAATCCCAGTGTTGGTTTGAAATAGTTGTAAATCTCTTTATAAATGTCTTCCATGCTAATCGAAAGCCCATTTGTTTTTGCTCTATTAGATGCAACACAGGCATTGATTTAATCTCCAGGACTTTGTTGCATGTATAAACAGAAATGGTGACATCGGACTTCTTTCAGTTATCCCCCCCGGTAAAATTTCAGGTAAAACTCAAGGAGCAATATCGTGAGCATTTTCCTGAAGTTCAGAGGAATGTTTTGGATTTTCAGGCACTTTGTAAAACCTTTTCCAAATAAATTCCTGGTGTTTACACTGTGTCTGAAGACCCACGAATGGAGCCATTGCGGTGACCCACTGACTGTACTTTCCCACAGTATCCTGAGGGTATCTGGCCAGTGTCTCAGCACGGCAGTTTGAGGTAATTACTGGCTCTGTTAACTAACCACTAACACCTGACGGCAACCTGAACTTGGACCACAGTGGAGCCTGTCTGGGCTTGACATCACACACCTTCCTCTGACTCACTTTTGCTCACACACATGTACAAACACACACAAGCGCATACTTTTCAGGCATGCAGAAGATGTTAAAAAACCCCATGATCGAGTCTCTCACACTCATGCACACCCTCTTCCTGACTCATGGGATCACCCACTCATTTCACCTGCTTATAACACTCATCGTCAAAGTCATAGTGATTTCTTTCTGACTGTTTCCACTCATTCAGTTGTGTAACACAGAGGAGCATCCCTGCATATGTCTGCTGTTAGTTTCATTTTGTGCAAAAATGACTGTTTCTGGCTAATATTTTATGACTTAATGTAAAGAAACATCTCATTTAACTTTTATTTCTTTCTACTAAATATATGCTGCTTTTCATGAAATTTAATGCAAAATTCAATAACAAATATAAAAGAGATGAAAGCTTGTATGAGGACTTCTTTTGTTAACAGACAGTCGAGTCTAATTTTGATGACTAAAACACCTTAAAAGGACAAAAACATTGTTGTTTCTACTTCAGAATATGATGGAGAAAATCACCTGAATGCAACCCTACGAACCAATCAGCGATCGCCTTATGATGATTTGTCTCTGTGATCAGCTGCTGACTGTTTCGGTATTTATGGTGTAGCAAGAGATTGGCAGTACATGACCTAAGGATTACCCATTTCTCTCTTTACCATGAGTCGTAGTTTCACTGTAAAAAGAAACACAAAGGCTTCACTGTGGCTTGCTCTGGTAGTATGATCCTGACTTCTTTTTTTGCGATTTATCAGCGATTTCCAGGCCTTCTGTTTGTGACGCAGATGTGTAAAAGTTGAAGTGCAAGCTTTCCCATGAGAAGTAAAGCACAACCTTTGTTTGCTGGATGATCAAACATTTCCAGGAAGTTGAAAAATTGAAATGCTGACTGACTTCTTTTACAAAGCATCAAGTGAATTTGTCACTTAAGTTGAAATGTTTGCTCTTGAATATATCATAGATGCCCTTGCACATACAGTATCTGATTTGTTCTAAAGGAAGCCAGGATCTCATTACAACAGACTGTTTTCTGCCCGTCTGTGCTCACTGCACAGACGTTTTTTCTGCTCAGCCTGCTGATACACAACTGGTTGATACTACTCTGACAAAAATACTGTTCAACAAACAGAGACCAGGATACTCCCCATTCTAAAATCCAGATGACTGCTTTAACATTTTGACATAAAATCAGTAGAGACACATCATGACTTTATCTTCCTGTCTTTCAGTAAACGTCCACATACTCTTCTACTTTCATGCATTGAACATTAATCCTGCTCTCTCAGTCTACTTCTTGCGTAATCTCTATTGGTTCCTCTCATCAACTTTGTTTTCCACATTCAAGCAATTCTTAGCCCTCTATTTGGCCTCCACATTTCTGCCTTTTCTCCCCTCCTTTCCTTCGCTCTCTTAGTCCCTCTTCACTGGAGCTCACTAAAAGGGGTAATGAAGAAGATAATAGTCCAGAGTCTAGCAGATAACAGCCCCGCCGTCACACAAATAGCCCTGCAGCTTTTACTTGGCATGGCACAGACAGTTCATTCTGTTTTTTACCCACTCAACCTTCAACCCTCACCTCCATCTCTCCCTCTCTCCAGTTCAACCTATGTCCTCTGTCTCTCTCTTATTCAATGTCTTCCTTGAGCTCCGTCTACCCCTTTCAGCCCCTCAATCTCCCTCTCCCTTCTTCGCTCTGGTTGTCTCTCACCTCTAACCTCTTTCTTTCTTTCTCTCCTCCTCTAAGTACTCTTTTTTTCTCTCCTTGCAGACGTAAGATAGCTGAGGCTGGTCAGAGCCAAACAGCTGAGGAAAACAACGTGCTGAAAAGGTTCCCCCGACAATGCTGCTCACCGGGCAATGAGTTTAAGAAAGGGATAAAAGAGGGTTATCCCTAAACCATTAAAAGAGGGAGCATGTTGCAGGTAGCCTCTTCTTTAAGGCTACCTGCCAACAACGTCACTTCAATTATAGGCAGAAGTGCTATTAGAAACAGGGTTAAAAGTTGTGTTTTACCAACATAAATATTCTCGCCTTACCTAGCCTGATAACACCTAGAATGGCAATGTACAATTTATGAAGTAGTAGTATTTTTGATTGTTTTTACGGTCTCTTTTAAATAGTAAATTCAACTTTATATCAGTATTTAGTGTCAGTAAATTTCTTTAGTTGGTAGTAGGACAACAAGTAGGTAAGTGGGAAGTAGGTAGGGCTGGGCAATAAACCGAAAATTTACCGATACTGAAATTAACGACAATAACTGACGTCATTTTGCCCATGTCGATATATTCAGTGTCAAATAAATAAATAAATAAATAAATAAAAGTTGGTTTTGGATGTGTGTAGGTAGGCTATGGTCTCATGTCCATTTCAGACGCTGTACCCATCCAGTCCGTAACAAAGAGGGAAAGACAGGTGAGGAGATGGAGGATAAGTTAATGTGGGAGAGGGTGAGCAGCTTGTAGAGTAGAGTGTCTATTTATCGTTATCAAGGTGAACTGCTCAGGATATTATGATATTGATTTGAGGCCATATCGCCTAGCTCTAGAAGTAGGTCTGTCGCAGTATACCAGCAATGACCGTAATCATCTTCATTAAAAAAATGAGTATTGCCAATGTCAAGTTTTCCATTAATATTAATATATATGTAATATATATTATATATTTATATAATTAAATGGTTATTGAGATATTGAATTAAGCTAATGTTTATTGGGACTCTCAAACCCTTGTAGAATACACTGTTAAAGTCAAACTTAACATGGTACACTTCTGAATATGTTTATGTTTGAAAACTTTTATCAAATGAAACAAACAAACAAAAAACACATTTTGTTGAGCTACTGAGTTGAAACTAGAAGGCAGACTTGGCTTTGATGACAGGACTCTGGCCCTTTATAACTGTGGGACGGTTAACTGTAAGGGGTTGCTCCACTCACAGGAAACATAACAATACTCTGAACTGTTATCACAACCTACTGAACAAGGTTAAACTGAGGGAAAACTCCACATGCTGGACTGAAAAAAAGAAAAAGATCTTTGGGAAACTTTGGGATCCTTCATGGGTGGATTTCTGTGAGAGAGAAAGATTGCCAAAAGAGTCAAATGGTGAGTTTTGTGTTGCAGTCATATGTGCAATAAAGACAGCTGGCCCTGCCAAATAAAGAGCCTCCATGCAACTGTCAGTTAACATTTGGCTTTTTTGGGCAGAGCACCAAATGTGGGTCTGTTAACACACACTTACTCACTAAACTGTGTAAATATGCTAACATTTCCTGTGTCTTCAACGCACCCATTCACCCCATAATATTACGACATCCACGTCTTCCTTTGACAAGCGCTAACAGTTCAAACTGTCACTACACCCACACTCAAAACTGAAATTCCACCCACCCGACCTGAATCCATCAACCTGAACAACTTCCACACACACACACACACACACACAGACAGAGACAGCCCCGTCATGGGAGAGCCACCGGCAGATTCCTTTGCTCAACGTTTATCGCTGCTGGCGCATATTTCATCCCCCAACCCCCTCTTCACCCCTTCTCTCACTTTTCCTTTTTTTCATCTCTTTCTGATGTCGAGGCACGCAGGCACGCAGGGAATGTTATTGTAATGCAGAGTGATTCATCCAGGACTGTAAATATTGACAGTGGTGGTTGTGGAGGCTGCTGCTGGTCTAGTCTGTTTGCTCCTCAGGAGCTTTAAGATAAAAAGAGAGGAAAAGAGTCTCCCTGTCACTCTTTTGACAAACACGGTGTCAGAAGCAATGGTCTATGTGTAAATCATTTTACAAACTGGCCTGGTTTGACAGGAGAAAGCTTGCGTAATCAGACGTTGGAGTTCCTGAACAGCTAACACGTGGTGAATCAAGTACCAAGGCAATGTGTCCATGGTCGACACTCCCAAATGCACAGCTTTCAACACACTGTGAAATGAATTTAATTTCACTGACCCATAAACATCTCAGAAATAAAAGGTTGGAGCCTCTGTCTGCTCCAGCAAGACTTTACAAGAGCTTTTATAGTCTCAGTTACTCCATTATTTTCCTTCAACTTGATCTGCAGCATTGTTCTGATGAGAACTTCCCTGATGATTAAGCGTGCATCTATCTAAGCCTTTCTGCTCTCTCGCCTCACTTCTTTCTGACAGGCAAAAATATGCAACAGTACGTGTAACTATCAGTCACTTTTACTGGGTCCGTCAAGAGAGGTAATAATTACACTGATGTCTTTCTGCAGGCGTCAGTGCTTACGAGAAGTTCTCAGCAGCCCATTTCTGTTAGGCTATTTGCAGGCACCCAGTGTTACAGTACAGGGATCTACGTGAGGGTCCAAAGTTGGTGTCCTAACATGTTTCTCTGCAGTTCTGTTTTTTGCATTTTTCATCATATTACTAACTGATGAGTCCTTCTTCTGCATTCACTACCCTGGAGTTATCCTCTAATTAGAATAGTGTTTAGTTAAGATGGTGGTTTGTAACAGAAATCTCCTGCTGTGCACTTGATGTTCATAAGTAGTAGGGGTAGGAATCACCAGTGGCCCCACGATACGATGTCATCGAGATACTTGGGCCACGATACGACAGACATGGCACAAGTAATACGTGTTCCTTTAATTCCCACATAGCAGCTGTACTGGAATATTTTTTACTGGAATATCTGGATCGCATGTTGCTCTACTATGCAACTTTCAGCTATATCATTATGACCACTGAAAACTGTAGCATAAGTTTGATTTGTCATTACAATGGCACCTGTCAGTGAGTAGGATATGATAGGCAGTCGGTGAACTTTTGATTTTAAAGTTTATGTGTCTGAAGCAGGTAAAATGAGCAAGTGCAAGGTTGTGAGAAAACTTGGACGAAAAACAGATTTGAATGACTCGACAGGGTCTGAGCATCCTCGAAACTACAGCTTTGGTAGGGGAGTCCCAGTCTGCAGGGGTGAGTACCTTTCAAATGTGGTTCAACGAAAGACAACTGTGAATCAGCATGATAGGAGCTGGGGCCTGATCCAACAGAGGAGCTCAAACGGCTGAAAAACTTATTGCTGGCTCTAAAAGGTATCAAGACACACACACATTATTGTTAGCTGTGTATTACTCTTAAAGCCACGGACTGGCCAGGGTGCCCAGACTGACTCAAGTCCACTGCCAAAAGCGCCTGCAGTGGACACATGAGCATCAGAACTGGACCACACAGCAATGGAAGAAGGCAGCCCAGAGGAACACACCTTAGAGTTCAAGGTGTTGAACCCGATCTTCAAACTTCTCCGATCTCGATTTGATCCATCACCTGGATGTGCTGGACATCGGTGGACTTTAAGGATCAGCTGCTAACGTCTTGGTGCCAGATGCCATAGCACACCCTCAGAGGTCCAGTAAACTGCATGTCTTAATGGGTCAGGGATGTTAAGGCCAGAAGGGGGTTTACATAGTATAAGGCATGATGGCAATGCCTGTTGGTGTACTCCACTATGAAACAGAAGAAGAAGAAGATTTCAACAGGGATTTGTGGACAAATTCAGAAAAAAGAGTGACGTGTCCCTTTTTCTGTCCAGGCAGGGCTGGGAAGACACTGTGACGCCACTGACAAAAAGTCAATTTTTTTTTTTTTTTTTTTTTTTATTCTCCAAAATATCTTTACTGGATTTTTTAATCTAAAAGTCAATTTTTAAATAAGAAAAAAAGGATTAAAAGTGCATCTTATACACCAACTTTTAATGGTACCAGAAATCATTGCGCATTCTTTTAAAGACACTGCTTATGTGGCACTCAAAATGTACAGGAACTCATGTAGATAAAGCAGGTTCCCACATTTGAGGGTCAAAATGTAAATTAAAGAAAACAGAGGACAATTAAGCTGATCTGGTGATAATCTCAGAAGACAGGCAGTACTAATATGTGACTTTGCAGGGATCGCAAATAATCAAACAGACAGAGGAAAGAGATGCTGGAGACGATAACTGGAAAATCACAGCCACCACAATCACAAACAGACACAGATATTTGTTCTTCCCAGTCATCATGTGTTTTATCAAGGCGCACACACACACACACACACAGATCATGGTGGTCAGGCTGTGGGAGGATGAGATAAAGGCAAATAAAAGAGGACAGGGGCGTGGGGTTAAGTGGCATTAATAATGCGGAATAAGACATCAGAGTGTGTGCCTGCCTGTGTGTGCGTTCGTTCAGCCTCACTTCAAAGTGTTTCTGGAGGCCTTGTTCATGTCAACAGGAGACACAGGAGAGGAACAACATCAGAAACCCTGAGAGGTAAAGGGGGAGGTTAAAAAAAGAGGGGGTGTGGGGGTAAAAAAAGGAAGCAGTACACGATAGCGAACAAAAGCTGAAGGGAAAGAGAGGCCTGAGGTTGGAGGAGGGTAAGGGAGGGTTAAGGAGAAGTGGGTCGGAGGTGAGAGGTTGGGGTATGAGGGCAGAGGAAGGGGAGGGGTGGGGTTATGCAGTGAAGGGATTCACCTCTAGTGTGAGCGCAATGAGGTAAAACCACAAGAAAAGAAAGGACGGTGGAGAGAGTTCCTGTGTCGTACACCCTCTTTAATTCCACTCTTCTTCCCCACCTTCCCTCCCTCCCTCCTCCCCTCCCTCAAACGCTGCTCCCTCACTGCGACCGGCCTCGGCAAATTCCCTAGGGCCAGGGGCAGTCCCCTTTCAGTCTCCAGTGACACAGTAATTAGAAGTGTGGGAACTGAATCCGTCCCTCTTTCTGAGCCCCGCACTCCCACCCGCTGCCCTCTCTCTCCCCCTCCTTTCGCTGGCCTGGGCCCCCCCCTCAACCCCTAACCAGCTCCTGGCTCCTACCCCTTCCACTTCCTTTGCCACCTCTCTTGTTGCACCCCACCTCTGTTCCCTATCACAGGAAGTGGCATCTACACTCAGTAAGAGGACATAAACTTAAACCATAAAAAGCCGCATTTCTATTGGCTTAAATGATAATGATGCACCTGTATTATCCCCGATCAGCACCTTCAAATATGGGATACATGATGACTGAGTCATTGGACCATTTCAGGGGACTTGAACTGTATGTACTGTCAGCATCGCCCCCTCAGAAGATTCAATTCAAGGTCAAAGATGAACAAAAGCTTGTATGGACTGAATCCCCAGGGGCCACCTGTGATGTTCATGGGAGCACCACATCACACACACTCACACACATACATGCATACATACACACACTCAACCCCATACCCTTCACCCCCCCACCCCCCTCCCCAAATCCACCCCACCTCACCCCCCACCTCCCCTACAGCTACAGACTCCCCTATCTCTCTGAACAGAGCAACGCTGTCTCTCCCGCTCTCTGTCGAGCCCACCACCACCACCACCACCCCAACCCCCTGTCCGCTATCTCCGCGGCGATAACCATGGGAACAGCAGCACTGTGGGAACAGGCCACCAGTTGACCAAAATAGACAGCAGGAAAATGGAGGGAAAGAAAGAAAGAAAGGACTCCCTGCATCCAAGGAGGCATGTGTGTGTGAGCGTCTGAGTATGTGTGTGTGTGTGTGTGTTGGAGGTCCATGGGATCATCTAGACAGACAGGTACTCAGGCACTCTAGTCACCTCTGGTTTCCACCGGCAACAAAGGGGTACGCCGGGTGGCTTGAGTTGCTTCATTAATTCAGTGATACACTCGCAGCTCTGGTTTGAGTCGGTGGGACACGCGGAGAGTTCCCCTTCTCACACACATATTTTCAACGGTCCTGCACTTCCGAGATAGCAGAGTCCCACGCAAAAAAAGGCTACACCCTAAACCACAAACACCAACACCCAAACAGCACACTAATACCAGACCATCACACGCCCAGTCACACCCGCAACCACGCACCTCAGACAGCATACGTGCGAACAGAAGCATCTAATCTGAAAGTATACGAGGGTTCAGGAATGAGTGATTGGGATTGGTTGGTGTTTGAAAACATTTCAGTGATGCAAATAGAACTACAAAAATTACAAAGCTGGATTTGTATGAGCTACAAAAAGATATAGACAGTAGGAGGACCAAAATGCTCTTACTCTGTTATACTGTCTTTCTTATTGCAGTAGTCTATGCAGCATCTCAAATAACGCAAATATCAATCTGGGCTGAGGTCGTCATTTACAAAATCCATTAAAGACCATACATCAGCTGGACTTCTCCTCACTCTAGGTACAGTGATTGCATTTATGTCAGAGGCATATGAGCATGTTTCACTGCACTGCTCGAATGCCAGGATGCAGTTCCGATGAGAAATATTGCACACTGGTTTTCCTTGGCCCGAGAGAGGAGGAGGAGGAAATGGGAAAAGACGCAAGTTGTGCATCATCGTTTTTTTTTTTACCTACTGCGGGTCGAATTTTCCATCCCTTTTATATCCTGTGTGGCTCTCAGCGGCTTAGAAGTCCAAGAAATCCCAAGATTTGGCTTCCGCTGTTATTTAATCTCCTGTCTTTCCTCAAATTTGTCGTATTTATCTGTAGTATATCCACTTTTTTCTTTCTGATGCATTCTAATTTATCACGGATCACTTTTCCATCACTACCTTTTCACGTTTGCCCCTTTCACAAGTCTAGGTCTTTCCCCGGCCATGCAACCTGGCCTCTCCTGGTTTCTACCTGTCAGCCCCCAGGGGTACAAGGTTTGTCTGCACCGTTACAGTGTACAGAAAGAAAGGATAAAACAGGGGAAAAATGCTTGTGTGCGTGTCTGCTAAGCGAGCCTGCAGCTCCCAAGGCAAACAGGCTTCTAACCTCCTGATAGCATCACGTCACGCAAACTGTCAGCTTCAGGAGGAACCTCGGGAAAACCTCGGTTTGAAACTTGAAAAGCTGAGCCGAACTCACATTCCCAACATCTACACATGCCGTTCAAAACGACACAAACACAAGTCAGACATTTAAGGAATGTTCACAGAATGTACAGGCCTGCACTCAGACTGTAAACTGTGAAAACACACAGCCACAATGGTGACACCCTCAGAGAGAAAAACAGCCATACATCACAGGAACATCAACTTTCAATGTAAAAAAACACACAAAGTACAGCGGTTGACTTCACAAACCACAGCCGTGGTGGGGGGTTACCATCTATTATCTCTGACTCCATGAGGTTTAGATTTAATTGTTGACACAACTTGTTCTCGGAAACTGCACAAACACACACATACACTCGCGCTCACATGCACAGGGGTGTCGACAAAAAAAGAAAACAACTCAGCTGACAATGAAGGAGGTTATTGTTGTAATGATATATAGGTCAGTGGTTCCCAGTTTTGCTGCTTCCCCATCGAATCTATTGCATAAACCACATTCTCATGACAATGAAGGTGTAAATCTGACCCTGACTGAGAGCCAGGAGGAAAAACACAGACCTGTAAACCAGAATCTCATTTGCTTGCCTGCAACAAAAACTCATTTTTTTAGTTTTAGATTCTGCAAAAACTGGGACTCGGTGAGCCATGCATATCTCCTGGATTTAAATGAACTTAGTCAGGTCTTTTTTTTTCTCTTAAAGATCCCAGAAACTCCATAAACAGGAGACAGGAAGACCCATACAACCACAAAATTTCATTACCCCTGCTCTTATGTGACTTTAAGCACACAGACAACAGACCACACACATTCTTCTCACGGAGACTCAGCAATCATGGGCTGAAAAGGAGCTAAAATTATACAGGTAATAACCTAACATTAGAAAAACACAGCGGGGGAGATTAAATGATTTGTTTCCTCGAAGTCCTTTTTATTGTTGCTGGAAGCACAATCCTGCCAAGGATGACACATTTTCTTGTTTCAAATGCACTGTCACATTTACAAGGGCTTTTATTGTTGTCACAATAAGAGAAAAAATGCAATGAAACTATTCATTTGAAGTTTATCAACTTATCCTTTCCAACACTGAGGGCTAAAATGTGTTTGGACATGCCACTGAAATGAAATACAGTCCTAAAAAGATCACATTTATTTGGCAGCATGACAGCAACACAGTAACCAGCTTTCACATTGATTCATATCAGCCTCAAGTTCAGGAGATCTGAAGTCGGGTTGAATCTGTGTATCATTCGTTCATTTGTTTCTCAAAATAAAACCAAAAATGAAAGAACGAGAAAACAAATTATTTTCTAAATATTTGTCTCTAAAACGAAAATGAAAAAAAAACAGATAACAGCTTATTTTCCGATATCCGTTTTCTTCAGCTCAAATGAAAATGGGATAAATGGATAACGACGTGTTTATCTGATTTAGACTTTTTCATCTGTAGAAAGTTTTGTGACCTGGAAGTGAACCTTTGGTGTCATGGCTGGACCCGAGAATTATTCAGAGCGCATGTGGCACTTTTTTCAGGTAGGCAAAACTCATGCAGAGTTTTCCACCATGCTGCAGGAGTGCCAAGGTGCTCTGAAATGTCTGTCAGAAAGTTCTGTGCCCAAAACAACCCGAGGAGAAAAGGACCCATATCAGACACACAGCTCGGGGCCACCCCCACAAAACTTTCTACAGACGAAAAAGTCTAAATCAGATAAATTGTCGTCATCCGTTTATCCCATTTTCGTTTGAGCTGTAGAAATTGGAAATCGGAAAATGAGCGGTTATTTGTTTTTTCATTTTTGTTTTAGAGACAAATACTCGAAGAACAATTCGCTTTCTCGTTTTTTCATTTTTGGTTTGATTTTGAAAATCGAATGAACGAATGATACACGGATTCGGTTGGTATATTAGCCTGCTATCTTTTTTTTCACAATCTACGGCAAGCTTAACATTCCCACTGAAGTCAGTATCATATAAGGTGAACAAGAATTTTACAGAAATATGTATTTTGTCATTTCTGCCTCCATTCAGCTTATGTTCTTTTACAGCTTTGCAGTTGACATATCTACAAACATAAATGTGGTGTAAGTCACAACTGTGTATAATGCTGCGATTACCATGACGGTTTATAGTTAAAGTTTCTCTTGTAGAGTTGAGCAACTTAAAGCAGTGCAGCCATTGCCTGGATTGCAGGACAGGCTGTTGCTCTACTTCTTCCTGTCAAAGATGGTTGGGGCCCGGTAGCTCTTCAAGCTGCTCTCACATTGGTCGGTGCCCTTTCATTATCATTATTTCCTGATTCCTGATCATCCTTTCTACCATAATGTAACCCGAGGTCCGACTGCTTAGCTCAGTTTCAGTTTGAATGAGCTGTAAATATGGCGGAGAAAACTAACCCAACTGCATTATCCAGGTATCTTACTTTGACTATGAGAAGTTTGATTTAGCACGATTTCAGTTGGACAAATGTGTTCACGTGAAGTCTCAGTCTGACTATAAATTGATCTTTTAAAACTACATGTAAACACACCGACTTCGATTCCTTTCATTAACCAACAATCAAGTTATTCTATTGCCTGAAAGCTTTTTTGCACAACTCTGATGGTGCAAAAAAAAACACTTTGAACAGAAGGTACAAAACGGTTCTATTTTCAGTATTAGATGTTAGAACATATGGCTGCCTGAAAAGCATGACTATGTGGAGGAGTTACCCAAACTACCAAAGTGGGCTCATGCACCACAGCGTTGTGATAATAACAACTTTAAACCTCTCAGCTATCCCTCACTGGCAGGTTCTAGCGTGGCTGACAAGAGCTCTTTATCATCGCAGCAGTGTGCAGTGTGAGCAGAGCAAATTTCGGATGGTTTGCTGGGCTGCACTGAGTGTCAAGTGTGGGAGAATGATGTACGATTCACTGAGCTCCAAAGACCTAAGATCACATTTCACTATCGCAAGGGAAACCATTATACCATGACCACAGACACAAAGACAGCCATACCAGCAGTATCTCGGTTTCTCAAAACACAACTGCTGCAGCTAGTTCCCACAACATTGATCTAGAGTTACATATTTGATTTCTGTTTCATTTATAGAAGCAAACTGAGTCAAACTAACAAAGACGGAGCGGATCGACGAATCTTTGGCCCACTCTTGCATTTGGTTTCATACAGTCAGGGTGTCAGCATGTGTCGGTAAGTACCTGATAGAAATTCATTTCGAGGAATGTGAAATGAAGCATTTTCAGTTTTCTGTTTTCTGTGTGGCTCTGTTGCCATTAGCTGACCCCAGCCTTGTTATTACGCTGCAAAGAATTCTGCCTCCCTTAGGAGACTATTTAGACGCTGAGGGCAATCACTCACAGTGGCGCAGTCTGGCTGTGCAGCTACTGAAAAACATGAGAAACTTCCTCTTTCTGTGTGCATGTTTCAGAGGAAGGCATCAGTAAGTGGTTCCCTCTCCCCGAGCGGCAGGGGAAAGTAGACCCCTCTTGAGTGCCTCTCGGCTTCCCCCACCTCCCCCATGAGCCAATAACGCAGTCAGACAGAGACGCACACACATTCATGTGCGCTCTCTCTCTCTCCCTCACACACACACACACACACACTCAGACACACAGTGTGGTTTCTCCTCTGGAGGGGAACATAAACAGGGCTGTCTGTCTGCGAGCGGAGAGCTAGTTCTCATGACATCACCACCCAGCAGGAATGCTATGCTCTGCCCCGTCAAAATCCCTCCACTGGCCAGAGACTTGCACACACACACATACACACACACGCACGCACAAATACAGAAAAACACATGTTGAATGATTTATGCACGTCCACATTTTCACAGGAAAACATACCACATTCACAACAGCACACACTCAAATGGCATTCTGGGCTATTTTCTCTCCTCTTGCACCTTTGCACGTTTCTCACTTTACACTGACTTCGACTTCCTCCGCATCTTCTCTCTTATCTTTATCACTTTGTTTTGCTCGATGTCATTTCTCATCCTCTCATATCTGTATTGTCTCAGCCGAGCACAGTGTCAGACCACACACAGACCGCACTGAAAGAGCGAGCGTGAGAGAGAAAGAAGAAAAATCCACCGGCATAACCGCCTGAAAATAGAGAATAAGAATGCTATGTCACCTGTGAGAAAAAGTATAAGTGCGTGTGTGTGTGTTTGTGCATGTGTGTGTGCGTGTGGGTGTGGAGGACATGGGAAATTACGCACTACTTCATTGTACTGGTGTTTGGAGGAAAAGCCCTATTGAAGCTCTCCCTCCTTCCTTCTCACCTCTTTTCCTCCCTCTCCAACTCTCTCTTCCCGTATCCATCACTCCATCACTTCCTGCCTCATCTCTCTCTTCCTGGACATCCCCCCTTCATCTCCCGTTGCTATCTTCTCTCTCTCGTCCCACCTTCACCTCCCCTCCATCCATCTCAACCTGTCACTGTAATGTTTTCACGCAATCTCTCGCCCCTCTCTTTTCCCTCCTCTGTGTTTCTCTCAGGCTTTCGGAGGGGAAAGCAGGGGCAGGAAGCAGCTTGGCTCTCAGACAATGGAACACATCAAAAAGCAGCACCAACCTCACCAGCTTCACACACACACACACTCACATATGCACACGTATATAGGCACACACACAAACAGAGCAAGACAAACAGGACATTCCAGCTGCCGGCTGCACCGGATTCCTCGCCTTGGCTAATCTGAAACGGAGGAGAGTGAGACTGGGAGTGGAGCGGAGCAGAGAGGCAGGGTGAGAACGGCGGGTGAGGGAGAGAAGGAGGGGAGATGGAGAGGGTGACAGAGAGGAAGAGAGAGGGCCAAGCAGAGGGTAAGAAGAAGAAGAAGAAGAAACAGACATAGCGATTGAGAGATAGAGAGAGAAACGCTGGGGTGCAGAAGAGGGGAAAGTGGACAGCAGGAAGTTTGGAGAAGGTGAAGCACGGCTACATGCATATCGGTGACTCTGTGATTCTGAGAAGCTCATGTACACAAGTGTGTCCACATGATGACATACAGCATAGAGCTCTTAAAATAATTGTATTTTAAATGATCGACTATGTTTATTTTTCATCACATGTGTATACTTTGAATATTTATCAACAGCTGTGATTTGTAGTCCAAGACAATGAAAGAGATAGAACTAAGAATGAAAGACGGATATTGGTGTAAAAAAAAAAAAAATAATAATAATAATAATGCATCAGATTTCATATAGTGCTTTATCAGAGACCCTCAATACACTTCACATTGGATACATTGGCTGCCAGTTTGTGCCTACAGCCTCTCCAACCACCACCACACAATACTCACAATCATACACCAGCAGAGGACACACACTGGGAGCAAGGCAGGTTAAGTGTCTTGCCCAAGGACACAACAGACAGACTTGGGATAGGGGGGGAATTGAACCGCCAACCTTCCAGTTATTGGACGACCGCTCTACCTCCTGAGCTACTGTCTCTGGTGTGACAGCCTATTACAAATAATAATGGGAATGTCTTATTAGTATAGGTTAGTCTGATAGAAGTTGCAATTATTGTCAAGCCTACACATGAAGTTGGGCGTATGGTATACAGTGTTAAAAATGGTGCCACTAGTGGTGATATTTTTCTAAGTTTCATTGGAGGATAACACCACTGCATCAACTGTCCTTTTTTCATAGTAGAAGACCAAAGATTTCACCATTTCATGACATATTCAGAAGAGTATATGACCTCTCAAGCAGATCCCACCCTGCATTCACAGTCTAACCACAACAAATCCGTGACCTTAGTTTTACCCCAGACGTATAGATTTCTAACTGAGTCCTGAGAGGATGTTAAGTTTGATGGCCCAAAGGGCAGAGGAAGAAAAAGACATTTTTGTGAGCACAGGAGTTCTCTGACGCTGGCCGCAGAAACATAAACAGCAGAGATGAAGAACTTCATTTTTTGGCTTGTCATTATTGGTTTTGGCAGTTTGGGAATATTTTGTCTGTGATAGTTTGAAAAATTGTAAAAAATAGTTTTCTACACGTATTTATTTTTACTACACTTTTGAGTATTGTTTTATTGGGATACCTCGGTGTATTTTGGATAGTGAACCACAGCGGTGGAGCCACAACCTCCACTATATTTTGTATGATTCACTGCCTTTCTTTACATGGTTTTCTGTACTGAAATAGAACGAACAAGCTGTATAACATAGGTGTTCACACAAACCAATACTTCTGTCTCTGGCTTTCAAACAACTACATAACTTTACGTGTCATCTAAATCTCAATTTTTCACTCATGTTGGGTTCTTTAAATACAAACAGAAAAGTCTGTTGATAATAACACCTGTGTTGGAGAAACTTGCTTAAAACATAAACTATCTCAGGGAAAGCTGGAAGCAGCAGAAAGCCGACTTCTAAACCGATTATTACCTCTGGAACCATTCCTCGATCTATAATTACATGTCCTTAAAAACAACCTATGCACACACATTCATCCTCCCCTCTGAGTGCTGACAGAAACCTCAGTAGTGTCTGAGCGACTCGAAATTCACACACGAGCGCACGCACACATACAGTAGATGGATATCATGCATGCACCCGCACAGACAGGTGTCACTGCGTTGCTATGTTATCCTGGGGCCAACCAGACTGTGGGAAAAAAAGAAGAGGCATGATTTCTCGAAGACCAGATGCTTGTTGAGTGATGGCTCATCTTCTTCCTTATCTTACCGTGTGCGTGTTTGTATGTGTGTGTGTCACTGCGTGCATATGTCTATGTGTTATATTGTGTCTGCTCACACAGCCATGAGAATCAACTTCATCATGAGCCAAGAATTTAGAGGCACATCGTCCAGGTTACAAGCTGCAGGTATGAGTGTGAGATTTTCGCACTGCTGTCAATAAAAATACTTTCCTCTTGTCTGAACATTTATCAGAAACAGCTGTAGAAATCCACCATCTTGTTTCTTTTACATTTGATCGGTTAGAGTAGTGAACCCGCCGGCAATACATGAAGTAAATACGCCACAATTAGCACAACAGTGACAATTCCTCTATCCTTGAAATAAGTGTGAAACAATGTGTCCTTTCTATTTGCGTTAACAATGCCTGTGTGTGTTCCAGTGAAGTGCTCAGGAATATATCCTCCTTTCTCATGAAACTCTCCGTGAGTCAACATCATATTTCAGTTAAGCAGTCATCTCCGCAGAAGATGTTACACCCTCAGCAGCAAAGTGAAAGCTTTACATCTGTGGTCATGTCTCGCTTGTTCATTCATAAACTCACACGCCTGACAAAAAGACAGATACTGGGTCTGCATGTTGCCCCTCAAGAAACAACAGAGATGAACAAGCATGTAACGCACACCCACGACTGCACCAGCTAACTGTTTTCAGTATGTGTGACTGTGGGAGCAACCTGCTTTACACTTTCTCCCCATGTGCGCGTTCACTTTTAGCACTTTCTCGAACCGTACGAGTACGTGTGTGTGTAACAGGAGACGTGGAGCCCTCGCCACACACAGTGGGAAATATTTGGGATGGTTTCCCTCGGAATGTCTTGGCGTGCCTATGGAATGCCCCACCACCTCCCCCCCTGGTCTCCTCCTCCCCTCTCCCTCTGTTGCTCCCCTTTCGTCTCAGTAGAGGGGAGGGGAAGAGTGGGAAAAACGGCGGGACACACAAAGTTGACCCCAGTCTTGTCACTACGGAGAACAGGATATGCACAGAGACGGATCTCCAATGCAGAAAATGTTATAAACGCATGCTTGTTTTTGAACGGAGTTGCAAAAGCGAAGTAATATGAGTCTGGATTTCACAACCTGCGACCAGAATGATACTGTACATATCTGTGGTTATCTCAAAAAAAGCTAGCTGTGTGCATCTGCAGTGAGATTATTCACATCTATTTAAAGCCTCTTCCCTTTTTCTTCTGGATTTTAACACTTACGCACATCCTGATACTGACCAGCTCGATTTCACACACACACATGCACGGATGTATACACACACACACACACACGCACAGCCGGTGAAGGGTAACTTTAAACGTGTCTCAACCTCTCACATTCCTCCTGTTTCTCAGCCTGCGGCTCTCTTTGTAGATCAAAGCACAGACAACAAGTCTTTCTATCGCCTCGCCCTCCTCCAGCTCTCCTCTTCCTTCAATGCCACCTTTTCTCAGACACTCTCTTGTTCTCCCACTCTTCCCAACTCAACAAACACTCATCTCCTCCGCACAGAAGCAGCTGATTTTTAGGCATTCCCACACAATCAACAAAAATATAAAAAGCTGTCACAGCTGTTGTGTTATTATCGTCTTTCTTTCTTCCTCTCTCTGGCTCACTTGCTCTCTCTCATTTTGTCTGATCCTTCCTCCCCTCGTCTTTTTTTACCTCCTTGCCATCACCTCTGTTCTCACCCCCCCCCCCCCCCCCACCCAATCTCTCCCGCTCCTCCCTCTTATGGTGTGGCGGTTCCTGTTGCTCTTGTTTTCACTTCCCCAATAGTCTGGTGCGTGGGAACCAGCATTTCTGCTGTCTGAATCTGAATGTGTGTGCTCTCAAATACTCCTCTATATATTAGTAAGAGTGCGTGTGTGTGGTTATGTGCGTGTGTGTGTGTGATTGTGAGTTTGGTTAGTTTCATGTCTATCTATCAACACAGCGTTGCTATCTCAACATGTCTATAAAAGGCCAGTATTGTACATCTGATGGGACTACACATGCCATCCGAAGTGTGTGTGTGCATGGAAGTATGTACACAAAGTCGGCATTAGTGGTAAAAATAGGATAAAGCTAACCCTGACCTGACGGAAAGTATGACTCTAAGCCTTTCTGCTATGACCTCTTTATACCTAGTTATGATACTAACCTGTTACAAATTGGTGTAATTAGTTGGGAGATGTTCCTTAAGGTGTTATTTTTGGCATTACACAACTTTCGCTATGTTTAGTTGTCCCTGTCACACCTGTTTCAAAAATGTGTTGCTGGCATCAAGTTCAAAAACAAGTATGTAGAGTGTGTTTAAAACAACAACATTTGTCAGTTTCAAAACGTTTCAATAATTTGTAAACCATCAATATCATCTTGTATTAATTTTTCAGAGCATCCCAGCTCTAATGGAATTGGGATTGTAAAAATTAACACACTGTAGCCGAGCTTAAAATGATCTGCAAGTCATTATGTTTTGAATTATTAAACGTTCTAACCATATACTATGGACAACTTGGTTTCGCCTTCTGCCAGTATACAGATTTGAAGCCGAAAAGCTCAAGGTATTTCTGCGTTTTTTCCTCCAGTTCCTGAAACCAACATTGCAGTAGTGGTAGTAGTGGTGTACGCACTCCACGACTTGTGCAGAAACATTGTGCGCATTCGGCAGACAGTTGCCGAGAGTCACTGTGATGACGCTCGGCTCAAACAGCGTATCCCCCGGGTGAGCTATGCAATCTCCGTACGCCCACAGGCTGTACCAGGTGTCAATCATAGAAATTATGAACCCCCAAATAACCTTTAAAAATGGAGCTGCACAGAAAAAAATGACTTGAGCACAAACCAGTCTGAAAATAACTACATGTCAACATCGCAAGCAGGGGTATTATGACCTATACTGCAGCCGATCACCAGGGTGTGCTGTTCTCGAAGTGGCTTCACTCAGCGAGGAGGCAGACGGCGTCCATTCTATATACAGTCTATGGTTCTAACTTGAGGAGGATCCAAAACTGCTTAAATTAGGAAAAACAAAAAAAATCTTTAAATGTGGCTTCAATCGAGAGGCAGGTGTGTTCTGTGATTCAAATACACAAAATCAATGAAAGCAAAAACATGCGTCCCTGTTTAGAGACACTGAGGACAGTCTTTTCTTTAATTTCCCTAACAAACCTGAAATGGATTTTCTAACTGCCTTTCAAACTAAGTACCTGCCTACATCGCCAAGACTACTACCAAATGGTGAACTGGCCTGACCTGAACCCTGTAGAGGATCTATGTGATATTTGTTCAGAGGAAGAGGGTGAAGGTGAACAAGCTGAAGGTCACTTTAATCAGTCTGGGCCTTAGTAACACTGCAGCACTGCTAAAGGCTGGTCACCCCTGTGTTATGCCACAGTGAGCTATTAATTTACAGTAAGTATTAAGTGCATTCAAAAGTTGGACATTTCTGTATCATAAATCCTTTTTTTTTAATCGCTCTTGGTAAATATTCTCCTAATTTGACATAATGGATATCTGATTTTCATGAGCTCAAAGACACACTGATGAAAAACTGTGGTAGAAAAGATGTCAAACATCACAAAAAGTCTGAAACTGTTAAAAAAACCACATTTTTTTCTGTATTTGTAATGTAAATAAGTCCGACTGCAAACAACCATAAGTGGAGGCTCGTCTGCTTCTCTCTCTTTCCTCCTCAAGTTCTCCATGGTGGACACACATTCCTCCGCTCCCAAAATCTCAGTTGGGTCCATTGATACTTTGCAACCGACATTAACCCTTTCTCTGCACAAGCTTTACACACAAGTACACAAGTCTGTGGTTAATCTTCTCTTCTGTCTCCTGTGTTCTTTTACTTCTCTTTCCTCGAGACATTCATCAGTGCATGAGCGAGAAGCAGAGAGACAAAGGGGGGAAGAAACTAACCCATCCATTGCTAATCAGAGAGCTTTACAATCAGATAACAAAGAGGGTTAACTTCGCCTGGGTGGGCCATAGAGCAGCCCCCAGGGTGAAACTCTCTGTAACACACACACACAGAGCTGTGGCCACCTTCGTTTGGTATTAGTCTTCTACTTGAATGAGTGTTTCAAGAAAATATTTCACCATTCGAACAGCGAGAAACAGATTTTTTTAACCCGTATCCTTCAAGAAAAGTCTCTTAACTCTTTAAGTTTCAGTTTCAGAAATAACCAGTTTTGAGAATACAGGACAGTGGGTAACTCAGGAAACAGAAAGAGAAGAGTGGGGACATGTAGGACAGGCGTTGCAAGCTGGAATACGAATCTTGAGAAGTCATTAGCAAAAAAAATGATAAATGGATAATTTCTGCTGACCCTTTAAAAGGTTTTACATCAGCCTAAAGGTATGATGGGTCTATTTTTATATGTTTGCTGTCTGAGCTGATGACAGAGATACCTGAAGCCATGCTGAGACAAAAGGTACTCATGTCACATTTGGGCTTCCTTCAGCCATAAAGACGCTCAACCTTCAAGTGTGAATGAGCTGTAAAGAAGAAAAGAAAGTGGATGACCATTTGGCAAATGGTCATTTAAGTCAGACATTTTTTTTTTATGTGTGTTCCTGTCATCAGTGTAACTTCTAAGCATCAAGGTGGTCCTGGATTCCTTCATTCTGGGTCTGAGACAAATGCACCAAAGTGAAGTATCTTGACACGTTTGGAGCCCCCCTACCTGGAGCAGGCAAGAACACCCAAGCTTGGACGTGGTCTTGTAAAAACACTCCTGCCAGTCACAACAACTGCAACAAACACAGAGACATCGTAGCACACCCAAGTTTCCCTGAACAGCCACCCAAGAAGATACCTACAGGTCAGATACCGTAAATCCAACACTGACCAGCGACAGACAGATTTTCTTACAAGCCCCACAACTCTGATCGAACACAGATTGAATGATGAGGAAAAGAGACAAACTATGTCTTTTTTCATTTCAGTAATCAATCTGATGGGATGATAGAAGAAAAACGTACGAAATGAAATGTATTTCCATCCAGATTCTTCACATTACCCACGACTCCATCTAGATCTTTCTTTACTTTGCATCACTTTTACCACCACAGGTTGTTCAACTTTTGGCAGTAACTGGACAATGTAATATAAAATCTCCTCTTCAGCCACAACCTCCACCTCCTCCTGGGGTCTGCCAGACATTCCAACACCATATGGGAAATGCAATCCCCCTTCAGTGTCTCCTTATATCAAGTTTGTATTCATTCACCTCTCGCACGAGCTTTAAAAAACACAGAAGTAACATTCCATGTCCAAAGGTCTTGTGTTTGGAGCCAGAGTTCAGCGTGTTGAGCCGCCCCTTTGTCAAAATGTTCCCAGAAAAATAAAATAGAGGTTTCCATTCTTGCTTATCTTACTTCTTTTTCTTCCCCTTTCTCTTAGCATTAGGCACCACAGCCACCGCAAGCTTTTTACAGATTATTCAGGAACCAATCTGCAGCGTTTATAACCGCAGAAAGACTGTCTTGGTTGCTAACTTACTTTTGTTTCTCACTTACAATAAACCTGTTTCCCATTTTCCTCCAAGTTGCCTCATGTTATGTTCAATATTTGCTTGATTGAATGTGACATTATTGAATCAAGGGCGACAGGTCATCTTCAAAAAGGCTTTATGTGTATTTCATTACCTGGCAGCGGCTGAATATATCTCTGGGCGTGGGTTGGACGTTGAAGTGTTGCAGGACTTTCACAGTCTGGTCCTTGGCCTTTTCTGAGCAGTCGAGAGACAGGCAGCGACCCTCCCCAACTTGGGACCGCAGCTAGATTAAAAGACGGAGACAACGGATTCAAGTAACCAGAAGAAAAAGGCCTCAAAAATTAATTCTTTCTGGTTCCGCACTTACACTTTGGAACGGTTGTCCACATGTGAGTATGACACGGTCTTCAGCTTGTGCTAGCTGCCACAACAACACAAAGGACACATTAGAAAGTTTGATTTTTGTCTGGTGATATTTTATACTTTATATATTATTAAGTGTCAGTTCTTCAATGTTTCACTTGAACTCCAAACTAACCTTTGCTGCTACTCGGTGATCATCAGTGCTCTCCAGTATGACCACATCTACTCCTAAACAGCGCAGGTACCTCCCGAGTCCCTGCAGCATGTTGTCACACACCACCCGTAATTGCTGAGGGGGCAGAGGGGGGGCGCCTTCCTGGGGCTTCTCGCCACACAGGAGGCCTTTCTCTGCTTCAGAGCGGAGGAGACCGACCCTTTGAGCCCCCTGACATTCCTAAATGGATAGAGACAATAATGTGATACTCAACTGATCCCCACAGGGGGATTTTCTTTTCACTCGCACCACAGTGTAGAGGAGGTCACAGCACAGCCTGAGCTTTACAACTGCACCCCTGGAGCTGAGAGGAACTGCTGAAGTGTCTTGGTCAAACACAGTCACTCACACTGTCACTCCCAGCAGGTTGGGTGCCTAATCCCTCGGTTCTTCAGTTTGAAATTTTCTGCATTTTTTGAGCCACTTTAGCGCTCATAGGTTTTAACACAACGGATGAATTGTTAAGTGCATCAGCATAACAGTGATAATGGTGGAAAATCACACTTTTCTTATTCAAAATAAGAGATAATGAGGCTATAAACAGGTCGAAATAACCATCAATGATTTACTGACAAGGCATTCAGAGGGCATTTGGCATTTCAAGCCTAAAATCTTAGACGCTGTTCGTTTTAAATATCAGATAAGTGGCTCTGCAAACTTTCTGTTGTGTTTCTTCAACATCCTTTTTTAGCCACAACAAAGAACCAGGAAATTATAATGTTCTTGATCGAGCTTGTAACCTTAAGTTTATAGCTGCAGTATAAGAGAATCGTCATATTTTTATAACAAAACAAAAATATTAAGATCAGTGTCAAGAGCAGGTTAAGTATTAAACTAATTCTGACTTCAGCTGTCACTTATCTCCCAGCTTAACCTTTCTGCATCCATGTAACTATTCTGAGCTGGCCTGGCTTTGAATGAAACATGAGATTATTATTCATTTATTCCCACAATAATAACTTCAGAGAATTAGGAAATCCATGGCAGTCTCACCAACAACTTATCTCCCAACTGTATTTCTTTATAGCCACGACTTTTTTACCTCCTCTGTCTGCTTGGCCTGTTTCTCTTTTTTCTTCTTCTCCGTGTTCTTCTCGGGTGGACTTGAAGAAATGCTGCGCAAGTCAGCTGGTAGCCCAAAGGATGCTGGGTTACTTGAGAGGACGGAATACAAGTCGAGCAGGCAACAGGCATCTGCAACTAAAATGAGATGTCGAAATCAATTGTTACACCTCATTTTCATCTAATAATTCACCCTCTCTCGGGTGAGTTAGCGTGGGTTATTTGATTTACAATTTGTAAAGGGAAAAGTGAAACAAATGTATGTGATGTTCTCTGGTGAGATCATGAGTGATCATCTGTCTTCCTATTATTTTTGTCCATGCATGCAGAAAACCATACCTGCATATCTAATTTGGCTGATGCGCAGCGGCCGCTTCTCCCAGTTGGACATTTGTTCTGTCTTGTCAAGCGGCTTTCCAAGAACCTGTTGTACCAGAAGACTAAGACCTTTCTCTGCAGTATCCTCCTCTCCAACCAGCACCTCTCTGGGACCATTTTGAGCCAACTTGACGTTTCCACGCTGAATCTGTTAAAAGCATAGACACAGTGTAATGCCATGTTAGCTACTTCTGTACACAGAAAAAAAACAGTTATATACAGTGTTCAGCATAAATGAGTAAATCCCTTCAGAGTTGGCAGAAAACCTTTAATTTTACTTCAAAATCAACATTTTCTGTGTCAGATTAAACAACATAATACTCCCCCAAATGTAGGCCATTAATTTCAAACGTGATTTTTTAAGTTGCATTCAAAAAAGTTTTTTTTTTCTGTTTAAAATCAGGATACAAAAATGAGTACACCTCCATCAAAGTTCTGGGAGCAAAGCTAAATTTTGTTACCACATCACCCTTATTTTCATCTTATGGGAAATAAAATGTTATGTTAAACTCAGCTTTGTCAAAACTTTGGAAATTGGACTTTGCTCATCTAGATATTGAGTAATACATTATTTTTAATAGTGGGTGTACTGACTTATGCTGGGCACTGTGTATACAAATAAGAGAGTTAAAAAGAGTTCTGCGATGACGTGTCATTGCAGCCAGAAACTCTTAGAGACTTAAAAATCTTTTCATGTCACAGCTACAGTACAGTATTTACCTGAGTTATCCCCAAGCAACCCAATGAAAACATGATTGGTGCGGAGAAAATTATAACCCAGATTACAGTCATCTTGTCCTACTTGCTGAGCAGAACCAATTTGCTCAGATTACCTTTTTGTGCACATTAAGAAGATCAAGCATCCCCTCTATCTTTAGTGGCTCCTCCAAAAACTGCTCCCAGGTGGCCACGAGGCACTTGACATCCCCTGACATACCATAACCTGAAAAAGAGAGAAGGAATGTGACTAACAGAAGAATCGACCTCAACATTTAGATTGTAGGTGTATAAAATCCGTTTCTTACCCAGTTTGAGAACGTTTTTTTGGGAGAACAAGCTCCTGATGAAACTGATAGTTTCAGGGTATTGACAGAATCCAGGGGCGCAGCCGTCTAAAAGGAAAACCTGGTCACGAACTGCAAGCTGTATAAGGGCAACTTTCTGAGTTGACATGCAGCCGAATGTGGGCTGCCACTCCATGTCAACTCCTACTACCACACCTTCCTGGAAAAGATTTTAGCATGATAGATTAAGACAAAAAACACAACACAAAGGAAACAAGGTTTTTATGAAATCAAGTATTCGTTTCTCTTTACCTTCAGCACAATGTTTCGACATCTTTGGAGAGCTTCCTGTGTATCTACAAAGTGAACTTTGTCTCTGGTGAGTGGAACCTGGTAGAACCTTGCACAGTGATACTGAGAGGGGATCCACTCTCCAGCTTGTGCTGAATCATTCTGATGTATCTGTCTGGGCCAAGGTGAGAAATGTGTGTGATTTAGCGAGTAAGCACTTCATAAAAAATTAATAAAAAAACAGTCCAGAGGAAAAAAAAAAGACAAAACATGCCGGACCAGAAGTGTGAAGGCAAATGATGCAAATATAAAGAGGATGCAAAGTTAAAAACACACACACAAAAAAGACATGTAACATGACTGAGTTTGGTAAATCTGATCATAACTTTGAAGAAATGGTCTCTGACAGACGGATAGATTACTATCGCCTTTTCACTGATAGCTTATTAGCTGTGCAGCCAGTATCTTAATTTGCTCATTTGTCCCACAGTGTCAGATGTGGCGATGCATCAATCCAATCCTAGTATCAGGTACAGGTCAGATACTGACTGGATTGGTATTGGTACTGGCTAATATCAGAACTCAGGTATACTGGTATCAATCAACTTTAACAGTTGGATTAATGCATCCCTAATTAGATCATGATGTTCAAAGTGATTTAGAGGATGTGTGCATACCTTTCCAGCCCACTCACTTAATAAAAACAATTAGATACTCAAGTTCAACCTCACCAAAAGGATCAATAAAGTTCTATTTAAACTCATGTCATCAATTGAGCATCTGTAGCTAAAAGGGGGACAACAGTCCAGCATGCCATACGTGAAAAAGGGATGTGGTGCACAACAGGGATAAAAACTCTGTGGCTGACACCACCTCCCTTTATAAAAAAAAACAGTACAGCCTGAGCACACCGCAAATTTCACAATACAATGTATTTATGCATTTCTTTGGTTGACTCACTGCAGTTCAGGCGGTAGACTCTGCTGCGTTTCCCACACCCCAAGGGGCAGTCGATACCTGGGGATGTTGTATCTCAGGGCCCACTGAGATGCTTTCAGAAAACCGCTGTACTTCACCAGCATCTCTACCAGCAGGATCTGCAACTCCAAGTCGTCTGCAACCACATACTGCGCAGAAAGAGGACACATATGAAAATGAAACCTCCTGCAATCGCAATGATAATTATTCAACTATATTTCTAAAAATCTTTCTTCAAACATAAACACTCACCTGTACATGGTCACTCCAATTTTCTTCTGTCATGCCACGCTAAAATAAAATTGGTATGAGAAATAAAGAAAGACATCGGATCAATCATTCAATTATTGGAGTGTTATCAACTCTGTGCTCATTCCATCACTGAAACACAATGAAAATACACAACAGAAGGAGAAGAGGAGGAAGAAGAAGTAGAAGAAAAATAAGAAGAAGAAGAAGAAGAAGAAGAAGAAGAAGAAGAAGAAGAAGAAGAAGAAAGAGGGAAGAAGAAGAAGAAGAAGAAGAAGAAGAAGAAGAAGAAGGAGGAAGGGGGAAGAAGAAGAAGAAGAGGAAGGAGATCTGCAAAGGGAAATTCAAGAGTGAGTTATATCATTTTTGCTCCTCCCAGACCATCACCACTTCACTTCAGAGAAATACCATGTTTGATTTGTCAGTTTGTCTGTTCCCTCAAAGTGTAGTTATCAATTTAGTATGAAGAGTAATGACTGTATACTTATTTCTACTCTGACTCCATGTACTGTAGTTTTAGAAACTTCACATGCAAATCAAATTCACTTCTTAAGTCTGCACTCCTCTCTAACCTGACTCTGTAGGAACAAAAATGAACATCAAGGTAACTCATGGTGTGGTGTGACACCCGGTTCACAGCCGATCTGCAAATCTGGAACAGTCCATTAGTTAATGATATTCAATATAATACACAATACAATTAAATGTGATTAAATTGACTTAATCAATTTTAAATTGAAATAATATTTGTCACCAGCAGAATAATAATTGCATCAATCTTCATGACAATAAATTGCTAAATTGATATTGTCCCAGGAACAACACAACAAATAAGAGGCTGATGATATGGACTGCAATCAGAGTGCCATTTTTTTTTACTCAAGAAACAAAGATTCTTTCTCCACATCAGGTCTCCTGGTCTCATGCAGAGTGCTTTCAGGAAGAAAGCAGATGGAAGTTTTGTTATAAGTGCTTTGTGAGGACACCAGTAAAAGAAAGAACATAGGTCTGTCATGCCAAGAGTATTACTCGGTATAAACTAAAAATGTAAGTCCCTGATGAGAAGCCTGCTTTAACACCTGATGTACAGGAAGTTATGATAAATGCAAACCTTTCTATGTCACTTACCTCCACAAATGTCTTGTGCATGAGGAAACGCAATGAGCTCAATCTCCTCTTCTGCAGAGCGAAGGGACACAGTCCTGTGGCAAAAAAACAAACAAACAAACAAAATTCTTTACTTTGATTTCTGCTGAAGATGTACTCGTTCATGAGGTACTACACATGTGCAGAATCGGACACATACACACACCTGGGTCAATGTTGAATTTCTCCACAAGTCTAAAGACAAGTTTGGTGAGCAGTTTGGGTTGGATGTGGCCCATAGACTGTCTGGACAAATTAAGACGAGGAAACTTTCTGTGGAACATAAATAAGCAGAAAATTATCATGTGTAGATCACCCGAGTGTACACACATCAAAGGCTTCTGTACGTTCTCACTCACAAGCACACACACACACACACACACTCCGTACTGAATAATGTCTTCCACGCGAAAGTTTGGATGGCACCAGGAGTCTAGCAGGGTCACCAGATCATGTTCAAGATGATCGTGGCCTGTGACAAAGGACTCTACTAGTGCCAACTTATTCTGCAAGATTAGCGGCACACACATCTGCAAAAGAAGAATGTTTGATATTAGAGAGAAAGAAGCCAAAAGTACATGCAAAACACCATACGTACGATTAATCTGAATATAAATAAACAAAAGGGTAACACAAACTCTAACCTCTTCCATGTTCAGCTCCTTCTGTAGCTTCAGTTTAATGGTGAGAGCTGCTGCCTGCAAATCAGTTTCAGAATTTTTCTTGAACCAATAGGAGATTTTTTTTCAGTCATCAAGCAAAATTTTCCAGCAATGAAAAACGTTTTGCCTCAAATGAGGTACCGACCTCTTTGAAGCAGTTAAGAGATTGTAGTCTAATGATGTGCAGTCGGAGTTCGGCGGGATCCAGGGCATGAAGCTTATAAATGTTTATAAGACTGTCCACAAAGCTGGGATGGTTATCTGCTAGTAAGGACAAAGCCCGCCGTTGGAGGGACTCGTGCTGCTGCTCAGGGACCGAGTCCAGGGTCACCTGGTAAAAGGAGACATATGGAAAAAGGAGAATATCTGACTGGGAGCATATGTGGAGCATCTGCCATGTCTTAACAATCCGTGCCTCCCCCTGTCCCGCAACAACATAATGCAACGTGTACTGACGACGGAGCTCTGTTCAAGCGTGAGCGTGAAAGAGGCTAATGGTTGCAGGTGGCACAAGCTTATCTATTTTTATGCATGAAGATTCTGTGTAACTGCACGTGTTCTCAAAACGAAGGAGGTTGGACTGAAACTTTAAGAATGGTGGTTTTTAAAACGATGACCTAGAATTTTGCAGTATGTGCTTTTAAGGTCATTGAGGTTCCTTTCATGCGTCCTTCCTACCTGAGGATGTTCCTTGAGCCATGTCTGGAATTCCATGAGGATGTGGTGGCCGAGGGTGTGGCTCCGGCCCTTCTGTTTGCCTGGACAGCCTTCCAGGATTGTAAGCAGGGCCTCCAGAGGCTCCGACAGCTTCGAAAACCCCTGGAGGGCAGCCAAACGTAGCTGTGGGGCGAGAAAAGGACAGGGAACTATATGCATTAAAAGTAAAATGTCAGCTTAATTGTTTTTCAAATTGAACCCTATAAGCCCATCACTTAAATAAAAGGGAATGTCTTCTACTGCATACTCACACTTGGGTCTCTAGTTTCTTTAATTTGTTTATTCAAATTTTAAAATATGTTTATTCCGATTAGAGATGCTGATTTTTCATCATGTGTGTAACTGTCTTGCCGTTTGACATTTTGCCATACTTTACAGGTAATTGGGTCAGAGTTTTTCTACCTTACAGTCAGAGACTCGTGGCACAGTTTTTTAATGAGTGCAAAATGTGTCCCTAGAAACTTCCTACACGAGAAAATAATATCTGTGTGAGAATGCTTTACGCTGCGTCTTAATTTGCAAAACAGATGTCATCCACTCAATATCCTCCTCACACAGATCTCAAGTTCATTCAGTGCAACACAAATTCCTTCCTTCCTACTGACAGACACTCTGGTATCCTCATTAACACACACACGCACATCTAAACATGTCTGTGTCCAAGCTCTCTCTCTCTCTCTCTCTCTCCTGTTTCTTCCTGTAAATAACTTCTTACATTTCTCTACTTTTGTAAACACGCTCGTTCAATATTGCGTGTGCGGAATCGACACATGCTGTGAAAGTGACTCTCACCATCCGAAGATCTTTCGCGTCCCATGGCTCGACGAGTTGGTCTCTCAGCACGCCAGGGTCAAGACCTGAGGGGGGATTGCATACACACAGATGAGGTGGGGTTTCACTTTGACCTTTGACCTCCATCAACCTGTCAAAGAATCAAACCTTGTGACCTTTTGAGTTGTTTTTTTAATATATACAATAAACACTAAGGCATGCAAATATTTGTTTCCAAGTTATCATTAAATGTCTACTTTTGTTTCCTAAATCTTGTCTGCTGAGGAATGTGATACACTGGAAATGCTTTTGTTAAAATGGACATAGCTGAGCCGCTATAACGTCAAATAATTTTTCTTTAATAGGCATAACAGAGCAGCCATAACATTGGATTAACAGCTGAGGTAGGTTGCAGAGTTGAGGAACCAGCATTAGCTCTGCATTCCATCTGATTCAACGGCCAAAATACTCCAGAGACGAGTTTCAGGGCACGTTTTTTTAAAGGCCAGGGTGCATAAAAGGGCAAAGAAACAAGAGAAGACATAAACGCATGTGCATTTCACATTCTTGTGTCTATCTGCCTGTGCGTGTGTTCCACTGAGCCCTCTCTAAAGCTACAGCTTCTTTCTCTGTAGCTCATGCTGTGTGGGCTCCACCGTAACCTGCCCCCACCACCACCACCCTCAAACCTCCCCCCTCCTGCTTCCCAGGGCTAGTTTTCCTGTTCTCCTCTCCCTCCCTACAACAGCCTCTCTCGATTTTTGTCTCGGATTTCCCCAGGAAAGGGCTATGCAGTGGTCAGGGTGTAAAAAATACAACCTTCCTGACGCTTACCCTGGGAAAGCAGACCAGCAGGCCTCTCCCTCTTTCAGTGTTGGCCTCTTTTCTTACTGTATCTCTCCTGGTCTGACACTTTTTGTCTTCCCCAGGTTGCCTCCTAAACATGCACTTCACCTGCTCATTGAGCACATATTACTGACATTGGTGGAGACTTCTGTAAATGCATCCCTTCCAGATATTCCTCATAATAATAAAGAATGAGGTTTAAAATTAACTGTGATATTGATTAGCTTTACATTATCTTTTTGTAGTTTTTTGTGTCTGTTTTTCAAATGAGCTATAAGATCTAAAGTACTTAAACTGTTGCTCAGAGCTCCTTCTCTTGACATATCACTGGAATGTGCATGTATTGGCCAATAACAATGTTTGACTGACACATCAGGACATGCCAACTTAACAGTTTCCCCATAACGTGAGAATCTGTGTCTAATAACCAAGAAGCTGCTTTCATTTCGGGGAAAAGGCATCAGTGTCCTCAAAAACCACACAGACCTTTTACATAACCTATACTTGGATATCTCAGCATGTTGCTACAGCTTTGACAGCAGCCCCACAGTATGCTATGGAAAACAGTCAACAGAATAGCAGCCTCGACATGAAGTAAATGGACTAAGGAGCGTAAGAACACAGCTCCGGTCCTTTGAAAGTCCTTTAATTTCAAGCATCTGAATAGTAAAAGAGTTTCCTTTGCTGTTCTCTGCTGTTATACACGCCACTCAAGCCCATTCATCCAATTGGACGAACATGCGCACGTGCACAGGGACTCACACAAACACAAACACCACAACCCACTCCACTTCAGTCTCACTGTTTGTGTGAGGAGGGGAGAAGACTGAGAGTGAGAGGAGAGGTGAGGAGAGGAGAGCGGAGGAATGTGGAGCATGTAGCTTCTTTGCAGTCGTGGTCCTGTGGGTGAATGACAGAGCTGGAGGCTCCCCATTCATTACAACATAATAACCTCCATCATCACTTACAAACACATGGACACACATGCAGTAAATGCACTCGTTGCCCTCAGGAAGTGGGGTTCATTTTTCTTTCGTTAACTGACACAAGATAATTTGGAACCTGAAAAGTGTTGCATTTCACTGACAGGCTACTGAAATGTTGAGACACAATCCACTCTTTCAAAGTAATAAAAGTCACCCTTAAATTTCAGTGAAATTAAGTAGAGATTAGATCCACAGGCAGGTCTAACTGCCTGTTGCCAGGCAGCTGCCAAAATAAAGGAAACACAAAGATCAAGTGTCTAAATGAGGCATTTGGTGTCACTACAGCCACCAGAACAGCTTCAGTGTGACTTGGCAGAGATTGTGCAAGTGGCTCAACTCCACTGGAAGGATGCCACGAAATTCTTCTGCAAGTACTTCTCTCCTTTTGTGTTTTGTTGAAGGTGCAGAAAAAAACTTTCAACAGGTGCTATTACTGAAGCTTGACAAAGAAGAGAGTACAAGCACTTGCTGAATATGATGCTTATTTAGGGATTGTTTGCATCTTGATTACCTCTCCACAGCTGACCCTCTACAATTTGGCTATTCACAATGGGGCTGGCACATATCTATGTTCGTGGTCTGAAATTAACACCCATCAGGCCCCAAATAGAGTTAGATTTTCCATTTGGGATCAGTGGGGTATGTACCACATGGAGAAAACTATGTTTGTGCCACAATAGTCATGTCATTAAAAAATAAATTCATGCTAAGTTTTACCACATTTTGGTGTTGCTATATCTTCTATCCCCTGCATCTCTGCTGTCTGCATGGACCTTTTGAGGGTGGAGTTTGGAGCTTAGACGCTTAAAACAACCTGTAAACATCCCTATAAAATATCTATCAAATTAACTGAACACAAACTATTGTGAAACCAAGATACACATATTATTATTTTGGCAGTTAAAAATCATGATATTTTAATTGAACTGTGCCCAACAATGGCATGAGGACATCAACTCACAAGGAGGCCTGAAGGCTGGTGCTGGCTCTGATATCAGAATCACTAGTGGGTTAAACAAGCAATTCATAGAAAGCGCTACAATATACAAGGTTTATGAATAACGACTAATAAGAAGCACCAGCTACAATAGCCTTAATGGGATATTCCAGTGAAAAATTAATTTAGGGTCAAACACATCGTAACACCGAGTTAGACACCCCCCCTCGAGAAATGAATGTTGCGGACCGCTTGCTTCTCTAGTTTTACCAACTTGTTCTGAGCATTATTTGTGGCTATAGAGTGGCGTTTTGGTTGAGGTTTGTTTATGGCTCCTCAGACTGCTGTGTATTGCTATTCTGCGGTCGTGACTAAAGTTGGTATGACTACAAAAGCAAGCGGTCAGCAACATTCATCTCTCGAGGGGGTGTGTTGACCCTAAATTAATTTTACGCTGGAATATCCCTTTAAAGCTCATTACATTGCAGATACTAGTAAACCTTTGGAGTTCGATTACATGTTATCACACAACAGATAACCCTTATTTTTGATGAGTTAAGTTAAAAACTAATATGTGAGTGAGTGACTTAAAACTCTGTACTAACCAGCTGCCTGTGTGGTAGTTTGGTTCATTTCTGTCCACGGGATGGTTTGTTGCTGTCAATCTGCCGAGGAAGACACACACAACGAAGTTTGATTAGGAAAACATCTGCACAGCAACAGGTCAAACAGTAGGAAAGACTTGAGTAATAGGGCAGATGAAAATCAAAACAATCAAACAAAATAACTGTAACACATGAAACACAGATAACACAGTGTTTCACTTGAAGAGATTGTGTAAAACTGTACCAACTGAATATAGAGCAGTTTTGCTGATAGTATCATTCCAGCCTGAGAAAGTGCAATGTGCCAGCTGGCACATTTCTCAGATGAGATGAGACCAGATTTCAGGTTGAGGATGTTTTAATAGGCACGATTTCTGGTTGTCTTCCCCTTGTCTTCATGTCTGCAGGCTCTAGAGCAAGGGTTTAGCAGAGTTCACCGCTGCCCAGGCAACAGCACCCTCTCGGGTCGGTATATGCTTTCGTAGGGTGAACACTTGAGGTCTTTTGTGTTGACTTTTATCCCCCCCTAACGGTAGAAAATTCATCCTAGTCCTTCAGTGTTTGTTTTCCCTTATTAGCAGACCACTAGCTTGTCAGGTCAAACTGAGGAAAGCCCACTCTCTCGTTGTATTTGTGTGAATGTAAACGTCGTGTTTGTTGGGAGTTTTTCGGTCAAATATAAAAAAACTGACAACTGCATAGAGTTTGCCCCGTGACGTCACGATATGCTAGTTAGCTCGTGATTCACTTACGGTTAGCTCAAACCTCAACCCTAGCTTGTCATAGAGCTCCCCGAAACACAGTGAATATACTTTAGTAGATAAATCGACAAGCACAAACAAGTATGTCATAACGTAATGTCACTGTAACGACGCGGACAGACTCACCGTATGCTATCTTCCTGTTAGCTACCTTTAAATCGGTACACTGATGAAAACGTTGCCTCCGGTTGATGACTCAACAGTGTGTTAAATTCGCCCTGGATTTGGTCTTCCAGACACCACAATTCTGGATTTTTAGACATAACATAAATGTTGTAACCCCTTAAATATGACATAAATTGAAACCAGATACACTGTATAAGTTAGTCATTAATGCAGTGTGTCTTGATGGACACACATATTGCAGGGAGCGCTGTCTGAAAGACTATAAATAGGGCATAAAAATCACATCATCGACTCGATCTTCCGCTTGATTTCCACATAGACATAATATACGTAGACGCCTATTGGAGCTCTCGTATCAGCGTGGCCGCCATCTTGGATAGGTCCCCCGTGCGCCTCCGGTGCATTAAGGTAGGTAGGAATGTCCAACCATATTAATAATAACTCTCAGAATCTCTGCCCGATTTTCACACTGTTTGGTTTGTTACAACGACATGGATATAGCAATAATACAGAACAATTTCACCAGAAAAAAATAAAAAATATATATTTTTTCAATCCTATTTGTAAAATATAATCCTACGTGATCTGGTTTCAATACTGCATAGTGTTTTACAATCATAGAGTGCAAAAAACGGTTGTAGTTCCTCGTTCTCCAGTAACCCCGTTTGGCTCTTGAACGAACCTGGAGTGGGGAGACCTATCTTGGGTTACGCTCCAGCAAGCAATGAGGCGTCTACGTATATAATGTCTATGGATTTTCAAACCGCTACTTCGCAGGTTTCAAGTGTGCTACCGCCATCTTTCGGTCAGTCATCACAGTGCAGATACAGTACATACAAACTTTTTGCCTTTTTTTTCATCACGAAGGCGTTTGGCATTTTAATATATAAAACCCAGTTGTTACTGTTTTTTAATGGAGTAAAGTTTCCAATTTACTAAAAAAGAAGAGAGAATTTCCATGCCAAAATGTACATGTACGTGAGGGATAATTTCAGATAATATTTTTTTATCATGTTAACTCAGGAACAGCATTTCCTTCTCACAAATTTTTTTGCCATAATTCTTAAATATTTACAGCGCTCATTAAAAAGGGAGGGGGTGGAAAGCAGGAAAGAGGATATTAACTATAAAAAGACGATATTCACAATAATAATAATTAAATAATGATGGTAAAATTAATGATAAAACGGAGTAACATAAATGAGCAGAAAAAAAATCAAATCAATAAAAGGCTTTGTCTTTATCAGAAAACAAACTGATAGATTCAGCCCGAAGACCTTTATTTGACAGCCTCGATTATCCCATTCAGTCACGTGGTCAAAGTTGTGTACCACGTGATCCGTATGACGCAGCCAGGTTGCTTGGGACAGCCAGTTGTAGTTTTGACTGTTAGCTAACGGGGTTATTTGCGGGAGCTGAAGTGTCCGCGGTGCGTCCTATCGCCCCGTCGGCTTTGCTGACTCTTCAGACCTGAGTTTGGATCATATATAACCACCATCGGGTTTTTTTTTAAACGGAGCAACACTGGTTTTGATTCTTCTAACACAGCTAGCACCAGCTAGCGGATCCCCCTCACCACAGTTAGCCTGATAGTTGCTGAGCAGTGATGGAGTGGCTGGGCAATGGAGCTTCAGTTCACCCCGACCAAGAGTCAAGCTGTGACCCAACTTCAGCGACCAGAGACTTTAGTGGTATCTGTCCTCATCAGCAGGTAATTCTCCTATGATGGCCTCTGTGATCTTGACTCCTACCCTTGTTGGTGTCACAGAGGTAACTGAATTAAAACATGCTAACTAGCTGAGTCTGTTTGAGTTCATCTAAGGTTGTTCATGCCAAGCTCAGCACCTTAACAGTAAGAACAGTATGAGCCATGTCACTGTCTTTTTTGCTATTTGATCTTTTCTGCCATCACATTTCATCAGTAACCCACAAGGCACACAGCACAAGAGTTCAAACCAGACAAAACGACGACAAGGTGTTAACTTCAAGTTGTGAAACCACTTCAGCTTCTTGTCAACTTTAACAGGCAGCTCTGTGATAAAGAGATCACCCGTAAAGTCCTCTCAGGACACAAGCTGAAGTCTGAGCCAGTAGGAGATCATCCGTGAGTAGGATGGTGAGATCAGAGGCTTCAACAAGACTTTTCCTCAGCTCCTCGTTATTCTCAGACACTGACAACAGTGTGTGATGTTTGTTGTTGGCTAGGGGAAGGTATTTTGGCAGTTGGGGTTACCATGTAGCCATGGGTGATATGGAATCAAGCACTGATTTATTTTTAGCCATCTCTCGCCCCACCCTGTAGCAAATACAGCATGGTTGTGGTCATGAAAGCTTAAAAGCAGGGGCCTACATTAAGGCAGAGATCCAGAGTGAGAAGGCATTTTGTGGGGGTCAGCTGTACAGTTTTTAGGAGAGCCAAATATTCTGTGGAAAATGACATACACTACTTTGAATTCATGGGAAGGGGAAAAATAGAACTCATAAGTAGCTGTGTAGTAAATCAAAGTCTTTTCGTCTCAATATGAACCCCCCTGACTTGTGCTTTGTCATGCTCAGTCTCACAACAACACTGTCAGATTGTCTTTCAACAAGGAGAAAAGCAAGTCAAAAAAAAACACAAGTTTCTTATTCATGCAGTTTGGTCTCATAAAGCCAAAATAAGGCTGGGCGATATGGGAAAAAGTTTATCATGATATATTTTTTCAAATCAGTTGATATCGAGATAAATCACAATGTAAAAAGTGAAATTTAACAGTCCTTATTGGTAACATCTCTTTCACAATACAATAAGCTACTGCATCTGTGAGGTCTTTGTGTCTCTTCTACGTTTTGTCGTAAGGCGTTGTGCTAGAGAAAGCGGACTGAATGTAACCTGAATTGTAACCTTTTGCATTGCGTGTGCTCTGCCACGTGGCACTGCTTCAGGTGGATTTGAGCTATTCCCCAACTTTGCAAGAACATGTACTCGGCATAATTTGCAGAGCACATTTTACTCTGCTTCATGTCTGACCTCGAAAAACCAAAATACCTCCACACCACCAACGTTTTCATGCCAGTGTTGTCGACAATGTCATAAACTGTTGGGCCTTCATCTGCATTTTTGCTGGGATTAGCTCTCATTTTCTTTTGTCCCCACTGACAGTGCTGTCGGCTTCACGTGTTTAAGTGCTATGGTTGCGTGTAGCTGCAGCCTGCTACTACGCAGTTGTTTTCTACAGACCCGGATCAACTCCTGTTTTCATTGGCTATTCATATAGTCTACTAAAACATGGCAGAATGCCCACTATTTAAAAGGACATTGACCATGTTTTACATTGATATTGAGGGAAATAAACTTTTGATATAAATTGTTATCGTTTTATCGCCTAGCCCTATGCTGGAGCCTTTGTTCCTTTGGCAAAGGAGAGTTTTTTGGGGGTCATTTTCATAAGTTAACATTTGTTTAACAGTTGAGGTGACAAATTTTATTCTTTGGGTGCTCAACTTCAAGATTGCAAAAAAAATGTATGTGAGCATGTCAGATGTTTGTAAGGTTTGGTGTAGAACACAGGTATACTTCTGTCTCTGGGAAATGCCTGTCTAAAAGCAGTGAAGGTGGCTCTGATTCATAAGAAAAACTCTGAGTATAGCTCAGAGGACGTTCAGGATGTGGTTAGAAATTGTTAAGGGGAAAGCATAAAGACTAGAAACAGTAAGTGTTTGAGGCATTTTGAAACTTTCTTGAGTCACAGTTTAAGTGAAACAGTTTGTTTTTCTCACATCTAATCCACAGCAAACATCATCATTACGCCTTTGTGACTGTGCCATGGCGTCCCTGTGCCAGAGCCAGCAGCGCTGTGTGAAGGCATCCATCGTCTCCAGCTGGAGGCTGGCTGAGGCTCAGGATCAGCTCTGTTCACTGGGCGTCCACAACTCTGAGTCACAAGAGCAGGAACGCGCTCGGACCCTGGTGTGCTCCACAGAACTCATACACACAGTGGAGGAGTGGCGCCGCAAGGAGAGCATGCTGGGAGGTCAGGAACTCAGCCGCAGTCCTGTGCTTGGAGCCGTTGGGAGTTGGGATGTTTTTGATAAGGTAAAAGAAAGGACTTTCTCTTTTTAGATTAGTGACACATAAAGCTAGTGCAGAAAATGAATGGTGAACAAAGAAATCATAGAAACATGGTCTTAAAGGAGCAGTTGCAATAAGTATATGTGTGAATGCATTCTGTTCTATATATTCTGTGTCTATATACATTTTTTTCAAGAGTTTGTTCTCTCTTTCAGAGTATCATCAATGTCCAAAATCAGCCCGCAGAAATGGATCAAGACAAGTGCTCTTTTCTCCAAAAGTATGAGCAAGAACTCAGGCATTTTGGTGAGTGAGGAGCCGGATTTAAAGTTTGTTATAAAAATAGTCTCACACGCAGTAAATGTTCAATCATCTTGTAAGATTTTGAGAATCCACTGTTGTTTCTGCACAATCTCTAGACTCTTGTCATCATTTAAGTGTAACCAAGTGATAGTTTCTCATTTTGTGTGCACATTAACAGAGAAGTTGTCTGTCAGTCACCTCAAATACACTGTCTGTTCTAAAATATTAACCTTATTAAATGTTTGTTCTGGAGGGACAGAAACTGAATCTAAGAAGCTGCTCAGTGCTGGTTTAAAAAAGAATAATAACTTCCTTTAATCTGTTTCACTGACAAAAAAGGGTTTCCATACTTCTACTGTCACACACCGCAGTAGCAGGTGCCAGTTCCAACAAAAATGCTCCGGTATTTTTTGTACCTCTGCAGAAAATATAAACTGGTGATGATTTTAATGTGCTGTTTTTTAGGTATGTTGCGGAGATGGGATGACAGTCAGCGTTTCCTGGCAGACATGCCTCAGCTCATCTGTGAAGAGACGGCAAATTATTTAATTCTGTGGTGCATGAAGCTACAACAAGAGGGGGTAAGACTCACCAGAAAGGGATGGAAAGGCAGTCCTCTAACAACCAAGAAATATGGCATTTATTACACTGAAATCTGGACTCATAGTTTTTGAAACAAACACTCTATCTGTCAGAAAGTGCTGATTGGACTGTAGATAATTCACTATAAGAGATCCTTGGCAGCAGCCACTGGACACAGCAAGTAGTCTGCATTCTTTTCTCCTTTTTTTTTCAGAAAGAAGCTCTTATGGAGCAGGTTGCACATCAAGCTGTAGTCATGCAGTTCATTCTAGAGATGGCTTCAAACTCTCAGCAGGATCCTCGAGGCTGCTTCAGACAGTTCTTCCACAAAGCCAGAGTAAGACATACACAACCAAGTAATGTTAGCTGTCTGTTTGTAAATGTACTGCACCTACCTGAGTGCCTATTAACAGCTTGTCCCTTCGATACATGTTATTACAGAGTCTAAAGATATAATTTCATGACTTTTGTCGCTGCAGGACGGACAAGACGTCTATTTAGAAGTCTTCCACACAGAACTTGAGGCCTTCAAACACAGAGTGAGAGAATATGTACTCAAGCGTAGAGATGACACACACAACATCATAGAGCAACACAAAACTGGCACAAACTGCATACTGAACCCCAAAGAAGCCTTGGATTCTTTACCTCCAGTAAGTGTTCCTTTTCTGCTTTTTTTTCTCTATTAATGGTGGGAGTGTATTACGGCTGCAGTTTCCCTTCACAGCTGCAGGGGGAACCTTTGAGCCTTCAATGTATATAGGGTAATCAATAGTTGAATCATGGATTTTGTAAGTATCAGCACTTATGATCAATTACTAGGTCATAGAAATCATACTATTTTGCTCTTGCATGGTTCTTTCAGAGGCAAAACAGAACCCTGGTGATTCATTGTGATGTGTTTCCATTGGAGTGTTTTTCATATCTGAAAGGTTAACTATGTGATCTTAGATACAAAATAATACACATGATTAGTTAAGAAATCATGTTATCACACAGTTTGTGCAACAGGTCCTCCTTCAACTCTTATCCACATAGTCATAATCTTATGCTCAAATTCTGTTTCTGTGTTTATTTATTAGTTGCAGGTTAGATCAATATTGGGAATCTGACAAACTATCATGAGTTACTGATAATAGATTGATCAGCAACCAAGAAGGCACTTGATGGGGAGTTAAAACAACATACAGTATGTTACACATATTTGCTTTGTTCAGAAATCTGCATTTGGCCATTTTCTAAAAATGTTAGTATTAGTAACCTGAAGCCTTCCTTTCTCATCATGCAAATAACAACCAGTAAAAGTAGCTGACCAATCGAGATACATTGAAAATGATACTGCGACTCGAGATCGACTCGACTCCCCGCTCTTTCTACTTTTAAATCACTTCATAAAACTCATTTTTATTCCTTGGCTTTAAGCTCAGCATGAGAGTTGTGTGATCTCTGTCCTTTTATATCTTTCATGGTCCTTTTATCACTTTTATTTCTTTTATGCTTTTGTGCTTTTTATTTCATTTAAAAAAAATTTACCTGCTTTTATTTAGTTCCTCTTGATTTCTTTTAATTTTACTGTGCAGCACTTTGGTAAACTTGAATGTTTTCTTTTAAATGTGCTATATAAATAAAGCGGATTGGATTGGATTGGATTGGATTGAATGTGACAGGTTTTCCTCCCTCAAATATAAAGTACGATTATTTCTCCATATAGTTTTCAAAGTACAAACAGTACAGGATATTCACATCTTTGCCAATAGAGATCCTTGACTCCTCATGATTTGGTGCCTTTGGTACAATCGTGATGCTTTTCCAGATGAGATTTGCAAAAAATATCTTAAGAAGTTAAAAGCCTTTTGAAATAACTTATACAGATGTAAAGTGTTTTTTAAATTGACTAGTGTATCAATATTCAGATGAAGTAGCGTGTCAAAGTTGCTAAATGGCGAAACATTTGTATGCGAGAGTGGACTGGGCCCCAAGCTGGCCCCACAGCTTGACCGTCTGCCAAACATCTACTCAGAGAGAAGAAAATACTCCCCCCTCTTCTCCCACAAAGGAAAAGGAGAGACGGCCACGCAGGAATGTGATCTGGCCCGTTGTCATAGAAGCACATCTCTCCCACTGCATCGATTCCCTTTTTTCTTATTCTTTTACAAGTTCTTGCATCCCTAGATCTATTTCAGTTCAAACCTTTGCAGAGAAAACGTGAAATCACATTGAAAATATGCGGTTCTGATCAGATTACTGCATGAATGTTAAAGCAGCAGAGTGCAGTTACATAACCATCACAATCCTTTAACTCAGCGGCAGTAGGTTAATCCTCCTGTGGCCTCCCTCCATCTCAATCTGAACCTATTTGGGATTTGATTTGCTCTTGACCAGCCTCACCTATGAATCGTTTCTGATTATAATGAGTCCCTCCTGTCTTTGTCTCCCTCCTCCAGGTGGCAGAGTATCCTACAAAGAGCTGTATAGAGTCCGGACTTTGGACAAACACAGTGAGGTGGACGAAAGATGATGCCACAGAAACAGATGATATACTCACAATGGAGACATCCTAGTGACTGTAGAAGCTGCCCCTGCTTTTCTTCCATCTCCATCGTCTCTCCCATTTAGGATCAACCTGAGTTTAAAGGCTTTCTCTGCAGGGGCGAAAACAGCCGGATAACATCAGCGCATGAACAAAAATAAACAGGATTGCATATGTTTTTAGAGCTGGAATTCCTCAGCAGAGAACCGGCAGAAAATGATCTTTCTCTCGTGATCAACATGTCTCAGTGTTGTTCTTATTATGGCTCTGTGGAGGCCTCTGCTGAGTCCCATCCCACAGCGTCTCCCACCAGCTAGATGCATGTGTTTCGCAAAGACCACAGGTGTTACAGATGGAGCTATCGTGTCTTTGAATCTGGTTTTCCTGATAGAGAGAAACATTCTTCAGGTAGGGCAGACAAACTGACAAAAACTCTCAAATTAAAGATGGATTCCAGACAACACAAACATCTCAACAGGACATTACATACCAAATCTAGTGCCTATAGCAGGACTGGGGTCAGATTTAATGGTTAATGGTGATATTTATTGGAGAGAAAGTGTCATGAGGTAAAAGGATTAACTGAAAATGTGTCGGTAAGCTCAGTGTAATTCAAGTCATTAGATTTTCAATGATGAGCACACTTCTTCTTAGCATGTTAGCAATAGTGTTCTCCTGAAAGCTGTGAGTCCATCTGGGCTGAAAGGGAAAAGCTGTCAGACATTTTTATGACCATTCATGACACAAACAGCCTCTCGTCTTTTAATTTTATCAGTTCAAAATATGTGCTGCTGAGAGAAGAAGACTTGTCTGTATATATATCTGTGTATATATTTTGCAGCAAAGGTGTAGAGGAGTTGTGGTGTCTTGGATATGTGCGTTTGTCTTCCAGCATTTAACTGGTGTGACTGCGATGAAACTAACATTGAGAAGTAGAGAGGTTGGATTATAAGGTTTCGTGTCAGGCTCTGAGGAACGTTTTCAGCATGTGAGTGGTGGCACATACGCCCGCATCTTTTGAGGAAAAATAATGCCATATGTGTGGGCAGCTGGTCATGTGGCTGACTCAGATCCTCAAAATTGAAAAGAAGAACAGATATTTCAAGATGGCAGCTTTTGGTTGATATGATTTCACTTCTTTTCTGCTGTCAGCTTACATAGTTATGATAGGACCTGATTGCTGCCATTGCTCATTGTGCCAGTGATGTCAACAGAAGTATTTTTTCTTATCAAGATCTGCAGTTCCTAGAAAGTCTCATGCACCTCTTGCATTGCATTGCAGGACAAAAGCCGTTTTAAAAACAAGAGTTTTCTGAATAGTACTCCTAGAGTCTTAAAGGAAAATTATCAGATTTCCACAATAATATGAACAATTTAAGGGAAAGTTTGGCTTTTTGGGATCAGGTACGTATGAGTTACTTGCCATTAATAAGTGTATTTCCCACATTCAGCTCTGCCCTTTTGATTTTCTGTCCTTTCCCAGCTGTTTTTTCAACAAAGGGGCCAAAGTTGACCCCTGTGAGCATTACAATTCGTACTGGCAAGGATTTTTAATTAATCAGAGCAGTGTACTACAGGTGGATAATGATGATAAAAGGGCTGAGCTCTCTACAAAGACCTATACTGTATGAGTGAATGCAGAAAACTGCATCTGAATGTTTCCTGCACTTTATGTTTTCTCTTTTAAAGACAGAAATGTCTTTTTTAAAGGGATCGAGGGTGTATGAGGCACTAAATGTTACGATTCTTTCTCATACCATATTCTGATTTTGTCGCTTTTTTTATGTTTTCCCTGATATTTTTATTCGAAAAACAAGCTTTGGCTGAGCTTGTGTATAGGTTGTGTGACATTTTGGTCGTTTTGCTCTGTGTTTGCTGCTTACTCACCATCGTTCAGGGGTACTTGCACCAAATTTATAGGCTTCCATATAGCTGTCCTTTTATTCTGGAGAGAGGGCATTTTTAGTCAACAAGTTGGACAAAATCAGTGTGAAAAATCTGTTGATCAACACAATCAGTGTGACTTTCCTGAAGATAATGCAGAACTGAAGATATCACACAGTGCATTAAAGACCATTGCATTTGTTGTTGATTCTCAGAAGCTCCTTGATCCGTGGACGTCTCACTCTTCATTATTTGAGTCTTGGCCCCACAGTGTTTTTCTCTCTTTTTTTGGAGTACATCTAAAAGAAGTATCCATACTAAAGAGTAAACAAAAACAGTGGTATTGTGAGAATTTAAGCTAAAATAGTGTACCACAGTGGTCTTAAATGTTACCTTTCACTGTCCACAGTGATTAAGCAACTATGCAAAAATAACTGTATGGCTTTAACTGTTGTACCCAACCTGTGGCCAGTGTCCATAGTGTCTCAACTTCCTGAATAAGCTTTAGGGCATCACTATATTAACAAGTGTACATCCAACAGACTCAAATACACGTCCGTTGAGTTGTGGGAAAAGAATACAAATCTCCATAACAGGCTTCTGTAAGAATTGGCCAGTCTTGCTGCTGTAATAAGCCTGAACATAAAACCAATGCTAAAGTAGAAGTTTGTGAATTGTTGCTGCAACACTTGACTTGAAATTACTCGATTGGTAGATTTATTAGAAGGTGACATCTGCTTTTATCCATCATTTAGTGCGTAACCTTGGTTACGTATGGTGGATCTTGAGGATGAGGTTGAAAACACTTTAAAGGTGTATCCTTTTACACTGTAAAAGTTTTACAAGCAGTTCGTGGCTTCTTTATGGCTAATTTCAAAGCGTTGATCCAATAAAATAGTGTGAGAGATATGACTAAATTGAGTTTCCATACCTGTCGTAGCTTTGCTCTCATCTCATTGAGGCTTCGTTAACCAGCACTAGCACACTACCTTAACACACCTGCACTGACGTCTTTGTTGGGTGGTTGAGTTGCATTGTTGGTATTGTAGGCAGATTTTCAAACATTATCTTGTTTCCTTCACATTGAATTTGATGCTTTCTTTTAACTGAATAGAAGGCTTTAAAAAGTCAGTTCTAGCAGTGCTTCTTTAACTAGCAGATAAACTCAATTAAAACGATAATTGAAGCTAAAAGCTCTACTTGTGGTGTTAAATAAATGCAGTCACAAAACTAAAATAATAGTATCAGAAGTTTATTGTGACTCACAATAAATACTTACAAAGCAGTTGGATGTCGTCTATGAAAATAATTGTGCTTTAAAATATTGTATTCAAGTGTTCAAAAGTTCACACAGTACGGTTCAGGAAACATTCATGGCATAAATCTACAGTACACCATAGGCAGGTTAGCATTTAAGTATCTTTAAACAAGATAAACACTTATTAAGACAAAACACAGATCTGCAGATCAAGATTAAATGTTTTGATGTAAGACGATGAACTGTGCTTATAATAGGACTTTAAGTTTAATTCTTTGCTTATTAAGTTAAATAAATGAAGATTTAAAAAGACATTTATAGACTTGGTCACAACAAGGAATGCCCATTACCCATTAAAACTGACTTGCCTGGAAAAGCAACAACATTAAGACTTGAAGTGTTTGACAGCAGTTGTTATACAATGATGGCTTATGAAAATAAATCTTTTTTGAATAAATGTGTCTTTTTATATATATATATTCTAATTGTGGACCTTACATTTTGACTACATAAAGTGAGCTACCCTTTTAATTTTTTTTAGTCCATTACAATGTAGCATAAACAGGCACTTGCATTTTAAAGTGGATTGACAGTAATGAGGAACATGGCACAATTCCCTTTAGGGCAAACATCCACTGCATAGGAGACACTTCAAGTTCTTCAGATTAAATGTCATGATTACATGAATCAAATTAGAGTAAATTTACACATAAATTCATAATTTCTTTAAGAGGACTGCTTCTCCCTTCATATTGCAATGTATCACATAAAACAACTGAGATAAAATGGTTGAACATGTTAATTTAAAATATAAGACTTAGTGATACCTTTTTGCTTCAGAAAGGCACGTAATGGAATAAAGAAACAATCTTCATGTTAAGCATCCTGAGAGTGAAACTGCAGTGCAATAAGTACTTCAGAGGTGGAGTTTTGCCCAACAACATCTGTTGTCTTACTACTAGGGCTTACTGGCATGTAATGTAAGCGCTTGCTCTTCACGGTGAACATTCAGCACTTGCGATAACACAGATGGTGCTTCCTCATTTAAAGAAACATCTGATCAATAAGTTTGGAGTGGTTTCTGCTGGTAAACCCTGATGTTCATTTCTGTCCAGGCTCTCTATGCAACTTTCTGGTCAGTGAGTGAAAGTTTTCTGTGGAGAAAAGCCTCAACATGTGGCCAGATTTTGTTTGTCTCTGTACCAGAGAAGGTCTCGAGCACACCTTTACTCCTGAAAAGAGAAAGAGACACATTTGTCAGTAGTTCATATGTTACAATAAGCTAGTGGAAACAGGTTATCTATTTTAAAAAATATTCTGTACAGCAAATGAACAAAGTACCACAGCATTAATGAATAGGTAGCGATTTTAACCCTCCAAAAAATACTTTGGATTTAGTTGTCAAGTTGAATCAGATTCGACTGTACTGTACTGAAATGAATCACTCTGAATCATAAATTCTAAGGTAAGTCGCCCCTGAATCAGATCACACGTACATGCTCAAATCCAGACTGGGCGGTTTTTAAAATTGTGATGCACACCCTACTCTTCTGGAGGTCTTTGTTTGTACCTGTTTAAGATGATAAATCAGCTCTCTGACAAAGTGGTCAAAATAAGTAGGACACTGAGTATGTCCCGCTGGCCTAGAGGAACACACAACACAGTATGTGATGTCTTGTCTAATTAGTCCAGAAATAGCAAATATGATGCATGTACTCCCAAAGGGGTCCAAAGTCTTACAACTAGCATTTTTTTCTGTCAGCTTTTCCTTAACGATTCTTTTATCCTTGATAATACAACAGGCTTTAAATATGTTAATATATTCTGCTATAGTGAGGACAAAGACATAAGCCTATACTTGTTATCTCTTACAATTGGGAATGTGGTTCTTCAGCAGTTTGGAGGTCATGCAAGGCAACCGTGAGGAATGTGCAATGAGTACAAGGGTCATGGTTCAGAAGTATCAGGTTGTAGCCTTTTACCTACATGTATATTATGTCTTTTTTGGTAAGCTTTAGAGAAATAATATTGAGCAGAAATTCAGTCTAGATCTGCTCACATTTCCTCAGGAACTGAATCAGCATTAGAAGGTGAAGATATACAGTATATGGATTTGTCAAAAACTATTGTACCTGTAATACTCTAAGACAGGCTCCGTCTGTGTTTCATAGGCCTTAAGTCTCCGTGTGACTGTCTCTGGTGTATCATCATCTCTCTGGACAAGAGGCTCCCCGGTTACATCATCCAAACCCTGGAGAAAACACATAAATAAACATTTCTGCTCCTCCAAAAACAACATCACCATCATTTGCTCTACAACATTATTAAGACATGTTTACTACAGTCTGTAAATAAATAGTGTTCTTCAGTGTTCTTGTGCTAACTGTAGGAGTATACTGTATACCACAGTCATACATGTTTACTTAGAAAATGTGAAGGACTATGATTTAAAACAGTTGCATCAGAAATGCTTCTGGTAGTCTTTGGGAAACCTTGACACAGCTCAGACAGTGTAACATAAACACCCTTCAGGAAACATTCTTGAGTCTTTTGCCTTCCAGACCAGCTGACCTAAAGACAGTATTTAGAGCCGAATGCTAACCTCAAGCTCACATGCCAAACAATCATTACTCATATACTGACGTTTAAGGGGTGTAATGCTCAAAAGGTTCATTATCTTTCCAAATTAATATCTTGAGACAATCTAAATAGAAGCATCCACCACACAGGGTTTATAATAATGCATGAGATGTTCATACTTCGTGATGCTTAATTCATGCATTTGATTCCTCTAAACATTAAACTGGCCGGCTATATCCTTTCATAGTTTCTATCTTCTTTTACAGCTGGAGAAATTCTGCTATAAAACATGCAGTTGCACAATAGCAAAGTAAATTCCTGCTTCCCCAAAAGAGCTCCTCTGGGTTTAGGTGAAACTGCATGAGAGTGCAAATCTGGTTGTAATTAATGGTTCCAGTGAAATGTTTCTAACGCCGCCTCATATTCATGCCTCAAGTAACTCGAGTCTGAACTTTGTACACGTTTAGCAATGAAGAAATGTTGCATTTCTAACCCTTGACCTGGCTGGTTTTGATCCACTTTTATGACCCTCACAGTCTCTTTGTTTCCTCTCAGTCAGTATTGTGACAATAGACTGAAGCTAATGATTAACCTTAAATGTGTTACTTTTCTGGACCTGACCACAGCATGTTATGAGGTCCGAGAAAAATCAGAAAGCATATCCATGTAAAGAAAAATGTTTCCAATAGTATATATGAAGTAAGATTTATCACTAGCTATGAAGTGATACTGATTTTTATTTACTGTAAGCAATGCTGACCGACCAGTTAAATGTTGACATGTATACTCCTTTGAACTGGTATTTCTGAATCAAGTTTCATTGACTTTCCCTTAACAAATGGGATTTATTTACTTCATCCAAACTTTTTCAGGCCAGGAGTTTTTTTAAACTGTAAGATTTGTCTCTGGTTTTTCATGGCCATACAAACCCTGATGTTTGGATGCATCATACAACAGTTTAAGCTCCTATGATGAGTTTTTTATGTTTATGAAAAAGACTGAAATTAATACTGACCCATTTTATGATATCCAAAAGTAAACAAGAGCATCACTGACAAGGTTAATGAATTTTATCCTGTTAATCTTAATTTCTAGTGTTTGAAGCCATGAAGAGGGTATGTTTCCGCCAAGCAGCCGGAGAAAAATGCCTGTTTTTATACATAGATTTAAACCATGAATAATACATTTGACTATCAAAACTAACACAAACTGAATGTTCCTCACTGAAACAACCACACTAAAAAGTGAAATATATCATGATTCTAATAAATTCCCAAATTACTTTTTTAAAACTTTTTGGAGAGTAACTGATCAGTTGTTGAACTGAGGCAGTCATGAGCAAAGTTGAATAATTGTTTATAAATTACTCTAATTTACTGCTTAGTGATACTTTTTGCATCTTAAAATAAACAAATAAGTTAAGATAATTTTAAAAAAACAATATAAAAAGGCCGAAAAGTCTGTTAAAGCTGCTGTGAAGAACTTTTTGTTTGTGTTGACATTGGCGCCCCCTGTGGACAACTTCATACCGCTTATCTATTGTCCTGTACATGTTAAAATAGTGTTTCCATATTGTCTTTCAATAGAAAAAAAGTCAGAAAAGACTGTTTTTTCAGCCTGTTGTCAATCATCAGCTTTTTTTGCAGTAAAATTTACTACAGTGAAATTATTCGACCCATCGCTGATTGTCTTGTTTGATTTATATAGACATGCTTACAAGGAGTAAGCTGCAGGTTGTCTTTCAAGCACTGAATAAATAATTCAAACCAACCTTGAGCTCGGGTCTGACCGGAAACCAGACACTCAATAGTGATCGAATAATATGAACGAGAGGAAGTACTCACAGGGACTTTAGGTGGGTTGAAATCTGTGTTGTAGACCCTGCCGCTGGGAAAGTGAGTCCAGCGAGATGTGAGCCGCTGTTTGATGGTCTGGAAAGGTACATTAAGGTTGATGACTGTGTCCACACTACAGGCGTCATCCAGAGCCTCTGCCTGGGACACTGTACGGGGGAAACCTGAAGAGGAGAGAGAGAAAGACAAAGACGAGTGGAGTGTAGGGAAGAGAGACAACCATCAGGTTTAGAAGAATGATGATATGAAGTGCTGTTCTTCCAGCTCTGACAAACTACAACAAAAAAAAAGAGCTGGATATATAAATATAGCCCAGGCAACCTCCCTTAAGAAAACTTCACTAAAACCCTTTGAGAATACTCTGGTGCAAAAAGGATTTTAAAATGGGAGAAACTGCTGGATTTTGCAGAAATGCTTCAGTACCTCTTGCTTCATGTCAGGAGGGAAAAGAGTTTGTCAGATGGGTGGTAAAGGCCCCTAATGATTCTTGCTGTTTTTACTACACTATTCAGCTGATGTTTTCTTTTGCTGCTGAAAAACCTGGCAATAAATGCCTATATGTCAGAGAGCTAAAGAAAAATATTGAACATTTCTTACTAATTTAACAATCCACTAAAAATCCTACAGGTAATGTTTTAATGACACAAGCCTTGATGAAGTCTTACCGTCGAGCAGCCAGCTGCTCTGGCCCACCGCTCTCAAGTCATTCAGGATGAGACGAGACATGACATCATCGGGTGCCAACTGACCCTGATCAATACAGGACTTCATCAGGAGGCCAAGCTCTGAAAAACACACACAAACAATCTGAGAGAGCGAATGATGCCGTTCATACGTGGTGCAAAACCAACATAAAAACCCACCTGAGCATCAAGGATTTGCTGCAACAACATGAAAAACACAACATCCAATAACAATCCCTGTTCTTTGGTATCAACCAGTCATCAATACAACGACTACAAAAAAAGAGATCACATCACACCTATACTAGCATCACTGCACTGGCTTCCCATTCAGTTTAAAATATCCAACAAAATTCTACTGTTTGTATGTAAGGCTTATCACAAACACTACCCCCAGCTACATCAGTGGACTACTATTACTATACAACACAGCAAAGCCCCTCAGATCATCATATCAAGGTCTTCTCACTGTACCAAGGTCACACAAAAGATACTTTCGGACACAGGGCCTTTTCAGTCACTGCACCGAGGCTGTGGAACAACCTCCCATTACACCCATTACACATTATCAGATCTACTGACTCTCTGGACTGTTTCAAAAAACTCCTGAAGACTCACTTCTACTCTCTTGCCTTCTCATAACCTGATTCCTCATCTGAATTAAGTTCTTACCCATTTTGCTATCCTGTCCTTTGTGTAAGTGCTCTATAAATAAAGTTTACTTGACTTGACTTGACAATAATCCAGATTTCCTGCAAAGTAATGCAAACCTTGAGTATCTTTTTAGCTGCTTCAACCTTGCAGGTGCCACTGCAAACACACTCTGTGCATTCAACACACCACATTATAATGTCTGGACGTGAAAAAAGATCCAAAGTTTCAGAAACTTATTCCTCACTAGAAAAAAATTGTATCCAAAGAACAACCCACTGAGCAATAGACGGATATTAGACATCTAGTTTTTTTTACACCCAATTTCAACCGTCTAGATTCTGTGTATTTCTAGACAGAATTTAGATGTTGCACTTTAACCCATTATTTGATAACTATTAATTTAAAAAAGCAACTGTGAGTTGCAAATACAATCTCCAAGTACTTAACTAAAATAATTATGATAGCCGTTCAGCAGGACACAGTGTAGTATAGATATAGCCCAGATTTAGACTTGGTCTAAACTTGGTCAAAATTTAGACATCTAATAAACTTTCATTTTTAGACCTGTGGTAGCCTGATTTTAGACCAGTCATCTAGGCTACATTTAGACGTTTATTAGACCTCTTTTAGACCAAAAATTGCTCAGTGGGAATTATCATATATACTTTGATAAACTCACAGTACACAGATACAAGAAAAGAGCTAACTCACAGTACACAGATACAAGAAAAGAGCTGGAGAGTGTTTCGTGAAACTGTGTTTGACACATTTTGATACCGCAGTAGTGTAAGGCTTTGAAGGTTAAGGAAAGAGTTTTTGCTCTCCTCTCTCTTCCGCTTTTAGTTGCTCAAAGTCCATCTGATGTAAGAAACTTCCTGACAGGCTTGCAGTGCTGAGGTGACTGTGCTAAATTAGGCAAAGGGTTAAACTGACAGTAAAACTATTGGCAAGCTCTACCCTGAGTAAAATAGGATTTGTTTAAAGAAAGAATTTGTTCATTTGTTGCTCTGACAGTGACAAATTAGTTGTTTTCCTTTTGCTTTAAACCTCAAAAATATGAGGCTGCTTTTAAAAACAATCCAAGGCCTCGACAAGGTGTTTGGACAGCAAAAGCATTGTTGCATGGCTCCCAGTCTAGACAATTAAGTTTTGAAAAGAGACAACTTAAAGGCTGATTTTTATCTCTGTTCAGCTCATATAATTTGAAAGTTCATGTGTAAAAGCTTTTCTAATGTTCTCCACAGCTTGTGAGAAGTTTAGCGAGGCAGTCTTAGGGAGTGCAAGGTCACTGGTTTAGATCCAAGGTCTGTTTGGGAAAGTTTGAGCAAGGGTAATGAAAATGGAGAACCGCTTTCACTGCCAAATGCTCCACTGGAGCACAAAGATTCAGTTATACAGCAGGGTTAAAAAGGGCTTGCTGGTGCACAGTTAGAGAACTTGGTGACTAAAATCCTAAAATTATGTTTGATTGTAAAGGTGGAGCAGGTGAACCTTTTCTCGCTGCTTTTAATTTGTAAAATAGGATACTTCCTGTCAAAATACAACAGAAACTAACTTTTTCTTCCTTCTTTCAAGGCTTAGATGTGAATCTACTTCCAGTATTTCAGCTCTTTTTTAAATCTTTACATTGGGGAGTAGTGGGCTTCCTGCCTTCCAAAGTAACAGCGATTAACAGCTCAAGTGTTTTCAGTGTAAACAGAAAAATAACAAGCACGCAACTTCTGAACACCAGTTTTCTTTTGATAAAGGAAAATGCTGATTTTTCAACCAATCCCAATTCAACCAGTTTGTTTGTCAGATAAAGATCAGACGGTTTGAGGAGGAGTACACTTATCTAGTCTGTACAGGAAAGCAAAGAAAGCGTTTTTTGTTGTCCCACCAAGAATGCATGTCTGTTTGTAGTGTCTCTTCAGGCATTAAAGCATGATGATGATTTTTGCAGAGCATAGAAAACAATAATTTTGATGCAAGAGCCTCGTTTACAGGACTAAAGGTTGCCTATCAAAGTGAAAACAAGTAAACCTTTGCTTTCTAACGGGACATCAATCTTACCGGTTTTAGCGTTGATGTTGGCCCTCAGAATGTCCCCACTAGAAACATGTTTGAGTCCAAAACTTTTGGTAATGCGCGCAGACACTGTTCCTTTCCCTGAACCAGGAGGTCCCATAATGACAGCACGAAAAATCCGCTGAAGACTCATCACTGGACGATTGAAAGTTAAGAGTTTTAGTGTTTGAAAGCGGGCAAAAGCCGTGTCCTTCCCATGAAACTCCTCTATCTGGATGCTCCTCCGCCGCGCCTGGGGTCAAAGCAGGTACTTTCTCTTCCAAAGAAGTGCGCAACGTCGCCGAGAGTGGGCGCGTCTTCTGTGGGTCTCCGCCGGACCGTGGCTGTTCTGCCCCTACGTTGCAGAAACAGGAGGAAGAGGAAAAGGAGGAGGAAGGGGACAAAAGGGGAGGAGGAGGAAAAAGACGAGAAGTGCAACCAGTAGTGTCAATGTCAGCGGGGGCAGATGAGGATAAACTCTCCTCCTCACGACACGCTGCCAGCCAGCGAGGGAAGCGTTTTTCTTCTACGTGTTGTCCAACTTGTCCTCGTCGATGTTGCAGTTTCACTGTAGATGTGTGTTTATTGTATAGTCCCGTTATGTAATTGGACTACAGGCGGAGACAAGCTTGTTGGAAAGGTTTGCGATGATTAATCCCTTCCGAGCCTCGATGCCCCAAACGGACAGAGCTGCTGAATGGAGGACAGACTGAACATCAACTCGTCTGCTCTCTTAACTGTTTATGATCTTAAATGTAGAAGATCGTTTTAATCCATCTGAAATCTAGCTGAATACAACAAACAAAACTATAACATCCAGTAGCCGTGTACATTTTACTCATCATCAATATGTTTAATTCAAATTCTCGAAATGATTTTAAAGTAGGCGAACATAAACGACATGATCCAAAATGTTGGTTCTTTTCGGATTTGTTTACATTTTTATCATGTTTGGTGCCTTTAAGGTGTCACATGTTAAAATAAAGACACACCTACAAAGCTTTATGAAAGGTCACTGGCGCCATCCTGTGGCAATCAAAGGTAACCTACCCCTAATCGTGATGGGCACGGCAAGTCTTTTAGGTGATCTGAATCACTAGAATCGGTTCACTGAAAAGATTCGTTCAAAAGATTCGTTCAAAAGATTCGTCCACCGAATCATTTAGCGGGAGAAGCCTGCGACTCAGAACTCCTGAACTAATACACAGCTGAACGGTTCAGGATTCAGTTCAGATCATAGCTTTTGGGATCAGGAGACAAGCGTGTTTGGCTGTGTTGCTTTGGCTAACAGGGTTTTAAAACTGAACTTGGGTCCTTTCACACTGGGACGGTGTTTGTCGCGGGATTATTTCTGATGTCAATATTTCTTTTCGAACCTGTATCCTGTCGATACAAGCGTTCACATCAGTGACGTTTTCCCATTCTGTGATATTGCGTCATTTATTTTTCAGGATCATGGTAGATTTTTTTGAAGTTTCACATACTGTGTGTCCACTTCTGGCCAATCAGATTGCGTGTTGTCACGACGTCAGTTTTACCGATATAGCCAACATGGCCGATCGGCTGATTGTTTACATGTCAGAGAACAGAGTGCTTTTTGATAAAAGACACAAATATTACAAAGATACCAACCTGACGGACAACTTGTGGAGAGTCATAGTGTTGGATCTCTCATATGACGATAGTTTGTGTGCTTTAACAGTTTGCTAAATGTCTTTGTTTGAACTTTCATCTGTGCTAACACATGCTAGCGTTTGTTACCATAGTTTCATGTGCTTATCTTATTGCCTCTCTCTAGGTCGTCCTCAGACGAGTCTTCCATCATCGCTTCCAGTCATCCCGATTCTCCATACATCTCACCATAGTCACCTATACAGGGGTTAGGGATCCATTTTGGACACAGCCTAAGTGATTCAGGCGTAGGTCCCTCCTTCGTCCCTGCTGGCCTGGCAAAGCTGTTTCTCACTTCAGCTCAACTGAAGTGAGAAACGAACTAATTACTCAAGGAAGTGATTTGGTTCAGTGCGTTCACTTAAAAGAGTCGGTTCTTTTGAAAGAATCGTTCGCGAACGACACAACACCAACCCTTAATAAAAAAGCCTTTTTGGTCCTCTCGCTCTGCCGTAGTTTCGCTCCTGTCCAACGCCTTCCTGCACAAACACACGTGGACTTCAACTGACGCCAGGCACAAACAACAATAACATGGAAAGCCACGGACTCACATACGACGGCTGCAATTTTTTCAGACAGCGGCTTGTTTTGTCCACTCTCAGCGGCAAGCGGGTGAAAATAAAGAATATAAGGTCTAAAGATGACAACCCAGGGCTCCGCGGTAAGTTTGAGCGTCACTCTGCTCTACATGTGGCGTCGCAGTTAGCTCTGAGGCTAACCAGCTAGCTGTTACGCAGTTGGGAGTGTGTTTGATCCCTGGGCGTAGGAGATGGAGTAACGACAGGACAGTCATGTAAATGTAGAAAAATGACATATTTACTTTTCTCTAAACACAAATGTCTTCATGTTGCTTTTAAAAAGTTTGCTTTCAGAGCAAACATGCTCAGTTTATGTGTGGTTTATCTTTGCATGTGTGAGTAAGAGCTTTGAGAAGTTTCCAAAGTGGACATGGGAATTCCTTTAGACTTGTTTCCATATGTTTTGGTATTCATTGAATTTATATATACATTTTTTATAAATCAATCAACCAATCAAAGTTTATTTATAGAGCACTATTCATATAAATGAAATTGCTGCTCAAAGTGCTTTACATCAGGACAAGAGAAATAAAAGTTATTAAAATAGACTTGGACAATAAAATATAAACTTGAATTTATTAATAAAATAAGGAAAAAATGATACTAAAAAATAAAAAATATATAATAGTAATTAAAATAATGAAGCTTTATATAAAAGCCAGGCTAAATAGATGAGTTCTTAGGTTATGTTTAAAGATTTCTATATTTGCAGCTTGTCTCGGACCCTCTGGAAGTTTGTTCCACAGCTAAAAGAAGCATCACCAAATCTTTTTGTCCTGCTCTGTGGAATTAATAAAAGAGAAGATTGAGAGGATCTAAAATCTTCTTTGTGAGGTATTCTGGTGCCAGGCCATGTAGAGCTTTGTAAACTAGTAAAATCATTTTAAAATCAGTGCTAAAACTTACAGGCAGCCAGTGCAAAGACTTTAAAATGGGTGTAATATGAGCTCTTCCCCTGGTCCTAGTCAAAACTCTAGTAGCCGAGTTTTGGATCAAGCAGCTCTAGTTTGCTTTATTAAAGTATCTGAAAGTTCGGCAAGCTTTGATTTAAGGCGTCGACATTGAGAAATATTTGTTTTCTGAATGTCTTTTCAGATTTTGAGGCCAGCTTCATAAGACTGCTCGACAAAGTGACCAATGGCTCCAGAATAGAGATTAACCAAACAGGTGAGTGTTAAAGTTTGGATGGGAGTGTAAAAGTATGTCCGTCACAGACTGTGGGGTTTATGTAATTGCTGTTTACTGTCAAAGAGGAATAACAGAGTGTTGACATTTTAGTAGTGTCACCAACTGACAGAAACCTTGCATTTGGAAACGATCTTTGCTGTTGCATTTCCCTCTTTAAAGGTGTTTTAGTCTCATCATTGCATCACATTTGCATCCTTTACATTTGGTATGAATGTCATGTAAATTTTTGTGATTTTAAGGCTTGTCACAGTAACCATGTATGGAATGAATATATGCAAAGAAAAAAATATGAAGGAGTTTGAGCTTGTAGCTTGAGTGATCTCAATATGCGAATATGATATGCCTTTTAGAATAGAAACAAACATACATATATTATGAGAAGTGGAATTAGAAAGCCCATAAAGATCACTTTTGGTACAACTGTAAAACGTGACCTGAAAAAAGTGTCATCTAGGTCTTGCTCGAGAACTAGGTCTTACTGTTTTGTTGTAATATAATTAGGGAGTGTTAATAACGTCAAAGCTGCAGTTGACACTGTTTGCTGTAGGCCAAACAATTTACACAAGATCAGCCCTGGTTAATTTCGCGTCACAACTTTCCATCATATACAAAACAGAACAAACATCCCATGTTTTCAGAAGGAGAAATGCAGTTCATAGTAGGTATAGAAGTAGTTGCCTCTTCTTTCTCTAGCTTACTAAATGGCTCCCAAAAAATTGAGTAAAAGTTCCTGCAGCTTTCTTACTCTAAAATCATTATCCTAAATTCAGTTTCATTTACTTCACAACAGCAAGTCTGTTAATTGTCGACTACTGTAACTCACTCTTTGTTTGTTTGTTTTCTCCTTGCAGGTACGGTGCTCTTCTACCAGCCTGGCCTGTTGTATGGTGGTGCTGTAGAACACGACTGTAACACTCAACGCTCAATCGGCTACTACCTGGAAGCTTTGTTGATGCTGGCTCCATTTATGAAGATGTCCCTGAAGGCCACACTGAGGGGGGTGACCAACGACCCCATTGACCCAACGGTAAGGATATGCATGTATCGGCTTCTTCCCTTTAGTATTCTCTCATAGACATTTACTGTGTCTATGGCACATCTGGATGCAGCTAAAGCATTCCTTCATGACAAATAAGGTTTAATTTCTATTTTCATGTTTTTGCTCTTTTATTTGAGTGTGTCTAATTTTGAGTGTGTTATGTCAACAAACCACCAGCAAGAAAGCAGTGTGCTAAAGAAATGAAAGGTGTGTTGTCATAGAAACTGAGCAGCATCTGTATTTGTTGCCGTGATGGCAAAATGAATCAGTTTCGACTCTCTCTGTGGTATTTTTGTCGAGGTAATTAACATTTTCAACCCTTTTGAAGGAAAGGGAACGTTTTTAAGAGGATATAAACAATCAATCTCCTGCAGGTGGACCTCCTGAAGTCCTCTGCCCTCCCAGTGATGAAGAGGTTTGGCATTGATGGAGAGGGATTCGATCTGAAAGTGAGGATACACTGTGGCCTGTTGATAAAACTAGAGTAAAATGATAAATTTTAACCTAAATATAACTTGGAAACAGGTCAATCCATGTATCTCATGCCTCTTGCTGCTCCCTCAGGTGGTGAAGAGGGGTATGGCACCTGGTGGAGGAGGAGAAGTAGTTTTTACTTGTCCTGTCCGCAGGACCATCAAACCGGTGCAGCTTGCTGACCCAGGAAAAATCAAGAGGATCAGAGGAGTGGCGTATCCTTCTCAAACTCGTTTTTCAACAAAAATGGAGAAGAACTAGGCTTGTCTGGACTCTTTTTTACTGCTTAGATACTGTGAATCATTGCGTCATTCAGGGTTGTAACTGAATAAAAAGAAAATTTAAATCAGAATCTTTTAGATTTATTGGCTGCTAGGAGCTCTAATGAGTTAAAGAAAATGGCTAAAAACTTTCTGCTTACAAATTGGTGAAGTTACCAGTCTTAAGACAAATCCTTCTCCGAATAAGTTGTGGTTCAGTGATAGGATAGTAAACAAACCTGTTGTTTTTTTGCTGCAGTTTGGTACACAGCACTGTCTGTCATTGAAATGGCAACTTTTGATAGATGATTTACAACACAAGAGGCTTCCTTGTCTCCAAACATGTTGGTAATTTAGTTTTCATTTTAAGCACAGTACTTTTAAAATTTGTTTTCTTGTCAGTTTTGAGATCAAGCCCCCTTTTCACTGTTGACAGACCTGCACTGTTCAAAGACTTCAGAAGTCCTTAACTGTATAACTCCAGGTACTCTGTGCGAGTCTCTCCTCAAATGGCAAACAGGATAGTGGAATCAGCCAGAGGGGTCCTCAACCAATTCCTTCCAGACATCTACATCTACACCGACCACATGAAAGGACCAAACTCTGGCAAGTGAGTACCTCAGCAGTAATCTTGGGCCGTTACCTATGGGCCAGAAAGTTCTGCACACTCTTTCTTTTACACTCCTTTTGGTCCCAGTTTGATCCAATTGTATGTAAGTATGCAAATATATATGTACGGGATTGCAGCCTAAAGTAAAGTCTGGTTTTTGGCACTAGTATCACCTCTTAGCCCCCACTAAAAAAATAACATCTTGTAATTTTGAACCAAATCTTGTACAGAGCTCTTTGTAATCGAGGGTTGTACTGTTATAGCCTGGGTTGTTACAGAGAGAACGTCAGTTTTAAATATAAAACGGTTAATTTATTGGCAAGTTGAAGCAGCGTCATCTTCTCCAGAGAAGGACAATAAGTCATTTTGTTCCGGTTTACCTCAGGTCTCCGGGTTTTGGTCTGACCATCGTGGCGGAGACACTGAACGGCTCGTTCCTCAGTGCTGAGATGTCGTCCACGCCGCAGGGTCAGGGAGACCCCGTGCTACCAGAGGACCTCGGCAGGAACTGTGCCAAACTGCTTCTGGAGGAGATCCATCGAGTAAGTGCTGCAGAGAGCTCACAAATTACAGAAAACACACCAATGTCCATGTTTTGTTTATGACAACTAGCGAAAAGGCGACAGTTGGATTTATTTGTGTGTGGCTGACTTCAACTTCATATAGTCTCTTACATGAATATGGAAAAATAGCATGGCTGTGTTTATTTGGAAAAACTAAACTGTTCTTTGTTTTTGCTGAAGGCTTTCAGGTTCAGGTTCAGGTTGTGGTGGAGCCTGTTAAACAGGAGCATTTGTAGCACAGACTGTTTATCTAAAACTGAAAAGTGTGACTGAAGTAAAGGCCAGATATTAAGTAACACAGAAAGAACGTTAATTTCTAAGCTTTCTAAATCCATGATAATACAATCATTTAAATACATATACAAATGTGTGGACTTGATTAGTTCTTCAGTTTCTGGATTATTGTAGCCCCAAAAACACACACACACACACATTTATATGACATTACTGGAGTTACATTAGTCCTTCTACACATGGTTTTACAGTAAAGAAGTAATTGGAATGACAGAGTTTATGTTACCATGGTTACTCACTGCATCAGCCAATCACTGGCCCTGCACAGACAGAACAAGGAAGAGGGAGAGGGACTGCTGTCTGCTCCTTCAACAATCTTCATAAGTTAAGGAGTTCATAAATTTGCTCAAACAGCACAACTTGTTTTTGAAAGTTTCATCTGCAGTTTTTTGTTATTAGTTGAGTCTTGCATAGGGAGGGTTATTAATGAATTAGGGGTCATGATCCAATTTAAAGTAACTTCTCAATTTGAACCAATTTGTGATTCTTTTGCTTCTATAAAGGGGGATACTTATTTCAGTCTGCTGTGTTTGTTCTGACATCAAAGGAAAATGTAGTTAAGTTTATGCAATAGTGTTTGAAAATGTCAACTGCAATAATGTAAACACACAGAGGCAAAACTAAGACGGAAGGTAACTATTCTTATGCTAAACTTGCAAAAATGAAGCTTTATTTGAACCTTTTGAATTTTCAACCACCAAATGCGAATGTTTTTTTAAAGTGTCGGTTTAGTTTGGTAAACCTACTCGCCATTGTAGCGTGTAAATGGAAGTGGGACTGAAGAGAGCGGTTACTGACAGACCTCAACATACCCAGACTCAAACGCTCATAACAGCAGCGCTAGTGTGCATGCTTATTCTCAATGCATCTCTTGAGGTCTGTGGGCCTGAAACAGTGACTGTGTGCTGGACTTGACAGACAAACTATAATAAGTAGGACTGCAGGTTGATAATATCAGCAGAGCAGCTGGAGAATCACCTCACTCTGGACAAATCCAATTTCTAGGGGAATACCTGACATACGCAGTCAGGACACATAACAACCTAAGCATGCAACAATTACATTTGCTGCCCTTGTTTGCCCACATTCCCCCGTAATCATCCAGTCTGGAAGTCAACGGACTGTGGACAAGAACCACAATGCAGGGGAAACACAGAAAATGGTTGATTCAGTTGAATGTTTGATCAGACGTTATCTCAGCTCTTGGAACCCTGGAAACTATCATGGTTCAAGTATGAGAACTTATCAGAAACGAAAATAGAACAAAATAAACTTGTTTGCTTAGGAGGACAAAAATTGCGCAACTTCTGATCCACATGTTTGAGCGATTTGTAATGTTCTTGGAATATGAATTTATTTACCCTGTTATCTAGATAACTAAACAAAATTTTTAAAGCTTTGGAGGCAGGTCCTTCTAATTCTTGCTTGATGTTCAACTTCAGTCTCACAACAGTCTGGGGTCTCCACTGTGGTATTTTGCACTTCATACTGTGCCACACGTTTTTCATGGGAAACAGGCCCCTCTCTAGGACCCACACTCCTTTATTATGAAGCCTCGCTGCTGTAACACGTGCAAACCTGGAATTACCTGTCGCAGGCATCAAACTAAAATGAGTGAATATTTGCAATAAAACTTTGAAGTTGATCAGTTTAAACATTTGAATATATTGTATCTGAATAAGGCTAAAAAAAGATTTGCTAATAGTTATCAGCTCCTAACTCTTATTTTTCTCGTTCAGTAAAGCTGCTCCAGTGCCAAACTTGCTGTCCTTTTCATCAACCCAAGAGTTAGTAAAGAGGAAACATCAGGGCATCACACTCCAAGCTGTATTTTTAGTAAATGTGACATTGTCAAAGTTGGCATTTCGAGACTTTTTCCGCTTATCTCATATGGTCAGTGAGCCAGCTGACGGTTAATGACAACCCCTGTGTCAGGAAAAAGAGCCACTTCATCGCAGTTTGTACAATTAGATCCAGTCATTGTGTGACTTGAGTTTGCCTCCAGCCATGTGAGTCCAGTTAGCTGGTCAGGGCAGTGCTGATTAACTCTGAAACAGGGATATTGTTGGATGCGTCCTCTTCACTCCTGCATACAGAGAGGGTGAGGTTTCTCCTCATAAAGGGTAGTCCTGGAGCACGGTGGATTAAAAAAGTGCAGCTTTTAATCACTTGATCCTTTTTTCTTTTTTTTTTGAGTAGATCAGGAGCTCCTGTTGTAAGAAGTAGCACTACTGAACCCTTTTACTGTATTTTAATCTAAAACTCTATCAGCAGGACAGCGTGATTTCTACAGCCAGGGAGAAAAGAGGAGAGGATTATTCTGGATGAAAAGTGAATGTGTTTTTTCATTTTGTATGTAAAGAGTTCATAAAAACGGAGGAAGCACAAGACATTTTCTGGATTGGCATTAATGGGCTCAGGCGCTCTGTATGTGTGCGTCTGTTTGTTTTATGGTTAATCAGTACAGTCTTCTTGTAGTAAACCAAAGCTTCACGATGGACATTTTGTTATTGGAAGCAACATCAACACTGGACTGGAGCTGATGTAAGTGGTGAACTCCTCATATTTGCTGGTTAAACGTTTAAACCGCTTTGTTGTTTTTTTTTAAGGTTCTGTGTATGTTCAGATTATTTGTGTGTTAAAATCCTTTTTTTGTGTTTATTTGAAGCTGTTGAACTGTTGTGGTTACACACAGAGTCTTAAGAATTTAAGGCCAAAGTCAAGTGGAAATGGCTTTCCCACTTCATGCAAGTACTGCTGTTGAGATTCTCCATGTAGTTAAGAAAATCTTACATTGTTTCAGAAAATTTAAGCTGACCTGAACAAGTTTTTTCCTGGTACAGAAATATAAATACTAAAAGGGTTATTGGTTTGATATTTACAGCCTAAAGTTGATCAGTTTAAGATTGAATTCTTGAACTTGTTGTGGTGTGTCTGCACCTGTGCTGTCGGCTGAGGAGGTTGTCTAGAATTCAAGGGACTTTTCCATACGTCTTGTGGGCTGATGGCCTCTTGGGAGCTCTCAAACGTCTCGTGTTTTCTCTAAAAGGCAGGGCTTGAAATTCACTCTCAGAAATGGACCCGATGCATTTAAAGTAATTGTACTAAAATGAAGCTGCTTGTTGAGAAGGATGTGCCAAATGAAAAGTGCAGAAGAAGAGACAGTTCAGAAAAAGAGTAACCTCTTTCTGCCAAAAAAAAAGTGGCCTACAAAGGTAAGATGCTCAGCAAGAAGTTTACAATACTTGATCTGTTCTTCATGTTCGTAGCTGATGTCTGTAAAGGAGTATAAAATGCAATGTTAGAACGAAATTTATCTGTGTAAATTGAGAAACTGTGGAAAACACTTGGGATTAAAGTGTAGTCTGCCGAAGTTAACAGGCCATGTATTTATATAGATTCATCTTAACAGCCCATGTAGGTAAATAATCTTCATCCAGTTGTTGAAGAAAAGTTGTTCAGGAAGGAAACTGCTGCTTCATCAACTGAGACAGTCCAGCTATAGTCTCACTCTTAATTTGTTGAAATTATCATGTAATTGAATCATACTTCTGCTGCTCATTTATATAGCATGACTATACGATATACTTGATTATAATAGAGCAAGTGTTTTGTTTTGGTCTTAATGCTGGATAGTAAAATGTAAACGTTAAACTGCAGCTCAAACTCAGTGAATAAGAAGACTTTGGGAGGTCCAGTTTTGCGTTTTCACTTAATTTGACTAAAAGCACATAGCTGTTGTTTAGTAGTAACAATGGCATGTGTTTACTCAAATATAAAGAGTGGATCTCCTGTCCTCTAAATATTGTTGTGACCACAAAAGGGGGAAGCAGTTATAAAGGTATTTGAGGTCTGAGAGACAAAAGTGCTTCATTATTTTTCGATGATGAGGAACTCTGAGTATTTGTTTTTCCTTTTTTAGATTTCAGTTTAAGACCTTACCACACTTTATTTGCTTCCACAGCGGAAAGACCTCTCACCCACCAGACCCTCTCTTGGCTCCTTCCCATGTTTTCTATCGAGTCTAATTTGCTCTCTTGTGTTTGACCCGAGATAATCAAACAGTCAGAGGGTTGCTGAGTTCTTTTTCTCCACCTCCATGACGTATTTCTGTGTTGTTGGTGTTGCTCACACACGTCAACTTCCTTTTAGGGTGGCTGCGTGGACTCGTCCAATCAAAGCCTGGCGCTGCTCTTGATGACCCTTGGCCAACAGGACGTGTCAAAGGTTCTGCTGGGACCACTCTCTCCCTACACGTAAGCCAGCCGGTCATTCAGTAATAGATGAACACAAAGCTGCTCGCCCCTCTGAACTGTAAACAGGCTGTTGGCTTATTTATAAGTGAATCGATGCACTTTGTCCAAACCTAGGACTCAAAGGACCTCACATTTGTTATTCTTCAACTTCTTTAATGGTGGCGATCGACAGTATTACAAAGTTCTGTTTTAAATATCGGATAGGAACGTCAGGATAAACACCAGAGGCAATAAAAACATGCACCTTATCGAATACCTCAAGCTGTTCAAACTGAAGGATTTCTTAATGAAATAAGAAAGTCCAATAATGCAAGAATAATGAAAGCAGAAGGATATTAACCCAAAAAACAATTATTATGAAGAGGCTTTTTATACTAATCCATATTTAAATATTAACATTTAATGTTACTGTGTTGGATATCAACACTAAATCTCAGCAAAATTCCACAACATGAGATCCACGGATGGTGGCGTAGTCCCCTCATTCCAAGTTTTTTTCATTGTCTCTTGTGCCGAGATGTGGCAAATGGACAACCTGGTGTCATTGCTCAACGACAATCTCGGACACACCCACCCAGATGCTAGAAAGTCCATGTCATCACTCGGCTTTCCCCACTCTCTGTAGTTAGACAAACCAGTACATCTCTGAAAGATGCTCCTAATTCTTCTTGTTGGGGTAGTAAAAGCATCAAAATATTGAGTAAGTGATTTTTTTAAGAACTGACTCCCAACACTTTTCTATTAAGTTAATTAAAATAATGATTACAATGATGATGATAAACTTTATTTATATAGCACTTTTCAAAGAGGATACAAAGTGCTTTGCAAAATAAAATGAAAATCAGGGAATGAAAAATAAATTTGAGGAGCACAATGACTCAAGATTTGAAAATTGATGATTCAACACTTAAATTTAAGAAAGATTAAAAGAATGAAAAAATGTTTATATATCAATGACACAAATGAGGAAGAAATAGAGTCAAATAAAACATTTGCACCACCAAAACAAATAAAAAGTTTTGACTAAAATCTAATCTTATCTATAAAAAAAAAAAAAAAAAACATGATGCTGCTGGTGATTTTTTTTGAAGGAAAAAAAAAACAGCATCTGAAGGGTTAAAACATGCTCAGATAACATCTGTAAGAGCACACCTATAAAGATGTGTTTTTAAAAATGATATAAAGCTTGCTGTCCTGATCTTCTCAGGTAGGTTGTTTTAGAGGGTGAGGCTCTAAAAAAATTGGCCGGTCAACTTTGGTGGAGATCGAGAATGTGGTCTTTTATTCAGCTATCTGAGTGATTTTTTTTACGTTTGAAGCTTGTTTCAATGCAAGCCAACAGGTTAGAGCTGTTGCACAGCTGTCTGCCAGGTCTCAATGAGCTCTCTTTTTAGGGGAGCAATACAAAATGTTATAGAGACACAAAAGTTGAGAACTTTTTACAGGACATGTCCGAATCTCTGCATACCAGCAACATTGGTGTTGTTTGAGCATGTGTTTTCAGCAGCTGGACCACAGTGACCCAGTTTTTCCTCGTTAAACGTCTGTCAGGGGACTGACTCGTCATTTTTATTATCTTATTATAACTTAATTCATTTCAAACATATTTAAAAAAGCAAATGGCTACAACAGTTTGTGCTCTATACAGAGTGTGTACCTTAAATATTCTGTTGGAAGTGTGTAGGTTGAAGTGTAGAGCTTATGTAGTCTCTTGCCTCTTCGTCCATTTGAAATCATTTAATCGAAATCTATCAAATCCAATGTGAGGCCTTCAAATTAACACAAAAAAGATGCTCATAAATGCAGCCTGTAACATGTTGAGTATGTGTCACTCAGTCAAATGTGTTTGGTGTCTGTATTTGAACTACTTTAATTTCTTGTAAATGAATAGTTTGAGCTGCTTTAAGAAAGCAGAGAGCTAATGAAGTGATTGTCATCACAGATGAGGAGGGAACTATGAACTGTCCATTTTCAGTTATCATGGTACCGGTGCTGTGTCCCTCTCAAGTACAGTACTATGATAACTGAAGATTGGCAGTGCCATCACAATACACTCCTCACTCCACTGAAGGCTGCTGTTGACTCACAACACAAGCTGTTGTTTGAAGCAGAAAACATGAGGTCAAATCAGGACACTGTGTTCTTAAAGGGATAGTTCTTTTTTTTTTTTTTTTTTTAAATTGGGTTATTTGAGGTACTTGTCAATAAGTGAGTGTATCACCCGCAGGAGATCATCAAGGCCGTGGATTTTATTTTTAAAAAAGTAGGAACTGGTGAATTGAGCAGGTTGTGTGCGAAACATTTTCAAGCTCCATCAGTCACCATCATACTCAGTAGGCAGTAGGCTAACGAATGGACCAATAAGTTAAGTATTTCAAAAACTGTAAATCCAAAAGGTAGCAGGTTTGGTACTTTGAAATACCCACAGGCCTAGTTTGGGCTGCAGTCGTGCACAACAATTGATACTAAGCACATTAAACACACAATGCATTGAAGTGCACCTCTAAGATCCTTGGAGAATAAGGAAGATGTCTGATGTTTGATGTATGCATTAATCTTAAAACAACAGGTTGATATTGAAACAATGGATTAGAGCAGAAAAGTCCCCAGATTAGTCAGCCCACTCTTTTCTTTGAGTGCGTTTATCTCCGTTTAGCAGAGTATTTGATAAAAAGATCAATCATCACGATAGACTATGGGTTGGGTGTGGATTTAAAAACTGAGAGCCATTAACTACCTCCTGAACAGACGCTTTTCAAGGTGGTAAATCTTTTACCTCAGCACGAAATTTAGACCTAAGATCCTGCTGTTTAAACACGCACAGTTCCTCAAGATGTAGAAGTGACCCCATCTGAAGCAGTTAACCCAGCGTCTGTGCTGGTTAATCTGCAGGTTTCATGGAAGTAGATAAAACACTTTGTGGTGATAAGTACCTCATGTAACCCAATTTGAACATTCTGAACTATCCCTTTAAACTTTCAGCGATTTATTTGTGCCAGTATGAATGTTTTATCAAAGACAAAGCGATTGGATAATACTGATACCATAACTAAGCATATTGTTTCTTATTAAATCTCTCTTCTCTGTGTATCCCCCTCACCATCCATATTTCTGTTTAACTCCCACCAGGATCGAGTTTCTCCGACACATAAGAGACTTCTTCCAGATCATGTTCAAGATCGAGGTGCAGAAGCCTTCAGAGGAGGAAAGTAAAGGTGGCGACAAGGTCCTGATGACATGTGTTGGAGTTGGTTACAGCAATATAAACAAAACATTGAAATAAAACTAGCCTTTTTTTAATTACTTGAGCAGTGTCCTCGTGTGTTACTTTGATCACTCACAGTAAGTCACAGGAAACGACATAACCTTTGTTTTCTTTAATCTGAAATCAAGGACATGATTTATATAAAAGAAAATCTATTACAATGTACCAGGAATTAAGACTCGTAAAGAAATGTTACATTTGTAAGGGCTATCAGGCACATAGAGTTCCAACACTTTCATAATATTTGACATCCAACCACAGATCCATGAATAAAAGCTTCTTCTTCTTTAAGGCACAGCAATCTGGTTTTAAAATATGAATCTGTGGTTGAACATTGCTGGAATTCCACTTCAAGAAGCATCTCAAGATGGTTCGTTCCAGCAGAGTGTTAGCAAATACATCACGCTGTTGTTAAGGTCAATGACGGGTCATCGTCATTTTACGATACAGTTTTCCCCATCAGCTGGGGAAAAGCTTCACTTCAAACCACATGTTTCTCATCACAGAGGCTGAGAGGAGTTAGTCATCTTGGCCAACCAGATGCTTGAGGGCGTTACCGTAACTGCCAGAAACTTCAGACTGCACACACATGGAGAGAGAGAGAGGAATAAATATGTGAAATTCACAATAAGTCTGCCACACAAAACATCTTTTCTAACATCTCAAAAATCCATGTAAAAACAACAACACTGACCTCTAGCTGGGTGTAGAGGGAAACCCCAAACAGCTTCTTGTACTCGGCTCTGATGTCGAGTAAATCAATTTCTGAACGACAGACTATTATCCTGGTCAGTGTGGACTCAGTGGTCCCCGCACCCTGGAAAAAAACCCAATTAGAGATATTTTTGACAGATCTTTTAAAATCCTTTACCATCAATATCACTATTTCATCAAAACAATCACCATCAAGACTTTACATCTAATTCTGAACATAAATATTTGGGCACATCCAAAAAAATGGCTGCCTTTGCCTGGAGTCATTTGTTTTGGTGGCCTGCAATTCATCTTGTCGCACATTTTGACAAAGCAGCAGCACTAAATCAGAGGCTTAACATTCCTTTCCACACCACTGCTGACAAATACAGATATCTGCTGTGGTTTAAGAGCGCAGGGTACAGTGTGTGGGTTTAGTTTTTTAGTTGGTTGGAACTAAACCTGTTGGCTTCGATAGAAACAGACATACTGAAGAGCTTTACCTTCATGCTCTTAAAAAGTCTCTCGGCGAGGTACACAGGAACACTCTTCACACACTTTACTGGTAAGAAAAAAAGTAAAAAGTCAAGCTCTTATAAAGAAGGAGAATTTAAGAATAAGAGAATATTAGAGAAGATAATTCTCTTACCAACAGCCACGAGTATTTTCTCCAGGTTTCCAGACATCTCACTTTCAATGCTCTCCTGCAGAGTCTTCTTACTGAGGTTCTTGTACTCCACCAGAGCTGCAAAAAGCATTAAAAAGCTTTTAAAGACAGTATTTCTCTACTGGTACAGAAGGATAAACAAAGATTACTCTTGTTGAATATTTACTGATTCTTTACAGAACATTGAGCTCCGCTATCGAGACATAACTTCATTTTGTAAAGCTTCCTTTTAACTGATTTCTGCAGGACTACAATAAACAAGCTTGTGTATGCATGCTAGCAGGCCCAACCATAATATTGAACTCTATGCCTACTCTGCATGAGCTTCCTGACACTAGCTTATGTATGTATGTCCCTGCAAATGCAATCTCAAAGAGAGAAGTGCAGCTACACATGTTCAGGGTCTTGGATTTTATATGATTATTTTCAGGAGGTATACAGTATAAGAGGTGTACCCACTCTGGCGAAGCTGGGGGACACTCCTGTGGCACAGGACATCGATAAATTTCTCCTCATCTGTTCCCCACTTCTTCTCTCCTGCTTCATACAAGGCCTGAGTGTGACAACAGTGAGAGAGGAATGCATACAGTTCTTACTTTATACCCAACATGCATGGTTTTGTGAATATAAATAGAGGTTTCTCATGACCAGACCCAGTGACTTCAATACAAGGGACAGTGTTTACATGTTTAGCATGGGTAAAAACATGTTCAGGCTCGAAAGCACAAGAGATCTGAGTTAGCTGACATGAGTGTTTGCTGAGGTTAGGACAAGAATTTCTAAACAACAGGAAGTCTGTGTTGTAGTTATACTACTCTGCACTGTCCTCTACAGCTGTGTACTTCAGTGGCTTCAAATATTTGATTTGCATCATCAGGTATTTGGAGTATTTGGAGAAACTGGTTGAAAACAACGTGAGAGTACCTTGGCGTCTGCTTTAGCCTTGGCAGAATCCACATTGGTGCTCTCGTCTCTTTTGCCCTGTGAGGATAAAGAGAAACAAAGTTCGGTAAAACTTAAAACAACCAAATATAATGAAAGATTGCTAACTACTGAACAGTTATCATTATGTTTCTTAAGATGTTTGTGGTAAGTTTAAATGTGTTTGTCATTAAGCAGTACAAAAGACAACCTTTTGTGGTACACAGATATGTTGAAAATGTATATTACATAATAAAAGCCTCTTATAGCAGATTTAATTTTCCCCATTTTTAAGGGGCTAAATTTTGAGAGTTATCTTGCCACTATCAATATAATGTTTAAGGTCTAGTTTGCATTAGCTGGATTTGTACATACAGCATGTCTCTCTTTATGGTTAATGGACAGTACCTCAGCTAAAATCAGCAATGCTTTGCCATACTCCCCAGACACCTCTGACTTTAGATCATGAATCATCAATTTTCCTGTTTCTGAAATGACAGAGCATCATACACAGAATTTCACAACAGGCATATTACGTAATAGACAATGATTTCACAATCTAAGAAATATCACATTTTTGTACTGAAGAGACTAACCAGCTAGGTACGCTTCAGACAGGGCCTTGATCTGTCTGTTGGATCTGGAAGCAAAGATTTCAGTCAGCGTGCTCTCTGTGGTCCCCGCACCCTGCAGGTCATATTGAATACACAATTTACTGATAAGAGAGAGAAGACACGTTGTAGTCTGATAGCTTAAAACACTGTTCGGTTATTGTCAAACATTAATGTTGGACTTCTTTTTTTCTCACCTTGATGGCTCTGATGACTTCATGACAGTCAAACACATCAGGAGCTGTTACCAAGGCAACCAACAAGTCCTCAAAGTCTCCATGAGTGTCACCCTCCAGGTCAGCAACTAATGTCTGATGAAGACCAAGAGATTTCACTCTAACATCACCTTCATGATTGTCGTAATATTAAAGTTGTAGTTCAGTTTTTTTTACCCGTCCAGTTGCTTTCTGATAAGCCTTTGCAATTTGCTGACGCTGAAAGTTACTTCTTCCGGTCAACACCTCAATAAGGGTCTTTTCTGTTGTACCTGTTGGTCAAAGACAACACAAGAGATGCTTACTGCTTATTATGGCCCTAGCTGATGCTCATATGTGAAGGCAAATTATTCAAATACTTTACGTGAGCTTTCAAACTGTGGTGACAAATGTAACTTATTAACCCACCAATGCCCTCAATTGCTTTTCGTAGTGCAGCCACATCTTCTTCTACTTTGAAATTCGCTGCGTCTTTTACAGTTCCTCTGGCATTGGACTGATGGAAACATGACAATATCAGACACAATAACAACAACTAACCAAATTCAATGTGATATCTTTGTGCATGCATGAAAGTATATCCAAGCACATTAACTATTTTTCCACATCCATGAGACTTAGTACCCACACTGAGGGTTTGATCAAACTTACTGTCACAGTTAGTGAGGAGGGGGTGTCTAGGAGCAGGTCCAAATCATCCTGCAAAACAAAACACATGTTCAGTTTGTCTCTTGTATCTCACAATTGTAAGGCATTGAGTAAAACCTATATCAAAACTCTTGTAGTAAACAATCACTTACCCACACAGACATCTTTGCAGTTCAGAAGAAAGCCTCACACTGAAGACAAAAGCAGACATAATCAGGATCTGAGATTAAACATAACTTTATATTTTTGTATTTGAATGACTTTGCATGTCTCCTCCTCTTTTTCCACTAACTTTCAAGCATCATTAAACGTTTCCCGAATTACTCCATAAATGTCTTCTTGGAAGTTCACAATAACTAGCCTCATTTGACAGATAAAAAAAGAGACGAGACGTTAAAATCAAGCACGCAGGACTAGAAACGCCAAAACCAAACCCATGTCGACCACTGTAGTCTGAAGCAAGATTTTTCCACCAAAGCCGTGGTGTGTTTGCGCATCAGCCTAGCTCATTGTCAGAAAACTAAAACATGAAGGCTGAACACTTGAAAAATCCGTAATCAAACGCCAGTAAAGTAGCTGTCTTACCTTGGTGAAAGGACAGGATCGATGTCAGATGAGGAATTTCACAGTAAGACCGACTCGCCACACCTTTCAGAAAAGTAGGGAAGGCAACGCCCATCATCCACTGCAGGAGGAAGTTGAATCATGAAGATGATTGTAAACTCCTCCTCATCTGAAAACAGAAACTGTTGCGTCCTCATGAACACAGAGCAGCCAGGGTTTATACAGGGTGAGTTAAAAGTCGTGTTTATCCTCAGGGCAGGGCAGAGATAAGTCATGAAGATTGAGAAACATGCAGGGATAATTGGAGCTGGCTTATCGCATGAGTGTCTTCTTATCTCGTCATTTCCTTGCTGAAATAATGCTGACATTACAGTTCTTTATTTTAATATCAAACCAAGCCTTTTTATTTGAGGTTTATGATAAAAAGATATTCCTAACATTTATATAGTAAGAAAAAAAGGAACTTAAAAAAAGGCAAATGGCAACTGGTGTACAAATTCCACAATGAGATTGTTATTGAGATTAGGCTTTGAAGAAAAGTTAATTGCCCAAAATGAAGTTAAAGAGATAGTTTGTCATATGACAGGTACTATTGCATCTACCTTGACTCCACCCACCATGTGACGTTTTACGGTCATTAAAGGGGCTATTTTTCCCAACAATATTTGTACCAGGTCATTCTTTTCCCTAAAATAAACCGTCATCGATCAAACAGCCGTATCAATTATCAGCAATAATCAATGTGCTTACATTTTAATGTTTGATACCTTAAGTTTGCATATCTGTTGTAATCAATTTAAAAACTACGGTGGCCGAGAACCGCCACTGCTGCAAATAAAAAAATTAAAAAAAAAGAATGCAAAAAAAATTAGTCACAACAAAAGTTACCGATGCAATGAAAAAAGAAACCGAAGCCTGCTGCAAATAAAAAAGAAACGGTGCAGGAAAAAAAAGACTTTTCTTTTTTTATTTGCAGCGGGCTTCTGTTTTTTTTTTTTTTGTTTGTTTGTTTGTTTTTTGTTTTTTGTATAGGTAACTTCTGTTGTGACTTCTTTTTTTTTTTTTTTTTTCATTCTTTTTTTATTTGCAGCAGTGGCAGTTCTTGGTCACCGTAAAAGACGTTTAGACTTAAGAAAAAAAAAATATTTTTTAACATGGTCAGCCTAACAACACAAACATCTAGAAATCCACGGACAATGTACTGCCAAAACTACAAACGACTTTAAATAAACATACTACAAAATGTACACACGACTCCACAAAGTAATTAGTAGGTTTGACCATAGATATTACATACGTAGACGTCTCGTTAAGTGCTGGCGCGTAATACAGTGTCACCGCCATATTGGATGGGTCTCCCCACTTCAGGCTCGCTCAAGAGCCAAACGGGCGGGGTCAATGGAGAACGAGCAATTGTGCCGGTTTTTTGCGATCTATGGTTGAAAAACCTGAGGCAGTATTGAAACCAGATCACGTAGGATTGCATTTCACAAATAGGATTGAAAAAAAAAGTTTTATTTTTAATGTGTTATATTGTCCCGTATTATGGCTACATCCCTGCCGTTTGTAACAAACCAAACAGTATAAAAATCGGGCAGAGATTCAGAGATTTATTATTAATATGGTTGGACATTCCTACCTACCTTAATGCACTGGAGGCTCATGGGGGACCCATCCAAGATGGCGGCCGCGCCGATACGAGAGCTCCGATAGGCAGCGTCAGGTTTTGAGGCGTCTACTTATATTATGTCTATGGGTTTGACTCTGTATACGTTGAAGCAGCCATGCCGAAATCCAGACAGCGCATGCGCGCTCTTTGACAGCTCGGCGCTTACGTCAGAGTAGTACAACATTATCCCTACAGTGATACATGGCGACGTGTCATCAGCTTTTCAACTGTGTGACAGTCTGGTTTAAACCGAGGATGACCGTTTACCGTAGACCACAATGATATCTAAGTGTGCTTGATTTCAATTCTCGCGCTTATAGGTTTGTTAAGAACTGCATCGCTATCGGCCAACTAGCAACTTGTTAGCTGGCTAGCAACAGGGAGCCTCTCCCAGAGCTGTGATGGCTAACAAACATTAGCTTTCCTGTCTCACTCTGCCATTCAATTTTGTGAGTACAAACATTTTTTACTCGTTTTACTTTACATTCAGTGTTTGGCAGGGAGGGGTTTCTTTGTTCCTCGTCATAACATTTCTTGTGTTTCTATTTACAGGCCAGCTGTTTTTTTATTGAGACTCCGCTGGAGCTAGCTGCCTCTATTGTTTACATGGATACGGTCAGCTGAGGTCCTCCGTGGGCATGTGCTGGTCGTAACAATACCGGACGGACTATAGTAGGAATAAATGGAGCAGGAAGGTAGCAAACCTCCGTTGAAAACCCTCTGTCTACCAAAATGAGTATGATCGGGGCTCAGGGGGAGGAGAGCTGCGCCTGCTGGACTGTTTGAAGTTGTGTGGGAGGTGGACAAAGGTGGACAGGGGTTTGTTTGTTTGTCCATATTAAAGCTCAACCTGAAGTAAGACCACATGAAAGGAACAGAAAATAGACCGTGCAGGAGGATGATCCATTCTTCTTGCACTGAGATGATGCTGAAGACACTGCTTATCATCAGCCTCTTTGGCTGGGTGAAATGTCAAGAGAGCCAGAGCATGACACCAGAGGAGAAGATTGCCATCAGGTAAAATGATATATATGGATCTGAGAGTAAATAAAGTGGAAGCGTTTATAATGTTGTTCAACAGTTTCACTTCCCTTGTGATAATACGCTCTTTTCTTTCTTTTTCTGTCAGGGACCAGATAGTTGAGATGTTTGATCACGCGTATGGTAGCTACATGGTAAGCTATAACTTTGATACCATAGTTAGAATCACCCCAACATGTGCAGTACAGGCCAAAAGTTTGGACACACCTTCTCATTCAATGCATTTTCTTTATTCTCATTGCTATTTAAATTGTTGATTCTCAGTGAAGTCATCAAAACTGTGAATGAACAGATGTGGAATCATGTGCTTAAGAAAAAAAGTGTGAAATAACTGAAAACATGTTTTATATTTTAGATTCCTCAAAGTAGCCTCCCTTTGCTTTTTTGATAGCGCTGCAAACTTTTGCTGTTCTCTCAATGAGCTTCATGAAGTAGTCACCTGAAATGGTTTTTACTTCACAGGTGTGCCTTGTCAGGGTTACTTCGTGACTAAGTACTTCTGTCATCAAGAGCAAAGGGTGGCTATTTTAAAGAAACTAGAAATTAAATTTAAGGCAAAATGGCAATTTTCAATGGTGATCCGGCACAGGTGTATTCACCTTTCAGCTGCTGGCTTAATTTTCCTTGTTGAGAATTTTCAGCATTCCAGCTTTTTACTTTTCTATTGATTTGTAAATGCAGTTTTAGCATAACAACTGTTGTTTGTGTTGCAGAAATATGCTTACCCAGCAGACGAGCTTATGCCTCTAAGCTGCAGGGGTCGAGTCCGTGGCCAGGAGCCCAACAGAGGGGACATTGATGACTCCTTGGGGAAGTAAGTCCATTATCAGCACACATGATACTAATTTTTAATTCATTACTTGAGGATATGATGGATCAAAATCAAATGTACTATTTTTAGAGTCAAGGGTTAATGTTAAGAATTTTCTTTTTTCAAGCCTCCATGTTTTTTATCCCTGCTTATGGTATTTGATAAAATTAGCCAGTAAAAAAAGGGCTGTTTACTTGATCTCAACAGGACTTTTTGACTTACAACTCTAACTGCACGGATTTATTTTAGTCACAAATAACCAGAAGATTTTCCTAATGGCATTAGATATTTTGCATTTTGAGTGAAGACAGAAACTCGTTTCTTTTTATGACACTCTGCCGTTCCCAAAAGATTCAAATTCGTCATGGAGAAGATGCCCCAGTTTTGTGGGAACGTGTTAATTTATTGCAAATTAAAGTCAAAGAGATTTACGAGAAGACAACAACTCCAAAGCATCATTCATCCATTTATGCACCTGCTTGATTTAAAGAGTAATTTCACAGGAAATTCAACAAATCAGACATGTCACAGTTATGTGTGGTCCATAAAAAATGAAGCTGGATCGCTGGTAAAGTGGGACAGCAGCCCCACTGCGCTGTGCTCTCTGGAGTCTCATCATAAATCTGTCTCTGTCTTGACTGCAGGTTTTCTCTCACACTGATTGACACCCTTGACACCCTGGTGGTGAGTACCTGCTTTTTTTTCTACTTGCTGGCATAAGAGTGGTTTGATCTGCTTTTGTTTGCAGGATTTTTACTCTTTTGGACTCCAAATTCATTTGGTTCTGGATGCGTTTGTGTGCCTGCGCAGGTGTTAAACAAGCTGGATGAATTTGAGGATGCTGTGAGGAAAGCTGTGAGAGATGTACGCCTGGACAACGATGTGGTGGTGTCTGTGTTTGAGACCAACATCAGAGTACTTGGGTATGAAACATGTTTTAAATTTATCATCCTGCTTTACTTAATTTGCACTCATATACAAACAAATGTATTTTTGCCCATATTAACTCAACGGTGTACCTGTAAGAGAGAGTCTGTCTTCTACTTTGTTTAGAGGGCTCTTGGGAGCTCATGTGATGGCAGACCTGCTGCGGCAGCGTGGAGAAAGGATGCAGTGGTATCAGGATGAGCTCCTACACATGGCCAAAGAGCTGGGCCACCGCTTACTGCCTGCCTTTAACACCACAAGTGGCCTTCCCTACCCAAAGGTAGTCTTTATTTTAGTGGAAACTTAAATGAATATACTTATTCAGTGCATTAGGACATAACTGGGATTATTTTAAATGAGAGAAAGTTCATTGTTATCTGTGTTTCAGGTGAATCTGCGGTATGGAGTCCTAAACCCCCTCTCACGCACAGGCACTGAGTCGGACACCTGCACAGCATGTGCTGGAACAATGATTCTGGAGTTTGCTGCCCTCAGCAGACTGTCAGGAGAGTCTGTGTTTGAGGTATTATCTATATCTACTTGCAGAGAAATTAAATGAGATGTTACATAACAGCAGAGAAAGAACCACAGTTTGAAGTAAAAGCTGACTATAACTGGTGGATGTTGCTGAGAACAAAATCATAATTTGTTTTTCAGATAAATGTAACGGGTTTTATACTTGTCCTATAGGAGAATGCAAGGAAGGCTTTGGACGTCCTGTGGGACAGGAGGCAGAGAGGAAGTGATTTGGTGGGGACTGTCATTAACATCCATAATGAAGAATGGGTCCGGAGAGGTGAGACAGTTTAGATACACATACAACCTGTGTAAGGACACAGGCGGTGGACCAGCGTGATAGAGAACACTGATGATCCAGTGCATACATATTTTATAATTCTACACATGAATCCTAATGTATTAATATATCTGTCTCCCCACTACTTTGTTTGCAGACAGTGGAGTCGGTGCTGGTATCGACTCATACTATGAATATCTGATGAAGGCCTACATTCTTCTTGGAGACAATGTTTTTCTTGAAAGGTTCAATACTGTAAGTCTGCCTCCATCAGTGTGGTTCATATCCAATAAGTCACCTGGAGGCCGAAGTTTCCACTTGTTCACTGACGTATTTTATGGTGTTTGTCTATCACAGCACTACAGTGCCATTATGAAGTACATCAGTCAGCCTCCCCTGCTGCTTAATGTGCACATGCACAACCCCACTGTGAGCGTGCGCAGCTGGATGGACTCTCTCCTGGCATTCTTCCCTGGCCTACAGGTCATAGATCCTGCCATAAGATCTCATGGAATCATTTAAATTTTCTATCATCCAAAAATGATTCTTTTTAGAAATATAGCACATGTATTTATAGTATAGTGACTTTCCTTTTTCAATCAGGTTTTGAGAGGAGATCTGAAGCCAGCCATTGAGACTCATGAAATGCTTTACCAAGTCACAAAACAGCACAAGTTCCTTCCAGAGGTAAAAGTTCTCTACCCTGTTTGAGCTGCCTGATTTAGTTCTGTAGACATGTGTGTGTTAATGAGGTTCTTGTGGACCCTCTCATCAAAACACTGCTAAAAACAGAAGCACTACTGTTGAAGACATAAGGACCTCAGTATAGATTCCAGAGGACATGTGGTCTAATACATCTGTCAACTCTTAACATGACATAATCATACCAAAGTAAATGATTAACAAGTGAACAGCTGTAGCACCACTTGACTGTATTATGGTGGGAAAAGTCATACGTTACACAAAGTCAGGCTTTATGTAATACAAATGTTATCTGCTTTCTCACGTTCTATATGCTGAATAATGTTACTTTCAGCAATATTTACTTTTTATTCTAACATGCTCACTTTCCCCTCTTCAGGCCTTCACTACAGAGTTCAGAGTTCATTGGGGCCAACACTTACTGAGACCAGAGTTTGCAGAAAGCACCTACTACCTCTATAAGGTAAAACAATATACAAACCTCTGCTTCATTTACTGAAGTTAATGTATAAAAGAAGTCCACCTTTGTGCCAAATTCACAAAGCATTTTTGTAGAATTTCTCTTCTAAGATGACAAACGGTGGATGGACTGTTTAGTACTTACTCTAGTTCAGCTTAACCCATTCATACCACTGGGAACAGCTAGTAGGGGTAGTTTGGGGTTAAGAGTTGTGGGACCTGAGACTGAACCTCTGACCTCCTGATTTAGAGACTATAAGATGCATGATTCTGATGACGTGTTTGCATTTGTAGGCCACTGGTGACCCCTACTACCTCAGAGTGGGACAGTCCATAGTGGAGAAGCTCAACGCCTACGCCAGGGTGCCTTGTGGATTTGCTGCTGTTCAGGACGTACGCACTGGGACACATGAAGACAGGTACACACCAGTAAACACATCTTTGAAAGTATTTGTTGTAAATAGATTCATTGGACCCCCTGAATATGCGGTTTTATTCCACGGTTAATGTTTTTCTTTTGTGTGTGTTCGCAGGATGGATTCCTTCTTTCTGGCTGAGATGTTTAAATACTTGTACCTGCTGTTTTCGGAGAAGAGTCAGCTGCCAATCAATATTGATGACTACATCTTCACCACAGAAGCTCACCTCCTTCCTGTGTCCTTGTCCACCACCAAGCCACCCTGTCCAGGCAACAACACAGTGAGAGACATCACTTTGTCTGAAACAGAGGTATGAACATCACAACACTATTTTTATATTTGGTTCACTTTATCGAGCCTCTAATCGCTCTGTCTGTCCCTCAGGAGACTGTCCCTGTTTCTCAAGAAGAGGACTTGTTTACACACTCTTGTCCCAGCTTGGAAACATTGTTCCCCAACAACCCTTCCTTTGCCAAAACCATCCGGGATGGCTACAAGTACCTCACAGGGGTGGGACGAGCTGCCCACCCTCTACCTGTCAGGTGTGTTGAATCACAGGGGGTGTTTGGTTTGGAGCAAAATCACTTGTATTCATTGTTGGCGGTAATAACTTCCTGTTTTTTGTTCACTACAGGGAAATTGAACTACCGCTTCATGATAACGGCATGGAGCCGGTGGAGTTCCTGAGAAGCATGGGCATTTCTCTCACTCCACTGAATGAGGTCATAGTGGGAGACAGGAACGGCCAGAAGGTATTAAAGTTGCTTTCACTCTTACCCTGACCTGGCCTGTCGTTCTGCATTATTTAGTTTTGTCTTTGAAAACTTTCCAAACTCAGATAAAGCAAATTTATGGTTTATTTTATGGTTTACACCTGATACAAGGATCACTGTAGAGATGAGACAGTTCATGCATGTGCAAGCAGAGCTGCACAAACTGCCTGCCTAGACTAACTTGAAGGTGTTACTCCAATTCCTGACAGGAAATCTATAAAGGGAAAAAAAAGGGGCTGGCAGTATTTTTTAGTTGGATTTTCTTGGTACTTTTTTGTTAGTCTGCTAAATATGTAAAACATGATCACAGTTCCTGGTTTTTATGCTGTAACCACGCTTTAATGCAACTGTCAAAACAGGCCAATTATACAACCTGCTGTTGAACCAATTATACCTTTTAAAACTGTATAAACAACAGAGCACTGAGCAGCAGGATTTAGAGGATTATTAACCAATTTAAATAGAAGGGGGATATTTTTAAATGGGTTGTTTGATTATCTTATCAGCTCTGCTACGCTCATTTCTCTTCATACGCAAACGCAAATGATATGTGGTCTCTGGCAATATAAGGTTCCCAACAGTGAAAGGGGAAGTTGATATAGCAGACATAGCAGCAGTATAATAAATGCAGTATATTACAATGTCCTCATGCTCGATAATAAATCCAGAAGAACGATATCTGGCTATGGCATCAAATTTTCCATCTTTGAATTAATCATTGCACTAGAGATTACAGATGACCTGTGACTGTTTTCATGTCTGACTCTCTGTAGATACACAAAGGAATGTACCGGGTCAAACTGGTAGCAGAGCTGAGCCAGACACCAGAGGAGGAAGAGGTGGTTCCTCATGCTGTTCAGCTCATATCTCCGCCATTTCTGGGCAGGACGGTCCTCACAGCAGGACCTGCCAAGTTTGGCATGGACCTCACAAAGCAGGAGCACGGGGTGACTAAACTCAAAAAATAGAGTGTCACTGAGAACAAAGAGATAAAATAAAGATGACTTGTAACTACAGATGCTTTGTATGCTTGTAATAAACAGCTATTTCTTGTACTGTAGGTGAAGGGCAGCATATTGAAAGCCTCCCCATACACTGCTTGTGGACCAATAGAGAACGCAGAGGAGCTCAGAGGCCATATTGCTCTGGCACTGCGTGGTGACTGCATGTTTGCTGCAAAGGCTCGTCAGCTGCAGGAGGCAGGAGCCATAGGAGTCATATTTATAGGTGAGGATGATTACAAGAAAAACTGCGACTTATGTCATAATGTTGTCATGAGTATTTTCCCCTTTGTGGATAATATCCGGACAATCAGGCTCGTATATTTCTGGTATCTGCTGTTCACACATGAACCTCAAAGTGGGAGATTACACATGTCAGAAATGCTCTCACAACCCAAACTACTCATTAAGCTGAAACCACCTTTTCTCAACAGTCTGGTTTAATGCTCATTTCACTATCAAACACTGAAGATCAGACCTCCACCTATCTAAAGTTTTCGAATGACTCCCTTATTCTTTTTCTTAGACCACCGCGAGGGAAGTAACAGCGAGGAGACCCCCCTTTTCCAGATGGTTGGAGACGGTGACTCCACGGACGACATCACCCTCCCTTTGGTGTTCGTGTTCAGCTTTGAGGGTGCCGTGCTCACAGCGGCTCTGGAGGAGCATAAGAATGTGGATGTGCTGCTGCTGCCAAAAGAGAGGCAGCTGGGACAGGGTGAGGCAGAGGAGGACTACAGATTTAAGCTGATAATAGTCAAAGTTTTTGGTAGAGAGAGAGAGACCTAGAACTTCAGTACTCGAGCTTTTTTTAATGTATATTGGTATATCATTAAAGAAAAGGCTTGACATGCTTAAGTGCTTTTTAAATAGTTACTGTAAGTCAGTTTGAGTGTTTGATAACAAGGCCTCACTTTGCGTATCACCTGTTCTCCTCGTTGTCCAGATAAGACAGAAAAACCCATCGGCATGAACATCAAACTCCGCCTGGCAGAGGAAGGGGAGCTGGATGGAGCGGGCAGAGGGCCGACCCTGGAGTTCGTCTTGGAGAAAGAACATTTGCTCCTTAAAGAGGAAGAGGAGGAAGAGTTCGAGCATAGGGAACAGCAGCATTCACAGCCGCAGGGGTTTTGCACAAAGGCAGCAAAGGATGATAGAACTGAACCGAGTTTAACAGGTTCATCTGGAACAAGGAACTCAAACTGTGGACCAGACACAAACCCTTGACCACTGCTAATCCCATGTTTTCTACAGTGATCCCTCGCCAGCTTCTGATTGGCTTTGTGCGTCAGAGCCCCTCACTGCCCTAAATGGAGCCCTAACTGACCCAGCCTGCATGTTAGCGACCAATGAAGGAGCGGAGTGATGACAAAACTCACATCCTGTGAAACCTTTCTGTATTTATTAGACAGAGTTAAGTGAACGTGTGTCCCTCTGAATTTAGGGGCTCCTCTGAAACTGAAGTAGATCTTTAGAGGCTGTAAGCTGTAGGTTAAGATGGCTGAGCTTGTACTGATCCTGTTGTGTTGCTGTTGTAGGCACAGACAAGGTGCCCTTTGTGAGTGACAACGATGTAGACCACTGACTAGGATTTAAATTTACCTCAATCTTGAGGAAACTCAGATAAGGCAAAAAAACAAACTAAAATGCTCGTTTTTTTATGCAGTGCAGTTTGTCTTAGATTGCTCTTTTTCAGTGAAACAAACTATGATAAAATATTCAATTATGGTGGATTGAAGGTAGCCTGGCCAGTAGGTGGAGTTAGCTCCCAGAGTTACTCAGTAATGTGACATTTTAAGTTGAAGGAGGTGAATTGGGGCCAAATTAGAATTTCTTTTGTACAATTGCGCAACTTCAGGGAATTTAAAGAGTAAATGCGGTTTGCCAGGTTGACCTATTTGGTCAAACGTGTGTGTGGGTGTGTGTTCATTCTGCATTTCCTTTTTGCCACCATGTGTGAATGTTGAATTGTGTGTGTGTGAAGTAACTACAATAGTAAAGAAAGTATCTCAGCTTCAACATCATCACTTTTAGATGAAACTCCACTCTCTATGATTTTTGATCATAAAAGGAAATCAGAATAAAATGTCCGGGGGACAGACACAGTAAATCTTTTGGAAATCATTTTAGGTCATTTGAGCTGTTTTGAATTTTTCAGACTCATGAACACAAGATTCATTACTAACTTTTAATTAAACCATGTTAATTGCCTTCTAAAAATGACCAAAGACGGTTTTGTCGCATGTTACAGGGTGAGTTCTGGATGCTGCAGTCCCAGACTGTTGTGCACTTTGAAACACGGGTATGATTTTCTCTGGCAGATTCAAGCATTTCTAACCACGTCTCTTCTTCTTTTTTGTGTGTGCAATAAGTTATTTTGTTTGAAGTTATTCATCAAAATGACATTGAGTAAAGATGCAAATTTGAGTTCACCTTGGATTTTAGGAGAAAACTCTAAAGGCTTGTTGGATAAGTAGGATTTTTCCATCATCTCAAACCGGAATGGCTTGTAAAAGTACTACTAAAACTGCAGTAGAGGAGGATTTTTTTAACGCATTTTGGATCCAGGTCTTGGTGTTTTTCCTTCAAGACCTAAATTTTCCTGCCGTCAGCTCTCTTCATTTTTATACTGAACCTTAAAGTTGTCATCCTCATGTGTAAAACCTTTATGCAACAATTTAAAAACATAAAAAATCTCTTGAACCAGTGTCGTCATAATCACTCGACCTTTTCACGCTTAGTTTTGCTCCATGGTTTGTGTCTTGTGATGCATAAATGTCAGCTTATGTGTGGTTTAACAACACCAGGTTGTCGTTAATGTTTCTAGTGGACCTTCCTCTTGACACTGCTGAGATAATATCGAGTCTTAATCCAAAGTTACAGGTGATGTTTTGATTTAGCCCTAATGAGGCTTTGCCAACAGGTATACCTCAGGACTGTGCATGTTACTGTTAACATTAAGAAACTGATCATGAGAAAGTAGTAAAGGGTACTGTTTCTGTTATTTTAACGCTATTTAATATCATGTTCTGTTGTTTTCTCAAGTTTCTGTTGATCCAGTGAAGAAGTGCCAAAATAGATGCATGACATGGCTCCTGTTTCTGTGACACATCTCTCTGTATTTAGTTTGGGACTGTGAGCTGAGGCAGTCAGGTCAATAAATTTTAAATCACAATGTGATAGTTGTACCTCTTTTTTGTAGTTATTTATCAAACAGGTGATAATTTCTCTGCATTTTCTGTGTGTATTTCTTGTGTTCTGGACTCATTGCTATCCAACTGAAGCAGGACTAGCTGGAGTAGTTTTATTGTATTACTAACATTGTTACTGGTTGATATCTGAAATACTTATCTTAACCAAGATAACCAAACTTAGTGGTAAGTAAGTGCTGGTGTGTCAAGAGTACATTAGTTTCAGCATTGATGTTACATTCTTATTTCATTTTTTCAATCTTGGCACACAAAGTTGATTTTTTAACACTTTTTCCTCCTCTTGAAGTACTTGGAGTGTTAACTTGTGCATCGATTTCTCTGAAACCTCAGAATTATCCTTTCACTGCTAATGCACTATGCTTTCTCTCATTTTTCCCCTTATTTTTATCAGGGTGAGACGTGGCAGAAGCAGGCCTTGAAAACACAAAATGGTACTATAACAAGAACAATGACGTTATTCATGAAATTGTCAGTGTTGAACACAACCACACATTTGCAAATGACTCATACTTTCATATTTTGATAGTATAATTAAACTATCATGTAATCGCTCTCTGGTTGCCCCTGGTAGACCTCACCTGAGACCTTCAGATTCAATGGTAATGATCACGTTGTCGTCACAGACGCTCATGTTTAACATTAGAATGCGCATGTTGGCTAATGTAGGTGGTTTTCTGTCAAGTCATTTAATGCAGGATGTTGTTTGAAAATGCTTCTTTCAAGCAAATAGACCAGCCTGCCACCTGCAGCCAGTAAACACTGATGGACATAACAGGATGACTGGGCAACAATAGAAAGCATTTCGCATGCTATGTTTGTTTGATGTGCATCATTTCACTGCACCTGCTCCTCCTTTTTACCATTGCATCAGTATTGTTTGCTTTTTACCTCATTATGTGCTTTCTTTGTCAGGAAACAATTCAGATATGTGTATGGGCTCATGAAAAAACACGGAGCTCGAATTAAGTCCATTGATACACATGTTTAAAGTCGTCGATTAGATAATATTTTGCCTCTTTGTTAAACATATGCTCTAATCTACCACCACACACTGTACAGTGACCACTCACACATCCATTATCAGTTATTTAAACCAGGTTATCAACGTCATCACGTCTCACGTACTAAAATTCCTGGCCCGCCCTGTTTCTAATTGTTCAGTTAAACTGATGCCTTCAGGTGCTGTGGGAACAATTAAATTTCATTGAAAAATTCGTAATAAGCATTAAAAAAAATACATGTTCATGAAAAGAAAAAGATTATTGCAAGTTATTTAAGTTGACTAAGATTTATGGGTATAATTAGAATACGAAATTTAGAATAATTCAGTAACAAGTCTATTTGGAGTACCTGTTTTTTTTTCTTTGTTTGTTTGTTTGTTGTTGTTGTTGTTGTTTTTCTTTTTCTTTTTTTTGTTTGATATTTTTGGTTGCTTTATTTATCTCTGATACAAAAAAACAAACAAACAAACAGATTTTTAACTCATCAAACAGACTTTTAAACTAATATTTAAGGCTCAATTTTAACTTACTGGTCACCAAAACTATTATTTGATAGTTTGCTGATCATATTTGATTGGCCAGCCACCTTACCTTACCTGAACTAAAATCCATAGATCTGTTCTCTATTGCCAAGAGGAAGAAAAGAAATATCAAACCCTAAAATACAGTAGAGCTGAAGACCTCTGTTAAAGCTTCAGTAACATATGGCCCAACCACACTGGAGAGGTAATTTGTAGTTTAAAAAAAGGCCCAACCATGTTTTTATGTTTTTCAATGGGAAAGGTGAAATTTTTATATTTTGGATCTCTATAATTGATTCTATTATATTTTCCAGTATTTTGATCCCTAATTTTCATAAATTAAAGGATTAAAGACAAAAGGGAACAAAATTACCATTTAACAAGTCACAAATAAGCTTTCAAGAGTATATGAAAATTGACATTTTTTAATAGAATTATGTAAATATGGAAATTTTCAAGAAACTTTCATTCCCTGTGCTGCAACTTTATATTTTTACAATCCAAAATTCCAAACAAAAAAACTGCCAGTGATATGTCTGAGTTTCCCAAGAGTCCATGAAGGCATCACATCAAACACAAGCACTCACACGGGCGAACACACACACACCCCTCCTACCCCAGCTGAAGCTCCGCTATCTTTAGCACGGCCACGGATTATCACGGTGCAGTGTTGTCTGACTGCGTCCGGGTGCTCGGCTTAACGGCGTGTTGAGTTGGTTCTGAAGCTATCCTCGCCTTAAGAAAAAAACAAAAAAACAAAAAGAAAAACACAAAAAGAACTAAAGTGATGGGGGAATGACTACAACATCCGTCACCGTATGCGGTTCTCCGTCATTGAGAAGACCCCGAGGATGCTGCTACTCTCCTGCCCGCGGAACGGACGTCAGCGCCGGGCCTCGCTGCTGCTGCTCGCCGTGGTTGTGGTCTGTGCCGTTCCTGTCAGTACAAGCTTGCCAGGTAACTTGTAACATTTTGAGCTAAAACAAGAAAAGCTGTCTATCTAAGTTTGGCTTTGCTAATTCCTAAATATCCCAGGATTGTCTCAAAACTGATAGTGAATCTTCATTGATGACTTCGTGATAAATAACAAGGCAGGTGCTTACTTAATCCTGGGAGGACTTTTGAAGTGAAGTACACTTGTTTTATTCACTTTTTTATTGCTTTTAAAGGAGTTTTCTTCTTGGTTAAGTAATATGGGATGTCCCATGAGTTCAGACAGCCGTTTTGGACTGGTTAAACAAGTAGGTTAAACAAGAACATGAGGGAAAGACAGTGGTGGAAAAATACACATTTCCTTCCTTGTTAGATTTCTCAGGTTGTTCCTTTCCTTGTGTACTTTAACGATTTTATCATGAATGTAATCTGGCAAAAATGTAAAGTATTGATCAAAATTAAACGATAGATCCATGCTTCATTTGGTAATCATTGATTTTTTTTTTTTTTTTTTTTTTAGTGTTTAATCAAATGTTACCTAAATAATAACCAAACAAAATAATGATGAAGACAGAAAGAAATGTTTTAATCTTTAACATTTTCTAATATTAGTTAAATCACATCAGTCTATCACAGTCAGTGCTGCCCTGTGCGCCCTTTTATGCCTGTATGTATTAGTGTGTATGAATTCATGTTCCTGCTCAGTGATGATTCTGTCTGTGTGTTTGCGAGATAATCTCCCTCTCAGTTTTTTAAAACACAAACCCCTCTGGGAGAACCAACAGCTGGTCCGTCACATGTAATCTTTAGCCTTTATCTCAAGGACACACAAATGCAGACACTGCATTTACAGCGAGACACAGAAAATGTACTGCCTTTGCCAGGAGGCAGTCGTCTACACATCGGGGCATAGGTTTGAGTGACTTTTATAGTTAAAGAGGACATGAAACACTGACCCAAGTTATCATTATTTTTAAGAGTGCCTCTGGACTTCACAAATCACTGTTTTCATGACTCTGAAAACGTAATACAATTCTAGAAAACTGTGACAGAAGTTCCACTTTAGCAGGGGAAACGTAAAGCAGTGCCACTTCATGTGACGTGATCGGTTGTGTAGCCCGCGTATTGACAATTGAATGAGAGCAGATTAGGATAGCTGAAATGGCAAATCGAAGCCTAAAGACAAGTAAACTCACCAGAGGAGGGGTATTTTGAATATATGAACTTAGGCTGTGTCCGAAATAAATCACTCAATCCCTAACCCCTAACCCTCATATGGGGTTTTACAATATAGTTGACTCTGTAGTGAACTCAATTACTGGAGGTTTCGGACACTACATGGCAAGACGCAATGCATGACGGGATGCCCACCATCGGTGAGTGACCATGGGATGGTCACTACATTTTGCAGTGCTTTATGGGAAATTTTGAGTCGCCTATATAGGGCACTGGAATTGATCACTGAGGTTTCGGACACCCCTCAAAATGACGCTAACCCCCATATAGTCGCCTATATAGGGGTTAGAAAACCATTTCGGACACAGCCATAGCGTTTTATTTATGGAGAGCAAGAGGGTGAGACAGCTATTTCCTGTGACTTTCCTCTCGTCATCGTCTCACAAATCTGAGTTGTGCCTTTGTCAATTTTATCATTTCATCTCTGTTGCTTAAGTGTGGGGGAAAACATGGTTAGATTGAAGTTTCCGGGCATCACGATAGAATCATATTTTTTTCTTACATGGAAATGATGTTGACAAAGATTCTAGTGCATGTCTCAGAGGAAAATTCATTAGAGAATTGTGTCACTGGTGGTCAGAGGTGTTTGCTGGTGTAATAGGGGTGTTTGAAACCTGTGAATGACGCTTGTTGGTGACAGTTCCAGCATGTGGCCTGATTGTTTCAGTGTCTTCTGATGAAACATTAAGAGGAAATCAAATATGAAGTCTTGTGTTACAGCACATGCTGCACAACCTTGCTTGGACTAGAATAGCATATAACGCCGAGTATACTCGAGGCGTCTTGCATCCAAAAGCACAGTCAGTTTTTGCTGCAAGTCGGGTCTGCGTGAGATTTTGCTGGAGTGTGATAACAGCATGAAGTGCATAGTAATCAGGTGGTTGATTCAGCAAACAGCGACACATCATCGTGTGTAAATATGCCAGAAAGCTTTCACAGAACATTGCCTTCTTAAGGATGGAAGAAATCCAAAGTCTCCATAAACCCAATTGATTTCGTAAATTATGCGTAGTCTGCTGGCCAAGAAACAGAATTCATTAACTTAACAAGCTGCATTTGTTGCATAATTCAGGCTCAGTGGAGCAGTACCAACATAGTGTTTTTTTTTTCTTTTTCTGAAACATATTCTTATTTTTGATTCTCTTGCTGCTCTAATTTTAGCATTTCTCCGCCACTGAGATATCATCTTCTTTTATCAGTCTCCTAATTCAGCCCATTCATTGTTGCTCTGCCACGTTGAAATGCCAGGTTTGTCATTCACCAAACCCACGTTGACATGATGTGATTAATATTCAGAGAGCTGCTGCCTCCGGCCTTTTCTTCCACCAGGATTAAGCTTTAACGATTCAAATCTTTCCATGTCACACTCAGCCACTGGCCTCTGTGTTTTCAATCATGCTTTTTGCCCTGCAGGAAAATGTTATCTGTGTTTAGCGGGGAGCAAGAACAATAAAAACTCACACACACACAGCTGAAGGACATAAAGATCACTGAGGCGATGATCAGGTTCAGAAGTAATGATCTCTGGCTCCCCCTGTGACCGGACTTCAAGCCGACCTGCAAACTTTAATCCTGAGAGAGCAAGTTTCAGTTAAAAGGGCATTTTAGTTTTCCTTCTAGTTCAGGAAGATAAATGGCTTTCAAACTGAGAGCTTCCATCTTTCAGGGCCAGATTCATCACATCTTTCAAAAAGTGTCTTTAACAGACAGATTTGTGTTTTCTCATACCTTACTTTGACATATGCGAACTTTCAGGAATGTAATTAGAAGCGAACGAATGCTTCCTCTGGTTTTTAAATGCATCGATTTGCCAGCTTGTGTGGTCTTTGTGTGATGTGGCATTACTTGTGTTCATCTGTAAAAGGACAAAAAGCATTATAAACCAATTATACAGTACTGTTGGGGCTCTCACGGCATCATGACACAACAGCCAAGACTCACTGATTGTATTGATCCGCCTCATTGTGGTCCTGGCTTTCTCAGATTGGTGGTCTGACAAATGAGTGGTCAGCCGTGGCCTATTTGTGGTGGCTAAATCACTGCTCACTCTCTCTCTCTGTCTTTGCTGTGGATTTGCTTTGTATTCTGTGATTCTCAGTGGCACTGTGAGGCTTTTGGGACTGTACCTCGGTTTTTACGGGGCGGATGTCGTGATGAAACGGAGCATCAGAAAATAGAGAGTGACTATGTCAGCTTTGTGTGCAGCCACATCCTCACTAGAAACTTACTCGGTAACCTAATTCAAAAGGAAGCACCGAAATGTAGGTGTGTGCGTACTGAGAAAGCTATCTACACTCTGCTTCAAGGAAAGATGGGTCAGCAAGTTCTGTAGATTGCTTTAGCTTTGGGTTGTCTCTGGTAAATGTCCTGTGGCACTTGTTACCTTTACTTGATGGTAATACTCTCTGGGGCGGCTGCTGCTTTGTGTCGCCCTTTTATTGCCTTTTGTATCATATTTGATACTTTTGTGATGCTTCTATCAAATCAAAATTATCAACAAATTACTAAAAAAAACACTGTAATACAGTCCAATAAATGATCAAATGTAAATAAATATAAAAATAAAAATGTAATAAATATATTTTGTTAAATTTTAAGGACATTTTGAGTTTTTTGGTTTTCAGTAGTAAATGAAATAAACATTTCTGCTCCAAAAAATTAGAATTTTCTGGCCATAATTTGTGGTTTCAGGCATTAAAGGGACATCTTCATTGTGCTTTTGTTACTTAAGATGTATTCAAAAACGAATTGTGGTTAAACTTGGGAATTTTTCCACCTCTCAGAATACCTGCAGTGCGTGTTTTACAAATTTCGATTGTGTTATCCTCTGAAACGGTGAAAAACATACTCACCACCGAAGCTGTTTTTACTCTCTCCTCAGCTTGTTGCAGCTGTGCTTGTTTTTCTTCTCTGTGAATAACGGCAGATTGCAAATGAGTAAATGAAAGAAACATGTATCTGCTGTTTTTGTGGAGTACATTTGCATAATCAGAGTAATAAATAATAAAATACTCCAGTTTTCAGCTGATAGTCTGTCCAACCCTGGTAAAAATGTTTCATAGTGAGATGTTATTTTAAAGGTATTATTTGCCTAAGTAGTCCACTAGTTGATGCTGGGCTTTTGTATCATTCTTCAGATTTTATGATTGAACCAGCACAACCAAGAAGGAAGTAGAAAATAAACAGTAAATAAGGAGCGTCTTTTGCGTCAACGTTGTTTCCATCGTCTAAAAGCTCCTCAGTCTGTGTTCTGTTTGCTGCAGGGCGTCCAGCTCTGCTCCACTCTAATGGTAACGACAATGTAATTATGGCTTTGGCAGAACGTATTGCAACAGAAAGACAAATGACAGATACAGGGAGCGATAAGACGGATGACTGCCTCACCAGAAACACACAAAGACCTGCATTCCTCAGAGGATGAAATGTGTGACTTTTTAAAATTCACTTCCTTTTCACCTTTACTTTAACCTTTACACCACCTGTGTGTTTCCTGCCTCTGCGTTATGATGCGTGCAGCTGTGCATGTGCAAGTGTGCGTTTGCAAATGTCTCTTAAACAGGTGCTAAGCCGTGCCCCATTTTCCACCAAACCCTGCAGCAAAATCGAACATGTAGATGTCATTGCATGAGATAATGGTGGGAAACTTCCCACCTACATAACACCAGCAGACTGAAACTGATATTGCAGACAGTTTCCACGCATCCTGCCATCTGATTCTGTCTGAGGGTTTCTGACACAGCTTTCTCAGAACGCAGACGATCGAAAAATGATGTGGGGGATTTTTTTTTTTCAGTCAGAGCTGACGGAGCAATTTCGCAGCCCTAAAAGGAATCCTAGTTGAAAAGGGTTTTAGACTATGGCAGCTCAGCCCTAAGCCCCTCAAAATGTCCTATTTCCAATGATCCAGATCATTTGGCCCAACAAGAATCTACCCTTTCAGCGCCCAAATGGCTCTTCATTCACATACTAGAGCTGTTTGAACTGACATCACTTGATCCTAGGACTGGGCATTCTGGAAAAAAAAAAATTATCACGATATATTTTGTCATATCGTCCGATCTCGATCATTATCACGATTTTTTTTTTGTTTAAACTGCCAGTTTTAAAGCATCTGTGCTAAAAACTAAAGAAACTACAGATTAGTTCAACATTTTATTAACATGCAAAGTAAATTTAAAAGCAAATTGAATAAAATAAACAGAAAAATAAAAAATAAAAACATTTTAACTCAACAGAACAAAAAATGTTGATGAATATTAAATTATAAAGTGACCTAGTCAACAGTCCTGAGTGTTTTTGCAGGTATGCAAGACCCAAAATAAACAAATTGCCCCTTATAATGTGAACATTAAATGATATAAAAGTAGATGATATGATTGATTGCTGCTTTGGTCTGGTAGCTGCACCGCTAGTTGTGGCTAAACTGCTAATGCTACTTGTGCTGTCATCAGTGGCAGGATGTGCAGACTTCGCTCGCATTTCCGTGCTTTCCGCATAATCACTTTGGAAGTACTTCTTCAAATGATTAAACAGATATGTTCAGTTACTGGTTTTTGAGGGCACCCACTGCTGACACTTTGGAGATACCCGAACCACCGCCACAAAATCGTTGTTGAGTAACTTTTCTTCTCAACAATTACATCTTTGGAGGATGATTCAAAGTCACGGCTGACATCTATTTTGCTGCCTCAGCTTCGCGTTTAGCTCCACGTTCGGTCATTCTGTTTACTTCTTCAGCGACTAAGTTAGCAGGAAAAGCTTGACTCTGATTGGCTGTTGAGATGCACAATTTTTCGCTATGTTTGTCACAGCTGATCACTGTGATTGAACTGAAATTTATCACGATCGTGTAATCGCCCAGTCCTACTTGATCCTCTAGCTCAGTGTTTCTGTCTGCTGCCACAGTGCTGCAGTGAAATCAGAAACTGAAGTTAATGGAAATTTGATGGTTTCCTGGTTAAGGAACATTCTGGTTAAGTTATGAAAAAGTAACTCCGATAATGAACGCCTGGACTTCGCACCTCCCAGTAGGCAGAAAAACCTGTGACACTGATCAGTGTAAACATACTCATAGTCTAGACGTCATACTGCTGGTTCCCTCCCCTCGATTGATGCCAATGGAAACAGCTCATTAGACATCTGTTTGTTTTTGTCATTTGACAGAGACATGGTGGACAAACAGGCGTATGTTCACATGGTTACACAGAAACCCTAACACAAATACACGCACATTAATACATACTCTATCCCGCCGTGTGGTTCAGTATCAAGTGAAGAGCTTAAAGCAGAGCTCTCTAATGTTTCCACTTGATTTGGAGTGTTTGGCTTACTTCCTGTCTGTTATCTTGACACACACAATGGGAGCGTCTGACCCTCCCGGCCTACCCATTTCCTGCTTCCTTTGCTAAATTTCTCCACCACCAAATACACAGACGTGCACAGATTATCACAGATTGGTTGACACTTGTTGTATTGTATCTGTAGCACAGCTTGAAGGAGCACAAGTTAGCAGCGACACAATGAGTGTGCAGTGCAGGAATCTTTCCGGCAGATCTGCTGCTGCAGCACACAGCCTGGTAACAGCAGCAGCAGATGGTTAAAAAAGTCCCTTTTCACTCGTTCCAAGGACTTTTTTTATACCTGTGTTACATAATGTTTTCCACACCTCCAGTGTCCATGAAATGACCTGATATACTGCAGCACTAAGCTTATTCTTTATCAACCTCTTTGTTTGTAGTTTCCCTTCCTGCTGACTTGATTGAGCTCGGTAATTAGCAGCAGCAGCAGCAGCCCTGATCGTGTGGGAGGCATGTTGAGAGGCCAACTCCTACTTGACATTCACCTCTGTGGCTCCTTTGTTATGCTGGTAAATAGATTTGAGCTGCTTCATACGGTTATAATGATGAGCCTCTTTATTGGTTCAGTTGTAGTTTTATCATCTATAATCTCTAAATGTGAAAGCAGCATTTGTTTGATGTTAACGGCTGCAGCTTGTCTCTCATTTTCACACTTTCTTTGCTTTTTTCTCACCCTCATTTTCTTGTCGTCATCGCGCCTCACACAGTCTTTACCAAGCTCACGTACAGCAGGTTTGCGTCTGACTGTGGTTATGGATGTGCGTGTGTAAGGGGAATAATTATCTACTATCATGCGACTGTAATTTGTTCCACCATATGAACTTTCTATGTGATGATTAACTGGTAAGGAGCAGAGATGATACTTTTATAGTCCTGATTTGTGTACGTTTTAAGGTTATACAGTGCATTTGCCTTACTAAAGAAAGGATTGATCGGCTCTTCTTTTTTTGCCCCAGATATCAGTGATTAATTTGCTGTTGGATTTGCAGATTGTCAAGTAGGGGTGGGAGAGAAATCGATTCACATAAGTATCGCGATTTTTTGTTTCACAATTTTTAAATCGATTTTTATTTTCAAAAATCCTTTTTTTCTTCTTCAAATTAAGAATTAATCTTAAAAACTGACTTCCATATGATATGTCTTCTTTGGGCAAATATGGTTCCTGGAATAGTCAGTAGACAATTGTAATCATTCAACTGATGTTGAAAATGCAGACTAAAAATCGCAAAAATCAACAATATTGTGGAATCGCAATTTAAATTCTGTCTGTCCTCATCAGTGGCTATTGTGCTGATAGATAACACAAATAAAAGTTTGTTTTGAACGGATTCTGTGGAATGACTCACATTGATTGTAATGCTTGGGGATTTGATCCACTGGCCGTGCCGGAGCGGAGCCGTTCCGAATCCTGTGGGTTTTGCCCGTATTTCTGAACATCTTTGTGAAACTATAAGAGCACTTTTCAATGCAGCCAAAAACTGCAATGCGTGACTAATTTCTGCTTCTGTGCCACCAACTCTCTTTCAAAGACTGACCCTGACTGAGACACAGTTTCGTCTGGAGACAAAGGACTTATAAAAAGATGACTAACAGTATGACACATCTAATTGTAGCAATCAACACTTTTTGGGTGCAAATCTTCACTCAGTATCTGAATGAGAAAAACATGTTATTTGTGTTTTTCCACAGTGTTTTTGATTGTTAGAGGCCATGGTGCTTTCAGCTAAATGCTCATCTCAGCGTACTGACACACAGATTTAGCAGTATTTTGATTTACTAAATTGGGAATAAGGTATATGTTGGTTCAGTCTAGATAAACTGGCTGGTTTGATAAACTATACTCAATTTTGACAGTTTCCAGAGTCTTTTCTTACCTACAGCTGAACTGAGCGTCTTGAGAAATTAGAGTCAATAAGATGTTTTCATCAGACTTGAGCTCCACCATCATAGTTAGTTAGTTGGTTCTCATCTTGCCAATTTTTGTTGGAGTGCTCATTTTTCAGACAAGTTGAGGTTTGAGGGTTTAATATGGCTTCATTTAGATACGAGGATAGAACGGGATGTGTCATCCGTATTTACATGTACTATTGTTGAGCGTTTTTGGGCTTAGACTTGAAATTATTTTACAAATCAAAGCTGATCAGTGGTTAAATGAGTTGAAGTTTGTAAGCCATCACATATTATTCTACTGTTGGCTTTTGGAAAAAAATAGATAAAAAACAAGAGCTTGATGTACCTTTATTTTTTTTTCCCAAAATGGATCACTTTTTTGGGATAAATTGTTATTTTCAACATTGTAACCAGAATCACTCCTGATTTTATTAATCAGTGCATCCTTAGAAAGCAGTTTAAAGATCACTGAATCAAAAAGAGGATAAATTGGCTAACATTTGAGCAGTTTTCAAACAATAGCATCAAGAAATTGACCTTTTTCTTCACCATAAATGAAGGAGTATGATAGATAAGAGGACATGTTTTTCAAATTGGGATGGTAAGTTTAATAAATACAATCTGTTTTTAAAAAAGGCCAGTCTAAGCTCTGGAAAGTTCTGAACAATTTTGTGGCTAACAAAAACGAGAATAAGATTCAGCCGTAAAATAACTTTTCCACATTTTTGGGAGCAACTAAGACTCTGTCCTTTGGATTCTCCCAGCGATGTTGTGCAAGATGTGTTACCATACCATCAACCGTCATTTCTGCGGTAACTTCAAGGAAACAAACAAGTCAAATTTTTATGTGTGAGGGGCTTTTGCATGCTTAGTCTAGGGGCTTAGTCTAACAGCATGCACATGCTGCAGACACGTGCCGATTTTCAACTCCACCCCAGAGGAGCTCCTCCAGTCTATGAGCTCCTCACATTAAGTCACATATCTAATAAAACACTACAGGAACAGGTCCGTACTCCCGGTGGCCCCTCTTATTTCCTCTGAGGTTTTTGGGTTTATAACTGCATTCAATGAGGACACGTGAGAACATGGGTTAAGGGTTTGGTACCTGGAGGGAAATTGAAGGAGGCACAGGGCATGTAAAAATAGAAGACCATTGGGGGAGACAGAGACAATGATTAACTAGGTGAACGATCTTTAATCAGCAGTGAAGAGCTTGGCACAAAAGTACCTTCCAATGAAAGAGACGTGAAATAACTTGGCAATGTTGGCAACAGAAGACGGGGCCAACACAGAGAAGACAGACAAGACATGGGAACAGGAAAAACATACTGCAATGATATAAACTAAATAAACCATTTGTCTTCAGCCGCAGATGTAATAAATGCTCTTCATGTCAGATACAACAACAGACAAGGTTCTCAGATTACACCTGCGTCACTTGTCTGCACAGTCCCTGAGGCAGAAGCAGCCAGTGACACAAGGATATGAGAATACGTGGCTCTGCAGTCTTATGGTACAGCTGAGATGATGCATCTACACATAATGTATGTGTGTGGAAAAAGTATGAGAGTGTGTATACCTAATGTGTGTTTACACACTTTTAATGCTGTTGAAAGTTCAATATTTTCACCGGCATGTGTGTCCAGTTCTGTTTGTTTGAGATAACGCTGCAACAGGTGGTGGTTTATATAACATTTCCATCTTTTTACATCATTAGCTGGCTTATGCCAAGCATCACCAAGTAATGCCAGATTATAGTAGAAATACGGGAACAAGGAGATGTTGTCAAAAGAGGTTTTTTATAGTTAAGGAGACACACTGTTGATGCCTCTGTGAGACCTACTAGACCATTAGCTACAAAAGTGACTGTAGAGATATTCTTAATACCTGTTTCCACCACCACCTGGATGGATTGACAGTCTGATTTCTTAAATACATCTAAATAGGGGTGTCCTGATACGATATCGGTCTGATATCAGCAAGAATTCAAATATTGGATTATATCAGCCTGCATCTAAAATCTCCAATATCAGAACTCCGATACAGACAGTCCATTCCAGACCCTGCTCCGGCACCTCTATCTAGCAGCACACGGATCCAGCATGTAGAGCCCATGTAATCACAACAACAGTGAGTACTAAGGTGCAAACAAAGAACCAAGGAGTAGGAGTGATGTCAGCCCTGTGGCAGTATTTTTTATTTAAGTCCGAAAAGACGTTCCAGCTGAGTGCAAAACTTGCCATACACAAGTTTGTGCTAATATCAGATCAATATCAGTATCTGCCAATATTGACGGCTACAATATCTGTATCCTATCAGAGGTAAAAAAATTGTATCTGGACACCCCTACATATAAACATATTAGTCCGACTGATATTACACTGACTTCTCATACTGTTGTTAAGAAAACCGATTTATCGCCTAAATCTGGCTTCTCAGAGCTTGACCAACACACCTAGATAATGCAGTAGGGGATTGATTTTCTCCGTTGTGCATTATGGCTCAATCAAACAGAAACTGGCCTCAGCGTTCTGCACATGCTCCGTGTTGACACGCCCAGCTTTGAGTTGAGCGACATGGATGTGTCACTAGGAAGCCGGGAAGCAAACAAAACCTCAACAGGTAAAGACAGGACATAAAATAGTTTGGATTACATACTATGCATTGTACTGTAGATACACTCTACTGATGGAGGGGTTGCAATGAGTGCTTCATAAGTGTACACATTAAGTAAAAACCCTCTTCTTCTACCTGCACTTAATCTCTGCAGCACTTCTCTGCACCCTCAACGTCACATCTTTTCTACAGGCCCTGTTGCCATGGAGGTTATTGAAATTAGCAGTCCTCTGTCTTGAACGGTCCTCCCTTTTAAAAAAGTTAGGCTAAGTAGGAAGAAATAGCTGCACTCTGCAAGAAGATTTGCTTATGACTAGGGTGAGTTCTGATCTATTAATGCCACGTCACTCAGTCAGTGGAGGGAAGTACAGTGGATGTGGTGTAAAAACTCTGATAAAAGTGGGAGTGTAAACAACCCGGCACCTTTAGATTCACACAGCCCTCACCTTTGAGACCCAGTTATCCTCAACAGTTCTGGGTTTATCCACCTTATTTCACCTCCTGTCTGTTATGCAGGATTTTCTCTCACTGTGCGGTTCACCTTTAGCCGGCCCCACCGTGCAGCTCTGCTGGCGCTCATTATCTGCTCTGATGGAGTCCCTGCGCTCCACCTGCCCTCGGCTACCCAACACACCTGCTGTGATTGTGTGACCCACTTCTTTGTCTGTGTGTGTGTGTGTGTGTGTGTGTGTGTGTGAGTGTCTCAAGCTGTGCATGTGTGTTTGTGTCTGTGCGTATAGCTTAATTCAGTGTTTGGACTCAGTTGTGTCAAAGTAGCGTAATCAGGTCAGCTGATTATCTAACCAGTCGATCTGTGAGAGAGCAGCTGCTGGTCACTGTCTTCGCATTCATCCTGTTCCTGACTGACTCATGCGTCAATTAGGTGGAGCTCATTATGTTATGCAGAGCAGAAAATAACTCGGAATATCTCGGCTTTGCTTCAGACATTGTAAAGCATAAGTTTAACCACAATCAGTACAGAAGGTGTCACACCAAAGTTGAAATCTTTTTATTTGAACTAGGTTAAGCTGTGATGCAATTCTGACATCAGCAGACGCTTCGTTACAGGTCATCGTTTAAGTGCGCTGAAGAGCTGAGACCTCCACAATAAAAGAAATGTGGTTTGAGAAGCTGAAACACCTCTTACTATGACTGTTCCTGTTTAACTTTATAATCAAAAAGTGTTATTAACAATTTTCACATGTTAGCTGTTGAATTTAAACAACATGCTCAGAGGGGGAAGTTCAGAAACGTTTGTAGCGTTGGTATGTACTGTTGCCTTTCATGCACTGGTCTCTTATGTTGACAATCATCCAGCTCAGCACTAACTTTTTTTATTTGCTATTAACACAGCTTTCCTCTTGTTTTACCTCCTCAAAACTGAAAGAATATATTGTTAGAAGGGGTGGGAATCACTAGTGGCCCCACGATACGGTATTATCACATTACATGGGCCACGATACGATATTATCACAATACGATATTATCACGATACTTGGGCCACGATATGATATTATCACGATCGATACGGTATTATCACGATACGATGTTATCATGATACGATGTTATCATGATACGATATTATCACAATACTTGGGCCAAGATACAATATTATCACGACATGATATTATCATGATTTTTAACATTTTGCAATACAGTGAGTATTGCGAAATTTATACAATTTTGATTTATACAATTTTTTCAACTGTTAAGCTAATTTAGCATTTGTCTTTCCTTTATATTTGTATTATTTACACAGTATTTTATTGTCATGTAGCACATCTTGCAAACCCTCTATATATTTGTTGTACTAACTTTCTCCTGCTCTTTGACGTCACCTCTGCCAACTTCACTGGACAAACAGTTGATTTTACTTTTCCATTATCATAGATTTAACCTCATATTAGCAATTAATTTGAAAAATTGATACTTGGTTGTTATATCACTAGACAAAATATCACAATACTATGCTGTCACGATTTTTTCTCTAACCCCTAATTGTTAGCATCTTTCTTAAGAATATTTGTGTCAGGAAATGGCTAACTGCTATTATGAGCTGATGTGCATTGGCAGTAAGTGGACTCTCAAATGTTATTATGAACTTCAAATACGGTCAGATGCCTCACCCAGAGTTTCACGAGCAGTTTCTCTTTCAGACTATAATCAGTGAGAAAACTGTAGTGTGATATAAAGTGTCAGATTCCCTGGTTTCATACAAATCACTGCTTAAAGACATATGACCTTGTCATATTTTTGTTTTATTTATACAAATATCTATATTTTTTAATGTTCTCTATTGCTCTTATCTTGCAGTTTTATGTTGCTGCTCTTACTCTGTAAAGTGTCCTTGAGTGTTCAGAAAGGCGCTTTTAAATAAAATGTGTTATTATTATTATTATTATTATTATTATTATTATTATTATTACTAGTCTGTAGCTTTATGGCATTGTAATGTATAAGCTTCTCACGTCGACTATAGTGACAAAAAAATGGCTGAATTATGTGTCGAGACACTAACGCTGTTTTCTCTCTATTTCTCTTTCTCTCCCTTCCAGCTCACAAAAGGTGCCCGTCTCCCATAGACTGTGCGGAAGAGGGTCGTGAACGCTGCAAGCTGGGCTCCAACCGCTGTGGCCCCTGCTTCGACCCACTGGTGGAAAATGAGGATGGAATGTGCGTGGCGAGGAGGAAGCACCATCAGTATGGTATGATCTGAAACATAACATGGAACAACATAACAAATATATTCCTGGAGTACGGCATCAGGTTCAGTGAAGGCCTAAAAGACTTCAACGATAGTAACCGATGTTTCTCATCAGAATCAAAAGTAAGGAAGGGAATAAGAGCAACTGTAACTGGCTGTATGCATGGTCGGCACATGAGCACTAACCTGAAGATTAATTTGGGTTTCTGGTCAAGATGGTGGAACTAATAGTGACCAAAGATTTTTAAAAATAGGATCAAACGTTAGCGGAAACATGGCAATCGCAAAAAACTATCAGCCAAATAGTTATTTTTCAAAAGATTTTGTCAATCACTGCATCCCTTTCAAAGCATATACTAAAAGGTTTGAAGCAGGAGCTGCGTACAGACAACTGAAAAGTTTGGCATTTTTAGAAAAGTCAGTAAATAAAAGAATATATTGACAAACATATTGATTATCATTTTCGCTGCACTAACTCACATATAAAATGAACAAAGAGCTAGGTTTTGCGTTTTCTAATCCCAGCCTCAGTTCCTGTTAGATAACCTGCTTAAGTTTTAAATGAGATGCATCGAGTGCCTTCCTCCAGCTGTAATCAAATTATCAGTGTTCTTGTACATGCACTGACTGACTCACTGTCACTTGTTCCCTTTGTTGTCTTTAACACCCGTGCTTCACATTCATTCTCTGTCACTGCTTGTTTTCTTTCGAGTTGATCTGCGTATCCTGTGTCCTACATCTCTCTTCCACTCCCCCTCTTTCTTTCTTATTGCCTATTGATTCTGCGGGCTCCTTCTCCTCCCCTGTCGGTCTCAGTTTGATCTCTTTATTTCTTTACCCCTCTATCTGTTGCCTTGACTTCAATTTGCTCTTTTCCCGTTCAGACCTCTCCTCTCTTTATTCCTGCCGTGGTCCTGGCTGTCCCTTCCTCTCACATGCCTGTCTCTGACCACTCTACTGCAGTTTGATCCTCTGTGTTTTTTTAATCCAGCCTTGCCCCTGCTAGGTCTGCAGCACACACACACACACACACACACTTCCATGCACACAAACACAGCCCTGCACACTGACAGATTTAATCACTTAGATGACATGCATCTCCCTCTCAACCCCCTCTCTCTCCCTCCCACTCCTGCCCTTCATCCTCATCTCTGACTCTAATGTCATTCGATGAAAAGAGCCGAGCAGCAAAAATAAATCTTATTTTTCTGATTTCCATGGCATGACATCAAGCCGCTGGCACGCAAACAATATTTCAAGACAGGGCTGCAGAAATTAGAAAGAGAAATGAAAATATCTGGAGTGCACTGGCTTGCTTCTGCACGTGTGTATGTGTGTGTGTTTTGTGTCTGTAAGTAGGCACGTGTTTGTGTGTCCCCTGCAGGATTAATAATTTAGATGGGTCTGCAGCTGGAGAGGAAGGATATAGCACAAACTTGGCTCGAATTATTGGCGGCAGCATCAGAGAGAGGCAAACACGAGAAGGAGATGAGTGCGGATTTATTAAAGATAGAGGTCAGGGGAAAGGGTTTTTCTGTGCGGTGCATACACATGTTGTTAAGGCGTGTGCTGTGAATCCAGGAGATCACTATAGCTTTGGATAAGCTCTCTAAATGGTTACATAAACCCCCCAAAAGACCACAGATCCCAGTGATGATCTGCATTGAAAAACAACTCTTCTTGCTGTCACATGCACACGTGCAAACCAAAAGCAACATGACATGCCAAATAAGCATAAAAATGGCTGCAGTTCCCGCCTCCTTTATTTACCTTATTTGTTGTGTTTGATTTGGCGGGGACAGCGTACATCCCTCAGTGCTTTAAAACACAACAAAGTGCATCAACTGCATCGTTTGTTTTGGAGCATGACTGACTGAAACCACCTCCCTCCATCATGTCAGTGAGGATAAAGCTGCTGTTTTAGGACTTAATGACCTGATTTTGTTATATTTATGTGTGCTAAAAAAAGCATGGACAAATCAAATGTCATTCAGTCTGTTTCTTTTTATCTGCCCCGCGCTCACAGTTATACAGAAGCTCCTAACTAACTCTTGGTTTGTCAGCAAGGACATCAGGAAAAAGTGCCTTTTTGTTCTTTTAATATAATTTCTACCTTCAGTCTTATGAAACCACATCCCATCATCAGCGGGCTGACTCACTGGCACAGCAGTATGCTCTGATTTTTATCTTTTCAGCTGTTTCACAGACAGAAGGGAGGTGATAAGATAAAGCGTCTCTCTCTTGCGGTTACAGATAATAAGATGCTGAGATTTTAGGTACGAGTCTGTGACTTTTCAATCATTTCTGTCTTATAAATCCATCGAATGAGAGTCAAAAAGTTGTTTGACATTAAGTTAGAGTGTAAAACAGGTCTTAACTCTGCAAAGGGCGAGCTTTTTTTCTCTCTGATTGTCATTACTTGTATCTGTGGTTAGATTATCTCACAATGCCAGACCCCACTGCACTTATAGTGATATAATACAAGCCTGTTCCCTTCTCTCACGTCCTCTTTTTCATATCCTGCGCTCAAACATAATAAATCAAATCCCCTCCATTGTATTTTTTTTCTACAGCACTCGCATATGTTTGTTTATCACGTCCAGTTACTGTCAAAATGAACATGAGGTGATTTTGCCGTTAAAATCTGTGGAAATCTCTGCTCTGAGTCTGTCAGGTATTTCTCATTCAGAGAGAATCAAAGTGCACAGTAGGTAAAAGAAGTAGAAAAGAAGAAGTAGGACCTGTTTGTGTTTGACATGTAGGTGTGCACTACCATCGGTAAACATACAGTGCACCTCCGAGTCATTGCTTTGTTCCGAGGCCACACAAACAGACAGTGTGTGTTCTCAATATGCAGTTTAATTGTATGTGCTAAAGGCAGGGCTGTCTCCATGAAGCCGGCGTTTTATAGATTGCCCTTCACTTCACTATCTTCATGTCGCTCTTTTTCTCAGACATATGGACTCGGTTAGTTCCCTCTTTTTCTCTATGTGTTTACCTTTCACATGATGTAACAGACCTGTTCCTAGCAGCTGTCTGAATGTTTCTGCAATAAACAAGGGAAAGAAAATGTCCCGTCCCAGTTCAGACCAATAATTAGACCAATAAACAGGGTTGTTATGCAAGTATAGAAAGTATGGAAGTAATGTGATCAATTTACAGGTCTTAAAAAAGTATGGTAAAAGAAAAATGAAGTATGGAAAAATATTTATGTTAACAGACTATATTACCACAGTTATAGAATAGTGTTTTCTAAAATAGAAAAGTAGGTGTTTCCAATAATAACTCCAAAAAGTAGGGTATGGAAAAGTATGGATATTCCAATTGTGTTGGAACCCTGAATAAGGAGCACGGCTTTCTAACAACGTTGTTTAATGCACTTTCACAATGGAATTCACCATTTAGGATTCATTTTTAGGCTTTGATTTTTAAAAGTCACCTATAAAAAGTATAAAACTTATTTGAGCTACAGTTATAAGTTAGTGTCTAACTTTTTGGGGGAGTGTCATGTCATCATTCAGCATCAAATCTGTGAAAATAAAAGGAAAATCGGGGGAAACTTGGGTTTATTTGTGACTGAAAGCTGTCGTTTTACTTCAGTAGTTTTGTCTGTTTTGATAGGGTACTTTTCATAGCGCTTTTTAACCATAAGAGAAGCACAGTTAATTGGTGAAAAAGTGTCAATCTACTGCTCCAAGAGTTTATGTTGCTTTATTATAAGTGGACTAAGTTCTGATCAGACAAAAGTTTGAAAAAGAGTTCATCTGGGGTTAATGGCGGAGTTAACTTTGCTCTATTTCTCTGTGTTTTTGTCGTTGAAAACAGGATAAGAAGGGAAACTTTTAATGGAAGGTAAATAGTGTCCTGTATTGACTCAAAGCTCTGCAGTCAGCTGTGACTAAGTTTTTATAACAGGTTGGAGGATGACTCAGTGCTATGATTACCAAAGAGACACAACATCACCTACTTTAGTTTTCATCGTCAGAAATTCTTTATTCTAAAAAGAGACAAAATAATGAGGTAAAAAGAGGTTTCTGTCGAAACTGGGAATTAGTTTATTCAGTCCTGCAGTCTTTTTGTCCGACTCCAGACTCCTCTCAAAGGGGCACATTTTAGATTTCCCACCAGAGGGCAGCAGGACACACTCAGGCTCTTTCTCAAAACAGACCTCCTTCACTGGAGCGCACTTCATTTAAAGCTGAAAGGAAGGAGCCCCACAGATAGAGCTGCAAGATTTAAGACCAGTCCCATTCACTGATATGGGATGGGAACTTTATGTAACCATGGTTACATGTCAAACAAATTATTAGCAGGTTACATAAAACTTAAAGTGGTGGGCCCTTCGCATCAATACATGAATGGAGGGAAAGTGTGTAAGCTGGGGGCATATTGGAAAGATTCTGGTTATCAATCGATTATATCTGTATAGGAGAGAATCTGGGTCATCCTTATGTCTGTAAAAAGTTTCGAGTGTAGCAACAAGGTTATAAAGTTGTCTGTGTGGTTTGGGGGCAGGCAGGAAGGGTGTGAGTGTGTGTGTATGCAGGGAAATGTGAATGGTTTTTAAGTGGGAAAAGAGGACAGCACAGATGTGTGTGACCCTCAATCCCTGTTGAGCTGTTTACTGTTTGTTTGTTGTACCCAACAGCCCCCTGGGTGCCTCTCAAGAGGTTATGGGTCATTATCAAGTCGGTGACAAAACTCTCCTATACAGGGAGGTGTGTGCATGCTTAGTGAGTGTGTGACAAACCACACACATGCACACAATCGCTTTTTTTTTAAGGGGAAATAACAACTTTAGCTCTGGTAGGCGCCTGAGGATTTCTCTATCAATGATTATATTTTGAACCCTTATTCTGCGCTCGTCTTTGTTGGATCCTCCTCTTAAATTCAAACCTGTGTCACGACATGCACCCGGAGAGAGCCCACTGACACAGTTGGAGCTCGCAGCCACCTGCAAAGTACAGATGGTGCGTCCCGCCTCCGCAGACACCTGCTATGGAGTGCACTAAATGGCCATCACTAGAGGGGGGGGGGAGAAAAAAAACAAAGCAGGCAGTGAAAGTGCTGGCATGTCATATCAGACAGATTAGCTCAGCCAGATGGCTAACCTTCTGGGGTGACAGTGACGGTGTAATCATTAATGCTGAATAGGTGGGTGTTCCGTGTTGAAAACATGTTTTTGATTTACTGGCGCTCGGATATCATCACACTTACTGGCTCATTAATAAAAATTACAGCTCACTAACAGACTCTAAATACCCAATTTTTGTTCCCAATTTCTTGTCTTATAACTTTCTCTTTTACCGGTGATGATAACAAGCAGCTACCACTACTTGATCAATTGCAGGGTAACTTTATGAAGGGTAAACAGCACTTTGATCACCTCCATTAGCACTAAGCTAAGGGATCTATTGTGAAACCAGAGCCCAGTGAGACTGAGGTTGTGCTGATTGCTCCTGTCCCCCCCCTGCGGTGCTTCCTCCCTGGCCACACACACATACCGCCCCTGGTCACCCTGGAGACCTCAGCAGGAATGTAGCTCCCTGTCTGGCTATAAGGGACGTTAACGACAGTTTAGTGTTGTCTCCCTGTTTTTTATCAGCCCACAAACGAACAACTCACATGGACACAGTCCCTGTCCATCACCCTGAAAAACACGTTGAGGCTCTGCACAGCATACTTGTGTCTTCTTGTGCTTACTACATCCTCACTTTATGCAAATAGTTTCACATTTTGCACTAACATGAAAGTGGACAAAACAAAAGGCTGCCATTTGGCTCATGGAAGAGAAACAGGGGCAACTTAGATTAATAAGTTTATTTATTGGATACTAACAGGTGATAGATCTTGTAGAGAGTCACCACATTGTGAAGATGTCTTGATATGATGCCTTTTCCCTTTATATATTGAAGATAATAATTAAGACATCCCAAGTTAGTTAGAAAATGTTTATTTATACAAAAGTCATCATAGGATCATTCATAAAGTAAATCTTTCAATAGCAGATTCAGATATTATTCATTTCCTGTTCATTTCCAGATATCATTTCCTTTCTTTCTAGTCTGTCTTAAGGTGCTAATTTGAAATTAAATGTCTGTAAAAGTTGGTGTAATAACTACTGAAACATTGTTCTTTTTTGTGCTTTAGGAAAAGCTTCATTCCACCCTGTTCTGGATGAAGAGATCGATTATCTTCAGGGCATCATTGAGAAACAGGTAGTCTCGGAGAATAAACCCCAAAAACAGCGAAAAAATCCTGGTAAGAACTCGAGAGAGCAGAATTTCTCATATGCAGCATTTTGTTTTCTTAAATCCTGCCCCTGATAATCTCTATCTGACATTTGATTTTGAATTAGTGTTTTTTTTTTGTGTGTGTGTGTCCTTCTCCAGCTGCTGCAGCCTCCCAGTCGGACGCTAAAAACAGCAATACAGATGTCTCCAGAGGGAAACAGAAAAACCAGGATCCAGTCTCAAATAAAACCGTCCCCTTGGTTGGTGCCGCCCCACCTGCACTTACTACGGCTGAAAAACCGACCCCCTTGCCGGGGGCCACTCAAGGTGATGACCGAGGTGGTCCTGTAGTCGTTCAATCATCAAAACACGACGGCTTTTTATTAAGTAAGTGTGACGACATCAGCTTTACTGCAGATGATCATAGTATCTCAAATATTACATCATTTTCTCTTCTGCACGCTGTATTAATCTCTGTAGCTCATATTTTTCATTCACCTGCAGTCCTGATCTCGCTGTTTGTGGCGGTGGGCGCCATAGGACTGGTCATGGCAACCGTCTGTTTAGTCAAGTAAGTGTGGGGACATCAGTCTTCAGGAATCATAGAAGAGCATTTGAGAAATTCTCCTATCACTTTTGAGTTCTTAATTATGAGTTTTATTAGTTTCATTAGTTTTCCCCAAATAACCTAAATTTATTTTCTTACTAATGCTTTATGTGCATGTGTGAAATTAACAAGACTATACATGATTTTTTCATCCAAAAAAAAGTCTTTCTATTTATTCCTGCCTTTGATTTTTTTATAGCGTGTAATAGAGGATATATTCTGTTTGACACTGTTTGCCAAATGCTCACGAACATTTATTCAGTTTATGCTGGTAGTTTCACCCTCAACCTTGGTGTGAAATCTAAAAACTAGAGGTTAAATATAAAAAATTAAATATCAAATTAAACAATTAAACAAATTAATACATCCCTGTGATCATTGCTAGTTGAAAACTTAAGCTTTTTGAGCAACAATGATTAGTTTGAATTGTTCAGTCTTTTTAAACTAAACTGATCATTTTTACAAATAGGCAATAAACAGTAGAGTTGTTATTATTCTATTTGTCTTGAGTTGCTGAAATGTTCATTATAAGTGTCATTATATTCCAGTAATGTGTTTTTTTTTGGTTGCAACAATGCTGTAAAGTATTCTGAGAAGTGCTACACTGAGGGTGATACTTTGTGTGTAACATAAGCACCCTCTGCTGGGCAGAGTTGAGGGCTGCACCCTGTGTTGTGATGATTTGCAGTCAGCTCCACTGAAATATCTTGAATACAGTCAGTTTTTGTCGGTGAAAGAGTGACAACAACAGCAAGTCACAGTCCCTGAGGGTTCAGTACTGAGGATTTAGGGTGAACATTAGGTTTAGGTAAAAGACCTTCTTCAGTTTTGCTGCAGGGCTGCAGGATATTTTCATGCTTGAGGCAGGAAACTGTCGTTAGTAGTCCAGAAGTCTAATAAAACCAACAATGCCCCCTACAGGTTAAAGAAAGAATCTCGCATGGCTCAGAAAGTCGACTACCCAGCCTTCAAAGGGTCGGGCCCTCCTGCTACCGCAGCCAATGGTTCCTCGGTATGAGAGAAGCTCATCTTTCACCCAAATGCAAATGTCACAGCTTCCTTTGTTTCCATTTTGTCACTTCTTCCTCTGCATAAACCACAAGTTTCTGTTTCACACTTACTTCCTGCTTCTGCTCTGTCCTCAGATGGGAGATAAGACTCTGGCCCAGAGCGCTCAAATGTATCACTACCAGCATCAAAAACAGCAGATGCTCTCAGTTGGAAAGTAAGTCTCTTAGCTACTCCTTTATTCACCCTTTCCCCTTCCTCACATGTCATCAAGAACATTAAAAAAAGATCCTGGGACACTTATTGTCACCTCTTCTTCTTCTGTTTCTGCTACAGTCAAAAACCTGAACAGAAAACCACTGACACAGAGATCACCTCAGATGAGGAAGAAGTGGGAGGAGACTTTACAGTATATGAGTGCCCCGGACTCGCACCGGTGTGTAGAAATACACTCACAATGACACAACCTCTAACCCAAAGACAAATCAATTCCTGTTTTTTTTTTTTTGTTTGTTTGTTTTCCACTGAGGATGATTTTTATCTCTTACAGACGGGGGAGATGGAAGTGAAGAACCCTCTGTTTGATGACTCCACGCTACAGTACCAGGGAAATCCAAAGTGAATGATAGACACTTTACAACACACACACTCACATACATACATACATAGACACACACTCATGCCATTCCTCTTGAAGAAACCACTTGATCTTACACTGCATGCATTGAATTGAAAGTTCTGGCAGAGAAAAAGGTGAAAAAATGAGTCTTTTCTTCTCTTTTACTCTCCACCCTAATTACCGCTTTTAAAACCACAAATCTATGTTTGATTCCTGATTGATTTATTTCTGATTGATTTGAAGATTTCTTTCTTTTTTTAATGTACAGTCCCTGTAGCGGTTTCATCCTGTCAACTCTTTTTACCTTTGTGTTTGTCGTTTTTCTTTTCTTTCTGCAGCTATTTCTAAAGAATGTGATCGCAGACATGTACAACACACTCTCCCACACACACACACACACACACACACTTACACACATCCATACAAATGCTGAAAACAGGTGCCCTCCCATGTTTTTGTCATGCATAGCTTGTGGCTAAACCACATTCCCCACAGAGTCCCAGGAAATATCTGTAATCAGATGGAGGTGATTCCCAAACCTGGTGCGAGGTTTGACATTAAAAATGTAAGCGCTGGTGTTGCTTATTTTTATTCTTTATCCTATAAGCTGCTTGTAAAGATTTTAAGATTATAGATTATGGATATATATATATATATATGAAAATGAAATACTTGATGATGTCTGTTGCATGGTTTGACTATACCGTGTTTAAATCATGGCGATGATTTTTTTGCCTCTTGTATGGAGGACTGATTATTGAATGAAATATTTAGAAGAAAAGCGAAAATCCTGCTGTGTAGATGGTAAACTTCACAAACCCACTCTGTTCTCCGAGCTCATATCACTCTCAAGTCAACCCTGTACTGCTATATGTACATACAAAGAGTGAGGTGTTCACTTTTTATAGATATTTGTACATGCAGACCAAGGTGTGGAATTAAACTTTTTACCACATGTGAAAAATGACTTTGTTAAGGGTTTGTTTGTTTTTGTGTTTGTTTTATGGCCAACATCATGTTCACCCAATGGTACGCCCCATGTATGTGTCTTTATTTTGGGCATTTAGTTACTCTATTGACTTACTATATTTTATCCTACCAGCAAAATATACTAACAATCTGACGAGTGAGAACATCTCTTTTACTTAGCTTTGAGTGATTGAACATCGCTATTGAGTTTCTGCATGATTCTTCCCCCACTTAGCACAGTTTCTCTGCTGGTGACTGGTTAGTCATCAACCATGAATCTTAAGTCTTGTGGATGGACAGTCACAGAGGTAAAATCATCTTAAAAAAACTGCGACAGACTGGATGTGCTGGTTTTTCTCTCAACTATTAATTCATTTAAATAAATTACAGTGATATTTTGACAAGTCTAAGACTGTTTCTATCAAATTTAGGTTTTAAGTTGCATTTTTTCAAATACATTTTGATCTATTCATGAAGCACAAAGTGACTCGTACTGTGCTGCTGCTGCTCTTCTTGAATCTCTTCACTATATTTGCTGATCCAGTTCGACCCTGTTTAACCTTGGGACACAAATGACGACACCCTGAAACTGCGTGCCTGTGTGTGTTGAGAGTAACGGCGTGGAGCCCCTGCAAAGCTGTATGTACCTCAGTGTGGGGTTTTTGTGTGTATGTGATCCTATGAGTTGTGCTGGCTCAGTCTCCATTCCCCCCCCCATTCAGCCACATGCTCAGGGCCATTAAAGGCCCTTTGTGCTGGCGGACGGTGGAAGGAAGGCAGCCATTGGCCCTGGAATGAAAACCTGGGTGGGTGAAGGGTGTGTGAAGGTGGGTATCAAAGGCAGGGTCGTTAGAGAGAAAATCAAAAAGCCATCAGACTTGTTTGAGGGAGACGATTGTGCTGCTCAACAGGAGGGGTGGATCCCTAAATTCCAACAGTAGAAGTTTGTCAAATCACTACTTGTGAAATAGCGGCATAGGTTTACGTCCACCTAATATAAAGTTAATTCATCACAATTTTCACACTATATTTGCTTTTCACAGACATCATCACATCCAAATATCTTGCATTGTAAACATCAAAATCCTTATACAACCGCAGTTTAATAAGATCTGATTTCTCTAACTTGGAAAAGCCTCATCTGAGCAGAGAATCAAGGGGCTCTCTCTCATGACTGGTCTTTATATTTCACAACATGAGTTCTTTTTAACCCCTGAGGTGGTAGATATGTTAGCTCTTAAGCTGCTAAATGAAACTGAGACATTTTGGTGAGTGTTGTGAAAAGCTTGGCCCATACTCACACATCCTCAAATAGATGGTGTTATAGACAGCAACATTTCTGTAACTTGTATGGAAACGCACGCCTGGTGCCTGTTTTCTCTCATTGTGCACAAATGAGGAAATCATGTTGGTAAAAAAATAGAATCAAATCAAAATCAGGTATGGCTACATGATTTTTATTTGCCACTGAAGCATCATGTGGCTTTCTCTCTCGGTTCGGAGTTTCATTTTTACAGTATGAATCTTTTAATCCGGTAAGGCTGAGGTGCATGTTTCACATTGCACTGCTGCTGCTCAACAGACCTTCTTTCATCTCGAACTTTCTCCTCTCTTGGTTTGACTACAGCGAGCAGGTTTCTGAAGTGTTCCTGAAAGTGGCCTCTTGCAGAGAACTAAAGACAAGATCTGAGACATCTGGAGGGGGTTTCACCAAATCCGCAGATACTCCCCTCACACACCTCCTTCTCACTGTACCCAGCCATTCAGGGTTACTATACATCCCCCACCCCCCTCCTACTCCTTTGGACACCCTGAGTGCTCTGCTGTCCCCTTTCTCTCTGCTTCAAGTTTACTCTCCCTCTCTGTCTGCGTTTTGCATGACAATCAACCTCCCAAGTCCATGGCCCAGGACAGTGGTGCTGTGGTTGGGGTTTGATGTCTTTTGAGCTATTGACCAAGCTCTTGTAGTCTCCCCCAAGGTTCTCTGTTCCTGCACTTACTGGGCTTTGTAAAAGGCTGACTGTATAAAAGGCTTTTTTCCAGGGTGAAGGAAATTTTGGGGAGTTTTAAAGGATTAAAATATAAACAAACATTATCTAGCCAAAGCAGGTGGATTAATAAAAATAAAACATATCTTTTATCTTTCATCTCTTATCTCTTTTGCTTCTTTCTTATTTCAGCTTTACTGTCTTTTTAGCTTTTGTTATACTTGTACTCTTTTTTAAATTATCCTTTTAGGCCTTTTATTGTTTTATCTCTCGCTCATTTCTGTTGCTCTATTTCATCATAACTATTATTATCAGTATTACCTGTTATTTTTTTATCAGTATTGTTGATATTGCCTTTTATATTTACTATCCTGTTTCGACTTTCCATCCCCCTTTTAATTGCATTTTCTTTTTTTTAAAACTTTTTTATGTTTTTTTTTATTTTATTTCGTTCCTCATGGTCTCATTTTATGTTGCATGGTTCTTGTATTGTCTGGGTCCCTTATGACATGAAAATGGCCTTCAATTCCTTTTTTACTGAGCTTTTTGCTTTTATCTGTCTTTTTCCATGTGCTCTAAGACTCAAATGATGTCAAAGCACTTCTGTTTTTAAAAGCGCTATGCAAATAAATTTATTATTAAAGTTATTATTTAATAAGACAGTAAGGAGGTCAATGGGTTAGTCACTGTAATGTCACTTAAACACCTGAAGTTTTCAACAGAAACGCCAGGCCAGGTGTTGTCCTTCGCTCATGTTTGATTTTTAATGACATGGCGAAAAATTGGACTCTTGACTCAGTAAAGAAAAAAAGGATTTAACAGCTAATAAGACAAAAAAAAGAGAGAAAAAGAAAAAAATCTTTGTACTAAACAGACCACAATAATATAAATCCGATAGAATCATCCATTACTCCACAGAAATGAATCTGCACAGTTTGGATATTGCACCTGCAGCCTACATCAGGTCCTCAGACAAGTTTTGCACCCTCAGATCATACCAGACTGGATACCTTCGAGTGAAACTCCGGCCCATGTTTGTTTCGGGGTGGTGGGTGTGGGTGTGGGGGCGGAATCAAAGGCTTGAGACTTATTGTTTCAACCTGAAAAGAAGCTAATGGTTGACCATGGCAACTTGGGATCTGAAATCCACAGGGTGCCCCGGGGACAGCCCGTACAATGGCCCCCACCTCTCCCTCCCCGCAGTGGGTCTTCCTGCCGCAATCTGCGGCCAACGACTCGCGCTGGGGGAGCGCATCTGCACCATCCAGGGCTCTGAATGAGGACCCATCAAGAGTGAATGAGAGGGGTTCACCTGAATGCTTCTGCTCGTTTTATGATGTAACTCTCTCTCTTCTTCTAAAACGAGGGTCTGGCCAGAAGTAGCTCACAAAACTGTACACAGCCAAGGATCTAGGGAGCGTGAACATGGCGCCATAAAACGTAATATTATGACTGTAAAAAGACAAAAATCGTTTGGAAAGAGTAAGATGAATTTCTAAGGAGTTAAATCTAACAATCTTACAAAAAAATCGATCTAGACTAGAATTTAGACTTTCAGATTCAAAGTGTATTTTTGGCTTTCTTGTGCTTTCAATAAAAATGGCTGCAACTGCAACACATCTGTCCCATTTTAGATCTCTCAAATATACTACATGAACATGTCTGCACTGATCGAGGCTAACCTAGTAGAGGAAGTGAATGGATTCAGTCATAGTTATTCAGGATAACAATGTCAGTGTTAATGTTTGAATGATTCTAGATAAATAATGATGATTAAAATGAATCAAACTCAATGACAGAGATGTTTAAATATCAAAGCAATTTCCCCCTAAGGTGAATAAGTAAAACAAACATGTCTTTATAATTCATGAATGAGGTGACCAAGTTATATATGAAGTTACAGGAGGAGTCCTCCTTGCCTTATTTGCAATGTAAAGATGTTTTAAGGTGCCATCAGCTCATGGGTCATACATGTTATTTTACGCATTGCGTGTTAAGAGTTTAATTCCACCAAACGGACAGAAAAATAACAGAACAATGACTCAAAAATGATGGGAAAACACTTAAAACACGCCCACACTAGTTAAGGGCGAATCAAGGTCATTCACAAATATATCATCAGCTGTGCGCAATTGTCTGCGCCAGCCAATCAGCAGCGAGACACGACGATGTGCAACACCCGGAGCTGTGATTGGGAAAAGCTGTGGAGCCAGGGCCAGGGAGGGTCATTTGAGGTTGAAGTTGAGGTTGGTTGTGGAGGTGTAAAACTGTAGGACTGAATGGAGTAGGCCGGAGGTGTACTGGTGGGCATTTTACACCAAAACGGCAACTCTTAAAGCTGAACTTTTCCTCAGGCGAGCTACTTTGGATACTTTTGGATATTTTTCGCTTCTCTGATCATTTTGTTACACTTGAAACTGATGAACAGATTTTAAACCAGTCACAACTTTAACTTTTTTGTTTGTTTGTTTGTTTAACTTCCAAGACGAGCAAGCTCTTTTTTTCGGGCATGTCTGACAGACCCCAGAGTCCCGACTGCCAAATCCGGCCCTATGATTTCAGCCGGACGAACACTTCCAACCAAGTTCTGGGTCAGGATACATTGGGCAGCGCTGCGTCATTCCAGCTCCCTCATGGCATGCTGCCAGACCCGGGCCTTTTCTACAACAAACCCGCGTATGGAGGCATAACACCAGCTTCAGCGCAGACCCTTTTTTCATTCCCACCCGTCACCAGCGACTATAGGGGGTCCGATCTACAGGCAGGAGAGTTCGGGCAACCCAAGCACTGGTATCCCTTTGCTGCACCCGAGTACACCGGCCAGGTACCCGGGGTTACCGCAGCTACCCAGCCTGTAAATCTGAGTCCTCCTATAGCCGAGACTCGAGAGCAAATCAAACTCCCGGACATAAAGTCCGAGAAGGACAGCGGTGATGACGGCTTCCCAGTGGAGATAAAGGTCCAGCAGTACCCGGCCTCAGCCGCTGTGCCCCATGGAGTATTTTATCCCCCAGCCTGGAACCCAACCTTCTGGCCCGGAATCACCCACATCACTCCACCTGGAAGCAGTAATCAAAATCCCTCTACATCTTCTGCTTCCTCCCCATCTATGTCTCCTTCGCCTCCGAGCAGTGGCGTCCCAGGAAACGCTTTTTTCAGCCTGAACAATACTCAGGCCCCCTCAGGGCCCCAGGCGCCCAATCCGGCCTCTTCTGCGCGGAGCAGCGGCTCCTCCAGCGGTGGCTGCAGTGACTCCGAGGAGGTAAGACAGTCATTGAATCAGGGTAATAAAATCTCTCTCACTCCGTGTTTAAACACCAGCATAAACGAGCTCACGTTTTTAAATGTCCACCTTTATTTTGCTCGTTTATCAGGAAAATCTTTCCACTGAAGAGTTGGAGCAGTTCGCCAAGGAGCTGAAACACAAACGCATCACTTTGGGTTTTACGCAGGCGGATGTTGGATTAGCCCTTGGTAACCTGTATGGTAAGTTTGGTTCCTGTAAATCACCTCCTGGTTTAAAGAAGGACCTTGTGCTATCTGTTAAATTTGGGGGACTTTAATCTTTAGATGCCACGTTTCCTCCAACCTGACTTTGGGATTATAGAAGCACTCCCAACACCATGGATTTCAGATTTGTTATCTGGGTCTGGAGAAAAAAAAAAGTATTTTTGGTGATAATGTAGCACCTGCTCTACTCATGTTTTCATGTTTTGCAAACTTCTTTAATTCGTAAGGGAGACAATGACCAAAACTCCAAAGTTTGCAGTTGATTGAAATCGACTTTGAAAGCAGTTGAAGGAGAGCCTGCTCTGGATTCAGACATGTTGGTAACTTTCTAATCTGCTTTTTTCTTGTACGCAGGTAAGATGTTCAGCCAGACAACAATCTGTCGCTTCGAGGCCTTACAGCTGAGTTTTAAGAACATGTGCAAGCTGAAGCCCCTTCTTCAGAGATGGCTGAATGAGGCAGAGACTTCGGAAAACCCCCAGGATGTAAGTCTGCAGCTCTTTGACATCTGCCAACTACTTTACAAGACAACAAATGATCACAAAGCATCACAGGATCAGTCGGTCTTTTTAAGGACTTTCAAACTTCCTGCTGAGCAAACCGAGGTCCTGTGGTCTTGAGAACCAGTATGAGCCATCTAGTGGTCTACTGCAACTGTGGATTTATAACCTTTTTCTGTTTTGAGTAAACATGTGTCTGATTCCACAGATGTACAAGATTGAGCGAGTGTTTGTAGACACTAGGAAGAGGAAGAGGAGGACCAGTCTGGAAGGAGCTGTGCGCTCTGCTCTGGAGTCTTACTTCATCAAGTGTCCCAAACCCAACACCCAGGAGATCACACACATCTCAGATGACCTGGGTCTGGAGAGGGATGTAAGTACCAGCACCCGAAGACATGAAGATTGTAGTTTTTGAGGAATGCGTGAAGTTGACCAAGTTTCTAAGAGTCAGGTGCTTTTTTTTTTTGGCAGGTCGTCCGCGTTTGGTTCTGCAACAGAAGACAGAAAGGAAAGCGTCTTGCCCTGCCACTAGACGAGGAGTGCGATGGCCAATACTATGAGCAGAGTCCGTCTCCACTGAACATGGCCCCCTCTCCCATTCCTGGCCAGGGCTACCCTCCATCCAGCTACCCCAGCGCCCCTCCTCCTACACTCTACATGCCCCCCCTGCACCGACCAGAAGTCCTGAAACAAGCCCTGCACCCTGGACTGGTTAGTCACCTGACTGGATAAGCAAGCTCAGGCAGAAGCACAGATTGCCTTCCCAAGGCGTAACCATCCAACCCAAACTCAAGCTGAGCCTCTGGTTTAAGTAACCATGTTTTTGGATCTACTGCAGAGAAACGGATCTCACTTGAAGAAATGATATCTCAAGGAAATGCTGTGGCCCACATCCTTTTCCCAGACCTGAGACTAAACAACAGTTATTTCAACCTAAAACTGACGTTGCTCATGCTTTGTTTGGTCTTGAAAGTTGTGTGGTAAAACTATTTTGTAAAGTGTATTCATCACAGGCTCCCAAAAAAATCACCAGTGTTTCTTCCAGTCCACTTATAGGTTGTAAAATCAGAAGTGACTAAAGAGCCAGGAGTGTTTTGTCAAACTTCAACTAGATCGAGGGAAGGTTTACTGTGCCTCTGATGGGGAAAGGTACTGTCTCATTGAATGACCACAAAGTTCCACCAGTTAAGTTAACGTGTGTGCAATACGAATGTGTCTTAAATGAAAAGAGCAGCTGCAGTTTTGTCCAAAAAAATTTAAAATGGAAAATCTAAACCTTCATTTTGGGTGCATGTTTCCACAGATTTTGCACAAAGTTGCTTTTTTGATATTGAGTTTTATATTTTTTTGTATATTTGTGCCCCATGTAAACCACGCTCAGTGGATAAATTTTCAGTGATGCTTTTAGCTTTAATGGGAGCGGAAAGATTGAGGATGATGTTTTGGGATATGTGACAAATGAGATGTTATTCATGTGTCTTTGCTGGTACCTCTGCATATTGCACACTTTTCAAAAATGATGTCTTAACTCAGACAACGGAAAGTAAAACCAAATGGTATTTGGAGACTTCATTATGATTTTACTTGAAGGATGTTTGTTAATGAAATGTAGCGTCACAATAAGTCAGGTTTGGGCGCTCTCAAGGGTATTTCTCTATTCTTCTTGTTTTGATAGTACTCTAAAATGTTTCAGCAAGCCATGATCCCATACTTGACAGTTAAGATATGAACAGGAAAGAGTAAGTTTGGAGTAATTGTAGACATTAATATGTCCGTATCGTAACATGCCAGATAAGTATTTACCACTTTTAACCAGTATTTGAAAGGACAATCATTCCTGTTAGGCTCCAAACAGTTTCTTCCTCCCAGAATATATATCAATTAAGTTATAATTTATTAAAATTTTAGCTACATCTAGAATCTTCAAACTGTACCATAACATATCTTTGCATTCAGTCATTCACTCTTGGTTAAACTTTATGTATGTACATATGTTTCTTTTTATTTTCCAGTATAAATGTTACGTTCAAAAAAACATTTATTTTTGTGCATTTCACTTTGATGGGGAACCGTGGGAACTGAGTACTTCTTAATTTACAGCCATGTCGGGTTCAAACTTGGATAACTGAAGCAGTTAGTTGCAACATGGTATTTTAGATGACCAAAGCACAGCAGCTGTGAGTACCTCTTTATGAAGGAATGGGGAAGTTGACAGCTTTTATCATACACCATGTGGCTTTTATGAAACTAGAGATGATATTTCTTTGGCAGTCAAGCTGTTATTGATTTTTGGTATCATCAAGACCAAAGTAACACTGATAAATATGACGTAGAAAGACTTTGAGATTAAAAATTGTGCTTTATTGTTGAAGTAAGTCTGGTGCTGTCCTCTGGTAGAACAAAGAAGTAATCCGTAAGAAAATTTCTAGATTAAAACACCGATTTTTAACAATATTCCACTTTAAACGAGGAAGTACCGAGTTTGCATTGTTGGTTTATGGATGTACAACTAAGACAATTGCATAACGGTTTTCAGTTCCTGTTACAGAATCTAGAGTGCAAGGGTACACTATATTGAGATTGCTAACCATGAGTTAGACCACAGCAAATATTGTGTAAGTCTGTGGTTATACAGGCCACATATTGTTACCTGTGCAGTGAGTGGCACCATTGACTTAAGGTCTCTGTGCCAAGCTGAACTCAGTGTAGCTTTTCAAGTCTTGCACTGAAACCTCACAGCTAATATAGAAGAGCTGTGGGCTGTGTATAAAGTTGTAATGTGTAATGCTAGATCAGTGCAGCACAAGCATACGCTGTAGCAACCTCATAGCATACCATTTGACCCTTTTTGATCAAGTGTCAGTCTTTTCCTAAGCTAAACTGGATTCAGTCTTTTAGAGTTTGTTGTTTTGATTATCTATCACAGTTAGAACATGTTTAACTTTATTTGGCAAATCACTAAGATTAACGCTGAGTGCGGAAAATGAGATCATCTACGAGCTAATACTGAGAAACAAACAGGAACTGTGCAAGCTAAGTGCTAACAGGATTAGCCCAGGCTGCTAGGTCCGAGTAAACTTTATGTTGAGGTAAACAATCGTATTGTAAGCAGATCCTGCACAGTCTCTCCCTCCAGTCTGTGTGCAGCTTCACTCTCCACTTCTGTTTCCAGGTAAAATACTCTCTGTAGCGTTCCTTATCTTCTGCTAACTGTTGTAGATAATTCCCCAACTCTTTTACAGAGGAAAACTCATCAACATGTATGAAAGATTTAGGTGGAGCCACAGCTTTGTAATCATCTAACGGAGGTCCCATGACAACAGGCACTGCTCCACCTTGGTAGGCGTTCCTCCACAGCTTCTCCGTGATGTAGTCTTTGCTGCCTGAGTTCTCAAATGCTAAATAGAAGTAGCAGCAGGAGATAGTATGCAACAGGGATCTGGAAGTCAGAGGTTTTCTTGCCCAGCGACCGTAAACTTTGACAGGAATGGTTTCAGTGAGGTTCTTGTACACTTGGCTTCTTCTGTGCTGGGTATTGTAGTTGCTGACCACCCAACACACAAGAGAGCTTTTATTCTGAGGGACTTCCTCTACATCTCCATCTTCTTTTGGTTGCACCTCGCCATAGGGAACAGTGACATCTGCATCCCTCCTGTAGGTGACAGTCATGTTGAAGAGATGAGCAAACTGGTGCAGGTTCGTTTCATTAGGAGGAGCTTCTAAGGACATCCAGGCCCACCTCTGTCCCTGTGGACGAGGAAGGTCAGAGGGCAGCTTTTGTTGGCCCAGCAACAGCTCTTGGCTGTGGAACACCACCACATCAGCTAAGGGGAACATGGAGCGCTTATCCGACAGTCTGCAGTGAGGGATTTGAAAGCGGTCCCAGCACATGTCCCCTTTGAGGGTAAATGACCTACCAAAAGGCCAGTACCATACTAAGATGGTCACATTTCTACCACCTCTGCTGCAGTTCGTGAAGGGGTTTATCGCTGTCAGTGTTTGAAATCCTTCAGGCCAACCGTTGAGGAGAGACAGCAGAAAAAAGCAGAGGAAGAAGATGAGGAGTAGGCTCTTCCTCATGTAGCTAACTTGGAGCCTTTTAGTGTTAGCACACCCCTGTTATAAAAGGGAAACAAAAGGTAAGTCATGATGGAGATTCAAATTGATATTATCATTGATTTTGACATCATTCTGTCGAATCATCACGGGATCCACTTTTGTTAAGCAAACCCCTACAGAGACTACAGATAAGACGAAAGAAAGCTGTACAAGAAAAAGGTGGTGGGAGAGAGGGGCAAGTAATGCGAAAGTAAAAAGAGACGAGAGAGAAAGGTTTGAATTAAGTGTTGAAAGAGGTGTGATCCTGCGTCTGAATCATTTCTATATAGCACCACTAATTCACACCTCAACGTAGGCCGCAGTTAATATGTGTGAGTGAAGAAAACGTTCTTGTAACAGGCTGTAAATATGTTTGATTCTATTCTTGAAACTGACATTTTATGAAGGGGATTCCTCTGATTTTGCAGCAAGCCTCAAATGGACAACTATGGAGCTGCAGACTTTTGGGCCTTCACATTTGCTTCATTTATCAGCAACTGATGCCTCTTCATGAGCGAGCACATGGCAACCGCAAAGTATTTCCTTTTAACTGTAAGACAACAATCTTGACCCCAGACATTTTAACTCGAGGTTTGTGTGAGATGGGCATGGCATGTTAACACTCAGCAGGAGTTCCACATACGCTCGGATATGCACAGACAGACACAGCGCTGCTCCACCCTGCTACACACTACACCCCCCGCCTCCCAGTTATATCTCTATGACAACTTCTGATAGCAGATCAGAAGCAGAAGGACTTCCCCTGCCATCCCGTCTCTATGCATCACATTTGCAGACAAGATGTAACTGAAGATTAAAGATCTCACCTTCAACTGGCAGTACATTAGAGTCTTAAAACACTTTTTTGCTCTGTGCACGGTGGACACAAGCTGATCCACTTTATTTTTTTTTTTTACGATCAACACCACCTTAAATGTAGGTTGCACCAATTTTACTCTTCTGCCTCACCGCTGTAAAACAGATACAGAGCAAGAGAAGGCGTGCTAACCTTAACCCACGCTCAGCAGCTCTTTAATGTCATTTCACCTTTTTTTCCGACCTGACCGTCATTTAGCTGTTTTTTTTTCCACTGATCTGAAATATTTATATTTCTCATTTGTTTTTCTCTTTTTCACACACAGCCTGATTTCTTCGTTGTTTACTTTTAAAGATAATGTTAAAAAGTCTTTAAAAACAGGCAGAAAACTTAAGTAGAACCAGACTAATTAATGCCACAACCTGAAATGCTGGCTGTGTGGATGCAACTTCACAGTGTGTCATGCCTGGTATCTTTCTGGTCGGTTATTATCCATCCTTCATCCTCAATTTTTATTTAACCTAGCAAGAAAATCCCTTTTTCAGTCTGAATAGAAATGAATGGTAAAATCTGAGAGTTTACTTCAATTAATAGTATTTTTTGCTTCATCTTGCCAACACTAAATGGATCATGGATAAAGGGACCTCCTGACTTCAAACTGAACAGTTCACCTGTAACACTTCAAGAGCAAAAAAATCCCTCAATGGGTTTGTAAAATAAATCTTTATTTGATGATTGTATCAAAGTTATTTTTTACCAAAATAAACTAAAATCTCCTTTCTTCTTCAATATTACACAATTATTTAATTATACCTTTTCTAAGTGAGAAATTGAATTTACTTGCTACAGTAACATATAAGGCTAACTCTTGTAGGTTTTTAGGCACTAATACAAATAGATGGTGGCACTCTGCACTGACACATGCCAATAGAAAGAGTAAGAAACCATGTCAAAGAAGAGTGTCGAAGAGTGTGACAGATATGACTGGCTTGACTTGTCACTTTGAGGTTTTTTTGTAGAAATACTCAGTGTTTGCTAAATTCATTTTCCTCTCTGATCTTTGTGAAATCGACCAAACGCTTCAAATGAAACGGTAGAAAGAGGCGCTTTGAAATAAACAGCGAAGAAAAGAAAGAGAAAGGGTGTTCATTCTCCTTTTGATATTTAAGACTTCTATCAAGTTAAAATTAGACTGAAAGTAACAAGAACTCACCATGAGGTACCCTGACTCAGGCTGTCACTCCAAGTGTGAAGATGGCACACCATCAACTGTGAGTTTCTTCTGCTCAAAGAACTTCCTTTTATTTGCTTTATGGACAGATAGCACACATCAAGATCCACCCATTAACAGCACATCAAATATACTCATGACATTTAATTAGTTTACATTTTATTCAATAAATACCTCGCAAAAATGGAAATGTGCATGTGGGATGATACTTTTTATATTAGCACTGCACAGCAAATAATTATAGGCAACAGAAAGTGAATAAATAATGCAGCATGTTACTATTTCTGCATCAGGGTTGTATGTAAACTAGTTATTTAAACTTATTTAAAATGAGCGTTGATTGAATTCCCTTTCCTCTGGGACCTTACTCTAAAGAAAACAGCTGTTATATATCGAGAAAAGTTACGTTTCATTCATAGGTATGTGTTCAGGAATGGATGTACGTACTGTATGTATGTGGTGTCACCGTTGAATAAAACAAACCGAAAAGATCATGTGGTAGAGGTGTAAGATTAAAGTCACAAAAACCTCAGACATGTTTCTTTAAATATCTGTAGCTTTTGAGCCTCCAGAGAAATGAACTCTGAGCAGGATGTGGTCAGATTTTTGTTGGCAAAGGTGTTTTTCTCCTCAAGATAGTTGTAAAGCGTTGCTGGGTGAGAAGTTCAAACCAACTGATTTTTAACCCTGTAGTTATTCACCTACAGTCAACTTACTGAAGTACGGCAGATCATTCTGAATTTCCAACCAAACCAAGAGGATTTTTTAAAAAGCAATGCTTAACACTTCATAGAAACGAGAGTGTATAAACCAGAGAAACACAGACCTGATTTTGAGATGAGTGAGTCCTGTCCTCAGTCACCACAGGTACTGTTTTCGGTCATTGTAGAACGGAAAATGTCGGTGAGCTTAAAATTCATAAACATGCCCATTTTAAGAAGGCAGAGGTGTGGCGCTCTCTCTTAAAAAAAAAAGCTGAATATACTGAAGATTAACCTGGGCGGCATCGTGTTACACCCTCCTAGCATCCACAGTATGTTCTTTCCTGTTATAGTTTCTGCCTTTCAGTAAAAGTAAAATGTTACTCCGTATGATCAGTTGACCACAGCCAGGAAGCATGCTTCATGTGTGCACTGATGGGAAATGAGGAAGTGCTAAACACTGGTTTTAAGTAAAGAAGAGGTTGCACAAGGGTGCCAGCATAAATGAGTCATCTCTGCATTTTAATAATGGAGGTACAAAATGATTTGATACCGAATGCAGACATGTGATGTTTTTAAATAAAAAGCAAAGATCAGACTTATGAAATAGTGCAGACAGTATCATGTCTTATCTCAGGAAAAGGAACCCTAATATATAAAAAATATATATTTGTGTTTTGTTGCATGATCACAACTAAAAAGTATCTTACAAGAAAACAGAAGTAAATGCTGCTTTGTTTAGTAAATATTTGCACTGTGATGGTGTGAAATATATATATATATTTACAGATGGAAACAAACGTAACAATAAACAATCAAATATCTGCATCACTCTGTGTTATAGAGAATTATTTCTAAAACAATATTCCCCTGTTTTGGTGAAACTTTTATTACAAGAAGGAAATATGGAAATGATTAACATTTTAGAGGAGTTTTTTTCCTGTCTTTAAAATTTTTTTGCCAAACTATTTTCACACTTAAAATTTTACAAAAGCCTTTAGAGCAAAAAAAAAAGTTATATTCTGATCTTTGACTTGAAATGTGTTTTTGAATATCCAATGGTAAACCTCTACCATGATGCAGTACTAAGATTTTTATTTGAGCAATAAGAGAGGAGTTTCTTTTCTCACACCTATATCCTTTCAGGCTTGTCTTTGGCTGCAACACATGACCCTGCAGAGGCTTGTTAGGGCTCATGCTGCTGCTGGAGCGACAGTTTATGCAAAGCCGTGCAAACCGTAGGCAGACAGGTAATTCATGCATCATGTGCCAAGGCCAGAACAGCATGGGCCAGATATATGCAAGGTCAGCTTGCTGGTGCCCCAGGCATTCAGTTTCACTACTGTGGAGAGATGATGGTCAAACAAAAGGGTTTGATAGTCTGAAGTTTTTATCTGGACTGCAATGCATGCATTATCAATGGAAATGGCTGGTTTCAAAGTATTAAAGGGTCATCATATTAGTGAGGTGTCGTCCAAACAACACTGGAGGATGAAATATTGGATTAAAAATGATAGGAACAGCTGTATTAATAATGCCCTTTTAAAATTTTGATGTAAAAAGACGGTGATATGTAATACTTTTTAGTCTGTTAGAAACTGGCTCTAAAACAGTGAATTAAGCAGATCCCTGACAGTGAGCTCCAAAAATAAACACTGTGGTAGCATTTGGGAACACTGAACAGAGCTAAAGCAGTCTCTTTGCAGGTTTTCGCTTTTCTTAGGGGGAATAATCACAGTTTTTGACAAGTCATCATTCCTCTTCCAAACCATATTGTCCTGTTCATACAGAGTGAAATGCCTCAGATCTTAGAGCACTTTAAAATAGATCCAGAAAAATGAAAAACATTCACCAAGTAACGTTTGTTATTAAACTGGTAGAAGAGTACATACTGCCCTCTAGTGCTTATGAAGCCAAATTACAAGATTTACAAACAGTCATCAGTGAAATCCTCTCTGTTTTTGCATATTGTATTACAAACTATTCCACTAGTGAGTTTGGCTATAACAATGGTACTCCCTGTTTTTCACAATAACTCAATAGATTGATGATATTCTTGCAGAGGACGTTTTTTAGGAAACAAATGTGGGAACTTTGTGTAAAAAACATTAAAAAATGGCTCAAAAATTCAGCTTATTACAGTTGCTGAGGCAAAAAGTCTTACGACCATCCCCGGTCTCCCCTATTCATTCTGTGATAGTCAACCTTCAGACAGCGCTTTGCTGGTATCACACCTGATGCTCAAAGTAAATGCTGATAATACTAGAAAATGTGTCGATGGAGTAAAAAGTTTTACTTCACCAAACACTTTTGGAAGAGAAGATTAGTGAACTATACGTGGATAAAGCCAATGAGAAGTACATCAGGAAGAAGCTGGCTCTCAGTCTTAGCTCCAGACCCAATTCCATTTTAATCTGAATCTTGTCTATTGTTTTTTCTTTCTTCACTATTATTGTTGTTGCAGTGTGTAGTTTCAGCAGTAGATGGTGCTGTTCCTCTGAGATACATATAAAGAGTTCTGGGAAATCTCACTCAAAGTGGTCTGACTGAAAAGTGTTGGACTCAGCAAAGATCTGTTTTTTTTGTTGAGCAGTGTGCCAGTGTCAGGGTGGGTCAGGTTGGCCCCTGAACCCTAACTGAGCAGCCTATTAAAGTGGTTAAAATAACAAGCTTTGCAAAATAAAACGTTTCACATGACTTTGTGTCGTGTTGTCAGAACCAATGGAGAAAGTGACGTTACTTTTGTAGCACTGAGAATGTTTTAACCCTCTGAATAAAGTCTAATAATAAATTTCAGGTTCATGATTGCAATTTATGTCAAAATCTCTGAGTCATTAATCGAGTAACAATCACACATTAGTTGCAGTTTTTAGTAGCATAAACCACATGTGTTTTTGTGTTTAATGCTTGACTATGCAAAACCATGAATGGCTGAAGAAAGCACAGGCAGAAAGTCAGCTTTCTAGCCCTCGGTGTCTTAAAATACCAAGTGTCAAACACAACATCTGTTTTACATCTCTGCAGCCCGGGAACTCCACAGCTCCTTATTTCCCGTAACACCGAGAGACAGCAGTGTTGTGTAAGAACATTTTGTGGTGCCATGTTAAAGAGAAAGTTGTTATGTTCTTGAAACTAGGATACAAATTGGGCAATTTCTGAAGAGAAAGTCCCTGAACAAGCACAAGAGGAGGTGTTCAACAGCTGCTGATAAGTCGGACTCCTGCCTGGAGTCAGGTCAAACTCAGACTGCAGTGTAGAGCTGACTCAGTCAGACAAAGAGGGCTCCCTACTAAAAATATACAAGGTTTTGTATTTACCAGACAGATTACAGCAACGGAGTCCAAGAGGTGAAACCACTTTGATTCCTCGATGGCCCCTTCCACCTGTTTGGTTCTGCTGCTCCATTTCCTCAGCTGCTTCTCAGTTGGACTGGCCTGTTTCTGTGACCGGTACCCCTGGGGATCCTGGTCTGCCTGCTCCAGGACCTGCAACTATGGAGTACAGCACAGACACAGGTAAGACAACACAGACAGATAGGCTCTTAAAACCAGCAGTAGCCAGAATTCGTACTTTGTCATGAATTTTGTGTATTCAAACTGTTGTGAGCCCCAGAAATGGAGAGATGTCATTAACAAAGACAGTTTTTATTGTCTTTGCTGCTGTTTTGTTACTGAGGCAAAATGCTGATCATGGATGGTGCCAACATTGCAGTGCATTGAAGGTATTTTCATTATCTTCTGACAGGAGGTTTCAGTACGATGAATATTTCTGGAGGAGCAGCTGCAACCAGCTGTGTGAGAAATCTGACATGAGAGCTTGTAATGAGCAGGCCTGTCCGATCAACTGCATGCTCTCAGACTTTGGGCCGTGGTCTGACTGCTCGCCCTGCGCCAAGAAACAGGTAAGACAGACACAAATATCACCACAACACTTACAGTCAGAGTTAAGTAATTTATAGTGGACCCTGTAGGACAACATAATACGGCTGTGTTTAAAATATCACTTCAAAAACGGAATTATTCAGTTTTCAGACTTTTTCCTCAAATCTGCTTGTTTATTGAAAACAGCAGCTTTGATAAAATCTGTGCTTTTGTATTCCACATGAAAGATAGGAGTATTTTTGTGATAACCCTGACAGACCTTGCGGCTTGAATTAGTATAGAAATACATAAGATAGAACTGTTTTGAATGGGTCGATCCTATTTGGCTTATTTAATGTTCCCCACCAGAGAGCATCGATACCTTTATTGAACTCCTGAGCGCTCCAGATTTGATCCTTTCTTTGTCATTGGGAAGGCACTGATCCTTAACTCACTCTAGTGATATAGTCAGCAGGGTGAAGTTGAATTTGAGCAATATTAAAATATTTAAATTTGTGAAAAATCACCTAAATATAAAATTATTTCAGTCTACTTACAATAAGCCTTTAGGTCCGCATAGTAGCAGGTCCCTTTCCACAGAGGTTGCCATCTTGCACCACCATGTTTGCACAGAACAGACAGATTATAAGGGCCACACCTGTTTTTGTATGCAGTAGGTGGTGAAGCAAAATCAGTAAGGACTGAGTCCTTATTGTGTGCAAAAGAATTTGTATCACTGGATGGGTTTTGTTATGGAAAAACTTGATGAATTAGGGGAGCTTCTTGTCCTTAACGGTCATGGTCGCTTCACCAACATAAGGGGTGATCGCTAGATTATGCTAAACGTTCCCATTTCTACACACTGTTCTGTTTAGATAGGTAACTGTTATTGTTTTTTCTATAAAAACATTTAAAGTCTGAGTTATTTCCTCTCATATGATGTTGTCTTTAGTTTCGTACACGTTTTGTTGTGAGGCCGTCCCAGTTTGGTGGATCAGCTTGCACTGAGGAGCTGACTGAGGAGAGGCCATGTTTTCCCTCCAAAGAGTGCAAGTTAGCACCCATAGACTGCACAGAGGACTTTAAGTGTAACAACGGTAAGTTGTGTTTTGCCATCTTCTAAATACGGAGATAAAATTGTCATATTTTTAAAGATAGGTAATATGATATACTCTATTTTAGTCTCTGGTGTCAAACACAATGAAGGAATGAAAACAAGCGTGATCATAACTGCAACACCATCTTTCTGCTGCAGGTCGCTGCATTAACTCCACACTGACGTGCAACAGACAGAACGACTGTGGAGACAACTCAGATGAGAGAGATTGTGTCGACTTCAAAATCGTGTGTCCTGCGGAGAAGAGAGTGGCCCCCGGGGCGGACCTGGTGGGGAACGGGTGAGCTGAGGTTAAAATGTCACTGCAGAGTTTACAGCTTCAGTTTCGGTTTGAGCTGGCTCACATTCTTCTGTCTCATAAATCAAAACCTTTCCCTTCTACATGCCGTCTCTCCGCCATTGATTTTTTTCCCCTGTTGCAACATCTGATTGTATTTATCATTTGTTTGGAAATGTTCTTGACCTTTAGATAAATGTATCTTGTAGTACTTTTGTCTGGCCTGTGTTTGTGTTGACCTTTTTCTGATTTATGTCAAAGGTTTGACGCTCTGGCTGAGGAGTCCAGAGGATCAGTACTGGACAACATGTTTATGGGAGGATCCTGCACCATCAGGAGGCCTCCCAGCACCCTGCTCTATCACAGAGTCCCTCACAACTTTGAGAGCCTGGACATAAAGGTATTACTTGTGATAGTTAGAAAACAACAGATATTAACTCTTCTCCTGAGAGCTGAGTAGATAAACTTGACACGAAGCAGAACATTTAAAAAAAAGGACTTTTGATTCCTGCTAGTCTAGTGTATCAGAGTAACCTCTCATCTTAGCTTGACTTTCATACATACACTCCATCCAGCTATTTTGTTTGACTTATTTTGTCATGTTTGTGCAGGCTGCAGTTATAGAGGACTTCAGTACCGAGCCCAAGCCTCTGATCTCCGAGCCCATTGATGTCAAGACCTCAACTTCATCCCAAAGCAGCCAAGAATCTGGAGCCTTTGGTTTCTTCCCAATTTTCTTCTTTGGTCGGAGACATAGCATGACCACGAGCAGCAAGACGGATGCATTTGAAGCTTCGAAGACAAAGGTGAGGGGCTCAAACATCGACAGCACTCAGAACCGGATGTTGTACAAAAGTGAGACCAAGTGCAGACATCTTTCCATGAGACACAACAGTCTAGTCTAACAGACTAATAATATTGAGTTATGCCAACAAAAGCACGCTTTTTCTTACTGATGCAACAGCAAAGATGTGAAGTCATGATCGACAACAACAAATTCTTGTGTCAAGTTGTCTTTTTTAGGGCTAAAGCCACACAAACACACAAATGTAAAGACATATTTGTGAGGATCTTCATTCACAAAATTCCTCCTGTAATCCACCAATTAAAAGAGTTAAACTAATAAGACCAGACTAAACTAAACACCCCATAAACGGTCCTCACTCTCTGAAGAGCTCTTTGAACATTGTCCCCACATTGACCTGTAAAAAAACGTACTCACACACTCATCACTCATACCTAAAGCCTTGTACAGTGTTTCTTTCTTTATTCTTTCCTTTGTTCCTTCATTTCTTCCTTCCTTTACTAACTTCTACCTATATTCTCCCTCTTTCCTTCCTTTTTCCTTTTATACTTTCCACCTTCCTTTCCATCATTCCTCCTTCTTCTTCTTCTTCTTCTTCTTCTTCTTCTTCTTCTTCTTCTTCTTCCCTCACATCTTGTCACTTGTTCTCCAGGACTCCAGATTTATCAGGGTCCACCAAATCCTGCCCGTGTCCACATTCAAGGTGAAGGACCCGGGGGACCTTGTCCTGTCGCAGCCTTTTCTGCAGTTCCTCTACGCTCTACCTCTTGAGTACAACTACGCCCTCTACAGGGAAATCTTTCAGCGCTTTGGTACACACTATTACAGCTCAGGGGTGCTGGGAGGCCACTATGACCTGTTGTACCAGTACAGCCAAGAGGAGCTCAAGAGTTCAGGTACAACAGCAGCAGCTGACTACCAAAATTTGACATATCTGAACAGCTTCGCACTAAACCTTCAAATCAACTAAATCTCAGTTTAGACTAAAATTAAAAAAAAAATTGTATGAAATTCTGAGTGAAAGTTACCGCCATTTTGTTATACGTCATGCAACCACTTTTGGAGTATCGTGTTGCTATTTTTAGTATCTAACCATAACCCCAACTCCTGCCTTTACCTTAACCCTCAAAGTGGCACCTCCAGCTCTGTAGACACACACTGATTGGTTTATAACACGCCACGGCTCATCCGCAGTATCTTTATAGGCCACCAGGGGGCCTCAACTCACTCTTTTTCAGATGTTATCGTCTTTTGTTTAAATGAATATCTGGTGGAGTGTGAAAGAACCCAAAAGGGGTGAACATTTGTGGAGTGACAGACAAAGAAGAAGTTCCTTTTTGAGATTCAGACTGTGTGGGTTTATGTGTGTTCTTGCTTCCTTTGTTTCTGCACTATTTCTTGCTGAACAGGTGAAACAGAGGAGCATGTCCGTGGCTGCTTGGCTAGAGAGCTCACTTGGACTGTCATCCTCTACACTGAGAGCAGAAGTGTTACCAGATGTAGAGACAACACCATGACACAGAAATATCAAGGTTACCTCAGTTTTTGTTTTCGTTTCTGTTACACTAGTTTTATTATCACCATAGTGTTTCCTTCTTTATATTTTATGCTGTCATTAGTTAAATGTTGCTTTTTTTCCAGGCTCATATGTTCAGTCGGCAGAGAAGTCTTTCTCATTGGTGAAAGGAGGTCGAGCTAGAGAGGCAGCAGCTCTGGCCTGGGAGAGGCAGGGACCAGCTCCAGACAAAACATCCTACAAGAACTGGGCCAAATCTGTGCTGGATAACCCAGTTGTGGTCGATTACAAGGTTTAATCGAACACCAAATCAATGCAGAAATAGATGAATTTAGTGCTCAAAAAGCTGATCATGTGTCTATGTTTGTCCAGGTTCTTCCCATCATTGATCTAGTTCAGGGGATCCCATGTGCTAAGACAAAGAGGAGACACCTGAGGAAGGCTCTGCTGCAGTACCTGGAGGAGTTCGATACCTGCAAGTGTGCTCCCTGTCCAAACAACGCCAGGCCAGTTCTGTCCGGCACAGAGTGCAGCTGTGTCTGTCAAACAGGGACATTTGGGACAAACTGTGAGAGGAGAGCTCCTGATTACACCTCAGGTACAGCAGAATAAAACGAAAGCATTACATGATTCATATAGAAGCTGGGAAACAGGAAAAGTGAGTATCGAATAAAAATTTGAATTTAGAGAGGATGCTGTTTTCACAACTTAGATATTATTGCTTCTCTTTATTCTCTTATGGATTAAGTGTTATGGCTGATTTGACAACACGGTGAGCTTTGACAATACTTACTTTCAATAAATGTAAACAGGGCTACATAGTTGGAATATCTATACTTTTCCATACCCTACTTTTTAGAATTATTTTTGGAAATACCGAATTTTTTATTTTAGGAAACAATATCTTAGAACTGAACAGCCGAGAAATATAAATATTTTCCTGGAAACATAAATACCCTTCCATAATTTATTTTTCATTTTCAATACTTTTAAAGATCTGGACACCGATAAAATTTATTTCCATAATTTTTTCACATTTCCATACTTGCAAAGAAACCCTGTTAAAAAAAAAAACATTACTGGATATTGGCTACTAATGTTGTAAGGCTACAAATATGCCCATTTAACTCATTGCATTGAGAGCAGTTCTTATTTCTGGTTTGTAATATCTTAACAATACATTTTTTTTGTATTAACAGGTGAATGTGGCTCAGATTAAGCTCCATAAATCACCTTAAGACCAAAAACACTTGCTAAAATTGAAGTTTTTGCATCATTGAGAAATTCAGGGATTCAAAGTGAGGGAACTACATGTGTTTATGTTTGTACTCAGCATGTAGTTTTTTGTGTCTTTTCCACAGAGGAAGTGGATGGTTACTGGAGCTGCTGGGGACCATGGAGTAACTGTGGAGGTATAATGAAGAGACGTCGGACGAGGCGGTGCGATAACCCCGCCCCCCTGAGAGGAGGAAAACCCTGCACAGGGCCAGACAGACAGGAGGAGCCGTGCCATATCTCCCTCTTTGAAAGGTATGATTAACATCATCTCCTGTCATGAAAATTCAGTCATGTGGAAGTTTTTATGAACTCTCGGCAACTAAAGAGTAAATAATTTGACTTTTTATATTTTTTGAATGTTGGATTATTTTCACTGTATCTATGTTTCTGACTGATATGATTGGCTGTTGCTGAAGACATATCAAATTCATGGGTAACTTTAATTAATGTGTAACTATGGGTGAACTGAATGTTCTCTTTCTTGGTTTTGTGTTAAGACAGGAGACGTGTGATAATGATGAAGACTTCACTGTAGGATGGCGTGATGAGCTGCCTCCAGGAGTGCAGGGCTGTCTGAGGCCACAGAGGCCCGCCAACAGCTTCCTCAGGGTAAAAAAAAAAAAAACAGACTGCTTGCAAACTTGCTGTAGTAGCCACTCCAGAGATCTTCTGCCTCTTCTGGTTACTAATCAGTTCAAATACTTCTTCTCCTAGAAAGCGAAACAGTACTATGACTTCGGTGAGGATGAGGAGTTCCAGTGCTTCACTGGATTTGAATTGGAAGGTTTTCAGTTCATCAACTGTCTTCCTGACGGGACGTGGAGTCAGCCTTTAGGAAAATGTCTCAGTAAGTTTGTTTACTTCTCCAGACGAGTCAACATTCATCAGAAGAAGAAGAATCAGGTGATCTGGGCTTCAAGTATGTGGTATTCATGTAATATTAAACTCCGCCCCTCTTTAGGAAAACTGTGCGTGCCTCCTGAAATCCCTGATGACATGACTCTGTTCCCCGCCAAAGATGAGTACAGGGTGCAGGAATCAGTGGGATTAAACTGTATTGAACCGGGCCTGATACCACAGCCATCAGTCTTCTTCAGGTGCAGCAGCAGTCTCACCTGGGAGCCCTCACCACCTGCTGACCTGCGCTGCACTGACGGTACAGTTCATTCAAACATATCAGTCTCGTAGTTGGAAAACAAAACTGGAAAAAAAACTTTTTTTTGTGATTTAAAACATTTTGGATCTTTTAAGAGGAAGAAAAAGTGATTGATTTAGTAATTTATTGCACCTCTACTTACTAAAAGATCCCATACATACAGACCTTTTAATTTTGTCATGTAAACCAGGACAGTATTCAGATAATTAAATTAGAGTCCACTGATAGTATTTGGTTAACACATTAGCTGTTTATAATGGACAGTGGGTGCAAAGTTTAGGTGCAGTTAAAAAGTCTTTTAACTCACCAAATAATATATTTGTTCCAATCTTTAAGCCGCAGTTCCTCAAGTGTCCACTTGAGGCTGCAAAAACCAAGGAAATCCTATGAGGTCCCATATCTAACTGCCTGACAGCAGATCTCGACATGTTCACATTTAACATGTTCACAGGATCACATTTACTACTCACAGTTACTTTATCCCCAAGAGTTAAGTTCTTAAGTAAGAGAGAAATATGGATAGTAATGAGCCTTATGTAATCTTAATTTTAGGATGAACAGAGGCTGTTGACACTCTGTTGTCTAAAGGGATATCCATCATCTTGGACTTGTATTTTACACAGCAAGTTCAATTTATTTCTACAATTTCCAGAATGGCCCTGTCTCCTCCAAAGGAAGATATAAGCTCACGTAAAGCTTCAGATTTACTCAACCAAAGTCAAAGAAACAGCAAATATGTCTGTTGTGTATTTATTTTTCTCTTTTGGTAGAGGAACCGTTCGTTCCTGATGGTCAGTGTGGTCCAGGACAGAAACGACAAAACTCACAGTGTGTCTGTATTCAACGGGAGAGCTGCCTGTAAGTTTTTATCCAATATTTGACATATTATCCATGATGATTTTGAAAGTTTTGAAGAATTTATAGGTATTTGGAGCAGTTAAAATACATATTTATAAACCTCATTGTGCACTAATTACTTATCAAACATAACCAATGTACTATGATTAGCTTTTACCACCAGACTTAACTGTGTGTGTGCGTTTCTTTGTGTTTCTTTGTGTTAAGTTCACAACCAGAGAGTGTCTGTGTCCTGAATGTGGACATCGATGTCACCGTGCCAATGTCCCTCTGCTCCTTCCACGCTGGTCGGTGCCACGGCGATCCTCTATTTTTTGTCAGTGACGGGTCATGTGATGCAGTCAACCCCGGTAAAGTGGAATGGGCAAAGTTCAGAGCCAGGATGTCTACCAAGAGCTCTGTTCATACGCCCTGTGATCTGGACACCTGTTATGAGTGGGAGACCTGCTCAGGTGAGTTTATCTCACATGACCGTGTTTATGCTTGAATGTGTTTTGCAAATTTTCCCTTTTTACTTTGTAAGCCATCATGATTCAATGGCTTCATCATTATATTGAGCGTGAAAATATTCAGACGACTGTGTTGTTTGATGATATTTTTTTTATTATCCCCATGTTTGTCTTCAGCATCTAAGAAGTGTGAATGCAAAGTGGCTCGTGACTGTCCAACAAGTGAAGAGCACATGTTCTGTGTGAAGCTGACTCGCACTCAGAGGACTCGCAGTATGACCCTCTGTTCGATGGCTGCTTTAAAATGTATAAATTATCAGTTTGAGATCCTTAATGAGGGCCGGTGTGAGTCTAGATGATCACACCTTCTGCCACACACTTTGCACTAAAATTCCTGACTTTTTTAACTTCACATCAGTTATGAGATTGCAGCAATTTTTCCTCCTGAACTGTACAACTGTTCACTTAATCCTCTGCTTTATTCATGATATCTTACATGGCGTCATATTTGTAAAAAGAAAAGAAAGATATGCTTTGGTTTTAAAGACATTTACTGTAATTTCTGTGAAAAAGATGTTCAGATTGAATTTATGTTCTTGTAATGATGGATTGATGGCTTGGAACAACAATAAATGTTAAGACGTACATATGTGATAGTTGAACCTGTTGCTGAATTGCCTTATGAGATGGGGACTAACAAGATAAGTGTTGAAAATATGGCATCAAGTCTGGGGTCGGTGTCTTTGGAGGTTTTTTCTTTTATCATTTGAATATTTACTCAAACCTTTGAGACAAAACCTTTCCACAACAGTTTTTAATCATCAACCCTTCATTAAAAATGAACATCGCACATATAAACTATTCAAGACTTGGTTACTATTTACATTCTAGTCGCTGAGAAAAACAGAAAAGAAGTTTTTATGTACACAAACAAACACCAACCTCCTTTATTCTGGACAAGCTTCAATACTGATCACACTGATCTGCTCCCCAGCACATCTTCTCGCTCCCGCCTCACATTCAGTCATCGTCGTGGCAACACTCCCAACACCAGAGTTGACACACAGGGGAGCAGAGTCTTTGGGGCATTCAGACTCGCTCTGACACACACATCTTCCGGATGATTCTGTAAAATCAGAACAATGAGGTTATCTAATACAGTCAATAATGAGTAAGAATGAAAGGTTTCTTTTGGGGTCATAGATTCAAGGTGTGATCTACAGCAGTGGTTCTCAACTGGTCTCACTCTGGGACCCACATTTTCCCATGGTCCTTAAGTCGTGACCCACTTTTATTAAATTCAATCCAATAAAATTAATTTTTTATGAAAAAAAAAACCCTTTAAAGACTCAAATCTTTAACATAAATACACCCCTTTTATTGGGTAAAGTACGTTTCAGAGCACATGAACTGAGGACGACTACTACTAAAGTTGCATATCAACAGAAAGTATTAAATTGCACAAAATAAAGACCAAAAATAAACAAAACAAAAAAACAACAACTTGTTTTTACTGCATTCAGGCCACATTAATAAGAAACTGAGAAGGACCATGACATAGCGTGTGCCTTTCAAAATGAGCTCTTTTTCAAAACAAAAGACATGTCAAACATCAGATGCGCTTTTTTGACCAGCTGTTAAAAGCTGACTGGATCGTGACCCATCCAGAACGTGTCCGCAACCCACTTTTTGGGTTGGGAACCACCAGTTGAGAACCACTGATCTACAGAGTTATCCTTTATCACACTCACCCTCACAAGTTGTTCCTGGTTTGCAGTCTGTGCAGGACGTTTCCTCTGGCCAGCGACAGTCACTGTCAGTGGTCAATGTGAAGCCCCGGCCCATACACCGCAGAGCTCCCAGCTGACAAATACTGAGTAAACGGGGTTGACTTGAGCCCAGTCTGGCACACAGCTGCAGAGAAGTCCTACAAGATGAGACGATTCATTAAAAAAAACTTTATTTAGCAGTTGCAATCAAAAACCCACTTTCAATAACAAAAATAAACAACAAGCATACTCACTGGCACTGAAATGGCATTTTACACACACAGTCAGTTTTTCCTACAGTCTCCCACAGTTTACATTTTAGGCCAGAAGGAGGAGTGGGGGCTGCGGACACTGAGATGATACAGAGGCAGGTTTATTTTTGTACGCTCTGCATTACATAGAAACTGATGAGGTGAAATATATGAGCTCTGATAGGTATATAATATTCATAGATTATATAAGTATGTACATGAAATGGTCATACCTGTTTGACATTGAGCATCAGTTGGAGAGGGAGACCACTGCAGACTAGAACTGCACATGATCTCTGACACCTCACCGTTCAGCAGTGACCCTGCAGGACAGGACAGGGTCACTCTGTCGCCAATCTGATAGGCTGCTTTAGTGGGCGTGGCTATAACTTCACTATTGATTGGGGGGACAGCGCATGTGGAGCCTGGAGCAAAGAGAGGAGGAAATGAGGAGTCAGAAAGCTCCATATGGCAAAACTATGGCAACAGAGTGGTTCACCAGCCTGCATAAAACTCTGTTCACTGAAAAATAGCAAAAGAAATGGTAATTAGTTCAATAAGTACCTGCATGTATTTCAGGGATTTTCATGATTTTCAGAGAACCCACACTGACACAAATTAAAGAAAGACCCCCGCTTAAAAATCATAATATATCCCAATTTAAAATATATGTCCCAATGTGATTCAGCATGTGCTACACAAACACATTTTAAAAATGTTAATTTATTGCAATTTTACATTAGGAAATGACCTAATACGTTCATCCAGTCTTTGCTCACTCAGTATGTGCATTTTATTTGTTAGATGGAGGCCTGGATATTATTGGCCATGCTTTCACACCACTTTGATGCAGTCAAATGAAGCACAAGCCAGCTTTTAGCAAACCTTGGGGCAATTATTGATGAAAAAAATGCCTTTTTGGGTTCAGGAAAAAGATGTTTTAAACACAGTTTGAGTTTAAAACATAAAGAGCAGCAGATAGGCAATTATATTTAATATGCACCCTATAGTATTAGTTTTTTTTAACCACATTACTTCTTGAAATCACAATATTGACCAGTGTTGATGCTCATCCTTTTTATTTTTCAAAATCCTGCAGGTCTTGTATGAGATTTGCTAGAAAAGGGTTGAACCAAATATAGATAAATAAGAGATGAGATTGTTCATTTTTCATTTTTTAAGGCAATGCTGCAGCCTGCAAGAACAAATACAGCTCGTTTGAGTTTTTCCATTTGTAAAGCCAATGCAGAGATAGTGACTATTCTCTCTTTGTAGCAACAGACTGCAGTGTGTCGAGCTCCACCCTAAGGCTGAATGAGTAAACTTGGTACCCCAACAGAAGATTGCCAAAAAAAGTGGTTCAAAATGGATCAGTAACTTTGATGCTTTTCCCAACTTTTGACAGTAGATAAGCAAATAATAGTGCACTATACGTAACCACACTGAACTGGACCACTTGGTGGAAACACAGCTTTAGACATACTTATGCAAACCCTCACTCCCGGCGTCCACATCTGGTTTTCAGTGCACTCGGCCACAGCATCTCCACTGAGGTAATAACCGTCAATGCAGGAGTACTCCACTGTGTTTCCAACCACATACAAATCTCTGGGATCCTAAGAAAAAAATAAATAAATAAAAAAATAAAACAACTAAACCCAAAAACAGGAAGTCTAGAACAATAAAATTATATTTCTTCAGAGTTCATATGGTAGTCTACTTTAATTTTAAAATGTTCAGTCACTCTTTTTGAACTTAAGAGGCTCGTTGTCTTTACTGTTTTAATGCAGTTACCTGGATAAATCCATTCCTGAGGTTTGGGGGTGATTGACACGTCTTTGGTGGAGGCACGGACAGACTGAAGCACTGCGGCTCCATCATCCTGCGAACAAACAGTTGAGATAAAGACAAAACGTAAATATTACAAACACCCACTGCTTATTGACAGTGTCTGATATGTCATACTAATGTTATGGGTTAATGTTATTATAAAGGTATAATTCATAAGCGATATCAAATAAGACCTTATTACTCAGTGATCCTTTCAACACTAATCATAACTAACATGAACAGAATGTTAAGTGGCTTTGATTAAAATTTTGGTGCAAAAAACTCTAATTCTGGTTGCTGCTGTATATCAATGATACTTGAGTAACGAGCCTTGGTTTGGTGATGGTCAAAGTTTGAGATGTAGCAGATCTATGTCCTTCTTATCCTTACTGTAAGTACAAGATGTCTTCATCCTCGCAGGGCTTCTGCTCCGCCTGTAGTTCTACACAATGATGGCCTCCCCTGCTGGGGGCGGGGTTGTTGCAGCTTCTGGTCCTTGACCTTTGACCCCCAGAGCAGGGTCTCCAAGAAGACCAGCAGCTCCAGCTGCCATGGATCACCCCTGAGGGAGGAAAGTGAGATTCATTTTGTTTTTTTCAGATCTTGTTTTTTCAAGCTGACTGGACATATCGTCATGTTTAATTTAAGAGCTTATGAGGCACTCAAATTTCTTTGTTAGACCTTCAAGTTAAGTGTTTGTCTCTGACATTTAGAAACCATGAAAGCAAAGTTGAGCTTGAGTTAGGTTTGATCTCTTTAGACCTACATGATTTTCTTCAGTGATGTATTGTTCCTGGTTTGCTCACCTGGTTGTTCTCCAATCACAGCTCCCCTCTCACAAGCCTGTCCTGACGTCCCCGGCCTGCACACACAGCGACATACAGAGCCGGTCAGCAGCGGCTGCCCATTGTTCTGACAGGGCCGGCAGTGACAGGGGTGCTCCTCAGCCAGGTACTCCTCTGTGGCTCTTTTTAAAAGGAGCTTCTTTAAACCTGAACACTGCACCTCCTTCACCAGCTCATACAGAGGACGCAGCTGGAAAACAAGTTCAAGATTGTGTGAATACTCCGAACATACTATCCTATGACTAAAACATGAGCATTATGGAATATTAGAGAAGGACAGAACATAAAGTGAGTTTTTAAATGGCTTTGGCAGGACGGTGATTTTTGACAAGACGATGAGACCAATGAGATGTTAAAGTCTGAAAGGAGACATGTCACCAGTTTTTGTCTGGTGCTTGTAAACTGGGAAAGGGACAGTAATCTGGCTAAATGACCTTCTACTGAAGCTCAACATCACTGTGCATGTAAACATACCGATAATAACTTTCAAATACTATCCCACTGCAGCTTTAACCAGCTCTCTGTCATACCTTCTGGTCCACGACTTCAGGGAAGTCTTTGACAGATGAGGCCCAGTTGTCATAGATCTCCCCATTGGCTTCAGGGTTGTCCAGGTCCAGAACACTCAGAGCTGGTATGAAAGATGGATCCCCTCCATACACGTTCACCTTAATGGGCATTTTGTTTACTGTGTGTCCTGAAGAAAAGAAGCAAATGAGCTCAGCCGACTGAAAATAAATACACATTTGAATTACAACGCATTAATGAAGTGTTGTAATGTGATATGATTTTAATCAGAATGAAAAGTTGTTACCCACCATCTCTGGTTGAAAAAGCCTTTGCCACTTTTTCACAATGAGTTGTGACTTTCTTTCTAAAAAAACGACGTTTCACTTTTCTCCAACATCTCTGGTAATCTATATTTGTTGAACCTAAAGATCATGAGATCAATAAATAAATACATACATACATAAAAAACAGTCCAAAGCATCAAGTAGTTTAAGTACATCATATTTCTTAACACAGAGTAACTTGAATTTCTAAGATTAAATGTGGTAAATATAAGGGTTTAAAAATTGGTATTAGTATTCAACTCTGTCTGTAGCTAACATGATCACATATTTGCATTATTTAATATAAAAAAGCAACTTGTTGCTCATTAATTTTGATAAAGATGCCCTTTATATGTAGTACTTTTTAGTTTTTCACTCTTTAACTTATTGACTGCAGATTTATTCTAAAAACTAAAAGTTTGTATGCAGTTCTCACTATCACTCAATGCTTACGAGGAATTCAACCACAACATATTGTAACTAATCCACCAGAGAATGTGAGTGTTGAAACTCGTAGGACTAACATAATTTCCATCAGTGTATCTTACTGGTTGAATCGAGTGCCTGGCGCGTCAACTCCAGCATAGCTTGGTAATCGCCTCCCAGTGAGCCCTCAGAGAGGTAGTGAGTGCCGTACATCTGCAGCAGCTGACGGTATGCAGAGTAGTCGTAGGTATATGGCAGGGAGGATAAAGCCTTCCAGAAGCCCTCAGTAAGAGTCAGGTACTGGGGGGCAGAGTTCTGAAACTGGGCCAGCTCCACTTTGTTCTTCAGGATTAAAAGCTTGTAAGACTGGAGGATGGAAATGAAAAGACCAGGATGTTACTCCTTAAAGACTGCTGAAAAGAGTCTGAACGTCAAAAGGTAATCGAGCTGTGATTTTTATTGTCACCTTATTGTCGGTGACCTCTTTGTGGAAAGTGCGTCGGTCGTGTCCGAAGAGAGCGTTGGTCTGGATGTGCTGCACATAGGACCAGGAGCTGTTGTAGGATTCATCACTCTCGTCATTTTCTACTGTCACCTGTAGACCACATAAAGAAAGCAAATGTTGAGGTCAGACCTTGTACTGCTCACAGTGAACATAACCATCAAACACTTTCTTGTCCGACTCACCTCAAAGCTGTACCTGAGGATGTTTTGAGGCAGTCTGTAATAGACTTTATGATCTCCACTGAACACCTTCCTGCACTGCCCTCCAAAGCTCAGAGTGTTTATCACACCTCCTCGCAGTTTACCTGTCAGCACGTCATACCTGTAAAACATAACACAGCTCATCCATCTCACACAGGACAACATCGTTTTTTCCCACCGATAGCAGACTTCAGCTATAAATTCTCCAGTGCAAATTCAGTTTCTCACCCTCTTCCTGTGAATTCAGCGTTTGGAGGTGTTTTGTCGATGTCACATGAGTAATGGCTGCTGTCCGCCTCACAGTTCCTCTCATCCAGACCATCCTCACAGTCGTGGTCTCCGTTACAGACCAGAGACCGACTGATACACCGACCTGCAGGGATTCAGGTGTTCAGTCCACATGGCAAGAAGCATTGATTCAGAAAAGATGCTTGAGCATCATTTTATGAGCAACGCCTGATTTCTATGATATAATAAAAGTGAGTGATGGTACCGACTGAGACATTTCAAGAACGTTGAAAAAAATCATAGTCGCAGTAAAAGATGCAAGAAGAGGGATTTAAGTGTTGGTTGTTAACTGTGTTGTGACGTACCAGATGTGCAGTGGAACCTTTCTCCACAGCCATTTTCCAGGGGACATCCTTTCTGTGAGACACATTTCTGTGTTTGTGTGGCCTCTCCTGAGCATGGCACACCCCCAAACTGGGCATACACCTCCACATGGCGAGTCCTCAGCTGAAGAAAAGAACCGAAATAATCCTTTAACCATCTGAAACTTTGTGACCCACCTCCTTACTGCTGCACAACACTGCTGTTACATCTACACAAGGAGCAGCATCTACACATGGAGGCCACCATCCATGAGGTGCTTGTGTAAAATTAACCAGATAGAAGACAGAGAGAGAAGTGGTTGTTGAGAGCAAAAGATCATTTTTTCATGGTAAAAACTTGACAGAGGCATCTTTATATCACAGGAGCTTCTTCTCCTCAAAGTCCAATGTCACTTCACTAATGGCAGGGGAGCTTCTCAGTCTAAATCTGACCGCTAGATATAACAGGAGTCTCATTTTAATGCATTGTTCTCTCAAGGGATGAGGCAGGGTTTTCTGGTCATTATATTCAATTTTAGGATTCGGTGAGCATTACTTTTTGACCACCCCTTCAGGCAAGTCCTGTCAAAACACCCTACAAACCCTCCCTCAAGTCAGTCTCTGTTTGTGCTCATGTGGATGGTCTGCTACAGAGAGAGCCATCCAAAACTTCAGAGAGGGTTATCAGGCTCTCTACTGGTCTGCACCAATGCTGGCTGAATGCTGGTGTGACCCTGTTTACTGTCGGTCAAGTATGACACTTCATAAAATAAAGGAGCTCTGTGCTGTAACCTGCACAGACATAAACTGCTTTTCTATCATACAGATGTAAAAAACACCAACTAAAAATCCTATAAAAGCATTTAAACATTAATATTCAGGGGTTTTAAAAAGATTAAAAACAACAGTGCATTCACAGAATTATTATTTGCATGAGATGTAACCATGGTTATATAAAAATCCTGTTTTTAAGAGGGGGTAAAGAGAGCCTGCAAGAAAGCTTGCTGCTGTTCCTGATCTCTGAGCATGACTTCAAACAGAGTCCACTCAATAACAAAGTGGAATTTGAGAGGTTTGAGAAAGCTCCAGTGAGTGTACCTTTGTTCTGGAGCAGCCGTCGCACTCAGACCAATCCCCATAAGGTCCCCATCTGCAGTTTATGGGCTGCAGACAGCTGGGAGGAATAGATTATTAAACCATATTAATGTCCATCTCATGGAAAATATATCAGAGGAGCAAAATTAGATTTAAAAAAAATATGAACCATGCCAAGAGCACGTCCTCTGATCTCAATTTAAAAAAGATGTATTCGTACCCGCCAGGATCACAGATAATGTGAAGCAGAGACACATGTTTTATATCATCAGGACCTCCGTAAACAAGTGATAAAGGTGCTCAGCTTGGCTTGTTTGATATATTTGTGTGTATGTGCAATTACCAAACTGGAGACAGGAGGATAGACAACAGTGCCAAGGAAGGAAGACATTCAGCCAAATCCAGCTGTGCAAAAAGTGAAGACAACTGTTATTCAAATGTTGGGAAATAACATCACAATAGAGACCAGATAAAATGCCAAAGCAGGACTTTCCTCAGAGAGGTGAGTCTGTTTTTCTTCAGCTTGCTTTGACTTTCTGTAATGCTAAATTCTGGCTATTTCAGAATTGGCCAAATGGATGGGTGAATGATTTGATGGAAAAGAATAATAAACATTTTCTGCCCTTGACAAAAGAAATATGTATATGCATGTTGATGATATATAGAAAACTACTTTATTAAAGGTTAAAGAATATTTAGTTGTGAGTGTTTTCTTATTTAGGAATTACTCTACACCAAATAAAAAATAAAAGTGTCCCTGTGATTTTCTACCTAAAGCATTTATCATGTGTCTATATTCTCTGATTAGTGAAAGAACTTACATCCATTTTAGTAGCCAGATAGTGCACCACTTATCTGACAAAACATTATCAGACATGTACTTTAGGCTGTGCACTTTAAACAAGACCCTGAGTCTTTGGCCTAAAAATCAATTGCAAGTTTGATTGGATGTGCGTTTTCGGCTGCCTTTAACTGTTGGGTTTTATCACTTTCTCTTGCCAAGTTTGATCATTTACCCTGTTAGTATTTCTTTTATTACGAACACCTAAAACACAGGGTATAAGCTGTGTCAAAGTTGTAATGTGGCCACCCGCCACTAACTAGAGCATGAAGCTTTAGTTAATGGCCACTGGTGTGATAGCTTTTGAACTTCCCCAGTTCAAAGCTACTTCAATGAGTTTAATCTGGTCAATAAAATTCATATTAATAACTCTCATGATATTCAAAAGCAAACAAGACAAGCCGCAGCAAGTTTGAGGTAATTCTTTCTAGTGTTATGTTCTGTCACTGCTGGAACTGGGTAGGTGTGATGAGTTCAGCTGCTGAAGAATCAGACCATTTATTTACAATTTCTACTTTAATATTTATAACCAGTAATATATTTGAGAGTTATAAGTCAGCAGGAGGTTTTTTTCTTCTTACAGAGTACAACATTCACACCTGTGACATGATCAGACCAAAAGTTGCTTAATAGAGCTTTAATCCTCATCCATTTTGGATATCAAAAGCTGCTTGAGCTTGAGGTTTTGGCCTCAATGTATACGTAAACATTGGTGCTTATGAATATCTATTTCTGGCTGCAGTGTTTAACACCATCCGTGCATTGTCATTGAAGGCCTGTGGGTGTCTAATTTTGGATGAGGAAGCTCAGTCCCAGACAGTCCCTAAGATCTATTGCTGGCACTTAGCATTGGGAGTGGAATTTCATGAGAGGGTGACCTGAAATAACGACTTTTAATTCCAATACATGAGAAATAATTTAGATTTTGTTGAGATCCAAGAACTTGTTTGACAGAGTGCTAAATGCACACTTACTTTTGACTTCATGAAAAATGAAAATGTTATTGTTAGCTCTTGACACCAGCAGTTCATTACTCACTATATATACCTGGGTGTAAATAGTCACACTGGCTTTTCACCTCAGGTGCAAACAGCACTGACAGCTACCAACACTTGGCTGTTAATAACCACCTCTATAAAACTACTGTAACCTGAAGTAAACATAGGATCGATTCAGAGCCTAAACAAAAGAAATTAAATCACTAATCTGAACCAAATCAAAGCAGCTCCATCCAATCAAACAGTGAGTGAGTAAGTACAAAAGAAAGTGTGATGTTAAAGATGTTATAGAGTTTTACCTTCATGGTGTTTTCTTCAGAGGCCGGCCTTCTTGTTTGTGCAGCACTAAAACTTTCGAGGTCATATAATCAGCAGAACAAAAGATTTCTCAATAGATCCCAGAGTCCAGGAATTTCCACTCTTAAAAGCTCTCATCCGTTACATCCAAAACAGATTTTAACTGTCCCTGTTCAATCTATGAGTCACGCACAAAGACTTGGTGTTCAGCCTCAGTCCAAAGTCAGTCCAGCTTTGTGTCAATCTTTTAGCAGTGCGTGTTTCTTTCCAACAACGTTGTGGTCTTATTTAGAGTTAATATGTGTTAATCATATTTGCTTTGAATGCTTTGGGGTACAGGAGTGTGATGAAATCTTCAAATAGAGAACATTCTCATGGATTGCAACAGGAGCAGTTGTGTAACAAGAGGCAGCCCTGTAATCAGAAGCTGCGCATGAACGGTTAGAACAAAGGGCAAAAAAATCCCTGCTTGGCCAGAGCGTTTGGATCTCTGGCTCTTAGGATATCTGTGGAAAAAACATTTGAAATGTTAATTATCCACTAATACAAGAGAAAGTTTGACTACAATCCATGTTACCTAATTTCCAAAATAACAAAGTGATATAAACTACATAATTTTTCTTATTCTTTTGTGTCGTGTTTATTATATTCCTAGACCTTAGATGTCTAAATGCTCTCTAGTTATATTTACAAATGTCACTTTTGTCAAATTCCATGAATACAATGTCTCATCCATGTCTATGCACACAAGGGCAAATAAAGTTCCTTATTTGGTATTAAACCCACTTAGACTTATCTACATATGATAGTGCTGGAATATGGAAATCCTTGCTGGAGTCTCTGGGCGAGTCTCTGGCAGGGGCCTTTGTGTGGAGTTTACTGGCTCCCACCCACAGTCCTAAGACATGCTCATTAAGTTAGCTGGAGGCTCTAGGATTACAACCTGTCCAGAAGTTCAGAAAGTCTTTACACAACCCTGCCAGTTGTAGCAGATGACTGTCCACAAGTCTGGTTGTTTATGTTTTTGCTTATTACGAGAAGTTATTTCTTCTTATTGTCACGTGCTTACTTGAGTCCCCTTCTCTGTCTCTTCATTTATTACACAATAAAAAGCAAAGCCGCAAATTAAAAAGTACGGACAAAATCACAAAACACACCTATGAACCCTGTCCAAAAAAACAACAGAGAAAAAAGCAGTTTGCACAAAGGTGAACTGAGTTGTGACAGCCTCTTCAAGGCCTTGTAGAGTAGAGAGCTGTGACTGAACTGGAGTCAGTGAGTCATTAGGGATCTGTGTACACAGTTAGTTGTGGTTGACATCTAGTGGTGACAGAATATCCTCTTAGGGTTGATTTTTTACTGCAGCTTTGAGCTTTGTCCACAAACCTCAATTCCAACAAGGTTAGGATGTTGTGTAAAATGAGACTAAAAACAAAATACAATGATTTGAGAATCCTTTCCCACTTTTATTCAATTGAACACACAACAGAGACTTTCTTGTTTAAACTGATAAACTTTATTGTTTTGGAGACTGATTCCTGCAATACATTCCAAAAAAGCTGGGACTGGGGTATATTTACTGCTGTGTTACATCTCCTGTCCTTTTAACAGCACTCAATAAGCATTTAGAAGTCCTCAATTTTTCCAGTCTTTTGTTGCCCCTGTCTGAACTTCTTTGGGACGCGTTACAACCATCGAATTCATAGTAAGTGAATCTTTGCAATTAAAACATTGAATAGCTTGTCTTTGTAGAGTACTTAATTGAATTTGGGACAATAAGAAAACAGGGTTTAAATAATAAAGTTTGCTCTGTGCCTAAGCAACACTTTATACATAGACATGTTGGTGAGAATAATACTGCTTTTGCATTTACTTTTCAATACACCATTAACTCTTGGGCAAATTCCTTACATTTCTGGAGCTACTCGGTTTTAATCCCTGATTTTGACACTGATCCCACCATGTGAAAAATACCATCTCCCATACACTTACCTCCTCCTGGATATTCCTGGATATGCGTGGATAGTCACTGCCTTTTCTGTAATTGGAGCACAAACACATTATGACATTAATACAACAAACTGCACAATGTTTGGATAGCATCAAACAGAACTGTAGTCAAACAAATTCAGCAGCTGAGATGTAAACTAAGTGAAGGTTTAAAAAGCTTGAGTGTTTGACCCCTGCTTCAAGAAATGGTGGAGAAAAACAGAGGAAGTAAAAAAAAAAAAAAGAGCTCCACGTTATAGCTGTATTATATATAGCTGTAATAAATGCTAACAAATTGTGCACGTTAGGAAACTTTTCGCACCACATAATATCACTTCAAAATATGTCTCTGTGTTGCATTTACTGTAAGCCCCAAAGAGTCCATAAAACTTTGTGGTCGGATGTCTTACATGTTCTATACGCTCATTACCCATGTTGAATGATTTAGTGGCCTCTGTCAAATGTTCAGACTGTGCGTCTCTACTTCTATGTGTGTGTGTGTGTGTGTGTGTGTGTGTGTGTGCTATGATAAGTATGCAGAGTGTGTGGGTGGTACCCACTGACTCACTCACACTTTGTCAAAAACAAGTCGCTGACATGTGAGTGTTTGAGCCTCACATGTACCGCTGGCTGAGCATGACCTGAAATGTGACTCTGCAGACGGGGGAGTACAGCTCTGAAAGTTTAAGGAGCTGCTCTGTGACATGTCAACAAACATAGTCATACAGACAATAAGGCATCATTTGTGCTTTGTCAAATCTGAAGCATTTTCAATCTGTTTTTGTTTGACTGATCACAGTGTTCTACAATTATGAACTTTCACTGTGCAAAACAAGAGCAGCTTGCAAAGGTGTTGGAACTTAGTGTGCAGACACGTGTATTTCTGTTTTTCATTTACCCTGCCCTATATTCATGTGCTGCCAGGTTTTAATTGATTTCATTCATCTATAATCACTGGTTTTAAAGGACGAGCGAGCATCAGGGTAAAGTGAATTTTATATAAAAGGTGTTGTGCTGCACCTTGGAAAAGCTGTCCTTCATATGTTTTTTATTCTGGTGCGGTGGTTTGGATCAAGCGTGAGATGCAGCAAAGAAAGGACAGAGCACAAAAGCTCAACAGAAAGTCGTGATTACAAACATTCCTCTTGGATTCAATGAGGTTGAAAAGACGATCCTGGACTTAAATCATTTGCATGTTGACAAAAGCTAATACTTTTGTCTTCTGTATGGACGTCCTTTGCTGTGCAACATGCATTTCCCTATCTCTCTGTATTTCTCCCCAACTCAGCAGCGGCTTGGTGGCTGTCTAACATGAGTCTGGTCCTTCCCAAGGTTTCTGCCTGTTAAAAGGAGGTTTTTTCTTGCCACTGTCACTCATGTTAGATGAGATGGGTCAAATCTGTCCCATCTTAAGGTTGGGTCTTGATAATTCACAATAAGCATGGTCTTTCTCTTTGGAAAGCGTCTTCAGATGACAGCTGTTGTGAATTGGCGCTATATAACTAAAATGTGATTGATTGATTGATTTCATAGCTTACTATACTCTGTCATTTTTAATGCAGTAAACAAATAAAGCAAATGTTACATTTTATTGAAACTTTTGAACTCTATCACCATTTACCAACATCACTTAGCAACATTAACAGTATAATGTGATACTTTTATTTCTGCAGGCATCCAAACTGAGAGCTGTTTTCTCACCATGATTTTCAAACTTTATTATTTGACAGGCTAATTTTTTGTTCATTTAACCTTAATTTAACCACTAAAAAAGACTTACAGGGATTAAAAGTCTCTGTTTTAAGAATTTCCTGCTGAACATGAACAGCAGAACAGCTTACAAAATTTCCAAAAAAAACAATCATCAAGTTTATTTATGATTAAAATGGAAATGATTTTAATTAAAAGACATCAAACAAGTTGATCAAGTAAACTTGTCAAGACATTCGCAATCATAAATATGTCAGGCAAACATCTACAGCTAGGTGTGCATGCCTCCGAGTCATCTAAAACTAACCTTCAAGTAGAGCGTCAATGAGCTTCTTCAGATTAAACTCTTATTTTAAAAGGACAGGGCCTGCTGCCACTAAAAGAAGTTTTAGAAGTGTAACTCTAGATCAGTCAGAATGACGGTATGTCAGCGTTTTCAGGTCTGCGGTGTATTTTTCATTTGATTCTGCACACCTTTCTTTCACACGTCCACATTTCCTGCTGCCAGCGCCTAATACTTATCAGTTCCTCTCATCAGCTGTTTTCATGGCACTGTCACACACCCTCATCTCAACCCCTATCATCTTGCAGTCTTTCTAGTTTTTATCTCTCTCTAGTTTGTTCTTTTGTTTTACACGTCACTCCATCTCAGCCTCCACATAAATCCTGAGAAAATCCAACATAAATCACTATAGTTTCTTTTCACCTGAAACTGGAGGCCGTTGTTTTGTTTTAATGTAACTGTATTGTATTTCTGTGCCTGCTGTAGGACGGCTCCATCTCTTCTGTCTTCACTGAGCCATCTATAGCTCATATATTAGCAGTATTTAGATCTGTAACATTAGAAAGATTGTGGAATAGTATTGCACAGTGAAAAAAACACAAACAACACAAGATTAAAAATTAAAGTTCTGCATTTGCATTTTCATGCAGGTGTGAGAGTATTGGCAACTACTGAATGAAACCTAAGATTAGACAAGAAATAAGACAGCAGAAACTTTTGTCTAATGTAAAAAAGACCTGTAAAATATATTAAAGGGATATTCCAGTGTAAAATTAATTTAGGGTCAAACACACCGTAACGCTGAGTTAGACACCCCCTCAAGAGATGAATGTTGCTGACCGCTTGCTTCTCGAGTTATACCAACTTTAGTAACAACTGCACAATAGCAATACACAGCGGTCAACAAACCTCAACCAAAACGCCACTCTATAGCCACAAATAATGCTCAGAACAGCACCTAACTTCATCAACAGTAAAAATAGGGTCCTAGCCACAGCACTAGCCACTAAACATCTTTTTAACTTTGCCTAATTTCTTTAGCCAAGAGACTAAACACAACTCACCTACTCTCTTCCAGCAGCCTCTTGGCCAGTCCATTACAGATTGCTGCGGGGTGGTGCAGCTCAAGGAAGAACATTTATGCGGTCGATACTAAAGTTGGTATAACTAGAGAAGCAAGCGGTCAGCAACATTCATCTCTCGAGGGGGTGTCTAACTCGGTGTTATGGTGTGTTTGACCCTAAATTAATTTTACGCCGGAATATCCCTTTAATCATGAGTCATTAATTTAGGAGTAAGAAGCGTGACAACCAACTCTGGTCTCCCCTATTATAGAAGAACAAAACAAAAACAGGTAAAGACTGAGGTTAATAATTACTAGATTAAACCTGCTCTAGGGTCTCGGTTTGATTTATCCCTGTAGTAGAGCCTCTCTACCGACCGATGGCGCCCTCCTCTCCGCCTCCTGTGCTCCCACAGCTGTGCTGCTGCTCCAACATAAACACAGACAGCAGCGCGTCAGGCAGGGTTTCTTCGACAGCGTAACCAGCCCACGGTCAACATCCTGGTTTCACTCCGGGTTGTCAGCTTGTCCCCGCGGCTTGTTTGGACGGACTTGGGACCTTTTTTTGCCTCTGGTTTGATTTTTCACAATCGGTTTTTAATCGGGGGAATCTTCAAAGACCCCCTGGACAGGACAGGGTGCAGACTGCTGTCAAGTCAATCCACGGTGGTGTGGAGCTGCTTCTCATGTCCGTCCTGTGTGTTCCCGAGTGTGTACGCAGCTGTATGGACACCAGGATCCCACTGTGACCCACCCAGAACGGTAAACCGGAATCTTTACCGCCCTGTAAATGTTGAAACAACTTTTACTCATGTGTAAAGATGTCAGAGTTTTGACTTTGAGTTTTGGCTCACTTTGCCATGAATCTCAATCCCAGTGCGCACTGGAGGGAAACAGACTGAACTGTGGAGGAGTTGTTTTTTTTAATGAAACTCCTGAGAAGGAAAACATACTCAGTATTCATGTGAACCTATCTTACAAGAAAAATGAGTACTCATTTGTAAATTAGCTATTGGTAGGAGAATTTTAGTCATGATGAAGTTCCTGAACTCACTTAAATATTTGAAACTTTAAAGCTCCTGTAGGGAGTTTTTTGACATTTATGCAGTAGGCTGAAAAATGTATTCATGCCTTTTTTTAATATGACATTTAAAAGCAAATAGACCATTTACAACAAGATTTATGATTTTATTTTGTTGATGTTTGATGTCTCAGACCTGTTGGGGGTGGGTTTCAGTCAAGCAGCTTCAGAAACAGCCTAGTTTTATCGATTTACAGCATAGAATACAAATGATTGTTTAGATATATTTGACTGTCAGAAGTCAGCAGGATGCATTAAGAAAGCCTTTCTTTACAAACAGTCAAAGACGCTGACCTCTGACCATCAAATGTGTAAATATTTTTAGCCGCTTGGTACATACCTACTCGTCATGCTGGTTTCAGATATATAATTTACAGTATAAAAATGGTCAATCTTGTAGCTGATGGTGTTGTTTTCTTTTGTAATCGCATCAATATGAATTTCAGTCTATTTAACCAACGTCAAAAACTCCTCACAGGAGCTTTAAATAGTTTGTAGAAAACTCATACATTTATTGTATTGGTTTCTAAATAAAAATTTAATATTTAAATACTGGTACTCTAATTGTATTTGACTCTGAAGTGGCACAAAAAGGCCAGAAACACAAATGGCCAGGGGTTAAAAGTTACAGTGTGTTGAAATGGGAATATGTAGCGATACCAAATGGTCACATTTAAGATTTAGATGCCCCCTTGCTCACCTCTTCCATCAGTAGAGCTGCCAAAGGGACGGCTCTCTCTGTGGACGTAAACTCATGCGATGAAAAGTGTAATCCTCCACTTGTCAGTACAAGTTGTTCTTCTTTTTCCAGCTGGTGCATCTGGAACATATTCAAGTATTAGAACATTCAGAAAGCACATTATAAGATTAAAACAAACAAGTTTTTAATTCAGGTAATCACTAATGGTACATATTTTTGAGTGTTTCTGTTGCAGGCTGATCTGCTAAATGTTGCTTGATGCTACACCTACACCTTAAACTTTTCCATGTTTCGTTCATCTTACTTTTTAAGGTCAGCCATGGGGCTCAGGCAAAGTTACTTAATGTTTCCAAATGTGTGCACTTTTAAAAATGAGGATTGTGTCGTGAAAAAAAATGCATGAACTCTCCCCTTCAAGTCTGACAGACTCATCAAAAAATTCTGCACTTGTTGGTGCACCTGCACAAAAACAATACTGCGCTCTGCGAGAAATCACTAACATAAGCGCTAAAAATTTCACAAAAACATGTAGAGTTGGATCTTATCTGTCTGTTTTTAAGTAAAAGGGAATTCCCGTGGCTGCAAAGTTAGGCTACCTATCCTTCCTGTTTCTACAGTTTGTAACACACCTGTCCTAACGTGTGAAAACAAAAGTTTCTCACTGTGATGTTCTCTTAGCTCAGCATCAATAACTAATGTGACATCTGATAGAGATGAACATAAGGGTCCTGATAACATGAGAAGATATTTACTGCGGTGAAACTTCACACCCTGGAACATACCATGAGCTGTTCCTTACTGAATGTTCTCCTGTTCATTTATTCATTCAGCACTTTTTTTTAAATACTTTGCGTGCTTCAGTTTCCAAATAAAAACCACATAACCCCAGCCCACAGAAAAATCCTACAGAATTAAAGAAAAAAATTCCCTAAAGATATCATAGCGCATATCTGAGGGAACTCCCACCTTCCTCTTTGTCTCTGTTGAAGCTTAGAGATTGAAGAGTTTCAGTATGAGGTGTCAATAAAGTCCAACTAACAGCGTAGGGAACTTGACTTTAAGGATCTCTCAGACTTTGCAAAGACCTTGAATTGAATCTGCAGCAGGTTTAGTCTGTAAATTTATCTTATCAAATTCTCAAGTGAAAAGGCTTCTCAGCTGTGAGTAAACGGATTCAATAAATAAAACTATGACAGAGGAGCTTTGCTGGCGAAATGAACATTTTTGCTCCCCCTGTACATTTAAATGTATGTAAATCTGGTGCAACTGTCAAGAATCTGGCCTCTGAGTAACCGAACATAAGCAGTGAAAGGTTATGTAACAGGGATTATTTCAGTGTCTTGCCTTTGTTTGACTAGAAGACACTGAGTCTGACCGATGCTGAATTTATGGAGCCAATTTGTAAAATACTTAAGGAAGTACAATCAAGGTTTGGCAGGTAATGATTTCATATAAAAACACTTACTATTTTCATATGCCTTTATACAATATGACGGGTTTAGTTCGATATCACAAGGGAAGGACCACCAAAGATTAATTATCATCCATACTGAAACCATTAACTGAAAGTGTAATATTACTTCATGGGACCCTCAGGACTCGATAAACTCAAATGATATTGATTTTCGGATTTTAAAAAATATCTTAATATCACCATAATTAGTTGTATTCATTCTTCGAAGGAATATATGTAATAGGGCTGGGCGATAAACCGAAAATTTACAGATACCGAAATGTACGACAATAACCAACGTCATTTTGCCCATGTGAATATATTCAGTGTCAAAAAAATATATTAAAAAATTGGTTTTGGATGTGTGTAGGTAGGCTATGGTCTTATGTCCTTTTTAAGATGCTGTCCTACATCAGAGACGTGACTCCACCCCATCCAGTCCGTAAAAAAAGAGGGAAAGACAGGTGAGGAGATGGAGGACAGTTCAAAAGTTGGAGCTATTGGAGCGACGGCTAAAGTAGACAAAGTTAATGTGGGCGGGGTTGGGCAGCTTTTGGAGTAGTTATCGTCAATTTATCGTTATCAAGGTGAACTGCTCAATATATTGTGATATTGATTTAAGGCCATATCGCGCAGCCCTTAATATGTAATGTATAACACTTAGACACTAAAGATTGGTCCTTCACAGAGACTGTCTACAGTAAAACATCAACTTTGCATCAGTGATGCCTCTCACTGGTTCCTGAAGAGGTGTATTGTATGGTGGTCCCCATATTGGAAATTCTGACTCTTGGTTGACTTTGCAAGGGGCAGAGAGGCAAAGTCAAGGTTGAGTTAAGGCGGGCCTTCAGCGCCCGGGCCAACAGCTACAATGTACCCACCTGTCAGTCATGTCAGCCGCACCCTTAATTATATATAATTTGCAGCCTTTATATTGTGAGAATGAACGAGTTCAAGTAAGTCACCCTTGTATACAGTGTGTACAAGTAGAGAACTAGTATCTTGTGACCAAAATGGTATTTTGTACTAGGCCTCTCGAGAGTAGGGAGAGGAGCAGGAGGACACTGCCCAGCCTGGCAAATGGTTTGTGTTTTTGAGAGAGCTTTAAAGTGAATGCATGTAATACAGAAGCCAATTGTTGAGTTATTGTGTTAACCCATAAAATGATCTGCAGTTATGATTTTTTCCATAATTGAGCTGACTTTTTCGTTAGTGTCCTGGTTGTAAAAGCTGTGAAAACTTCTCCATTGTATCCACTTTAAATCCAAAACAAGGTTAAGAACATTTGATATCTTTGGCACACCCGGTCGTGTCCCTCCGGCTGTATTCAATCTTTTCACAAAACTCCCTCAGTGGCTTATATTTCTGCATGGTGACTTGGATGTTGAGGGATTAAGCCATTGCAAAACCAGCTATTAGACAGGTGTAAGGTTGCAAGCGTAACAGGAAAAACACATTGCTCTTTTTTCACAAAGTAACAAGGCATTCCGAAGATATTTCCGAGTACTTTAAACTTTCTGGGAATCATAAACATCAGGTGCTCTTACTTTAAGGCTGAAAATCTCTGCCTCTGAATCCTTATTGAAAGGGTTTACAAAGATGAGTCATCATAAGTAAACCTCATAAATAAACTGGGAAACAAACTAAGGGGGGTGGGGGTCACTTCAGTTGCTTTACTGTTTTGAAACACACAGTTCCTGGAGGGATAAACAGTGTGATTCCTGAGAAGAAAATGATAAATGAAACATGCTCGGATTCTGAGTTACTCCCCCACTGTGCAGTAGTCGCAGTGCATTATAATCTCACATTTAGATTATTTAGCTGACATGCTGTCTCGCTTCACATGAGAGAAATGAGCTTGAAGGATACAAAGCAAACAATTCAGGAAAAGGTGGTTTAATGATGTGAAATTCATGTCATAGTGTTTGCATGTACTGCCTTGTTCAATGCTAAAAGGAGGTCAAGTGTTGGTGCAGAAGTGTCAGTGAGACACTACTTGCAGATCAGTGCGTAAGTGTAGCATTAGAGGGATGAATGGAGTCAGTATTTGAGTTTAAAGAAGGGGAATGGCCTGAAGCTGGAGGAACTCTTCCAGTGTGGGTTCTGTGTTAAGCTACAGTACTTTATTTGTTAAGGTGTAGCTGCTCAAAATCAGGATTGGAAGGCAAACAAAGAAAGAAGCTGTTAGTTTAAGGATAAGTGATGAATTGAGCTGAAAGTGTCATCACCCAGGCATTTAAAAGATAAAATAGCCTCACTCTTATACAGATGTCTCATTATCACCTCCAAAGGAAAAAATAGATTATCAGTGACTGGACTTTTTCTTTTAAGCACTGGTAACATTTGGCTTTCAGTAGGTTTGCTTGATGTTACAAGTGAAAAAAATACCTTTGTGAAGAATGCTCCTGATGTAAAGCCTATCATTATCTTATACAAAGGAAGGTGTGTCTTCACAAAGCCTGTATGAATTAAAAGTCTAGAGAACATACAGATCACAGGTTCAGGCAGTGAGCCTGGATTTTTGTCCTAAAGAGTTCAAAGTGTTCCCGGAGTTTGACAAAATATTTGCAAAGTGAGTTCAGACCAGCTGGATGTTTTATAGAACATACTGATAAAGCCTGATGTATACACTGGAGCAAGATTTATAAACTAGGACATCAAGATGCTTGACAGAACACTTTAATATGCTCTGATTTCATCAGATTTCCACTCTGGGTGGACCCAATCTGTCCTCTTCTTATAAAAGTCGAGGAGTGTCTCTGTTAAATGGTGGTGGTGGTGGGCTGGGCCTTCATGTGTTGTGTGGTTCAGCCTGGGTGGACTGCACAGAGAAACTAACATTTGCCACATGTTTCCTCGACAGCTCGACACCATGGCTGCTGCTGCTGCTCTCACCATGCTCGCACTTTTCCTTCACATCTTCTCTGCCTCTGCGCTGGAATCAGCCTCCCAGGACGGTATGTTTGTGAGGGTTTTATTTTTTTCATTCTGCAAATGTTAACTTAAAATACCTGCATAGTTAGAGTTAATTTGATTGTTTTAACTTCAGTTTAGATTAAAATTACTTAAAATTGTCCAAAATCTGTTTTTGGAGTTGATTCTTTTTTTTGAAGTTTCTGGATGGGGTCATCTTCAAATCCTGTTTGTTTGGAATCAAAGGTTGCACAACAGCAGATGGACTGGATCCTAAATCTGCTCCTAATTGGCTAGGGGACATTTTGTGCCTGGAAAAAGTACAAAATATTTATAGCTAAATAGTTCCTGGGCTACATTTGCGATAAGATGTCTATAAAATGCATCGCACAGCAGCCAAGCTCTCCTGACAGAGCTGCAGGGAACAGCCAGTGGATTTCCAGTGAAGTGGCTTCCCAGGAATTCTGCAGAGCAGAGTGTGCTCCACAGTTGAACAATGAGGAGCTGTTTAGTGTGTAGAGGCCCCCTTTCTACTAAACAGCCCCTTAGCGGTGGTGGAAAGGATGTGTATTTGCATACATGGACTGAGTTTTTTATCCACAGATGTAAACAAGCTTTGCACTGACCATTTAATCAGACGAGGACATCCTGTGCTTTTGTCTTGTTACATAACCGTGTCAGTAAATGAGCAGAGGCGTGGAAGGGGGACATGTTCCTTTCTACTTCTGATCTTTTACTGCTGCTACTCATTTCATTTCTGTTTTCATTTTATGTCCTTACTTGGCACCGGATCAGGCTGTGTGCGCAGGCATGTCTTCTCCCGTTTGCACACTATGTTCAAGTTTGCAAACCTCTAACAGCCTGCAGATGTCTGACTCGATGCCTTGATTCTGAGTTTGTGAAATGGTTTATTCAGTCAACACGACTTAAGAGTTACGGTTCATGGCTGCTCGCCCAGTGGGATGAATTATAGCGTGTAATTGAGGAATAGACATAAAAAAAGATATTTGTAATTTCAAAATTTCCTAAAAAGAGTGACCCAATCATGCAGATGCAACTACTTATAAATGAGAGCTTAGCGGGTGGTCTCGAGGTCAAGAAGGAAGGGGACCACAAGGTCTTCTGCTCCCTATCCTAGCTGTGGGGGCTACTTTTAGTGTCTTTTTTTTAACCTTTTCTTCACATGCACATCACTCCTGACAATATTTCTAACATTATCCTGCAGGGGTGCATGTTTGAGTGCAAATTAACCCCTGCTTTAAGAGGACTCCTTTCTCATGTGGTCTCTATGTAAAGTCGGTTTAAGCTGATGTGTGAACACAGCAGCTGACAGTCTGGAACATTCACCTAACAAACAGATAACGTTGTTCACATTAATCCAAGGTTACTGCTTTGTACTCTTGACTGCTTGGGAAAGTGAAATCAGCTCAGAGACAGTAACCATTATAGAAGACTGCTCTTTCTCCTACACACTCCACCCTGAACGGACATCACCTACAGCTATCAGAGGAGCTCTGGTTGTAAAAGCATGTCAGCCATGCACAAACCCTTGTAGTGGGCTGCAGGTATAAAGGATAATTTAATCTTTTTTAGAACCTGAGGGTCCTGAAATTACTGAAAAGCTGTCAGGAGATCACATGTAGAAGTGCTCTTGTTAACCTGACACCTGTGAAACTCTCTTCAGGGATTTTTTCTGAGTTGTCTCTTCAAAGTGCATTTTTTTCTTGTGACGTTTAAAAGTTTGTGTATCTGGCAAAAAACATCTTGAGATGATTTTCTATTGATGTTTCATATCATTATACCAAAAATTTTATTATATATTGAGTTTGACATTTATTTAAAGAACTGCATCTTTTAGGACCTGCTTTCCATCAAAAACATAAATCAAATAGCTCATTATGAACTCTGGATTTTAGAGCTTTTTTTCTCGTCTCTCTGACTATTCATGGACTCGCTACACATTCACGCCACATTCATACACGGATGACAAGGGAACTATGGAGACCATCAGTATTAACTACAAAGTAATCCCATTCAAACCCATTTGTTGACAGCTGACTGTGTGTGTCATAGGGAGCAATTGTCTACGAACGCTTTGGTATGTTACTGGGTGCAGGAGTTGAACTGCCAACGCTGTAATTTGGAGGTTATTTTCACAGAAATGTATTCAGTAGAAACTGGTAACCTATTAATCCTTTCTGCAGAACCAGTGATTTTGGCTGCTGAAAAAATTCCACCTTTTAAAACCAAGTGAAATCTTGTCACACTTTCTGTTACTGTGTGAATCATGTTCATTTACAGCCCTCTGTCAGCACCTTAGTGAAGAACGGCTTTATGCACAGATGCATGGTGTTCCTCACTAAGGTGTGTTATTGCGAAGTGACACAGACAACTACTGGCCTTGTATGCATACATATATGTTTTTTTTGTGTAAGTGGATTATTTCCAAACCATTGTTGTTCAAACACGTATTTTGTTCTGTTCTACTCTGAACGAGGCTCCAGGGAAAACTGGTTCTGGAAATTGAGCCACAGACAGCCCTCTGGGACAGGGAGACCACGAAAATATGCAAAGTACAACTACTAACCATGGAAATCTTGCAATACTATACTATTAATAAACTCACAATACATTATTTATTGCAACATTTAAAAAAGTAAAAGAAAAAAGTAAAAAGGAGACTTGGATAAAAATGACTTTTTTTTCTAATCTGAGGGATTCTTCATGTTTGATTTCACCTGACACAGAACAGACCTGAACACTATTGCTGTAAAGCTGTAAAGTCTGATGCATTATTAATAATGCATTATATAAGAGTGAGGCCCAATCTTAAAAAAACAAGTAGATAAAATAAAACTATCAATAAGAGCCAAAAAACTACCTTTTAGGATCTTTTTTTATGAGATTGACACTTCTATAGCAACTAAAATGTCCATGTTTTTTTTTTTTTGTACATTTAAACTCAGACAGACATGAAAACAATAACATGACAGAGGACCCTGGAAAACAATAGTATGACCATGAGTCTACTTAAGCTATGAATACATATAGAAAAAAAAGGAGAAGTTTCCTTTAAAATGCTGTTTGCCTGAAATAACCTCTCTGGCTTCAGTCACTGAAATTGAATGGTCTCTCAGTGGGAGGAAACAAGCGTTTCCCCCCTTACATGATCAGAGCTGATAGATCACTGAGGAATAAGGTCAGGCTGTCACTTTCAGACAGGCAGGGCTTTTATTTCTGCGTGTTGTTCCTTATCAAAGCTTGTTAACATTGTAAAAAGTCCAGTTATGACCGATTAGGACATGGTGGCCCTTGGCAGAGGAAGGAAGTGGCTCTGAACTCGGAGGATGAGGTATATCCCCTGAGAACGCACTGACTGATGTGTGAACACGTGACCTCTCTCTAAATGATTGTTTGTCCTGTGAGCTGACAGGAAAAACATAAATAATGGCATCCCACCAAAGCTTTATGCTAATAGATGCTATAACAAGAAAACACTTATTATCATCTCCAGGCTCTGTAGAGAAAACACTGGAAATGTTTTCACAATTAGCAATGTTTACCTGTTAATTACAGGAACGGCTAAAGGGGCGAGTGAGGTCTTTAAGGGACATTATTGCGAGCTCCTGTTTCCTGCTTCCTTTGAAATTATGCCTGAGAGGAAATGCCTCTGAGCTAATCAAAACAGAATGAGCGAGAATGTTTTGTTTCGCCCTGAAATAGACTGTGTGGGCAGCACTCGGAGAAAATCATGCTGTAAACATGTTTACCCTGTACGGTCGCCTCAGCGAGAGGAGTCCTCTAATGAGAATGCATTGTGAATTGATAATCAGGTCTTGGAAATTGCGTGTTTGCTTTGCAGCCCTGATGGCGGTGTTCAGAAAATGCTCGGCCTCCACTGCTCTAATGTTTACTTACACCAGAGGTGAACTCTTGTGGCAGCTGTTGAGCAAACAGCAGCGAGCGCAATAGCACGGACGTGAAGCACACTCGATAGCAAGTTGTTCTAGTTTTACTAGAAAAAGCACCCTCCGCCAATAAGAGCAGGGATAGTAAAAGAAAAAAAAGTACACCAAACAAACAGCATGTGTAGCTGGAAAAAAAAGAAAGTCAAAATGAGGATCAATACAGTTTTTTTCTCTGCTGTTTGGCAGAAACACATGGCTCTATTCATCATTTTTACATTTTTCAGGCAACTCTTTGAAACTTCTCCGACATGCAGCATTTTTAGAGACCCAGTGATGTTCTTTTTAAAAGCTTCATATTAAAGGCACTGTGAGGAGATTTTACCGGATTCTGACAGCTGCCGTGAGAACCTTTGGTCCCATCACTTATCAAAGATTATTTTAAGTATCTTTAGGTAGTTTTCTCTGCTAAAAAACACATAGTTTTCCACAGTAAGATAGTTTTTGTGCTGTTCCAAATGTGGAGAAGCATGTGTCTTCAAAGAGCTGTCAACCAGGCGGGGTAATTATTTCACTTTTGTCACGTGTGTGTGTTTAGTAGGAGCTCAAATCAGTGCGCAACTAAGTCAGAGAGTAAAGGAAGTGATAGATTTGAATATAAACCACTATAGTATCTACAACATTTGTGCTACAGAAGGAGGAAATACTATCATGTAGCCAGGGGTTTGAGAAAGGAGAGCAGGGAGAGGAGCATGCGAAGGCAGGTGTGTGCCTGAAAAGCCAAGGGACGAGACAAAGAGGCTGCAGCGAGCACGAGCGTGCATGAGCGTGATCAAACTAACACTTGCTAGGCTGAAGTGACAGCAGTCTGTTATATCAAAACATCGAATTCTAATTTTTGTTATAACAAAGATAAAGGTTTGAAAAGGCTCATAGTGTGTTAAATCTGCAGCATATGATAAAATGACAGAGGAAGAGGAGCCCAGATCCTTCAGCTTCAGAGTGTAAAATTCCTGCTATACTGTCATTGATTCAAGAGAGCATTTTCATCAAAACTAAATCAAACCTCCTTTCTTAAGGTAGGGCTAGGGATGACGATCGATGACTGAGTCCATTAAATACCCATAAATATATATATGTCTAAGTTATGTATAATATAATGTTTTGAAACATCAATAGAAAATCATAAATTTCTTTTCAATAAGATGAAAAACAAGAATAGGCGCTTGGGGATCCATCAAAAATAGGTAAAATAAAATAATGAGCAGATTGTTTTGCACACATCAACTGAAAAAACACCCAACATAAATCAGTCAAGAAAAAAACGCTGCTATTACAGGATTTTTCTGTCCTGTGCGCACACTTCAAAAACTACCCAGCTGTCATGATTTATCAGGATGGAGTGAGCCATAAAAGTGCTTCACATAGCTGAGTGTCAAATTGATTTTTCTTTTAATCCTGAGCTAAGCACAGTTCCGAGGAGGACTGGGGGTCTGGTAAACAGGTTATTTTTAACCTGTAGCTCCCCTTCCACGAAGCACCCCGAGTAGGCCAAAGGTATTCATCATCTGCTCTCAGTGCTGCCTCTCTGCAGTAGAGGAGCCATCTTGTCCTCACACGTCTCAGTACTTAGCCCGCTCAGTGTGTGTGTATATGTGTGTGTGTGTGTGTGTTTCCTCTTTGAAATGTTTGTGTCATCAGCACTACTGCTGCTGTCCCCAGAATCACTGGTCACAACACCTCCTGGTAATACAATCAGAAGCACTTACCGAGAGCAGGGAGAAAAGCTTCTTCAGCCCTTAAAGGGACAGTCCGCCTGCTTTGTGCAAAAAGGATTTTCTGTCTCACCCAGTGATGTTGCATGTCATACAGGAAGTTGTTTCCTACCTTATGAGGAGTGAAACGCTCTTTGAAGATCCTTGAAGAAAGATGGTCCATTGACATCCGGATTTTGTTGAGACCTGAAAAACAGAATTTTAAAACCTTATTAAATTCTTACACTCTCCTCTTCTAGTTATGACATTTATCCCAGTAACACTGGGTGATACACACACCTGTCCAGCCCCTCCCTTGATGTTGGACCCAGACTCAATGCCAAATTTGCACTCTTGCATTATCTCTTGCAGGAGTTCATCCATTTCATCATAACGGTCCATTTGTGCATGGATGCTTATCTATACTCAGAATTGGTCCCCCGGTTATGGGACATTGAGATTCAGCACGCTGCTACACGATAGCATTTGGCCTTTTCATTACATTCTGGCAGGTGTTGATTATTCAAAGCCTCAGATATTTGATATATTAAATAAGTTTAAGATAACGCCTGAAAGGAAGTGCAAGAGAGAGGGTGAGAGAACAGAAGCAAAGGAGTTCGCCATTGCACACAGAAGTGGAGGGGAAAAAAGAGATTTGCAAATCTGTACAGATCACAATCCATAAATGCTGCCAAACTGCAAAAGTCAGATCTGGTTTAGGGAACCCCCTTACCCGCAGTACGCTTCCCCTGTATGACTGGTAGTTTTCATATGATGGTGACATGACCCCAAACCTGGTCTAATGTCATCTCCTGAATCAACAGTTTAGAGAAAGTGAAAACACAGCCACATAAACACTGTTCATAGAGGCATTTATTGTATGTTTTAAGCAGAGTGCTTTTTAATGGTACTGAAACCGATACCTTTGCTACTCTTACATGCCATAACTACAATGAGTGTATCAGTGCAACTTAGCTAAAGAGGAAAAATGGTCCTCCTTTTTGGTCCATGTCTCCCTATTTTGTCATAACTTTGGACTCGAAACACATCTGTTGCATCAAAACACAACAGTCTCCATCTGAAGCACATAAACAGCAAATATCGAGTCATTTTTATCCATTTTGTGGCCACAGCACAGAGGAATCTGGATAAAGCTACCCACTCTGTGTTTACCGACTTTCAATGTGGACAGTAAAACATCACAGAGTTTGATCCACATCAAACTCTGTGTGCAAACGCATTTCTAAGTATTGAGAAACATATTCCCCGACAGCTGTGGCAGTGAACTCTCTCGCCGCAGCTTTCACTTGAAGAGCCGTAACGAAGACTTCCAGGAAAAAGCTGGTTTTTGCCCTGCGGCTGGAACGCTAACCAGAGTCACATATATCATCCTGACTGTGAAGTGGAGCACAGCCGTCTCCTGAGGCAACAATGAGTCATAGCACTTACAAACAGGACTGTATAATGAAACAAACCCTCTTAAAAAACAATAACGTGATGATTTTTCTCTCTCCTCTTTCGCTGTCTACCCACAGTCCTCCCTCAGAGAGCCCCTCACCTCACCGGCTGCTTCTCCAACAACATGGAGACTTTCCGCTGCAGATGGAATGTTGGAACGTTTCAGAACCTGACAGAGCCAGGAGATCTGCGTTTACGCTACATCAACATAAAGTGAGGGGAATTTTTTATAAAGGACAAACAGAACTATGTTTTCTATTCAGAGACTGAAAGTGATGTACTTATTACAACAATAGATGAAACCTTCGCCCTCCAAAAAAAAAACAAAACACTAAAATGTCAGAAAAAGTAAGAGTGCTTAAGATGGAGAGACCCTGAAGAAAAGTTTGTGAAGGTACAGAGCTTCATATAATTAGAAACTCTGACAGAGGAAAGAGAAATTGGCCTTAAAAAATTGTAGAAATACACAAAGCTTTATTTATTTGTGTTGTTTGAAGTGCCCGCTTCCATAAATGCCCTATCTTTCCCCCTGGCAGCAGCTATGACCTCAATCTCTCGATGGCACTCACTGTTGCTAGGCTACAAAAATTGTCGCATGGCACTTTTGCTTCTCTTAATAGTGACCATTACATCTGTTTTTAAGCATTAGCAGCAATTCCACACCTGGAAATGTTACCCTGAAAGCAACGAGTGAGGTGTGTTTGGTCTCAGCTGTTGACGCAGACAGGGTGGGTGGTCTAAGTCCCGCCCCTTCTTGATTTTGATTAAGGAGAGTGACACTGACAAGAGCAGTGGCATTAATACAAATGCTGATCAAATGGCATTAATGGAAACAGGCCCTAAAATAAAGATGAAGCTCCACTCGGTTTGATTTTACTCTCGCTTACACAATTCATATTTCAGCTTTTTCTGATTCAAGCTCCCATTTCCTTTATATACCAGAGCCAAATATTTTTATATGATTCATTTTAATAATTTAAATTCAGACTGAACAATTACTCACAATCAATGCAGGCTCACAAAAAAACATATCTTTGCTAAAACTATATGAGAAGCGTATTTTGTTGATAAAACAGACTTGTCTTTTAATGTAGGACAGCCGTTCCCTCCCTTTTCGCATTTTTATTTTTTCTGCTCTGATTGAGGTCAAACACGGTCGCTGTTTTTACAACTGTTTACATTGATGTGTTCAACAACCCTCATCTGGCTTGTCAAGCCTGTGTTTACGAGGCAAAAGTCCAGTTCAGGCTGCTGCTTGATTTGTAGATATTAACCTGATTTGAAGAGTAAGTAAGTAAAACCGAGACCATGAATGTGTTTGTCTTTCTTCAGTGAGTTCGGTGGTTCAGTGGTTAGAAAATGAGTAACCTCGGGTTACAAAATAACACCGAAAGGTCATGGGATGATTGAAATGACAAGCCTTTCATGACTCTATTTTGCCTTGATGAGATGAATATCCACATTTGTTTTAACAATCATGACACTGAGTTGTGTACAGTCAAACCGAAAACCCATCGGCTCCTTCTGGAGTAGAAATAATAAAAATGAAAGTTAAAAAAAAAAATCCAATTACATGGTTTTATCAGAAAAAAAGTCAGAATTATTCTCGGCACAGTGGCAAACTTCAACAAATAAAGGAAACAGTCATTTTGTGGAGGACTTTCTCTTCGTTGATTTGTTTGCATTTGGTCTTAATGAGTGGTATCTAGTGGAAACTGGACAGTGCCCTCTAGAGGATGACTAATTAATTAAGGAGTTGTTTCCTCCCTCTTCCAAATGCTTGATTTTAGACTAACGTTATCCTCCCCCCCTCTTGCAGACCTCCTCATGTATCCCCTACAGAGTGGAGTGAATGTCCTCATTACAGCACCGAGAGGCCAAACGAGTGCTTCTTTAACGAGAACCACACATCCATCTGGACTTTATACAACGTGCAGCTCCGCTCCAAAGATCAAGCTACTCTCTATGATGAGGATATATTCCAGATTCAAGACATTGGTAGGTTAACTGCTTGGGTGACAAGATTTACAGTCAAATAAAAAAGAAGAAAATTCAGAAACTATTTGCTGGCATGGGAGCATTTTTTTATATTCTGCTTTTTCTTTTTTGTTAAAAGTGTTACAAGGATGTTATATTGAATTATTCAAGGGTTGCAATGAATCCTATTTCTTTCAATGTCAAGGGTCTGGCAAAAAAGTCTTCATTCTTTCCTTCGCTGCCCTGTGCATGACACATCACCACAGTATACTACAGGATATATTGATGAATGTTGAACTTAAAAATCTGCCACCAGATTGGACGCACAAGTTTTCGTAGCAGGTTATCATCATTGCTGATTATAAAATTCTGGTCGTGCAGTGGAACCAGACCCTCCAGTGAACCTGAACTGGACCCTGCTGAACGTGAGTCTGACCGGGTCATACTATGACATCATGCTGAGCTGGAAGCCTCCTCAGTCTGCAGACGTGGAGATGGGATGGATGACTCTGCAGTATGAGGTCCAGTACCGGGATGTCAACTCTGACCGGTGGGAAGTGGTGAGTGTCCCTTAGATTCTGAATTCAGCTGTATTAAAACTATGAACCTAACCTCTGAGACACTCTCTAGTAATCTGTATCTTCCATTTTTTCTCTTAACTGTAAGAACAGAGCCCAGTTTTCAAACCATGCTCACAAAACTTCTAATGTTACTGGCAAAATCAAACAATCAGATTGAAAAACTTCTACCTGCGCTCAAAATCACATCGTACACACAATAATCAAAATTAAACGCTACTGAGCAGGTGTTACACACTCCAGAATTCAACATTAGAATTAGCAGTGTGTCCCACTAAAGCAGACTTCCCATTTCTCACTGTAAGATTACACAAATGCAGAGACAGAGATTCACCATGTTCTTAGTTGCGGTCTACCTCATCCTGTTTTTTCTTTTCATTATCTGTCACATTCACACACTCTCTTCCTGCCTCTTTGATATCAACTTTTTTCCCTCTGAACTGGATTGTTAGGTGTCGTCATCGTAAATATCAACAAGTGTTTTCAGTTTGTGTATAACTTCTGACACCTGTGGTTTGTTGTTATGCATCACAAGTGCATTATTGTGCAAAAAAGATGAACGAGATCTGCAAAGCTACCATTTTGCTATAAAACTCAGAGGTTTTGTTGAAACTTCACTTATTTATGGAGATGAAGATTGCAATGCTGTAGCATCCTTTCTGTTATTTGAATTTTGTTCTCTATGCTGCAGCTTGAACTTGTGAAAAGCACACTTTGCTCCGTTTACGGCCTCCAAACAAATGCCAACCATGAGATCCGGGTTCGTTGCAAAATGCTCGGTGGGGGAAGGTTTGGAGAATTTAGCGATTCTGTTTTCGTCTACATACCATCTAAAGGTAAACACTCCCGCTATGTGTACAGTACATTATGATTGACTGTGCTGTTTCAAAGGCTATTATAGTCGCCTTATATTTACAGCTGAACGTCCTTGTCCTGCTGAATGACTAGGCTTGTACACATTACAGTTCTCCATCCTCTCAGCCCAGCTCTGTTTGAATAAAGCTATAGAAACATTTCTGTTCAAGTACAGAGCCCCTATACAAACAGATATATAGAGATATATTAAGGAATTCATTCATTTTTCATCACAAAAGTAAAAGCCTTCAATGGTCATCTATTTAATATATCAAATATGATGACTATATGAAGTAAACATGTCTCTCTGTACATTTCCCTGCCAGTGTCGAGATTCCCTGTGGTGGCCTTGCTCATCTTTGGTGCGCTGTGTTTAGTAGCAATTCTGATGTTGGTCATCATACTGCAGCAGGAAAAGTAAGTGCTATGGAAACACCAGGGAAGCTGTTAGTGCAAGGACAGTAATGAAAAAAAAAAAAAAGGAAAAAAAACCTGTGCACTGCTGCTTGGACAGTATGCTCAGCTCACTTTGTCCGCTGCTTGGCCTTGCAAAGTGCTACAGTGTCTCTTAGCTGTCTCTGTTATAGTTTTAAGCTGCTCATACTGATGTGTGAAGTCAACTGTACTCTCTAAATTTCATGTGATTTGTGTGAAATGTCAAATTAAACAAACATGTCTTTCTCCTTTTTTTTTAATTCACCAAAGGTTGATGGTTATTCTATTGCCTCCTGTTCCTGGACCTAAAATAAGAGGAATTGACCCCGAGCTACTAAAGGTATTCATCTATCTACATGTTAGGATGCTCTATGAAAGCTTGTCGATTTAATTGTTACAACCTGTTGGATTTATCAGTCGCCCAACATGTGCAAAGACAGCGACATTAAAAGGGATATTCCTAAACACAACTCACCTACTCTCTTCCAGTAGCCGCTTGTTTGTAGCGAGACCTCGGGCCAGTCCATTACGGACTGCTGCGGGGCAACACAGCTCAAAGAAGAACATTTATAATCATTACTTTATCATCTCCTTGAAGTAATAATCATCATATTAATAATTTTGCGTCTTGGTCTGATTGCATTTCCATGAAGAAATGATCATAAATGTTCCTCCTTGAGCTGCGTCACCCCGCAGCAGTCCGTAATGGACTGGTCTGAGGTCTTGCTACAAACAAGCAGCTGCTGGAAGAGAGTAGGTGAGTTGTGTTCAGTCTCTTTGCTAAAGAAATTAGACAAAGTTAAAAAGATGTTTGGTGGCTAGTACTATGGCTGGGACCCTATATGTACTGTTGATGAAGTTAGGTGCTGTTCTGAGCATTATTTGTGGCTATAGAGTGGCGTTTTGGTCGAGGTTTGTGTGTGGCTCCTTAGACCGCTGTGTATTGCTATCGTGCGGTCATTACTAAGGTTGGTAAAACTAGAGAACAAAGCTAATAAGTGCTCCAAGAGTTTATAAACCGATGATTCTCAAAGTGGCCCCCTTAAATATTCAAACCAGGTTTTTTTTGCCCTGCAGAAAGGGAAGTTGAGAGAGTTGACATCCATTCTTGGTGGCCCCCCTGATCTGAGGCCCGAGCTCTACAACAACGACCCCTGGGTGGAATTCATCGATCTGGACATCGAGGAGCAGAGCGACAGACTGGCGGACCTGGACACGGACCATCTCATGCAATCATCCTTGTCCTCAAACAGCACTCCCCTCACCATTGGCTTCAGAGATGACGACTCAGGCCGGGCCAGCTGCTGCGATCCAGATCTCCCCAGTGACCCGGAAGCCTCGCCTTTCCATCCTCTGATTCCAAACCGCACCCTCAGTAAGGAAGAACTGCTCCCAGAGGCCTCTGAGCCAAGCCCTGAGGTCCACTGCCACACCACTGGGGAGCTTTCTTTTGAAGCACCTGGCAAAGAAGCTATGTACACTCAGGTGAGTGAGGTAAGGTCATCTGGCAGGGTGCTGCTGTCACCTGAGGAACCAAGTGTGGTGGAGAAAACCATTAAGGAAGATGTGAAAGCAAAGAAAGAGAAAGAAAATGAATTTCAGCTCCTTGTGGTGAATCCAGATCAGAGAGGTTACACTTCAGAGCTCAATGCGGTGAAAACAAGCCCTGAGCGGTCTCCAGGAGACACGTGTGAATCCTCTGAGGCAGGAGGAGACATGAGCTGTCCGACATCCCCGTCTCCTCAACACGACACAGACACCATGCCTCCTCTTCCCCCTGCTCCTGTCTACACCGTGGTGGAGCATGTTGACAAGCAGAACAGCCTCCTACTGACACCCAATTCAACACCAGCCCCCCAGCTTATAATCCCTAAGACTATACCAACACCAGACGGTTATCTGACCCCTGACCTTTTGGGAAGCATCACACCATAAAACATCATAAAACTGTATAAAGTTAAGACTGTCCAATCAAAGGCAGAGATACGCTTGGGAGCATGCAGCTTTGGAGATTGACAGCCCCAATGTCAACTCTCCTAAAATAGTTTGGGACTATCTGTGCCTGTCCTCTCACCACCTCTACCTCCTCTGGCCTCAGGCTGCTTCCTTTGACAGGGCCATAAAGCTGACACTGCTGGAAGTTTGGCATGAAGGGGGAAGAGGACACAAGAACATTTTTACTGCAGTTATGAAAAGGGAGGTGTTGAAAAGGAAGAAAAACCAGCTGGGGACTGAGAGACTTGTAATAAAAATATAACTGTTGGAAAAGAATGTAAAAAATGCCACTGCAATAATCAACCTCCCAACAAAAATAAGAAGACGATTCTGGCTGGACAAAGGAAAACCATCGTAAAGTTTTATTCAGTTGGATTAATATTAAATCTCTTTCAAGCTCAGATGTGATGCTAACTCCAAATGTGTTTCCTGAGTCTTTAGCTGCTACATTTTCTAATATCCACACCAGTTAAAATAATTTGTTTTCTAGCGTTATAAGTTGCTTGTCGTGTCTTTGTTTTTATGCGATCTTTGTTTTATTAAGTGATTTAAAAGCCTTTTTTTTGTCAGCAGGGGTTTTATCAATGTTATCATAAGGCTATTAATCTGTGCATTGATTCGAAGTGGAAGAGCTTTACTATCACACTTTGTATTGGTTAAAAAACGTCTTGTATGTTAAGAAAAATCAGGTTGATTGTAAATCACATCATCTTTAAAAGGATGTGCATAACCATCTATTATGTGCACTTGTTGTGACTCAAACATGTCTATGTTCGACTGATGTTTTTCACGTTATATGTTGTTTATCTCATAATCGTGCCTTTTCTTACAACTCAGTCTTAAAGGGATTCATACATCATGTTGTTGCCAAAGGAGAAGCTTGCTGTATGTAAAATGCTGTGCTTACCCATACCATGATCTTTTCGTATGTTTGAAACTGTGACATTTCTGGGAAGCTGATTGCACAGAGCAGTTTTGTTATTCAGTCTTTTGCTCCATTGGTTTTGCTTTGAGTGCATGGACTATAAAATAATATTTTTCTTTAACTTTTGTGACTATGTGCATTAGATACCATTTAAAAGTTGGTGCTACATGGTCACCAGTGTTGAATTTGTGCCTGTTATACAGTTGTAAATAAACAGCTATTTTATCTTTGGGTTGTCTTATTCATCTCAGTTTATTTATATTTGGATTTAATGCCACATTCTGAAAGTGTCAGTATTTCATTTATAGTAAACACGGGAAATTAGATAAAAAGTAATACTGACATAAAAATCCGGCTGTAATATTTTGAAAGTGAAACAAGAAATTCAATGAACTTAAAAAATTGTTGTTGAACAGTCGTTTATTATTACTTCCAGGATCTGCTTTAGCAATAATACAACAGAGTAGAATGGTGACTCTTCGTGCCAACAGCACTCACACCTGTCTGAGGTGATTCTGTCATAGCTGTAAAGGATTAACCCATAATACCTGCCCATTTACGCTCCATCGCGAGGCTGCACTTACACATCTACGACAGCAGGTGTCACTGTTGCGCCATTCAGCTGAATTCAGACCGCAGAGTGTAAACATTAGCATAAATATCTCACTTTAGCTCTCGCATTTCTTGTGAAGACTAGTGTGTGAATTCATCCGTTATTATAAGATATCGTATTTATTTTTCTCTTTAGTTATTTTCTCAATTTCGCATATGGCGAAGTCAAACGGTGTTAATCTCGACAAACTTTTGCAGGTTTTTAATCAACTGGAAATGGTAAGACAACTTTAGGTAACAACGTCATGGCTAACTGCGGTTTTAGGGGGGAAATTTCATTAAATTTTTGTCATTTTAAGAAAATATTTCATCTTTGGAAGCTGCACTGACGAGCCAAAAATTATGAAGACATATTAAACATAGTGATAATCGTTAGCTGTTGATATTTTCGTCAAAGATAGATAGATAGTTGCATAAAATGAACACCTGGAACGTTTATTGCCTCAAACATATACTTTAAATTGCATTGCAACTACATAGAAGAAGTTCAATGTTTTCATCTGTTTATTTCGTTCAGGGAATAACAGGAATTAATAGCAGAAACAACTGTTTGGAAACAACGCTGGAGGATGCCACCAGACAGCTGAAATTTTGTAAGAGCAAAGAGAAAAGTCTGACTGAAGGTAAGTTTTCCTCTGTTTTTCAGGCTCATGTAACCCTGTGGCTTAATATCTGATATCCCTGTTGTGCTAGAAGGCTTCTATGTCTCCATCTGCTGGTGATTTCAGTGTTGACAACTCTTCGGTAAGGAAAGTAGCTATTGTCTGTCTCGTTATACGCCTTAAAAACCTAAACTATGATCAGCTGTTTGTCTTATCATAAATGGGACTTCTGTTACACCAATTATTTTGGTTATTATCTAAAATTTGCTGTACTTTTGCCATCAAGTGTAGCATGTTTTCAACTGTGGCTCTGAACAGTTACTACATTTTGAGATTGTAAGGATTTAAGCTTTAAAGGGAAATACAATTTAAATATCGCCCCCAAAATTTTGCTAAATTACAGCCCTCTTAACTTAACTAACTCAGTGAGATTCAATATCTTTTTTTTTAGTTTCCTAGCCAAGATAGACAGCAGCCCTTTACTCAAAGTTTCTGGCAGACAAATAGCAGCCATACATACAATAGTGTACATGTAAACATCAGATTTCCACAACTCGGTAAAATGTGTCATAACAGAGCAAGTCCAAAAGTCCTTGTTGTGTCTGCCTCCATGTGGTTCAACAATGCCAGGGACTTGTAATTCATTACAAGAAAAGTCTGCTGAACACTTTTTCAGAAGCTACATAAACTCCGTTTCCATAACTGAGTTGGTGCTTACTTGAAATTGATTGTATTTGGTAGCTGAAAACAGTCACAGTCGTTCCACTGGTAAAAATTTGCTGTACGTTTTCCAGAGAGAGACTGTCTTCTGGCCACAGTTAACAGTTTGCAGCAGACTCTGCAGGAGCATATGAACCTCAGAGGTAACTGTAACAAGACAGTTGATTTTTACCAGACTATCTGAATACACAATAAAGGTTTAAATAAAGTTTTACTATCCTGAAACTCTTCATATTGCAGTGAAGAATGACGAACTGACGAGGGAAAATATGGACCTAAAACAACAGAATGAGCAAACTATGAAGGTGAGCTCAGTGACAGGGCCTGTTGTTCACTGTAACATGTATATTTTTGAACTACAAAGACATCATTTAATGTCAAATTGCTAGCAAAGTAGTGGTTTTATCATATAGACATTTAAGCCACATGTTAGATTGCACTGTGTAATCTGTTGTGTGTTTTCATAAGGATGGAGAGGCGGAGGTTCAGCGGCTGGTACGTGAGATGAGAGCAGACGCAGAGAAACACCAGATGGAGCTCGAGGCTGTGAGGCAGCAGTGCAAGAGAGAGGTGGAGGATGTGCGCAGAGAGGCTTTCGATGAGAGTAAGAGTCCACTAAACATTGGGAAAACAATGTGCGAATGTCCAGCTTTTTGGAGAGTACTGTTATAATACACACATAAAAGTTGTAATGATGCACAGGCACACCTGTAAGAACCACTGGAGGAAAAACTTTGAGGCATTTGTCAAATCATTTTTAAGGAAACATAATCAAAATCATATTGTTGGGGTTTTGTAACATGTTAGTCCATGCCTACAGCGTCTAAGCAGACTAATCTGTAGTGCTAAAGATGAACCTTTTATCCGACTTCTGTTTGGTATTTTATTTTCTAAAAGCGGAAGCCAAAGTATCTGAAGTAAAGAGTCTGCTGGTGCAGAAGGATGTGGATCTTGAGGAGATCAAGAAGAAGCTGAAGGAGCAAGAGAAGGAGAAGCAGAGCGAGCTCCTGAAGTTACAGATGGAGGTAAGTAAAGGTTTGTGTGACCAGTGAAGGAGGACAAAGATGTGTGCCCTGCAGGGTTAAAGGGTTCGTCTAAGCTAGCAGCGTCTGTCTGTCTGTCTGTCTATCTGTGGGATAAATGGTTGAAATCTGGTTCACAGAAGTCTTGAGATTAAGCAGAAACTCACACAGTACCTTCATACATCCTCTTTTTGTTTCAGTGTGGATGTTAACCATGACAGTACCTGACCTCAGCCATAACAAATCCATCACCAACCATATGAAGAAGTAGAAACAGCAACAAAAGGATCAGTTTTCAATCCATATACTGTATGATCTCAATACAGTTTTAGCTCCTGGATGACTAGCTCACCTTTGTGATCATCAGAGAAATTAGCTGCTTGGAGGCAGACACCTAACAGGCAGACAAAAAACATCCCAACCAGCTCTTAACCAATCCTTTCACTAGTAGAGAGAGCATATACTGTGAGAGAGAGATAGATAGATAGATAGATAGATAGATAGATAGATAGATAGATAGATAGATAGATAGATAGATAGATAGATAGATAGATAGATAGATAGATAGATAGATAGATAGATAGATAGATAGATAGATAGATAGATAGATAGATAGATAGATAGATAGATTTTATTGATCCCAAACTGGGAAATTCACATGTCACAGCAGCAAAAAAATACAAAATACAGTTTAATATAAGAAGTCAGTACAATGCAGACTAAAAATACCCAAAATACTAAGTATATACAATAAATACAGACTAAATATACTAAACATCCTAAGAGATAAAAGTGAGATATGAAGAACGTGGGCTATTGAAATGAGTAATAAATATGAAATGCGAAATATACAGATGGGATGATAAATAAACAGACAGACAGTTTAGGGGACAGTTGGTAGTTTTAGGCATGTGAAATCTCGTGGTTTTCCCTCTGTTTTCTGTGGCCACCACATCTTCAGGAACATGTAGTGTGCCTGCATCAGTTACAGCTTTGCACCGTGTCCCTCTCTTGTCATTTGAAATGCATTGAGAAAAGGATTTTGCTCATGTCTGCCGCTTTTTGGAGTCTGGTTGTGGGCTCATGCTTTCCTGTGCATCTCTGTTTGAATTGTGCTGCTTTAAGGATTCATTTTGACATCAGTTGAAAGAGGAAACTCTTCTGCATCAATGTTAATTTTACACTAACTCTGCCTCTAAATACTCAACTTGATATTTTGGTTTAGCAATCATCAACAATCTCAGTTTGTGAGTTGGGTTTGTTTTGTAGGTCACCCCCATTAGCCTTTCTGCTCTGCTGTGTGTGTATTTTTAAAGCGCCTCTTTCTTGTGCGTCTGTGTTCGTTTGTAGATTAATGGCGTGTGTGTCCTTGTGTTTGTGTCTGTGTGTGTCTGCAGAAGCTGCAGTTCTTACAGGAAGAGAAGAATAGGGAGATTGAGGCCCTGCGTCAGAGAATCAAAGAGCTGGAAGTGAACCAGCGTGTCTGCCCCAGTGTAAATCCCCTAAAGAAGAAAAAGATCTAATTTCTTTATGAGCTAACAAGCTGCTGACCCGCATGCTTCGCAGGTGTGTCAAAAGCCCCGACCTCTGAGGGGGCAAAAGGGGCAAAGGAGTTTTGTTGTTTCTCAAATCTGTTTAATTTTTCAAAGTTATTCAGTTTTTTGGTTTTTCTTAAACAGTGTGTTCGAGGAGCTGGGCTTGTTATTGTCCACTGTCACTCATGATCAGATTTGTAGTATTAGCACGCTGCTTGCAGGTGACCGGTGTGTACAGAGCACATTCAGAACACATGCTGTAGTCCTGTGTACGGTTTTAATCCAATCAGACGCCTGCATGGGAGTGACAAAGGGAGGGGGGCGGTGTAGACGCAGGAGACGTGCCCTTGGGAGTGAGTGTGATAGCTTCAAAGCCAGTACCATTCAAGGAATTAATGAATCTATCTAATCCCTGTTCATTCAAAGAAACAAGAAACTGTTTAACCATTTCATCTCCTCTCTTTTTGTCTTGATGTAAAGTTATGACTTTCTCTACAGTCTGTAATTTGCGCTCAAGGATTTTCTACTGTTGATGTTCAGTGAAGTAAAAAGTATTCCTTTCTTAGTCACCTAAAACTTCTTAAATGTTTAGTCATGATTTAGTTTTTATGCTAAACAGCGATTTCTTATGACAGCGCAGAATTTAGTCAGAGTATTTGTAGAAATGCAGTTTGTGTGACCTGAGTTTGGGAGGTGTGCAGCATTACATGAGAGTTCAAATGTTTTGATCCCGAAATAAAATGAGCTTGACAACACTGAGTTATTTTTGTACAGATTGCACAGACACTTCTGATATGGACACTTTAAGTGTTTAAGAACTGAGTGCAGAAAACTTGCAGAAAGTCTGAATAAATAACAATTATGTTGATATATATATATATATATAAGAAGCTCATCAATTCCTTTAGCTGCCATGCAGGTCTGGATCTCTCTGACACCAACTCAATATGTATGGGTTCGAGCTAAACTAGCAAAATGAAGATTAGTTAATTGCAAATTTGGTGCAAATAGTGGCTGAAAAAAATCAGTTTCTGGTGATCAAACTGTGATTGAGAGAGAAAAAAAAACTCTGGAGTAGCACTTGGAATTTGTTACACAAATGTGAAGTTGTGTCGTAGATATGATTAAAGTTCTCGAGTTGCACTTCATTTAAAATGTTTGAACGACCTTTGTTACTCTAATGTGATGTTTGCTCTCTGCAGCGTCTCCCTTCTGTCCCTCCACTGCTCCTCACAGGAGAACACATCTGAATGAACGGCGCTCCGCCTGGCGTTAACCCCATGGTCTTTAATCTCTTTAAGTGTGCTGCTCAGCCAGCCCTTAAAGGGGACAGAGAGATAATCTCTATGGGAACATTGGTTAATACCATTGCATAACATATCACCTTCACAAAAGCCAAGAGATCAACCTTAGCTGAATAAAACAGCCTTTAAGTGTCATGCAGCTGCTTCCTGATTTACGGTAAACTGAGGCATACTTTTAAAGTCAAAAACATGTTCGTCTATAATCTCTGTGATTTGGTGTGTTCTCTCCTGGTCTCCTTTTTGCCGCTCTGTGTTTAATTAGCCATTCAAAGTGACCGGGACAGGCCTAAATTACAGCAGGATTAGAAACCCTGACACCCTTCATCCTTCGTCACTCAGTGAGGAGGAGGCTGTCCCCTTGATGGGAGACTCAAACAGACACTCCCTCCCTCACCTCTTGTGCTCCTTGCCATCACAGTGCACAGTAGTCCATCAGTGGGGACGGACGAGGAGAACATGACGTTTCTGTTCTGCTCGCAAGGATCAGACTCTTTGAAGGGACTTTGCCAAAACCAGCCAGACCGCAGCATGTAGGAGAGGAAACATCCTTTTTCTGGGTCCCGCTGGGCCGTAAGATCAGAACCTTGTAGCTGTGGTTTGATGCAGATCTGCACTTTTAAAACTTGGTAAGAGAACAAAAATCTTGTTTTATCTCATATTTCTTTTTTTTCTTTCTCAGCTTTAAGTTTTGCAGTCTCCTGTACAGTCACCACTAAAATGAGTGTTCTTGTTGCATTTTAAGGAGCTTGAGTAGCTTACAAAACTGTGATCAGATATACTAGTTTTAAAAATAATGTTCTCATGGAGCAAAATTTTCACCATGTGGTGTCCAAATGTTTGTTTGTGATAGACCTGTAAATATAATATATGAGAAAATGTGACGAGGGGATCAACGTTCAGTGTAAGTCCAAACATGAGTTAGCAAAATCCTAATGACATAATCATGTTTGTAGATGACCTTATCCCCAGCCTGCCGCAGAAATGCCTGGAAGCCAGTACAAGGTGCCAAGCGCCAAAATTCACCACAGCCGATACAGCCTGACGGACAGCTCCGATTACAACCCCGAGGATGAAGATGCTGACGGCCAGCTACGCCTCACACCCCTGCAGAAGCTCACCACCGACATGTGCAAGGATGAGAAGACCATCAAGGAGCTGATCATAGGCCGCAGGGTGGGCTTCTATAAAGTCAGAGGGGAGATCGGCAGCGGGACCTTCTCTAGGGTGAAAATGGCTTTCAATGCTCTGACCAAAGGTGGGTGCTCAGACATCTAGTCTGACTGTCATGTGGGGTCAATTTGAGCAACTTTACCCCATTCACAAAAATGGAGGGATGCATATAACCTTAAAACTGGCTGAAGTATATGCAGCTGTACACGGTCATACATAGTTCAACTGGATTTTATACATTTAAAAAAAAATAATAATGCAAAGGCTATACACTTCCATGAGCTGAGATTTGCATCAATCTTTAACTGAATCTTTGCAAAAAAGCTCAACCCTGAAGAAGAACCAACTCTGAAAAGTCTAAAACCTGCTTTTTTTCCCTAAATGATGCCCTTTGATTGGTCAGACCTATTGGCCAAACCCTCCCTCCACTGCGTCTGTATCTGACTTAATTTACCAGGGTGCTGATGATCTGGCAAAACACAAATAGAAAATTTCAGAATAAATTTTGTCCAAAAACTGCCCAAACCTCAGTTCGACTCTGCAAAACAGTACACCTAACAGATGCTTTGGAAAACTCTACTTCTTACGAAAGCTGTTTCTAAAAAGTAAACGTTAATCTTCTTGCTCTTGTTTTCTGGAAGAAGTTAAGGCCTAAAATGTCTACAGTTTGCAACTAAGAAGTATGTTTCATAATTAATCCTCAGATAATAATAGGACGGCCAGAGACAAAGTCTAGTGACTGATGACTCAACATTATATCAGTGTCTGTACATCACTTCTACATCCGTGTATCTGCACTAATTGGACCCCAATAATTGGTGATGTGTGATTGATAACTGGACATCCAGTCTTTTGTCTTATGCATCTCCATCGTTCTTCTTTTTAGACAAAGTGGCCATAAAGGTCCTGGACAAAACCAGGTTGGACCATCAGGCCCAGCGTCTGCTGTCCAGGGAGATCAGCAGCATGGAGTCTCTCCAGCATCCCAACGTGGTGCGTTTGTACGAAGTGGTGGACACGCCAAGCCGCCTCTATCTGGTGCTTGAATACGCCGGGGGAGGAGACCTCCACAACAGGATCTGCACTGAGGGGAAACTGTCCGACAACACCAGCAAGATCACCTTCGCCCAAGTCTTATCAGCCATTAAATTTATGGTCAGTCACAAAATTTATCTTCCTGTCGTGTCATTTTATTTTCCGTTTGTTGTTTTTTAGTCGCACAGTTTTGAGGAACTTCAGAAATCACTTTTTAAAAGTACAGTGAAGGAGATGAAATATTTTCCTTCAAGCTACCAAGCCGTCAAAAGGCAGTGTCACAACTTTTCACAACAGATGTCAGTAAAGGTAGCTGTAAAGTGTCTGTAAAGTAAGGTAGCCGAATATTCGTGACAACCAGTTGACGTGGCGTGAAGAGCAGGGAGGAGGTAGCTGCATGCTTTTTACAACGGTTGACATTTTGACGTCAGTATGAATCTCCTCATAATCAAATTAAGGCTTGATTCCACCAAGCTTCTTCGTGACAGTGTAAATAGTAGTGACTGTAAAGGAGCCAACAGCAGGTCAGCAGGGGTTTGTAGGGTGTGAGTCAGCGGTGACCGAGTTTGAAGACAATCTGATCAAATGAGGTCATTAAGACGGGAGTTTCCTTTTTTTATTTCATGTTTTCAGCCTCTTTGAAGTATTAGATGATAAAGGCATCGACTGAAGCATTTTTGCTTTACTTGGCAGTTCAGATTGGACACTAATGAAGCCATTGTCAAGGTCGTAAAAAGTACTAAAAATAACTGTAATTACTTTTTTGTGGATTTGTTTGCCCACATGATAAAAACAACATTTACAACAGCTTTTTGGATACATGTTCTGTAACCATGAACAAAAGAGGAAGGAGGATCAAATGAGATTGTGGAAATTTAAATTTATTCCCTGAAACTTGAAGTTTTGAAGATGTTTATTGAGTTGGTTGAATCTTGTGAGTAGTAGGGTATTTTTCTCATCTCACCAGTATCTTTACAATACAACCTGACTTATAATAATTGAAGACTCACCCTGACTATTACAAAGAATACAGGTTTAAGCCTCTGCTCTATGAGCTTTGTTACTGAGCAGGTTAAGTCTACTTCTGCTATACAGTCTGCCAAACAAGGTGCCAGAGGAAGTTCTGCCTAACTCAACAGGATTTTTTCATTTTTTATATTTTGACAAGGAATCAAAATCAGCCTTTTCCATACCAGACTTATTACTGTCATTGGTTTGCAGAGAAACTATTAATAGATAGTATATTTTGTATATTCTGTATATTTTTTTAGACGGAATTTAGACATTGCACTTTAACCCATTATTCAATAACTATTTATTTAAAAAAGCAACTGTGAGTTGCATAACTGATCTCAAAGTACTTAACCAAAATAATTATGATAGCGGTTCAGCAATATACAGTGTAGTAAAGATATAGCCCAGATTTAGACTCGGTCTAAATGTAGACGTCTAAAAAAACTTTAACATTTAGACTTGTGGTAGCCTGATTTTAGACCAGTCGTCTAGGCTACATTTAGACGTCTATAAGACCTCTTTCAGACCAAAAAATGCTTAGTAGGATAAAAAGTGAATCTGCTAACGATGGCATGTATGATTTTCTTCTGTGCAGCACAACATCAACATCATCCATCGGGACCTGAAGGCCGAGAACGTTCTCTTCACCTGCAGCGGCTGTGTGAAGGTGGCCGACTTTGGATTCAGCACAAAGGTTTCAAACCGCAACGACACCCTGGACACCTTCTGTGGCTCCCCTCCATACGCTGCCCCTGAGCTTTTCAAGGACGAGTACTACGTGGGTCCACCAGTGGATGTGTGGGCGATGGGGGTCCTGCTTTTCTTCATGGTGACCGGCACCATGCCATTTCGTGCTGAGACCATGGGGAAGCTGCGGCGCTGCATCATCGATGGCGCCTTCACCGTCCCTCCTTGGGTGCCAGGCCCCTGCCAGCGGCTCATCAAGGGCATCTTGAAGCCGGTCCCTGCCGAGCGCTACGCCATTGACCAGATGCTAGGCTGCGATTGGCTCTTACCAGTGGAGTTTCCCTGGTCACTAGTGCCTCCTGAGCCGGTGAGCCCTCTACAGAGCCTGCTGGACTTTGATCGAAGCGACCTGGAGGAGGAGGTGGAGGAGGAGGTCAGGGGCATGCTTGAGGAGCTGGGCTTCACTTCAGAGCACATTCAGAACAACCCGCTCAAGGAGAGCCGCAGCCCGGTCACAGGGGTTTACCGAATCCTGCTGCACCGGGCACAGATCAGGAGGGGGTGCGACACTCCCCCAGTGGTCCGGGGGATGGTCAGGGATCCTAAGAGGGAGGGGCTTAGAGCATACAGGGGGCTCAGGCACACCTCTAAATTCTGTGTGCTTTCATAACAGACTGGTATAGAGACACATGCGCACAGTTTTATACAGACGGGTTTTATATCAATAAAGAAAACTAGAGGTATTAATATTTTTATATATGGGACACTTTCTAATGACTGATTGTTTTTCACATTCAGTAGCTTTTGATATGTTTCTTCTTCCACTTTCAATGCAACTTTTTGAGATAGTGTAAGTGCCTGACAGTGTAAATGTAATGTGTGCAAACATCACTGAAGACTGAAACCCCAAGAATATTTCTCATCAGATTTGATGAGTAACCCTGGGTTTCACAGAAGAAAACTAAGTTTATTACAGTAGACAGGACTTTTTTTTTTAGCATTGTATGCAACCTTGAAATAAAATACTATAGTTTCATCATGCTATAAGCTTCAAAGTTCTAGCACTGGTAGAACAAGTTTTTATTTACCAATGAAAGTTTCATGTAAAACGTACAACAATTGATTGATTGATCAGTGTTTGACTTGCAAACAGTAACCAACTACATTTCCTCAGCAATCCAACTTTTTTGGAATTGAGGCAATATAAAGATTGATGAAAGTAAAAAATAGTTGGAAATATTAAACAAGATTTTTTCGAAATATTTAATTTCTGTAACTGTTATATCAGATAAAATACTTGAATGAATATTTCTGAATGTTTTCTGTAAGCTTCCAAAGCCTCACTTCAAAACATGAGGATGTGGCATTGAAACTTAAGGTAACACTTTACTTGACGCCTATCTCTATAACGCATTATAAATATATGTATAATGCGCTAAACGTTTTAGCACTGTATAAATATAGTTATAAACACTCGTAAATGATCATAATGCTTTATAGCAATAATCATAACACATTATAAAGCATTTTATCATGACTTACAAGGTCAGGTATTATAATGTGTTATGCTTATTGTGAAAAAGCCTTATGATAATGAGTGTTCATAATGATAGTTACACAAGTTTATAAGCAAATTATAACACATCATAAATATATGTATGATGAATTATCTATGTGGTCATTGTCAGTGAGTTGTTAACAGTTATAACACATTATAATACCTGACCATGTAAGTCATGGTAAAATTCTTTATAATGTGTTATGATTGTTGCTATAAAGCATTATGATCATTTATGAGTGTTTATAACTGTAGTTATACAATGCTATAACATGATTATAACGCATAATACATATGTTTATAATGCCTTATAGAGATAGGCGTCTGCCCATAGCACCTGCTGGTAGATTTGAAATATTTTTTGAGCGCACATGACTATTGTAAGATTGTTAAAGGGAAATTCTACACCCTCTGAAGCCAATCCTGTCTCTTGAGAGGACTCTTGTTTGTGAAAAAGTGAATAAAATGGTGCACTGAAAACTGATGCCTCACGCTGACTCCTTTGTTACAGCACAGAGCAGGTGTCTGCTGCTGTTTCTGCTGCTGCTGCACCCAAACAGGGCTGATCTCGCGCCTTTGTGGCCTGTTTGCCAAAGTTTCACTAAGTGCGTGCGAGTAAATAACAGCCCGACAGCTGGCAGGACACCAGATGATATCCACGACCCCTCATCATGACTAAAACCGGCCCAAACCAGCCAGACCAAACCCGTCTTGCACCCCTCTGGCACTGCAAACTGACTGACCCCCACGGCTCCTCCCACACACGCCCTGCCCGACCCCCACCTGCAGGAAGCGGCAGATGGCGCGGCGTGGCTGCAGAGACATCTGCAGGACAGACAATGGCGCTCTGTGCGGACCGCTGGAGCTGACAAGCCTGGAGCTGCGCTATTGTGCTGTGCGCTATACACATGCAGATGAGTCCTGTTGGAGGAGGGACCGTGGAGGGTTTTTTTTCTCCACAGAGAGCAGATGACAGACTGTAGCGCCTTACATGCAAATCTGCTGAGTTTACACTTTTGTTAGTTTCATAACCCCCCCCCTCCTCCCGTGTCTTTCCTTCTCTCTGACCTGTCACACCCACACAAAACAAAAACACTGAAGCCCTAACTTTGCCTTGCGAGAGAAAGTGAAAACACATCACAGCAAAAAAGTTATATTTTTGATATTTTATTGATCACTTCAACTTCACAATCTCCAACAACTTCAGAGGTGAGACTGCTAGGTTAAGTTCGTTTCCAACATTTTTCCAACATGATCACAACATAATCAGTCTGATCACTTCAGTGTTCTATATAATGTAAGGTCTAAAAATACAATTTCTATTCATTTTAAAATATTAAGTTAATCCAGTCATTTACTAAAGTGAAACCTTTAGAGGAGTGACTGTTCATTTTCTTTTTCTTTCTCTTTTTTTTAACATTTGATAAATTTTGTCATGTTAAATTTCTAAAGTGAAACCTTTAGAGAATTAAGACAATTCTGGAAAGTGGGAAACATTTCCGCTGTTTGCAACTGTTGTCATGTTGCTCAGCGAAGAGGCCATCTCTAAAAAGTCCCTTTTCAAAGACGCCTCTTTCTCAGCACCGCTTCTTCTCCTGCTGCGCGTGCTTCTAGATGCGACATTTGCTCTGTGGGAGCCACAGGACGCAGAACTCGCTTCTCCTTCCTCTCCAAACCTCATCCGCACAAAGAATGAGGGTCGATGTGTCGCTCTTGTGGCATACCTGACCTCATTCACACAAAGAATGAGAGTCATCTTGGCATGGACGGAACAAGAGGCGACGATCACGGGGGCCCCTCGGGCCGGCGCCGTGCTGCCTGGACGGGAATCCTCCTCAGGAGTATCCAGGGATGAGCAGAAACAGGGTCATCCTGTTCATCAGGATGAGTATTTCCAGATAAGAAGCTTTACAGCATCTGAGCAAAAGAGAGGAGCTGAGTCCCAAATCAACGCTCTGGGAGGCTGATCTCAGGGACCCAGTCGTTCAGACGCCGGCTCTCCTCACAGAACAGGTGCAGCTTCTCCAGAGAGGGGTCCTCCCAAGACCCATCAGCGGGGTTCTGTTCACACAAGAGAAGAGAGGCAGAGTCAGACTCAGGTGTCTTTCACAGCTTTAAGAACTTGATCAATTATTCAGGTTGAGATATCAGTGATTGAGCTCCACATACCGTGATGAGGACACAGTGGGCGTCTTCCAGCTGCTCGGCCTTATCGCCGACAATCTCAGCCAGCTTCTGCATGTCGCTGACTCTGACGATGCTGATGTCGTTGTCGAAGCAGAAGGACTGGATGAGGGTGAAGTGGATCTGCAGAGCGATGTCACACTCAAACTCCTCATCCATGGCCAGGACGCAGAAAGACACGCTGTCCGGGTCACTGTAGTCACAAAAGAAAAACATCCATGAGTTTTCAACGTAAAGTTAACTAAAGCAGAATATCAACTGAATCCTAATATTGTATATGCTTTAAATCTTCAGCTGAGAACTCATACTTACAGGTTCATCACTTTTGCGCACTCGTAGACACCCACGGTGAGGGAGTCGTTGTCTTTAGCAGCAACAAGGACCTCCTCCAGGGCTTGGCCGGTGCACTGGGCACGCTCGGTGGGCTTCTGGATCAGTACTTCCTCAAGAGTCATGATGAAGACGGTCGAGATAATTCCGCAAAGCGAGAGTTAGGGAAAGTTTGTTCGTTTGAGCAAATCCGCAAAAGGAGCAGAGTGAAGAGTGAGCAGCTGCCTCCCTCTTTTATACTCTTCAGCTCGTGCGGCACAGTGAAAGCCCTGCGCTCTGATTGGCTGAAGCTGAATGGTGTATTGGTATGATAATGCTATTGTCACACTCTGGCTCGTGGCAGATTGATGGGGGTCATCGAGCCACGCACGCTCCCCCCTCTGAGCTGCAGCAGACTGGACTAAAACTAAAAATAGCTTCATTAAAAAAAGAAAGTTTGATCAGTGTGTGGCACTTTTGTTAAAATGAGAGAAACACAGCAGCTGATGCACTGTGGAGGGATCCATGCTGGAGGTCAGTTTCACTTTTGCATTTGTTTATAAAAACTTTTCATCATGCACAGAAGTTTTACCTTCCTGGAACAAAACAAAAGGTTTACAGAGAACTACTAATCTCACAAACTACTTTTTTCTGACTATGAAAAAGGTTTGAATAGATTTTTACACAAATAAAAGTTTTCAAACTCTTATTTCTTCCATTTATTTTTTTATTTTTGCCTGGTGTTTTCAGCATCTACATGGAGAAAGTGTGAAACACCCTTCCCCCCTCCTCCACTCTTGGCCGAGCAGCAGCAGAGAGAAAGGGCAGGTGGATGATGCCATCTGTGGACTAGAGGCCGGCCATAAAACAGCCCTATTGTGCGCACAGAAGCCCTCTATTATCACTGCACCCCATACAAATGCAAATGACCAGCGCGTGCCAGAACGCTGTGCGTGCTGCTGCGCAATCTGCGCTGCAGGCCAGTGTGGACCACGTGATCATCAGCTGTCCTTCAAAATACTCGCTCGGTTTTTATTTATTTACTCTAGGGACTTCGGGGCCACACGCACTGCATAGAGTTACAGAAGAACTACAAGAGAACTTTCAAAGTTTACTGCAATCGTTCTTTTCTTTGTAAGCAGAACCACCAGATCTCTAAATGTGCTCAAACTTCAATAAAACCACCTTATCACCAAGTTTACGCATTTGAACCAAACTTTTACGCACAGCTCCATTTGGTGCTCCGTCTTTCCCGTGCAGACCTGGTCAAATAAACATGATTGTGATAAACTCTTTTGTGCTATTTGCATTTTGGAGTAACTTGTACTCACAGTCTCCAATCATTTATGATCATTTTTACGCAGTGTAAACATTGACGCACAGTTCTCTGTTCCACTCGTTTGCAGCATCTCCTCAACAGCTCGTGCCCAAACGTGTTTTTTTATTTGCATGATAATTCCAAACAAATCCTGCACTAGGTCAGGCCTGCTGCCACTGTAGCGTAAAAAAAGAGAGAGGAGGGGGGCGCTGGAGTGGAGAGGTGGCGCAGGAGACACAGGTTGGCGGTGATTGATTCAGCTCCATTGTTCAGAGAATGGCAGAGCGGCAGATGGAGAACTGTCGCTATGAGGGACCCCCTCCGACCCTCTCTCCTAAACCCAGGTCAACCCCGACCCCGGGGGCGCGCCGCTCTTTTGTCTACAAGTCTCCACATTGGCCGGTCTGTTGTCTGAGTTTTGATTAAATTTGAATGCTTAAGGGGTGAGCTCGTGGTCTAAACTTTCACAATGACGAATGTTATCTGCAGAAGATGGCAGACTTTGTATTCGGCAGATAAAACACACGTTCAGTCTTAGCCGTAAACACGCGCAAGAATGCTGACTGTGTGTTTGGCACAACAACAAATCTCTTATCTGCATGTTGCAGCAGCGACAAAATCATCTATTTATTTACATCACTTTCATTTTCTGTGCGCGTGCAGCAGACTCGCGAGTACCCCAGCTGGTCAGGAGGCTTAAGGCAAATGTTTGATGTGGATCCAGCTGATAGAGACTCAAACACTGAGCTATTTTAGGAAGGATCAGCTTGCGTGGCCACAGGGCAGGCGCGTGCAAATCGATACCGGCCTATTGTTGCTGCAGCACATCTGCCGCATGGAGGCCTCCCTGGCAACGCGCGACAGGTGTTGGTGGTCAAAGCTTTTTTTTTTTTTCCTTTGGAGACCTGCAGCAAGAGACAAACCTTTTGAAGATGGGTGGTGTCTGAAACTGCAGGACAAGATGTTAAAGTGTCTTCGGTCGGCGTCTGGTGTGTGGCAAATGACTGTGGCACAAAAAAATTAAGTTTGATTTCTTCTCCTATCGACGGAGTAACTAAGTGTTTTGAGTTTTAAAAGAAAAAGCAAACTCTCGATAATAACAGTAGAGTTGAATTTGTTTAAGCCACGTACATAAAATCATAAAGTACACAATCTCATCACGCCCAGCAGGTGCTCACTGACTTCCTTTGTCCACCCCTTTCCTAACCCCTCCCTAGGGACAGATGGTATCACTCGGTTGCCATGGAGAGTGATGCAGACAGAGAGATAAAGCACGAAGGCATCTCCAGATGCCACGCGCCTCAAGTGAGGTCCGACTTTACGCATGCAAAGCAGCGGCGCGTGCCGCTGTCTAATCAACAACAAAAAAAACACTTCATGTGGTGAGGCTGGACATGAGTTTGAAAAGTTGAACAAGCATGGAGGGAGAGAGAGTGGGCTGAAAACAGCACCAGACCGAACTTTTCAAAACACAATATATAAAATGAACAGTATTTGATCTTTTTGTGAGTGTGATTTAAATGATTGGGCTTCAGCAAATCTTTAAAATCATTGAAAGAGTTTGATAGATCATATCAAGAGTTAATAATTAAATTAAAGATATCTATGTGCATCTTATTTGATTTGTTGGCTATTATTACACACATGGTTTACATATTCTATTCTATTCTATGATTTACATATTTAACTTGTTTTTAAGTATTCCCCAGCAGCCTACATTACTTATATTGTTTAAAACAGCACCAAGAACTAAAATAAAGTCAAAACAAGCATAAGGTTAACCAAGCAAAATAAATAACACTCCTGGAGCAGTCAGAGAACAACATGAATTTATACGTCTGTTTTGAAGGTGTCAGAAGATGCAGTGATTTTTAACGTGACTTTCACTAAAATGTGACCATCGAAGGGTTTGTGTTTTGTAATTTTAAGATACATAATCAGATATAGAGAGATATTAACCAGGGCAATAACACATTGATATCCCCTTACATCCAGAGGAGGGAAGGGCACTAAAATATCAACTCAAGCAAAAGTTAGAGTGAAGTTACTTGAAGGACATTTTACTTAAATTGCGGTAGAACTTCCAGTCTGTTTAACTACTCGAGTAAAAGTCTAAATTACTTTGTAGACAGAACAGGGTGAGAGCTGCAGCAGGTTGAGAGGTGAAAAGTGGTGTTAAGTGGTGAGGCGCTCTTCAAGAATGAGAGACAAAGGTCTGAGGCAAAATAATAAAAATAAAAAGACTTTTCAGGTTATTTGCAATATAAGAGCTACAAGTTCAACATCATTCGAATTAAAGCTCCAATGATGAGATTTTGATGTTAATGAAAAAGTCTGAAAATCATATTGATGCCTTCTCATGATGTCCAGAGGCAAACAAGACATCAGCAACAAAATTCATGACACTTCTTTCTTTACTTTTAATGCCTGAAAATGATGCAACAGGGTAGCTGTTTTTGTTTTACACTATAAACATGAAATATGCTCCAAAATTATACATTTCATGGCCAAATGTCAGCAGGATGAGATTTTTGATTAAAAGTCCCACTCAAGTAGGAAAAGGACGAGATAAGGAGAGAGGAAATGTTGTCAAGAATTTAGACAAATTCAAGTGATAATGTTTCATCTTTTGCGGTGTGGACATCATTTACTCAGTGGGTTGTCATGTAGCAGATGAAAAGCTTAAAAGCTTGTCTTCTCATCAGCAACTTATTTTCTGCTCACTATCAAATGCTATATGTTTAGTGAACTAATGTATAATATGTGTAAGCGACAACACTCAAGTATAAACACTGACTTTAAAAACTACTCGAAAGTGCAAGTAGACAAAAACCCTACTCAGTTATGTGAGTTCTTATAAATATGAGGCGACCCTTGTGCTCAGTGTGGTTTGGTTTGAGTTGACAGCATGTTAAGTTTCATATTCGTACAGTTTAACACATTTTGATGTGGAAATGATAAGCTAAATGGCTGCTCACAGTTCTGCAAGTTGGCAAAATAAGCTCAGACTTGATACTTGATGATCAAAGAAAGTTTCTGGTGAATTTCCACTGATGGAAATCAACAGTTTTACATTATGATCCATTAAAGGATGCATAGTTAAGAAAAAGTTCAGCCATGATCAGCTGTGTAAGGAGAACCTCTTGTTTGGCTGTGGTCAGTTTAGGACAAAGTGGCTGCTCCTAATTCTTCCAGCACTTTGAGGACTTTGACGACAGCAGTCTGCTCTCCCTGTGTGGTTCCTTTATTTCTTTAAGTTGAAAGAAGCATTTAAAGGTCAGGGAGTTTCTACATCTGATCCTTTTAACTAAAGCTGCCCCCAACTTTCAGGGACTTTCTATAGGCACGTGTCCTGGAGGGTAGGGAGGGGGCTGCAGGCCTGTTGTAGTCATTGTGTCCTGAACAGCGAATCAGAGGGTGAGCGTGTGCCGGCTCTGCAGTATAAAAGCTGGCAGATCCTTGAAGCAGCACAGTTTTCTCTAGACTCTGACCATATCATCTAAAGTGTTCAAGCATCATCATGCAGTCTCCTGGAAAATCTCTGAAGGAAGCTCTGCTCTGTGCTCAGAATGAAGACCGACTCACTGTAGGAGTCTATGAGAGCGCGAAAATCATGACTGAGTAAGTACAGTTCAACAGTCTGTGAATGTAACTTAACATTTCTAAAAAGATAACTGTGAGAAACATTGAACAAAAACAGACGGCTAACAGAATGTGATTTTTCTCTGACTACAGTGACCCGGACAGCGTGTCTTTCTGCGTCCTGGCCATGGATGAGGAGTTTGAGTGTGACATCGCTCTGCAGATCCACTTCACCCTCATCCAGTCTTTCTGCTTCGACAACGACATCAGCATCGTCAGAGTCAGCGACATGCAGAAACTGGCTGAGATTGTCGGCGATAAGGCCGAGCAGCTGGAAGACGCCCACTGTGTCCTCATCACGGTATGTGGAGCTCAATCACTGATATCTCAACCTGAATAATTGATCAAGTTCTTAAAGCTGTGAAAGACACCTGAGTCTGACTCTGCCTCTCTTCTCTTGTGTGAACAGAACCCCGCTGATGGGTCTTGGGAGGACCCCTCTCTGGAGAAGCTGCACCTGTTCTGTGAGGAGAGCCGGCGTCTGAACGACTGGGTCCCTGAGATCAGCCTCCCAGAGCGTTGATTTGGGACTCAGCTCCTCTCTTTTGCTCAGATGCTGTAAAGCTTCTTATCTGGAAATACTCATCCTGATGAACAGGATGACCCTGTTTCTGCTCATCCCTGGATACTCCTGAGGAGGATTCCCGTCCAGGCAGCACGGCGCCGGCCCGAGGGGCCCCCGTGATCGTCGCCTCTTGTTCCGTCCATGCCAAGATGACTCTCATTCTTTGTGTGAATGAGGTCAGGTATGCCACAAGAGCGACACATCGACCCTCATTCTTTGTGCGGATGAGGTTTGGAGAGGAAGGAGAAGCGAGTTCTGCGTCCTGTGGCTCCCACAGAGCAAATGTCGCATCTAGAAGCACGCGCAGCAGGAGAAGAAGCGGTGCTGAGAAAGAGGCGTCTTTGAAAAGGGACTTTTTAGAGATGGCCTCTTCGCTGAGCAACATGACAACAGTTGCAAACAGCGGAAATGTTTCCCACTTTCCAGAATTGTCTTAATTCTCTAAAGGTTTCACTTTAGAAATTTAACATGACAAAAGTTTATCAAAAGTTAAAAAAAAAGAAAGAAAAAGAAAATTAACAGTCACTCCTCTAAAGGTTTCACTTTAGATGAAAACTCATTGTTAAAAAATACTGAAAAAAATATTAAAAAAGAAATCATGTAAAGGTTTCACTTTGGATGATCAACGAAATTGTATAAAAATTAATTGACAAAACTTACAATGTTTAAACTGACTTTTAGTCTTAAAAATATAAAAAAAGAGTAGTATTATAAGAGACTTTTGATAAATGATTTAACTGTTTGACTGCTGATCTAATTTTCTTGTGTAATGAAAGCACTGAAATAAAACTTTTAAACTTATCTGACTTTCTCTCTCTGGATCTTGATTTTTGTTAAATTGGAGCTTAAAGTTGTTTGAAGTGTCTTGCAGATGTTATTTGCAGATGCTGCCTGCTTTCCATTCTTTGTTTTCTATGGTTATAGCATCTAAACTCATGAAGCAACGATTATTCTGCAGCTTCTAGCATGAGTAGTTTTTACTATTTTGACTGCGTCTGTGCACTTTTATAAACCATTTCAGTTCTCGAGCAGCTTGAGATTCAAAATACTATAGTTTCCCCCCTCTTTATTTGAGATGCTTCGAAAAAATCAGGAGTTTTTGACAAAAATGAAACTAAGGGTATCAATTTTCATTTTTTTCATAATTTAAAAAGATTTTTCAAAGGTTAGAGAGAAGGAGCCACACTTTAGGTCATAATGCTGCCCTTTAGGAGCTGAAGACTGAACACATCTCAAAAGAAAACAGCATTTTTACTCTAAAGCTACTGTGAAGAACTTTTGCTTTTTGTCAAAGTTGGCACCGGCGTTAACAAAGTAACACTTAATATCTGTTGTCCTGTACATTTTAAAGTATTGTTTTCAGATAATTAACTCATCTTTTATATTAGGCATTAAGATTAGCCACATTGAAATGATGACTTTGTCACTGATGGTCTCATTTGCTTTTGAAGGTCTTACAGAGGCATCAGTTTCAGTTTCAGTCTGTTTATCAGCCAATTAAAAACTCTTCATAGAGTCTTTCAAAATTGTCCAACCAGTCACACTAATGCATGCATACAGACAAGGTGTGTATCTGCAGTCCTGTTGAATTGATTTTGGGGCTTTTATGCTTTAATTCAGAGTGGACAGAGCGATGCAAAGGGGAGGAAGCCTGGATAGAGAGTATGAAGCCCTATATGAAGAAAGGCTGCTGGTCTGGACTGAACCCAGCTGCTCACTTTGAAGACTGCATGATTTAATCACTAAACCACACTGGCACACCCATATTATACAAGTCAGAGTAAAAAAAAAGCTGAAGTATTCTTAAACCGGAGTGTTTTTTAGCTTCAACAGTCTTCCTCTTTTTGTTATTTATTCTAGGATTCAAATATTGCAGTAAAATACACACAAAACTTAATTATCTGGCTGATTATGGTCATTTCACAACTCTCTGGTTGAAATAAACTCACACAGACTAATCATGGAGATGATAAGCAGAGAGCAACATAAATATTTACCTTCCAAAGTAGTCATCTATAAAAAAAAATCACCACACTAGTACTAAAGTTTCTCCTTTTTTGTAGTGTCTTTCATTTCTAAGAGTAATTTTTGCTAATGCTAATGTTAGCTGTGTTCTGGTGTTCACTAAAATATCAGTGTGATCTCTCTCCTGTTATGCCCAACATAGGGGATACTAGGGGTAGCATAAAATGTGACAACTCCTTCCTCTCCCCCAAGATGAACCAGCACAAAAATGGACCAGGAAAAAAGGTTGCATTCAAGAAGGAAACAAAATTTAATTGTTCTCCTTGGAATAGCAAAAATAACAAAGACAACACTCTTATAAATCAATATATCTTACCTGCCTTTACAAAAGAAATAGATACAAACCTAAACTGGCTCCCTAAACATAAAAACAGGAGAAAATGACCGTTATTTAGAGAGAAAAAAAGACTCAACTCCTTGATCAAACTACAACGATCATTTCTGTCAGCATGGCAGCCCATCTGACAGTGGACTGTAAAAAGGGACCACAAGAAGTCAGATTATCGAGGTTTGAAAGCCTTACAGGATGGTGCACAGTTGGACTGCCACAGTGGGATTATGGTTGATAAAGAATGCGTACAGTATGGAGCCATGCCGTAAAAAACATGAGCATGCATCACGGTAACAAAGGTATTCAACTCCGCATATAGTCAACCACAGATACATTTGACTTAAAGTTGTTTCTGGTAGTTCACAAGCCAGCCCTAAGCGAACACCTGAAGGCGTGCAGCTTTTAGAGGGATACAACAGGACTGTAATGGCTGAACCCTTCAGAGTCAGTTTCATCTCTCATGATTGGAAGTTGTGTTCAGTTCACTTTCCTGAGTCACCATTGCTGACGTCATGGAAATATTGAATGCATTGAACAATTTGGGACCTGTTCACCTTAAAACTGTACTATGTAAGCCATAAGCTTAATTTCTTCACTACTTACTGTACATGTAAACATCTAAACTCAATATTTCTTCATTTGCTTTTGTCCAGAAGCTAGTTACCATATGTCAGAGTTGGTTCATTTAGATGGCATCTATGATCCTTTTGCAGCCTGCCATGTTGCCAAATTGAGTACACACATTTCAGTTATTGTTTTTGAGTTGTGAAAAAGTCCATATAACATTTTAAAAATAATGTAAGATGTACTGATGTCTATGAACAAAATATTAATAATCTCTATTCAGATGAAAGCGCGGTCAAGCTTCAGTCTAATGATGGTGATCTTTTGCTCCTGGCACACGTTGGTTTTTCTTTTCTCTCATTTGTGATTCAGAAGCTTCAGCCCCCTTTTGTGTCTCTGGACTCAAACTCTAAAGTCACTCTGACCTGCATGTTGTGTCACCAAAAACTATTGTGGAGTCAACAGCTGCTGCAGCCCCCACGCCCCACTGTGGCACACACCCTAACCCACACTTCTGTCCCTCTCCCCGTTGAAGTCCTCATTGTTTAACTAGAATAATAATTTTAAAAAAAACAACAAAATGAAATTTTGAGCCAGCACAGTCACAACAAACCTGAAGCAGAGTCTCAATTCAGCATTCTGCACATGTACACAAACACACACACCCTCCATGAAAGGAAGGAGAGCAGGAGCAGCTGAAACGTAATCAGCCCTTTAAATCTCCACAGCAACCAACCCAGCACTCACTCCATCTGCTGCCCAAATTAATGACGAGGAGAAAAGGAGGAGGAGGAAGAGGGGGAGAAGGGTGCCATGTGCCCGGCACAAGCCTGCTGCCATTCATCCACTCAGGACCAAATCCTGACTGAACAACAACAAAAACCTCCCCCGACAGTCAGCAGAAACACAAGTGAAGTTAAAACAAATGCAGGATACAGCTTCATCCACCTTCAGCATCACCTGTGTTAAAATCAGGTACCTGAGATGCAAACTTAGAGTTAGATTTGACATTAAATATCATCTAATAACTAAAGTTTGATTCAGGAGATTGTTAACTTAGCTTGCTTAGCGAATCTGCGCCCTGGCCCTGTTTCGACTCAGAATCTCCAGAGCTCATTTTGAGGTAACTTTACTTTTTATTTTTATATTTAAAATGTTTTTGCCCAAAACACAAACACCCAAACACTTTTCAGTATCTCAGTCCCTTTCTCTGAACTCCGTCACCCTGAATAACCTGTGCTGCCCTCAGTCTCAACCCGCTCATAAAGAGCTCTGCTCCTGCAGCCACATGCTGCTTCTCAAGTGTCCTTTCAACATAAAAGCCTCCTCCTCCTCCTCCTCCTCCTCCTCCTCCTCTATGCTCCTTTCTCCTCCTCTATCCTAAAGCTTTCTGTGCACTGTGGAGCTGCAGCAGATGGTTCTGATGGACTGTGTGTGTGTGTGTGCTCCTACACTCTTAGTTTGTTGTTTTGGTTTTACTGGTTACCATGGAAATGGAAATCAACAACATTAGTCTAATACATTCCAAGTTGATTTTACTGATATTATGTTTTCATTGATTTAACATCCAACTATTGTTTATAACCGTAAGTTCTTGTCTGAAAGGGATGATGACAATGTTTTTTGCTCTCAAAAGTCTTGAATACAATCTGGTTTGTCTCTAATTTAGTGATTCATATTCACGTCAACATGGAGAATAAAACTGGAAAAACTGTGAAGTACATCCCCTTGTTTCGTAATCAAAAAGTACATTTTTTAAGTAGTTGTCAGGACAAGTTGAGTTTGTAGACATGGCTCAGTCGTTGATAGTTTTTAAAGAGGTCTGCTGACTCGCTCTGTCTGACAGCTATGCTAATATATTTTCTAACTATGCTAATGTCTCTCCTCTATCATTACCATACGCCTGCTGCTGCAGCAGAGCTGCAGGTCACAGCAGGCTCAGGGTCAAACACACACATACACACACACACACACACACACACACACACACACACACACACACACACACACACACACACACACACACACGCGTAACTACATGTGTTGGCGCGATCTGTGTACACAAACACTAACACACACATACACTCACTGCTTCCCCCAGTTATCAGCTGTTTATGCTAATTCCTGATTGTGATATCCATCAGTGGGGCCTCTTTGAGCTCATGATGAATCTGATCACTAATTACATTAACAAACCCGAAGCCCCCCAGGCTGCTGCTCTCTAATGAAACCACAGTGTAGAGCTTTCTCTTTACACTAGTGTTATCAGACTATAGTGTTCATGAGAATGAGTCAGCCTTTAGTATTGGAAGCACAGGGAGAACCTGAGCACCATATTAAAGTACTTCAAAGAGGAAACTCAGTACTGCATTTTTACAGAAAACAAGAGTTCACCTCTTGCTCACATACACTATGCTAACTGGTGTGGTTTGGACATTAGAGGTCAAACAAGGATGGCCCAGATGTAATGAGCAGAGAAGGATCGTATCACAACCTATGATGGTGGACTTTCTTCTGTCAATAACGTGATTCTTGTTGTTTAGACTAGGACAACACTGTGATCCACTTTTACTGTCAAATCAAGTTATAACAGCTCCACTGTATACAGGCGCAGGTGCATGCAGCTATCAGAGGAGAGGTTGCTGTATTGGATATTGATTTTATTGATTTTTAGACCCTATATTGAATCTCATTTCAACCTTAGTCTCGCAATTGTGGCTTATTCTTAACATGCATAATGCAAAAATAAAAAATAACAATCCTCCTTCTCTAGTTTTTGTGTTTTTTTTCCTCCTGGCCCAGAAATTTCTCTACAGATGTGAGCTGGAAGAGAAAGTTTGTGTGGGTGTTTGATTTTTATCTTTAAAGGCAACATGAGATTAAATAAATATGAAGATATTTTATCTTGTAGCTTGTATACAGATAAAGATCACACCCACACGCAGGCACGCACACACACACACACACACGCACGCATGCACGTACGCACGTGCACACATACGCAACCAGCTGTTGCCAAAACACTGCACTACTTCTCCATTCAGCGCTGAGTCCCTCAAGGGCCTCATTCAAACACAGCAGCAATACTCTGTGTGTGTGCGTGTGTGTGTGTGTGTGTGTGTGTGTGTGTGTGTGTGTGTGAGGTAACTAGAGTTGCAGAATACGAAAGTTGAGCACAAAAGTTTGTGCTCCGACTCAGAGCTAAAAAGCTTTAAATTAAAGAATCAAATTCCAACAGTGCATCAAAAATACATCACGGTCCATGGTTTGGTAGAAAGTGATGCATGCAGTATTCAAATGAGGGCAGAATCACAAAAAACATGGACCAAGACCAGACTTGAGACTAATTCAGGACAACACTTGTCTGTGTGTTGTAGGACCAGATCAGATGGCTAAATGTGCTTGTTCTGCGCCCCCACTCTCTGCACACCCTCACCAAAACAAAACTCAGACAAAAGCTACAGCCAACACTTCTACACCCTCCTCAAAGGGCACAAAGAGCAGAAAACGACAGGAGGGGCCCTGCACAAAGGTGCACCGAGACCCCGGCCCTTTCTCCTCTTTTGTGCAGAAGAATGGAGAGGTCCAGGAGCAGCTGCTGCTGGCTGCACGAGACATTTGAGACGGTCCCTTTCACCAAAAACAAAGTCTGGAGCTGTGAGTGTGCAGGCTGCAGAGCTGCAGGGGCAAAGAGGAGGAGGAGGAGAGAGGAAGGGGGGGAGGTTGTATACAAAACGACAGGCACACTTTGCCAGATCAACGTGGAGCTGACTCCCCATTCATCCTGCAGATCAGCCGCAGAGGGAGGGGGGCTGAGGGAGGGACTTAGAGTGAAGGAGGAAGCCTTTAAAGTTGACATGAGTCACATCAGTCACAGCACAAAAGAGTCCCCGAGGTCTGCCATATGGAGCAGGGACATCATCTGTTCAGCAGTCACTGAAAGAAATCCAGGCTGAGCCAATAGCAGCACCAGCTCTGCACCCTGCTCTACCCAGAGACAACACAACTCTGCTTTCTGATTGGCTGCTGTGTCGTTATTAACAGTGTCTCAATTAGGCAGATAAGGAAGGGAGGTTTTCTGTTGTTTTAGTGCTTCAAGTGATCTGTGTGTCTGATTGATTTGTGTTGGTTTATACTGAAGTGAGGTGTTTTACTAATTCATGCTTCTTCTGATCAACATCAAAAAGTTATCCCCAAAGTTTTTTTTTTTTTAATCTGAACAAAATCATGTTTTCATGACTCCTTAAAATATGTTCCCCTGCTCGTTGTATTTTCACTTTGTTGGCAAAATCTAGCTGTACCATTTCAGACTGAAGTACTCCCTTGCTCACTCTCCTTTTGTACACAACAAAAACTCCTCCAAAACAGTGCATTTTGCACAGACGCTCACTAAATACAAAATGCACATGTCATACTTTGTCCACTCTGTGCTACAGTAGGAACAAGGTCATGCAAGACAGTGTCCTCAGTGGAAGGATACCCACTCCTTTGCAGATATAAAAGGCTCACGCTAAGTCAACAAATCTCAATTATTTCTTTCCTCCAGTGATTTTTACACTCATTTAGATTTACTGTCTTTATATAATATAGAGTAATATCTTTTGGATATGGTACCATACAACATGATTAAAAATTAGACCAATAGGAGACATAAAACTTGACTTGTTTGTGATTTGTGCATGAAGTAAAAGTAAAGTAAAGTAAAAAAAGACTTTCTTCAACATACTTCCAGTTGTCTGAATTGACAGCTACACCCTCACAGTGGTGGCAGGCAGTAAAATTATCAGTCTCTTTCATTTCCACAAAGACTTCAAGATGCTGTGCATCAAATATGAGTTTTTTGTTTCATCTTTGCCTGCAGTAGGTCTTGATTTAATGTTGCTCCCAGAGTTGTATTTATCATAATGACAAAAACATAAAGAAGAGCAGCAATAAAGTAAATGAAATGAACAACCAACATGCTGTGCTTCCTTTTTCAGATAGTAAGCACCCAGTGAGAGGAAGTCATAAAGCTACTGTCCAGCAACTTCATTTCAATCTTGAACGGGACATGTTTTCATTCAGCAATAAAAGTTACCGCTAGGATGAAGTCCAATCCTGCTTTTTTATACTGCCTGGGGAAAAACATGATACTTAGGGGAGCTTACAGCATAAAGACAAACCAAAAACCATTTCAGTGTGACTCTGTTCATATTGGCTTGAAATATTTTTCTTATAGACTCCCTCAAGAATATCTGCCCTAAAGCAAAGAGGTGCAAAGATTCCCTGACCAGTTTTAGGCTCAGAATTTACTCTTGATGACAGACTTTTTTCTTACTGGCGCATCATTGAGAGTTAGAGAACCAAGCAGTGTGGAACAGTGCCCCCTAGTGACAGATGATTTCACTACTCTATGTGTTATCTGCAGGTCACCAGAGAATATAAATAAAGAAAACAATGATAAAGGGATACATTAACAACAACAACAACAACAACAACAACAACAACAACAACAACAACAAAAATCACTTTTTTGTGAATACTTCAAATAACAGTGTGCTACAAAATCTTAATCCCACTTGTGGAAAAGTGTTCACATAAAATGAATAAATGAGATATTATATAAGAAGACTTAGCCTTATCAAAAATGCCCCTTTGGCTAATCCTCAAACATATAGGTAGATGGTTGTAAATTTTGGACCAAATGGGTGCAAATGTATCTGTTCCTTAGTTTGAAATGTATCAATGATTTCATTTTAGTAAATTTAACCTGTGTGAGCACCACTAACAGAGAGTACAGAGAATACTTTTACATTGATTCAATCACTGACATGAATGAATCATATCTGTGTGTGTGGTGTGCCACCTTGTGGTGTGACCCTGGATTTACAGGCTGCTCAGTTAGTATGCTAGTATGCTCTGACTAATTTCTGTAACACATCTAAATTTCCCAATGTGGCAACATATTCTGTATTTTTTTTCCCTACTCTATTCTTTAAAAACCCCTTTCACAGTAAAAAACTGGTGTTTTTTTATTGGCACTGATCAGTCAAAACATTTCTAACCACCAGCTGATATTGTACAGGCCCCCCCTCTTGTCATACAAGGATTAAAGAGTCCTGTCCTGATGAGACATGGACTCTTTAAGACTTCTAAAGTTGTGGTGTGGCACCAAGATGTTAGCAGCAGATCATTCAAGACCTGGGAGCCCAGTCCACAAGTCCATCAGTACCAGATTTAACTTGTGTAACAGTTTAGCTCATCTGTTGTAGTGCTTCCTGCTCTGCATCAATAAGCCTTGTTGCCAGTTCAGTTCTTTCTTGGACCACTTCAGGTCAATACTGATCACTGCAGCTGAACCTCTAACACCCATCTCTCCAAACACTTCCCTGTCATATTTACATTGAAAAATGTGTCGAGGAGCCAAAGTTATCTATCAAGTCCATAAAAGTCAACATCTTTCTAGTTCTGCTTCTTCCTATCCTTGTCCCTGTCCATCTTATTTCTCTCTCTCTCTGTCTCTCCTCTCCCTCTCCATCCCTGGTAGTACACAGCAAACACTGGAAGTCATTTCAGAGAGAAATTAACACTGAGTCTGACACTTTAATGCTCCCACACAGCAAATTGGATTTGTGCGCTTCACTGGCTCCGAGTATCAGTGTGTTGCAGTGACAAAAAGCCCCCTGCAGCGAGTCAGAAACACAGACTCAGGAGAGACGGTGGAGCTTTAACACAGCTCAACACTAAATACAATAAGAGGAAGTGTTGCTGAGAGGACTTTGCGAGTTAATTTGATTTGTATTGAAATATTTCTTTCAGTTTAAAAACCCAAAACATGGAAATCAGTCAAAAATACACAGCCGGCTACACAACAATTATATGTCCAGGAAGTGGAGAACGCTGGTTACAGCAGCAAATACAGACTCTTAGTTTCAAAAGTGAAGCTGGTGAGCAAGTACTCTTCAGATTTTAGTGTGCGGGTGATATGCTGGAGGAAACTTTTCAAGGCCTTCAATTGAGTAAGGAAGCCTTCCAATTTGTACATTCTCTAACCAATTTCAATGAGTCCAAAAAATAAATAAATAAAAAATCAAATTAGACTAAACAAAAGCCAAATTTACCTGCTGTATAAGTGTTTCTTGGATTAAACATGACCCCTTTTTTAAGGAAGTTGACAAATATCTTGCGAACATCATTTGTAGTTTTTGATCAAAACAAGCAAATCGGATCCTATTTGTGGCTTATTAACAACTTGAAAAAGAGCATTCTGATGGACTTGTCAGATAAATGTGGCTTGAACCAAATCTAATGACATACAGTTCTAAATATTAAGACACAAGCTGTCCTTATGGGTAACAAACAACAGTAGAAGACCAAATGGTAAACTTTTCAAACAGAAGGCTGAAAAAGGTGAAAAACTTACTTTTAAACAGCGTCCATGCCAAACAGAAGACCCACAAAGTCCAACCGAGGAACAGAACTCAAAAGTCACAGCAAAAACTCCACATACTGTAATAATCAAAGGTGTGTGTCAGGGAGACACAGGTCAAACAATCAAAAAAGGAGGGAAAACACAGGAAGTAGAACTATATATAACAGATTTGAAAATAGGACTTCAAAATAAAACAGGAAACAACAAACAACTTGACGTGAATAAAACACATAACACAAATGACAGGAAGCTGAAAAAGAAATGGTAAGAAAAACAGGGAAATTTACCAAAAATTGACAACCCAAACATGAACAGTTTTGAGTTTTGGCAGTGAGAGACCAAATCATTTTCAGACTTAAGTTCTTCTTTGACTAAAGTTCTTTATTGAATACTTGTTTAAAAAAAAAGGTTAACCGTGTCTGTATGGATACATTTTAAAAGCCATAAATAAAAGGGCAATCATGGTATTCTATGTCTTTTTTTTTTTTTAAGTTATTTTCATGAAAGCTAATGATGGTAATGAAATAAAAAAGAAGGTTAAATATTTTAAAGGCATTTTGAGAACTATAAAAGGTTTGTTTTATGTAAGTTTCATTCTTATTGTATCTTAGTGGGAGTGAAATAAATGGTGATCGCTCTGTGTTAAAAGTTTAAAGTCTTCACAAAAACTTATGTTGGGACAAACTTTCTGAGAAAACAGAAATAAACCTTCTATGTATCACAAAAACTACTTGTAATACAAAGTAACTAGAGAGAAACACACTCCAGTTTTGTCCCCTGGGTAAGAAAACCTGTTAAATGTAAACCCTAAATGAGCAGCTCATTCTTCATTTTACAACTCATATTGCTGAAATTTTGTTATATTGGTTTTCTGCCCTTCAGCTAAAATGGTTATTAAGTTTGAGCACACAGAAACAACAAACCAACACAGGCCTTTGTGGATATTATTGACGACATGAATGATATTGAGGTAGAGAGCTGTGTTCACATCCGGAGATTTCCTCTGTTCTCTGCCAATGACCATGATGTTATTACATAAAATGATAATAACCTGATCAATCTTGTGGTCTTAACTACAGATACTGATGCTGCACAACGTGTAAAATGTGCACAGCATCTTCAGTGACTTGAAAATGCATCTGTCGATCCTGTTTCATGGTTACAACAATAAATTCGATAAATCTGCCACAATCCTAAATGGGGTGGTCTGCAGAAATGCCTTATCTACCGCTGGTGAATGAAGGTAGAAGCTCACTCTTTGCCCAGTTTATCCTATACCACAAAAATGTGCCAAACTTGTTGATAAGGTTTAACAGAGGTATAAAGCTTTAGGTTTGAAATGAATAGAATGATATCATCTGCATATGCATTATCTGATGCATTATTGCTTAAATTTTAGGTATAAATAAATTTCAGTATACAAGAACAAAACATGACATTGTTGGGCTCATGTTATCAATCACACCGCGTGGACAAGACAGCACCAGATCTATAAAATACATTTATTACTATTATATTTAACTCAATTTTTGTATTTTTTAATGTTTTGATTCTATTTTATGTTTAAAGTCATATATCTGTATTGCATTTATGTGTTTGTTTGCTGTTGCAATAAATCGGCTCAATTGGTCATTGGCTGATAATTTAAGTGACTTATTGTAAGGATTTAAAGGAAGTCTATGCTACTGTGAGGTGATTCAAGTTTATATAAGCAGTGCAATTTTGTGAAAGAGACATGCTACATTAACTGTAGTCATAATGCATTATTCTGACGTGTGAGTAGATGTGTCTTTTGTTCCAGTGTGTTGATCTGGTTCATCATCAGGACCTTGTCAGCGGTCATAGATGGAGAATCTTGGCGCACAGATGGCGACTATGCTGCTCGCTGCAGAGATGATTTTCATATTTTAAGAACAATAATCAACCAAATAGATTCCATTAAGTAATCATTATTAATCCTTTTTATAATCTCATCAGCTACAGTGCATCTTGTGCTGGGCTGTGAGTAGCAGAGAGGAGGAGCTGTTGGACCACATTATCTGCTCTCTGTGCAGGTGAATTCAGGACAGTACGATAGTTGATGAGCTGCTGCAGGATGCACTCAGAATAAGGTGGTGAAAATAAACCCAAAACATATCATTTACCCCTGCTTTAGTAAGAGGTTTTATCCATTGAACTTTGTTGGTGAACTTTTAAAACTCCCTCTAAAGTCTTTATCAGGGAGTCAGCTTTACACCATTGAAGTAATAGTCCAAACAACGCCATCTGCTGGAGATACACATGTCAAAACCCCCTGTTAAGACCTGTTGACATGTCAATGCTGACTACCCTTCTTATCACTGTTAACTGATCTTCTCGTGTAAGGTTAGGGGGTCTGAAAACATGAAAACCTCTCCCTGCTTTCTTTTCACATTAAACATCTCACACTGTCTATTTTTGTTTTGGAAAATGACACAAAAAGCCTTTTTTATAGCAGTGTACAGATGTCTGTTTTTGTAACACCCATCCTTGGCAGTATTTTCTTGTAATTAAAAATTCATTCAGTAATTTATAATATTTAGAAAGACTCAAATGTCCTCCTGATGGCCTTGATTGCTTTTGAAAGTCACACTGAGTCATCAAAAGTAATTTCAGTCTGTTTTTATAACCAATTAAAAACCTCTCTTACTCTCACGGGAGCTTTAAATGTTTGTGAATGCCTAATGAGACTGAGCTCGGATATTTGTTATATTTGTCTTTTATTTAAGTCACATATCTAAATGTTTTAAATTCCATTTCAAAGCTAACCTTCAGCCAATGTAGGGTCATTTTTATCCTATTCAAATCTGGATTAACCGGCTTGTTTGTGAAAAGGGTTACGCCACTATGAGATAGTAAACACATGTGACTGTCAACACAATGTCAGCTCATGACCTCAGATAGCTTCTCACATGATCAGCTGGTGTAAGGGATGAGAGCGTGTGATCATTCAGCCAATGTTAGACCATGAAAGTCAAAGCTGTTGTTTGTAAAGGTTTCAGCAGGATGAGGGTGATCCGCAGCCATGACGGACACATTATAAAGGGCGGTCGCATCGCTGCTTTTCTGTCAAGCTCCTTCAACAATTTCCCTGTCGCTCGTTTTTAACCTGCCACACAGCCGTCACCATTTAGCCTCATAATTCCCCAGATTCACGCATAATCAAACAAATTAGCCTTTATGCTAATTTCTTACGACTCAATTATGTTAAAAGCCCGGCTTGAATGACAGTCATAATTGCAGTCATAATGCTGGCAGAGATATTACCATCAAATAATACGGTAATGGATATCAAAGGAGCTGGCTTCATCTGCTGGATAAAGACATCGCTGAGTGGGTTAGCAGGAGTAAATAAACTCTGATGTGTTTGCTGATGAGCTGCTTTGTCCTACAGCTCATCTGCTGGGACTCCATAGAGGTCAGGACAACAAACACCGATGGATAGAAACAGATCAGTCTCTTTAGAGCTGATTTTATTGATGCTCTGAGCCCTGGACATGGCTTGCTGTTTTCTGAGCTTTTCATGCTGGTACATTTTCAAGATTTTACAAAAGAAAAATCTCTTTCTTTCTCTTTTTTCATTGATGTGGATAAAATTGACTGTGCACCCGACCTCACATGGAGTTTTTCTTTTCACATTTTTTTTTTTTTGTTAAACATTATTCTTGGGCTTTAGGCCTTAGTTTTGATGGTACAGCTCGAAAGAGACAGCAATGACAAACCAGTGCAATGAGGGCTGCAGCCTCAGTATATGGTCACCCAATCCAACTTTTAGTCCAACAGTCCCTCCATTCACTTTCCTTATAATTAACTAGACATATATTCCTAATTCCAGATTTACTTCAATAGTTGGTAACCTATAAGAATGGTTTGTTTGTTGTTGTTTTTAAGATGGGTTTTACTACTCCCGTAGTCCAGTTGAGAAGGCTATTTTAAATTCTGGTGTGATCTTCATAAGGAAACTCGGGTCCACTTGAAAACCAGGTTCTTGGTTCACTTGGTGCGCTTGGCTAGAGGAACCAAATTATTAACCAAAGACAGAAAGTTGTGTAGAGCCCAGCACATGGTGAGTCAATTTCTCATCACTTGTAAAGAACAAATGCTAGAAGGCTTGATGCCTCCCCTGTAGCTCATACTGGGCGCTTTCATGTGAAAAATATAAAAAAAAACATGGAAGCAAAAGCAGAATCCCCCAAAAGCATAAATATGGTGTTGCTCTAATGTCTATGTGTCTAAAGTCGATTGTCTGGGATGATATCATCATAGGTGAGCAGTCATTGTAGGACGTGATCTTGTCCTTTGCCAAGCAGAGTGGTCCTCTGACAGCCAAGTAAAGCGATGAAAATGGTTAACAAAGATAGACCAAACACAGATCGTATTATGGCGTCAGTGGAGTCAAGCATGGAGTCAACAGGTTAGAGTTTTTCAGAGCTCATTATGGAAGTAGAGCATCATAGATTTTGACAGGAAATCCTTGGCCTTGTGTCCCTGTCCCTGGTCAAGAAAAAGAAAGTTAGCACTATTAAAAGGAGTTTAATCATTTTCTTTCTTTATATTTAGCAGGCCCCTCTGAGACACAAAAACATCTTAATCAATGACTGAAGTTTTAATTCCAGGGGGGGAGGAGACAAAGAAACAGCTCTCCTGGCAACCACGCTGATGGATTCCTCTGCTTATTACAGCTGGAGTCATCAGGGCGCTCTTTTTTCAATCATAGCCACTTTGATTCAAAGCCTTGGAAAGCACCGTTGGACTCATGACAGTAAAGAATGAACTCAAATTATAGTTTTTTTTAAGAAGACTCCAGGAGTCAAGAGTTTGTGTTGACAGAATAATAAGACATGAAGAGGCTTGGACATTGGATTTCTTAGGGGAATGATTTTTCTTGTTTCAGGATGGATTGATTATGTTGTGGAAAATGTTCATTCAATCCCCAGCTCTTTATTGTGTAAATCAAACTTGGCAATGACTGTATTTTCCCTCCCTAAATGTTGATTTCCTGTTGGGTATCAGATCTTTTTTTGCTCAGGGGGAACAAACATCAAACAATAAATCAGGTATAGGTCCATAACTTAAATCACTTACAGTTGTGTTGATGAAAGTGTTGCAGTTTCTCAGAGAACTGCTCAGCACTGTGATAGATGGATCCAGTACAACTGCAGAGTAATTGCATATTTTTGGGCCCTCCGATGAATAACCAGCACTGATCCGTCATTATAAAAGTAAAACTCAGTCAGTGGTGAGAAATGTTGCTCAACAGGTATTTGCACAGCTGCAGGGGGTCATAAATAACTGCAGAAGACTTGCACATTAGTTCACCTTTTTCCTCTCAAGGCCTTAAACGAAGCAGCCTCCAGTGTCCAGACATGTAATCAAGGAGGCGCTGTTAGTTCGTCCAAGGCTGCAGCTCTGCTGATTACTGTAAAGCAAGCAATCAACACGTACTTCAGGTTACAAAGGCCTAAGTATCCACATCTATACACTGATTTTATTTGCACAAAATACTATGCAGATAATAAGGCTAGCAGTGATTAAGGTTGGCTTTAGACAGGGGGAGTTTTGGCTTCATGAGGGCTCCAGGTCGAGCCCACATGGCACTGACTTGTGCTTCTGTTTGGCCACCTGAGTAGCTGCTGTTGCTACTTATCTTCATAACTTTGACCCAGAATAAAGTTATTAACTGTTACAAAATATCTTGGCTTTACAAATATCATAAGGAACTACTTTTGTCAGGAAAGAAAGACTTGACGTATGATAATAGACTGTTTATGCTATGGACAACTTGGATCCGCCTTCTGTCAGTACACGGATTTGGTAATTCCGCGATTTTTCTCCACTTTCTGAGACCAACATTGCGCAGTTGCGATGTAAGCACTCCACCACTTGCGCAGTAACATTGTACGCATTTGGCAAGAGGATGGCGGAGAGTCGCTGTGATAACGCTCAGCTCAAACAGCTTATCCTTCGGGTGAGCTACGCTATCTTCGCACGCCCATCGGCTGTATCAAGTGTCAATCATAGAAAACATGAATCCCCTAATAACTTTTAAAAATGGAGCTGTACAAAAAAAATGTATATTCTGTAAAATAAATTTCTAAAGTTTGTCTACAGCTCCATACGGATGGCTGGAGGAGGCGGGATTTATGACCTATACTGCAGCCCGTCACCAGAGGGTGCTGTTCTCGGGGTGGCTTCACCCAGCGAGGAGGAAGACAGTGCCCATTCTTTATACAGTCTATGTGTATGATCCATTGTAAATTTAAACTTTATAAAAAAGATTTTTGGGGACTTTTTTTTATTTTTATTTGATGGGACAGCTAGGACCAGTGCAATGTGGACCAAAGCCTTAAAACATGAAGCACCTGCTCTACCAAGTGAGCTAAACATTTGCCAAAATATGCATATTACTTTTGTTTCATAACTGGGCACTCTGTCTTTTCTTTCAGTGAACTGTGTCATTCACCTAAACATAAAAAATAGCATGCAAGACTTTCTGTACACCTTCAATCGCCCTTTGGGATCACTGTAATTGATTGATAATTAATTTGTATACCAAATCCATTCAATTAATGAGGACATAGTCGAAGAGCCTGTTTCTGAGCAACCAGAACTCATCCATGAGAATATGTTTATTCAATGACACTTGACTCTAAAATCAAACACTTACAAATCAAAGTAAATAAAAGAAGCTGTTGCATTTGAATTTTGAAAACCTAAAACACTTCAGTGCCTGAACTAATGGAGAGGATAGAGAGCGCTTATTTAGTGGCATGTTGCCGCTGGTGTGAGTGTCATGAGAGGATAATTATCTGTGTGCGTATTTGTAAAGCAGTCCCAGCTATAAATCTGAGTTGACATATTGTTACTAAAATCAACACATTACAGTGTGTGTGTGTGTGTGTGTGAGTGTGTGGATGTGAGTTGATTCATGTGTTTGATGCTCCTAATGTCTCTCTGTTCTCTTAACGACTCCTCATTCTCATTTGGAGCAGGATATGGATCACCGCTGCTCCCTGCTCCGCTGCTGCTGTTCACCGTCTGATAACTCTGTCCAATTAGATCACAGAAGCTGCTCACACTCACCGCCTCAGCTCCTTTCTCGAGGGTGACAAATATGACAATTACCCAAAGTACCAGGCGCTGCTGTTCATTCCTTATTAGAGAATCAATCAGGACCTGGAGCAGCGGGCCCCTCGACGCCGGCTCTTGCTTGGCAGTGGGGAAAAGAAGCTTGAGGCTAAACTGCATGCCAGTTTTTAAATAAATTGACAGTTCTTGTTACTGATGGTGAAAACAGGTCAATAAAAACCCACCGGAAATGACCCCTTGATTCCATCATTTATAGAACATAACCAATATATCACCGTAGACATGTTTTTTCTATGTTTGGTCACAGGCGTTAGCCATGGCTACTATCTAGAAAGACCTTGTCACAACAAATACATAAGCAAGTGTGATGCCCACTAATTGTCATCACATTAGTGTGATTGTCTTATTTGTATTTAATGTTTTGGAATTGTCTCTATTTTATTTATTCTTTTTAGACCTAATATTCTAATCGTCAGCCAAATGCAATATAACTTTGGCCAGTAGGTAGCAGTGCAGGGTTGCGTGGCCCATATGCGCATGCGCAGCCAGCTCCCGGCAGCCCGGAACAGGAGATCGGTGAAACACTACATATCTCAACTGTCTCCTTCTTTGATAACTTTATTTGCCTGTGTTCCAGGTGGGTAATCCTTCACAAACCACATCGAGATATCACTAGGTGTTTATGTCGCTTTTGGTAACGTTTGTGCTTTGATTTGGTTCAGATTGATCCGTGACATAAACTTGTAGAGATTCAGCAGGTTGTATCATTGTTTTGTATTGGGGTGTTAAGATGGCGACTCCCACACGTGTTGCGTTCCGTCATGTATGGGCATCACTCCTCCACTGTTTTAGTTAGATTTACGTTTTGATGTGGTTAGTGGCTGGCTCCATTTTATTTTTAGCTGTAGCAGTGTAGACCATGATGTGGGCCGACGGAGGTGCACCATTGAGTTATGAACCACAATTCTTATATAGAGATAATAATAACATTGATATGAAAACACATGGATAGGTGGAAATAAGGATAATAATCTGATTTAATGTGTTTACATGAACATAAAAAATGTGTTAAAAAAACCTTTCTACACGTTTCAGTCAACTGTGAGATTTCTTTCTTTCTGTAAAAAATCGAAGAATTTTATTTTAAGATTTGAAGAAACTTTTTAAATCATTTTGATGGAGTCATAGAAACATCATTTTCTTGCAAGAATAAAGTCAAAGAGATCATTTTCTCCCAAGATAGAGTCTTAAGGATCATCTCACAAGAATGAAGTAGTTGTAAAATCATTTTTTCACATGAATCAAATCAAAAGGGTCATTTTCTCAGGAGAGTCAATTTGTACAAATATTTTTTAAAGGTTGCAAAAGCATCATTTTCTCCCAAGAATAAAGTCGTATTACCATCATTTTAACTAAAGATAAATATTGTAGTGAATTGATTTTTATTAGGAGATCGAGGTAGTTGTAAAAGAATTTTTTCACAAAAAAGCCACATTATAATTTTCTTACACGTGTCTTGAGTTGTAGTACAATCATTTTCTTATGTGTACGAAATTAAAGTCAAATCATTTTCTCAAGTGATTTCAGTTGTAGTTTGATTTTTTCTTGTAAGACTACTACATGTTTTAGCTTTTAACTGATCCTTTTCAAAGTCATACTTTTATCAATATCATGTTGGATGTGCATTAAATACAATTTATGGTGACGCTTCATGCTCGCCACTTGGCACAGGCAACGGGCTGCTCACTGTCCACCAAGAGTAAAACTTTGTGAGAATTTTATTCCTACAACCTTATGCTTGTAGTATTTTAACACAATAATTGAGATTTTTTTCTTTTAATCACTAGGAGAAAAAAAAAGATTTTCTTCCATGTGGCCCTAATACTCCATTGTACACTTTAGTAATGGGATACTACCCCCAAACCACCATGATGCTGTTAATAATAAGATTTATTTCTATCAGTGGGTCTCCTGCATTAGTGGCTAAAACTCATCATTTCCTCTCATTGAGGGGATGATCCAAGGTGGGCAATAATAAAAACGACCTTTGTTATCCATCAATCAGTTAACGGAGACATAAACTTCCAAAAGAGTTGATTCTGTTCAAACTATTTAAAACAGGGCAGAACTACTGCCTGCCACATGATATAAACACCATCAACAGAAGAAAAAATGCTTGATATCCAAACCTAAAACTGTTGTACAGCAGTTGAAATAGGTGGTCAACAATAGCCTGTATTTTTCCTGAGGCTGCTTTCTGTCTGAGTGTCAAATGATGTACAGCTATTGCAACAAGCCACAGTGAGACAAACCGAAAGCTGCAGAAAACCAACTCTGCAGTGGTCAACTCCTTAGAGATCAGATTATAGCAAGCATATCTGCAATATTTATAAGGAAGTAAGAGTCTGGCAGAAAGTTTATTTTTCATTCAGAGAGCAGCATGAGTAGGAAACAGAGGTCGCTGAGTAGCAGAGATTGGATGGTATGTGAAGTATTTTTTTGAAGAGATAACATTTCCTCAGATGACATCAGTGAACAAAAAAAAGTTAGGACAACCAGCAGGTCAGACTAAACATACCACACAGAACTTTAAGTTCACATTGCGGCAGAGACCTTGACCAGAGTGCATTTCCCATTGAGTTATAAGCTTAAGAAACCGCTCCTCATGGGGCTCTTCAGCAAAGGTCTGTTAATGGATTTAAGAAGCTGCAGCAAGAATCAGACATTCATGCCGACGAGACAGAGATTTACAGAAATAGATTTGCTGAATTACTGATGTGTCTGCTTTTATCTCTTGATATGGACTAATACTGATGCATAAACTTCCATTGGCTTTACATTGCCCACCCCCACCCCCAACCCCCCACTGCACCTGTGTGCAGCAGTAAACATCATATATATATATATATATATATATATATATATACACTCACCGGCCACTTTATTAGGTACACCTGTCCAACTGCTCGTTAACACTTAATTTCTAATCAGCCAATCACATGGCGGCAATTTAGTGCATTTAGGCATGTAGACATGGTCAAGACAATCTCCTGCAGTTCAAACCGAGCATCAGTATGGGGAAGAAAGGTGATTTGAGTGACTTTGAACGTGGCATGGTTGTTGGTGCCAGAAGGGCTGGTCTGAGTATTTCAGAAACTGCTGATCTACTGGGATTTTCACGCACAACCATCTCTAGGGTTTACAGAGAATGGTCCGAAAAAGAAAAAATATCCAGTGAGCGGCAGTTCTGTGGGCGGAAATGCCTTGTTGATGCCAGAGGTCAGAGGAGAATGGCCAGACTGGTTCGAGCTGATAGAAAGGCAACAGTGACTCAAATAACCACCCGTTACAACCAAGGTAGGCAGAAGAGCATCTCTGAACGCACAGTACGTCGAACTTTGAGGCAGATGGGCTACAGCAGCAGAAGACCACACCGGGTGCCACTCCTTTCAGCTAAGAACAGGAAACTGAGGCTAAAATTTGCACAAGCTCATCGAAATTGGACAATAGAAGATTGGAAAAACGTTGCCTGGTCTGATGAGTCTCGATTTCTGCTGCGACATTCGGCTGGTAGGGTCAGAATTTGGCGTCAACAACATGAAAGCATGGATCCATCCTGCCTTGTATCAACGGTTCAGGCTGGTGGTGGTGGTGTCATGGTGTGGGGAATATTTTCTTGGCACTCTTTGGGCCCCTTGGTACCAATTGAGCATCGTTGCAACGCCACAGCCTTCCTGAGTATTGTTGCTGACCATGTCCATCCCTTTATGACAACAATGTACCCAACTTCTGATGGCTACTTTCAGCAGGATAATGCGCCATGTCATAAAGCTGGAATCATCTCAGACTGGTTTCTTGAACATGACAATGAGTTCACTGTACTCAAATGGCCTCCACAGTCACCAGATCTCAATCCAATAGAGCATCTTTGGGATGTGGTGGAACGGGAGATTCGCATCATGGATGTGCAGCCGACAAATCTGCGGCAACTGTGTGATGCTATCATGTCAATATGGACCAAGCTCTCTGAGGAATGCTTCCAGCACCTTGTTGAATCTATGCCATGAAGAATTGAGGCAGTTCTGAAGGCAAAAGGGGGTCCAACCCGTTACTAGCATGGTGTACCTAATAAAGTGGCCGGTGAGTGTATATATATGATGTTTACTGCTTGTCCCTTATAACACTCATTTGTAGCATATGACCATCATGTCCTCCTTGGTTGCCAATTATCTTCTTGTTATTTGTAAAACAAATCTCCTCCTTTTAGATACTGCTATTACAGGTCATCATTTCACTTCAATGATTTACCTTTCTGTGTATCTAATATCAAGTGTCTGATGTTTTTCTCATTCCTTTATCATCCCAGAGTCAGTCATAGACTTTTTAAAGGCCTTTAATCATTTTTTATTATGTCTAGACTTAAATGAAAACATGCTTTCTCATCAGCTGACACACTTGACTGGTACTCACATGGACACATTATTTTCCTCTCAGGAATTTTCCCCCTTCTCCTCAGATAGTCTCCTTGGTGCTTACTGAATGACCGACACCTGATCCCGTAGAGGAACCTCAGAGATCTTCTTCCCAACCAAAACGACCTCCCTGTTTAATGAATAAATAACTTTTTCAGCCCGCTATGTCAGATCACAGGCAAACATGTTTTCAGTTAGTTCACGGCAGGAAGAGGCGACACAGATACTGCTGGGGAAATCCGATGAGTACAGAAATAACATTTACGGGGGAAGAGAACAGTGTAGTGGGTTTGTTCGAGCCCTCAAGACAAAAGCGAAGGGTGTGTATCTCATGTGGAATTAAAGTGAGAGGACAGAGTTTAGTTTAAATAGATGTTAAGTGTGCAGGAAGTCTTTTGTGGTGGAGACAGACTGATGTCTTACAGATATTCCCTATATGCTGCTCTTCAGTTTCAAACTGCCATGGTTTTATAGGTTGACAAAGTTTTTCAACTCAACCAAACTTCTATGAGCAGATTTTTCATCCTAAAGGTTCTGGTGTATTTTCTTGTTTACCTTGACATGTTTCAACTAAGTTTCTTTCAGTCTACCTCAGAGAGTTGTGATCTTGTTATGACTCGGCTATCAGAGGTTTTGTTGTCCTGACTGAATCATGCCTGAATTCATATTTTTCAGACATTTTTCCAACAGCATCCTCGCTATGTGACGGGGTAGTACACCTCCTCATTCCATCAAATACTGAAATGTTGTCTTTTCTTCTTCTTAGTCATAGATCGACCAAGGGGTCTACAGAGGGAGAGTTGTGCCTGATCAACTTGAAAAACATGAAAACATCTTCAGTGACGACCACTCAGTGTTTTTTAGAGTGCTGAGTAATTTTGGCCTGTTTGGATGTCCACATATTGGATATATGTATGTGTTTTGGCACAGAAGTCTCGAGGTGATGGGATGAAATATTTTGTTTGTTGAGGAGGTTCATGCATGAGCAGAACCCCCCGGGGCCCCCTTACTCAAACCAGCCCTACTCCTCATGTCACGACCTCCCCGTGACCCTCTTCACTTCTCACTTCCCGCTCCCCACTTTCCCACCGACATAATAACCGTCTCCTGATGGCCTGCGAGGCCTTTTTGATACGACCGCCGCCACCTTATTTAATCTAAACTCAACAGAGAGCTGAAGGTCGAAGCCCTTTCAGATGTTTTCCCTCTTTTCTTTCTCAAAACAAACCCGTCCCCGCTGTTTAGCCGCTACAATGAAAAGAATAAAAGGAAAGGCTTGTTCTCGAATAAAAATAAAGAGTTCGAGTTTAGACGTTGTTTAAACTGCAGGTGAATGCTGTTTAAAGGTCACTCCAGAGGTCCCTGTTAGAGTGACAGCCTTGTCAAATAAACATCACGCTAAGTGTTGGTGCTTGTCTCCTCATTTCCTCACAAAAGTTAAACATGCTGTGGTCATATTTTATGCTACTAGCTTGGACCTCTCTGGAGAATGTGTCATGCATGTTTAACTGAATTTTAATGACTTGCGAAACATATTTCCTGGAAGAAAAAAAAAAGAATTAGAGCCCTCGTTTTAATAAAGTAGTGTATAATTTAAATGCTTGAGAAATATCATCTTCGATCATGAAGCCAAAAGGAGAAAAAGCTCCAGAGATGCGCTTAAGTTTTCCCCTGATATGCTTTTAAGGCAAATGTGTCTATGAGTTATGTGCTGCCACCAAAGGGTACAGCAAGCCAACTGTAAGGACAACAATATTTATTATCCCTTTTGCATTATTCATAAAAGTATTGTCATGTAGAAATAAATAAATCATTGTCTCTACACTGTAGATGTTATTTTAAACCTGCACAGTATCATTCAGTGGAGTCAGTTTAATGCATATCCTCCTCTCCTCTTCCAGCCTTATTTATTGGTACTTTCAGCATGCAGACCTTTGCATTAAGCCCATATAAAGGCTGTGTTGGAGTATAATCATCAAGAGCAAGCATGGCTGCAGACTAAATCTTGATGCTCTGTGTTGACGCGCTGAGTGTGTCCATCCATGGAATAGATATCCTTGAAACAGCAAGTCAGAATCAGATGAAAATTTGGTCATCAGGTTTACAATTAATCAATCCCAATAATTGGAAATATTTCCATGGATCTACATGTTTTAATATGTTGTCTTAGCCTCAGAGACTAAGGGCCTGTGTCCACTAAAGGCAGAAAACAACCTCTGGCAACGCAATCCACTCTCACAAGAGTTTGTAGAGTTTTCTCTTAACTAATAAATTGACGAGTGTACATGGAAAGAATTTTTTTTTTTTTTTTTTTTTTTTTAATGAATTTCAAATGAAAGACTATGCTAATGTATTTTAATTCAACACATCAAGCCTCTTGGTCTCTATCAACACCACCACATTACTGGGTAATGGCTAGGTATGGGGATCGATAACTGGGTCCATTAAAAACCTGGTTAGCATTTTTTAAGATCTGAAAACCAGAAACATTTGGACATATTGGACTCCAGTTTGGTTTGGTCTACAGGCACTGACACTGTTCTGTTATGTATCAAAAAGGTTAATTTAAGCCCCCCTTAAAAATTTCAACCTCTTGTAAAACTTCAGTGTATAGTGATGCCTCTTAGAAACTAACAGGATTGATGATGATTTTCCAATGAATTATTATGCTTGCAGCCATTACTGCAGGTAAGGTGTCAGATAAGGTCATTCTGAAGAGATCATTCTTTTTCACATACACAGTAATTAATTAAATATTTGTTAAAAGACAGCACAGAGACTTTTTTTCAGGGTAAAGTGAGCAAATAGATTAGACTTAGCCTTTGTCTTTAAGCACAATCTGAAAGCTCCTCACTGGAGCTTCGCAGTAAATCAAGAAAACTTTATAGTAATTCTTTAAATCTGTCTCAGGTCCACCTTATTTCATTAGACATTCCAGCTTTGACTTTTGGTCTTGCGCAAGACCCAAACTCAGGTCCACAGGGTGCGAGCCATGTGTTTGTTTGACTGATGCTCTGCCTCCATCTGCCAACCAGGCAGACTTTGTTGTGCCAGAAACTCCTTCACCTGCTAAAGTAAAGGCTTTTGTAACCGAAACAATTAATTTCCTTCTAAATTAAGAAAAAAAACATTGCCTCTGAAACTGACTGACACTCAGTACAATGAGAATTTGTGTTTGGGTACACACTGTTTATAATCTTAATGACTTCTTTGAGAGCCATGGTGCTCTCTTTAATGTTATTTATCACCGATGTAAGTGCTCTTCCTGTTTGACGTTATAATAAATGTCTGCGAGTCATGAGACTTGGATGCAATCCTGGATTAAATGGTTCTACACGATGTTTGTTGGTAAAGTTTGAAGCCCAGCTCAATCAGTCAGACAGTGGTTAAGGCGAAGGTTGATGTAGCTCGAGCCCAAACATGCGGGTCACCATAAGTGCTGTAATCAAGAGGTGCTGACCAGTTGTGTGATTGCTGGGGTTGTTGTTGTTGTTGTTGGCACCCTTTTTTCCTCTCATTCTCCACTTCTTTCAGACCTGGATCTATATTTAGAGAGCAGGACTCTAATGTTAATGGGATGATAAATGAATCCAGAGAGGCCTAATTTCACGGGACAGGAAATCACTGGAGAAAAGCTGAACTGTAGAGGCTGTAATTATCCTCAGGGAGAGATCGCTCACAAACTACAACACAGGAAATGGATGGATCATGATTCATGGTAAGGTAACATGTTGTTCACTCAGTCTTCCTCACTGATACCACCTTCACGTGCCTGTGCCATTTTGAGGGCTTTCTCAGGGGATATTTCTTATGTTTTTATTTGATATACTTCTTACATGACCTCACCTCATTCTTCTTCTCAGGAGACATCGAACCACACACTGTTGGTCACTCACCACTGTTTCCTCTGCAGCTGCAGCCTCATTATATGACGTACATGCATATATAATGCTATAAGAAAACAGTGTTTGCAGAGTGATATATCGTCTAGCCTGTTTCATGTTGTTTTTTTGCACCCTGTGAGATTCTTTGCTCCGTGTGCTTCGACCTGCACGGTAAAATATATTGTCAGTTTGTGTTTGTGTGCACATTCAGAGGAATGTGGGAATAAAGATCGTGGTAGGGGGGGAACAGGGTCAGCTGCTTATACGGCCTTTAATTTCATCCTGCTTTTACAGCTGTACCAAGCAGCTGTGACATGAGCTTTTTATCAAACTCTATATGGAGCTACAGCAGAGCTTGGATAGGTAGAGGAATTCTTAAATCATTCGTGGACTAAATATAAAGTCTTGGATTTCTGCCCTGAAATACTACACAACTTTATTTCAGTAGTTCATGTGGTTTAATAAACTTATTTTCCCCTGAATTAAACCGTTGGACGTTTCAAAATTCTTACTTGGAGCTTGTTCTTGCAGGAATTTTCAGTTTGTGTCAATTTTAGAGACTCGTGGAAGAAGTAGTTTCATTTTTATCCCGTTTTATCCCTGATTTTGCCCTGTTATCCAAATCATCTAATCCTGCTGCTTTTTTTAACAGTCAAACAGGATATTTAAAGATTAAAGCCGCAAGTTTGCACTACACTGTACCAACAGACCTCTGCAGGGATGATTGAACGCTGCAGTCCTGACCGGCACGGATAAAGTGATGGAGGAGTGAAACTGTAATGACCTTTGTCTTTAAAGGTACTTCCTCTGTTGTCCTTTTTTGATGGTGGATCTGATGTTCAGCTCCCACTTGAGATTCTAGGTGATGGTCGCCAGACATCAGAGGTGGACATCAGCCAGAGAGTAACTGTAAATAATCTTCTATTATTCTCATAATCTGGGAAATAGTATCTTGTTAATTTATGTATTTATTTTCATTTGCGTGGTTTTATTCCACACATTAGTCTTGTTAATGTCTACAGCTGTTTTTGGGAAAGTGTTTTTTTTTTTTTTAATGAACCACTAGAGGGCGCTATTCTTCGCCATTTGGATGCGATCAGATTTCTTCTCACAAGTGTCAATCTTATCTCTGCCAGCTTTAGCCAGTTCTGCTCAACAGCTATGGTCGAGCTCTTCCTGCGTGTGTGTGTGCCTGTGTGTGTGTGTGTGTGTGTGTGTGTGTGTGTGTGTGTGTGTGTGTGTGTGTGTGTGTGTGTGTGTGACCCTCTCTGACCCGCACAGAGAGCTGTTTGGCCTTGTGTTACTCTGAAGTAAATATGAAAATAAAGCTTCTCACAGGAAAACCCTAATTAGCCTGTCACTCCTAACTCACCGTTCCGCTAACCCACTCCCCCTCCCCCACCTTACTCCTCGCTGGCAGTATTTCTCGCTTCTTGTCAGTGTTGGTCAGGAGTGTCAGATTTAATCTGGTGCAGGGGTCGAGTGAGCCCTGGGGTGCAAGGAAAACCCATCATTTTGAGTTTGTTTGTGTGTGCTAGTGTGTGTGTGTGTGATGGATAGAGCAGAAGGAGGGAAGGATAGAGCCGAGGAGAAGGAAACAACCTGACAAATTCAATAAAACACCTCTGAAGAGTGCCTGCTGCGTCTCAAGCTCCACTTTACCTTCACCGCAGAATAAATATGAGTTTGTCTAAATCCGCTGCACAGCGCATTACCGATGTGTATAATTGTCTCATTTTTTACGGACCGTTCTTCTGCTCTCTTGTTTCACAGAGAGAATCCAATCACAGGTGTCACCATCACTCACCGTGCTGCATGGAGCGGATGATGCAGGGATCTGGACGATTGATTGGTCGTTTGAGGGGTGATCGCATCGATTATCCATGAAACACCCCGACAGACAGTTTCTATCACTCACTCTCAAATAAAGCTTGCCTAAAACTGTTTGTGGGAGGAGAGCGTTTATCTCCGAGCGGCCTCTATTGACCACTTCCTCTGAGTGATGCTAAAAGTAGAGCCGTGATATTTGTCTTTGGGGTCTGAGCTTGTGGAGCTGCATATTTTTGGAAACCACATGGATCAACTACAGGGAATGGACACGCAATCACTTTTCCAGATATAAATATCATGGATGCAGGAAATGGATTGTCTTAAGTGACAGATTCTAATCTGCTGGTTGCCTAAATTTTCACTCAGTGCGTTTACATGCACAGTTTCATCAGACTAAGCTCATAGTTTTTTTTTTTTTGTCGAATCGGACTTCTCTTCTTGTCCGCGTATGCATGCAGCTGAGAAAATCGAATTATTGATGTGAACATGTCCTCCTCCCCAAAACTAGGGGGCGGTATAGATCTTTTCAGCGGCGCTGTTTACGACCTCATATATCTATCAACAACTGCAGCAGGTCCGTGCCAGACCTCAGCATGGACTGTCTATAGAATGGACAGCGTCTGCCTCCTCGATGGGTGAAGCCACTCCGAGCGTCATCTCGGCGACTCTCCCGCTGAATGCACACAACGCTACTGCGCAATGTTGGTTTCAGGAAATGGGGAAAAAATGTGGAATCACCGAGAGCTTTTTGGCTTCAAATCCATATACTGGCGGGAGGCGGAACCAAGTTGTCCATAGTTTATACAGTCTATGGTCAGAAGTGGCTACAACTGCTGCTGGGCATTTTCGAG